ACATGATGAAAAAAAAAACATCTCTTGGTGGAAGACGAACCAATATCAGTATCCCACTCTGTTCAAGCTTGTCAAAAGGATATTCATCATCCCAGCTGCTGAAGCTGGAGTGGAATCGTTGTTCTCTGGTGTACAGGACCTTTGGACTAAAAAGAGGAACAGGATGATGAAACAATCAGTGGCAGGATACATGAAGCTCAAGACTGATTGGAGACGAGATATCGAGGAATACAAAAGCCTTTTCGATGAATCAGATCAATAAATAACATTGTTGTCTTACAAAGAGTACACTTTCATGAGCAGTGTAGTACCGGTTAATCGGTTATCCGGTCGAATATCGGTTAAAGTAGATATTCGGGTAACCGAGCTCGGTTACAATCTTTGAGCAACTACACGACCGAGTAAGGAATTATCCGAACCGAAGGATATTGATATCTCGTTTATTCGAACCGAGTAGTATAATAAGCTCGGTCTCAAACACTGAGCCGCAAGCATCTCTGAGTAGTTTGGGATGAATGTCTTGATCCATACTTCAAGGACTGTCTTCCTCTTTTGGTTGACCAACTTCTTCTCGGGTGATGAACGGAACTGATAAAATGATTGGTGCTCCTTGTACTTTGGAGGAGTTCCATCCTGACCATCGATTCGATGACTAGCCACATATCTGATATAATCAAACTTCTCACGAGTCCAGTTTGAGTGTCCATGTGTGCTCTCATTATAAGTATGAGAACCTCTCCTGTCTGTACAATTGAAACCACAGCAAATCAATACTGAGTTATCAATCGTGTAGCCAACTCGAGAGTCTAATCTTTCAAGACTCATCATGAATGACTTCTCTGCAAATGTACACACTGTTGCAGGTACCATAGGATATCCAGAGTAGAAGCAGAGGCCACGTTGATCGTTCCATCTTGATATCAATGATTGAATTGTAATTGAGTGATCCAATTCATTTAGGTACCATGTACTATCGTTCCTCGACACGTTGCTGCATGTACTTCTTTTAAGTAAATCATCTAGGGCAGTCACCACCATGTCCCTAATCATCAAGTCTCTCAACAGAGCATCTGTCCAATCACTTCTCTCCACTCTCTCGTCTCCATTGATCATCGTCTGAATATCTGTTGGATTGAAACTATATCTAGTATTACACTCTAGTAATACCAATCTAACGTTGTCCACGGTGTACTTCTTACTGTCATCCATCCTATCCACAGACACTGGCCAAAACACATAATAACCAATATTCATTGGTACACCACTGATTGCACAACGACCGCCTTGAGAATGATATCTCTGGATACACCAATCTCTACTAATCGCCTCATCTGAATTGTCTGGCCAATGTTTCTTCCTCCACAACAACTCTAACTTTTTATCGAAGAAGAATTCCATAATGGTTGGGGAATTGTTTCTGGAATAAATAAATAAATATATTAATACAGAATAAGAATGATTATTATAAAGTAATTATACTTACAAGCACTCTGTACACCAATTAAAAGGCAAGTACTTAACCTCACGACATTGAGGACACACCTTCATATCCCTTCCTTGCTTTGCAGTTTCACCTGGCTCGAGGGTACCAGCCTCTCTAACCAATGCCAAGATATTATTCAATCCTTTTAAATTCTCTTCCTCTTACTTTTTGTTGTCTTGTTCTTTTGATCTGTTCATTCTATTTAGTAACTACTATATATATGAATAAGATTATACTTTATAATTATTGATTGAATATTAATAAATAATGGTAGTATTGTATTATGAAACAAATATATAAGTAATCAAAAGTGTAGTAGTATATATATTCCAATTAAAGTATTATTACTTTATATGGTATTGATTACTATATTTGGTAAAGTTATTATAGTTGTATTAAATTTGTATTTAGTAGTAGTAATATGTTGTCAGAGTTTATACCCGGACACTACTTTAAGTAGTGATTGGAACAGTTCAATCAAACTCGTCAGTCAATCAAACCATCAACCACACACACGACAAAAACAATCAGTCAATCAAATTCAATTTATTAAGTTAGTCCTCAATCTACTAATTTTTATAATATATTATTCAATATTTAATACATATGGAAATATCACATTCATTCTTATCATTGAGTTGTTGATGTTGATGTCTTGGTTGTTGTTGTAGTTGTCTTTTGAAGTCCAATGTCTTCATCCTCATCACATTCAATCATGGAATTTGAATCATTAGGTGAGTTGATCGATACCATTTCTAAATCATCATCTTCATCTTCAACCAAGAGACTCATTGGGAATGAATTCATCAATTCCGGTCTGGGTCCATCAGTATGTAGGCCAACTTTATATCCAGATATCCTACTTAGTGTTCTCCTACTTAGTTCTGAGAATTGCTTAAGATTGGGATCTGAAACTGGGAGCTTGCTGATATCTGGTCTTGGAAAATTGGAATCCATTGGAGGGGTTGGTGGACGCCTCTCAAGGCGGCGACGGTTGAGCATCCTGGAAGTAGGTTGGGTCCATCTGGGTGATCCATAAACGATGCTGATTATTCCTATGTTGGTTGACCTGTATCTGCTCTGGTCTTTGGCGGAAGTCATCAAAAGATAGGTGCTTCAAATACAGTGCAGGTGTACCCTCAACACCTTGGATCTTATTATCGGCAACATATCAGACATAATCAAACTTCTCTGGTGTCCAGTTTTAGTGGCCATCGGTGCTCTCATTGTAGGTCTGAGAGCCTCTCCTATCAGTACAATTGAAACCACAGCATATGAGTACAGTGTTTCCAATTGTGTAGCCTTCTCTACTGTCCAATCTTTCAAGGCTCATCATGAAGCACTTCTCTGCAAATGTGCATACTGGGGAGGGTACCATTGGGTAACCAGAGTAGAAGCAGAGGCCACGTTGATCTTTCCATCGTGATATCAATGATTGAATAGTAATAGTATGATCCAATACATTGAGGAACCATCTACTATCGTTCCTGGTATTGTTTCGGCGTTGACTCTTTCAAAGTAATTTATCAAGGGCAGTTACCACCAACTCTCCAATCATCAAATCTCTCTACATCACCTCTGTCCAACCTTGTCTCTCCACTCTCTCATCTCCGATGATCATAGTCTGGATATCCATTGGTTCAAAACTATATCTAGTGTTACACTCTAGCGACACCAATCTAACGTTGTCCACTGTGTACTTCTTACTGTCATCCATCCTATCAACAGACACTGGCCAATAGAGAGAGTAGCCAATATTCATTGGTACACCACTGATTGCACAACGACCACCTTGTGAATGATATCTCTGGATACACCAATCTGTATCAATCGCCCTATATGAATGGTCTGGCCAATGTTTCTTCCTCCACAACAACTCTAACTTTTTATAAAAGAAGAATTCCATAATGGTTGGGGAATTGTTTCTGGAAAATTAAATAATAAATATATTAATACCTAATAAGAAAGATAATTACAATAATAACTTACAAGCACTCTGTACACCAATTAAAAGGCAAGTATTTAACCTCACGACATTGAGGACACACCTTCATATCCCTTCCTTGCTTTGCAGTTTCACCTGGCTCCAGGGTACCACCTTCTCTAACCAATGCCAAGATATTGTTCAATCCTTTTAAATTCTCTTCCTCTGACTTTTTGTCTTGTTCTTTTGATCTGTTCATTCTATTTAGTAACTTCTATATATATATGAATAAGATAATACTTTATAATTATAGATTGAATATTGTATTATGAAACAAATATATAAGTAATCAAAAGTGTAGTAGTATATATTTTCCATTTAAAGTATTATTACTTTATATGGTATCCACACACCATTAAAGGCAAAACCAGTCAATCAATTGATTGACATAAATTCAAGGATATTTATGACTAATGTATGAATATCTTATGATATCACTTGGTCAATCAATTGATTGACTGGTTTGACTTTATTGATTCAAACAATGCTTGGAGGTCCTCCTCATAGTCCCATACCATTTAGTCAAAGTCTGATTCCTCCAATGCAGAGTCGCATCTCTCTCTCTCTTTACTCTCTTCTTCATTATCATCATCATATTGATCACTATCCAACACTGCTACTGTCCTGAACACACTCTGCTTTGAACTACTCATTTTTGAATCAATACAAGCCATGTCATTAGTTTGAAGAGAACTTGGTGACTTGTCCATGATGTGGTCCTCGTTGATACTCACCTCAATATGTTTGATCGATCGTTATCCATAACCAGTATTTGTCACCTCCTCCTCAAAGGTGTCATTGCATTTGATGTACTGCATGGTTTTGTTGCGGTTGATCAATTCGGAGGTCGTGATATTGCAGTCTCTGGTCAAGTTGACCCAAGGGATCTTGGTTGTCATTATCAATAAGTGGAATACATCCAATAATGGAAGTACGACTTGCTTACGATCCAAGTTAGTTGGTTACAAACTCTAAATATTTAAATAAAATTACAATGTGATTGAAAAAACGTCACTGATGACCGATCTTTGCACCCCGTCCGACAGATACTTGACACAATACAAGGTTAAAAATAATTGTGTGAAAAACCCTATCTTTTTTTGTTCATTCATTCATTCTTTTCAAACTAATCTCCAACCTACCTATCTACCTATCGATCTATCTCTCTTTCTTTCACATTCGATGTTGTTATATCTTGTGTAGTCAGTCAGTCAGTCTATTTAAATCTATATATATTATACGTCATCACTCACTCACTCACTAAATACACATACACCCAACTAATATCATCACATCACATCATAACCAATCTCAATCTCATTATAAATCTCAACTCCTTAGATCAAAGTCGACTTCTTTAAATCGACCAACATCGACATTGTTAGTACACACATCAATACAAGTCGAGGATTCACAGCGCCAACCAACAACAATAACAACAACGCAAGATATAACATTTTGTGATTTGACAGACCGAATCGAAACTACAACAAGTTGAATCCAGGTTTGAAACTATCATCTGGAATCAATCATATGTATTTGTAGCAACTCCATCGTATCGAATCATATAAAAGGTAATGTAACCGTTCAATCCATCTCAATTGCCAATCAATTGTAACGCGAGAACTCGAGTGTATGTGTGTAGCATGTCATTGATTGATTGATCAATCACACACACACACTTTCATCACACCCCTTCAAACGAACATATCACCACACACTCATCAACGACGGCAGTGATGAAATGTCTGACTGACTGTCACTCATGGATCAATCACTACTAGTAGTAGTAGTAGTAATGTTGTCGATGATGATATATCACTCCCACTCACTCACTCACATAGCTAGGACACTCAGTAGAAATGCGTGTAGCGGGATGTTTGTAGGTGGCCATTGACAAAAAACGAACGCACACACATGACAGTGAGTGTGTAGAGTTTAAAGACAATGTCCTTCTTCATTCATATCCATTGGTAGAGAGTCGACCCAATAGTTGTCATGACTTCACCACCACCACCATCACCTCTTCGTATTGTGGTCCACACTATATCTCTCATCATACATTGAACTCTCTTCCTTTTACCGCTATAAGTATAATTGCAATCACAATTCACAGCCATAATCACCATCCATTGTTGTTGTTATTATTTTCCAACTTTCCAGAGATATCTCCAACTTCCAACTCTTCCAACTTCCAACTTCCAATCAATAATGTTGAAACTACAAACAACATTACTAACACTACCATCATCCGATGAATTGATATGTTCATCCAACAGAATGAAGCTAAAGCCATCATTGGGATTCTTTGGCAGTAGCAGTAGTAACAGCAACAACAGCAACAACAACAACAACAACAATAGTAAAGGCGACTCTGATAAACAATCAACAAGACAATCTGTTAAACGTGTGGACAGTATTTCAAAGTACAAGGCCAAGGGTATATTGCGAGGCAAGGAACTACAACAACACCAACATGATTCCGACAGTGATGAGAGTTCCGATGATGAGCCACCAAACTTGTCATCCAAAGCCCGTATCTCCACCACCTCCAGCGTCTCCTTTAACAACACCACCGCCACACAGACCACAACCAACACCAATGGAAGTGGTGCAATGAGCCAGAAACAGATAGCCACCGAGGCTATCGACACAATCGCACATATTCTGGACAACAAGAACATGAACCAACCACCAAACAACTCTTCTACTTCGTTAAAGATGATGTTTGAGCAGCAACAGCAACAACAGGACCCAAGGACCAGAAGTGACTCACTCGACTCTGACGACCCTGACTTTGGCTATGGTGACATGCCCATCTACAAGACCATCTCCAAGACACCATTAGAGCAATTGAAGCCAATCACCAATCCCATACCAAACAGACCATCGATCCAAGTGGACATATCAACCGAGAACGAACTGATATACCATTCATTGATTGCCCTACGAACATCTATCAGAATTGGCAGTGATGCCATGACCTCAATCAATCAAAACGAGTTTGAATTGATCAAAAAGTACAAAGCATCAATGTAAGTTATATATGTCGTGTCTGCTTTCCAATCAATCAATCACCTCATATAACTAACTCAATCATCAAGATCCGAGAAACGTACAACAATCAAAGACTTTGCACCAAATGTATTCAATGATTTAAGGAATAGACAGAATATTTATCCTGCCACATTCCTAAAGTCATGGTCATCATATATATCCAGTTCAATCCAATCTGCCAAGCCATCAAACGCCTTCACAATCTATTCCTCTGATAGAAAGTTCATCCTAAAGACTATCTCCAAGTCAGACTCCATCAAGTTGCGTAAACTTCTACCTCATTATTATAATGTATGTGTTCATACTGTTTATCGAGTCTGGCAGGTCTGGCATGGCAGTCCATTCCATTCTAACTAATCTTCCCTTAGCACTTGGTATTCAATCCCAACTCTTTGCTCGTTAGATACCTGGCGTTGTTCAGAGTGGAGAAGAAATATAAGCAGAACTTCTACGTTGTCTTGCTCTCCAATGTCTATCATACTTGTTGCAATGTTGACCAAGTCATCTCTACAAGAATGGTAAATATTCATTCAGATTGATCAGTCCAAGTACCTTGTCCTAACTCATCAACAACGAAACTATTCTAGAATGGTGATGAACATATCCGTCACAAGCTATCACATCGCAACATTCATTTGGACCTCTCTGTAAAGCATTCCATCTATCAACAGATTGAAAAGGATACCATTGTATGTTTGTTATTGCCACAACATGACCCATGCACATTACTAATGCATGTCCATCTAGTTCCTTTCATCAACCGAGCTGACAGACTATAACATGGTGATTGGAATCAATAGAGTGGATTCAAAGAATGAGCAAGTGGATGAGTTGATCAAGGACGCCGCTTCCATCGAACCATCATCATCATCATCATTGATCAATGGTGGTGTAATCAATTCAGACTCTGCCTCGCCTACACCAAACACTCAATCACCATCTTTGGATCAACTCAACGCGTCAGTGTTGTTGGAGGAGGTCATTAGCAATGGTGGCAGCAGTAGCGGTGCACTGGCAGCAGCCACTACTCCATCAACACCCAAGACACCATCGTCATCAGCATCATCCCAACCAACAAACGATTTAGACTCTTCTCTAGATTGTGTATCAAATCAACCAACAACAATAGTTGATCCTGTAAAGACTAGTAAGTTGATCTTGAGTCTGGCAGCAGCAGCATAGCATGGTCCACTAACCAATCATTTTAGTTCCTAGACTATTATTCTTCATTGAGGAGATTGAGTGTATTACAAAGGCCAACAATCATAATATCAGCAAATCGTTGAAGAAGTCATTCTTGTCATTGCCAACATCATGGGCATTTGATGATAACAACAACAACAACAATACCAACGGTCATCAGCCATCAGCATCACCATCAAGCTTGGCATACTCAATGACCAGTATGCCTTCACACAACAACAACCATGCTCATCATCACTCAATGCAGTTCTCTCAGTCTCCCATCTCTTCCAGCCAGCTCATTGGTCGCGACAATGAGCATCAACATGGCAGGAATGGTTTCTACTCTGATCAAGGCCCTTCCAACGAGGTCTACTACTTTGGCATCGTCGATATCTTTTCTGGCGCCTCAGTTGGCGACAATATGTACGCACCAAACAATCCCTCGTCACCCTCGTCGCCCGGCTCGACATCGCCTCTGTCAATGTCGTCGAGCACCATACCAAACCCCTTATCGGCGTCATCGTCCAGTAACAAGAGGTCCACACCAATACCATTCGTATCCAAGATGCGCAGCCAGCCCACTCAGAGCACAGGCTATCACAGCCGCTTCCTCAACCATAGCAAGAACCTCCTCTTCCTAGACACCAGCGTTCAAATGATCAACGTCAAGAATCAATTCAGAAACAGCGTGTGCATATCGACAAAGAGTGGAACGTTCTAAATGTACCAATAAAGCAACAACATTCTCAAGTATCCTGTTACATCGTTAGTTCATTTAATTGATTGATTTGATTGATTGGAATGGATTAGCTGCTTGTATCGGATAGGGGAGTAGGTGGAGCAGCGACAACACCAGTCTGTACGGGAGTTGGAGCTTGAATATCCTGTTTGGTGAGATACTTGTGAACGGTCTCCTCCATCATGGGCTGATAATAAAAGAGTGAGTGACGCTCCTCTTCAAAGCCGGACGAGGGCAGCGAGCGCGACAGCTGGAAGTCCTTGATCTGCTGATGTGTCAACTCGTTGAGGAAGCCCAGTGGGTCCTCACCCAGCTTCTCCATAAACTCTCGCTTCCTCTTGTGATTGTGTATAGAGATGATCGACTGATTGATCTCCTCATCGAGCAGCTGAATCTCCTTACGAGGCAGTGGCATTTGCTGTGCATAGTTCTGATCGTCCACCTCCACCTGGATATCATACGCCTGCTCAAACTCTCTTGGATCACCCGAGAGCTTCAACTGATAGTTGAACTCTAATGGGTCAGATGGTCCAAGGTGCTCTCTTAACAATTGAGGTATTTGATTGAATTGAAGTACATCTTGGTTGAATATCTGAGAGGTAGGGAAGTATGTATGAGTTAGGGGATATGAATGAACAAAGAGATATATCTACATCGCTCAAACAAACATACATTCTTCAATGCCTCATCACAAATGATCTTCTTGCTATCTACATCCAACAATCTGTTGACCTTGATGTAGTGCCACAAGGCAGCAACAATCTTTGGCTTGGTATCTGTATGTATATTCAATAGTTGTGACAATGGACCAAGTACCTTGCTCTTCTGTGGTGCATGATCCAAGAACATCAATATCTAAGTTGTGTATATACGATTGTTAGTTGTTACCGCTTGTTGATGCCAACATCACTCACTCTACACACATACCTTGATATCCAACTCTTGATTACCATTCCTCTTTATCTCGAATCCATCAGTCTCTGCAAAGGATTGACTCTTGTCCCATTCACAACTGTCGCGATGACCAATCTGAACAAAGATCTTCTTGAAGAAGGAGGAGAACTTGCGTTTGGCTTGTGGCTTGGCTTGTGATGATGACTTGCTAGACGATGACGAACCAGAGGCAGGCACATTGACCCCCAAGCCTTCGTCGAGGAGTCTACCCTCAATACGCAGAGTCCACGATGGCTTCTCACCGACTGTGACCATTGCCTTGTTGTCTAGATGATAGAAGCTGGTCTGACAGGCGAATGTGTTGTATATTGATAGACGCAGTGTCTTGAACATCTTTGCCGTGCGGTTCTTTAGGATCTCTTGCATGTCTACGATGCGCTTGGTGATTGCACTGTCGAGCTTCTTTTCAAACTCGAGCAGCTGTCCAAAGAGTAAACACTCTGGTGCAAACTTGACCAACTGTTCGATGGGCAGGGTCATTGAAGTGGGTAATGGTTGACATCCATTTGGATTGATTATCGCAGATGATGATCCTCCTGCTGCAGTTGAAGATAATGATGATTGTTTTGAACCACTACTAGAAGAAGATGATGATTTATTCTTCTTCTTATCCTTCTTATCTGAACTACTACTACTACTACTATTCTTCTTTGACATGTTTATGTATCTAGATTGTTGTTATTCGATCATGTAATAATGGTAAGTGAATGAAAATGCTCACTTGTTGTGAGGTCATTACTTTCAAAAATTTGAATTTTTGTTATAACGGATAAATATTGAATAAATAAAATATACGACTTTGATATATCATTCTTTTCTATAACTCCAATTATCTATATATCAATAAAGATATATATATATATATATATTATAATATTTAAATAAAGAATCTTTATTGGAACTTCATTAACTAAGGTTTCTTGAAAGGTCAAAACACCCTACAACATTAACAAAACAACTTTAAATTGAGGTGTGTGTTGACTTCAACGTCATCGACCATAACGAACCAATCAAAGAACAGGGTTTCATTGTATTCAATCTCCCATCAATCTAGATTTATAAATTATACAGAGAGACAAACGACAACGACAACGACAACAAGGACACAAAGTCGATTACTTATTGGTCGATCAGTACTCACCTTATAAATAGCAGTGACCTATAGTACAGTGCAATCTTCATCACGTGTTATCAATCTCACTCTCATTCACCACTAATCAACTTGGCCACTGGCCCATCACCCTCTCATTCAATACCATCTACTTTAACAACAACACTCTGTTGTGGCAAAGGGGGCATCATTCATTCATACACTACCCTTCATTCAACCAACGTATAACTCTTAAGAGTACTGCAGAGTAGCAATAACAACAACAACAATACATCCTTATTATTATTATTATTGTACATAAACACATTCAATCATATAATATATATATATAATACACGTAGTTGTAATAACAACGGCAGTAACTACGTAGTTGTAATAACATTACTCAATCAATCATATCAATACAATACAATACAACAATGGAGGAGTTAAACATTGATCAATCTCCAACTTCACCAAATACTACAACGACAACTACAACAACATTAAATGATAGTCAATCACGTGATATTAATAATAGTACCAACAATAACAATACAAATGCCGAGTTTATAAGTCAAATGGAACAAGTGTTCAAGGCAATAGATAAGGACTCAACTGGTCAAATCTCACTCTCTCAACTACAGGAGGAGATTGAAGAGTTGGGTTCGGACATTGACGAGAATCCAATGATTGCTCAGTTGATCCAGTATCTAAGACATGTACACTCTCAATCACTTGGACTCAGCGTGTCGCAGGGTGGCGACGATGATGACCTGTCAGCGTCGACGGGCGGCCAGGAGATCTGGATCGACTTTGAATCGTTTGTCAATACCATGACAAACTTTGCCGAGGGAGTCGATCGTCGTGAGGCTCGCAAGCAGCGTGTCGAACGCCAAAAGTTGCCCCGCTTCAAGGTGCCCGTTGAACTGCTCAAGAAGTACAGCATCACACCAAAAGGCTCACCAATGGTCGTCGGTGGAACAATTAGTCCCAATGCTCAAGGCTACAGCCACACGGTCGCCTTTAGCCCATCTAGGAACAAGTTCAACAAGATGTTCTCTCAACGTCCCGTCATCCAGTTTGATCAGTTCCTTCAGTTGGCCACACATCTAAACAATGGCAAGGAGATACCAAAGAACAAGCTGTTGATGGTGCTCAATGACCTGCCCAAGGACTCTGAAGGCTGCATCGATATCAACAGTTTCCTCACGGCCTATGGTGGCCTCAACCATCCAATGAGCCCCAAGTTGGTGCTGGAAGAGTCTGATGTTCGCGACCGATCAGAGCTGGTGGAGAAGTCCACTGTCGAGTGGAACAAGAACCGTGAGCTGGTCAATCAACTCAGTGACAACTACAAGGTGTTGGAGAAAGAGGTAGAGACATATCAGTCCGAGATATCATTCCTCGAGAAGTCCAAGCAGACATTGGAGGCACAGCTCAAGAAGAAGGAGCAAGAGATTGAGCGACTAAAGAAGGAGACCAAGTTTGTTGATGGCATGCGTGACACAAACAAAGACCTGATCGTCCAAAACACCTCCCTCAAGCAACAGATCTCCAAGCTCACAACCAACGAGAGTGCTCTCCGAGACAACATCGAGTCTGAGAAGGATAAGTACCGTTCAATCAATGAGAACCTAGTGCTCAAGGACTTGGAAATCAAGAAGCTCAATCATCAACTAAAGACTCAACAGAATATCAACACTAAGTTATCAATGGTATGTGTCGAACATTAATCAACAGTCACCTGATCATCTTTACTAATCAATCAATCACAATCATAGATGATATCATTCAACAATGAGTCAGAGAAAGAAAAGACTGAGCAGAGTGTGCCGTCAACCAAGGATCATGGTTCAAAGACTGTCAAGGTCACACAGAGGGAGAGATCAAAGCCAAACCTTAGCAAGCAAAAGTCAGAGATCTTCCAGGTACCACTCAAGACCAGCTCAGCAGCATTGGATCTATCACAATCGCCAATCATTCAACATCACTCAGAGTCATCATTGGCAACTTCACAACAATCCAACAATAGGCCACTTTCCCTCGACACTAGTGTTGACTACAACAACATTAACAACATCAGTAACATTAGTTCGGGAAGCATTGGAGAATCAATTCAGAGTGAGATGGACAAGCTCAAGAAGGAGGACTCTGTCAATGAGTTGGACCAACTCAAGAAACAATTACAATCATATCAAGAGGAGGAGCTCACACTCAGCTCATTCCAATCAGAGGATAGTCTCAGTAACATTCAATCTGGATTGCCATCAATTCCAGAGCACAATTCACCACAGAAGCAACAACAACAAACATTATCAACAACAACAACAACAAAGGAGGAGAAGAATGAGACAATGTTACCACCCTCGCCAATAATGATGTCCACACCAATCAAGTCAACATCAACATCAACTACAACAACTACAACATTAACAACATCAAACAACAACACACCAATACGTCTGAGTTCACCATTTATTCAAACACCAAATGGTACCAATTCACCAAGATCAGTACTTACTTCACAGAGCTACGTTCGACAGAGTAGCCCAGCACTTGAGCGTGGCACAGTCAGTGGCACCAGCGCAACAAACATGGCATCACCCGTGGCCGTACCAACATTCGACCTGTCATCACTATCGTCCAATCCCAACGTTGGCAGCATCAAGAGAATGAAAAAGTCTGATCTCATCCGTCTACAGATGAACGAGCTGGAGGCACACAAGGAGAGCGCGCAAAACATCATCGACGAGACCACAGCGGCCATGTCCAACCTGTACAAAGAGAAGAGTGTCGAGCTACAGCGTATACAAAAGATGTACCAGGAGGAGAAACAATCCAACAAGTATCTCGAGAAACAGTTGATGGCTCAGCTCGAGAAGAACAAAGAGTTGACCGCAGGCAAGGAGAAGAACTCATGGGGAGGAATGCAAGGATTCTACTCATTTGTCTCTTACTTTTTGCCATCGACATTAATGTGTAATGTATCTGGAACCAGTTAATATCAATGATTGACATTGAATAAAGATATATAATATGTACATATATGAATGGAAGTTGACCAGAAGTTCAGAACTTGATTTCAGTAAGTTTTTTGTTCGTCTTTCACTCGACTTGGTTAACAAGATCAAAACGAGTTGACTGCAGCATAACAGACCTCATTCTACATTCATCCTTACTTGTAAGTAATAACTATGATATTGAGATGGTCTCTCAAGAGTTGAACAACGACAAAGACTATTATAATATATTGTATCTTAATGATGAACATAAATTTACCTACATTACCTGAATACAGTTGATGACAACACATACATTCAATACTTCTGAACATACATATTATAATATTATACAATTGTCCAACTCAAATACCAGCCAACCAATACAAGCATGTTAATAAGTATACTAATATATATCCTTTTACACTTTATAGAATAAACATAAATATGATTGATTATCCAATGTCAATGTACATAATACTCTAAATAAATAATCATTTGTACAATATCTTTACACACCTTGTTGCAATTCGTATTATGATGTGGCAGTCTATGGAATCGTTGTGGATCATCATGAACAACAACTGTTCGATGTCATCTGATTCCAAGTATTCATGAACCCTTCTACGTTCCATCATGGAACGACCATGGTCTACCCCACCAACAATGATTGATGGGGTGGACCTCTAATGCCAAAGATAGTATTGATCACTTTATCTATTTATAATCGTCAGTTGTTGTTGACTTTGAAGACTACATCCATTCATTCATTCATTCATACATACATACATACATTAATAATGGAGCATGTTAACACTGTGATATCATTTGTCTCCAACTACAGAGTAGCCATCCTCTCGGCTTTGACTCTTGTGTTGGCAACAAGAGCTTTGAAAAGGGGCAAGAAGCAACACGTATGTAGGGCCAATTACTCATCCATCTATCTCAATCACTGACCCCCCTCTCCTATTCAGACCTATGAACCAGGTGTTGTATACCTTTATGACTTCCCCAAGGGTGACTTCCCACTGCTACACATATCACCATTCGTGCTAAAGGTGTCTCTCTTCTTGCGTCACGCCAACATCCCATTCAAGGTTATCAGTAAGTTCATGGACAATTGACCAGTGACCAGTCTGTTCATCCATCACTAACATCTCAACTCAACTCGACAACAGACAACCTTGACATGGGTCCAAGAAACAAGAAGCCTTGGATCAGACTTGATGGAGAGGTGGTTTCGGACTCTGACATTATCATTCACTACTTGATCAAGAAGTTCAATATCAAGGGCTTTGAGATTAATGATGCTGATTTGGCAGCTGATGCTCATCTGCTTCGTAGATTCATTGATGATGCCGCCGTCTGGTCACTAGTCTACAGTAGATGGGTGGACCCAATCAACTGCTCCACCAATATTGACGCCATATTCTCCAGTGTACCATTCCCAATAAGTGTGATTGTGAAGCGCTTTGCATCGAATGGCACCAGCAAGCAGTTGTACGGCGTTGGAATTTCCAGATACTCTAGAGACGAGGTTTATGAGCGCGCTGCAAAGGACCTTGATGCCCTGGCACGTCGTCTGGGAGACAAACCCTACTTGCTCGGTAAAGAGATGTCCCTGGTGGATATCAGTTTGTTCTCAATGTTGGCACAGTTCACCTTTGAGATTGTTCAATCGCCAGCAGGTGCTGCACTAAAGTCACACCGCAACCTGGTGGACTATGTAAAGAGGATTGGTGAGGCACATTTCAAGTCTGACGAGTTGGATTTCTCCAAGTCATACCCATCATCAAGACAATAAACATATTTATACGTATCTAGGTTGGACTCATTCAATCATTCATTCATTTATTATTCTTTCAACTCACTCATTTCATTCATATTCCAATCATCACTTTGATCAAAGTGATGTCCAGACAATGGTCTGGTACATTAAAAGGTTATACCTATGATGTGCACAACAGGTTAGACAATAACATGGGCAAAGAGATTTGTAACAATACCTGTCACTCCATATCATTGGAGGAGCTTTGGATGATAAGATAGTATGACCTAAATATGTGATGTGATGTGATGTGATGGACCGGGACCAGTCTGGTAATCTAAATGAATGATAAACATGGTTCAGGACCTAGCTATGATGATATGCTAATAATGGTTTGAATGAGTGTGTTGGAGTTGTTAGACAATAAGAGGCAGATGGGTACATCCAAGAAGGATTGAATGGAATGGTATACACTGTATAAGTGGGTCATTTTTGATTGATTTGATTTGATTCATTTGATTGCTCTTCTTCTACAATGAGGGCGAGAGGGTAGTGAACGGTAGGGTAGGGAGGGGAGATTAATGAAGCATGAGTACACATGGGCTCACCATTCGCTAAAGGTAATTTAGGGCTGGGCTGCTTGTGATGGGACATGGACCTGAGGCTTGGCATTGGGGAATCTGGCAAGATAGGTTGGTTCTGGGATGGATTCGGCAGTGAGCATCTTGCTGGCAAACCAACGTCTGTTGAGCTTGCTGATGGCCAAGGCTGCACTCTCCACCTTGTCGTAGCGGAGATAGATGTAGCCTTGACTGTTTCTTTCTAAATGGATATGAATGATGTTACCATAGTTGGAGCACTCGAGCTCGACGTCCTTCTCGATCTCGGTCTCCCAGTTCTCACCAGTCTCTGTGGCCGGATCAAACATGTTCTTGAGCACCATGCATGTCGATGTGACCACCGGTGTCGGTGGGACCAGTGGAACATGAGCGGGAATAGCACCATGCACTGGCGCCATGTTGGGGTTTCCATACGCCATGTTTCCACCAGGTGTCATCATTGCAGCCGTTGCTGGATGTACAGGGGATGGACCTACATTATGAATACCCTGTAGTTTAGCTGACAGGATTGCTTGCTCCTGAGGAGTGAGAGGAACACTTCCATCTAAATAATATTGATTGATTGATTGGTGAATAATGATTAGTGATTGGTTGGTTGGTTGGTTGGGAGATAAAGACACTTACCTTCCTCATCAAGTGATCCCATTGATTGATGATTGTATGAACTAGGGATGTTGTTCAAGGACATTTTAGTATTGGCAATACCACCCATCATCATTGGACGGTTGACCCTGTTGGCAGGGTCCTGCTTGTCCTTGCTATCGTTTACATATACAACCCTTAAGGGTCTACCCATTACCTCCATGCCGTTGGCCGTGAGGGCTCTGGCGGCGTCGTCTGGCGAACGGAACTGCACAAAGGCGTACTTGTATATACCGGTTGGTTCGCGTGTCGATGGCTTGGTGTGCGTCTTTACAAAGTCCAGCTCACCAAATGCCAAAAAGACCGATCTCAACTGCTCCTCTGTGATCTCCTGATGCAAGAAGCCAACATACAATCTATTTGGTCCTGCTGTTGATGGTGGTGGCATCACAACAGGATGATGTGGATGTTGAAGTATAATCTTTGGACTAGAGTAGAGTGGTAAAGGGGATGTTTAGTAGGGAATAGTAAACTGCAGCGACGATTACAAAGATACATACGGAGGAGGAGGTTTCTTCTCTTGTTGAACTGGATGAATGTTAATCGTATGAGCGAGTACCTTTTGACCGCTCATTGCCACAGCCTTTGGTACCTGTTCCTTGCTTTCAAACTCTACATATCCAACACTGAGTGATTGATTGATTGAATGAATGAGTTAGGTTGGATATCCATTATACTTTGTCATAATAATGTCACACATACCCTTTAAGCTTCTTTGTTATCTTATCAATGATTAGACTGACTTTGATCACTTTACCAAGGACTCCAAAGAATTCGTAGAGATCTGCGTCGCTGATGTTTGGTGAGAGGCCAGAGACAAAGACGGTCCTAGAGTCAGACTCTTCTTGCTCCTCTGGTGTCAACTCGGGAAGGACGGGCTCGACGGGTGCCGGTCCCTTGTCATAGCGACGAGGTGGCGGTCTGTCGTAGGGCCCGAATCTGGGTGGTGGACCACCACGTCTGTCGCCACCACCGCCGCCGCCGCGGTAATCCCTGTCCCTGTCTCTGTAGTCCCTGTAGCTGTCTCTGTCGCGATAGTCACCACGATAGTCCCTGTCTCTGTAATCTCCTCCACGACTGCCTCGGTCCCTATAGTCGCGATCCCTATAGTCCCTATCGCGATAGTCCCTATATCCGTCTCTATCTCGATCACGATAGTCTCTGTCTCTATCTCTGTAGTCCCTATATCCATCTCTATCTCTATCCCCTCTGTCTCTGTCTCTATCTCTATCCCTATCCCTGTCTCTATCTCCTCTATCGCCTCTGTCTCTATCTCTATCTCTATCTCTATCCTTATCCTTATCCTTATCCTTCTCTTTCACTTTATCATCTCGATCTCTATCCTCTGACACTCTCTTTGCATCATGATCAGAGTTATTTGGTTGTTCAGTACTTGCTGTAGCAGTGTCTGCAGTATCTGCCTCTTTCTAAATAATAGTTAATAGTATTAGTAATTGTTAATGATTGATTGATTGAACGAGAGTGAACATACCTTGTTTGCAAAGTTATTGAAAGAGGCTTCGAGGAGTGCCTCTACATCAAGATCAGTTGATGTCATTGATGTATGAACGAATATATATAAATATAAATAAATGAATACAAATATATGAATGAATTGAATGAATGAATGAATGTTTGAAACCAATTGCACAAAGTAGCCCAAACTTTGATTGGAATTTTCAACAATTACAAACAAATAACAACAAAAATGAATTTATTATCTCTACCATCTATTACTATTATTTATAATAGCATGGTAATTGGATCTGGAAATAATAAATAAATAAATATTTATGAATAATTAATTAATTTAAAGATTTATGATACAAGTTGTTCTTGTATCTTTTCCATGATCTTCAAGGATACATTGTAAATATTGATTGGAACTGTTGTTCATCTTGCGTATGTGCCATACTTGTATTGAATCACCAACATTTGAATGAAAATGATATGTCTTTATGTTGGGCATTGATTTAATCAATGATTTGATCAACATTGTCCTTGTTACATTATGATCAATCACATAGATATACATTATGAATGAATCTAGCATTAGGTTTGGTAACCGGACTGTAGTGATTTGATGTGGGTATGACTTGGGATTCAAAGTGATTGATTCCAGGTTCGGTGGAAAACGTGAAGAGTACATTCCAATCTGGTTTACAGATCTAAGTATGAGATGTTTGAGTCCAACTGGGAACACGACTTGCTCCGTACCCTCTCGGTAGTACGTGCTACCCAGAGTGAGTGATGTGAGTGATGCAGGTAGAACACCATCGGGCAGGCCACAAGCGAAAGAAGTGCCCATCACAAGTGTACATAGCTCCGATGGAAGCCAGGTGATTGTCTGTCTAAAGTGATATCCTAAGGTCAATGTATTGAGTGTGATTGGGAGTGACCCATTAATGATCGCTCGGTTAAAATTATGTCCAAAGGTAAGAGTATGTAGGCCATGTGGGAGAGTCTTTGGATCAATAGTCTGACAATACCTAAAGCCAAATGTAAGTGTCTTTAGGGATGAGGGCAATGGAGATGGATTGTTGTCCAGTGGTACATCGTAACAGTGACCAAATGTAAGACAGGTGAGTGTGCTGGGCAGGGAATGAGGTAGTAGCGGTTGATTGAAGTCATGATCAAAGGTAAGCGAGAGGAGGTTGGGAGGCAGCAAACCAGGGGCGATGATCTGGTTGAAGTCCCAACCCAATCTCAACTCTAATATATTATGAGGTATTGTACCATTAACAAAGGTGTTGTTCAAATGTTGACCTGCCAGTGAAAGTGATGTCAATGTTTCAGGTAGCGACTCCGCAGCGATCGAATATTCTCCACAGTCCTCATCAATCAACAACTCTGTCAAAGACATTGTCTTTAAAGCAGTTTGATCATCTCCACTGTGTAATGTCAATGTCATTGACTTTGATGATGATGATGTTACAATGGCACTTGATTGTTGCAAGGTCACCAAAGACTTTGTACCAAGTATTGTTAGATTGGGCAACAGTTTGTCACTGATTGAAAGTAGTCTCTTGCATGAAAGACATAAGTTGATGGTATCAAACTCATCATTCAATTGATCCAATATTGATAGTAATAATACATGTGATAAAGTATCCATCTGTTTATCTCTCTCTTTGAGTTGCGTGTCGACAACAAATTGAATGACTTCTTGGAAGTTAACTCGCGACTCTTCACTCTTGCAAAGGTGTCCAAGACTTTGACAAAGTCGTTGTTAAATATTAACATAATATCTTTAAAGTAATAATATATCATGCATGGACAAATCCATCTAGTGATTGGAGTATGATGCCACTGTTGGTCGCATCTTCAGCCTCTAGTAGACCGAGTGCCACGACGAATTGCTGACAGAGCTCTTTCTCTCCTTTGGTACACATGGCACTGGCAATGGTCTGGTAGTGCTGCTTGAGGAATGATTGGATGGTGATGACCTCGGTGGCAAAGGTCGTTCGCAGCGCTTGCTTGGGCTCCCACTCCACCGCCATGTCCTCCTTGTTGGCAAACACCTCTTGGAAGAAGTCGCGTATCATTGGTTTCCACTTGGCCACAGCGTCATTCACGTGTTGTGGTCCTCTCAAGAAGATCTGATTGGAGCCTGCATTGTAGACCATTGTCGATAAGAAGTGCAACGCTTCCAATGATGTGCTGGATGGTATCGTGTTGCATAGGTTACTCAAGTGTGGGCGTGCCAACGCCGGTGTAAACACGCGACCAAACAACAAACATCCAATCGGTGGATATGCGGGCAATGATGTCTTGGCCGCAAATTGTTTCTGTATCTCTAATGATGCCTTTTTGAATATCCTGTTGTGATTGTGTCAGTGGAACTATTCCGGTCTATCAATCAACAATCAAACATTGGCGATGACTTACGGAGGAAGGTACTGGGCAGAATCCTTGAATGCCTCCATTGTAGAGTTGAACTCACGAACGAGGGCTTCGAGACCTTCGGGCGTGAGTGGGTCATAGTGTTCAGGGTAGTTGACGATTTGATTGATTGTTGGCTCGAATAAATGTCGGAGATATGGCGTGGCAATGTGTCTGGCGATCTCTTCAACAAGTTCGCAAGCCATTGGGTTGTGCGGGAACATCATGGCCATGCTCATGGATACGTTGGGCATGTCACGAACAACCAGCGCCGTTAGGAACTCGGACAGGTGGCCGGCCGAGTCAACCAGACGCACCAGTGGCGGAATGAAATTTACAATTGGCGTGGCGCTGACTGGTGGTGGCGGCAGGGGTCCAGGCACACCAATCATTGGTGGCACTGGATATCGTTCGGTTCGTCGTACCTCTGCCATGTGTGCCCACAATCCAAATGGCTCCTCTGTGAGCAGCTCTACCAAAGGCATATACTTGTCTATTATGTCCTGTTCCACGTCGTCGTTATACTGTTGATTCAGCTCGTGGATATCCTGTACATGGCATTCCTTCTCAGACAAACACCATGATTGCAACGACTCTATATACGCTTGAATATTTACAAACTCCTGTGTTGCATCCTGTCCAAGTTTATAAATCGCATCGAAATGGCTCGCCAACAGATTGACAAATTCAGTGTGCATCAAGTCCTAGATTGATCAAGTATGATTGGAATAATTCCATGATTAATGAGTTAGTGTGAAAATCATTTCCAAATGGGCAGACTCGCTCCCAATATATCATACCAGAGTGCTCCTGAGGAAACCCAAGTAATCAGCCTTGGCAGTGTTATAGTTGGCGCAGGCTTTGTTCTTATCGCGCTCGTATGTGTATAACTTTAGAATGTCAATCTTCTTTTGACTCTGTTGATGCCTGATCTTGCTGAGAAGTGAATCATACTCCATGTAAGCTTTGTCATACTTCTTCCTGTGGGTCTTGCGCTCATCGATCCTGTTGACAATGACCTGCACGGGCTTGATGAATGACTCGACGACACACTCTCCAAACTCCTTCTCAAACTCCATCGTCTTGGCGGTGGACTGTGAAAACTGTTCCATGGCCTTCTCAAAGCCCACGCGAGTCTCCACATCCGACTGGCTATACTGATGTTGTTTGCCAATCTGCTTGGACTTTTGCGTGCTGCTGACGATCTTTTCGTAATCCTTTGGCAATGATTGGCCCCATTCTTCGGCGCTGGCAACCATTGACAGTCCCTTCTTTTGAGCTTCCTTGCAGGTCTTGATCAGATCGGTCAGCAAAGCCCTAGTTTCGACCATACTCTTTTCCATCTGTTTGATCTCCCTTGGTTCGTCTACAATCTCACCAGTGATCTCGCCAAATGGTGTCATTTTGCCAGACGGTAGATATGTTTGTGATTGGTGCTGCATTTGATGTGTGTGTGATTGTGATTGGGATGCTGGTTGTGTAGGTAGGGGTGTGATGGTTGATGCCGATTGGCCCAACTTGGCAGACTGTACTGTTGCCAATGGTGGACTCTGGAATGCAACTGATTGACTCCTTCTAAGTAGTGAGAATTTTGATGATGATGTCGATGATGATGATGACTTCATTGGTAAATGTGTACGTATATATAATGTTTGTTTGTGTATTATTTACAAGGGTGTAGGAGTTTGAATGATTGATTGAAAGAGGTTGATTGAATGATTGGAGGGCTTGCACCATCTGCCTTGAACAACCAATACTTTAGCAGCATACTCTGCAAGGATGAAGATGTCGACAAAAGTTATAGATGAGACTGACCTGACTTGACTCCCCACACTACAATAATAAGTCGGGTATCTGATCAAAGCCCCTTAGATGCGAGTGTCGTTATGTGGGTGGGGGTGTATTTTTATTCGCATCAAGAAGATACTTTTGATTCTGATTACTTTAGTCTTCTTTCTCCCAATATCAAGTGTATGCCAAGTGTTACGTCTGATCTGACTGATAGAGTACTACCCATCATCTCCCACCAAAAAGCGAAGTGATTGGTTGACATCAACACACTCTCTCATCATTCAAACAGAACACGTGCGCACACTTTTGTTGGGCCTTGCGTGCTTGTTTGTTTGTCCAAGCCCATCATCCTGATCAAATACCTTTAGAGGTTAAATTAACAGACAATAATAATGTCGACAACTCTCAAGGTTATATCATAACATATATCTTAAATCAATAGAGTCATCCAACGTGTTGGGGAATAATGCGTGTGTTTGAGTGAGTGGGCGAGTGATGGACCGGACATCCATCGATTGACCCATCTTATTTACAATTTATTGGAGCTTAAACCACTACTAATACTACTTCCAACAACAACGTTATTACTACTACTACCACTACTAAATATACTGCTGAGCTTGCTCTTCTTCTTGGTGGAAACGGGGAATTGGAGTGGAGCCAATGTTATGGATGATTGGGATACTTCTTGTTTGATGTTGAATGGCTTGATGGTGATGACGATGGTCGATGTGCCACTGACCAGCTCCACCAAAGCATCATACCAACAATCTCCACATTTGACCTTGCACTCATCTCCAATCCTTGGTGGCTGAACATTGACCACAACAGACTCTACTGGTGCTATTGATGTATGAGTGCCAGATGATGACGATGATGATGATGATAATGATGTTGATGATAATAATGTCGTTTGATCAATGGACAGAGGTGGGATACTTTGTGATCCTTTACGTGAACCATTGGGTGAGTTGAGTGATCCACTACTATTGCCACCTCCATTCAATATGCTGTTCTCGCTGCGGTGACCATTCTGTTGTAGAGGTGAGGATACGTATTGATTGATCTGTGACTTGTGTGATGACTCGCGTTGTAGGATACTAGAGGTGGGTGACTTCTTGGTTGTTGATGTTGGGCCGCCAATGCCAGAGAGTGACCCGCCAACATTGTATAAAGATGGGGAGCTGGCGAATGCATTGACATGGACATTGGTTGGAGCGACAGCCACACCTTGATATACGTGGACGTTGGTCTCGCTCGAGAGGTAGCCGCCAAGACCTGATGGGTTTGATGTGTGCTCGGGACGATCATTGTCGCGTGATAGACGGGGTGGTGTGCGTCTGGCCTTTTGTTGCTGTTGCTGTTGATGTAGTTCATTGAGTGTTGTAAGCAGTACACCTTGGTCCACACCTCCATTCTCTTCGTGTTCACTGTCAGAGTCGACAGAGGTCGCTGCGGACATGGCTGGTTGCTGGAAGAACTCGGCAGATAGTATGTTTGATGAAGACTTGTTGTGACTGCTCGAGCTTTGCAATGATGGACCAGATGTGAGTGGCGATGGCGAGGACGATGCTATCTTGATAGGTGGGGAGATTGGCACGGATGACGATCGAGCGTGTTTGGAAGACGCTGTGGGCGACTCGGGCATTGGCAGCTCGGTGGTCGACGTGTCCACGACGGGCGATGTCTTGCCAATGCTATTATGACCACTCGAACTATGTGATGTCTGTTGTAGGATGCTTGGGGGCGGAGGCGGGGTCAGCCCCAGGTCCACCATATATCCATCACGCTCCTGCACCAACTGAGCTATCAGCTCTCTCATTAACTTCTTCTCTCGCATCGCGCGTATAAAGTGTATCTTGAGTTTCTGGATCGTGTGAGTCATGTCCTTGCGCTGTGCTTCCAGCTCTGCCACGCGCTCCCTCATATCGAGCGAACCATTATCATCCTCTTGCTCATCGGGCGAGCTGTCATCGTCCATCTGTGACATTGGAGGGGGCAGTACCACCTTGACCTGCTGCTGCTGCGCATGCATCTTGATCCATGGATGGTCGAGCAACTGGCTGGCGGTGGGTCGCTTGTTAATGTCGCGGACAAAGCAAGACATCAAAAATTTCTTGAGCTCTGGCGATATTTTGGCGGGCAGTGGTGGATGCGGGTTGTTGACCATGGCAAACATTGCTGGCATTGTGCCCAGCTCCCAATATGGTGGCGAGCCCGTCAGCAGCTCGAGGATCGTGCAGCCCAGACTCCAAATATCGCAGGCTGTGCTACGCGCGTTCATGTCCATCTGGATGACCTCGGGCGCCATCCAAAATGGTGTGCCTACCACTGTCAGCTTGCGATCCAATGCCGAGTATGTACATGATCCAAAGTCTGCCAGCTTGATCACACCCTCTTTGGTGATCAATATATTATCGCTCTTAATATCTCTATGTATTACGCCCTTGTCGTGCAAATATTCTATTCCACGCAACACCTGACTGATGTACCGACTCAGTAATGGTTCCTGGAAGTTACCATATCTCTTTGCAATCTTTGCCAATGATCCACCTTCAATGAATCTAAGTTTGTGTGGGGTGAGTTAGTGTGAGTGGGTGATCACATGGAATCATTCCAAGATTGTGATTGTTCAACTTACTCGAGAGCAAAGTAGAGATGCTTGGATGTCTCATGAGACTCGATGAACTTGACTATATTTACATGTTGTAAAGTTTTTAACAACTTTAACTCTTGCTGTTGATTGTTGAGATTGATTGTGATGGATTGATTGATTGATTGTTAATTTCCATGTATCTTCCAATGTATGAGATAATACTTACAATGATGGCAGGTAATTGTTTCTCTGATATAATTGATTTCTCTATCTGTTTGACTGCAAAGAAATCACCAGTCTCTGTATTCAATGCTTTATAAACCTTTCCAAATGCACCTTTTCCAATTGCCTCTCCTATTTGCTAATGGTATAAATGATAATCATTAGTAATTATTCGAATAATACTACTCCATTGAATGACCTACATATTTGCTCATGAATGAGCTATCGCCAGAGTTTGAATGAGTAGACTCCATCATTTAAAATTTGAGTTTAAAGGTATTGTTCGAACAAGACTTGGTCAATTCGAATTGTGTAAAGTGGATAGAGTGACTCTAAGTGTCTTGGGTGTAGAGTAGGTTCAATGGCAATGACCAAATGTTCCAAATGTTAAGTCTTAATTGAGTGAGTGAGTGAAGCAGCAAAGTGTAGCAGTAACCCTTCGTTCGAATAAAGTTGGGAGAGAGCTAAACTTGTCACAACCCTTGGTTGTCTATCTATTCTATCTATCTCTATCTATCTCTATCTATCTATCTTTTGTTATTATTGTGTGTTGTCTGTCGTCTGATTGTCAGTGCCAACAACAAGACGAGAGTGTGTGTGATATTTTTGAGAACTTGATTGAGTGCGTGAAAGGTCTATCTTTGTTGTTGTTCTTTGTTATAATAATATTAATAGAGAGTTATGTTTAGAAGCAACAATAACAACAACATCAATAATAATAATAATAACAGTCAAGTAGACCCTTGGTTGATCAAGCAAGTCAGGTCAGGTCAGGTCATGTGTTGGGTGGTAGGTAGTAATAGGGGATATACATAACACAACAAACACACTCCTTCTGTTTTCTTGCTTTGTTTGGTTATATGATCATAACAAGTAATTGAATGTATGTGCGTGTTAGTTAGTGTGTGTGATAATATGAGTGATCAGTGTTACGTCGTCGTCTTTAATGTTATTATGTGTGTGTTGTTGAGTTGTGTTGAGAGAGTAGGAAGTTAATAAGTAAGGGGGATATTGACATTCAGATAGTAGCCCCGATGACAACTATCAACTCCTCCATTACCACTTTTATCCACGATCACCCCAGGCTACAATAATACAACCACTCCCACATCATCATACAGTGATCACACGGTGTGGTAAACAATGGGCAATCATCACTGAATACATATACAATCATACAATCACACTGATACATACAGTAATAATTACATTATCACATGTGATTTTAAAAAGAATTAATACAAATAATAGGTGTGTCTACAAATAAGTATTGATCAATCACACACCAAACTGCACAATAATACTGACTCTCAATCACCTGTCTTATTGATAGTTTGATTGATTTATTGAGTGATGCACAGACAATTGTTGATTGGACGACATATATATCTCTGGATGTCGATATGACAGATATAAATTGTCTGATCAGACGCATGATTATGCGTACATTGGGGGTGTGACAGATAAATGTATGAATGAATGAAGCATGCTTTACTTTATCTGTCGTCAATCTTAAAACAAGGCAGATAGGGACTAGTTTAAAGTATGATCTAGTTAAATCCAGGCTTGTTCAGATTGATGGTTTGAATCTTGGATTAATCCTATTTAATGTAGATTACAACTCAGTGCTGTCCAGTGCACCAACATCAAAGAATCTCCTTCAACTTATCCTGGAACATAATTAAGAATGGAAATATTATTATTTTTGGGGATGGGGGGATTTATTATTTATTATTATTATTATGTTTAGATACAATGATTGTTTGATGATCTTAGGATCTTTGCTTCTTTATGAGATCGATCATCTTGGCAACTCTTATATCAAGCCAATCCTTGTATGGGAGGGCGTGCAGCCAGTCTCTAGGCAGGTTGGAATATCCAATCTTTGCTCCCAACAATCCACCACAAACGAATCCATTACAATCGGCATCTCCACCTTCCTTGACAATCATACTCAAGGTATCCTTGAAAGAATGGTTGGACCTTAGTCCCCAGAAACCAGCTCCAAGTGACTTGAAAACATAACTAAAGGGGTGCGAGGAATAATTAGTATAAGTCACATGATTGGTTGGTGTCACGTGATCATCGATCACGTGATTGATTAATGTCACGTGACATTGGGAAAAAAATAAACATACTTTAGAGAATCTGGAGCAGAGAGATTGAGTGACTCCAATGATGTGTTGTACATTATCTCTTCAAACTCGGCACGCTCTTGGATGGTGGTCATCGTGCTGGCCAGTTTGCTGACAACTTCCTCTATGAGATGATCGACCTCTTCATTACGATTGGGTGTTTTCGGTGTTCTCTTGGTCTCCACGTTGGTGAGCAGTATGGCAATGGCAGTGCTGACGGCAATGTTTGATACGATGCAACGTGGATCAAAGTGAGTGGCCTTGCACATTGATGTGGCATTGTATGTGACAGTCTCCATATTATCATGCGAGAACAAACCAGTAGCAATAGCACGTGACAATGCAGCATTATTTGAACATCTTCTTCCAGATGTAATCCAACTCTTCTCACTAACAAAGAAAGGATCCTTCAAGAACTGGCCTTGTAAAATGATTGAACTACCATTGAGTCCCAAGCCTGAGTAATAGGGTCCAAGGACATATTAGTATTTTGATTGAGGAGTTCCAGAATGATCAAACATACCACAAGTATCACCTAGATCAGAGAATCCAGAGATCAACCATTTCTGGAGTCTCTTTGCAAAGTTGATTTCGTTGGCCTTGCCTCCAGATTCAATGAGTGACTCAAGAGCAACGATCATTTGATCGGATTCATCAGTCCAGTCACCCTTTGGCCATCTGGCACTATGCGAAGTCTTCATAAATCCTGGGAAAGGTATAGCACTACTTCCATAAGCCTTCATAATTTGTTCCTTATTTAAGAACTCGGTTGCTAAAAAAATAATAATAAGTGTCATTGTTATTAATGACTGATGGGTATTTCCTAATTTGGAAATAAAGATCACTTACATAGACCATATGCATCTCCAATCACTGAACCATAAATGCATCCTAGGATCCTATCATAAAGTGGGTCCTCCATTGTTGCCTTGTCCAGGCCTAGCACTTGATATTTATCTCTGTCCATTTCTCAATAAATATTAATTATTAATGATGATGATGTAAATATTATATTTATATATAATTAGGTATTGATTGATTGATTAATTAATTTGATCAACTTGATTGATTGATGGATGATGGATGGATGGATGATGGATAGAGTGCTGATCGTTTGATGGTTGATATCCAGTCAACAACAACAACTGAAATCAACTACACAGATTAAGAGGTGATGGTGGTGGTGTGGAGCGGAGAGTTGGTTGACGTCAATCTAATAATGCAGGTCGAGGAAGAACAGTAAGCTTGCTGAGGTGGAAGCTGAGTTGCGCAGATGCATCCAGCTCATATCTATCTTGATTACAACATTGACATAATTGCATTATGTATGGGACGGGTCATCATCATCACATCACCATCATATACAATACATTACATCATGTCTCTTTGTTTGTTTGATTGTTTGATTAAATTGTTTTGTTGTCTGGTGTACCCGTTCGTTGGCGACGCGCCGGGATTGACGGCGACAGGGCTGCCACCATACATTGGCCAATGCATACCGGTGCAGAAGTTAACCAATCATCAACGCCTGCACTGTAACATTGTGTCTGTCTGTGTGTGTGTGTGTGTGTGTAAGTGTGTTTGTGATTGAATGAATTCGTGTATCTGATTGATTGATCATCACACAATGTGGAGGGGTGATGGCCGGGACACACATACATACAGAGATGATTGATGGTGATAACTATATCATCTTGACTTGTATCTGTCCGACCATCTTTACCATCACCAATCAACCGTCGTCATCACCAACAAGCACAGATCCCCATTGTAACCACTGGTGTAAATGATCATCATTCCTTGTGTGTGTATGTCATTATTGATTGATTGATAAACACCCGGTCCTTCATTTGTGTGATCATTCATTAATGATATGATCAGATCCACACACTTAACTTATGTTGGATGATCAGACATCCGGCTGTAATGGTGGTTGATAGATATAGTTTTGAATGAGTTAGTATGTTTGTTGAACAACATACACACGACTTCTTTGATGTCTAACTTCAAATGTGGACAAACCGATATATATGTATTACATGAACTTATATTTTAAAGTTAGTTAAGTTGAGAAGTTAGCGAAACATTTAATCAAACATAAACAAATAGTATCTGTTACAACTTTTGATGTACTTCCATTCATTCAATCTCACTGATTCCAGATTTAGGGTCCGAAAGATGATTGTAAGGCCCGTTTTCATGATCGGATGAGAAGTTTTGTGGGCCTCCAATAGGCCCAGGGGTCAATTATTTGAAACCAGCACTCAACTCATTGTGCACAAGTGTGTGGGATTGACTTTGGAAAGGTAGGATTAGGTTTGTGATCAACCAATCACCTAGTCCTAGGTGGTCTAGTAGGTATCCACGTGTCTCAAGGGAGGGAAGTGTTGTTGTTGAACAATATCTATCTAGTCAATTAAACACTTTAATCAAAACTTTAATCAATCAAACAAATATAGTTATAGTATAATGTTACTTGTTATATATTGTTGATATGAATGTATTGCAACACTACAACTTCAACTACGACTACTTCCAACAACAACAACAACAACAACATTGCTGATCAGTTTGATATTATATCATCAACTTCAACGACAACAACACAGGCATCACAATCACCAAATATAATATATAGTGGACAGTTGGCACTTTGTGTCCTGTCCAAGGACTCCAAAGAGTCCAACCACATCAACCATGACCTCTTTGTAGATAAGCGTGTAGTATTAGTATCACCAAACATACTCTATTATTCAAATATCAATGTAACTATCGATCAATCAAACATCCACATCTTGTGATCACACACTGGAATCATTCCAATCAACCAATCAATCTAACCCCAACCACTGACATGACACACACAGAGCTTGGAATGCAGGGACAATTTGGTACTTTATGGAAGTAGTGTGGAACCATTCCAGACTGATGGAGCGGATGGCGAGATATTGGTATTTGATGTGATTGAGAGCGCTACGTGTTTGTTACAGTCTGGCGCAGCGGCACCACGTGTGTTCAGGTTCAAAGCGTTGGACTTGACTGACTTTAATGCATGGCTCGACCTGCTGCGCCTCTACGCCCAACAACCTGATCACTGTAAACAAACCTCCAAATCTCTGCCGCCACTAAAGAGGGCAGCCAATGAACATCACCATCGCAACTTTAATCAATCGGCACCAGCCGCTACGCAGGTGATTTATGCTGGCGAGTCGGTCGACACGCCCACCATCACCCCGCGTCCGCCCCGCGACTGGGACGAGGACGAGGTATACCTAATCGAGATGTTCCCGCAGCTTGAGGTGTCGGTGATCTTGGACGCCATTGATTTCTGTGGCAATGATCGTGATGAAGTCATCGCACTTTTAGCGGCTGGCATCCGTCTCTCATTCCAAGGCGACCTCAACACATTCTCACCAATCGACCTTGGCCATTCATTACACAACTACCAACCTGTTGGCAACAACGGAGTTGGTGGTGGACGCACTCCCAACACTGAATCCAAACTGTATCATTACCAACAATATCGCAACAAGAACAACAACAACAACACCTCGCGAGAGGTATCCAATAATTCATCATTATCAAACTGTACCAATACCAACACAAACAACACCAACACAAATACCAACAATAACCTGGACAACAATAGTACACCAACATCATTCTCCTATTCGCCAATGGCCGGTGGATCAATTGGATACTATGGTTCTTCCGACAACAAGTCATTCCTAACATTCCCAAGCGTCAAGGTTGAGTTTGGTCAACAACTGTTGCCATCGCCACCAACCACCACCACAGCGCCACATACATCATCCAACCTTCCCTCCTCCTCCTCTTCCTCCAACACCAACAACAGCGTCCCCACACTATCACTGCCACCTGCAAGTCAGTCGCGACCAATTCAATGTAATATACCAAAGAGCAAGATACACTTGTCCATAAGAAAGCGATCACCATCCAAGCAACATCAACACCATCATCATCAACATCAACAACAACAACAGACACAACATCAGACACAGACAATGGATAACATTGTCAACAACATCCAAACAACTACAACTACAGCGTCTCCTCCTCCCACACAGCCGGCCCAAGTGCCTGCCTCAATGGTCATATTTAGCAACATCAATGGGTGGCGACCATCCACCAAGACTGGTCCCGCCTGGGATCTATCCATATCCATAACAGGATGTTGTAACTTACGTACCCATACTGTAAGTTTGATTGATTGATTGATGTCCAAGACACTCACTAACTTACTATATATACAGGAATACAAGATACAGGTAAAGACAAGCTTTGCGGAATGGACAGTGTTTAGACGATACAATAACTTCTTGCTGCTTGATAAGAAGCTGCGTAGGGTAAGCAGTGTTGATAGGAAGTTATTGTTGGTGTTGCCATCCAAGAAGTTGTTGTCATTCTCCAACGAGGTCATTAGGAGTAGACAGGTATCACTACAAACATACTTGACCACATTGTTACAATCACATCCTGGTCTGTTCTACAGTGAATCCATTGTCAATCTATTCTTCAATGGTGACTTTACCTCTGACATGTTCACAGTTTCCGCTCAACAATTATAATCACTCATTCTTTCATTCATTCATTATCATCATCATCTATTAAACAAAGTTGGATATTGTACATGTACCAGGTTAGGGCAAGGGTAAGGGTAAGGGTAAGGGTTAGGGTTGGGTTTCGAGAAAGTGGGAGAATCGCAAGATTTGAAGACAATAGTATCTCTCACTTTGTTCATTCCTTCATTCATCCACTCATTCATTCAATCGTTCATATAAGATCACATGATGGATAGAACATCAACAACATCAACAACAACTACAGAAACAACAGAAACAATAGAAACAACAGATAGATGTCATATACATAGTGATTGTAAAGTTGACTCTATTTGTCTATCTTGTAGACTACTCACTTGTAAACGATGTTCGGATAATCATATGGGTCATGAGTATGCAGAGTTGGACAAGGTTAGACAGAGTAATCAAGAACATATGGGTCCGGCCATCGACCGTATCTGGACATTGGTTAGACAGCATGTTGGAATGATACGTCATCACGAAGAGCAAGAGCGATCGGTACACCGATTCTTTGAACAACTGTACAACTTTATCATGGTGGAGGAGAAGAAGGTTTCAAAGCCATTTCAACAGCAACGAGACAAGAGCATGGCGCGACTCGATGAGCTGCTTGGTCACATTGACAAGCTGACCTCTACCATGTCCACGCCGCCCACCTACACAGTGGCCAGCGATGAGAATCATCATCTCTATCACGCCGACTATGACTCTGTCTACCAAGAGTACTTGTCATCGCTGACCAACGGCGGGCGAGACGATGACAGTGATGGCGACCTCGACCAACATGATCAATCAAACACAACGCAAAGTCTACAGTCATTGCCAGCTGAACAACTCAAAGCATTGGTTGACAAGCATCAGACTATCACAGACTTTATTCAATCGAGCCGATTACAAGAAGTAGTGGGCGAAGACAATGACAAGGACAAGGACAAGGAAAAGGACATCACAACACTCCCATCAAATGTGTTTAGACAACTGCTCAAACTTGAAGCGGCAGAGTTTGCTCTGGAGACGGATAATGACGAGGAGGATATATTGTGTGGCTTTGGATTCGACGCGTCATTGTTGGAGAAGCTAAAGGCTGACTTGAAGAATGTGTACGAGGTGGACTTCTCGAGTGCACAGTCAGTGGCCACACCGCCACGCTCACAACTCTATTCACAATACCGTCTGAGCAGCATCTATCTGCTGGGCGGCTACGACTATCCCAAGTTCCACCCGCTCACCTTTGACATTTACGACCTGGCCACAGACGACTGGACCTCACGCATGACTCACGAGCTGTTCACGCCCGGCTCCTTCACGCCCTTCACCAACCCCTTCATGTCGGCAGTCAACACGGGCGATCGCATCTATTTGTTTGGAGGCGACGCCGAGTCTAGCCACTACTTTGTCTACGACCTCAAGGCCAAGGCCTGGGAGAAGCCCATTGCACGCCGGCTATTGTCGGCGGGCGGCATGGGCATCTCGGCCTGCTACGACGGACAACGCTACATCCATCTGACTGGCGGCTACAGTCACCAACGATGTCTGGACCGCGTGGACCGGTTCGACGTGTCCACTGGCGAGTTCATACTAAACGTTGGCAAGCTTGTCGAGCCACTCTACAACGCATTCACCTTCTGGCATGACTCGCACCTCTTTGTCATTGGCGGATGGCATGATCGACGCGAGGGCACCAACAATCCCACCCTGGCCATGTACCATCTCAGCACCAACAACATACTCTCTACAATCTCAAACAACAATGACAACTCAAACAATGGTGGTGGATCACTCAAAGACTCTCAAGGATCAGGATCAGGATCAGGCTCAGGATCAATCAGTAATAGTATAAGTGAACAGAGTCTGGTGTCATGTGTGGACTTGAAGTGCACGTCTGGTGTGGAACGAGCATGTTTCGATCCGATACAAGGCAATGTTTACTATATGGGCTCGGATGAAGTGTTGTTCAGGATCAATGTGGAGACGGAAAAGGTTGAGATACTACAGCCCGTTCCACTAAGCTTTGAAGAGTCTGAAAAAGGTATACATGGAGCATCATTAATATTTGGAATGGACAATAATAATGGATCGAATCTACATCTCATTGGTGGAAACATCAACTTTGTCTATCAAGTCAGCAGTGCAACCTGGAAACGACTTCAATCGCCTCCAACCGATTCAACGTGGCAATCAGCAACAGGTGTCACTAATTCACTCACTCAATCACTTACATAAATTGGACATCATATCACGTGTCCGATGCAAGGCCCATCGATGGATTGATCTGATTGATTGATTTTGGATGTGGGGTGGGTCCATTGAGGACCAAGTTGCAAAAATGGATTTTGTAGGTTTGGTGGGCAAACGGGGTGGTTTGGAGATTGTTGATGCTTGGCTTGGGTTGGATCAATGAATGAATGTGAGTTAGATTGTTAGTTAGTGAAAGAGTGAGTGAGAGTTAGATACATTGTTGTATCTGTTGTGTACAATGACAACAGATACGTCTAATACGACATCGACATCAACAAATACGACAACAGCAACGACAACGACGACAACTTGGAAGTCACATCACATGAGTGTATCACTGGCAGCGAGTACATCAGTCGATCACTCATTATCATCAATGTCATCAACAACAGTAACAACAACAGATAACAATCAAATAGATGGAGGCGCGGCGACCAATGCACAGGGAAGCGCAGCAAGTGCATCTTCACCAGCAGCCAACAACATCAACAACAAGAAAGTGACAGCAGTTAACATTTGTACATTGTTAGAGGCGATAAAGAAAGATGACAGGGAGTTTATAATGGAGTTTTGTAGGATTAATGTACGAGTGATGGCAAAGCTGGATCTGAGAGATAGTGACGGCCGAACACCACTTCATCACTGTGTCGAGTACGATGCCTACTCGTCTCTCGAAGTCTTTCTCACACAGACCAACCTGCTCAACGACATTGTGCACAGGGATCGCGACGATTGGTCCCCTCTACACTATGCCGCACTCTTTGATCGCATCGAGTGTGCCCTCCTTCTGATACAGCATCAGGTCAACATCAACGCGCCCACGAACGAGTCATGGACACCATTACATGTCTGGTATGTTTATAGCTGTGCACTTACCTGTCGCGATCACTACCCTCATTGACTAATTCAATCAATCAGTGCTTGGAGAGGACATTCAGACTTTGCTGCGATGCTCATTGAGAAGAAGGCAAAGCTGTCGTTGAAGAATAAGCAGGGACTGACAGCTCAACAGTTGGCATTGAACTCCTATCACTTTGCTTTGGCCAATGAGATTGGTGAGGCATTACAGACAAGGGACGACGATGATCATCTCTCAAACATCATCACAGACGAGCTATCACAAGAGATCTTGGCCACAATACAACGTGGCGAAGTGTTGACCCTGGACACATCAATGTAAGCGAGATAGAGTCGATGTGATGGCCTTGCATGTGTCGCACTGACTAACTGATATCCCCACACGACAGCAACTACAATAATGTTAGAGATATACAGGGTATCACTGCTCTGCACTTGTGTGCACTCCATGACATGGCAGAGACGGTGGTACAGTTGATGGAGCGAGGTGGAATGCATGTAAATATAGTAGACAACAATGGAAGAACTCCCTTGCACTATGCCGCGTATGCCGGCAAGATCGACGCGATGAAGGCACTGATTCAGCATGGTGCCATTGTAAATATTAGCCTTGGAAACACGGTGGTTGTCGGCTCGTCCGCCGCCGCCAACGCCGCCAACATTGGTGGAAAGGTACGCAAGGAGTACGGCATCACACCCCTGCACGAAGCGGCCTCGAGCGGACATGTCAAGGCCGTGGCCTTGCTCTGTGCCAATCAGGCCCAGGTCAACGCTCGATCATACTATGGCACACCCCTGCACTACGCTGCATCGATTGGCGCAGCTGACTGCGTTCGCTTCTTGTTGGAGAATGGTGCCGACATTAGGATACGATCGGATCAGGGCATGACACCGCTGCACGTGGCCGCCTTCCATGGATGGACAGAGTGCATCACCACGCTGGTGGCGGGTGGCGCTGAGGTCAACTCCAAGTGCGAGGATGGCAGCACACCATTGCTCAAGGCGACACTTGGTGCATCTGGCTCCGAGACCAAGGAGCACAACCTGCAATGTATCAATTCGTTGTTGGAGCGAGGTGCTGATCCAAACATCCCCAACGATCAAGATGAAACAGCACTACACTTTGCCGTCTATTATGGTCTGGCGGAAATTGCACAGGTACTCATTGGACGTGGCGCCAACCTAGAGGCACGCGACAAATGGGGCGAAACTCCACTCCACAAGTCGGTGTACCAGAATCAAAACAGGACTCTCGAGTTGCTGATTGGAATGGGCGCTAGGATGACTGCAAGCAACTATGAAGGCGAGACAGCACTTCATGTGGCCGTGCGCAAGAGTGCCTCTGAGTGCACACACTCACTTGTGGCCAAGAACGCGCCGCTCGACTCACTCAACAAGTACGGCGAAACACCCCTTCACTACGCCTGCATCAACGGCTCGATCGAGTTGACAATGTTATTCCTGGAGAAGGGCGCCACGCCCCATCTACCCGATGCACAGGGCGACATCCCATTGATGGTAGCACTGCGCAAGGGATACACAGAGATCGCATTGGCATTGATCAGATGGGGTGTTCAAGGAGGCAAGAAGACCAGCGAGATGGCGACACGTGACTCATTCTCAGGCGAAGTCAGAGAGTCTCCACTCGTCTCGCCCATGCTACTCCCCAACCACTACAACGAACATGCACTTCATCCTGCTGCAATGGCTGGATACAACGATTGTGTACTGGCATTGCTTGGAGTGGGTGCTGACATCAATGAGAGCGAGTGCTATGGCAACACACCCTTGCATGGCGCATGCTACAGTGGCAATGCAGACCTCGTCGACATGATGATCAATATGGGTGCAGACGTCAATCGAACGAATAAGGATCATGTCACTCCACTGCATGTGGCTGCACTATGTGGACATTCGAGAGTGGTCGAGGTGTTGATGTCCAAGAATGTCAACTGCAATCGATGTGATCGCAATGGAAACACACCACTACACTGTGCATCGTTGGCAGGTGATATCAACTCAATCACCTTAATGCTACAATCCAATGAAGTATCAATCGATGTCAAGAACTCCAAGCAATGGACTCCACTACATATGGCATCATCAGCTGGACATCTAATGTAAGTTAGTCCTCCATATCATACTTCAATCATTCAAATACTAACAATCAAAATCATATGATAATCATTAGATGTGCAAGGTTCTTAATTAATAATGGCGCCAATCCTAGTATTAAGGATATATCTGGAGATACTGCATTTGATATTGCCAAGTCGTCTGGACATATTGACACTGCAGCCTTCCTAAGGAACATTAAGCCAAAGAAGGCTTTGAAGCTGTTTGGCAACTAGTTAACTGCGAGAGATATAGCCAGCCAGCCATGGCCCATGGGCCAAGCTAGGCCTTCGATTTATTTATTAATGATTCCACACAACGACCAACATCCCATCAGGCACACATCCAAAGCCCCCAACCTTGTATTATAATAAACACGATCATTGAATGATCAACGACCATCACCTCGGGTAATACTATATCGTATTCTGATTTACTGAAGAGTTGGACAGCTGTATCAATGAGTTTACAATCTTTAGAAGGTTCTTCAATCCAAACAGATATCCTTCATCAATATTGTTGTTGTTGGTATTACTACACTCTGATGTTGATGTTGATAATGATGATGTTGAAGTTGATAATGATGGTGATGTTGGTGTTGACTTGTCATGAATGCCATTATGAATGGTCGGACTGGCATGTGCAAAGTCCACCATCTTGATGCTTAACTTGGCGTCTTGAAGATTGTTACTGCTGCCATCGTAGATGAACAACAATGAACCACCGTAGAACTTGTAGCATTGTTGTTGTTCAAACAGTGTGACAAACTGTGCCAACCTCTTTGAAATGGCCGTCAGCAGCTCAGTCCTAAGTCTAACGCCATTGTCTAGGAACTTGCATATGACCATCGGTACATCATTGGCTCGCAACTGTCTGCCATAATATTTATCAAACGCTTGATACTCTGAAGTGTTCTGGTCGAATACCTTTAGACCACATACTCTGAAGCCTAGTGCAGAGGATGTTGTGGCACGACATTTTTGTTCCATCTTTGTTATCTTCTCAATTGGTGAATTGACTCCATGTTGCCTCGTTCCCATCTTTAGATCAAGTATACATGGATGTTTACATAAGAATGTCAAGTCTTCTATCTTTATATACACTATATATAGTTTGATTGATTGATTGACATGTTAGGAAATATGAATGAATGATATATGGAATAGTTCCATCCAAACTTACAATTCTGATTCTCCTTTGGCATCTTTACAAGTTTGTTCCTCCAGTGATCATAGTCGAATATTGAAGAGGATGAACTGTTCTTGCATGATTGTTCCAGATAGTCGTGATCCAATGATTTGAGGTCAATCACACCATAGTACTTGGGTGTAAAGTCCAAGAACTCGGGATGTGACTCCAATGAGTTGTAGAATTGATACTCTGTCGACACCAGAGGCTTCAGCACCTTGCCATCCGGCAGTTTGAACAGTGGTGCTTGACCGGCAACCTGATGTGACAGCAAGTTCAAGTCTGGTATTGACACTGATATACTTCTTTTTCTGTTACTTGGTGGCAGTAGTGATGATTGTTGATCTTGGTCTCCTTCCTCCTCTGTCTTGTTGGCTTCTTCTTCGAATGATGGTGGTGTGATTGATATCATTGGCATTGTCGGTTGAGATGGTGGTACTGCTGCGGCTGTCACTACATGTGATGGCGAATTCATTGAAGGTGGAGACGATTGTTGTTGAAATGGTTCAAACACTGACATGAAAGTTGGTGATGTCGACAGAGATTGTGATATTCTATTTCCGCTATGATTGATCTCTATTGGTTTGGTATGACAGACATGATAGTCTTTGTTCAAGTCAAGTATTGAGCTACCTTGTGAATGTGATGATGTTGATAATGATGATGTTGAAGGAGGTGTAATATACATTGTGTTTCCGCAATGACTACTACTAATTCCTCCATTATAACTACTACTACTATTCATTATTGTTGCCATTGTTTCATTGATATCGTTATTATTACAAACTTGATATGAAGTTGTAAGAGTAGGTATCATATTAATGTTGTTATTTAGAAGCTCCACTTTTAAAATTACTATTATCTGTTTTGTTTAAATAAATAAATATTACTATTATTGTTGTTATTATTATTATTATAGGTTTGTATCTGTACTGTTTGTTTGTTTTGAATGAAATGGAATAATGAGAAACATTAATACTTTCAGATCTTTTTATTCTTCAAGGTCAAACAAACTTCTGTTCTTCTCTTGCTTTTGTTTGTTTGTCTCAAAACAACAACAATGTTTGCAAACAAAAATCATTCATTTCTCAAAAACTGAGCAATTACTTACTTGTAGAGATATATGTATTAATAATGTTTATATGAATTGATGAATGAATGAAATTGAATTGAATTGAATATAGTCACACTATTCTCACTTTGAAATTGAATCGCATTCACTTCAATGTTGGGAATGGTGTGATGATGTGGTCGTGGTGATGTGAGTTGGTTGTTGGATTGGGGGTTCTGTTGTTGTGTGGTGTGTGGTTCGTATGATCGAGTATGATTGTGTGTGTAAGGTGTGTGAGTGTATATTCGTGGTCTACAGTATGACCCCCATTATCATCATATATATATTATATCGGCATGTTTATTGACCTTCTTCAATCAATCAATTAATTAATCAATGAATCAATCAAATTAATCATGGCTCATAAAATGATCCATCATCGCTCCAAACAATGCAAAACCTACACATCCACCTGCTGCCGCTTTAGGTCCGGCTGTATTCAAACATGACGTGTGTTAGTCCTTTTGATGTCCTACCACTGAGTCGATCGAGATAAACATACCTTTTCCTGCCAGTACTGCGCCAGTTGCACAACCTGCGTATAGTGCGTTTAACTTGTCTGAACGACCACGAGCCTTCTCAATGACACATTCGGTGCCACTGTACATCAGTGTGATCAGTGCGAATGACTTGGCACTGCGAATACCTGCGCGACCTTGCTCCTTGAATCCATCGATAACCTGCTTCCACATGGGCGCCGGTGTAGTCGGCTCGATGAAGCCACTGTTTGGCGAGAACAGCGCACCAAAGAAGAATCCAAGTCCACCACCCATCACACCGCCTCTAACTGCGGCTGTTATACAACTGTTCATAATCATAGCACCTGTCGCATCATAAGGTGGTATATTTCTTAATATAAGGCACAGCCAACYTTTAGATTGATATCCTCTCGCAGCAGACTCAATGCAAATGCGTTAGCTTCCTTTTTCAGCTCCTCCATCGTCTTTGGTTGTTGAGGTTTGTTGATTCATATCTCTATCTCTATCTCTATCTGTATGTATGTGTATTATGTATGAATGTAGTATATATATATAATTATACAATGTTGTGTTTGTTATCAATAAATGAATGAATGAATGAAGACGAGTTGATTACGCAAGATTGTTGCCGAGTCCCATAAATTGAGATTGGTTTTTTCATTGCCAGATTCGTTCGTCAAACATCAACCAGGTACAAAGTTGTTGACTTCATTCGTTAATTCATGAGTTTAATAATAACAATATTAATTGTAAAGATAGATAATATATAATATATAATAATGGCTTGGGGAACATTACTTAATAGTGAGGAACAGGCAAAGGCTCAGATAACAGCATTGACACAACAACTTAGAAGAAATGCAATTCAATCAATGTTCCTCATTCAATCATTCGTGACAGTGACACCAGAGTCTGCTGCACTCATCAGTGATGCACTTCAATCAAACACCTCCCTAACCGAGTTAAACCTAAGTGGTCATAACCTAGGTGTTGGTATGTTCACTCAAACAATCAATCAAACAAGTTTGAATACATACTTATACAATCACATTCTTAGATGGTTGCAAGGCATTGAGCAATGCTATCAAGTCACATGGAGGATTGACACGTGTATCTTTGGGACATGAGACATTGGGATCGGATCATGATCAACTTGAATTGTTGATGGATGGAATGTTACAATGCAAGTCATTGTTGCATATTGATTTGGCAAAGAGATCATTCAATGCATTGAGTATGAAGATTGTGGAGAAGTATGTAGTGGAACATGTTAATATTACAATGATAACCAGTTTGGATCTATCCCAGAATGCATTGGATAATGAATCATTGTCATCACTCGCTCGTGTACTCAATCATACCAAGGTCAACAATCTAAATCTTTCACTCAACTCATTTGATCACAATGGATTGGAATCATTCGTGGACATCATCCTACAACAGTCGTCTACCAAACTAAACTTGATCAACTTGACAGGCAATCAACTTGGTAATGGAGGTGGGCAACAAGTCGCCAGATTGATGCAAGCCAACAGATTGCACGAGGTTGAGATCAATGAATGTCATATTGGCGACGAGGGCGCCAACGCACTCGGCCAAGCTTTGGTCCAATGGCAGGGACTCCACCTTGCCGCGTCAGAGAATGCTGGATTCTCCAATGGACTCGCATTGGGCATCAGAGAGGCACTCAAGTCCTCATCACAGGTCCAACCTGGACAACTAAGTCATCTAGCATTGCGCGGATGCAACATTGGAGATGAGGGCGTCATGGCCATCGCCGAAGCAATTCAAGGTGGACGTTTGCCAAAGCTGACTGTATTGGACATTGCTGTAAACTCACTGACATTGCAAGCATTGCAGGCAATTGGTACAGTGCTGATGGCAGACAACCCCAGCACAATTATCAGTCTCGACATTAGTTGCAATGATCTTGGTTTGCCTGGTGTGGAACTAATTGGACAATGGTTACAATCAAACAAACTACAATCCCTTGAAACATTATCATTGAACAAGATCAACATTGGAATTAATGGACAACTTGCCCTTTGCAAATCACTCACCAAGTTCCCTGCCTCACTCAAGATCATCGAATCCATGGGCAACTCTGGCAATGTAGAAGAGAGTGACGATGACTTCCTCGACGCACTCGATGACCTCTACGAAGAGACCATCATTGACTTTAAGTGGAAATAATAATAAGTAAACGATTTGGATCAGTCAACCAATCTTTTTGAAGATGGCAGATGACAACTTTTTTTTTTCATTCTTGTTTTCAAACCGACAAAAAATCTCAATGATGAAAAAGTCGAACAAAAACTTGCCATCTCCCACTCAGAGTGATGATACTTCGTTTTCTAGTTAAACAGAAATGTGATGATGTCGAGTGTGTGGCGATGCATTGCACCACAATGTAATCAATGGGAGGTTGCAGTACTCTGGCACAAGCAGGACATCCACCCTATTATTGCGGAACAACATCATTACAACCACAAACACACCAATCTATTTACATTTATTCATGTTCATTCATTCATTCATTTATTCATTATTCGTTTATATTATACAAATATATATATTACTATTATTTATTTATACTTTGTATAAGTACACATACCTACCTCACCTCTATCATCATTGATTGATTAAATGATATAGTCTCACGAGAGACATAAAAGACACAACAATAGATACATATACAGATAGACAAAGAGGGAGTAGTAGTAGTAGTAGTAGTAGTAGTAGGAAGATGAATAATATATATTATATACAATTATCTATATTGGCTATATTCATTGCCAATATATTATATAGTTGGTCATTAGAAGGCAAGAAAGATGTTGATTGGATACATCATCATATTGGTATATTCGGTGTCTATATCTTTATTGCATCAATACTCTACTTTGCAGGATTCTTTGTAATGATATTACTAAGTTTCACTGACTTTTTAAATGATAACAATAGTAATAATAACATTAATAATAGTAATAATAATAGTAATAATAGTAATAATAAGGAAATTAATAAGTTTAGTAAACTATTTATGAATATTGATCGTAGAGCTATACGTGCAATTGCATCTCTATGTTTGATAGTCACTATTTTCCAATTTTTAAGCGACACCGATGCATCACTTGAGCGTCATGGTCAGTACAACCTAATCATCCTTGTTGGTATCGAGATCCTATATACATCAATAGCATTATTCTGGATCATTACATTAAGGTATGTCATCATTCATCATCAACCCTCAACCCTCAACCCTCAACCCTCAACCCTCAACCCTCGCCTCGACCCTCGACCCTCGACCCTTGACTCTAACCCTCAAACCTCGAATTACTTCAGATTCTTTAAGTTTAGAAACATTGTAATATCATTGATAGTTGTTGGATTTGTGATTGGTGCTGTGTTTCAATCAAAGAGGACAGAGTCTGTTAGACGTTGGCCTGTTGGAATTGATGGCAAACAGTTTATGTTCTCGGGTGATAAGGGTCAATGTCAGATTATAACAGACTTTACACCGTGGCCTGACTTTATACCAAAGGGCTTCACAAAGTACTTGGTGGGCACACAGAGCTGTCCTCGTGACAAGCCCTTCTCGCATCTGTCGGCCGATCACATGCTGACGATTGAGTGTGGCGATGGCGAGGAAGCTTCGTTCACACAGTCGCCAAACTTCTTCACCGCCATGAAGGAGCACAATACATTTGGTCGTGAGCTGCGGCCACTCGACGAACTATACTCGCCACAACAGACCGTCACACCCTACAAGGCAGGCGAACCAGTGAGAGTACTCGACGAGACTGTAGTGGCCACGTGTGGCCAGCGACAAGAGGTCCACATGCAAAACGTAGCCAAGGACAAGGTGTTGGAGCGAGCATCACATTTTAAGCAGTCGACTGCGACTGCCGCGACAGGGACTGCGACTACAGCCACAACAGCCTCGACCAAGCCAATCAATATATTGTTTATGATGATCGACGCGTTGTCCCGCGCACACTTTAGACGAGCTCTACCAAAGACATTCGATCGCCTGCAGGCGATTCAAGACGCTGGACACTCGACCGTGTTCCAGTTCATGCGCTATCATTCGCTCAAGCCCTTCACCGACCCCAACACAATCGCCATGTACACTGGCTACAACTCGCTCAACTACAATCATGAGTTTGACAGCGAGCTCGCCGCCAAGCACAAGCGGGCGCCACACGACTGGACTCGCGACCCGCTCTACTTCCAATCGTTCAGGAACGACAGCTACTCCACCGCCTGGGTGTACGGCTTCTGCGAGGACTGGTTCCAAGCCTACCTCTTCAAGAACAAGCCGGCCGACGTGATCGATCACGAGCTGGTGTTGCCGTTCTGCTCGCCTGAGGCCTATCCCCCACAGCAGCCTTTTGGCAACTTTGCCGGACCCTACTCATTTAAGCGTCGATGCATGGGCAACGAGATGATACATCGTCGCGTCTTTGACTACATCAATCAGTACTGGGACAACTACCGTACGGTGGGCAAGATAGTGCACGCTACGATAATGGATGCCCACGAGGGCACCATGGATGTCATCAAGTTTGCCGACGACGCATTCTCAGATTTCGTCGGCGACGAGATGGCCGCACGCTACAACGACACATTCATGATTCTGGTCGGCGATCACGGCTCACACATGGGACCGTACTATCTTTGGGCACCTGGTGGTCATGTAGAAGTGGCCATGCCTGCTTTATACTTTGTGCTACCCAATTGGTTCTTGGCAGCACATCCCGAAGTCAAGACCATGTTATTGGCCAACGAGAACAAACTGTCGACACCATTCCTGCTCTACGACACATTACGAGCATTCTCCAAGTATCCAGAGTTTGGAGGCATTGATCTACAAGACATCCACGATCAAAGGACATCAAAAGGACTACTCTCTACCATACCAGACGATATATCCTGTCAAGATCTTGGTATACCCTATGACTTTTGTCAATGTCATTGATTGATTGATTGATCGGTGCACTAATAATAATAATTTAGTTGTAGACTTTACATGTTCATAGATATTGTACACATCATTTGATCATTACAACAAACATTCTTAGAATGAAAGTCGAAACAATCAAGTCAATCAATCACTTCATCGCAGTGACTCAGCCTGATTTGGGATGTGCCCCCAAGAGTGACTTTCCATTCTTCTTCACACTCTCTTGAGAGGTTCATTTAATTAATCATTTGACTCACTTCACCATTATCAAACATATAATATATATTCATACTTATACATACATACATATTTATATACATACTCATACATACTTAAAACTTGATAATGAAGAAATTGTTGTTTAAATTGGCTGGACAAGATCCTGGTGATCAGAATAATGCTGGACAGGATCAACCAATGGCTGAACCTGAGGCACCAGCTGCACCAGCAGACTCTGCTGATGATCTGAGAAGGAGGAGAATGGAAAGGTTTCAACAGTTGGAGTTACAGGAGCAACAACTTCAAATGCAACAGCAACAGCAACAGCAACAAAAGTCACCATCACCCCAAGCACCATCATCACCTGTTCACAAACCTGTTGTTGCAGCTACATCACCAACTGCTACAACTACAACCACAACTAAGAGCACTACATCACCTGCTGCTACTGCAGCTGCTGTTACACCATCAAAGCCTGTTACACCAACTCAAGTCAAGAGTCCACAAGCACCAAAGATTGTTCAATGTGATGTGCCAATGACAGAGTCAGACTATTTCGTCCTCGAGAAGATACTATTAATCTACTTGAAGCCAACTGTATGTGTGTCTGATCGATCAATCAATCACTCAATCACTCACTCAATCAATCAATCATACTTTATTAGAATGAGAACAAAGCAGTATATCTTCAATCAATGGCTAATGACTTGAAGAATGAGATGCAAAGCAATGGCACAAGTTGTTTGAAGTTGGACAGTGAGTTGTTGGACAGGTTCATCGTGGAGCGATTGTCGACACAGACCAACTATCCAGCGGTGGAATACTTGATCGGTTGTTACAATCGCGCAAAGACAGAGTGTAGGAAGAAGAATAGATTCTTCACGATCGACGCCACACTCGAGACCAATCTGACCGAGCTGGTCATTCGCTACTTGGGCATCGTGTTGACCATCCCCGACATGTTCCAAAACTCCACCAGCATCCATGGCAAGGGACCCATGCAGCTACTGCCCCATCTCAACGGTGACAGTGTCGAGGAGATAACATACGAGTTCCTTCAATCATTCTTGGAGCTCTATCAAGAGGATAAGAGACAGGTATGTATAGTAAAGCGGATGCTCATTGGCCTGGACTTGGGCCATTACTAACAACCATGGAACAATCAGATCTTCGAGCCACTGTTCACACAGATATCGACCAAGATGGTGCAACTCTCATTGATTGGCAACTTCATGCCATACTTCAAGGCCTTCTCTACACTCATCCAATTCAAACAGATTGCAGACATTGTATGTTCCTGCCGCCACTAATTCATTCAAGATGTAGTCCATCACTAACCATCCCTCAATCAATGAATGGATAACAGTTTATAACATCACAATACTGGAATCCACCACAGAACAATGGAGCTCAGATGGAGAATGCAACATTGTTGGGAGCATTCTTTGCACCGAGCGCAATATCAAAGGATAATGTCATATTGATGCACTACTTTAAGAACGCATCAGAGATGAATCAGACCAATATCAGGGATGCATTCACATCCATTCAAGCATTGCTGAAAACCTATCATGCAGGTGTTCATCAGCTGGTTCGCTCTTTGCTCAAGTCATCGCCCGAGGCCAAGGAAGCCTTCCTCGTATGGATATGCTCAGCGATCGACAAGAACTTTGGCCGCACCAAGTTGAACGTTGACGCGGCCACCACGGCCTCGGACGGCTTTGCCCTCAACCTCTGCGCCGTGATGATATTGTTGTGTGAGGCGTTTGTGGACGTCACCTTCTCCAAGGTGTCTTCGGTCGACACCAACTTCCTCCTGGACAGTCCAAGACATAACCTCACAGAGTACACACGTCTGATGGCCACCTCTGACGAGGTTCAAGAGTGGAAGGAGAAGAAGCTCCTCATACCCACCCTCCCAGCCAACTTCATCACCGAGTGTTTCTTTGTCGCTCTCCGATGTATCCACATTGGTCTTAACTCATCATTCACAAAGATCAAGAATATTACAAGGAATCTAGACGTATGTTATGTTATGTTATCAATCGCAGTCCATTTCGCCAATGTACTCACTCAATCAATCATTCCAATCAATCAATAGTATCTTGAGGGACAGAAGAGAACACTCGAGGAGACAAAGTCAGCATGGCAAAATGTAAGTTGATCAATCATTCAATCAATCAATCAATTGATCAGCCTGACTGACAATTTTAATGCCTAGACTCCACAAGGTCGCCAGAATGAAGCCCGTCTCCAAATGTTGAAGAAACAGGAGGATCACATCAAGGGTCTTCTCTTTGCATCAGAAGCTCAGTTGTTCGAGACAACCTTCCTCCAGAAGACATCCTACTTCCTGATCTTCACTTGCAAGTGGCTTCAAAAGGTCATCAATCCAACAAACCAAAAGTATGTTACCAATCAATCAATCATTCAATCAATGAATGAGTGACATGGTCTAATCAAACATCCTCCACACCAGGCTTCCACTCCCTCCAACTCCACCTCCACAGTTTGCAGCATTGCCAGAGTTCTGTATTGAGGATGTTGTGGACTTCTTTGAGAGTGTATCAATGTACGCTTCACACGAGCTTGAGCGTCTACCATTGGAGCACTTGATGGACTTCCTCATCACTGTGTTGGCCACACCAGAGTACATCAAGAACCCATACCTCAAGGCCAAGATCGTAGAGATCATCTCTCGCTTCCTGCCCCAGAAGAACCGTCCAAACAACGACCATCTGGTATCACTGTTTGAGTGCAGCGAGTTGGTCAAGGACAACCTGATCCCCGCCCTGATGCGCTTCTACGTCGACATTGAGTTCACAGGCTCGCACAACCAGTTCTATGAGAAGTTCAACTATCGTTACCAGGCCAGCAGCATGCTCACCTACCTCTGGGAGAACCCGTTCTTTAAGAACAAGATCATTGCCGAGACGCGCAAGCCAGAGTCATTCCTGCGTTTCAACAACATGGTGCTCAACGACTCGATCTATTTGCTGGACGAGTCTCTGGCCAAGCTTGCTGAGATCAGGAACTGCCAGGCGATGTTTGAGGACCCCTCGTGGCAGACCATGCCAGAGGATCAGAAGCGTGAGAAAGTCGAAGGATTCCATCGTTACGAGAGTATCGCCCGTTCCAGTCTCCAACTGGGTGGTAACAACATCAACATGTTGCGCTTCCTCTCCCAAAAGGTGATTGAACCCTTCATGCGTCCAGAGATCTTGGACCGTATTGCCGCAATGATGAACTACTATCTCTCCCAACTCGTTGGACCAAAGTGTACAGAGCTAAAGGTAATGTCTATTTGATTGATTGATGGAGTAAGGACCGATGCTAACATCACGCGCACACACATATAGGTCAAGGAGCCAGAGAAGTATGCATTCAATCCAAAGCAGTTGCTTCAGCAACTGACTGATATCTATGTATATCTGTCAAAGGATGAGCGATACATCAGAGCACTGGTAAGGGATGGCCGTAGTTTCAAGATTAGTATGTTCCAGACTGCCGACAAGATCATGAGGAGAGAGAGATTGAAGAGTGAGGACGATTTAGATCGCTTCAGCGATTTGATCAAGAAGCTGGAGAAGGCACACCAGGAGGAGGAGCAGGAAGAGGAGGATCTTGGCGAGGTGCCCGATCACTTCCTGGATCCAATCATGAGCACTATTATGCGCGACCCAGTCCTGTTGCCCACTAGCAAGAACATCATTGACCGATCCACTATCGTGCGTCATTTGCTCAGCGACCAAACCGACCCATTCAATCGAAACAAGCTCACTGAGGACATGCTCTTACCTGCCACTGAGCTAAAGGAGGAGATTGAGGCTTGGATCAAGTCAAAGAAGCAGGCCAAGATGCAGCAATAAGTAGTGTGTGTTACCAATCAATCAATCAATGAGTTTTCTTGAATCATTAAACTGTCACATTTATACAAGTTGTTGTTGTTGTTATTATTGTTGTTGAATATGGCTGTATTCTTTGGACACACAACCACTTGACAGTCTGATGGATGTTTGTTCCCATCAGGTATTGTTGTTGTGTTGTGTTGTGTTGTCATCTGTAGCTGCTGACGCCGCTGCCCATGAGTGATGTGTGTGCTTGAAACCTCGTCAACTCCAACTTGTTATGCTGAGACGACTGGCGCGGCGGAACTGTACAGTACCATGTCATTGCGGACACGACAGGCTATCATAAAGACGATCATTCGCAGTAGGAACAGTGGTGAATACAGCTGAGAGATGATCTGAACAAACATTGACAGTCCATCCAAAAAGACAAACAGTGAGAGCAATATCGGTTTGTTCTTGGACACTGCATATACGCCCATTATATCCGAGAGTATGACCAATATCAGCATCAACAGCATTGAGTTAAAGTGCATGATCTGGGCCATCAACAGTGCACAATAGAATACCTCGCACGTGATCAACGACACCAAGAACTTCCTAAAATGGTAAAGATGATTGATTGATTGATTGAGTGAGTGAGTGAGTGATTGATCATTTGTTGGACATGATGTAAGAGATACAAACTTTCGTCTATATGTTTCAAATCCTCCATTCTGGAATCCATCATACATGCCGTATGACTCGAGATAGATGTGATCTTGATCTTGTAGTGTTGATGGTATGCCATTTTGATTGTAGTGTTGCAGTAGGATGTCTGGATCGGCCAATCCTGCGTACAGTCCATTGGGATCGTGCTCGCCAGTGCTTGTGTGATGGTAGAACTTTGTCTCGTTGAGACCCAACGACACCTTGCCATCGGGATGTCTGATCACCAGCGTGTCCTTCTCCTTGAGCTGTGCATTCTCCCATCGCGTCGACAGAGTGGATGGGAAGGGGAAGTGTGACGTTGTTGATGGCAATGGCGGTGAGGTGGTCACTGTCGCCACAGTTGCCGTTGATGTGTTGGACATGGTGCCTCCAATTGACATTGAACGAGGTAAGTTTGTGTTTCTATTTACAGAGCGTGTCGTGCGAATGATGTCTCGCCAGTTTGTCAGTGTTGGTCTGTAGCCCGATTCGAATGGGTTGTCCAGTTGAGGATCTTCCTCCCCATCATCATCAAACATTGAGCGTGAAGGATTGAATTGAATGATTGTATCACCAACACCAGTTGGTGGTTGTTGTTGTTGTTGTAACAGAGTTGTAGTAGCATCACTATCTATATCAACTTCATCATCATCTTGATCGACAACGACATCATTATTATTGCTGCGGTTGTTGTTGTTGGTGTTGATGTTTAACATTGACGATGATGATGAATCATTTTCAACAATATCTTCATTTGATAGATGATCATCATCATTTGTAATAGGTAGAACCATATATTTCTTCTTTGCCATTCTCTCTCTATATATTATATATAAGTATCTATCTATCTATCTCTATATACTCTATGTGTAACAATACAAACAAATAAACAAACAAACCAAAGTCACATTCTCACAACATTGGGCTAATGTTCGCGAATTTATTGAACCCCCCACCTCATATTTTTGCTAGTAATGACGTTGATGCTCAAACTACACTAGTTTGTGTTGTGCTCAGTTCCATCCAATCTCGGATAATGAATCATTAACAAGATTAATCTTATTATATAATTATATATATATATATCTCATTTTTTATATTAATATAAAACTACATATATATATATAATCTACTGATTGAAAATAAGGGAAATGATTTGGTCTTGACTTTGACCGAATGATAAATCAAAAACCAATCAAGAGCCCAAACATCAAGTGATTTCTGTGAATAGCTTCAATTTGAGTTGATTTTTTATCAACAAACAAAGAGGTGTTTCATTGTCTCATCATCACCTGAGTCTTTGAAGCTAGATTGAGGGGGCTTGGGTGTTGTTGAGTGATCTACGGGTAGGCCTTGCATATGACCCAAGTCACATCACATCACTTCATTCACATATTCACACATATACTTATAAATACTTTCATATACTTACTTATATATCTATTTATAAATCTTTATATCTCGCTACAACAGTCTTTTGAAAGAAATGGATGTAACACCTGCCACCACAACAGACTACTCGTTGCTTCAAAAGGAGATTGAAGATTACAAGAAGCGTATGGCAGAGGTCATCGCTGCCAATGAGAAGCTCAGTGAAGAGTTGCAACGTGTCAGAGTGGACAATGAGTCACTCAATGTAAAATATGAAGAGTTGAGGAAGAAGACAACTACATCAACTGGTGCTACTGGTGCTACTGGTACTGCTGCCAAGACTACAACAACTACTACCACCACAACTACCAAACAATCAACGTCATCATCAAATCTTGCCACAGGATTGTCTCCTGTAGGCAAGTCAACTATTGCGAGCAAGTCAACAACTGTATCCACTCCGGACAAGAAGCCAACTACCTCGTCGACGACGACAACTACTCCAAAGTCAAGTCCTTCAATCACCAAGACATTGTCTTCATCAAAGTTGGTATCACCATCGGTCACTCCAACCAAGCCATCATCATCATTGGCCAGTGCATCGAGCTCATCACCCTCAACCAAGAGCGTCATCCCAACTGCCAAACCATCCACATCATCACCATCTGTTGTCAAGGTTAAGCCTGCCACTACATCGACAACATCAACAACCTCAACCACATCAACCACATCAACTCCACCCAAGGCATCCACTATTGTCAAGCCTGTAACAGCAAAGACAACTACAACATCTACCACTTCAACAACATCCACTGCTGCCAAGCCTGTAACAGCAAAGACAACCACGACCACCACAACCACAACAACAGCGTCATCGGTCGTTGCCAAGCCAACCACAGGAGCATCAAAGCCAGTGACTGCCACCACCGCGGCCAAGCCCTCAACTGTTACCAAGCCATCAGCAACAGCTGTCAAACCAGCCGTCTCCTCCATCAAGCCATCCAATATCGTCAAGCCAGTCACTGCTGTAAAGGTATGATTGATCAATCAATCGGTCACGCACATGTTCAAAATCTTACGCCGATCATCTTATCTATTTAGACTGCTGCCACCAAAGACAGTGCTATCAAGCCAATCAAGGCTGCAACAACCACCACAACCTCTGCCCCTGCAGCTCCAGTATCGGCCCCAGTCACAGCCCCAGCTGCCTCCACAAATGTTGTAGTTGAGGAAATCAAGGCAGAGCCTATTGTTGTCCCTGCTGCTGTTGTAGAGGAGCCAAAGCAGGTTGATGAAGAGCCAAAACAAGAGGTAGCCCCAGTTGAGGAAATCAAAGAGAATGGTATCAACTCACATCCAGTCGAGGTCCAAGCTCCACTGCAACAATTGGATGAGCCTGTGGTCGACAAGGTTGAGGATGTACATGTTGTAGAGGAGGAGCAGCAGCCCAAGGCAGATGTGGAGCAAGTGAATCATGTTGCTGAGGAGCAACCAAAGACAGAGGAGGTTCATCAAGAGGAGGTCAATCACATTCAAGAGAATGGTGTCCAGCACGAGTCTGAGGTCGAACAACAAGTCGTGGAGCAAGTTCAAGTTGTTGAAACATCACATGTAGAGGAGGAGCAGGTTGCCCCAGCATCAGAGGAACTGGTACAGGAGGAACAAAATGAGCAATCCGAAGTTGAGGAGGTTGTTGAAGATGTTGTTGTAGAGGAAGACAAGGCTGTTGAACATGAGGAGTCAACTGAGCAGCCAATTGTTGGCGAGGAAAACCACGTCCAGTCATCAGAGGTTATTGAACAAATTCAAGAAGAGGAGCACAATGACGTGCAAGAGCAAGTCGAGGAGCCAGCTCAAGAACAAGAGCAAGTCGAGGAGCAAGAACAAGAACAAGAGCAGGAACAGGAGCAGCAAGAGAATGTTGCTCAAACTGAGGAGATCAAGGCAGACGATGATGTAGTGATTGAGGACGGTGAAAATACTGAGGAGGTCACAACAGAGAGTTTCAAGGATATTACGATCAGCACTGGATTCGATGACTTTATCAATCAGTTGGACAGCAAGTTCCAATCAGCATCAATCTTGGACGCACCAATTGGACTCGAGTCCACTCATGAGCAGGAAGAGGAGACAAAGACTGCACCACCAACAACAACAACACTCTCCATTGACGACCTCGACTTGATTGGATCGCTCGGCGGCGTCCCATCTAGCACAACAGTACCAAGTAGCACTACCACCGCCGATGACTTTGGCATGTTTGAGAGTACACCAAACAACGCCGCAGCCACACTTCTCCAAGCCGAGACTGAGATTGGTGACAAGCTTGTAGACATTTGAACAATTTCCAAACGCCATCCCATCTCTTTGCGAATGACTGGACCAACATGTTTATGATCGATCAATCAATCAATCAATCAATAAAGGTTCTGTGACAAATCGAGTCATTCTCACATAGAGGTGGTGATGTTCGAATCTGGATTCCAGCTTCCACAACAAATAAGTCTGACATAATGTTGGTATTGTTATAATCATTATCATTATTTATATCTAATATATTAATAGTCACCAAATATTAACCATGGCAAGACTATTTATATAAATTATTGTTATTTTATTATCTATTCAGTGGTTTAGAAGAGTCAATCGAATATGACGATGGAGTCAAGTCACATAAATGGTCTGGAATGACACCTCACAAGATTTCCTAATGTGGATACACAGAGTTCCCATTTATTCTCTCCAACAGAAACTGGTATCTAGGAGGTGACTACGTCTTCCGTATTACCCGAGGAGAGAGATGTTTTTACACTGGATAATAATTATCAATAAAGACGAATGTTAATTAAAATAAATTAAGTCCCTTTGCAGATTGATCAAAGTTACCAACTTCATTCATTCGATCGTGACCATGTTCTAGACAGAATCGAAAATGTTGGCATAGTCCTCAAGAAGATGTGTTATGACTTGACTGCTTCCAGTGTCGTACATGATCGTTGCTTCGTTCTCGTCGGGTGCCTTCATAAGACTCGGTCCAAACATCAATCCCAAGTTGTGTGCGTGCATCATGTTGGCGCTGCTGTGCTTGGTCACATCAAAGAGGAAGCGCATCAACTCTTTGATCAACTGTTGGTTGCACTCTGGCAGAGTACTCAGCAACTTCTTAATGGCAGGTGATCGTTGATCATCTTGTAGCTCTACAATGATGTGATTGATTGATTGTTAATATGGATGGCCTGTCGCTGTTTGGTATTGGTATACATACTGAGTGTGGCGATGAAATCATGGTGATACTTGAATGTAAAGACGGGGTTGGCCAGCTGCCGCAAGAACTTCTTCAATACACTTGACACTACATGGATACAACAATCGCTTGGAATATCGAATCCATGTTGCAGCAGTGATTTCATCAATGTCTCCATCTCTGATTGGTTGCCTCCAACTCTAAATAATCCCTCTGTATCCAATACTACGTATATACGATTAAGTTAGGTTTGGTTGATGTTCCAATCAACGCCAATCAATCAAGTTAAGTATACATACCACTATCCTTAAACAAGAAGTCTATACACTTTGTAACAAGTAATGGGATCTTCCTATTGGTCCCATCTCTACTATTCTCTCTCGCTATTATCGCCTCCAACATCATTCCAACTGGCTTTATCGTATTCATTTCCACAGGCTACAATACAATTGATTGATGCATGAATGTTAGTATCATTCACCATGAGGAGGGAGAGGACACCACATACCTGACTATAACTTCTCTGTCTTTGCAATGCCTTGATCTTGTCTTTCATTGGCTGAACTTCCTTTGTCTTCTATATTATGATGATGATGATGATAAGATGTCAATGATTATGAACTAAAGTTGTTGATGCTGTTCGACCCACTTACAGGCTTCAGATTGTTGAATGTGATTGGACCACTGTTCCTTGATGTCTGGAGCTCTGTAATATAGTTCTTTAGAAGATCTGTCTTGTATTTGTCCACATTGTCATGTATTGATTGTGACTTGCTCTCAATAAATTGTTTGTAGAACTGTGACTTCATTTGTGTTCCAGACGATGGTTTGAAAGAGAAGTCTAAAATGAGAAGAAGAAGAGAGGGTCAGTGACCATGTCTCTAATGATTTGAAGGAAAGGAAAGTATCCAGGACACAAACCTTTCTTTGGAGCTGTCTTGCGCTGCTTGAGTTTCTGTTGTCTAAACTCATCGGGATTGTCAACCATCTTTTGGTACTCTGATGATATGGCCTCTTTGAATTGGTCGGCCCTGTTGATGGTCATGGAGGGAACCATTCTTCGACTGGGCGAACCGTTTGAAGAAGTAGGATTGTTAACTTTGGATGAAGCGTTTTTGTCCGGATGGATTATTGTGGACTCTGTGCGGTCCAGTCTGCTCTTTGACGGCGATCCAGAGTCCACAGTATAACTATATGGCCTTGTTGGTGAGAGTGGCGGCAATGCCCCTCCACTGACACGCAACAACTCCTCCTCCTCAGACTCTTGAATGCTCTCGTTGCTCACATCGTTTTGGCTGTCGGCCGATTCGTCTGCGCCAGGCTCGTTCTCATCTGTGTAGTTGTCGTCATCGTCGTCCTCCTCATCGTCGTCATCTTCGTAGCGTTCAATATCTTGCTCTGGAACATCTTGCTTGATGATCACCTCGCCATCAAACTCATAGTCATTGAGACAATCGCGTAGTTGATCAAACGATGACTTGCGTAGCAGGGGATCGTCGCTATCCGCCGTGCTGACCAGCGGTGACTTTGGAGACTTTAGACCACTGCGCGGTGTTGAGTGGCCACTTGAAGAGGCGCCATGTTGTGTGGCTGGACCACTCAAAGAAGCTGGTGACGTTGCCTGTACAGGTGGAGAAGATGCCGATCTCTGATACTTTGCTCCATGATTCAAATGTGCAAATGACAATGGTTTGATCCCAGTTGAGCTTGGTCTTTGTTGTGTGCCTCCATTACCATTAGTAGTAGTACCACCATTAGCACTAGATATACTCTTTATCGATGACATTCTACTATATGTATATATTATGTATGTGTACAACTATCTATCTATCTATCTATCTATATATATATATAAATATAATATTATGTGTGTGTATGTATCTCTATTTATGTGTATCTATCTCTATCTCTATCTCTATCTCTATCAATATATTACAATGAAGTAAATAAAGTAGAGAGAGATGATATGTATTCTTTAAAGATGCTTGCTTTGTTGCTTCGCTTGCTTGTGCTTGATATCAAGTTTAACTAACTTGATAGCTTGTTATGGTGATGATGTAGTTGTTGTTGTTTTAGGCGAATCTGTTGACAATCAATCACCATACATACTATATATAGTGATATTATATTATTAATTACCACCAACACAAATGTATGAATGAATGTGAATGAATGAATAGAATAGAATAGATAATAACGAGAGTGAGTGAGTGAGTGAGTGACTTGTTATCTATCTCTATGTTATGTGTGTATGTGTGTATGTGTATTTGTGTTTGATAACTTTGAAGTTTGTGTTTGTGTTTCACGCAACTATTCACAACAAAGATATTGTTGGACTTTAATGATCGATCAAACAGTGTGTGAGTGTGAGGACTTGAAATTGTGTGTGTTGGAGGCTGTGAAGCGTTCAGATAAACGCGTCGTGAATCGAAGGACGACTTAAGATAATGGGTCAACAACTTTACTCCTCCTTCGATCACTCACGAAAGGCCTTGATGACAATAATGGCCCACCCACTCCACCAATTGATTGATTGGTTGTTGAGTCGTCAATGAATGAACGAATGAATGAACACAAGAAGAAAGAATAATAACCATGACTGATTGGCTTAGTAAATAATACTAATAGATGTCCACCACATTGATGTTCGATAGTTTATCTGTGAGACTTGGCAGTACGCTCCAAGGCATCCTTCTGCTTGATGGCATAGCTGTTTGGTGAGCCCTTGGCGGCGTTGATCAGCTCGTCGGCCAAACACTCAGACACTGTCTTGATGTTTCTGAAGGCGGACGAACGGACACCCTGGGTGAGCAGGTAGATGGCGTTGTTGACACGTCTCATTGGGGACACATCGACGGCCTGTCTGCGGACGGTACCGGCGGAACCGATTCTGGTCGAGTCCTCACGTGGACCAGAGTTGGCAATGGCGTCGACCAGAACCTGGATTGGGTTCTTGTCGGTCAAGAGGAAGATGACCTCGAAGGCCTTCTCGATGATGCGGACGGCCATCACCTTCTTACCGGCGTTACGACCGAACATCATCATAGAGTTGGCAAGACGCTCAACGATGGGGCACTGGGCCTTTCTGAAGCGGACCTTGTTGTAGCGTCCAGAAGTATGTGGCAAGAAAGCGGCCTTCTTGACCATCATGTAGTCTTGGAGGGAGATGTCCGCACAGATAACTCCTCTGTAGGACCTATTGTTATGTTTGTTTGATTGTTTGATTGATTGTTTGTTTGTTAATTCATGTTCATTAACATCCTCTATTCTTGTTCGCGATTAATCATTCAATCATCCATCCATCCATTCATTCATTCAATCTTTCATTCTTCAAGTCTACCTCCAATCCTTGTGCTGTCGCATTCTTAAGCTTGTTGAGTCGCATCGTATATCGAATGATCACTTCGCTGTACTAGTGTCGCCTGTTGTATCCTCTGATGTAGGTATCGCGTATCACATGTAGGTATCGATTGGATTGATTGATTGGATGATTGATTGACGCTGTATATAGTAGGATCGTACCATTTTCCGAACAACTCGACTTCTCTAGTTTCAGCCATCTTATAAGGATCAATGTAGGATGAGGGACAATGTGGAAAGAGGAAGGATATCAATTGACACTATGATTCACTTTGAGCTTGGTCAGGGTCTGCTGTCCTGGGTATCCTCGCTCTCACTCCTCACACCACACTGTTGTTTGTTTTCAAAAAAATTAAATTAAATTAAATACAAAACGTCAAATCATCAAATACAAGACGAACTTCCAGGAGTGAAGGCAAGGGTAAGGGTCAAGAAGGGTATTTATATAATTAGAGATATGCCTTGAGAAGTGATGGATAGATTGGCCAGCTGTCAATGACGAGGTCAGCGTGCGTAGTCGGTGCACCACAGGCGGCGGTATCAACAAAGTCGGCTGGAACTCCTTGATGTAGTTCTATCACACCAATTGTTGAGTTACCAGTGGCATCAACTGTTTGGAATATTGCAATGGATGGGAAGCTACCCTGGTCATAGGCACCATGCAACACGATCTCACTGCATGGAGAGAATGCCACGTTTTGGTGAACATGCTGGAGATAGTCACTAAGTAGTCCATAGTTGTAGTTGAGTGCACGGGAGCCAGAGACGGCGAGGGCTTGCGACTCGCATACCCTGGGGTATGGACGCTTGTTCCTGGTTTCGGTGTTGAAGCAATAACCTTGATCGTTGACTAACATCACATGGTCGTTGCCTTGGAAGTTGACGATGGATGCCTGAGGATTGGCACCAACGCCCAGCACAGTTGGGCCGGCTACGAGTGTGGCAAAGAGGTTCTGATCGAAACAAAGGGCAAAACCACCAATCTCCTGGCTGTCCCCTGAGGAGTAGAATACCAGCGCGTCGTAAGCACACGAGGAGCTGGAGTTGTTGGCGCTGACTGCCGTGAGATTGGCAACGGTGAATGATGGAGTGTTTGGATACAGACATCCAGGCGAGCTGATGGTCTTGGAGCTGTTGGATTGGGTCAGGTCGATGGCCCATACATAGACGCCCAGATGGCAGGTTGGCATGGCATAGTACTGCACCAACTCGATGTATGATGATGATCCAGCATTGTTCACGGCACCAAGGATGTTGATGGTCGAGGAGATTATTGGTTGGCCACTGGTCTCAACTTCCAGCTGACCAGACACGACTGGCAACAATTGGACCGGGTCCTGTGTGATCGAGTATATCATGTAGGCTCCATTGATGTCGTAGGTGAATAGTTGAGCACCGGATGATTGATTGTAGATAACGTTTACAGAGACCAGTGTGCTCATGGCCTCGTGGCCGCCAAGCATGAAGATGCCCATCTCATTCAATTGACCAAACTCACCGTTGGAGGCGAGTAGATGGTAATAATAGTTGTTGGTGTCGTTGGTAAAGATGGCGAATGTGTAGGTCATGCGATCGACTGTTGCCACGGCCACCAATGGCTTGAAGAAGTTGGTAGATGCGCCCAGATGCTTCTTGGCTGATGGCGACTCGCTGTTGAGTCGTGCATTCCATGAGTATGTGCTTGACTGGCCCGCGAGATACACCAGCAACTGGGCTGGATCGATGTTGGTGGCATAGCGCATTGGAGAGAATGTGCGCTGTGGATGGCGGTGTTGGCATGAGATGTAGGACGAGGCCACCGACTCGATGATGGCCTGTGTCGATGGCTCCCATACGAGCACTGGGTAGGTTGCATTGTCTGCGCTGAACTTGCCGTATGGCGGCGACTCCAAACACATGAGGTCCAAGTAAAATGCTGGCACGATGGGCTCGATTGGCAGGTCCATCACTTGGAAGCGATCGTAGCCAAGTGCGGGGTTGTCCGAGTATAGAGCCTCGTGTGGACTCCTGATCCAAGTGGAGACGAGTGGCTGCCAGAGACCGGCCAAGCACGCGCCAACTGGTGCGCCCGAGCCATCGAGGATGACCTCAAGATTGAGGTTGTGCGAGGAGATGGTCGAGACGAACTGGTCGACGAGTTGGGTGACCAGGGCGATGTAGTTCTGCGAGGTGGACGAGTTGTCGCACACGTCAACAACGTCGAGCTTGAAGCAGAGTGCCATGTATTTCTTGATGGCTGACTGGCTGTACCAGGCGTCGGCATTGGCGCTGATAAAGTTGATGACGTCGGTGGATGTGTTGTAACGTGTTGTACTCGAGGGCATGTCGTGGCTGAGCACAAAGCAGCCCAGATCATTATCGATATCTTGTGAGCGACAGAACTCTGCATCCATATAATGTAAATCAATCTTATTCCATTGAGTACCCTTCCTATACATCTGTTGCCATTCATCCAAATCATTCCAACTATGTACCTGGTAACCAATATGATATTCTGGAGGTGTGACTGATGTTGCTAATGTCATTGTAATTGTAGTCGTCGCGACCACCAACGTCATCATTGTTATAAATAAAATAACATTATTATTATTATTATAATTTGTCATCATTATTATTTAATATAATGACGTATTAATACAATTAAATATATAATTATAAGTATGTTTATAATGTATCTGTTGTTAAGTAAATTTCAAAGACTGATGATGAACTGAGCTCAAAGTAACAAACACACAAACAAGTAAAGTAGAGATGTTAGCACCCCTACACCACCCTCCAACTAACACACTCACTCCAACAACACACACTATATTACCTTTATTCAATCATTTGATAACAAATATCTCAATAATGGGCATCACTTATTTGCAACGACTTCTCTCTCTTTGATGGCAATGAAAGTGCGAAGTTGCAGTTATCGGCTGTTTCTGAAAATTATATCATGATTTTTGAAATGAAATTGTCGGAGTGTTTGTCTTTCGGACAGCCGAAAGATAATATTCGTTGGAAGTTGCCAAATCAAAATATGTGATGACGATGAGTGAAGTGTTGGTAGTAATAATTAAGATGTTATAGTTATTTATTACATTGTCAGCTGTACAGTTGTATCCCTTGTTGATGTTTTGTTCCGCCAGGATGGACCTTGTGATGATGTTTGGCTTGGTGATAGGGATGAAGAGGCCATGTCTGCTGGTCTCCTTGCAAGTTTAGGACTGGATGTTGATGTTGATGTAGATGTTGATGTTGCTGAAGTATGAGGTAGACATTCTGTCAATGCAGTCATCCACTTATCCTTCATCTCTGTCGATGGTGCAACGAATGTATAAACCTTCTTTGATGACACTATTTGGAATGAATCTTTAAAGTCTAATGATTGAGTGTTTGATTGATTGATTGAGTGTGAGTGAGTGGAATAGTTCCATGATTGTTGATTGAATGATGGGATACATACTCTTTAAAACAGATATAGCCTTTACATCAGTGAATAATATACTCTTGAATAATGTCTTCCTGGTTAGACTGCTATGCTTGTGTCCGTGTCCATTGCCAAATGATCCATTCAATGACATGTTTGAAGGCTGTGATGATAGTGGTGGATAGTTGGAAGATGGCGATAATGTCTTGGCCTTGACCTGTCTCTTGGGGCTCGAGTGATGTGCGCCGTCGCCACTGCCGCCACTTCCGCTGGCAGCACTGACCTCTGTACATATCAAACAATCCTTGAACAAAAAGACAAACAGCTCCTTCTTGGTCGATGCCACCATGCCCTTGAGCAGCGCCAGCTGTCCCTCCATGATGTACTTGGAGTTGCCAATGATGGCGTCGGCGCCCGTCACCATCGACTTGATCTCGTTGACCTTGTCGGTGGCGCTCGCCGTGCGCTTCGACTCGTTTAGGTAGAGCGTCAGGTCGTGCAGCTGGCACAGCGTCAGGCCAATTGTGTTGATGTCGGGATGGTCGGGCGCGGTATGTTTCTCAATCTCCTTGAGCAACATGATGTACCGCGGCAGTCGTTGCACTGGCATCACCAAGAAGCTTCCAAAATCCAAGTTCCTACATATATCATTGCACTCGCCCGCCAGCAATATCTTGTAGACGGCTCCGCCATTCGTACGTATATGTTGGGCATAAGTGAATGCTTTCTCATAGTTGTTAATATATATCTCGTAGTGCTTTTGGAAGTCGCCCATCTATTGGTATTTAGTTGAGTTGAGTTAGTATGAGTTTCCGTGTTTCCGCTCCTGTTTCCGCGTGTTTCCACACGTGTTTCCACACGTGTTTCCGCCTGGCGCGATATGGAAAACTTACAAATGGAAGGAATATGTCACCGAGGGTGGATGACTCGCTGAATGATTCAATGTACTTCTCTAGACACTCTAGTAGACGAACATGGACTTGTCGTAGTTCTTGAATGTTGCTAAAGAGTAGCGTCAGGTTATCCGCGGACATTAGTTCGCTCTGTTTCAGTGGCTGCATGAACAACTCGACCAGTGTCGTCATGTCTGTTACGTAGCCCCTCTCCACCTTGACCAACTCATCTATTGTCTTGCGTCGTTTTGATACGACTGGCGATATTGGCGAGGAGATTGGCGAGGAAATTGGCGAAGAGATTGGCGATGTGGGACTGCTGGTGTGGCTGCGCTCCGAGGGTGATGTGGCGCCAGTCTGGCGATACGATGATAATGTGATTGATGTGAGTGTATGTGTTGACGGTGAGCTCGACACCGATGACGATGATATGCATGAGGACATTGAAGATGACCTTGATGTGAATGGTGTTGTTGCTGCCTCCTCGATTGAATCAATCGACAATGAAGAAGATACTCTTGTCGCTTGCTTATGTATGTCTTCAACTTGTTTGTTGCTATTGCTATGAGTTGGTTCAATCTCTTGAGTTGTTGGCGAAGATATTGTTGGTGAAGCAGGTGTTATTGTGAGATCAACATGTGGTTGCTCATCATGTTGCTGCTGATGCTCCTCCTCTGGTTGTTTATGTTCCTCTTCTTCTTGATGTTGATGTTGTTCTACTTGTTGTTGTTCAAGTGCTTGTGATGATTGTGCAGAGGCAGCAGCAGCAATGGCAGCCGAGTCAATCATAGACTCTGCCTTTTGCATCAACAGATCTCGATCTAGTCTCATTCGTTTGACAAGTCTAATGGCCAGCCACCTTCTTACGACTGATTGTACTTTAATAATGCACCATACTCTATGTGAGTTCTTGGATACAATGCTGGATTGAGTTGAGTTGGATTGAGTTGGATTGAGTTAGATCATGAGGTGGCTGATGTGTGGCGCATGTGGCGCGGGTGTGGGTGGTAGTCGTCATGTTCGTTGGCAACTTACATTCCACCGCCATCCTTTTGTCTTGTAGGCCTGTCCACCACCACTCTCTTGGTTGGCTTGGCAAGGGTTCTATTCATCATCATATTTGAACCAATGTTATCCTCTCCTCTATGTGTTATATTATCTTGATGGTGCCTGATTGATTGATGATGGCATTGAACAGGCAGGCCAATGCAATGGGTAAGTTGGGCTGAAGTGTTGGGGTGGTAGTTGATGGATCCTGGATCTCTCTCTGGATCACTGATTGGGTTAGATGGAGCAATGAGATCGATGTCTTTGTTGTTGATGATGTTGTTGTTGACGTGGGAGTGATGATTGATGTCTGTGTTAGATATCGATTTAAGCTATAATTGATTGTAGGTTGGACCAAATAATGTCTGGATGTCTAGAATATATATTAATGTATTGACTCTATGTGGTTTGTTGTATTTGTTAATAGACTTTACAATAACAACTTGTTGAGAAGTGCGATGAGATGTAAGTGATTGAGTGTTGTTGTGATAAGGTGATGGAGTGGAATGAATGATTGAACGAGCGATCCAGCCCTTATGATGCTGCTGTTGCTGTGGATAATGATGGATATATGTTGTAAATATTACTTTGTTGATGTTGTTGTTGTGTGATAATGAATGATTGAATGAATGAGTGATGATGAAGTTTATGTGTATATCACCTGAGCAAGAGTATGTTATTTGATTGTTAGTGTTATTGTTGTTGGAATGGATGGTGGGTCGTGGTGGTCGTGGTTCCAACAACAGTGTTGTAAATGTGGTGGTGGAGGTGGTGAGTGGTGTGTGGTGGTGGAGTAAAGACGACAATCAATCAGTCCAACACAAACACACACACTCATAAAGATAAACATATAGTGGTATGATTATCTGTATCACGACGACTATAGTTATAATTGAAAGTCGTTTAAACAACTTATTGTCGGTTTCTAAATATATATTCTTTGTATCTCTGTAACTGAATGATGTTGATGTTGATGATGATGTTTGTTTGACCCTGTCTCTTTGTTTGTCTCTGCCGTAATAATACCCGTCGTCGTGTTGTCCTTTGGTAATAATACAAGTCTCAACTCTCAAGAGTTGGTGAATGATTGAACGGTGAATAAAGAATGATATCCTTACATTAATTTGAAGAATAAAGAGAGTTATTATTTGTGTAATAATTGAATGAATGAATGATGATTGAACAAGAGTGACTTGTTAATAATTAATTATTAGAGAGATAGTGTTAGCTGGGAAGGACTAAGAGTGTATCCTGGATTCAATTGATAGTGGTGACCCTGGATGTACTAAACCATTTGGTCTCTCGAGAGGCATGCCACGCCGCATCAGTTGTTGTGCTCCCTACTTGTCAAAATTGCAAAAAAGACGACATTCAATGAAACAATGTTTAAGTTAATAGGATAGGTGACCCTTGTTCCTGGGTGGACCGGGTGTGTGGCATCCAAAGGCATTGTTTAACATCATCTCTATGATCTCTAAACACTGCACTCACAAATCTGTCTCACTCTATGATCACGTGATATATATCTTTGATTGATCTCAAGATCAATCAAATGGGGAACTATTCCAATCATTCAATCATTGGACAATTCCAATCAATCAACATTCTATCACTCAATCACTCAATCACTCAATCGCTCAATCACCCAATCACTATATGCACTCAATTGCATACAGAGATAGACATCAACTATGTATGAATATTTGAATATGAGCTTCGATACGGGATGATCACATACATGACCAATCACGTGATCAATAATGCCATCGATCACCCAATCATATTTACACTACTCTACCATTACCTTGACATTGACATTGACAATGAGAATTAAATCCATGGATCTGATAAATATCCATATTCAAATATATATACTCTCCAATTCAATCCAAGAATCACTATAATTAATTCCATACAATCCAATATTTTTATCCAATTAAATAATAATAATAAAAATAATAATGGAAATTCATCAAGAAGGAAGTCTCCTCACCCAGGAACTGATTACAGGACGCCAGACACCAATCAAGAATTGTTATGATGATCCCAATTTCTTTGCTCAATACTCAAAGAGAGATGTGGCCTTGTCAGATTTTGAACCTTCCAGGGATATATTATTCAATGGTCTACCACGTGATATTAGTGTTTGGAGCATTCTTGACCTGGCCTGTGGTGATGGTAATTTTGGAAGACGTGTGATTGATCGTGGAGTTGCACGTGTCGATGGCTATGATCTGTCTGAGAAGATGCTCAATGTTCCCGTGAGAAATGCGCCGACCCCCGACTGACCTACGCCATCGGTGACCTCGAGACCATCACTCTACCCTTTGAACAATACGATCTGGTACACTCTGCCTACGGCTATCATTACGTCAACAACATCAATAGATTGTTTGGTGAATTGGACAGTCGCTCAAACCCGATGGCATGATGATCTTCATCGCTGAACATCCACTGTTCACGTCGAACCCAACAACACTGACCAAGATCAATGGAACCACCTTCTATCCCCTGCGCGACTACATGGAGGAAGGACCACGCAAGGTGTTCTGGCTCGGCACCAACCTGATCAAACAACATCACATGCTATCAACATTCATCAATTGCATCACCAAGAATGGAATGGACGTGATCGACATGGAGGAGTGGGCGCCAGAGGATCCAGACAAGCGTGTTAGACCATACTCCATCGTGATCAGAGCAAAGAAGAGAATGAATACTCTTCAGGCAGCTGGTTGTCAACAATAAATAAACAAAGGGAGAGATTGTGTTGAATGAATGAATGAATGAATGAATGTGAATGACCAATGGTCCAATCCAAACACTGTTGGATTATGGTATATTGTAGAGATGATGATCGCCTCGATACTCGTAGTTTGATGGTGATATGCGATGATTGGATATCTTGGCAATTGATATCGACAGCTCATCCAATTGTTCATGTGATAGAATGGAAAAGATTGATAGGTGCTTGTTCGATGCTTGCCCATCATTATCATTTCCATTGCCATTGCTGTTCATATTGTTGTTGTTGTTGTTGTTGTTCGCAAGATTGAGTGACTTGTTCAAATGTATAAATAACGATATGAGTGAGATTATGAACGAGTTCAATGGGTCACCATCCTGGACAACCCTGTTTGCACTGTCGCTAATCAACCTAAAGAACTTGGATAATGTCTTGGACATGTATGGATGGTTTCTAATATGAATGAATGAACGTGTTGATGTCAGTACATTGATGAATGGTTGAATGATGGATGTGTATGATACTCACTGTTGGATGTAGAGTGAACAGTTACAATGTACAAACACTGTGAGACAGAAGTAGGAAAGGTACTGGGCCTTCTGAGATGTGTTGAATGAGCTATTGAAGCTGGCTGGTACGATGGAGTTGAACAGTATTGGGATGGACTCGACGCCGACCACATTGCCAAGGATGAAACCACCGAGCTCGATGATGCGTATGGTGTTGCTGGTCGAGATGGAATCATTGTCATTGGTGGACGTTATACAATGCAGCACTTTCTTGGCGACGATGTTTACAAACTGTACCACGTCGGTCTTGTTGATGATGTTGATGATCAGGTCTTTGGGCACCTCGTTCAGGCGCACCATGAAGCCATCAAATATCTCCTGAATGGTTGCCTGTGGCGATGTCAGCTGTGTCAAGTGCATTGGTGTCTTTTGATACGAGTTGGCCACCTGAGTGAACACGACCGAGTGATACTGTGTCGATGGAAGAGGGAACTTCTGCATGATGGGGAAGAGTGTAATATTTAAAGTCTCACATATCTTTGATTGATTGATTGAATGAATGAGTGTGAGTTAGTGATATTGGGGTCATCTGTGTGAGACTGGACATACGTGATGATTGATTTGGAATTGCTCCTGGTCGAGATTGAAGTTGACAAAGCGATAGTGATCATTCTCACTGCCGTCTGGATTCAGGTAGATGCTCAGCAGTGGGTCGATAAAGATGTGAAAGATTGAAGGGTTCTTTGCCAGGTATTGGAAGATGATCAGTGATGAGTATGGTACAACATCAATCACTGTTGTCAATATATCCTTGATGCTCTCTGGCGTAGTCAGTAGCCTCTCATAACATCCAATCAATAAGAATATCAATTGTGGTAGTTTGTGAACAAACTGCCATGGAGAGTAGTTGCTATGTTATGTGTGGAGGATGTTAGTGAGTGCTTGCGTCACTGGTTGTCTCTTTGACATACTTTAGCACCTCATTGACGAATGAGTCCCTGTTGTTGCTAACGAGTATTTGAAGGATGTTGACATCCTCTGAGGTCATGCCCTCTTGATGATTGGAACTAAAGTTGATCTCAGAGTCCTTGAAGCTGTCATAGATCCACTTGATGAATGGATTCTCATAAGTAGTATCCTGTGTCAGTCTCAATCGCGAGGTCAAAAGGTCCAAGTTATATTGATTGTATTTGAGCTGCAATGTGATTGATTGAGTGAGTGAATGAGTTAGTGGGCTTGGCTTATACCTGAGGTATACTGATTGATCAAACATACCCTGTAGAGAGTGACTAGATAGGATAAAAGAGCAAAGGGGATTGAGAAGTATGAATGGATGCCAGAGTCGTTGGTCGTTCGGCCAAGTGAGTCACAACATTTGATGACAAACATGAATAGTTGGATGATGTATCCATGCACGTCAATCATATCGATGACCAATGGCTCGGACAGTGTGGCCAGCAAGAACATCAGCGTCTTCCTGTTGCCATAGGGATCTACCGTGTCCAATACCTCAAATAGAGCGGCCATCAACTTGTCCTGATAGTCACAACTAGGATTGACCAGATTCTGTCTCAACGACGCAGTGACATCCTGCATATCCTGGACACTCGTCTCACTGTTCAGGGACATCAACGCATCCTTCAGTCTCGCAACTCCCTGTGTGTGATCCATTTGGTCAGTTGATTGATTGATCAGGTGATCAAATGATTGAACTTACACTTTGTGAGTGAACAGTAAAGTTGGTGGGCAACTGAGAGTTGGGGACTGATGGCGAGCCTTGTTGCATCTCGATCTCGGCAGTGTCAATCTCACTCTGATAGAGTGGGAATCGCTCGCGTAGAGAGGACACGTCAACAAGGTTGCGCTTGACCATCACCAATAGGATCGCGAGCAATACATTGTCCGTGTATGATATCATCTCAAACAGACTGGGTATCTGAGATATCTGATACAGTGCATCGACCATACACTGTGCATTGGTGCTGGGCGATGTGGCCTCAATGTAGAGCGGCAGCTTGATGAGCAGCAATGCCTTTATGCGCCGGAACTCGCTGGACTGTGTGTCGTTGTTGGCCGTCATTCGTTGGAAGGCAATACGGAGCAGCTCAAAGAAGTAGTTGGTGGGCGCGATCGCCTTGACTGAGCGGAGCCAGTCAAATTTGTACAGCGCGTCAAAGGGTGACATTGAGATGTTGGTGCCGGCGACCTCCTCGTCGAACCACAGCTGCAGCGCGAGTATATGCGCGGACTGGCTCTGTTGCATGTTGTTGTTGTTGTCCAAGTTCATCGACATGTCGTTCTGTTGTTGTTGGAGGTTGGTCGTGTGCAGCGCCTGGATCTCGCTCGTGGGCAGCTGTGATTGGAGAAGCGCAGAGTGTGTGGCCGAGAGCAGGTTGGGATGGTTGGAGACGATCGATGTCCTCAGCGCCCAGGATACCGTGTGCTCCGAGTCGCCAGCCACATAGGTGTTGTCCACGATTGTTTGAATGTTGCTGAGCAGCTGCGTCAACTCGCCAAACGCGCTGGGCACCTCCCGCTGCGACTGCTGCACGTACGACGTCAGTCTCTGGTTCTGCGACAGGCCCGCCAGCACATTCAAACATTGAAGTGCGTTCTCAAATGGCATATTGGCGCGCATAGCCGTTGGTGATTGATCGCGTGAGGTTGTGGTCGTCGTCGTCGTCGATTGTGTTGGCTGGGTGTGATGATCGTTGAGAACATCGAGTATGGTCCGCAACAGAAGTGAAATGACTCGACATAGGCCGGTCAGATGATCGATGTATATGGCTCGCCTATCGTTCGATGATGTCGCGTCGCTCATCGATGACTCGACGACTGGCGATGGAGATGACGTGCTAGCATTGGCCATATCGACGTCAACATTGGCCATGTCACCGCCGCCATATATCGATTGATAAGAGTTCTGATTCTTTCGCTTCTTGAGTATACTTCTGTCGGGGCCGCCGCCAACCGAGTCGTCGCCCATGCCCCCATCATCACCTTCGTCATCATTGTCATCATCGTCGCCTCTCTTCCTCTTTGTCTCCAAAGTGAAGCCATCTGTATGTTGTCCGTTCGGGAGGCCGTTGGCGCCGCCACCAACACTGCTCTTGCCCTTGCCCTTGTCCCTGCTTTTGCCCTTGCCGTTGCCGCTGCCATTGACATTGCCATTGATATGGGTGGTGATGTCCATCGAGCAGTCTCCATTCATTGATGCCTTGCTGTTGCGTTCGCATCCATCTACATGCTGGTGGCCATGGGCAGCATCAATGCTGACAGACTTGATCTGTGAACGCTGTTGAATGAGTCTGACAACATCGAATAGAATGAGCAGTACGTTCTGAAAGTGTGCAGGCTTTGTTGGAGTTGCATGCTGAGCTACCGAATTGAACAGTTGACCGTACTCAACCATCTTTGTCGCCAACGCATATCGTAGATAAGACACAAGCAGTGGACTTTGGACCGGTCCAACAAACATCTGTCTCATCAATACATCTTTGAGATTGTTTGATTGATCAGTATCACTCATTCAATCAATCAATCAAACAAACACTCTACATACCTGCAATTGATTGTTTATCATTGTTTGATAGGGTTGACTTTGAGTTGTTGATTGATACAGCGGTTGATATGCGCATTGACCATTGTAAGGGTGATGCACGAGATCTCCATGAATCGATCGTTGTCGACTGTATCATCTCGATCACTCTGTTTGTTGATGCATTGTCAATGACCATTGTCATTCATTCAAGAAGAAGTGTCTTCGTCGTCGTTGTCGTTGTCTTGTCGTTGTCGTCTTGTCCCTTTGCTTCCTTGCTTCCTTGCTTCCTTCTTCCTTCACTTCTTGTTTTATCCTTTATAAAGACGTAAAACTACAATAAATGAGATGTATTATAATATTAAATGTTTATATATATTAACACTAGACCCCGCACAACACATAATAATAATAAGCAATAACAATCAACCCCCTTTCATTCTTTGTTCATCTTGTTGTTGTGAACACACAAACACACACACACTAATTTAAAATGATTGGAAATGCGCGCATTTATAACTGAATGACCATGCCATTACCTGCATTGGGTCTTGTAGTTGTCTAAGTTCAAAGTTGTTCAACTTTGGAGTATGTACCTAATGTCAATAGTATACTATAGTTTTCCAAGAAGAGAATGTTTCCACTTACTATTTTAATTAAGGTAATTAGTAAAGTAATACCGATGAATGGCCCATTCACACAACGTTTCAATATTCAATTACTAAGACTCCATTTGGTTCTGGAACTAACGACGAACACTGAGCACTCGTTGTCATCTAGAGGGGGCATCCACTCTAAACGAAAAGACATTGATTGACCCGACGACGAAGGCAAAGAATGCGAGTGAGTTAGGGAGAGAGGGGAAGGGCGGGACGACGATCATTAAAATATATAGGGGAGATATAAAAGAAATGTTGACAGCAGCAGTGTCGGCTCTATCTGAACGGCACCAGCTGACTCTTTCGGGACATGATTGTGAACTTTGTTTGTGTGTGTGGCCCAGGTAGCCTCATCTTGAAAGGTCAAAATCATTAAGTGTTCTTCTTCTTTACAACATTATTATCACACTCACACCACCCCACACCTCTAAGTCAACCACAACCAAGATCGTAATCGTCATTCAATCTTTCATTTATTCACTCCGCATCACACAGATACACACAACTTATAATATATATATCACATTATACTTGAGGGACCAAACAAACAATCAAACAAACAAACAATCAAATCAATCAATCAGTTCATCTCTCTTTTTAAATTGATATAGATAGATAGATACTAGGGTGTAAGCTATGAGCTTCAGCAGTGTCAATAACAGCAACAACAATGACAACAATGATGAGTTGGCAGCAAACATTAGACAACAACAACAACAACAACAACAACAATACCAGAGTGCAGCAGTAGGGGGAGTCAATAGTCTAGTGATAGGTCTCAACAAATCATTCCAATCATTGAATATTGATAACAATCAACAACAACAACAGCAGCAGGGCACAAGTACATTGATTACAATAACATCTCCACTACATTTTAATGAGCAACATCATCAAACACAACAACAACATAATCAACTATCAAACAGTAATAACGCTGTAACAACGGGTACTGCCGGAGCAACCAATACCGCCGCTGCACCAACCGTCACAACATTCAAGACAGCAGTGCTGCCCAACAACCGATCACAAAAGCCAAGGGCACTATCTCCACTCAGCAAAGAGAAGCAGGTATGTTCGATATCAAATGATTGATTGAATGAATGAATGAGTGTACGTGAACTAACATTGATTTAATCAATCAATCAATCAATCAATCATAAAGCGAGTATCATTCTCACCATTGGTAGAGGAGTTTGCAACTGATAATAATGTACATAATAGCAACAACAACAATAATAATAATAATAATAGTAATGTAGAAAGAATCAATGATATCAATAATAGTATAGGTAGCAGTGCTGCCTTCAATATGAATAACAATATGCTCAACTCGAACAACATCAACAACTTTATCGACAGTCTTAACAATGTATCAATGTTTGGACGAAGTGGACGCGGTATGTCTTTGTCAAATCAAACTATGTCCTCATCATCATTAAGGTTACTGACTGACACTTATTCAATCAATCAATCAAACGACAACAGAGATATTCCAGTTTGATGAAGAATTTGAGGAAGAGGTTGCTGCAAGCGAGACATCAAGAGTTAATGAGGTTGAGATGAGTATGGATGATGATGATGAGCCACAACATGTGGAGCCAACATCATCCAATCGTCTGAGAAGTAATGATCTTGTTCAGGAGATCAAGCTTGGCACATCACTACCAATGGAGATACCATCCAGGCTTGCTCAAAGCCTACAAAAGAACTCATTCGCCACGATGGACATCATCCCATCAGAGTCTGAGAAGAAGGTATGATTAGATTAGTTATGTGATCACTCAAGAGTGTGCCCAAGTCTGACACATCCTTCTATACCACGCACTTTAGAAACATGTGACACCAAGACAATCATGGGTGGATACGCTACACAATATGGACAATGATGAGATGGCAATGTCCTTTGCTGTGCCAACATCATTAAGCAAGAAGCCAAAGTCATTTATATAACATCCCCAACACGTGGGCATATCCTTCGTTCGGGTTCACTCCACCTTTCCTCCCCTCCAACCAACAACAACAAGCAACAACGCCAACAACTTATTTATGCACCGTTCCAACCAGCCAGACAGCCAGCACATGAAATGGGCGTCTTTGTCTGGTCTAGTCCAGTCCAGTCTAGTCTACTCTGGAGTCTAGACATCCACAGTGCGTCCCCACGTCAAACCAACACCTACGCCCGATCGCGTAGATTGGTCCGAGTCAGAGTTACCACCCCTCTGACATTGGTGCACACCTTTGGTTCCCTCATCCCATCCCTTCCTACACTTACCCTTACCCTCCCCTTCCATTTCATTCCTTTTTTTCTCCGTCTCTCTTCTTTCTTCCCCATCCCTCTCCGAATCATTCTCCGACCTTGCTATTGAATGTATTATCGATATTATGATTGATGGACGATGAACAACAACTACTACAACAAAGACAACAAAGACATTGGTGTGCACCTGTGTTTGATCACAGCCAATAAACCATTATATATATATCATATACATCCAGCCATAAATAATTATGGGCAATAACACAGTAGTAGCGGTAGGAGTAGAAGTAGTTGGTGGCGTGACAGGATGGGAAAACCAATCCATCATTTTAGTACTACTATTTAGGTCTGTCTGGTGTAGCCCAATTGCAGTCGGTCGAGCTGTTTAGTTCATTGGGAATCCCTTCAAGTCTGGTGTAGCCCAGTTGCAGTCAAGCTGTTTGGTTGATTGAATAGTGCAGTTAGTATACAGGGAAACCAATCAGATGGCGAGTATTGGTTGTACATACCTCGATACCAAGGTTCTCGAACATGGAGCCCTGGACGATTCTGAAGAATCCGTGCTCACCCCAGTAGGTGCCCCAGGAGTTTCTGACGATCCAGTAGTTGACGCCATTCTCAACACCCCATCCGACAATGCTGACAATGTGGTTGGAACTAAGGTATAGGTAGGTTAGCTTTGATGTTCAACCATTCGGTAATGGTTATGGTAGTAATACATACAGTGGAGCAGCAACAAACTCCTTGAAGATACCTCCAGTGTAGGCCTCCAACTTGTCGGTGGCATCAATGCTGCAGGCAATTGGACCTCTGGCGTAAACCTCAGCCATGATGTCGTTGGCACCAGAGACAGTTCCGACCTCATCAACGTAGATGTTGGTGTAGTTGGCAACAGCAGTGCAGGTCTAAAAATTGATTCGATTAATTGATTAGTCATGTGATCTGCAGTGAGGGTGTGAGTGATTGATCCAAACATACTCCGTCTGGGGAACAGGTCTTGCAGGATGGGGTGCAGGCAAGTCCGTTCTCGGCTTGGTATGGCTGGCAACTAATGATTGATGTTGGGATAAGATGTCTGTTAGTATGATGGAATCATTCCATGAACATTGGCCGAGTGAATGAACTTACGTCTCATCAACGATTCCCTTCTTCTTCATGAACTCGTAGGCGGAACGGGGGTCACCACCATCACACGTACCACCACCGTTGCAGTTGATCAAGTGCTGTGGAGCGAGGTTGACCTGGGGCCAAACACCACGACGGAGGATGTTAATTCTGTCCGAGAGGGCAGAGGTGGAGCCGAAAGCCCAACAGCCACCACAGTATTGTGGAATGTGCTGGTTTCTCGACCAGGTCAAGTAGTTGATACCAGAGACGTTTCTCCAACTGTTTGATTGATGATGTTAGTATGAGTGATTGATTGATCGATTGATTGATTGATTGAAACATACTCCCATGATGATGGAATAGATGTGACGGTATCCTTTGGAAGTGGAGTCTTGATGGTGTCGACGAACTTCTCAGAGCTCTTCTTGTAGCAGGTTGGGTGTCTGCCAGCCGAGGCAACGGCGGACAAGACAACAACAGTCAAAAGGAGGGAGGCAATAAACTTCATTGTTTGTTGTGTGTAGTTGTATATGTTGTAGTATGAATATATGTGTTTTAAAAAGTGGAGCCTAAACACAAAGAAGGTATGATAGGCAATCCCTGCCGCTGGTGGACTTGGATGTGGACGGATGGTCTTGCATGGACCTTCATGCTTCCATGTGGGATACAAACAACCATGCAAACAACCCCAAAGAACACTCCAAGCCATCTGATATTTGCAAAAAAATTAAAAAAATCACTTTGGAGGCTTCCTTGGAGTAGTTGTGAGTCCCGACAATCGACCCCCAATGCAAGGGCCAATATGTCACGACTCAAACATTACCCATCAATGTCGGTTGACATTTTGGCATGCAATGACATGGTGTAGACAGGTCAACAATAATGACAATGACAACGATTGATTATTTGTTTGAATATTTATTCATTGATGTGTTTGGGTAACAAGGACAATAGAATCGTCAACTACTTCAAATGGGGTGATGTCGGACGATGAAGTATGGACTACTTTAGTTGACTGTATGGTACACTTGTTGGCTGTGTGGAAACCTCCATTGGTACCACTCGATGAAAAGGAAGATGATGATATAGAAGGCAAAGAGGAAGCCAAAGACTACGATGATTCCTTGTGGTACGCCATAGAGTAGCATACCTAGAATGATGGTGACAAAGCCAAATATTTGGGTGATGCGACCGCCAAAGTGATGGATGATGTCTGGGAACAGGGGAGTCTTGGTACGGTTTGGATCATACATGAGGTGCGACGTGGAGCCCATGATGACGGTGACAAAGAACAGCACCAGTGTCGTGATACCCATGATGGCATGGTTAGACGACATCTCAAGGCCGCCACAATGCTTGATGGCCATGCCCAGACCAATGATGGAGAAGACGACGCCAGTGAACAGCGTGATCATGTGGACGGGGAACCACCAGGCATGCGACTGACGCAGGAAGCGAGCAATAAATATACCGAATGGCATGATGACACCAAACGTGAAGAACATGAAGCCAATGTGATAACCGATAAAGACCTCGAGATCGTTTTCGGCGGTGTGTGCTACTAGGTCCAGCTTGACGCGGCCGGCATGACCAATGCCGTGGAAGGCAAAGGTGTTATTTTCGCCGTGTGCCCAGACAAGGTCGAGGCCGGCAGGTCCCACAACAATATCATTGTCTCCGTGCACATCACCAGTGACGAGCTTGCGGGTGAAGATGAAGAAGGAGTAGTCGGCGGTCTGGTAGCCAGAGAAGGACAGGATGTCATTGGTGCCGTTGACCTTGATGCTGGTGTCGGGGATGGGGGGTGGGCCGCCACCGGGGGTCGACACCATGTCTGTGACGGTGACAGTGGGCTCGAATGTTGCCACGGCAAAGTCGACGCCGACCATTGCCTTGGGTTGGTTGTCATTGTAGGTGTGCCATCCGATTCCGAGCCATGAAGCCACGTTGGCAGACACAGCAAAGGTGATCGTATCGTTCATGAGCTCCCATTGGATCTGAAGTCCAGTCAGTGGATCGAGCACTATAGGATCAGTCAATGCGGCTAATAAAAAAAAATGTAATAGTATAAAATACGGTTAGGACTCAGAGTGACACTCGTATTAAATGATCATGATCATGATCGAAAGAAGAGGAGGAATATGCGTGTTCATGTTGTTGACTGATGACTGAAAAGAGGAGGAGAAGGAAGAGGAGGAATTGGAACTATGTCATACCATAAGTAATGGAGATCAGGCTGACCATCACGATGGACATTATGATTGTTGAATGTCTCATGGTTCTTTATGTTTGATTGTTTGATTGTTGGCACGCAGTTGGAGCTGGGGCTGGCTGGCTTGCTGGCGGGCTGGGTATGTGGAGAGGAGGAGGAAGGAAGAGGAGGAAGGAGGAAGAAGGAATGAAAGAATATAAAATAAAATAAATAAATTAATAAATATAATAAGTTATTATATATCTATCTATATATGATATAGTTGTGTGATGTGAGTGATAAGAATAGAATGACAGTTTGGTATGTTTCTGAACGTGTCTAGAACTTTTTGTGCATGCCCCCAAACTGATATCTCTTTCTTTCAAAACGTGTCATAGATATTCAATCAAAAAATTGGGTAATGGGCAATTGAGTCCCCCATCCTAGGTTTTGTGACCTTTGCAATCCGATACGGATACTTGATGCAGACACTTATTATCAAAGTTATGAACTTCAATTAATCACTTAGATTGAGTGTAAGTATTGTTTGTTATATATTTAAAGAAGTATGAATGAATGAATGAATGAATGAATACAGACTAGTAAGATAGGAGCTACTTTATCATATTCGAATTCAATAATTGGATGTATTGAATGATACAGATCCCACTAATGTTACCAATTGTTTACCAAAAAAAGGAATTGTGGAGATCTAAACAACAAACAACAAACACAACAACTTATGATAAAGATAAAGATATAGAGTTAGAGATAGACATAGAATGAGTACGTCAATGATAAGATTGATGAGTGATCTGAAACAGATGAAGGATGAACCACCTGATGGTGTGAGTGCAAGTCCAATCGATAGTCGTAATCTAATGCATTGGACTGCGACTATTGTTGGTCCAGAGGACTCTGCATTCGAAGGTGGTATATTCAACTTATCAATGCTATTCAGTGATATGTACCCAAATGTACCTCCAAAGGTGCACTTCACAACAGATATATTCCATCCAAATGGTAAATGATTGATTGGTTGATTGATTTGTTGATTGATAGATTGATTGATTGAAGAGTATTAAACATTGAAATCAAACTCAACACTCTATAGTATATACTGATGGTTCAATATGTTTAGATATCCTGGCGAACAAATGGTCACCAGTCTACTCTGTCTGTTCATTATTAACTTCAATACAGGTATGTATTGGATGAATACACAAGCTCATTCATACATTCATACATTCATTCAGTCGCTCATTCAATAACTCAATCAATTAATGATGAATAGTCGTTGTTGGCGGATGAGAATCCCAATTCACCAGCCAATCCAGAGGCTGCAAAGTTATATGTTAGTGATCGAAAGGCTTATAGAAGGAGAGTCCGAGTATGTGTGGAGCAAAGTGCCAACATATAGAAAGAGAGACTCTCTCTCTCAATCATTGAGTATCTGTAAATAATAATAAGTATATTTAATTATCACCAGTATTGGATGGAGTAAAATAATTATATGATTGTGGAATGGTCTAAGATTTATTACAGTACCATTGTAAATACATGTATTAATTCTGTTCAAATATATCTTTAGATTGAAATCTATTATCATTTTTTTATTAAAAAATCGTCAATCCTCCCGATTATGACGACAATGGATGTGATGAGCGGGATCTTCAATGCACAGATAAATCTCCTCCTCTTTGATATCATAATTATTTAAGTCAAACTCTTCCCTTTTCAAAGTATCGACGACTGTTTCCAGAGTACTGTAAAAGACTCCTAAATCAATGGAATCAGTCGGATCAGATAGTTTTGTTAAATAGTAATTCACATCAATACCTGTAAGTCGTCTGATCCTGTTCTTGGTGAAATCGCTTTCAAAATAGAGTTTGAGTGCACTTTCTATTCGTTTATCTTATCTGTCATATCTTACACCTGTTGATGAATGAATGATTGATCGTATCCTTCATTCCAAACACCCCAAAAAGTCTATTTTTTCAAGAATTAATTGTTTTTTAGAGGAAATATAYATTTTTTCTTTCTTCCAGTTGTTTATTCAATYAATCAGACGACAWKCATTCAAACATTCAATCATACAATCAAATAATCAAACACATTCATACATTCATTCATGGGTAATTACCGATTTTGCCAAAAGTGTCACGTTGACGGCCAAGGTTTATMCATCCTAAACTCAAAKGGCTTCTGCAAGGATGGATGCGAACCTTGTAATAGTTTAGTCAATTGTCCTTCTGTCGATTCCAGTAWATTTCATATAGAGGAGAGAGGAATACTCAAGCAAAAGAAAACATCTAAGAAGATAAAGGAGAAGTCAGACAAAAAGAAAAAACAAAAAGAGAGAGAGCAAGCAGCCAAACAAAAGAAGGAGGACGATGATAAGGCTAAAGCTGAGAGGCTCAAAAAGCAGGAAGAGAGTAGGGCGAAAGAGGATCTGAAGAAAAGAGACAAACTAAGAAGGACAAGTATGTGTTTGGTATTATTGTGGAATGTTTATTAATTTGATGACTAATTCAATATTAATAAGCTGATTTAGCAACACAGGTTACTTCAAGGACAACACCAACCGAGAGGGTAGCCATTGATGTTTATAAGTCTCATGTTGAACTTCTCCCAAGCGCACTCACTAACATGGTCCAGTTCACTCAAACAATCAATCGAATCGATGAGCCTCAATCACATGATCAATCAACACACTCCAGCATTGGTCTATCATGTTCAAACCCACTGGAAACAACATTCGTGGCGTTTCTAACCAATCAGAAGTCCCTTTCTTCACTCGACCGGGATGTAGCAGTGTTAGAGGAATATCTGGACAAGATGAAGAATAAGAGAACATTGATCGCCAGTTTGGTGAATCATGTCAATGATTCCTATCAACAATCAGACATGGACTTGTTATTTGGTGTAACACCTGGAAGCAGTATCAACAGCCTTTCCAGTAGCAGAGGCAGGAGCATCATCCAAAGCAACCAGAGCAGGTACACTCGACCTACTCCTTATTCCCGCAAAATAACTTTTGATGAGTTATTGAGCGATGATGAGTCTGGCGATGATACTTTTGATGATGATGATGATGAAAATGATGATGATATGGACCATCCATCCGATTAAATAAACAATTTATAAATGTAATATTATTTATTCAGACAAAATATATTTCATATTTAATAATATTTTATTTTGTGCCCAATAATAATAAATAAATAAAATTATTTCCATTCTATCCTTCCAAAAGTGAACTTTCAAACTTCATAATTCAAAATTCAAAACTTTGTCAAGAACTTGAATCAGGAGGACAATATAACATAATTAATTGATATATATTAATAAATTGATTGATTGATTATATATATGACTTGTGATTATTATTTATTATGTTTGGAAACAAACAACATGCCTGGAGATACTTGTACTCCCAGTGAGTGAACTGATACGTTTGCCATTTGAATTGGAGATGAGTATACATGAGTGGTGTGAGTGCAACAGAGGAATAGTGTAACCTACACTCATCAGATCTGTATGGTTGACACTCAGTCTCGGCATTTGGCTCATCGAAACATTGTGGATCATTTCAAACAAACATATCAACTTTCACAATTTGAGAACTAAATGTAAATAATATAACATATTTATTTAATGTGTAGAAGATAGAGGTATACATATATGACCCGTAAGCCTAACCCTTATTGTGAAACGAACATCATATAGTTGTTTAAAAGACATTCTTGGACTTTACAAAGGTTTGCCTAGACGGTGAGTTGGGGAAGTAACTGGCTCCATCGTTGGCAAAGTAACAATTGCTCGGTGATGATGACAGTGATGAGTGGATAGGTGATGAAGATGGAGAGGTGATCGAAAGTATCGATGAGAATGATGCCAAAGGCGGCGTGAACGAAGATGGATGGCTATTGGACAGCTGTGGCAGTGGACGAGGCAGGGGCGAGAAGGAGAGCGGATGCTGTTGTGAAGGAGTTGGCGATGTCGATACGTAGAGTGATGTACATGGTGAGTTATTGCCAGCGGCCAATGATGCCGACAGCATGCTACCATCACCTTGGATAAGGGAGAAGTCACGATAACGTTTGGAATGATGTTGATGTTGATGTTGATGATGATGTTGATGTTGTTGTTGTTGATGATGATGATGTTTCATTGATGTAGACAACATTGATGGTCCCCCGCCACTGACACTACCACCACTTCCAATCACTGATATTGATGGTAGATGACGAGATCCCTTATCATCAGACACGCTCAAGTTGGATATTGATATGTTGTTGAACTTGTCTATGTATCTATCTTGTTGTTGGAGCTGATCACCCAGCACTGTGTTGTGGATTGGTGATGAAGATGCCGAAGATGAACTTGGCGAGTTGATATCTGATAACAACAATGGATTATTGTTGTTGTTGTTGTTGGACGATGATGTATGAGTTGATGACACTCCATTGTTAAGTATACTTCTGTTTCCTGCCAGATGGAAAGTGCCTCCTGGACTCTTGACCTGTTGCTGAGGCAGATGTTGTTGTTTTGGTAATGTATGAGCGATGGGCTTGAAGCCACTTGCCACATCTTGTACTAATAGTTGCTCATTGTCCATTGCCACACCAGTTGATTTAGCCAGCTGTGCCAGCGTAGACTTGAGTTCCCTATTCTTTTTTAGAGAATGATCAATCTTCTCCTCCAACTGAGCGATCTTCATATTAACCTCACTCTGTGACATTGTAAGTTTCTCAGTGTTGGCAATTAATTGATTACGTTCACTTTCCAACTTCTCCACTACAGCCTCCAGTTTATCCAAGTAATCCTTCTTCCTCTCTCTATATTGTGCAGCAGATTGTCTATTCTGCATTTGTCTACTCTCAAGTTTTGTAAGTATATTGTATTATTGATGGTCCTTTGGACGAGTCCTCGTCACTCATACCTTATCCTTTTCTTCTTGACATCGTCATGGCCATCCCCATCATACATCATTCATTGTAGGTGAAGATGGGAAATCCATTGTTGGCGGTAATCATGTCTTGTTGTTGATAGGAAGGAATATAATGTTCCAGAAATTTTGGAAAGTCAGCTGATAGAATGATGATCACGTGATTAGGTGTGTATGGTAAACGATGTGAGGTGATGATGATGGCGAAGATGATAGTGACGGTGACTAGTTTGCTAGCTTGTTAGGGGAATGGACACCTTGATGGAGGGGAATGGGGAATAATAATAAATGATGATAATGAGACACCTTTGGTTGAATAATGATGTAGTTGTGGCTTTGGTTGATGGAGATCAATGGTAACCAGCCAGCCAGGCCAGTTGGTTAGGTAGGCAGACAAGGGTATGGAGAGAGCGCGCGCACGAGCACTGTTAACAACGCAGCGCCTCTATTTATGTCCTCACGATCACTCACTTACTCACTTACTCACTCATAAACACAAAACCCCCTATTCACTCCGATGATTGAAGTTGATTGATGGATTAATGATGGATGGTTGGTTGGATGCTTTTCAACACCCCTTTGAATTACATCATTACCGGAAGAGAGCAAAGCAACAACACACTGCCACACTACCACTGGAAACAGCAACAACACTACCAACAAACAATGGTTGGTTGGCTGATCACATTTGATAAGATGAATGTTGTTGATCATCTGAGTACAATAGGATTGTGAAGTATTTATGGATTGGTGCGACAATCAAACAAGCACATTGTGCTGATGTTGACACCCATACCACATCCATCCATCCATGTGATGAGTGTTTAGTTGATTGAACCACCTTTAGATGCCACTACTTCAAAGGCAATGACCACAGATGTACATTGGATATATAACACACACACCCCTACTTATATGGTGGTTGATCAATCACTCACTACCACCCATATTGGTATTCACCCACAACAACAATGATGATGATCGATCACTACCACACTCACTTCTTAACATCAATGATTACTTTCCATAAAAGGGTGGATGTGGTAGTGATCACTTAAAGCAGAAGTGAATTGAGTGTATGTGTTATCAATGCGTGTTAGTATTGGTGTGTTAGAGTTATAGAGACAGAGTCATAATTCAAATAAAGTCACTGACAATCCACTGATTGATGTGTATATGCATGTTCAATAATGAAAAGATGTCCTGAAGTAAGTATTGCCCAAATAATCACATAACACAGAGTTGTGTCATATGTCTACCATCTTGAATCAAAATTTACTCTTGATCAAATAATAATTAAAAATAATAATAAATATCTATTAGTTGGAACTCCGGAAAAATCCCATGTATTTAAAGTTCCCTCATTATGTCTTGGACACTCTGGTCTGAGCATACCTTCAACCCCGACCTAGATGACAAGATGAAAAACGAATAATCATACATACATTCATTCATTCTATTAAACAAAGAAATAATGTATACAATAATTGATGCCAAAACAACTTTAGCAGATTCAACACTAAAAACATGGAAGTGTATGGAATTGATTTACGATGTTGTAAGACGAGGTGTGGCAGGTGACATAAATTTGTGGACAACAGGCTCTCCCTTCCTCCCATTCATGAAACTTCGCCCTTTCAAATGGTCAGACGATCAGTTGTTCATGGATTTTGTCAACAGAATCACACCAGGCAATGCAGTGGCAGTGATCATCAATCAATGTACATCACCACTCAGCCCACTCTTCATTCGAGCATTCTCCAAACTAGGCGCAACAATCATCAATAGAGTTGGCACACTGTCAACACCATGCTACTGTATGATTGGTCACAAGGGCATGCAACCTGGCGCCGCACTTGAATCATGTGGCGACCCTCTGATCAAACCAGTCATTGTTCGACATGAATTTCAATCATATGGAACTGAATACTTGATCCCTCATTATGAACTTGGTGATGATGGATTGCTCAGCCCAGTTTTGAAATATGATGGATGTTGGAAACCCTGTACAATGAGGATTGATGGAGTCAATGTGATCGCATTTACGAAAGACTTGGAGATGGACTACCGAAGAAGTGTTGCCTACAAAACCTTTAAATCAAACGAGAACAACATGTTGTGTAAATACCTTGATTCGATACCCAATGACACTATTGTACTATTAATGACAAGAGGCTCTGAAGCCAAGACAACTTTGGAACAATCACCACTTGCAGTCGAGCGAATCAAACAACTTTTCTCAAGCCAACACATTGATGAATACATGTCGTCTTCATCTTCAACACAAGGCCATTGTTGGTACATTCTATCAAAGAAGTCACAGATATCATCAATCCCATTACTTGAAGGTACCTCAACTGACATTGCAAGACCTTGTCGAGGCTCATACTATAACAATGGTTATAATTATGGTTCAGGCTCTGGTAGATTCAGCATGACATTGGCATCACAAGTTGGAACTCGTAAAGACGATTTTGATTGGCCACCAGGTATCATTACAATGATAACAAAGAGTGAGATCAATGGAGAGGTGTTGGAGACAAAGAGATACAACATGGAGTTACCAGGTGATTATGGATCAAATGAGTTGGTCAATGACATCCTTAATAATCTAGCAGTTGGCACGATGGCTTTGGTGACTACCGCCAATCTACCTTCATACTTTGTCATTTCTGACAGGTTGGCATTTGCACTCAGCACACTTGGAGCTCAATGTTCATATGATATCAATGGTGGTGACAAGAGTTGCTACAGTTTGATTGGAAGGAAGGGTGCTGCGATTGGAACAGTTCCAGAGTTGTTGTCCAATGGTCCTACTTCACTCTTTGCCAATTTTCAATCCGACTGCTCTATCAAAACATTCTTTGACGTTGATATCACACCCTCATCTCGCTCAAATGTAAGTGACGCGTTCAAATACAAATTGGAGCTATCCCAATCACTCGCTAACCCACTCAATCAATCAATCAAAAAAGAGTAACCCAAGATTCAGGATCAATACAAGGGAGATTAAGAATGAATCAACAATGATCGTTGATGGAATCAACATTGTCACAATCAATCAATACAATGGAAGTGTGATTGATCCTGGAAGTTACAATGATCATTATGATGGACTTGATCAATTCATTTCCTGGTTACCTTTGGGCACCATCATCCTCATGGCAACCTCCACATCAACCAATGGCACAGCCTCAATCTCACCTCAATCTCGTGCAAGTATCAGAGATTATCTTGGGTCCACAGATATTCTATCGTTCAACAATTTCAAACAACAAACATTTTGTTTGATTGGTGTTGTTGAATACCAAAAGAATAATCACCATCGATTGATTAGTGAATGTTTATCACCATTGGTTGATAAGGTCCATCAACCATCATGTCATATGAGAGTACCATTCCAACCTCAAAGCAACAACAATAACATGGATATTGATGATGAACAGAATGGATACACAATCAATCTCAAATCATTGATCTCTTCAATCTCAAGTATATCAGCGAATGGATGTGATTATAGACTACCATCAGACAATGTACATGGCCACAAGGAAGTTATATTGATAGACCCAAGGAGTGGACAAACAACACGTCTGGACATATTATCATTATCAGATAGTTGGGAATCATTCCATACAATGTTACAAGATTTGGAGAATGGTACCATTGTTATCATGTCCATTCACAAGTCAATTGGAAGTGCTCAATCTAGAACTGCATTACATTCATCAATGTCATTGATTGGTGCATGCAAGTTCATCAATATCAAACCAAACTCTTCATATTGTGTGATTGGAATGAAAGGGACAACTCCTGGATCAGCAGTTGAGGCATACAGTGAAGATGGTGACCAATCATTAAGTATCTCGGCATGGATACCAGAGACATTCAACTCACCATTTGAAGAGCAATTGGAGTTGGATAGGAGAATAATAAGAGATCATGTCAGAGGAAAACTTGAAGATGACGGTATCTATGAGGAAGATGAAATTGAAGATGAATATCAAACCCCGACACCTTTTGGATATATTATTAATCATCTAGGCGATCAACAATGTCTGTTTCAAGTTCCTTTGCTCAACTACTATGTAAACAACATCAACCCAACTTGAGATTGTCGATACATTCAATTAAATCTTTATTCATAAATATAATAACTTTAAGTTTAATTGTTCATTGTTTTTGGTGCCTTTTGAGGGGGTTTACCTTCGTTGGCGGTCTTCTTGGAGCTTGGTCTTGGGCTGGGAGTTGGTGACTTAGAGGTGGTAGTTAATGAGGTAGTTGATATCTGTACGAATAAATCATCATAAATTGACTGGCCAAATCTTGGATCATGCGAGAGATTAATATGTCTTTGTTGGACCTGTAGGCCTTCACCCCTCTTGAGCTTTCTCTCCATCACCCAGACATAAGTACCTTGCGCCAATGAGTCGTCCTTTCGGAAAACAATGACCAAGACAACGTCATCCTCTATACGATACTTGATTTGAGTGTTGTCATTGTCTAGGAAGACTGAGTTTGCTGGTGCCTCATTCTTGAGTGCCTTCCTTATAACTCCGTTGGCCTTTAGACCCGTAACTCCAAGATCGACACCTGCCTCCTTCTCCTGAGTGTAAGTTCCATTAATGTTTCCTTTGATCACAACAGTCAGTTTGGTATCAGAGCTGTTGATCAATCCAATCTTGGACTTCTTAAGAGGTCCAAACTGGCTCCCTTGAAGGAATACTGACTTTACTCTTGGTCTTGAGCCTGAGAGAGGAGGAGGTGATTGTTGAGTATCCAATACAGAGCAGGCTTGAGTTGACAGGGGAGGCGATGGGGTTGGGGAAGGGGAAGTTGGGAGTGATCCAGAACGAGTCTTCAATTGTGAGGTACTTGATGAGGTGGTTGACATTGATGATGTAGAAGTGGAAGTAGGGGAGGCGGGTATTGGAGTGGAGATGGGACGAGTCTTTGGTGTTGGTAGAGGAAGTTTATAGACTGAAGGAGAGTAGTCAAGTGGAGGAGGTGCTGATGGTGATGGGGTTTCAGAGGTCAGATCATTGTGATGGTAGTGTTGAGGAGAGGGAGAGGTTTGATAATAATGTTGATGATGATGATGATGTTGATGATGTTGATGATGTTGGTATGGTGGATTATAAGAAGGTTGAAAGTTTTGTTGCTGAGGGATAGGAGGAGAATGAGTTTGAAATATGGGTTGTGGAGCATATTGAGGTGAATGTAATGGTGAAGGAGGATAAACTATTATATTATTATGAGATGGTTGATATTGGGGTGGACTTTGGAATACATTTATAACAGGTGGAACTACATGGACGACAGGAACCACAGTATTTATATATGTAGTATAGACTTGATGTTGTTGAGACATTGTCTTGGCGTTATTATATGACATTTATATTTTTTTGATTGATTGATTGTTATTTGTTTGATTCCTCGATCAATTGAATTCATTATCTTTTAAAGATGTCTTTCCATTCAGAAACAACTGGATATTCTTCCGACATCCATCCAAAAACAGATCCAATCAATCAAAACCGAATATTCGTATCCCAAATTTAAAGTATAAGCCTTGTCTGGGAATAGACACTCCCAATGACATCCAACCCAACTCATGAATTATGCTGACACTTGTCTATAAATCGATCATAGTTGTCCTCGTGACCAAACTTAATGATATAAAAATAGAGTGTGGCCCTTTTGGAGGTCCTTTGTCCTTTCGCATGACCTGCCACACCAAACCCATCCAAATTGCAAAAGGAGCTGTTTTTAGCAGTTTTCAAAATTGGCAACTTACAAAGTTACTCGCGATGAGCTGGAACGGGAACCTGGAAGATGGTCAGTCAGTCAGACTGACTGATGATGTCGGTCATGAAGAGATGTCGGCCTGAGTGATCTAGTGAGTATTTGTTCAATCACACATACTACATTTTATGTTTGAATGATTGATTGAATGACTGATGGACATGATGACTGATCAATTCTTAATAATAACCTCTAGTTGGCATCTTTAACTCTTTGTCCACGATGGTGATGGTCTTGCCAGTGTCGACATTGACGTGCAGTTTGTAGATCTCCCAGTCAAAGAACCATGATGTCTTCTTGCGTAGTATGGCCTCGATGTGACCATCCTGTGCTCCGCCATCATTGGACTTCATCTCAATGTCCTCGGGTGCCTGCACGACGACCTCTCCCTCCTTGGGGGGCGGGGGCACGAAGCGGCGGATGGGAATGGTGAATGAGGCGCTGCACTCGGTGCCGCCCTCCTCCAGCGAGATGGTGCCAATGATTGGGTCGGTAAAGCATTCGTACCATTTCAGCGGAGCGACCACACCGCCAAAGCACTGCATCGACTCGAGATCGCCCTTGACCTTGTTCATGACGATGCGATAAGGCATCGACGACCTTAGATAGGACTCGTAGAAGAGGAATCCAATGGTGCCCACAATGACACTGGTGAACGTTCCCCACTTGAGTCTATGGATGACTTTCTCCTTGAATGTCTTTTCTTTCTTTGGTTCCTCTTCTCTTTGTTGTTCTTGTTGTGTTTCTCCATCTGCTGCTGCTCCATCCTTCTTTGTTTCGCTGCCTTCTTCTTGTTTTTGTTGTTGTGTATCTGGTTGTGTTTGTGTTGTAGATGGTGTGGCTGTTTCGGAAGGTGTTGATGGTGTGGTCGAGGTAGTTGATGTACTTGATTCCTCAGTTGTTGATGAAGTTGGTGGCTTTGTTGTTGTTGAGCTATATTGTCTGATGAATGATACATTGAGATTGTTGTTGTGTGGCATTGATGATGATGTTGAGAACATTGCACTCCTCAATAATGATGATTGAACATTATGTATCTGTTGTGTTGAAATCGATAATCTTCTAAATAACATCGTTGTGTTGTTGTTGTTGCCAACAATCAATCTTCTACCTGCAGCTGACAATAACATGTTATGTTATAAATATAAATATATCTGTCTTTAATTGTATACGTTGTAAATAATGAATGAAAGAATGAATAATCAGAGTCCCGACTCAATCAATCTCTGGCACATGTGAATGAACACGCGAATCATTCGTTGTCTTGGTGTCAAAAAAGACGACCAAGCACATGAGATGATGTTTTTGCAAACAAGGATCATCCACATTAATCAATGTTGTTTGGTGAACTTGGCATTCTTGTTACTTTTGCTGCCAGTTGGAATAAGCAATCCTCCAATGGCAAATATACAACTTGTGACTAGGTATGCATATTAGTATCATCAAGCTTGGTCATTATAATAACACTTACAGAATGTAATGTACTTGAACAAATCGAACCAACCTCCATAAAAGAGATAGTTTAACTTTTGTTGTCTTGTAGCTCCATTCTCATACCTAGAGTATGAATGAAGTGAAGTGATGTTAGGTTGAGCAAGATAGTGAGTGATATGTGAGGACTGACACTTACATTACCAAAACTTGGTAGTGAACAAAGTTCTCGGAAAGATCACTTATCATGTATAATAGTGGAATGAACATTAATAGTTTGAATGGCTTAGTGTTGAACAATGGATAAGAGAACGCTTGTAGTGATAATAATACACCGGCTATAGTGAATGGTAGTACCACATCATAACCATCGGCATACATCGACTTGTAAAGACTCCTCTCATATCTTGTGAATTTGTCCAACTCTGCCAGTCCCTCCTCTGCCGTGTATCCTGCAATGAATGAGTCCAACATCTATATATGTTGTAGTTATAAGTAAGTGCCGAGAGTTTCAAAGACATGTTGTGTATGTCTCTTGTGTTTACATACCCTGCCATTGGTCACCTTTGGTACAAGTTCGACATTTAAGTAGTAGAAGATGTAGACCGAGAGTGATAATGATGTCACTAGCAACAAGTAGCTTCGTGAGTACTTGGCCAATATATCAGTTATTCTATATAACATTGTTGATTGAATGATTGATTGAATGATGGTTGAATAAATGAACATCATCTGATTAGCAATTTAAAGTATCTCCCCAAACATGGTGATGTTGCAAGTTGCGGGCGGTAGTTTGGTGGCAAAACATTCATCCTCTTGCCAAAGGACTCATTGATGAATGGATGTGAGTCATCATTGACATGTAACCATGACCATAATGTAGTAGTAGAGCAAGGTATGTATTGTAATAAATAGTATAGGTTGGTCATTTTTATTATGAACATGTTGGCGATGCTTGGCATCTCTCGAGTCTACATACACTAGTGGCGTGGACATCCTCACCTCAATCACATCAATCACGAGCATAGTATAGAGTTGATGGTGATTGATGATCTTTGTTCATTGGTCATGTCTTCATCTCCACCACCTTGCTTTGGTTGTTGCTGTTGTTGCTGCTGTGGTTGTTGTTGTTGTTCTCCCATGGACACATCTCTCAGCTTCTTGATTGGACTGCCACCGCCATTGGCACCACCACTGCCACGTCGTTGAACAAGCATTTCAAGCTCGGTACTGCCACCCATTGCGTCGTCGAATGATCTCCTCTTCTTGATCGACGAGTTGTCAACAGATTGCAAATGATCGATCAGCGATGATGAATGTCCACGCGATGGGGAATGTGGAGGCTCGAGTGAGTGACGTGGGGAGAGGTGGTGTGGAGTGGACGATGGTGTATGTACAGGTGACGAGTAGCTATTGAATGACAGCATTGGGAGTGATGAGTGAGGGTGCTTGCTGTTGCTGTTGTTGCCGCGGCCAGGCGACAGGCGTCCAATATCTGTGTTCTGTTGTTGTTGTTGTTGGTTGTTGTTGGCTACACGCAACTGCTGTTGCTGTTGCTGTTGTTGTTGTTGTTGTTGTTGTTGAAGTTGTTGCTGTGCATGATGATGTTGTTGGAACTGGAGTTGATGTTGTTGGTAGTGCAGCGCTACATGCTCGCGACGGGGCGAGGAAGTGGGCGACGCACCAAAGATGTCGGGAGTCTCATCACTGGACAGCTCATCAGAGGGTGGCGGAGTGGTCTGGTCTCCCGTAGGCTGGCCTGGCGAACCATTGTTGGAAAAGACGTGGATCGATGTGTTGCTGTAGAAGAACTCGCCGGGGATGGCATCCATCTCGCGCAGGTATCCAATGGCCGAGAACAGGACGGTGACGTGGAAGAGGTTGGGCATGGGGTCGGCCGTCCACATCTGGATCGTGTTGGTGAATGAGTCCTTGTCGTAGTTGGTGAACTGATTGAAGTAGCGGCACGTGCGCCAAATCAGATCCTTGTACTTGGGCGTCAGCTTGTTGAGCGCCGGCGACCACGTCAGCAACAGCGCCAGCTGGGAGAATGTCGACGACAGGTCTGTGCTCCACACCGACGGTGTCTTGCCACCTGCGGTGGTTGCGATCGTTGGAAACTCGGTTGCGCCCAATGTATTGGGCTTGGTCGCCAATAAATGTTTGTAAGATGCAGTTGCCAAGGCTGTCGAGGGAGTTGAGTGTGGCTTTGGAAGTTTGTTTGAGTTTGTGTTTGTGTTTGAGTTTGTGTTTGAGTTGGGAGTGGACGTGGTCGATGCGGCGGCCATTTGATGACTAGTGTGTACAGATTGTTGTGGATGATAGTTGTTTGGCGAAGGCGATGGAGAGTGGTTGGGAGACAGCTGGGCCTTGGGCACGCGAACACTGGTGGGTGGCGCAGAGATACCTGGTATAGAGAACATTGGTGACACTGGCGGCAGTACAGGGAAGTCGGCTGGATGCTGTGTTTGGGCCTGGACAAAGGCGGCGAAATATGTCTCGATGTCCATCAGGTCGACCGAGACCTCGCCCAGCCACGACTCGATCACTGGCGTGAACAGCTGATCGTATTGGCGCTGTGGCTTGCCCATCAGCTGGAATATATTTGACCATACCAGCTGTCTTATCGATGCTGGACAAGTGTCCACCACCTGTGTATATTGCTTCAGTGCGCTCAACAAGTTGGCGTAGAACGACACTGACTCGTACCTCTTAAAGGTAGGTGAATAAAACATTGCATCATTGACTGGTGTCTCCATGATGTTTATATATTTAGTCTGTATATTTGATATTCTTCAGATTGTTTGATTGATCGTGTTCTGGAATAAGTCCAAGTGAATAGTAAAGTATGAGTATGAAGTATGAGTATGTTTGATCGATTGATCGATTGAACGATTGAACGATTGATGGATGGGTGACGAAGCGAGTGAAGTTAGAATAAATAATATAAATATATATATTACACCAAAGTTGGAAATAAATGGAATGATTGAGAATGAAGGATGGATGTGAGGTCGGGAGGTATTGGATATAATAATAGGGATATTTGTTGTCGACAAAGGGGGCTTGTGATTCCAGGTCCGAGTCTCAAACACACACAAACACATACAAACACATACTAACACATACTAACACACAAACAATCAGAGATATTTGATAGATATGCGCTTCTTGTTTTATGGGCTGTGATGTGTGCTAATGTGTTAATATCCTAATTTGTATCTCTCTCGGAGGTATGGAACAAAGAGGGAACAAGGAAGAGTGTGTGCTTGCATCATCATCAATCACGGTCCGATAGGCAATTGCAAGTGAAGTGTAAGCCTCCTTCTTCGGCTGGTATTGGCTGTTTGCCAATGGGCGCCATTGTTGTTGTGTGAAATGAATGAACATGCTGTGGCTGATGATGACAAGGGCCGAAGTAGACTGTTGGGTCACACGAAAGTGCGGGACTTTCAAAAAAAAAAGAAAAACAAGTCTCTCTTGTGTTTGTTTGTTTGTGTGTGTAACATGTCATTTGGATGTTTCTGTGCATGATTCCATCGAGGAAGGTGGTGGTGATCAGCCGATCGGCTGGACTAGGCTAGTTGCTAAACTGGGCTACATGTTGTTGTTCCGTCATGTATGGGTGATACTTGTTTAACTTCACAATGCAAGTCAACAATATCCTTGATTTCCTTTTACGAGCCGATTGACTGATGGACGAGATTGACGACCAACAAGATTGTTGTTGAAAAGAAAATGAATTGTTTACTTTGATAACGAACGAACGAACGAGCAATAAGGACCCAATGATGACGAACATGTTGATGTTGATGTTGAAGTTGATGTAGATGCTGATGATGTTGATTGATGTTCAGATAAAGAACTTACACATACAGATATATTTAACTTGTTATAATATATTTATAAATTAATCAGTGAGTGCATGAGTGAGTGCGAGTGAGATTTAGTGATGGAGTGAGAGTGATTGATTGATTGATGGATAGGAATGAATGACACGAACGTGGAAAGTCCAAAGACGACAGACCAGACAGACTGGCTGATTGACTGGCTTAGTCTTGATAAAGATAGTCAAGCAGGAGGAGGATGGTGTTCGCGTGAGTAGGAGTGGCACGGTGACGGTTTGATTAATTAATATGAATGGATGGGATGATTGGATTTGGTTGATGACGATGTTGGAGGAGGGATGAATGCACCATTCCGAATGTCTGGAGACAAAAAAGAAGTAGTAGGATACCTTCCCCTTGCTTCTGAAAGCATCCGACTATCCTCAAAAGGACACAACAACAAACAAATAAGTACCTGACCTTGCTGCCCCATCTCAGTGAGGCAGGGGTTACACACGCATCAACTTTGCTGGCGCGGTGCAAATAGGTAGGTAGTCAGTGGACAGTTGGATTCGTCGACTTTATCATCCCGTCAGATATTTAAAATAAAAGGGATAAAGCATTGACTGAAAATGGCTGGAAATATCTAGATTGATTGTCGGAGGTTTGAATTGAAATCTAGATTTTTCGGACTTTGTGTGTTTTTTGGTGTTTTGTTTGTTTTGTTTGTGTGAATCGAATCGAACAAAGTGTAATGGGCCTCGAGTGGTGGGGTTTGATTGTCGCGTCCCAAATCAAGATAATTACAATGAGTGCCACCGAGAGTTCCAGAACAAATATAGACGGTTATATTTATACTATGTATGTTTTGGTCGGTGTATGAATGTGGACTGAAGTGATGATATTGAAAGAGTTATATTATCTGTATTATTGATCATGATCATTATTATTTGTTGATCGACATGTTGTTGAAGTTGTGGTCGTTGTCATTATTTTTGTTTGTTTGCAAACAAACATCAATATGAAACAAATATTATTCAAAAGAAAAGTTGAAGGAATTATTGATTGGATGATTGAACGTTCGAGACACTTCGTTGAACATCATCAACCCCTTTGGTTACATATTTGTGATTGTATAATGTGTTGGTTGTGATGGTCTATAATTGATACCTGGAGTTGGTTGGGTCTATTGGGTATGGGACATAATTGTTGTCCCATTGATGGGACACTAAATCAAATATATACTTACATAACTAAGTCTTGATCCAATGTATGATTGATTGATTATTTTACAACAATATAAATAATAATAATAGATTAAGAATGAATTAGTTGATGAGGCAAATGTGAATAATAAGTCAATTGCTTACAATGACCATGTAAAGTTACTTTGAGGTTGAGGATACCAGGACTCCCCAACAATAATAATAAATGAAAGGTTCGATGGCATTCTAGAGAGCAGAGAACATTCACCCAACAACAACGGTCTCAAACATCACCAGGTGCACCTTGTCCCAAAATGAATGGATTGATGGATGAATGAAAATATCCCAAGATTCTTGAAATCGTCAGTCGTAACGAGCTTAGATAAGGTCACATCAGCATGTTGGCATTGCGATAGGTCAGGGAACAGAAGATCAGACCCGTGCACCTTGAAATCCTGCTCTACATCTAGATATTAACAGTTAATAATAGCTTAGGATAGGACAGCCAATCATGGAACACACACACACACACACACACACACACACACACACACACAAACGAATACCAATCATCTGATCAGATGATGACACAGCGGACGGAGATATTACCAAAAGGATATTTGTTTTTTTCATTATTTACAACCAGGTGTAGCGGCTTCATTCTGTTCGCGATGGTGTTGTATGTGTGTAGTCTTTGTCTTGCTCGCATCTATGCCCGTACATGCATCCGTCCATTCGTCTGGTCTCCAATCTTATCGGTCCGTCAAGGTAGGCTTTTGTGGCGCGTCACCAATCCGTACAATCCCATCCATCATCTTCCGGTCTTCCGTCCAGGTCCAATCCATGAAGTGAAGATGACCCGCTCCGTCCCGGCCCGGTAGGTCTTGTGAGTATTCGACCGAGCATAGTGGTGTGATGATCATGCATGCTGCAAGGTTTGCTGGCTCGTCATTGAAGTACATCGTTGTTGGTCGTTGGCTTGATTGATTGCATGAATGAATGGTTGGTTGAGTGTTGATTGATTGATTGATTGAGCGAGGTGAAGCTCACAAACTACATTCCAATGAATGAACAGAGAGAAAGCAGGGTCGTGCCTTACTACCCTGCCCCTGCAGCTCATTTGCGCTTGTTGTTGTTGTTATCCTGGTTGCGTATCAGCTCAACCAACAGCTCGATCGACTTGCTGACTGATGACATGTCGCGCTGTATCGACTTGAGTATGATTGTGAACTGGTCGTTAGACTCGCTTTGCAGTGTGTTGTTATCTTTGTTAAGATTGGCCTCTGATGTAGCCCGCTCCATCGTTTGCAACGTTGTTTGCATCTCTTTCTGAACGTCTTGAATTGCTTTGGTCTTGGCCATGGCATTGGCATTGGTCTCTTCAAGAGTGATGGACGTCGACGTGGCACCATCCCCATCCATTGACAATGGAGCTATTACCACCTTGTTGCGCTTGCTTGTCAACGTCTTCCAAGTCAGTCGCACATCTTGATGATCGCTATTGTGTGTCTTGTGATAATGTTCGATGAAAGAGATAGTGACAGGATCGCTAGGATATCCACATCCAATTGGTGTCTGAAGCTTCTCTTGCAACGCCGCGATGGCACGGTCACGCTCAACCTTGGCAATTATCGATGCGGCCGACGTAGCAATATACTTGTCATCGGCCTTTGTCTCGCATATAATATCAAACTCTGGCGAAGGGTATTGCCTGACAAAGGGTTGCGCAAACTTGACATTGTTGCGCTCCAAACTGTCCAGCTGAACAGTGAATCGCCAGCCCTCCTTCATGGAGGCCATGGCCTCCTCTTGATGCTCATTCATATCCATTGCTGTGGTAGTGGCAGTCTTTGTCGCCAGCACACCGGCAGCGTTATAGTTCTCCTTGAGATAGTCTGCCGAGCGCTGGATCAGTTCAAGGAAGATCTCGGTCTCAATCTGGTTGAGGGTCTTTGTTTGACGCATCCGGTCAATGTCGCGAGCCTCCAACAGGTAGATGGTGGTGTATAGTGCATGCTCCTTGATCACCTCGTATAGTTGTTCGCGTCGTGCTGGTGACAATCTTTTGCTGTCCATCACGCCCATCGCTCTGAGATGATGCTCGGCTTGTTCATTGAGTGATACTGCGGCGATGACCAAAGGCCCCAGTACAGCACCCTTGCCCGCTTCATCAATTCCAATTGATGACACCAAGTACTTTGACCTCTCCATCTGTTTCTTTGCTGCCGCTGCCAAAGCATTCTGTTTAAGTTGTTCTGCCAACGATCTACGTCTTGTCTGTGCAGGCGTCTCCATCATCAACTCGCTTGTTAGTTGAACATGTTGAATGATTGGTGGTGACTCGTTGACTGAGGGTACTATAGTTTGCTGGGCGGCTGAGGCAACAGCAGCAGCGGCGGCAGCAGCCATGGACTTCTTTGACCTTCTTGTTCGCTTGACCTTGGTAGGAGGTGTAGCTAGAGATGGAGTATCGCTTGGATAGCTCTGATGCTCCTCAGCAAGTGCTGGCTCCATCCATGATGCTGATTGAGAGTATAGTGTTGTGTATGATGTACTGATGTAGGTATGTCGATGATGCTGTACATTATTATTAAGTTGTGGCGACAACAACAACCTTATAGTCTGTCGCCCTACAACATGATGTAGTCCCGACAAAGAGTTAACATGTCTCACAATAGAATGAAACATTATAACAACAACAACTACTACTACTACTACTTGTACTAGTATCTGTATGTATTACTTTGAATGATGAATGATTGAATGAATGCGCAGGTCGACATCACGTCACCACTTTGAACTCAAACCCTTGGTCCCATAAATTAACATTTTGTGATGGACCTGGATTGATCGGTCGGTGTCGGTATGTTTATTCAGAATCGGATAGTACAGTATTGTTGTTGGACTTCATCAACTTGAGGATCTTTGAGAAGATCTTCTTGTTGGCATCCTTGGCCCACATAAAGTCAAGATGTTCATAGGTCTCCTCCTCGTGGACAAACACTACCTTGTCGCGTGGCAAGTGTCTGAGCAGAGCCTTGGTGTTGGGCAGCGTGTCGGCACCGCCAAAGAACAGCGCGCACTTTGTGAGTATCTGGCCGGGATGGTAGCCGGGGATGACGCGGCCGTGGTATCTGTGCGGTTGGTTCGAGTTCTCGTTGGGTGTGATGCCCAGCAGCATGTCGTCAAACATCTGGAATCGATTGGTCTGGATGATCTGGAACCAGTGTACGACGGACTTGACGCTGCTCGTCGAGAAGATGTGTGAGTAGAGCATGGGCTTCTCCTCGGGCGACAGGTTGGTCGTCTGCCAGTTGAAGAGGAAGTTGATTGCCCAGTCGATACATGCGACAAAGAAGTGCTTGGGCAGTGTGTTGCGCCAGAAAGTCGTCGAGGGCAGCATCGACTTCTTGCCAAACAACAAGAAGATGAAATCTGGGCGACTCCTTGCCAATGAATCAATCATTGGATTGCTGAATCCCTTCACAGTTGCAACTGGTGCCAGCGCAATGAAGAGGTCGACTCTGTTTGTTTGATTGTTTGATTGATTGATCGTTAGCGAGTGTTCATACAAAGAGCGAGGACTACTACTTACTTGCTTGCCAATGATGTGTTGGTGCTGAGTGCAGCCCATCCTTGGGCTGTGCCCTGGGAGAAGCCAATGTATGTGAGCGACTTGAGCTTGGTCCTGTCGATGATAAAGTCCACGATGCTGGGCAGGTCGTAACGAACCAGCTCGTCGAGTGACCAATTCCAGAACTTCTCCTGGTCAGGTGAAAGAGTTGTATGCTTGAATGAGTACTTGTTGCCACGATTGTTGCCCAGCCAAACGTCGTATCCTGCGTCGGCCAGGATGAATGGCAGACTGTCGTTGGGGTCCGAGCGACACAGCCACGCCTCGGACGTCTGCATGAAGCCGTGCATGATCAGCACGGCTGGCTTGCCCGACGGTTCGAACAGCTCGCTGTGGCTGACGCCGAGGTCGCGCGGCGACGCTGGTGGTGAGTCGAGTGGAGAGGTGAATGCGCGTGGGCCAGTGATGCGGTGCAGCATGAGGATGTATCCGTCGGGCGTGGTGACGTAGTGTTCCTCGACTGGATAGCCACGACTTGTGATCATCTCGATTGCATCGCGCTCCAGGTCCTTCTCGGCCTCGGTGTATGCACTGCTTGGACGACGAGGAATTGCCGATTCAATGTATGATGAGAATGGAATTACGCTCATCACTATATACAAACCGAATCGAACTATCCTCTCAACAATCAATATCGCCAGTGTTAACCAAAGTTGACTCCATCTCCACAATGTCTTTACTAATCGTAAGAATACCATCATAATATATTGATGTAGTTGTAGTTGTTATAGTTGTTGTAGTTGTTGTAGTTGTTTAAATGAATGAATGTGAATGAATGAATAAATGAATGAGATATATAAGAATGAGATGAGCTTGTGAGATTCTTGAATGGTTGGGAAGAAAGAGATGTGAGAGAAGGGATAGGACATACTTTAGATGAACCCTAAACTCAATCAATCTAAAGCAAGCAAACATGTGATTGAATGACCTGAGTGTAGTGTGTGGGGTGGTGAGTGGGCGATGGGGTTTCGGTTGATCTCTAAAGATCAAAAGTGTGGTTAATTACATGTGGGTGGGTGTGAGGTGATGTGAGACGACAGTTATTTATAACTTGTTGTCAACAATCAAACAAACAAACATGAACGAATGTTTTTCCCGACTGACTCAATCCGGTCACGACGGAGACAAGTTGGTAACAACGTCCAACTAGTTGGATGACCATAAAGTGTCGATGATAGGTCCACATTTCGGCTTTGACGATGGACACCAACTATCAAAGGATTGATAAACATGATTGATCAATCGATACCCTACCAAGACCAATAAGTGTTGTTGCTTCGACCATTCAAATGATATTATGATTGATTACCATGGCTATCCACCTCCATCTGTTTAATAGAGAATGATTCATTCATTCAATTCATCATTCTGAGCAACATGTAATACATTCCAACAAGTACCTTTGGTCAGAACATTGAGGCTAATAATGGGATATGGGATTGATAAAGTGCCATCCAATGTATAGTTGATTGAGACTGAATGTGTGTCTTGTTAACCAGCCACGATCTTGATCAAGATAGAGTGTATTAATTATATCCCTTGCTGACTATCTCTTCAATGTTTGCCTGGTTGATCGCAAAGAAGTGTGACAATTGATATAGTTGATTCCTCAATGCTCGGACCAGGTTGATGCATTTGAATGTCACTGCAAATTGACTTTGTTCATTCGCTGTCTTAAAGTCCTCAACATCTGGATACTTCTTAATCTAATTGTCATGGATCATGTGACATCGGTATCAGTATTGTTTGATTGATTGAATGATTGATTGAGTGTACCTACCTTATATGATTGGACAAGGTTGACTTTGACATCATTCATCAGTGTATTATGATGGTAGATATAGGTACTAAGTATCTTTTGAATTGGTACTACCAATGAGTCCTAATATGATTGATTGATTGATTGATTCAGATCTGTTAGAGGACGCTCACCAATCCATCTCATCAACTTCAAATACGTACAATCAATATCTTTAGATGAGGATCTCCTGTCTCTGGCTGTGGAGCATACAACAAGAAGTAGGCCCATGTATCCGAGAGACATGTAGTGATATCAGACGTAGTATGTGCAAGGTACCGCAGTAGTTGATCCTAAGTATGACAGGGACGCTGATGTGTCAGTGACCTACATTCATTCATTCGCTCGTTCATTCGCTCAATCGATCGATCAATCACATACAATTGTCTCAACATCTTTATGATTGATCAATGGTTGTTCGAGATAACTTGTTGTGCTCATTGGCTTGTAATGATTCTGGTCGTCCATCATCTTCTCCAAGTTCCATCTGGTCTGTGTTGTCATGTGATGTGATATGATGAGTCATGTGATCAGTCAGTACTTCGCGATTGTTGATGAGAAGAGCAGAGCAGAGTGATCGAGCAACATACATGTAGATCGTTGTATGCACCAATGTAGTGAGGTAACATTTGAGTGACAAAGCTGTTGTAGGCTTTGGTTAGATTGACTCTGTATTCATCTAGATCCAATCCTTTCTTTATCAACGCTTCTTGTCTCTGTTGTAGTATAGCCTCAACATCAATCATATGTTGATCTACACCATTATTATCATTATCATTATCACTACCATTATTATGTTTCTTCTTTCCATTTGAATGTTGTTGTTGTTGTGTTGTCAACTTGTCTCCATCTATCCTTGGTCTCTCTCTAATTCCTGACATAACTCTATATCTTTAAATAAATAATGTAAACGACAACTACATAATGGTCGAGTTCATCTTCTCAAAGGAAATGGGTGGATTTGCGCGAGGCAAGGGCGAGGGTTAGGGTTAGGGCAAGGGTAGGGTAGGCAAGGGTCTGGACAAATGGTATCCAATGGACATCGATGTTCGTAAATCAAGAACGATCAAACTACAAACTAAACAACCAACACTATTAATGTAACTATGAAGTCTTGAGTGAAGATGTCATCGAGTGATGTCATAATATAACTATAACGACGCCATTGATACCACTAATCGTCAGTCAACCGTTGTAGTAATCATTGCCTTTTGTGGATGATGGACCGGTCCTTCCAAATTGGGTCCATCCATCGACCTCCGCCACATAAACGAATAAGAATAGAATTGATTTCTTCTGGAAACGAATCACTATCAATCAATCTAATCAATCAATCAATCTATAGATATGGGATTGCACTATGTACTCTTTTTATAAATATAACAAAGATGCTTAACTTGGAACATTACGCCATTATAACATCAGTGATGGTAATAGGGTATAATAGTAGTAGGTTGGTATGAAGGGATATGTTGAGTGAACCAACTATTCACAATCATGGTTCACACCTTCTATGGGTCTACCCTACCTACCTGCCTACCCTCATAAACTATATCTGTGGCAACAGAACTCATCATCATAGTGACAGAAGGCGTGGTCTGAGAACTATGAATTGGAACCACGTCCCTGCCACCCCCATCTTTGTCATTAGCAACACTACGCGAAACAATCACGACACCAGACATCATCATCATTCAGTTGTAATTGTGTGTGATTGATTGATTGTAAATTAGTTTTGATGACTTGTGAGTGAGAGGGAGACAATCGATTGAATGAGAGAGGGAGTGAAAGAATGTGAGGACGACCCGGGCCCATCATGAGACCTTCGAAGGTGGTGAGGCAGTAACACTGCTATTTAAACAGAGATTGGATGGATGGACTTGGAACAAAGGTTTCTTGAATTACACAGAGAAATTTCCACACCTCCAACCTTATTGTATCACTCTTTCCCCAGTTTCCCCAGACTACCTCTCTCCCCCACAAACTATAATTATCAAGACTAACTGTGTCTGTCTATCATTAAAACAACATTCACCTTAACCAACAGTCAACAAGTTACATGTTTGAGTCTCCCTCAAAGGTGTCCCATTCAATCAATCAATCAATCAATATTTATATATATATTTATAAATATATCAATTTTAATACTTTTAGACAATAAGGTAGGTTGATCAATTGAACTCAACTTGGAACACCACTCACAATGTTTATTGTTATAATGATGTTCTATTTATAAACGAACAATCACTTCACTCCATTATTCCTCAACATTATGGACCTCTCATTCATACTCAAACACCAATCAAACACACAATCAAACAAACAAACACACACACGCCATTCAAAAGAATCATGAACGTGCCTCCATCCTTCCTTGATTTTCCAAAGAACCAGAGTCTTCTGGATCAAGGGTCGTTTTAGTGAAACAATCATCACATTGCCGTCATACATTCATCACCTTATCACCATCACACCGATCACTTCCAATTATGAACACAATAACATCTTAAACCAATAATAATCATTTAAACAATCAAAATATATATAACAAACAATCAATATCAATCAACCAAACACATAATAATACCGATCATCATCATTGTAGTGTAGGTAGTAGTTTGTTACTTGTGTTGTGTTTGTCATTATGATGACACTCACTTCATCTATTTGTGTGTGAGAGAGAATATAAACAAATCGTATCAATGACGAAATCAAAACCCAACCATGTTCGAATATATTTCGATTGATAAAAATAATAATTTATACCTTTTTTGATATAAATATATATATCTCTCTGATCGCATAAACAACAAACACCACCCCCAACAATATTGACACGATTTGACATGTTGGCTTGTGATGGAAACAAACCAAACCACAACCCACAACCCCCTGGGATTCATTCACTCAGGTCTCGTCAGCGTATCGTCGTCAGTTCAGTTTCCATTTTTATAAAAATGGAATCACACACATGCTCATGTGTTCGCGATCCAACTCGAGTGGAAGCATCATCAACGCAATGTTCCTCTTCCAAATAGAACTACTTGTAGATTATAAGGGTATACACACACTTGACATATATTATTATATTCTAGATCTATATTTATAATGTGACTTCCGAATATCCTACATTCATCACCCATCATACACATACAATATACACATACACACACACACATACTTACAATCAATCAATATATATTTATTTATTTAGTTTATAATCAATTATAAAAATAATGGGAAGAAAGAAGATTAAGATTCAAAAGATTACTGATGAAAGGAATCGTCAGGTTACTTTCACAAAGAGAAAGAATGGATTGATTAAGAAGGCAATGGAGTTGGCATTATTATGTGATACATCAGTCACTTTGGTCATTGTAAATAACTCACCAAATGCCAAGGAGAAGTACTTCCAGTATGTCAGCTCAGACTTGGAAGCGCCACTCAACACCATCCCAGACCTTGGAACTGAAATATCACAATTCTATGATGATGATTCAGTATGTATTTATACAAATTTATTATTATTTGATTGATTGATACTAATTTTTATTTTAATAATTAATTTCCAGTATGACAAGATATTTACAAAGAGGGATAAACTGGATAATCATGATGAGATACCACATGATAGTCATTCAAGTGGTGATGCACATTCATCACCATTGATGTCTCCATCACAATCACCAAGTATCCAACCACTACATAGTGTATCGTCCAAGTCAACATCATCATCAACATCCAACAACAATCATTATCATCCATATTCCACGTCGACCTCAACAACAACTAGAATGACAAAGAACAAACAACAATCAGTACAACATCAAACTCAAACAAATATTCAGCCACCACTTTCACCAAAGCAGCAACAACAACAACTTCAACAAGTACCACAAGCCTTTGATTCAAACTTGGCCACTCAGGCACTGCTCTCACTCACACATCAGTCACCGACCAAGACCATACCAGCGCATCCATTACCAACACCAACAACAAGTGTGTCTACATCAAATCAATCACCGACCTCATCCAACTCAACATCGCCATCATCTTCACCTAGAGTTGCATCATCAACTCCTCCTTCAATATTACTCGAGGCATCCACTTCCACTCCACCAGCCATCAGTTCTCCAACCTTATCATCCCTGTTTTCAGGAGGACATGGCTATGACAATGTCACATCCTCTCCAATTTTCATGCCAACCTCAAGTCATGGTCATGGTCATTCACATTCAAATTCAATCAAGGTCACAAACGAATCAATATCCATTTTATTGAATCATAGTGGAGACAATGTATCCAATAGTTGTAGGCCGCTGACGACAGTGGCAGCATCACAATCGACATCACCATCATCACTATTCACACTACCACCTCTACACGACTTCACACTCAATCGACATCTTCCACCAATGTTCAACAATACTCATCATAGAGATTATAACATCAATGTATAAATAACCAAATAAATAATAATAATACTTCTGGAAACCAAGTTTGTGGACAAGATGCCATCATCGACTACTCCTGGAAATGATTGGAAAGAAGAAGAACATGATTGATTTGGGTGGGTTGGGTGCTTTATTTATTCTTTAGGGTATTATAACAAGTTTGGATTATATATTATTATTATTAATTATATTTAGAAGAGTCCGGCATTCTGCTTCTCCTTGTTCTTCCTCCAGCCTGGCAACTTGGCAAAGTCTGCCTTGTTCATCTTGAAAATGGACTGGAACTCTGAGTCACTCAGGTAGATCTCGAGGTTGTTCTGGTCGAGTCCGGCTGGCTTCTGTTGCAGCTCGGTCAAGGTCATTGTTTGGCCTGGGGCGAGTGGCGATGGGACGACGGCGGGTGCTGGTGCCGACTCGGATGGTGGGGAGCTGGCCTCAATTGGTGAGCTAGTTGAGAATCTCTGTTGTGACGCTTGCTTGACAATTGGTTGTCCAGTGGCTGGTGAGATGGCTGGACGTGCTGGGCCCTTGGCAACTGGCTTGGGAGCTGGTGCTGGGGTTGGGGTTGGGGCAGCAACTGGGGTTGGGGCTGGGCCAGTCTGATCCTGGTACTCGTGCTTTCTGATCGAGAACAGCTTCTTCTCGGCCTGCTCGAGCTCCTTCTTGAGCTTCAGAATTCTGACCTGCTGCTCCATCTCGTGAACCTTGAGACCGGTGAACGACATACCGGATGGGTCGAAAGCCTCGACCTCCTCGTCTTGCTTGCCGACAGACTTGGCAGCCTCGACCAGCTGGCTGGTGGCGTTGGACACCTGCTTGGCAGCCTGGGACAGTTGAGAGTTGGAGGCACTGTTGAGGTCGGCCTTGGCTCTGCTGGCAGCGACCAGACGAGCAGTGGTGGCGGCGACACCCTTGGCAGCGGCGACCAGAGTCTCCTCCTCAGCCTTTCCTTGGGTGGAGTCATTGGCAGAGACGACCAGAGTCTGGACGGAACCGGCGACGGCTTGGGCAGCAGAGATCAGACCACGAGCCCATGTTGGGTCACGACGGTACTGGTTGCCTCCCTTGTTGACCTTTCCTTGAGCGACCAACTCGTGCTGCACGGCGGAAGCACAGTTGACCAAGATACCGGTGGCACTGGTAATGGCACGGGCAGCCTCGAGAATGGCCTCATCAATACCGGCCTCATCAATGCCAGAGGCGGCACGGGCATCCTCACGCTTCTTCTTGGCCTTGAGCAAGGCGGCGGTGGCCTCCTCAATGACACGAGCAGCCTCCTTGAGCTCCTTCTCGGCGACCTCCTCGAGGTTCTCGCCAGCCTGGAACAGCTTCTTGGCTCTCTCTCCACCTGGAAGATCTCCGGCGGCAGTGACCACCTCGTTGATGGCCTCAGCAACCTCGGCGGAAGCCTCGGACAGCTTGTTCTGGGCCTGGTTGTTGGTTGGGTCGGAACGAACGCTCTTGGCAGCTTGGACGAGCTTGAGGATCTTGTTGGAAGCCTCCTTGGCAGACTCGGTGACGTTCTGTTGGATGACAGCATCGTCGGTGAGTCTTGTGGCACCCTTGGCGTTGGCCAGCAGTGATCTGACAGAGGCGTTGGTGCCCTTTGCAGCACTATCCAACTCGTCTGGGGCGTTGTTGGTCGAGCTGACCAGGTAGGCGATGGACTCGGCCAAAGACTTGGCTGAGGTGACAACGTCCTCGGCGGTGGCGTTACCGTTGGAGGTGGCGTTGGCAGTGTCGTAGGTGCCCAACTGCTTTCTGATCTCGGCAGCGATGGAGTCCAACTCGCGGATACCCTTGGTGGTGGTGGATGAGTTGGCGAGCGAGGCCAGAGCGTCGATCGACTCGTCGAGAGCCTTGGACGACTGGGTCTTCATGGTGTTGTTGGCGGGCGTTGGGTTCTTCTGGGCGGCACGGGTGGCAGAGACTGTGGCCTGCAGGTTGGAGCTGACGTTTCTCGAGTTGTTCAAGATGTTCTGCTGCATGTTTGGATCGGCAGTGAGGGCAGCGCAGACCTTGGCAGCGTTGGCCAACTGGCTGTTGACGTGGGCAATGTGCTTGGCGTTGACTCCGACCTCCTCGATGGTGGAAGCCTTGAGCAGCTGCTGGTTGGCCTCGTGCAACTCCTTGGCAAGACGATCAATGTCCTGCTGGACTTGCTGTGGGGTCTGACCGTCAGTCTCAACATCGATCTGACCGGCGGCGGCGAACAGGGAAGCAGCATCCAGATCGGATGTGGCCTTGTTGATGGCCTCAAGTGCTGCATCAACGTCACGATCACCAGTGGCACCAGCCTTGAGCGCAGAGATCAGGTTGGCAATCGAGGTGGTGACACTCTTGAAGTTGTCGTTGATCTTACCCTGGAGGGCAGCGTTCTTGTTGTCAGCACTGGCAAGCTTGGCGTCAGCAATGATCAGGGCAGTCGAGTCGACAATGCCGTTGGTGGCATCGAGCAGCTTCTGCTTGGCGACGGCGTCGTTGGTGGCCGAAGCGGTGGCACGGGAGCTCTCGACCAGACGGGGGATGATACCTCCGACCTTGAGAGAGTTCTGGCCAATCTCGTCGGGCTTGTTCTTGGCAGCGTTGACCAGAGCAGAGATACCCAGGGCCAAAGCCTTAGCGATCTCGGTGGTATCGTCTCTGTACTCCTGGTAGGTCTTGCCCTTTGAGTCTGGGGCAGGCTTGTACAAGGTCTCCTTGGACTGGTTGATGGTCTGGATGGCCTCATCACAGTCACGTGACTGCATGACTCCTCCCTTGACAGAGGTAAGGATGTCGGCGATGGCTTGCGAGGCATTGAATGCCTGCTTCGAGTCGCTGACGTCGCCTCCCTTGGCAGCAATCATCAACTCCAACATGTTGTCGGCCAACTTCTTGGAGAGCTGCAGTTGGGTCTGCTTGATCTCTGGGTTGGTGGTGAGCGAAGCCAACTGCTTGGAGATGTTGACAATCTTTGGCAACAGGTTGGCAGTGTTCTTGGCTGACTGGCCGAGGTTGGCTGGGTTCTCCTTTGGAGCGGCCAGGAAGACCTTCATGGCGGTAGCCAGCTCGCGGGAAACCTCGACGAGGTCCTCCTGGCATGACTGAGCAGTCTTGCCGGCTGGGGCGGTGTTCTCCAACAGACCGATGGCGGCGTTGAGGGAGGCAGAGTCGAGGTCGACGACAGCCTGCTGAATGATCTCAATTGACTCGTCAATGTCCTTCTGCTCTGGTCTCATGCCGTTGATGGCGATGAGCAACTGCTGCACGCCAGCCGAGACAGACTGGGCAGCAGAGGAGAAGCTCTGGTGCACGTTGGCGTCCTTGGTGCCAGTGGAGATGTTCTTGCTGATGGCCATGAACTGGGACATCGAGTTGGCGACGGAGCGAGTGGCGTCGAGCAGAGCTTGCTCGGCGGGTGACAGGGCATCCAAGTCGATCTCGACCTGCTGGGCAGAGTCGAGTCCCTCAACAGAGCGCAAGAGGTCGCGGATGTAGGCAGACACCTCATCGTGAGCGGCTCTGACCTGCTCTGCTGGAGCGGTCTGACCAGAGGCAACAGTCTTGGCGATGTTGACCAGCTTGGTGGTGGCGTTGGCCACGTTCTGGGCATCGAGCAAGATCTGCTTGGATCTCTCGGGGTTGCCGGCGGTGAGAGCCTGCGATGAGAGCTTTCTGGCGGCGTTCATGAGGTTTGGCACAGAGAGGGCCAGGTTCTTGGCGTTGACGGCAGCCTCCTTCTTGTCCTGCTCGTTCAAGGTCTTCTTGGCGCAGGACTCGTTGAGGGCAGAGCTGGCGGCGCTGACCTTTCCAGCAAGGCTGGAGAGTGAGTCGGGGTTTACCTCGGTGCTGCCATAGATGGCGGACTTGGCGCACTCGGTGGCGTCCAACAGGTCGAGGGCAGCCTTCTTGCAGTTGGCACCCATCTTCTCGGACTGAGTCTTGGAGTTGACGACCTGGCCGGTGTGCTCACCGAGCTCCTTGGCGGCGGTGGTGCATGGCTTGAGTGGGTCGGCGCGGAGCGAGTGCGAGATGACGCCAGTGTTGAGCTGGACGATGCACTGCTTGACGATGGCGATGGCCTCACCAATCTCAGCCTGACCTGGGACGGCCGACTGGATGGTGTGAGTCAGCTGCTTGACAAGGGCGTCGATGGCAGACTGGGCGTTGGTAAGCTCGGTCTCACCCTCACCTGGACGGGAGGCGGCGTAACGACTGGCCTGCAGCAACTTGATGGAAGCCTCTCCGAGTTGAGCCAAGATGTTGGCAGTCTCGATGGCAAGGTTCTTGTTGGGGCATGAACCAGTGGCAGCATTGCAAGTGTCGACCAACTGAGTGTAGGTGGACGAGGTGGTCTTTGAGGATGGTCCAAGGGCAGATGGGTTGCTGCGAGCGTTGGCAGAGGTCTGCGATGAGGAGGCGAGCAAGGCCTTTGATGAGGAGATGGCCTTGTCACTGTTGGTACCGTACTCACCACCGAGGCTGACTGGTGGGTTGTTGATACGCTTGATGTCGTTCTTGATGGCCTCGATGGCGTCGTCGAGGTCCTTTCCACCGGGGTCTCCACCCTTGGATGTGGCAAGCAATGCGGCCAAAGCCTCGGCAATTGCCTTGACGGAGGACTGCAGAGCGAGCTCGAGTGGGGCGTCACCTGGGTTGGCAGAGACGGCACGAGCACAACTGATCAAGTTGGCCGACTCGGTGGTGATCTGCTTGGCAGCACCGAGGACGGCGCGCTGCACAGAGCGGTTCTGCGAGGTGGCAGAGACGGCCTTGGCGGCGTTGGTCACCTGACCAACAGAGTTGGAGAGGTCCTTGCATGTGTTGCCCAATTGATCTGGGGCAGTCTTGTATTGGAGCAACACCTGCTTGGCAGAGTTGCCGAGTGCGCGAGCGGCCACGTTGAGGAGCTCCATGGCGTTCTCACGAGTCTGGCCTGGAATGTTCTGGATGAGGCCGGATTGGGCAGCGTAGGACTGAGCCTCCATGTCGGCCTCGAGGGCCTGAACCTGCTCCAAAGCATCGTCAAAGTCTTGCTGGCCAACAGCGGACGAGAGGTCCTGGATGGACTCCAAGAGCACCTTGATGGCGTCAGAGGCAACGTTGGCAGAGTGAGTGAGCTCGGACTTGAGCACTGGGTCCTGCACCTTGGGGATGGTGGCCTTGGCGTCGGCGACCAACTGGAAGGCAATTGGGGCAGAGACCTTGATCTGGTCGACCAACTGGTTCTGTGCAGAGATGTCGTTGGGCTTGGTCTGCGAGTTGTTGATGGCTCCAATCATCTCGCCAATCTCGTGAAGGGCGCGGTCGATTGAGGCCTGGATGCGGGCGGCATCCTGCTCTGGAAGGGTCGGGGTCACCTGCTTGCTGGTGGTGATCAGACCGGTGGTGGCGGCACAGGCCAACTTGGCGTTGGTGCGGAGTGCCTGGAAGGCCTCCTCCTTGCCAGCATCGCCAACCAATTGCTTGGTGGCCATGGCCAGACGCTTGGAAGCGTCCTGCAACTTGGCAAAGGCAGCCTTGTCGTCTGGGTTCTCAGCGCTGAACTGAGCAACCTCGACGAGGTGTCTGGCGGCCTCGGCCACAGTCTTGGAGCACTGGATGAGACGGTCGCGGACAGCGGGGTCGTCAGTCTTGAGAGTGGCTCTCTTAGCACCGGCGATCAAGTGGATCATGGCCTCCTCAATCGACTTGGTGGCACCCTGGATGACGTCTGGACGACCTTGAGCACCGAGCATCTGAGCTGAGGCGGCAAGGATCTGCTTGGCAGCATTGCTGAACTCAACATCGTCGCCACTCTTTGGCTGAGCGAGGTCAGCCGACTGCAAGAGGTAGGCGTAGGCGTCGGTGATTTGCTTGGCATGAGCCTTCAACTTCTCCAACAGAGCAGAGTCGAGGTTGGAGGACTTGGCAGTAGCCAACAGGTAGTTGATCGAGTCCTGGGCAGACTTGGAGGCGGCGTCAAACTGCTGGCGGCAGGTTGGGTCCAAGATGGTTGGAGCGAGGGCTTGGGCGGTGGCAGAGGCCAACACACCAGCCTTGCCAGTCTCGTCGGTGGCGTTGTTCAACTGGTTACGTCTGATTGGGTCGGCGATGGTGGTAGCCATCTGGTTGGCATTGTTGACGAGCTCCTGAGTGGCAAAGGCGATGGCCTTTCCAGACTCTTGGAGCAGTCTAAGGGTACCCTGGTCGGTGATGACACCGTTGCAGGCACCGTCGAGGTAGGCGGTCATGAGACGCAACTGCTCGGCAGCCTGAGCAACCAAGTTTCTTGCGTTCTCGTCGTCGGGGTTGGCGGCGAGATCCTTGGTGGCCTTGAGAAGCTTGGAGATGGCCTCGGCGACGGATCTGGCACCGTCGAACAGGGGCATCTCTCCGTCGGGGTCTTCACCAGCGGCGATCGAAGCAGCGCGGGCAGCGTGCACCAGCTGGTCGATGGTGAGCGCAATGTCACGGGCGTTCTGGTCGACCATGCCACGGTCCATTCCGTTGGGGTTGTTCAAGTTGCCCAACAGCTTGCCGGCGGCGGCAGCGACGGCCTTGGCGTGGATAGCCAGCTGCTGGCGCCACTGTTGTGGAGTGAGAGCAGACTTTTGGCCAATGACGCTGTTTGGATCGAGCTCCATCTCGTTGAGAAGGTTGGCAACGGCGGCAGAGGCCGAGTCGATGTTGGTAACCTTGACAGAGAGGGGTCCACCCAAACCGCCACGGTAGCCAATCGATTGGCCTGGCACTGAGTACTGTCCCTCGCGACCACCGGCACCGTCAAAGCCCGAGAGCGATGAGGAGGTGGTGGTGTTGGCAGCCTGTCCTCTGATCCTGCCGATCGACTCGATGTTGGCAATGTCAGTGTCGCCCTCCTCCACGGTGACTGAGGTGTCCTTGCGCTTCTTCATCAAGATCTCAATGTAGCCGCTGAGCAACTGTGAGATGGCCTCTCCGTCCGAGGTGATCACACTGACGTAGTCGTCCTCGTAGTCTCCAAAATCGAGAGTGAACGAAGCTGGTGAGGCAGCCCATCTACGAAGATGAGTCAATGGATACTCGTGCTCCACCTCCTTTGTCTCAGCGTCCAAACGCAACACTGAGTCTCTGGTGATACCGAGCAACTTTGGAACTGGCTTCTTCTGTCCCTTTACACGTTCCTGTTATGGTATTGATCAATGTATGTTAGTACGTGCTGTTGAATGATCGTGATTGAATGTGTCGGTTCGTACCTTTGTCTGGAAGAAAGTGATACCGTAGGTCTTGAGGGAACGACACAGTTGGACGTATCTGAACTTTGAGTTGGACTCGGTCATACCGACCAGCTTTCTGAACTCCTTGTAGATGTCCTTCTCAGCGTCCTTCTTCTTGTGGTACGAGGGAGGCATGTACTCCTTGATCTTGAGGTAGCCTGGCTTGTGCAGGTTGGTGTTGTGGTTGCCCAGCTGGATCTGGCACTGGAGCGCGCCAAACTGGATGGCCTCATCGTACGTGCAGGGATGGGAGCCCGAGATGATGGCGTCACGCGACTGGACGTACACCAAGTGAAGCTGGATCGGGTCGTCACGGTTGACGTTGAAGTCGTCGACAAAGAACTTCTTCTTAAGCAAGACGATGGCCTCGTCGCTGACGCCCTGCTCGTGCAGTGGCTGGGTGTGATTCAGCCAGTCACTGGTGGCGCCGCCCTGCTCGGCCTGCAAAGAGAACTCCTCGTGGTTCTTGATACCTATTCTCTTACCGATGATCTCGATGATCTCGCCCACCGACAAACTGTCATCAATCAGCAATGTCTTTAGAGTCTCATCCATCAGTTTGACCTTGAGTGCTCTATGTTTCTTCTTGTAATCTATCTCGTCCTGTATGATTGATTGAATGACATGTCAGTCAGACATGACTTCCATGATTGATTGATTGAATGATCGAATGCTTACATTCATCTTTAAGTCATAAAGTTGAAGTGTCTTGTCCATCTTGAGCCATCTTGATGGACGCTTGCCTTCGATACCTGGTTGGAACAGTCCGTGGTCCTCACCTGAATCGTTGATTCTCTCTCTGATCTGTGCGCAGGCCTCGTGGACAAACATGGTTGGGGCGAATTTCATTGCCTTTACCGAGCCATCCTTTACGATCCTAATCTTGAGTGTAAGAGACATTCTATCTTTCTTTTCCCTGTTTGATTATTCTAACTTTCTATGTTCTGTCTGTCCAAAAAAGGTTTGATTGATTGATTGAATTGATTGTTTGTTTGTTTGTGTTGTACAATTATTCTATAATTATTATTAAGAGTGTATATTAGTTAGTATCAATGTTTGATTGATTGATTGATAACATAAACATAAACATACAAATAAACATACAAATACAAATACAAATACAATTACAAATAATAATAATAAATAGAAGATATCTTCTTTCTTCCTCTTTTTGGAAACATTCAGATCTGAATGAACAATAACACATGCACACATTCATTTGAAGTGAACAAAGATACAAACAAAAACAAACAACTCCGGAGTGATGATGTGTGGTGTGGATCACGCCCTTCACTGCCCCGAAACCAACGATAACAATGCCGTCACTTCATATTTCAAATGCATATTTGCAGGGTTGATCATAAAAATAAAAAATAAATATGGTGGCTCTATGTATTTATAAATATCCAAGAACAACACAGAAAACAACAACACTCACGTGTCAGTCACACAATGATCAATTACTTGATGTAAGGGTATTTTGATGGATGGATGGATGGTCAAGAGAGAGAGTGTCGGTGATCGGGTGGGTGATGTTACATTATGATGAGTTTAGATATTTAAATCTAAAGATATATAATAACTCTGTATAGTATGCTATGAATAATAATAATAAATAAGATAATTATATTGACGATGATGATGATGATGGTGATGGTGATGTTGAAGATTTATAAAGGACGCGCGCGAGCGTAAGAGTGGCTTGCTTGCTTGCCGGGCAAAAAACAATATGATCGTTGCCGGTAAGGTGATAAATATATCTTCAAATTGGATTGGGATTGATTGGCGCGGATGATGGCTTGGGTAAATGACCAATGTACACATTGGATGGGTATCAACCAAATAGGGGCCTATTATAAGATGGGTGATTTCGAATATCAAACAACATGTGTGTATGATGTGTGTGTGTGTGTGAATGTGTTGTGGTTGTATATATATTGTGTTATTTGATTGATTGATTGATGGATATATATTTGATTGAGGGAAGGAGGGAAGGGTGTATGAATCGAATCTAGATTGATGATCGATCAATGTGGTTTGTTTGATTTGTGGACTGGAATAATGGGATTGATTGATGGATTGATTGATTGATTGAGATACTTACACAAAGATTGTTGTTGGTGATATATATGATGATGTAGCAGCTCTGTTTCCAATCCGATGAACTATGAATATTAAGCACCCTATTTAATATTTTTCAAAGTCCAAACTGGTAGTCTAGGTCTGTGTGTATGTGAATGTATGTATTACAACTACAATTACAAATGAATGAATGAATGATTGATAAATCTGTCTTACCCTACGATGTCAACAACATCCACAAAAAGATCAGGATGTGTGCTGTGCTCACCACCATACATCAGAGACTAGTCTCTTGTTCAGCAACGGTTCAAACAATGAGCCCTACCACACACACTCAATAACACACACCAATTATGATCACAAATCAAGGTTTTTTTGGTCTCCCCTTAACCACATTATGAATTTGGTCCTTCAAAAGCCATCACACCCATTTGTTGGCCTTGTTGACAAGGCATTATTATAAAAGATCAACAAATGAATGTATCATGTTTGTTGTTGGGCTGATGTTCCCGCATGCGCATTGTCATTATCAATGAAGAGGGCTAGGCCTAGCCCAACCCCTCGTTCGGTGCGATTGAGATATATATAAAATATTTAAAAATACTTACTTACGTAATCGCCTTTACGACAATGTTATTATCATTATTATTATGGTGGTAACATCGTGTCGTTGACGAATACATGAATGACCGTGCACCAATCTATGCCGAATCCGGCAACATGGTGGATGCCTGTTTGATCATTTTCGGGTGTTGTTGGCATGTATGTGTGTGGCCTCCATCGATGTTAGTTAAGGGGGTGGTCAAACCTAGTCATCCGATCCAAATTCTGGTGATTATTTGATTCATTGATTGATCGATTGATCGAGATGAATATGAGAATGACAGACCAAGGAGAGAGGAGGTACTCTTCATCCAACGAAACACATCATAATGGAATTGTTCCACTTCTAATATCCAATCGCCAAGTCGTCGCGCTTTATTGGTACCAACCAATCACTTCGAAGTGAACTTGATGATGGTGATCTTTATCGAGTTTGGTTTGGTTTGTTGATGAGTATGTGTATATGTACAGGTTGTAGTAGTGGAGGTTGGATTTTGGTCGTTGGTCGTTGTAGCTGTGGCTGTGTTGTTGTTTTATCGTATACTATGATGTAACTCTGTTACTTCATCTTAAGGATTGTTGACTTCGCCAACAACGTCAATTCATTCATTGTCATTCATTCATTCATTGTTTCATTTCATCATCAATGATACTTGTTATTGTCGTGATTGTCACGACTATGTGGTTGCTTCTTTGTCCATTGCTTCTCCAAGTCTTCAAAGTACTTTACATCAAGACTACTCAATGCCAGCTATGTTGTTGTTGTTGTTGTTGTTGATATGATAATGATGTCAACATTCAATGTATTCCAACTCGATTTCATTCATTCTTATCGATCATACCATATCAAGTAGCAGTGTAACTTTGAACTCTAATAGATGTTTCTCATTGTTTGACTGTTTCAGCTCCTGTCGCAGTCTAGATACCTCTTGTTTCAGTTGATCCACATCATTGCTATCTGTATTAATAATTGATAGAGTATTAGTTGTTTGTTTGATTGATTGATTGATTGAGTGATTGTTGTTGCTTATACCTTTAAGATTAGAGGAAGCTGACTTCCAACCCTTTGGTGATGACATATCTTTATCTCTATCTGTACACTTTATTTAATTTATCACAAATGTTTCAATTTCACTTCCAACTTCATCTTACCCCTACCCTAACCCTAACCCTTACCCTTACCCTTACCCTTACCCTAACCCTAACCCTAACCCTCACTATATATATATATAGTATCAACTATTACTTTAGGGATATATATAATATTATAACATTATATTCTAAATAAGGTCATATTGAAGTAACATGGAATTGAAGATTCAATCAACTTCTTGTGTAAATTCGATCTTGTTCCTTTCAAATACTTTAATGATCATCACGAATTAGATGATAATGGCGTTAAGACTGTTCTACATATTATTGTTCGTTCGTTCATTGCCGTGGTTCCAGAGCTCATCTACTACTTCCAGAGACTGGTAAAATAATTATCAAATTGAAAGTGATCTCTCTATCCATCTCTCGTATCTCTATCATTCAGTGACAATCACTGTCACTCCTCATGATATGTATATGACTAGGATATTAACAATAACGAGTCGACTCATTGATTGAAATTGATTGGTTTATTGATTGGTGGAATGATTGAATGATGTCCAACCCCTTCACACTTTTATCCATGTCATGTGTTGTGGAATGGACGATGGATTGATCGAGTGTGTGATATTCGAATATTTCACACATATATCCATGATGGACATGTGTATAGACGAGTGATATAGCATCATTACATCTTGATCACTACAATCAAAACTAGTAAAATGTCCACCAAAATGTAGATTGATTGACACGTCATTGTAATTGATCCAAACCAACTCTACTATATAAACTCATTTCCAGATCAATTGGAATACAAGCAATCAAACAACAAACAAACAAACAATACAAAGTTCAATTGTTCCATCCAAGTAACAATATATTTATATATCTCGTATCATTACAATTTATCAAGTAACATTACAATCTTTCAAAAATGACTTTCGCCAAACCAATAATCATGTTAATTGCCATGGCAATGCTACTCAATGTTGCTATTGCCCAGAACCCCGATGATATCTGGCGCCAGAGACGTGACCAGGAGATCCAGATGCGTAACCAAGAGATCCAGCAAAACAGACAGCAGCTTGACTGGTACATCCAACAGGGTGATCGTCGCATCAACGATATCAACCAAGAGATCAGCCGTGTCCAAGGCACCCAAATCGATCAGAAGGCCACACCCGCGGAACAGGCTGCCACCCGCCAGAAGATTGACGCTACGGTTGCGTACCTCGAAGCATCGAAGCAGCATGTGATGAGAGATCAGCAGCTCCTCCGCAATCAGATGGACTACAACATGAACTTCAACAACCAGGGCCCATACAACATGTACCGCTTCGTGCCCCAGACCTTCTACAATGCTCACCCATACCATGTCCACTACCCACAGGGTCCAGTCATTGTCCAGGCTCCACGTCCAGTCTACTACCATCCACAGGTCTATGATCCACAGCCAACCTACGCACCACATGGTATCAGAGTGAACCAGCAGGCATTGTCCCAGGAGAACCTCAACTATCAGAGAAACCAACAGTTTGTCTCCAACATCCAGTACTAAGTAGTCTCCTGCGTGAATGAGTGAATGAGTCAATGGACACTCAATGTAATGCGTTATCCAATAAACAATGACATGCATGATGATGTTCCAACTAATACTATCTAAGTGATTGTTTGGGCTTGAGGCAGGGAAGATGGAACCATTCCAATCAATCAATCAAACGATGTTTGAGAACTATATAATGCCAGATGGACATGCTGTTGCCTTCGCAACCGCAGTCATTTGTCACGCTTTATGCTTACAAACATTTAGGGGATGGACTGGAGATCCAGTCTGCCAGCCAAAGGGGTCAGAGTCGGTCGCGAGACTTATGACTTGTCCAATCCATCAAAGTATGGATGGCTCATTGCAGCCGTGGCTGTTACACGCTTCATTGGATCATACTGGAGCATACTGTTTAGTAAATCAAGTCCAGTGGCGTCCAATCCTTGGACGATTGATGACAATGGATGCGCTGGATGTACAGGGAAGTCAGGCTATAAGTTTGGAAAATGGACAAGTTAGTAAAGTGATCACTCCCTGTTCATGATCATTCATCCTCCCCCTCCGACCAACTTACCTTGTATTCTGGCAATTCTACAATTGTTGGCCAACTATCTTTGGTTGGTGTTCCAAGTATCTTGAAGATTCTAAACAGTTGGTCGCTTGTTCCTGATCCTGGGAACAAGGGACGTCCAGTGACCATCTCGGCAAAGATGCAACCAGCCGACCAAATGTCGATTGGTGTCGAGTACTTGCGCGAGCCCATCAACACATCTGGTGCACGATACCACAATGTTACGACCTCATGAGAGTATGTTCGCACTGGTATTCCAAACGCTCTGGCCAGCCCAAAGTCAGCCAGTTTCAATTCACCTTTCTGTTGTGTGATGTGTCAGTCTCAATCACGATCACCATCACCATCGTGTGTGAATACTTACTCTATTGATTAGAAGGTTCTGTGGCTTGAGATCTCTGTGTAGGACCCTGTGATCATGACAGAATGCTACACCCTTCAATAGTTGATACATGAATGATTTAATGGTTGGCTTTGCCACCTCACCGCCACACTCATCCATGTACTTCTTGAGATCTTGATCAAGATATTCAAACACCAATGTTAACTTTCGCTCTGTATGTATCACATCATATAGTCTATAAGTAGGGTAGTTGATTGATTGAGTTGATTAAGTCAGTCAGTGTCCACATTCAATGATCATTCATTCAATCAATGATCAGTCCTACCTCACGATATTAGGATGCTTCAATTCCTTCAACAATGATATCTCTCTTATAGCAGTACAGGGTACACCTTCATCCTCTGAATCAAGACGAATACGCTTCAACGCCACTATCTCACTAGTATCTCTATGTTTTGCCTTGTAGACAATTCCATAAGTTCCTTCGCCCAATCTTTCAATCTTTGAATACTTCTCCATCTCTAGACTTATATATTTATATTGATTATTATTTATATTATGATATGATATAGTTGATGTGTTGATTGATTAATGATAATAATAAAGAATAGAAGTAGAAGTAGTATGAGTATGTTCTTCTTTTGTTCAACCCTTTGAAGGTAAATTAAACTTGAAGGTGGGGGGTCTCTTCTTGTCGTGTGGTTGTTATCGGGGTGATGTTTGATGTAAATTGATTTACAAATGATAAATATTATCCAATAGTGAGAAGAAGTAATAATAATAATAATAATAATAATAATAATAATATTATTATTAACAGAGATCAACATAATATTAGCATTATAATGACTTCATCAAACATATATCCTTGTCAGAGGTCCAAAGAGTGTCTTCCACTTCCTCCAACCCTTTAAACTAACTTGCTAGAGTGATGAGTGACTTGGTAGTTCTTTGACAATATCATGTGAGAGGTTGAAGTTCGATTTGAAGCCAAGTTCAAATTCAAAATTTACCCCTCTTTTTATTTTGGTTTTTACAACGGTATTACCACTAGTTGTTTCAAACGGTCACCACTCTCGACCACCCATTGTAATCAATTCAAGATGACGAAACACGAATGAAGATGGTATCCAATCATTAATAGATTGTGGTGAGTCTATCCTTGTCTTTGTATAATTCTATAAACATATCTATAATTAGTTATGTGTTATTGATGTTTACCAAAAATTTGACGATTGTTTTATTTGATCAATCGTCACTTTCAGAGGTGTGTGGGTGTGTGTTTTGCAACTTGACGAATCTTATCTCATTCGATGCTCAACTTCTCAATCATTATCCACTGATGATAGATTGAACAAATGAATGAATGAATGTGACTGTGTCGTCAATACTAATACTAACAACTAATTATGTATCTTATTCTTGAAGTTGTTTTATGTTCATTTAACTTTAGTGATCCGGGCGGGGTAACAATCGACAACATAGGAGGGAAGTCATGTTCATGACATTGCCAGATCTTCCCAAAATACTCAAGTCGGCGGATGAACAAACAATCAAACATACAAAACAAACAAACTATCGAACAAATCAAACAATCATTCAATCATTCAATCAATCAATCAACCAATAATAACAACAACAACACTTATATTGTTATGATTGATTGACTTTGTGTTTGTCAAGTTAGTTAGTCAATGATGAGTTTGGTGATGTTGTGAATGTTGTTTTGAATTAATTAATTTTTGTTTTCATTTCTTTGTTATTCTTTATCTGTCTCCTCGCAACCACTACCACTCTCCTCTCTTTCTCTCTCTTACCCTCACTCACCTTGCTTCCTCTCTCTCTCTCTCTCAGTTACATACCCTCTAGAGACATAACAACAACTATCCACTTCCACACACACATACTTCACTTCAATCATACAAACATATTATATATATAATATAGTCATACTTTCTTACTTACTTACGAACTGATTGTTTGCTTCGTTCAATCATTCATTCAGACAGTAAGTCAGTCAGTCAGTCAGTCAATCAGTTCACTCAAACATACATCATTAATATATATACATACATAAACATAACATAAGAGAGAGGTAGTAAGAGAGAGTGATTGAGTTAGTGCGTGTGTGTAAGTCAAGTGAGTGTGAAGGAAGGTAGGAAGGTATCAAGAGGAAGAAGAGAAGAAGAAGAAGAAGAGAAGCATGCTGAGAGGAGCACACTCATTGAGTGCCGCACCTATGGCCGGTGTTGTGCCAGGTCACAACACATTGGAGAACACGATACGACAGCAACAGCAGCAGCAACAGCATCACACCACTCCAAACACAAACACAAACGCACCATTCCGTCAACCTCCATCTCTAATGACCTCTGGTCAGTACAATAGTTACACTATTGGCGTTGATCTTGGTGTGTCTGATGGCAGACTTCCCTACGGCTCTGGCTTGACCTCGTCCTCGTCCACGTCCACATCCACCACGTCCACGTCCTCGTCCACATCCACCACCTCATCCTTGAGCTCTGGCCGACTCACCGAGTCCCACTCGGGTCCACTCCCATTGTCCCTCAGCAATGGCAGCAGTAGCCACTCGCTCCACAGCAGCTCTGCTAGCAGGGCAGCGATGGATACCAGCGACAACGAGGAAGAGGACATCGATGGATGAGGACCTGGAAGAGGATGAAGACGACACGACCGAACAATATAGTTACTCGTCCAATATAGCGTCGCCTGCACTGTCAGACACGAGCAGCACCACCAGCTCGAGGGGCTCTGAGCCCAAGGCGCGCATCCGATGGACGCCCGAGGAGGATGAGATCCTGTTGAGGTCCGTGCGCCAGAACAACCACAAGAACTGGAAGAAGATTGCCGAGCCGCTGAAGGGTCGCACGGACGTGCAGTGCCACCACCGCTATCAAAAGGTGCTGCATCCCAGTCTTGTCAAGGGTGCCTGGACCACCGAGGAGGACCAAAAGGTCCGTGAACTCGTCAAGATATACGGACCCAAGAAGTGGTCCGAGATCTCCCTTCATCTCAAGGGAAGGATGGGTAAACAATGTAGAGAGAGGTATGTTTGAATGAGTGGCGCGCATGCGCACGCTCCATCCCAGACGAGTCAATTATCACATTCACTAACATATCCTCGTTCAATCAATCAATAGATGGCACAATCATCTGGACCCAAACATTAAACGAGAGGCATGGTCTGAAGAAGAGGATAGAATCATCTTGGAGAAACATGCCGTCTATGGGAACAAGTGGGCGGAGATATCAAAGTTCCTGCCGGGTCGCACAGACAATGCCATCAAGAATCATTGGAACTCCTCAATGAGGAAGGCAAGGACCAACATGATGATGAGCAATGGCAGCAAGGGTCACAGTGTGCCAAGCACACCCATACATATCAACAACAACAACATCCACAACAACAATAACAACAACAACAATAATAATAACAATCATAATATCAGCAATATAAATCATTTAATCAACAACAATAATAACAATAACAACAACAACAATATCAATGGTCTCTCCCAAAGCAGGACACAGACGCCAAGCCGAAAGAGGAGGAACCAGCATGATCTCCCTGCATCTGGCAACGAAGGTAAGACCATCCATCCTCAACCCATCCCCGTCTATCATCAATGGACTTGATTACTAACCTATTCTCCATCATCAGCTGTACTCAATGACCTGCTGCAACATCACCAACAGATGCTGATCCATCGTCAGTCCATCTTGTCATCACCATCAACATCATCAGCAACAGCAGACGCACTCAGTATTGATGTTGAATCGATTCAACAATATATATCTACACCAACACAAACACCAAAGAAGTCACTCCAACAACAACATCAACAACAACAACAACAACATCATCCAATGACAACGACAATGATGGCGGTCCAGTCGGACCTTCACAACCTCATCACACCCATCAAGCCATACAATGTCTCTGCACTCGACAAGAAGAGACAAAGGATTGATTTCTCGCCATCGGTATATATCTCTTCATCCATCCGCGGACATAGACACTGACACTGACACTGACTCTAACTCATACTAAACAAATAGATGACTGTCAATGAGGTACATGGCACTTCATACGACAATGAACAGTCAAGTATATTGTATTCAACCATCCAGAAAGCCAATGCGGCAGCACTCACACCACTCAAGTCACCGTACCAGCCATCGTCGTCGTTGTTTGACAACTCTACTATGTCCACCAACACTACCACTGGATACGACCCCTACTTTGACTTGTCCGCCACACCGTCCAAACTGTTCTTCAGTCCATTCAAGAACAGTCACTATTTATCATCATCGCCATCACATGGCCTGTCACCCAATCGACAACATCATCAACATCAACAACATCAACAACATCAACATCAACAACATACAAACATCAATCTGAACAAGATGTTCTCTTCGCCATCTATCACTTCATCYTTCATTGGCATACTCTGAATCTGCTCACACTCAGAAGCCAGTCACAACCAAGCTGGGCATTCAGATCTCTGCTCATGGCATTGACCAGAACTCTTTGCAAACGATCAACTCCAAGTTGCGCGCCTGTAGTGAAGGATCAAATGGAGCGTCTTACTCGCCCGTCCCCAATGGCTATGCTGGCGCACCCCTTAGGTTGGACGCGATGCTCTCACCCCTCGGAACCTCTGCTGACATTACCGCCACCACCACGCCCAAGATGTTCCAGACACCACCTGGCTCCTCACGTACCAAATCCAGAATGTCCAACCACAAGAACAGGCCATTGTTTGTCGATCATGATCATTCATTCAAGATTGTCACTGGCAACCTTGGAGCTGGCACTGGCGTCCTTGGCATTGGCAATGCTAACAATGGCACACATGTTGCGATGGACATCAACAACATCAACAACAACAACAACAATAGTGCCAACACAACAATGGATCATTCTCATTTCTCTGACTGTTCGTTTGAGGCACTGAAGCTCCTGAGCGACACGTCTAGGAGTTCGATATTCAATCAGGCCAAGAAGATACTGGCACACAACAGCCAGGCGTATCAGGGTGGAATCACAAACATATCGGACATTCATGTACCCACTTCGCCACAGGCCTCTGCCTCATCTCACTATGTCTTCTTCAAGGCTCATCACGATGTACCAACAACAACAGCAACGGCAACGACAACATCATCGTCAACAACGACATCTCCATCATCAACATCGTTGACAACATCATCAACAATCAATCCATCCTCTTCGTCAATGTCGTCCAAGCCAAGACCATTACCACTTGTAGAGTTCTAACTCTAATGGTGATGGTCGTGACCATTACATTGACATTGGCAACCCAGCATTGACAATGATATTGGCATTGAAGTAAGACAGATAAGATAGAATAAACAGGTATTGAGCTCCATCATGGTGTCTCTTGGTCATCCCCCTCCATGCCATACTATACACAGGTACACTTTATCCTTTTCATTGGGCTAACGGCAACTCTTGATTCGGGGTTGGCCGTTGGGTCGGTCCTCGAACCCTTCAAAAGTAATCAAACCCAACCATTTTTTTATGCGAACAACAAGACCAGATTATTTTTAGAGGGAGAATCATGCGCAGGACCATCGTCCACCCCACAAACAGTAGTGATCATATGATGAGTTGGATTGGATTGATTGTGAAAAAAGAGGATGGATGGGTTGGTGGTGACCCACCTCATCCCACATGTTTCTTCTGTTGTTGTAGATGATACGTTGGACCACCAACAAGCTATCAGATACTTTCTTTGTTTTTTTTTTCCAGCTCTCTCTATTTTCTGTTGTTTGTTTAGACTCCTCTCTCTATTCTGGATAAGTTATAGCCTAACATTGTTGATTGCTGAATCAGTAAGACATCTCCACATCCTACAACTACAACTACAACAACAACGATAATCAATACAGGTATAGATCAAATAATCATTCATTCATTCAATCAATCAATCAACCCTCTCAGTCATTCATTCATTTGTTTGTATACAGTTGTGTCTGTTTGGTCGATAATACCGTTTATCATCTTTATCATCTACAAGAAGGTATAATAATATCGATCATCAACAATCACTCAGAGAGTGTGTCAATCCTCGAGTATCACAACAACACACACCCTTCATTCATTCATATTCAATCATTCATTCATTCATTGTTGGAGATGAGGCGGTGACGTCAGTGCCTCGGCAATTCTAAACTTGCTTAATATACAGCAACCTTATATGATGGCAGTCTGGTCAACTTAACAACAACAACAATAGTTCAAACAAACAATTACAATCAATCAAACAACATGGAATTTGGTACTTGGATAGCGACCTGTCAAGTTACGAATTCAACAACAACAAACAACAATACTGCAGCCGACATCATTATTATTATTATTGGACAACATGTTACAGAGACACTCTAGTAGTAGTAATAGGACATGATTGAATACTGTATTCCTATGCATCGCACTTATACCACCCTGTTTCATTCATTCATTCAATGAGTGATAGATCGGGTGATCAAGATTTACACCCACATCACTTATTCACTTTGTCCACCACCAGTTGACTGATCACACCACCAACACTTTGCTTTTGATCGCCCCCCACACTCAAACCCATCATCACACACTCCCCCACAACAACACGTTGAGTGGTCAATCACTCACACCACCTTGGATATTTCCAAATCATAAGTATGGGGTGGGTGATGGATTGGAGTAATCAATCATTCATTCATTCAATCAATCATACATACATACATACATATAACAAAACACTATTTATAATAGACTCCACTCAATCACTCTATCTCTATCTTCTACCACTGCCAGAGTCGACTCCTTACAGATCACCTTCTTATTAAGGTGTGTGTATATATTCTCCCTTTCACTCTTCTCTCATCACATACCTACCTACCACTCATATAATATATACATCATATATTAGTATAATCAACAATTACAACAACATCAGCTGCAGCGATCAGTCGACAACACCACCACTACCACCAACCCCAACTCATCTCGATCATCTACGTTTACAACCACACTCGTCGGACACTACAGGTGTCCTTCGCTTACTCTCACTCTCACTCTCTCATTCTCTCACACACAGACATACATATTACTCGCCATCCTTTCAATAATCCAATCATCCAGCCATGCCATGCCATGCCATCCTATGTTTATTTGTTGTCTGGTTCACCGGGTTGGTTGTTGACCAAGCTTGAAGCAATCATGTGCTCTCATCTCATCTCATCTCACATCACAGTCATCATCTTTGTCTTGTCTTTGTCGGCGCGCCATATCATTCAATCAATCAATCAATCAATCACAATTCAATTCCTTTCTTTATCCGTTGGAAAAAGAGAGATTAAGATATTATAACGTAGCAATAGCAACAACAGCAATAGCAACAACAACATGGAATCACCTATCAAGATGTATCATTCTAACGAATTCCCTTCATCACTCACTAGCCGCACAGCACTTGATTATAGTAGCAGCAGCAGTAGCAGCAGTAGTAACAGCACAGTTGTAGCAGAAGCAGCAGCAGTAGCAGCAGTACATGCAGTAGCGACAGCAGCAGCACTATCTACGACCTCACCTGTAAAATACAACAACTACACACCGCAGCCAACACAGCAACCACCACCCCTGTTGCCGCTCCCCTCCACTCCAGCCCCGCCACCTCCCTCCCAGACAAGATCTGCCAAACAAATTCGAAGTGACTCATTTCTAAGTCTAGACAATTCGCAAGAGCTACAGCAACAGCAGCAGTCTTCATCAACTACTCATACAACAACACGCAAGTCATCATCATCGAAGCTTCTATTGTCAATAAGTAGCGCAAGTTCATTCATCTCTGGCACCATCAGAGGAACATCTTCATCGAACTCATCAACATCATCGACTTCAGCGTCATCAATCAAGTTAACCGAGTCATCAACTGTATCAATATTCCAACCTCCAACTCAAACTCCTCAACAACAACAACAACAACAGCAGCAGCCACACGAGAGCAACAACAATACAAGCGACAACAACAACAACAACTACTGTACACTATATAATTATAACATCAGTCACTATCAACAACTTACACAATATCAACAAAGAATGACAACTGAACTGTCTGAAGGAGAGAGAAGATTCGTGTTTGAGCTCGAGGGCAAGGAGCCAGACTTTGTGCTGTGGGTAAAGAAGACAAACAAGAAGGACGTCGTCCAGGACCGTCTGTTTGTGCTCACCCAGTACCGCATATACTCGATCAAGCGTAATGCCGTCGGCAAGAAGTCGATCGTGCGTCAGGGCCACCTGTACGACCTGATCGAGATCAAGACCGACGACATTGACCGCGTCCTGCTCAAGTTCACCGGCTTTGTCATTGACATCAGTGGCAGCAACACAGGCATCACCATACCCAAGATCCTGATCAACGCCTTCCACAGAATCAGTTTCACCTTCTCCCTTGAGGCCTCGCCCTCCCTGATCATCATCCCAGTCGAGAGAGCTGCTCCAGAGGTTGATCACGTCGGTAAGTTGTCGTCGCCACAAACTCAAACTCAAACTCATTCGAGCAAACTCACTCACTGACACTCCTCCCGTCCAACCAACAACAGAGCCAGGATTCGCACATGGCTTCGTTGAAGTATACAAAGCACAATGTAATTACTACGCAACTCCTGTAAATAATGACCTAATTCACTTCCTGGAGGAGACCGTCGAGAAGGGCAGCCGAGTGTTCTGTCTGGACGACTTTTCCGGAATCGACAAGACCGATAGCGGCAGCACCAGCACCGCACTCAATATGGTGCCCGTGATGGCAGCCCTGCGCCACAACACCTTCTTTGACACGTTCATCTGCCACAACAAGACCAGGAAGGAGGTGCCCCTGCTGCTGGCCGACGTCATGCACCACAACAGAACGATCGTGCGCGTGGACCTGCGCGGCGTCGAGTCGGACAAGGGCTGGGTGCAGCTTGGTGAGGCGCTCAAGGAGAACCAGTGCAACGAGCTTCGCTTCCTCGATGTCTCTGACAACCAGGTGCGCGACAATGGTATCATCTCGATCGCCACAGCCATCCGCTCGTTCACTCGCGAGTTCTGCCAGCTGACCGCGTCAAACATCGAGCTACAGTCAAAGGGTGCCGCTGTGACGTTCCGCACTCTGCAGTCAAACTACGCTTCGTCGGGCGGCATTGAGATCTTGGACTTTAGCCGCAACCATCTTGGCGCCGCCGGCTCTGAGCCACTGGCCGACTGGCTGGCCCTGCTCAACACTTCGAACCAGTCGCCAGAGAAGCCCCTCAAGCACATCAACTTGGAAGGCGCACAGATTGAGACGCCCCGTATCACCACGGCCATCAGACAGGCCAACCTCGCCTACCTCACCTACCTCAACCTCTCGGAGAACAGGATCAACAACGACGCAGTTCAGTCAATCTGCCACCTGATCTCCAAGGGCGAGTACCTCCAATCGCTGCTTCTACGCGGCTGTGGCCTGTTGGGCGAGCACGTCTCACTCCTGGTCACCGCATGCACCAACGGACCAGCGACTGGCGGTCGTATGCTGGACCTGTCGGCCAACAACTTTGGCAAGAATGGCGCGACGTCGTTCGCGGCCTGCATCAAGTCGGCGTCAAACATCGACACTCTGAACCTGGCAAACAACAACTTTAGAAAGAATGGTATGACCAGCATCATCTCAGCACTCGAGGAGAACTCCACGTTGCGCTCGATCGATCTCTCCAACAACTTGAAGAGTGGCAGCAAGGCCGATGCGGTCGTCGACCATCTGGCACGCGTCGTCCAGAAGCACTCGACACTCGAGCGTCTGATCCTCACAGGAAACACCAACAAGGGCTTCTTCCTGGGTCGCGAGCTCTCGCCTCTGGTCAAGTCGATCAACGAGGATTCCAAGTTGGTCGAGCTCGATATCTCGGGCAACAACATTGGCGATGACCTTTGTCGCGAGCTCTTTGAGTCACTCAAGAAGAACACCTACCTGCGCGTGCTGCAGATTGACAACAACAGCATTGGCCTGCCGGGTTTCGCTGCCATGAAGCGTTGCTTCACCGTCAACCGCTCGCTCACCGACATCCCAGTTCCAACTCGTGATATTGCCAAGCTGCTCAGCGCGGCCAAGGACAGAAAGCAGACCAACGACAGAATCTCCGAGATACTCAACGACATCTCCTGGTGTCTGGCCAACAACAAGAACGGCGTTCCCTACACCGACGTGCCATCGGCCACCAAGACCACCGTGGCAGTGTCCACATCGGGCCGCTCCACTCCCAACTTCCAGGCCACCACCTACACCTCGAACCCCTCGTCGCCAATGATCAACCGCAGCAACGACGACCTTGGATACTCGCGCGGTCTGTCCAGCAGCAACTTCAACCTGTCAGCCAGCCAGCCAAACAAGCCAACGTACGCCCCACCACCTCCCTTGGTGCCAAAGCATGCGCCAACGCTCAACAAATCCATGTCGTCAATGTCCGTCTCGAACCGATCGGCTTCATCGCTGTCGTTCAGCCAACACCAGCCACCCGCACCACAGTACCATGCTCCACCACCTCAAGCCGACTACAGCAGCAATGGATACAGCAACCACCAGCAACAGGATCAGTACTACGACAATCAGAATGGCGCCAGCAACTACCAGGACACCTCGTACGACAACTCGGCGCAGGGCTACGACAACAATGGCTACAGCTATGATCAACAGCAGCAGGGATACGACCAGACCGGCTATGACCAGAATGGCTACGACCAGAATGGCTACGATCAAAATGGCTATAACTACGACCAGCAGGGTTACGATCAACAATACGACACACCTGTTACTGGCACGGCTAGAGTGCCACCTCCACCGCCCATGTAGACTACAGTGCGTGTACGTGTGACTAGACCTAGGATGATACGTCTTGCCATGCCAGGCATGCTTCTTCCTCCTCCCTCCTCCTCCTAATTTATTCAATTAACAAACCAATCCAACATCCATCCATCGACACCAAATCCCAATAAACTGCAACTCTAAACAAACCCAAATCATTCTCCAAATGGAAAAAGAAAAACGAAGTGTCGTTTGATGAGGGAGGAGATAGAGATAGATACATCATCGTTCATTCGTAGCAACTGGTCTCCAAACATTCGTATCTATCTCTATCTCTATCTCTATTGTATTATTATTATTGCATACAGCGCAATGAATAAAGTACTGTTGTCTATCAGTTTTGTGTTGGCAATGGTTGCAGCCACCAACGCACAATGCACCTTCACAGACAATAACAACAACACATACGACTTCTCTGGCATGACCAAGTAAGCAAAATGACCCCCCTGTTAACGCAAATGGCAAAGCAACTGAGCTGGCCAACTTGTCACATGGACCTATCGTTCAATCAATCATTTTATATTTACATCCAATTGATCAATCAAACTCAATCAATTAATATAGTAATACTCAATACTCATACGGAACCAGCTTGGGTGGTCCCAAGGTAAGTCATGCATTGTCAATGAACATTTGGAATAATGTTCCACTCAATCTAACATCTCATCAATCAATCATGGCTCCCTACACAAAACAGTACTACTGGAACATCTGCCAGAACGCCCAAGTTTGCTCTCAGTCATCCACTGGTCTGCAGCCAACCACTGCTGCTTGTCAACTCTCCTCATCCATCTACAACAGTCTTGGTCTTCTTGCCTCTGGAGCATTTGGTTTGTTGCCCTCTGGAAAGAAAGGAGCCACCCTAACCTACACCGACGCGGTCCTGGCCTGTGCCAGCAGAACCAAGGCCCGCAAGGCCCTCATCGATCTCCAGTGTGTCCCAGGTGCACCCACCCAAACCGTCAGCATAGCAGAGACCGAGGCAGGATCGTGCATCTACCAAATCATCATGACCAGTGGTCAGGCCTGTCCAATCGTTGTGAATACATCCACCTCCTCAGCTACCACGTCGTCTCCAACAACAACAACAATAACTACCATCCTTGGCTCATTACTTGTAGCCACCATCATACTGTTCCTCACTGTGTAATCGATCGATCGATCAATCAATCAAATAAAAGAACGAATAAGAATGAATAATGAGGGAAGTTGGAGATATCCGAGGCATGTATTGACAGGTTGGGATAATGTTTGGCGGATGTAGGATGTTGGTGAATGAATGGCGGTAGTAGTTGTTGTTATATAATATAATAAGTTGTTTCAAGGTCATGTTGCACACCTCAATCCTTAAGAAGGGTCTACCCTTAGACCTTCTTGGATGGAGCGACGGCAACGTAGGCGGGTGGATGGTTGGTCTGTGGATTCTTGGAGGCGTAGATAAGGGCATAGAATTGACCGCCCTCGAATGGGTCCTTCAGACCGAGGAGCTTGCCAGTGTTCTTGATCAGCTCATCGAGCGATGGGTAGTGTGTGGTGCCACCCATGTGGATGTAGCCCTGTCCGTGCTTGTGGACGATCTTGGCATGGGCAATATCCTTGTTCTTTGATACATAGGAGAGTGCGTAGCAGCCTGGATCGGTGCTGCTGAAACGTACAATGTATGTGCCAGTCTTCTTATTGGCCAGGAACTGAATGACGTTCTTGGACGACGTCTCGCCCAGGAAGCCCTTGAGCGAGCACACCGAGAGCACGCGCTCCAACACGTCGTTGCCCGAGTTGAGAGGTCCGAACCAACCCAAGAAGCGTCCAAAGTCCTCAATGCGCACTGTTTCCGACTCAATGTCCACCAGCAGCAGCTTGAGACACTTGATCTTGAGACTGTCCTGGTTGTTCGCCTTCATGTCCACGCCAAAGGTCGAGCAGAAGCACGAGTAGAACTGGTTCCAAGAGACCTCCTCGCGGCCCAGGAAGTTGTGCGACCAGAACTGGCGGGCGTTGGGATCGTTGATCAGACCCTCGATAAGGATGTGATCCAACAGTCTCTGTCTGGTGATGTCCTCGAAGCTTGGGCGGCGGCTGGGCAAGTGATCCCAACAACGGATCAAGAGGTCCTTCAGACGAGGACCCCAGTTATCGTTCATCGCCGGTCTATTCTTCTTGTTGGTGACGCCATCCACCAAGTCGTTATAATTCTTATAGAATCCATTGTAAGGCTCCAGCTTTGTCAGCAACTCCCACAACAGCATAGAGAATGAGTATACATCACTCTTCTCATCATACTCTCTGTTTAACAACATTTCCTATAATTCGTTTGATTGATTGAATGGGTGTGAGTGAGTGATTGATTGATTGATTGATGAGTGATGGAATGATTCCCCAACTTACTGGAGACATGTATAGAGGTGAACCAGCTTGTCCACTTGACTTGCTCTCGAGCAAGATCTTGCTCAGACCAAAGTCAGCCACCTTTACTACCCAGTTGTTGTCAACGAGGAGGTTGGCTGGCTTGAGATCAAGATGGAGGATGGGTGGGTTGGAGAGATGTAGCCAGTTCATGCCAAGGGCAGTGTCACGTGCCACCAATATGGCACGCTTAAAGTCGATAAAGTCTGGCGAATCCTCCTTGACACGGAGAAGCGAGTGCAGCGAGCCCTTGGGCATAAGCTCTGTGACGATCGAGAGGTTGCCTGGGGTGGTGCAGGCGCCCATGAACAGGAGCAGATGCGGGTTTCTCAGCTTGGTCATCAGACAGACCTCCTTGCGGAACTCGTTCAGCACGGTCTCGTCGTAGAACTGTTGTGTGAGCTTCTTGATGGCGACCTCCTTGCCGCGCACCGTGCCCTTGAACACGGAGCCAAAGGCGCCCGAGCCGATCTTGGAGTCGCGGTTGTATATGATCTCGGATTTGTCGATCTCCCACTTGGTGATCTCCTTCTCCTCCTCCTTGAGCGACATGCTCTCGACGGCGCTCGTCACCGAGCTGGTCTGGCTGTCCTCGATGCGAGACGATGGAGAGTGGGGCGAGGCGGCCGCCGAGTGGTCGGTCACCGCCGTTGTGTTGTTGGTGGTTGCGATCGATGTCGAGTTGGTTGGTGAGAGCTTGAATGACGACTCTCTAAGTTGGTTCCAAATATCTTGAGCACGTGTATGATCGCCCTGATCAGTCGCGATCAAACATTGTACCAACTCTTGCTTCAATGATATCACTGATTGAATCTTTGAAGCCTTTGCTCTAAGATCTTGTATCTAAATTGATTGATTGATTAAGTGTCGTTAAGTTAGTGATCGATTTGATTGATTGATTGATTGATTGATTGGAATAGTTCCAATGATTGATTGAATGAGTGATTGAGTGTATGATGGTGATCTTACAGATGCTGTGAATAATGCATCCAAACGATCTTTGTTAACTGTTGACTTGTGAGTGATTGATAGTTCGATGAGATTATTTATCTCATTGTCTGTTGTCACCTGTCTTGTCTCCAACACTTTTATCTCCTCCTGTGCCGACATGATCGACCTTGACAAGTTTGACACTCTATCAATCTTATTTGCTCCTCCACTGCTCATTCTTCTATTTTATCTTTAAAACTAAATATCTGATTGAATGAAATAAATGAATGAATGAAATATATTATATTATATTATATAAATAAATAAATTAAGTAATGTAATGTATACAAATTGTAGTTAATATCTGTGGTGTTTGTGTGTTTGTACCTCTCTCTATCAAAGGTGTAAATGAATGAATTGATTGAGACCAGGGACTCATGACTTGAACAGAAAAGCCATCATTCCACAAATAATTATTGATAAATTGAATGAAGACACCCCCACCTCATTCTATTTTCAATCTTCCAAAGATCCATATCGAAGTTCAAATCTAATCTGTAAACCACACACTACAAAATAACTCGAAGGTCCGAATGATAAAACAATAAAAAATTAAAAAAAATCAAAGATTTGATGTGTGTGTATGGGAGGTTTGGAGCTAGGAGGAGGAGTGTGTGGTGGAGCACGCTAGTGTTGCGTTGTGGGATGGGTGGGAGTCGATGATGTCTCCAACTCTCATAGCTGTAGAGGTCTTTTGCATTCACTCACTATCCCCTCACATACACCTAACAAAGTAAGTATCTATAACTATATACCTACATCTCATTCATTCAATACAAGTCAATCATCTCTCATTCAATCTCAACCAAGTACTTAATCGATGGATACATGGATACCATTGACGGATACATCATCATTCAGACTCACGACGGATACAAACAGGTGGATAGATAGATAGCGGATACAAACACAGCATAGACTATGAACGCAACACAACAACCAATGATTGAATTGAATTGAATGAATGATGAATGATTGTGGATTGACAGGTTCATATATGACGATGATGATGATGATGTTAACATAATATGTTCATAATTCAAACTCAAATAGAATGAGTACCAACCGTTTCGATCTTCTTCAAGACGACAATGAAGAGCCACAGGAGAAGGTTGTGACAAAGGAAGTCAAGCCAGCCGTCAAGGCTCCAACCGCCCCAGCCTCAAAGAAGCCAGCTGCTGCTGCTGCTCCAGCCAAGCCAACCGGAGAGCGCAGAGATAGGCCTCAGGGTGGCGACAGAGAGCGTCGTCCAAGAGACCCATCAGCTGTTGCTGGTGCTGCTCCCAACGGTGAGCGCAGGGAGAGGAGAGAGCGTCGTCCAACTGACGCTGTTGCCACTGAGGATGCTGACAAGCAGTCCACCAGAAGAGACAGCAAGCCACGCACCCACACTCCACGCACTGACGCCGCTGGTAACCCACGCGGTCGTCTGTTCGACAGGAAGTCTGGCACTGGCAGACCACAAGGCGAGCAGAAGAAGGGCGGTTCTGGCCGCGGTAACTGGGGCACCCCAACTGAGGTCGTCTCTGAGACCCCAGCCACCGAGGAGGAGGCCACCACCACCACCACCACCACCACCGAGTCCGTCGACGCTCCAGTCGCCGAGCCAAAGGACACCAACATCACCTACGACGAGTACCTCAAGCAGCAGCAGGCCGTCCAAGTCGAGCCAATCAAGCTCAGACAGGCCGGCGAGGGTGAGACCAACAAGTGGGACGACTACGCACCACTCCAGAAGGAGCCAGTCAAGTCCAACGCCAAGTCGGACAAGAAGGAGAAGAAGAACCCCAAGGAGAAGACCATCATCAACTTGGAGCAGAAGCCCGCTGTCAGCCAATCATCGGCCCCAAAGGGAAAGGGCCCACGCCCAACCGGCGCCAAGGAGCAGGCCAAGAAGATCCCTGAGACCAAGGACTTCCCAGCCCTCAAGGCCTAAGCCCTTCACCACCTGAGTAGTTTATGTTCAGGTCCCGCGCGCTGTCGTCCACCGCCAACCGTCACTCACATGTTAGGGGAACTCCAAAGATGATCCGTCTTTGCCAAATAAACGTTATATATATATTTAGTTAACGCGTCATCTTGATCTTGATCTTAAGATCTTCTCTAGATTGATTGATTGATTAGATTAAGGTTGATTGGTTTATTGTTGTGTACAAGATGGTGCGTCAACTAGAGTGTAGCCAACACGGTCGATCGATCGGTTGCGTTGGGTCTTGTTCTTGGGCTCGGTCATCTTGGAGAGCATGGTCTGTCTGTTCTTGTATTGTTGCTCGTCTGGATACTCGTCGTCGGCCTCCCACAAGAAGATATCGTTTTCCAGACCACTGCTGATGATTGCCGGTAGCCATGGATGGCCCACGCAGCAGTTGACAATGTTGTCGTGGCCCTCTAGTACGCGCATCAGTTTGCCTGTGACCTTGTTCCAGATGAACACACGGTCGTCGTCACTGCCGGTCATGACATACTCTGAGTGCGGGCCATAGAAGCTGCAGGACTTTATCGTTCTAATCGATATATGTCCATCATACTTTTGTTTGTAAGTCTTCACCACTGCAGCCTCGTCATCATCATCGGCAATTCCATCGTCTTCGTCATCATCCAATTGATTGAACATTATATAGTCTGCGTCCATTTCCAATGAGTCATCTTCGTCATCGTCATCGTCATCGTCATCGTCATCGTCTCCATCGTCATCGTGGCTGGAGTCCACGTCCACATCCTCTCCATCATTGTCCTCCTCCTTTGTTGCCTTGCCGTCTTCGTCTTCGTCGTTGTCGTTGTTGTTGTTATTATTTACATCATTGCCGCCGCTGCTGGTGCCGCTGCTGCCTTCGCCATCACTACTATGTCTCATCTGTTTGGATGTCTGTACATTTGGATCCGTGTCCGTCGATGTTGTAGTCCTTGGTCTCTTCTTCACCGAGTAGTCCTTGAAGTAATCCAGGTTGAACCTAATTGATTGATTGATTGAGTGTCAGTGGATTGATTGATGTGATTGAGATTGAACCATACTCTTTGGCAAAGTTCCTCTTTACATCATAGAGGTAGAGACTATCTGATGAGTTGGTGGCCAGTAGTTCATCGCCATTATTACTGAACACACATCCAGTCGTCTCATAGGATGATCCATCATTCTGTAATGGCTTGCGCAGGTTCCTATATATATTGACATATGACTGCGATGAATAGTTGTTGATATATCGTTGGCTGGATCGAACGAATGAATGAGGGAATGAGTCAATGAATGAGTGAATGAGCCAACATTATCGATGTCCAAGTCATCACATACTCAAATAGTCTGACAGCACCATCTGATGTTGCTGTTGCAAATGTGTATCCGTCGAGTGGATGGTAGTCGACGGAGAATACGGTGGTCTTGGGGATGCGATTGGAGGAGGTGTTGCGACGGAGATTGCGACTGTCCTTGTCAAAGTCCACGATCAGACTCTCCTTTTGAGTTCGGCTGGTGCTGCGATCGCTGCGTCCACCGCCAAACATCTGTGGCAGGATGCGCGCGTCTTGATCCCCGCCGCCCATGTGGCCCTCGGCCGGGATGGTCTTTGAGTAGCTCTTGGCATAGGGCTGGCGCACGTCAAACATGCGTACAGTGCCATCGCTCGAACAAGACAGGAAGCAATCAGGTTGTCTCTTATTCACCGATATCTTGAGTATCTTCATTGTATGATGTGTGAACACCGTCGATATCCTAGCATCCCTATCATACAATATAACATCCGAGTCATTACCGCCACTGACCACATGACGATCATTCGATCCCGGTATGAACTCTGCCGTAAACACATTAGTTGTATGTCCACTGATTGATCATGAATGATTGATTAGTCTGTGCTCGTGTTCAATCAATCATGTTTGAGTACATACTATAATGTATCAATGCATTCCCTTGAGTTGTAGTCCCATATCTTGACGGATTCGTCGTCTGAGCCAGAGACAACGAGTGAGCCACTTGAGTTGAATGCGATGGTATTGACACATTCATCATGTCCAAGGAACTGACCAGTTAACTTCATAGTCTGCATCGCATAATCCGATGATATATAATCATCCCTTAACCTACTACCTCCTCTTCCTCCTCCTCCTCCTCCTCTTCTCTGTATCCTACCGACCTCACCTCTCAACTCTCTCTCCATCAACTGTCTTGTCAAGTTGAGTCCATTATCCATTTCTTATTCTTATTATTCTTTACATGTAATGAATGATCTTCACACTAGTTGTAATATTTGATCAAGTTGTGTCTATGTTTGATTGAAGTATGAGTATAAACATGTGAGTGAATGAGATTCATTATGTACATTCTTGGTCACATGATGTTGGTGTAATGTTATAACATGCCAATTAAGGAAGTGTTCGGATGTTCGGAGATGATGGCCTAAAATGGTATAAATCCATCCAATCATGTGAATCTGGAATGTTCAGAGGGTTTGAGGGATGTGTGAGTTGGATTCATCGAAACAATTTGACAAACCCTTCGTTTGCTTTTTCAACACTAACTTTGACGTTAGTGAGGGAGATTGTTGAGGCTGGAGCGAGGGTCACCTCACATGTCTGACAAGTAATGCAAACCATTTGCATCATTCAATTATTAATAAGATACAGAGATAATAATATATATATATATATATATAGATAGAATGATATCATCAACATCATTATTGTTGATGGTGATGTTGTTGGTATCAACATCATTGTCATCATCATCGTCAATGACGATGTATTATATTGATGATGATGTAGATATTGGATTCCCAGAGAAGGATATATTCTTTAATACTGGTAGTAGTATGAATTGTTCAGTGCCAAATACATGCTTCATGAACAATGCATCATTATGGCATGGTGGATTCTCTCCAACTGAAATACAAGTGGCCATCATCGACTTTTCAAGCAACATCTCATTACCAACACAATATATATACTTTGAAGCACCTTCAACAATCGATATCAATGGCACTGTTGTCATTTTTAATGTATCTACACTGGCTGGACTCGTGGTCAAGGGTGATGTATTGATCACTGTGCTGCCTGGCGCCAACTTCACATCACTTGGCAACGTCAACTTGGTCGATGCATCATTGGTGCTAAACTCGTCCATCAGTACGATTGAGGGCTCGCTGGTCCTGACCGCAACGTCCAAACTGGACATCTTTGGCGGCTCATCACTCACGCTCCAATCACTCTCGTCCGAGTCGTCCATTACAGTTGGCGTCCCGTCGCCCGGGAGCACCGGCGTGCAGGTGCCCGCAAACACACTCGAGATGATCGATGCGCAGGACATCTCATTCTCGGCAAACAATATAATACTTTACAATCGATCATTTTTGATGCTGTCGGGCATTGTCAACATCTCGACCATCTCGGCCATGGAGGGCTCGCAAGTCGTGCTCACCGACCAGGTGGACATGACCATCGGCCAATCTTCCAGTGTCGACTTCATCAACGCCACATTCACAAGCGACAGCTCGATTCAGCTGGACGCCGAGGTGGTCATCAACACCTTCTACATCGACCAGCCTCCAGCCGCGTCGACGAACCTCAAGGTCAGCGGCGTCGACACCAAGATTCACACGGCATTGCTCAACAACACCGTGCTCCACATCACCAAGTCCGCCACACTCAACATTTCCAACGCTATCAATGTTGGCGCGTTGGGTGGCATCAACATCGAGGGCAGCCTGTTCGCTGGCGTCAACTCCTCGATCACAGTCGGCGACGTTGGCATCGTGGTCAAGTCACACGACTCCAAGTTCTACTCGGGTGCCTTCGTCACTGGCGACGTGTATTTGGAGAATGGCACGATGGTGGTCGATCAGACATCGGTCTATGGCTCCATCATTCATGGAGTTGCCACACTGGTCATAGCCAACACATCCAATCTGCTGAGCGTCAAGCATAATTACACTCAGACATCAATCGACTCGATTGTTTACCTCAAGAACATCGGAATGACACAGTCCAACGCATACATCTATGCCAACAATGCCGAGATGCTCGGACAGTTGATGTTCTCCGTGGCCGACAAGATCTCGCCGTCGCTCACATGCAACGTCATTGAGGCGTTCAACATGATGACTGGACGCTTCAATCAAGTGCAGATACTCAACACGGGCATTAGCAACCATGACTACGCCGTGCGCTACACCAACTACCTGATCACCATTATCTTCAACAAGGAGAATGTCAGTCCACAGCTGGCACTCTGGAAGATCTTTGTCATCCTCTTCTGTTCAATTGGAGGCGTCTTTGTCATTGCCTTCCTCTTTATCATCATCACCCGGCGAATCAAACGCAATGAGTATGGTACAGTCGAGGAAGGATCAGTCGACGAGTAGAGTCCCATTCCCCTCTCCCCTTTGGCATCATTCATGCATTAAAGCACATCTTATTTATTTATCGATCAATCTGTCAATCAATGGAACTATTCCGCTCGATCAATCAATCAATCGAATGATTCATCGAATGCACCATCGGATGGATGTGGCTGCCCTTTGTTGACGGCGATTACGAGCACGGTAATCTGGTACAGGGCCGAGAATAGGAGTAGGGCGCCAATGACAATGAGGGCAGTGCCAGACTTGGTCTTGGAAGGATCATCCACCTCGCCAATATATCCAAAGTACTTCATGATGCCACAAGCCAACAATAGTACTGATGCCGTTAGGAATAGTGTAATGGCTATCAATGTTGTCTTGCGTCTGGACAGTTCACTGGCGGCAATATATCTCCATCTCCTATTATGTCCACCTCTCTTTCTATTTGATCTTGTTCTACTCCTTCTTGGGTGTTGTCTCTTTGAGGATGAAGAAGAAGTTGACGATAATGAACCATCGATACTGAATTGAGTTGTGTCATTATCAAAGTCATCATCTAGGTCATCATCATCAAACTCATCATCCTGGAGGATGAATCCAGCTCCATCATTAATATTTAATTCCAGGGGAGGTGGTGGATGAACTTGTTGTTGTGATTGGTCCAACATTATCTCTATCTCTATATTATTATAACTTAAGTATTAGTATTAAAGTTGATCAAGGCACCATTCATTAAGCTGACTTAGACACATCACTCCATCACTCAATCACACACATCATTGGCTAAACACAACCCCCTCTTTCCAGATGTGCTGGAAACAGTGTGGTAGTGATCATGTGATCACTCCATCACTCAATCAACTCACACATAGATCAGGGTCTTACTTACATCTTGCTGATTGCTCACATACAGTCAATCAATCAATCAACCAAGAGAGGGAGAGGGAGCATAGTTTTGTTTACTTCTTGTCATCTCTTGACTTGAGATGATGGTCAAGCTCCTCATTGAGGATGCGCTTGGCTTTGGCATCCTTAAAGAGTAGTCTGATGGCTTGACTGAGCTCGTCAATGATCATCTCACGCTGTTGGAACTCGAGCTTGCGATTGATATCGTTGCTGGTGTTGGACACGACTGTTGTGGACATGCCCATCTTTTCCAGACTGTCCAGTGAGCGACGCCACATCGAGACGATCTTTTTGACGATCTGCTCGTCACCAGTGCACAGGTACTCGCCAATCATCAACAAGGGATAGGTTGGCAGACTCTCCTTCTGTTTCTTTGACCAGGTCTTGAGCGCGGTCAGACCCTCGTTGATCTTGGTTTCGTTGTCAGAGTCCTTGCCCAATGATCTCTTCACGATCGATTGTTGGATCAAGTCGCTCTGTGGGCCCTCTACCAAACTGACGGCCAGTGCCAGCAGCATGGCTGGGTCAAGGTTGCCCAGGGTCGACTTCCAGGGCGTGGTGATGTCCTCGCGGCTCATCAACGCGTCGTACCACTCCTGCATCTTTGCGGGGTTCTGTTTGAACAGCTCGGCCATGAAGCCAACCATTGGGATGTAGTAGAACGATTGAATGGTCTGCATCTTGGCGATGGTCTGCATGTCCTTATCGTTCTTGACACTGGCCAGCTGTGCCTTCAGGTACATCTGCGACTCCTTGCCCAACAACAATGACATTGCCGCCACAAAGTTGTCTAGATCTGGCAACTGATAGTATGTCTGATACCACTCCATCGCTCCTTCAAAGTCAGTCACGGGCTCCTTTGATTTGCGCTTTGAAGGCAACAGCATAGCATCATCATCCTCTTTCTTTGACCATCCAAACAATGAACCAATAGAGAATGCAAACAACAAACCTGCTCCTGCTCCTGAACCTGTACCTCTACCTGTGTTTGTGTTGTTGTCTCTGTTATTGTTGTTATTGTTGATGTTGTGAGTTGTACATTGAATGGAAGACGATGAGGATGATGTTGTAATCATGCGTCTAAGTGATGTGGAGGCTGCATATGATTGGTTTGGGCCATTCGTTAGCTCATCCCGACATTGGTCTTGATCTGTCAAACATTCAATCAAACCTACATTGTTGCACGCATGTCTTCCTCAGGTTCAACAGCAATCGTCTTGATGTAAAGGACATCATCTTTGTATCTGTGTATATGTATGAATATGAATGAATGTACCAATGATGTAATCTACACAACTATCTGAATCATGGGCTCGTCGAAGCTTCGAAGTTAGCAAAACGACAAGTTTGCGTGGAAGTGAGAAGTGAGAGAGTTTATTGACTTGGAGATGGAACAGGCGAAACCACTACTTTGGGAAGTGGATTTATGGTCCTGATGGTCACTTGTCTAACAGGTAGGTATTGATTGGTACTTGGATTGAAAACAGACTGTACACTGACCTGTGTTGTCATGGAAGATGTAGGTGATACGATCTCGGTGGATGTCGTTGTCTTTGTGATGAACTTTGGCTGAAGGTTCTGATCAGTTGTCTTTGTTGTAGAAGTTGTTGTTGTTGTTGTCATTGTAGTGCTACTGGTTAATACTGGGACATTTGCTATGTTCAAGGTATCAGTTGTCATTGGGCCGGCGAATGACTCTTCAATGCCATTCAAATTCTTTGAGTTGTAGTAAGTGCTTGGTTTGGCGGATAATGAAGGATCAGGTTGATACATTGGGATCTCCTTGGATGGAGAAGGATGAGTAGGTTGGGGTGGTAGAGTAGGCTTGGCTACTGGGGAAGGAATAGCCTTGGGAGATGGGAGGGAGGGAATGGAATGGTGAATGGGTAGTTGAGAAGGAGCTGGATAGGAGTTGGGCTTCATTGAGGTCATTTTTGGATAAGGTGAGGCAGAAAGATGAAGGAAAGGTACTCTAAGAGAAGGTGGAGGTAGACTGTAGGTGGTCGGAGCAGTATTGATTTGGGTTGGGAGCTCCTCAATATAATCCTTTCCACTAATACTGTCATCAGTGTCCTTCATTGACGATAGGGGCTTGGGACTCTGATCAATTGGTTGGTCTCTCAAAGACTGTGGCCTAGTCAGAGGAACATAGGACATATGTATCTTCTTTGAGTATGGTGTGTTGTTAGTCCTCAATACAGAGATATTGGTAACTTGGAACTTGGAAGAATGCTTTGTCATTCTTGGAGTGATGAGAGAGGAGAAGATTAGTTAGTATAAGTTGGTTGAGATAAGTGTATACAAAGAAGATATTTATATTTTACTTACTTCTATTAGAATGTTTAGATGTTTTTAGAGTATATGTTGATATAAATATGTGGAGAAGAATATTGGATTGAATATTGATTGATCAATCTATTATTATATAGAGTTGCTTGTCTGACCTGTCCTTGGACATTATCAATCATTCCATCCATCAATCATTCGGTCAATCAATTCACAAACTAGGACGTCTCAACAGCCCAACAATGTCAAAGTTTGATTGATTGACTGAGTGAAAACAGGGTGATTTCCTTGATCATCTGGGTTTGATTGACAGGTTTGAATTGGATGTAACCGTCACATTGAGAGGAGACTGATTGAGTTATCTTCCTATTCTATCTTCGATCCACCATCACGACACTATGATGTTGGAACAGATCAAGTTTGTGTCTTGAGATCTATTATCTCTTTGTCCATCTTGTATTTGCAAAAGTTGATTTTCTTGAGATTGTTTGTTGTTCAAACAGATAGAGAGAGCTAGAGAGAGAGAAAGAATGAAATATATAGATATAGGAGTCAATCTTACTGGTATGTGTGACTTGATCCATGTAGTCTATGACACATCAATAACATTGCTAACAGAATTGATTGGTTAGATGATATGTATCAGGGCATGTATCATGGCAAGCAGAAGCATCAAGCTGACTTGCCTAAAGTACTACAGCGATCATGGGACAATGGTTTGGATAAGATCATCATAACTTCTGGTCGTTTGTCAGAGGTGCAGCAGGCATTGAACATTATAAAGCTTCAACAACAACAAGGTCAGCAGCAGAGATTGTTCACAACCATTGGTGTTCATCCTACACGTTGCACAGAGTTTGTTGATGACGAGCAAAAGTATATCGATTCACTGCTGGAACTGTACAATGCCAACAAAGAGTCGATTGTGGCCATTGGCGAGTTTGGTTTGGACTATGACCGTTTGGAGTTCTGTCCCAAGGACGTACAGCTCAAGTACTTTGAGCTGCAGTTCAAGTTGGTCGAGGCCACTGGACTGCCTCTATTCCTACATCTTCGCAATGCCTTTGGAGATTTCATGGATGTCATTAAGAGACATCGTCATACATTCAAATATGGTGTCGTTCACTCCTTTGATGGCACGGCTGAAGAGGCAAAGCAGATCATCGAGGCCGGACTTTACATTGGAATCAATGGTTGCTCACTAAAGACTGAGGACAATCTCAAAGCAATGGCAACAATACCTTCGGATCGTCTACTTATTGAAACTGATGCACCTTGGTGTGATATCAGACGTACACATGCTTCACATAAGTATGTAAAGACAACATTCGAATCAGTCAAGAAGCCAGAGAAGCATGAAATAGACAAATGTGTACAATCACGCAATGAACCATGTCATATTGTGTAAGTACACTCTCTATCACAATTCATACTCATTCCGCGGACTTATATTAACATACCTTGTCCATGTCAATGTCCATGTCCAGTAATGTGTTGGAAGTTATTGCAGGATGTAGAAATGAGTCAATTGATACTCTGGGTAACATTATCTATGAGACTAGCAATCAAATATTCTTTCCATCATCATCCTCCACAAATATAAGTACAACTACAACTACAACTTAAACTTCAACTTCGACAACATGTTGACAAGTCTGAATGGCACACACTCATTATGTCCATTGTAATAAACAATATTAATAATAATAATCAAACACACACAGAGTGTGTTCCAAACAAGACAAGTTGACACCTCTGGGGTGTTGTTGCTGTCAACGATGTTGTGTGACAAGCTTGTCTATCCTTTAGCACATCAAACATAACCATATTCGGACACACAAACAAACAATTATTACAATTCATCCACATCAACATTCAATCAACATCATCACAAGACAGTCATTATTACATTTCACATAAACTAATATATACATATAACAAACAAATAAATAATAATAATAGTAGTAAATCAAAGATGTTTGTTTGATAGATAAGGGATATATATATACATAAATAGACATTGGAAAATATAAACATACATTCATTCTATGTTAAAGACAAAGACGACTGCTATGACAATGAATCACACTTCATCATCTGTGCTAGATGATGTAGTCGAACCTTCGACGACAACGACAACTACTCAAGGACAGACACAGTCGCAGACACAAACACAAACACAAACACAGACACAGACACAGACACAGATAAGCCAAAGCAATGCTGAGGCAATAGACAACTCAGACAATTACAATCATATACCTTTCTCACCATTCGCACTGGAGCATCATCATCACCTGACAGAGATGCAACTTCAATCGAATCAATCGCCATCCACTTCATCAGAGACAGTGGCAACGACAATCAATAGCAATAGCAACAACAGCAACACAACAACAACAATTCAAACAACAGATATAGTAAACTCTACTTCTCTTACGACAAAGGAAGATAGTATTGCAACACAACTTCAGAAGGAGAAGGAAAGAGAGAGGGAGCGAGAGAAAGAGCGCGAACGAGTGGATGAGATCATCAAGTTGTACAGCGAATCCACCGGCCACTTTGACTCTTGGGCAGCACTCAATCATTTGTTTCAACACCAGAGTTGCGCTGGTGTCGTTGACTATCTTTGTAACAAGTTCTATTCAGTAGAGGATAAAGACATTGACTTCTTTATCACTCAACTATGGTATGTATATGTGGTCATCATATGATGACACCCTCGGGTACCTTATGCACACGACCTAACCAACCAATCAACCAATGTTAAAGTGTTATTCTAATCAATCAACCATATGAACAAAAGGTGGCACTATCATCCTTGGCAAGATTCGTCATGGATAGATGTGCAATGTCAATGCGTTTTGCCATCAAGGCCTATTGGATCTTCCAGGCATTCGAAGAGGATGGCCAGAAGAACCTACTTTCCATTGAGGACAATGCATACCTTCAACAAAGCCATGTGCCCATTGACACCTCCCCCAACTCTCATCCACACCCACATCCACATACCCATCAAGCCAGTGCGATGACCACCGGCACAACACCATCATCCTCTCCATCGAATAAGCCATCATTCCAAGTGGCAAATCAACAACCATCCAACTCCCCGACCAGCCCCAGCACTTCAGAGTCGGCCACAGTGGCCGCTGCAGCAAGCGGCAGCAACACCAACAATAATGGCATCACAAAAGTACTGATTATCAACGATACCACAGACAAACCGACAGTGTCCAACTATCGTCTCATTGAAATGAAGAAAGAGTTGGGCACTCGACTTAGAGAGTACTGCGAGATGTCGGTCATCACTTGCTCGAGACCGCTGCTGACCAGACCGCGTACCTCATCACTGCCCTCACCACTCATGTCCTTTTCCAATCTCAATGTATCCGCTGCGTCCCCAAAGACGCCCACCGTTCCGATCACTCCGCCTCCCATATCGATATTGGCCGAGTCGACTGGCTCAAACAGTGGCGATGTACAACAACAACAGCAACAACATCAATCACAGATGCTGCAAGAACCTGAGATTCCCGAGAAGTCCAGGACACCGCCTCCTCAAATGATGGAGACAAAGGGACTGTCAGACTATGACTTTGAGCTGCAGATTTCAAAGAGCTACCGATGCGACTACCTCAACTCGATCCTTTCATTCGTCCAAACACTGTCCAACATCTCAAAGAAGTTGATATCCGTTCCAATCGATCTCCGTCAAGCGAAGCTCAAGGACGAGATCAGCATTCTAAACATCAAACTCACGCTTGGCCTCTACCTCCCATTGTGGCAAGCATCGAACCACCATTGCATCGTGAGGATACCACCCGAAGAGGTCAAGATCCTCAACTCGAGGGAGCGCGTCCCCTATCTTTTGGTGTTGGAGATCATCGACAGTACAGAGGAGGCGTCCTCTGCCAACATTCTCCGCATCGTCAGCTCCTATCCACTCCCCCTGCCAAACAAACATCACAGCACAAAGAATCATGGCGTGAAGAGAGTTGATGCGCCAGCCTCTCCTCTCTCCATCCAATCAACAGGCACTCCCGACACTGGCTCACCACAGCGCGTCTCGTTCATGTCAAGCAGTAGCAGCAGCACAGCATCGACACCAATCCAATCGAATCCAGTGACGAGCATCTCATCCTCGTCCATGTCCAACTCCCCAACTACGACCACTCTCCCCTCCATCTCTGCCACATCACCCTTGTCATCACCAATCGTTGAGAAACTGCTCACAGAGAACAAGTTTGCTCACTTTGGTGAGCTGTGGGAGGAAAAGACAGAGCGATACAGGAAGATATCTCCGTATGGACACTTGTCCAACTGGCGACTGGCATCAGTGATTGTCAAGACCGGTGATGATTGTCGACAGGAACAGATGGCGGTCCAGTTGATCACAAAGTTCCAAGAGATATGGCAAAACGCTAGACTACCTCTATTCTTGCGGCCGTACTCTATCCTGGTCACCTCATCGTCCAGCGGCATCATCGAGACCATCCCCGACACCATCTCTCTGCACAACCTAAAGAAGAACACAACGCACGTCACCCTGCTCAACTACTTCAAGGCAACGTACGGCGACCAGACTGACTCATTCCGTATCGCTCAAGCCAAGTTTGTCGAGTCGATGGCAGCGTACTCGATCGTCACCTTCCTGCTGCAAGTGAAGGATCGTCACAATGGCAACATCCTCATCGACAAGGAAGGTCACATCATTCACATTGACTTTGGCTTCCTCCTCTCCAACAGCCCAGGCAACATGTCGTTCGAGTCGGCGCCGTTCAAGCTCACACAGGAGCTGATCGATGTGATGGGTGGCACCATCCAGTCGCCACAATTCCTGTACTACCAGGCACTGTGCGTACGCGGCTTCCTGGAGGCTCGCAAACACTACGAGAAGATCGTGTCGTTTGTCGAGCTGATGATGACTGGTCCCCGAATGTCCTGCTTCCAAGGTGGTCGCGACTGTATCGAGCAGCTCAAGCTGCGGTTCATGCTCAACATCCCTGAGCGCGAGTGCGCCAACCATGTCGAGCAACTGATTGTCAACAGTCTAGACCACCGTGCCACCCGCTACTACGACTCTTATCAGTACTGGTACAACTCCATATATAGTTAACATAATATATGCGAGATGCTTCAAACTGGCACTCTCCCTCCCTTTCTTTACTCCTACCTAGTCTTGTTTATTCTTTGGTATAAAGTCTAAGGTCAAAGGAAGGTCCTCAACCTTGCTAAACCAATACATTGTTCCAAACGGACTGTTGTGCATTGGGTCGGGATGCACAACCAGGACGTGCTCGCGTTGCTCATCGATGGGACGGATATAATATCGCTCCTTAATATTGACATGATCGTACAATATGATATCCAGTCTCTGAATGGAGGTCTGTTTGATGATTGGCTCAATGTCATGATCGAATGTGCAAACCATGACTAAATGTTTCCTTGTTTGATTCTGCTCGATGACATACTGAATGTAGGTCGAATCGTCTGCCTGTAGCTTCACACAATCGACAGTGTCGCAAGGCAGTCCCTCAAGGAAGTCATGTTGCTCGCGAATGTCCACATACTTGAGATTGGGTGGGAAGGCCACTTCAGAGAGGCATTGCATGAACTCCAATCCGAATGATAATGATGTCAGTGACTGAGGAAGTGTGTCTGGGAGTATGGGTTGATTGAAAGTCTGACCAAACTTCAAACGGATCAAGTGTGGAGGTAGTATTCCGGGCTCGATCATTTGATTAAAGTTACGTCCAAACTTCAATCGTTGGATGGATTGGGAAAGTACGCCAGTGATCAATGGTTGATTAAAGTTGAGTCCAAACTCCAAGGTGTGAAGCGATCCAGGAAGTACTCCAGGGGACAATGGCTCATCAAAGAATTTGCTCATTGTTAGCCTGTGTAGCGAGTCGGGGAGTGCACCTGGAGATATTGGTTTGGTGTAAACCTCGTCAAACTTCAAGTCTGTGAGCATTGACGGAAGGGAACCTGAGAGGATGACCTGATCGAAACGAAAACCGAACATCAACTTGGTGATTGAGTTGGGGAGGATTCCTGGCAGCAACTGTTGATTGTAGAAGAATCCAAACTCCAACTCCTTGAGACTTGGCGGTAGGATGTCCACTCGCTCAATTGGCAGGTTGTATCCACCAGTGTGCAAAATGACTAGGGAGCGTGGAAGTACACCCGGTAGCAGAGGATGTCGATACTCACCTAGCTGGAGTCTGGTGAGGCTCTCTGGGAGGCTGTTTGGGGGCAGAAGAGTATTGAATCCATATCCAAAGGAAAGATCCACTATCTTATTGAGATGAGTAATGTCCTTAAGTTCATGATCATGTTGCAGAAAGAGTTTGATCAATGATGATGATGACAATGGAGTAGTTCCAGGACTGAATATAGTTGGTGCTCGACATGAGTTTAAATCAAGTTCGGTCAACGAGTTGGGGAGTACGCCAGCAGGGATGATCTGTTTGTAATAGGCTCCCAGCTCCAACTTGAGCAGTGATTGCGGTAGGGTGTCCGATGCAAAGGGTTGATCAAAGTCGTTGCCAAACTCAAGACGAGTGAGTGAAGCAGGTAGCACACCAGGCTCGATAGGCTGATTGAATGTACAACTGATCTCCAACACTGTGAGAGAGGATGGGAGTGTCCCGGGTGAGATGGGAGAGTTGTAGTCGCCTTGGTCGATCAATGTGTTGAGCGTATTGGGGAGCATGTCACCAGTGAGTGGTTGTCCCGGTTTCAGACGTACTGATGGAGCCCACGATGCTCTGCTCATCCGTGTCATTTCACCGCCCTCCACATCTATTGACATGATTGCAGGTGATCGTTTGTATTGTCCACTGTTACCGTCGATCACCATAACATTTGTCAATTGTAACCATCTTGATGACCTATTCAACATTGACTTGCACGTGAATGACAAGCACATGACATCAATAGCAGGCAGGTGACTAGCAACCATGTCCAATATCCTATGTGGTAGCATATCCATCTTTATATATATATATATATTGTTTGTTATTACTATGTGTATGATTGATTGATAGTTTGAATGAATGGATGGATGATCAAACTTCAATCAAAGACTATCACAAGAATGAGGTTACAAGTGATAAAGTGGAATATGGATATAAGGTGTTACACAGCTTTATTAAAGAGATAGAAAGGGACTAACTGTCTCCTGGATAAAGAAGTATTTACTGGGAACCGGGGTTTCCAGAGTAGTCAGCACCGGAGGACTTCTTGATCTATATTATATTAAATTTGGATTGATTGATTAAGATGTTAGTGAACATGCATTTGGAACAGGAGATGATTGATTGAATAAATGACAATCAACTTACCTTGGTCAAGAGGGCAGACTCGTCGAGCTCGTCGTGGGTGGTGGCATGGACCTCAACACCGTAGTTCTTGATGACCTGCTTGACAGAGGCCTTGTGGACGGACATCTTGGCTCTCTTCAAGGCACCAACAGACTCACCACACCATGAGATGAAAACAAACTTGGCTCTCTTTGACTCCTCATCACCAGAGAGGACACGGAGGTAGGCGTACTGGCACTGGTCGGCGGCAAAGTTACCAACCAACTCGGCGAGACCGCCGGTACCCTTTCCTTGGAGGACGATGTTGCTAGCACCCTCGTAACCGAAAAGGCACCAGTTGGTCTCGGTGGCGTCAGTGAGGACATCTTGGTAGGCAGCGGCGAGTTCTGGGTTTGAGACGTTGGCCATTGTGTATAATTTGTTGTTTGTTGTTATATAATTATATTATTAATACAAGGAGAAAGGGAGTTTTGTTTGTTGTTTGTGTGTGTGTTTAGAGTACAAGTTGATTTGGAAGAATGACTTGCAGATGAGTGTTTATGTTGAGCTCAGTCAGTCAGTAACTGCATGCAGAGATCTCCTCATCACTCATACTCAACACACACTCATCTCTCATTCATTACATCCATCCATCCATTAACACACACACTCTAATACACACATAATTGAATAACACAAAATAAAAAGCCATAAATATCATATTTTGATGATTTTTAATTAAATTAATTATTGTTGTATAAATCAACCCAACCATCTGAATCAAAAGTAGTCTTTGTAGATTATCCATCCAGTTCACCCCCTCATCAATAATAACAGGCCATAAACACTTAATGTTGGTGCTTATGATAACGTAATAATCAAAAATTGGGTTTGTTTGTTGGATACAGGGTTGCGCTTTGGGATGGGTCAGTGGGTTTGGCTGATCGAAATTTCCAATTTATGAGAGTGTGTGTTTGAGTGGTCAGCAACATGGATTGACGAAGTGGCAGGAGAATGTGAACATGCACCTTCAAAGTGTTTGTGTGTGTTGTGTTTGTCCTATCTGTACAGATACACACAAACACACACGATCGTTGTGTTACTGTAGTATACTTATATACATATATAGTAGTATTCATACCTGTACGCATGTGTGTGTGTGTGATGTGTGGCATTTATTTATGGTTACAGTCGACCTACTACTACACCTACCCGATCGCGTTGCGATACGATACGATGCGATGGGTATGGAGGACAGAGCATCATCTCCAATGGCATTGAGTAGCATTACCAAGAAAGAGAGGAAGTATACGCTCGCAACAGGGATTTGGAGATTTACCGCATAGACATCATGATGTTTGTTGTGTGCGTTTATCGTTTATTGTTATTGTTATTGTTATTGTTATTGTTATTGTTATTGTTGTTGGTAACAATGAGAAAAAGGAGGAGGGAACGAAAGAGAGGAGATAGAAAGAGAGAGAGAGAGTAACATTCTCAACCCTAACTAACAAAACAGAGAAAGAAGAAAAGAAGAATATAGCTGTTGGATATATCATACTTTATTTAGCAAGTGTTACTTATATAAATTATTTGTTTATCAGGTTTATAAGCTCGACCAATGCCGAATGCTATGATAGGAGACTTCAGTGATACGCAGACCTTACTTGCACGACGTCGTCCTAGCTCAAGCATGATTGAGTCCATGTGTCTGGTGTGCAAGGGCAATGGGATGGTGACATTTGATAAGATTAGAGCCAGGTGTCGAACTGGACAGGTGTCATCGGTGAACAGGTAGTCCAAGATGGTCTCTTATTCACTTTCGCAGTATTCCTTTGGCAATTCATTGTGTGCAAGGCAAAGGTGTGGAGTGATGGTCGAGGTGAGCTCCAAAAGGAACTCTGCCCCTCCTCTTCAAGTATGTCACTGTGGTCATGGCCACACTATGGATTCAGGCTTAGATGGAGCGATCCAAGATGGGACTGGCGATCCAGTTGTCCAAAGAAATCTTTGGCCATACCAACGACATACTGGGCATACCCAGAGCATGTGCCACATTGATCATAGATTGAGAGTGATGTGATGTTGGCACATCGTTCAAACAGCTCTTTGGTAATTTGTTCCATCCCTTCGGCATCCTCCACACGACCAACCCAGTAATTACAGCAGCGATTTGGACTCATTACTCTCAAATCAAGTGTCTTGATCTGATTGTCATTTGGTTGCGGGAGTAGCTCTACCATCCTTTGGAATGGATTGGAGAAGATATGATTGATCACCAGCGAGTGTATCGATCGTGGGTCCAGCGCATACTGCTCGTTGGACCAACTGTCCAGCAAACACCGTCTTGATTGCCACTTTGACTTAGCTATTTTGTCGATCAGTGAGTGATTGAAATAAAATCCTGATGCAGTTCTTCTTGTGATCCAATGATTATGATGGGTATGATGATGGTGGATTGATTGTCTTTTGAAATTGGTCATCGTACTTTATGAACTTACTCCTGTCTTGTCGTACCATTTTCTCTTTAACATTATCATCATCTTGTATTATGATTGATGTAATGTATTTTAAGTTATATAATGAGTACTTGTTGTTGTTGTTGTCTAGATGTAGTGTAGCATCGTATAGTGAATCAATCATTGATATATCATCGTAATAGTGATTTGTCTTTATAATGATCACATTGTGTTTGTGAGACGATTCTGATTGTGAATTTATTGTTAGATGCACGCAACAATGAATGAAATGACCAATGATCTTATCCAACGCCTATCCACATCCTCCGATCCGTTTAACAATCTTATTATTGATCCGAACAACAAGTCGTTCAATACTTGTTTGTCCATGTATGTTGTTATTTGTTTGTTTGTATATTTGTTTGAATGGAATCCCTCATTGTAAACAGTGTAATTAAATCTACATTTTATATTTCTTGGAAGACGTACACCTAAGATACCATGTGGACTTGTTCCTGATGGAAGGATGTCGATCGATACAATCGCGTAGCTTTGGGAAATTGGGATGTTTGACCAATTTGTTGGACTCAAGTCCTTCAACTTCTGTTTTGGTACCATATATACTATAGTTGATGTTGAAAAGGAATTGAAGTCCATTATTGATCTCCAATTGATGAATAAATAGGTCGATGACATTATTGCTGAGAAAACATTCTAGATCCAGTGTAATTGATTTTGCTGAGAGAGCATACCCAATGAAGTTGAGAGGTGATGGTAGACCCGGCTGATACTGCTCATCCACGCTACTCCTCCAGTTGAGGTAGGACTTGATATGTTGAACATTGCTCAGTGATGGGAAGAATCCTTTGTCGTTTGCGAGCGAATATTTCCTTAATTTCCGTACTTTCCATTTATCACATATATATGTGAATGTAAGTTGTTCAAATGATCGAGTGATTGCTGGTATCACATTGAAAAGAGATAGTGATATCTTGGTGATCTGACACTCGCTTGATTGAAACAGATGGACAATTGTGTCACGGTTCAACTCGTGACCAGCAGGCTGAAGAAATCTGAATGTTCGCAAAGTCTTGTTGGCCACAATATATTGGTGGAGTCTGTCCAGGAATGATGGACCCTCAACGTACCCCGCCAAACCGTCAATAAGGCATGAGAGATAAAGTGATAATGATCGCAGGTGTACCAGCTTATCAAGCAGCTGTATGAACAGTGTCGGATGGCCAAGGATCAAACAGGTGTATGTACTACATTCGTTTTCATCTAGATCGATCAATCTAAGCTTGGTTATATTGATGAATGCTGCATTGAAGAGTACTCTGTCCAGAAGATGATAATGATCATAGTGGCCCGACTCATCTTCATAGAGCATGAGATCAAGATGTGTGATTGATTGTCCGAGATGTCTTGCCGCGTCTTCGAATCGAACATGATAGGCGTCTTCAAAGGCATCGTATAGGACCAGCCTTCGAAGACTTTGACCAAGACTAGGTTGTGACTTGGTGAGAGGATGTAGGTAGTCGAGTGAGCCACTGAACCGCTCAAGATGGTCCAACATCTTCCATGTTGTTAATGTACGAGATATTGAGTAATAAAAGAAAAGAATTTCTTGGTATGGTGTGATGATGAGTGATCGAATAGGACACTTGAACATCGACCATGAATCAATGTCCTCGCCATGTTCCAGTACATTCTTTTCTTTGTAATCTTGTAGAATGAGTGTATCATTGAGACATGTCACAATGAATGAGTGCCATGATTTGCAGACGAACAACAATGAGTTCCGACATTGTCTTCTTTCATTATCTTCATAATTGCGCAGATTTGAATCTTTCCATATCATTCTTATTATGTACCTTTGTAATATTGTGGTCAGTGTCATTGAATTACTACTAGTATCACTATCCATTTTATTATTATTATTATTATCTGTTTGTAGTTTGAACGAGTGAAGGGAAAAATTGAATATATCGTTTTCTAGATCTTGATTTTCAAAGTTTCAGGAATTGAAACAAAATGAAGGTTCATTCCCCCATTCATTCATTTGTCAAATACTATTACAATCATAGATACTTATACAAATACATTAAGATATTGATATAGATAAATAGAGAGTAGAGGACATGTCATCTACATCACAACAGCCATTTGGTGCTGCATGTATCAATTGTTTGGAGGACTCAATGCAGGTGGTACTAAGAGCAATTGGTCCGATATTCGTATTGATGGCAGTAATCTTGATATCATTCATATCATATCAACACTTTACTGTTTTATTATACGATCAGTTACAGATTGAGGGTAATGCATTGGCTGCATCAATGCATTATGTAATCTCTCTAGTACTTTTATTCAATATTACCTTCAACTATGTGATGACGATCGTCACACCACCAGGTCAATCGCCCAGGGAGGCCGACTACACTCCCGAGCAACTAGACGCCTTTGATCAAATCAGAGTCATCAAGAAATCAGAGAGCTTCTCAAAGTTCTGCATCAAATGTATGAATGACTCGCTCACTCGCTCACTCGCGCATTCAATCAATCAAACATTCGTTCTCATTCATTCAATCAAAATATAGGTCGATTACCAAAGACAGAGAGAGCACATCATTGTTCATTATGTAATACATGTGTGTTAAGAATGGATCATCATTGCCCTTGGGTCAACAACTGTGTTGGACTGAGGAATCATAGGTACTTCTTCCTCTTTTTGCTGTATCTCTGGGTGTCATGCTTGTACGTGTGCGCCATGTCCTATCCCTATGTGTTCACATCAAAGTTCATTCCATTTGGCGCGCTGATGACCTTTGTTCTGACACTGACCGTGTCGCTGGCACTGGGCGGCCTAATGGCCTGGCAGTTCTACCTGCTCATCACCAATCAGACAACAATCGAATTCCTTCACAATCGAACTCAAGCGAGACGAGCTAAAGCGCGTGGAGAAGTATACAAGAACCCACACGACAATGGATACTTCAACAACTTCCAAGACTTCTTTGGTGGCCATGGTAGGAGTTGGTGGATGTTTGCAGTGCCCTCGCTTCAGCCACCCGACAGCTCAAAGAAGAAGGACGATCCAAGCGACATCGTTTAAGTATGTTTCCATGATTGATTGGTTGAATGATTGATTGATCGCTAACATTGTTCATTCTTCAGAAGTAATCATATATAGTTGTATTTGTAAATATATAAAGTTGGCGAAGTATACTTGCGCGCGCGTTGTAGTCCAAAGAATTAGATCATGGTCCATCAAACGCGAGACATTGACTGAGTCACTGTCCAAGTCCTCATTGCTTGATTGTCTTTTTCAGAGTGAAGCAACGGATGTTCAACACGCGACAGAGTGTAGTGACGACGACGTAGGCAAAGTGGAAGTAGATGGCCATTGTAGCCATGTAGTACACCTGGAGGAACAATGTCTCTGGTACCAATGCGAACAGGTTGACATATCCCATCAATGACACCAATGGCACAATCAATGGGAACAGAATCAATTGGAATGGGAACAGATCATCGTGACAGATTCTAGCCAGAACTATTCTTCCCTGTTTGATTGATTGAGGTGAGTGAGTGGACGGATGGACTGGATAGTATTCAATCACTTACGACAAGGAATGCAATGATGAATCCAAAGGTACACATATAGATATGTGGATTGTTGTCAAAGACCTTGGATGGCGAATGAGTGGCCCAGAACATTGACAAGTAAAGGACAAACAGGATTGGAACCAACTGGAGGATTGATCCAACAACACTCTTTGGTCCCTTCTTGATCACAGTGTAAATGCTATTGATTGATCGATTGATGAATGAGTGGACGACACATGTTAGTGATTTGGATTAGATTGGACATTGTACATTGTACATACTTGGTGATGATTGTGATGATGGCAGTGACGTTGCTACCGAGGATGTTGATGTAGCTGAGTGTAATGGTACCGATGAATGGGAGAGGGATCTCGGTGAACCAGATGGATGGACCAAAGACAAAGCTGATCATGTGACCGAGCATCATGAAGATATGACCCTCAGTGACTCCAATGTAGCCAAGCTCCATGACGTCGGTGTGGTACTGCTCCCATTGAGTAAAGTAGAAGGCGGTGAGGATGATCATGACGTTGTAGAGCGACGTGGTGTTGGCGCCTGCCTGGATCGACGTGAGGAAGGTGATCACCACGAGGAAGGTAGTGATGGCATCGCAACCATGATCAAACAGCTCGCCGAGGCCTGACGACGAGTTGGTTCGTCTGGCTTGCTTTCCATCGAGTGCGTCCATTGTCTGATAGATAAAGATACAGAGAGTATGGAACAAGTAAGTCCACTTTGGTGCCTCTCCCTGGAAGTCTGGAGTGTACCAACATGTTATCAAGTATGATGCAATAATAAAGAAGAATCCAATCAATGTAATCTGTTCAAAGTGTGAGGGTTAGGGCGAAGGCGAGAGCGAGGGTTAGGTTAGAGTTAGGGCGAGGGTAAGGGTAAGGGTAAGGGCACTCAAGGTAACTTACAAGGTTGGGTCTGTGATACGTGTCATCATGTCATGTTTGATGAATGATTGATTGAATGATTGATTGAATGATTGATTGAATGATTGATTGAATGATTGAATGAATGAATGAATGAATGAGTGAGTATTGATTGAACAAGTGATTGAGTGTCGAGTGATGGATACATACGCCATCCAAATTGGAAGGTATTCGACGGAAGTTCTCCAGAATGGTTGAAGGAATCGATTTGCAATGATAGAGTTATCAGTGCCATTGTATTTGTATTGTTTGATATTTACAGCACCCTTTGGGCTGACGTATGGTGCAATTAGTACGCTCATTCTGTCTTGTCTTTATATCTGTCTAAGTAAGTAAGTATCTCAATCCCTAAACCAACTAACTTAACTGAACTGATGTTATCTTATGTTGTGTTAAGGACAAGATATTATTAATAATTAATGTTATGGTGATGCTAGAATGAATGAATAAATGAATGAAGAAGGCTATTGATGACGCTTTGAAAATTGATTGAAGTTGTAAAGTGACAAGCTGGGTTGTTTTGCTCTTCAATTTATTTGTTTTGTTCTGTTCTGTCATTGGATCGGAATCCGAATGCAAGTGTGTGTTCCAGATTCAATTCAAACAAAGTCAATGAGTCATTTATCCATTCATTCAACATGATCCTTGGATACCAAGTATAAACTATTAATAACACACCATGTATATTTTATTGATGACGCATTGTTGGGATTTGATTGATCACTTCAAATCACATTTCTTTGAATCTTGGACTTGGTGTTCCAGGGCGCCACCAACTACTTCTAATGAGTCTGATGACACTCAGTTGAGAGCCTTTAGACAGGGTAGTCCAAGGGCATGTACTTCTGATGTTGTCATCAAGTCATCTTTCTGGAAGTGAAGGGACAACGTTTCATCACAACATGTGTACGTGTTGATTGAAGTTGGAGAAGCTTCTGAACGTTTGAGCTTGATTGCTCGTGGTCTGGTTTGAGGTGGATGTCAATGGTCTGGAGCGAGGTGTTCAGGTTGATGGCCGCGACCAGGCGATCGACGTCGTTACTCTCTAGCAGGTCCACATGATGGCAATATTTGGCACTGGATCGATGGTTGGCACCAATAATACGTGCAATGTTGTTCAGGTTCGTCAGATTGCAATTGTAAAGATTGAGTTGATCGACGTTGTTGAGCGACTCGATGAGCTCATCGCTGTACTCAATGTCTTGGTCATCACGATCGTCTTCGTCCTCCAGACACTCCAAAGCCCAGGTGAAGACTCGTCAGATGTCTGGTCACGGGCGAGAGAATGCGTTGGGATGGTGTTGCGAACAACTTCCATCAACCAGTATGTGAGATTGCTCGGGTGCTGAACAATGTGCCGGTAGGGTGCCTTTGACGCCAACTGTGGATAAAAGTGCTTCAGCTCCAACCCGCACAAAGAAGTAGCGCCCTCAAGGTAGACAATGAGCGATTTGTAGAAGGCGTTGGTATTGTACACCATGCCTGGTTGATAAGCGATGCCAAGTATGAGGCGCTCAAGATGGCTGAAATGGCGAAGGGCGGAGAAGAATGTAGATGGCGAGCCAAGAACAGCAAATGAGAGGACCCCGTGATTATATATATCGTCATCGATCCACAGCACCTTTAGGGAGTCAAAGCAGTTGTGTCTCAATGCGTCCATGAGTTGTCCATAGTGTTCGTCTTTGTCATGGTCAAGTAGCGCAGTGATCTTGAGGTTCTCGAGGGCTGGGAGACGCGAGGACAGAAGACGCAGGATGTCCAACTCTGAGTCAAAGGTGAGGCCGGTGGATAGGTCATCGTAGATGACCAAATTGAGGTCTGTCAACCCGGGCATGGAGCGCGGTGGAAGCAGGCCGATCGGCGCGTGCAACGACCACATGCGGTCCAGGATGAGTCGCCCAAGCCACTGTGAATGTGAAGGTATCAGATGTTCGAGATGATATCCTGCCATATCTAGTTTGATAGTCGCAGGCGTCAGCGACAGCACACAGAAAGGAGAGTCGATGAGGCTGTCGACATATTCCTTCAGGGCATCATTCCTCAAGATTAGACGGTTGTTCTTGGACTTGACGATCGAGTGGAAGCTCCAGCAAACTAGTGCGAGTCGCAAACACTCGAATCTGTGGGCGAATCTTTCCACCTCGTCTAAGTCCCTAGGCATTGGCCAATAGTTGTCGATGACCAACCTCCCCAACAGAACAGTAAGCTCGCTCATATTTTATAAGTTGACTGATGGTATATTGACGATTGATATATATATTTAAAAGATCGAATCAATCAATCAATCAATCAACCGGGGACTTACTTGATTCCCGCTAATGCCACGACAAAATACGGCCTGGATCACGTCTGGATCAACTCGTATATGATATTGATGCCGAGTTGGCACGCCTCCAAGGCCAGGTCCAGAAACCTTAGGCAATAGAATGAATGAATAAACTCCTCGTGGCGGCAACGCTTGTCCGTCCCGCACACAACTCTTCACGTTCACGGATTTCTTTGAATCTTGAACTTGACGCGCCACAACTATTGATCACACTAGTCATTCTTTCATTCGATTAGAATTAATTACTTCTTCATTTGAATGAATATACATGTAAACCACAATGGATGACCCTACAGAGATTAGTAATGAACCAGTTGATCATCATGCAATAGTGGAGGAAGAAGATGAAGTTCAACAATCACCTCCATCAACAACAACAACACAATCAGCAATGTCAAAGTCACAGCCACAATATATAGACATATTCGATGATCAGTATAATGGTGCACCTGAAGTGGACTTCTTTGAACAGTCCCCTGTAAACAATGTAACAGCTGTCTCGAAGCAAGAATCATTGCAACCCTTTACAACAGCGACATCATCCTCAGTGATTGATTCAATCAATATACGACCAGTTGACAAAGATGCTGCAGCTGCAGCTGCTGTCATTGATGAACCTACAGCTGCTTCATCAACAATGAAAGAGAGTATCGATAAGATTGCATCTGAACAACAACAGCTGTCCAATGAAGATGACAATGATGATGATCAAAACAAGATTGATCAAGATATGGATGATGTCGAGCGAGACTTATCAACAGCATTCGAGAATGAAAGGAACATTGAACTTACACCATGGATATGTGATGCATTCGCCAACGGTCATTCTCCATTAGGTGCACTCATACAGATAATAGGATCAGTATGTATACATACTGGAACTATCCCACTCAATCAATCAATCAATCACTCACTCAATCATTCAATCGATCAGCCAAGACAAGACCAGGCACAGAGCAAGAGTAGGAGCACCAGTGCTCCTCCAGGCATTCGATTCAGGATATCTGATGGACATTGCTTTGTGGATGGAGTGTTCAATGAGTCAGTGGTACAAGGCATGTTCAAGCGTATCAAGAGCTATATACCAGTTCATTTGGTTGGCTGTATATTACGTCTACAACATTACATGTTGTTTCCAAATGTACTGCATCAAGGCATTGATATATACATTGAACGAGCGACAATCATACGCAAGTTGCCAATGGTGTTGAACTTCAATGGACTGCTTCCAGTTGGCAATGATAAACGAGTGGAGATGATATTAAGGAGGTATGTCATCATCTGGCCATGGATATGTCAATCGGTCAATCAATCACTCACTGGAACTATTCCATCACTCTTTCAATCATTCAATCAATCAATGATATAGGACACATCCAAAGAACTATTACATGGAGAATCCAGTGTTGTCCAATCAATCAACTGAACTCTACAGGGAGAGTTATGTTAGGGAGGTCGAGGAGGATGAGGTAGGCATGCAGGAGTGTATGATACCAGAGGAAACAATGAGAGTATTTACCGAAGATGGTATGTATATTTGTTCAGTTCCGGCGCACCAGAACATACTTTGTTCATCAGCTGACAAACATCCTATGTCATATTAGATCAATGGCAAGAGGAAGCCTATTCATCAAGGAGTACATATGTGGCACCATCACCATCATCAGCGCAAAAGAAGCCCCAGGCCCAACAAGGTGATGCCAGTGCAAATACAAAGAGTGATGTGGATGAGAAGTCAAAGAAGATCGATCCAATGATATTGGATGGTAGAGTCAAGAATGATAGCGTGAGTCAACAACAAAAGTCGAGTCTGGATGTTGTCACCAATGGAGGTCGGGCTCAGCCAAAGCAAGAGTCATTGGAGCCAAAGCCTGCCGCTGCTGCACAGGTGACACAAGTAATGCCACAAGCACAGACACAATCACAGACAAAGCCACAACCACCACAAGATAAGTCGCCTATAGACACAACAGCCAAGACACTGCTCCAATCAGACAAAACAAAGCCAAATACACAGAAGCAACAAGTACAAACACAGGCAGAGACAACCAAGAAAGTACCACTGATCAAGCCACAAGTACAACAACAGGTACCATCACCAACCAAACCCACAACCAAAACAAATACACAACAGCAACCAATCACCAAAGCGGACCAACTACCGCAACCCCAACCACAAACAAAGTCTAAGACAGTGACGAAGCCAACGCCAAAGCCACAGGCCAAGCCACAGGCTCAGCCACAACCACCATCGCCAACGACAACAACGACGACAACGACAACGACAGCACCAGCACCAGCACCAACGACATCACCAGCACAAACAACAGGAACAACTGGAAAAACAACAACAAAGACCAAGGAACCAGTTGCCAAAGCCACAGTCGTCGATTTAGATGACGATTTTATCGATGTGGATGACGAGACAGCCCAGCCAATAGTTGGATTGGGGAAGAAAAGGAAAGGTGTTTCAGCCCAAGGTCAATCGGACAACTCCAACTTGAAGAAGAGGAAGAAGAAGAAGAACAACAACAAGAACAAGAAGACCAAAAGCAAGACCCAGAATCAAGTAAAGAATACACAGCCGCCAGCTGCATCTGAGCAGTCTGGCCAGCCCTACAAACGTTTGTAGGTGAGCTCATTCCATTCTCCACCTGTATTCATTCATTTCTTCGTCTGATTGCCAGGCAGCCTCGATCAATGGTTGAGTTGTAAATCTCTATTACTGGTTTATTTGTATATCTATATTCCTATGCGCACATTTATCTATTTATCTATCTATCTATGTATCTAATCAATCTAGAAGTGATCGTTCAAGTCTACAAGTAGCGTTGACGGTGAGCATGGTTGTTAGTTGACAAATGAGTGATCAGGTCAATGTTTAAGGTTTAGGTTACTTACCATTGTCATCAAGAATCTGAGCGTCGTCGTCCTCAATGCCAAACTCATCGTCTGCCAATGAGTTTGGTTTGTAGCCGAGCGTTGAATACTTTTGCTCGTTGGTGATGCCGATCTTCTTGAGCAGCTTGACTCTCGTTTCTGGATGCTTCCACAGGTAGAAGGCGCCTGAGGCCACGACGACGGCCAGCAGCACCAGGATGACGACGGCGGCAATCCATCCCTTGGACTGGTTGTTGTCACTGCCCGGACAGTCTCTGAACTCCTGGATGTATGAGCTCTCCACACCTCCAGTGCACTGATCGCCAGTGATCTTCCTGTAGCCATTGATGATGGGGTACTTGGTGTTGGGTGGGCAGTACTCGGGTGGGTAGGTGGGTGGAGTGTAGCTCTGCGAGATGGCGCACAGCAGTGGCTGGTCGTCAGTCGAGACTTCGGTGTAGCCAACATCGCACTCAAAGTCATCGTCGACACATGGCAGCTGGGAGACGACAGCGCCAGGCAGATTGTCGGCCTGGTAGCACTTGGCGCCTTTGACCATTCTGGTCTCGGTGATCTGTCCGCCCATGATTGGACGGGTGGTGAACAGTTCGTGATCATCGTCTCCACACTGACGGAGGCCCAGTGGACCAAAGTCAACACCGTAAATAACATGTGGAGTCAACACCAAAAACTTGAGAGTAGATGAGTATGGATCGGTCAAGATGTCATCGACATCGGTGGGATCGTCAGTAGTGAATTGGACAGTTGCAAAGGAAGCTCCTTGGTCCAAAGAGAACCTATGATTGATTGATGGATTGATTGATTGAGTAAGCGAGAGTGAGTTGGTGATTGCTTGATTGAGTGAAAGAGTGAATAAACGGCCAGATACTCACTTCAATGTGTTGGCAGTGGCGTTGGCAAGCAAGAGGACGTTGCCATAGTTTCCAAACTCGTAGACTGACGGGCTAGAAGAATAAAGAGTTAGTGTTTGTTTGTGATTGATTGATTGAGTAGGTGATGCTTGAGTACATACCCTTCGTAGATTGATGTCCAGTTTACACCAGTGTCCCTTGAGAACCATGTTGTGGTCCTGGCAAGAGGGTTCTTGGTGTTGAGATTGTTATCAATGTATCCAGTGGCCACGGCCAAACCAAAGACATTGTCGTTGGTGTAAAATGGATGCACCTGGTCCACAGAGTTTCCGTTGAAGTTAAGGGAGCAGCCCTTGCACGAGCCACCAGCTGGTGGATTGAACTTGACCCACCTGCCACCATTATCATATGATATCATGGAAACGAGCTGCAGTGGCTTGCCCTCGCCGGCGTTGAAGTTGACTACCTGGTTGGCAACGTAGGTGCCTGGGATGCCGTCGAACGTGTCAAAGTCGTAAATGCCGTTGAACTTGTTGACGTGCAGCAAGGACGGGGTGTACTGGCTGCCTGACGAGTCGGACGTGTAGACATCACCGAAGCTCTGTGTTGTTTTCCACTGGATGCCGACCCAGATCGAGCCGGTCTCATCGTTGATGAGGTCGTAGTCTTTGGGGATCTGGTTGGCGGGCAGCTCAAAGTTGCACTTGAGCAGACCCTTGAGGTTGTTGTTGTAGGGCTCGATGTTGTTCCTCACGTAGAGCGTGGCGCCGCTGGTCTTGGTGTCGAACGCCTTGACGTAGAGGTAGTTGGTGGTCGCCTGCAGGTCCTGCACGTTGGGGATCAGCTTGACGATTGTCTTGCCCAGATCGGGCGAGTAGATGAGCGTGACGGTGGTCTCGCCAGCCATGGGCATCGGTGCCATCGCGTACAGACCGGTATCTGGAGAGGGATTGATCATCGGGTCCCAGATGATGACATTTGTGATCGAGTAGGTCTCAAAGATCGGTGTCCAAGTCCTGCCAAAGTTTGGTGAATAATATGCTTCATTGTTCGATTTCGTCACCAAGTATCCCGACTTTGAAGGGTTCACAACGATCTGATCAAAGATCTTTGAAATGTTTGATTGAATAAACGTTTCTCCCTCATCATAAGATATGAAGAAGTAAGAATTCTTTCCACTCTCAGCTCTGAACATGACCTAAGTATGATTGATTGGTTGAATATGAGTGTGAGTATGATTGATTGGTCATGTGAACACGTATGTGATTGATTGTTGTGTACTTACCATGTTCTGATTCATTCCATCAAGGATGATTTGGTTCTTTATGGCACCAAATGATTTGATTGGGACTGATAGGTTGGCATTGATGAATGTTGTGCCAGAGTCTGATGATCTCCAAACTGCGCCATTGAAATCAATGACCAATATAATCTGGTCACTCATATATACTACCGACTCCTCATCCATCCAATCTATATCATGCTATGTTGAGTATTAGTATGAGTTTGGACATTGAGTTTGAGAGTAATACATGAGAGTAATTACATACTCTTGTAATTGTTGGTAAAAGATCTGCAGAGACTGTCATTGTGGTCATCATCAAAAACATCGTTACCACAATAGCTGTGGTAAAGATAATTGTTGAAGACTTCATGTTTGTATCTGTATCTTTGTATCTGTATCTGTATTATGTTTGTTAAGTGTGTGTTTGAAAAGGAAACACCTCAAAGTCATTGAAGATACTAAGTATCTTCGTCGTGTTTGTTTGGTTGGTTGGTTAGGGGGGAATGAAGAAAGGCATGAAGTCGATTACCTGCCAAAGTAATAAATAAAAAATCAAAAAAGGCCTTGGAATTATCAAATTGACACACAGATTGCAAGGTGGTAGGTCAGGGAGGTTCATTCAATGTGCCATTCGTGTGTGGTGGTGTCAACACGACAAACTAAAGTGTGTGTTTATGTCTGTTTGTGTGTGTGTATCTCTTTTTTATCCAGATCTTATTCCCACTTCTTTGAGATGTCAATGAAAATACTCTCACGCTCACGCAAAGGATACAAGACAGTTGTCAGTTGGAGTAAGGTCGTGGTCTTTGGACCTTGAGGGTTTGAGGCAGGCAAATGATTGATGGAGAATAGTGTTGGACATTCACACGACGACGACGACGACGACTTTACTTTACATATTAGTTGGATGGAGTAGTAGTAGTCGTTGGCTTGGGATACATTATTAACTCTGTACAGCGGAATAGTGCAAGTGTTGACTTGGTGGTAGAGTCGGTGATGGTTGCATCCCATACTTGAGTCGTACGTCCACCATGTACAAGACGCGCCTCACAAGTTAGCAATGCACCTGCTTTGGATGTGCCCAAGAAGTTGGTCTTTAACTCAATCGTTGTGAATCCTGTAGCGCCCTTTGGTAGCTTGGAGAAACATCCAAATCCACAAGTAGTATCAGCCAAAGTAATCAAACTAGCTGCATGAATGAATCCATTGGCTGCCATATGATGTTCACCAATGAGCATCTAATGAATGATTGATTGAGTTGTCAGTGAATGAGTGAATGAGTGAATGAATGGGTGTTGATTGATCACTTACACTGGCATGTATCGAGCTATCATTCACTGACACGATCTATGTATGCATGAGGTTGTTAAGGTTAGGATTTGTCACGCGAACATACATTGACATTGACTTGGACATACCTCAAAGTTCATGTATGCTGGAAGACCAGCTGTGGCGCGACTCCGTAACAGGACTAGCCAATCTTCGTTGGACACTTGTAGATTCTTTCTGTCCTTGATCTCCAAGAAGCTTTTCATATCTTGAGCCATCTCAATGGTTGACTTTGTTGAGTACATTGATGTGTTGCCGCCCAACAATGCGCGGCTACACTGACCTTGCAAGGTGGTGGACATGATATGTCCACTGATCCTCTGTGTCATCAGACCTCTTGCACAAACTGTAAGTCTATTCAACATCTGATCTATATCTTGTAGCTTATATTATAATATATTGGAAATGAGTTCAATCAAGAATGATCATCGTGTTGCCTGTTCACTTCCACCCCACATCCCCGAACTGATTGATCAATCATTCGTGTGATGATCAAACACACACATAGAACGTATATTTCTCAATGATATGATCTTTTATTACTATTTATATAATTGATCAACCCTTTTGATTACAGTATAATGATGATGATCTTAGTTGAGGACGACAGACCACTCGCTTGGGATCTCTCCATATTGAATTCCCATGAGTGTGTCGGCAACACGGGCAGTCAGAGCACCAGCACCCTTGGCAGCATCGATGGGGATGGGATAGTCCTGTCCCTTGTAGTGAATGCTGCAGATTGGCGAGACGATGGCAGCAGTGCCAGCGCCAAAGGCCTCCTTGACGCGACCCTCCTTGATGGCCTTGGCCAACTCGGACATGGTGAAGTTCTTCTCGACCACCTTGAACTCGCCCCACTGGTTGGCCAGCTTGATGATTGAGTCACGGGTGATACCGGGCAGGATGGTGCCGTCGCTCAAGGGTGGTGTGATCAGCTCCATCTGGCCGTCGTTGTTCTTCCAGAATACAAACATGTTCATCGTTCCGACCTCGGTGATCTGATCGTTGAGCAGCCAGAGCACCTGCTGGAAGCCCTTCTTGGCAGCCTCGAGCTGTGGGAAGATGGTTGGGGCGTAGTTGCTGCCCAGCTTAAAGCCGCCAGAGCCTCCGACCCAGGCGCGCACGTAGCGGTCGTCAGCCAGCAGCTTGACTGGCTTGAAACCCTCTGGGTAGTATGGGCCCACTGGTGAGGCAATGACAAACATCAATGCGGTCTGTGGTGTGCCGACGCCCAAACTCTTCTGAGTGGCGATCATAGTTGGTCGCAAGTACAATGAGTATCCTCTTCCCTCTGGAATCCAATCCTTGTCCAACAAGACCATCTGCTTAATCAACTCAAGGACTGCCTCCTTGTTGAATGTCTAATGTATAGCGAATTAAGGAATTTAGATTAGAGGGGGATGACGTTTCTTTCCTTTGGGTTATGCGATGATATCTAACAACATACTGGCAAACAAATCCTTTCGGCGGACTTGTAAAGTCTGTTCATGTTCTCCATTGGTCTGAAGAGACGGATCTTTCCGTTGGCATCCTTGTAGGCCTTCATTCCCTCGAAACACTCGAGAGCATAATGGAAGACTGAGGCTGAGGGTGGCAGTGAAAGGTTGTGGTAGCCAGAGATCTTTGGCACGCCCCATCCGCTGTTGGCATCCCAAGCGACCTCGACCATGTGATCCGAGAACTCCTTTCCAAACACCAGCTTGTTCTTATCGGTGTACTTTGGGAGTGGAGTCTTTGTCTTTTCGACCACCAGTGAGTTCACCTATGTTTGTTTGGTTGTATGTATATCGGATGCGAACCGAGGCGACATCGGGGATTTCTACGCGTAAGTATATCATTCGTTTTTTATATTCTCCAAACATAAGGAGTTCCCCTTTGGCAGGGCGGGAGGTAAGTTGTTGTAGAATATGAATATCCGGATATTCATTCGGTATGATTCCCAATAATCTTTGGTTCGTCTTGTTGTTGATGTTGATGTCGTTGTTGATGTTGTTTGATTGGAACATTATATTACATTGATGGTGAACTTGTCGGTGGCTGTTGAGTAACGTCTCAATCCAGAGTAGAGAGTGTTCAATGGTCTGTTTACTTTTGAGAACATTATTATATAGTATTGTTATAAATATATATATTTATATGTTTACAAGAGGAATAATAAGGAGTAAGTAAATAGTGAATGAATGAATGAGCGACTTCACCAAAAACAAAACAACATCACCATCATAAACTCAACCCTACTCCCAGGAATCAACACTTCTTCTGAAAATCAATAAAATAAATAAAATTTGACGTGTGTGGGAAATTTCAAAAGTGACCCTATCTTGTTCCCATCCACCACTCACTCACTCTAACTCATTCAATCATTCGTCTCTTTGACTGATGCCATCAATCATTGGTTAGGGGGTAATAATTACCTAAAGTGTATTGATCAATACTGATTTAGTCATTTCTTCTTCTTCTTTGGAAGCTTATTCCATTAGATTATAATGGGCACCCCTTTCCTACAATCCTCTCAACTCACTAATTCTGAATTCAGATTCGGTTCAGTCCATCAATCAATCTTATCTTAACTTTTATCTTCCAAAATATTGGACCGAGTGATACCAAACTTGTAATGTTGTAAAGTGTTGTGAGATGATAAAATGAATGAACGAAAGAATGATTGATTGGTTTATTTGACAAAATGAGGACTTACTACAGTGTGAGGACTTACTACAGTGTGAGGACTTACTACAGTGTTGGGGTTGAGCCATGTTCGTTCACTGAACATCACAAAAGTAGTAATTAGTGATCGATCAATCAGTATAGTGCACAAACATAAAGTAATTTATACATATTCATATACTTTGTATTATACATTGATAGTTATTACAAGATGACAAAGTATGGAGAACAAACATATTGGGATGAACGTTATCAGAAGTATGTCAATGATTGAATGAATGAATGAACGGGACGACAAAGTTAAGACTTGCTTACTTCCACACTACTACGAAGGAATCAAGACCCATTCGATTGGTATCAAGACTTTAGTGGACTGAAGGATATATTTGAGAGCAAGATGAAGTTGACAGATAATATATTGATGGTTGGTTGTGGCAACTCTTTGCTCACTGAACAGATGTACGAAGCAGGCTACAAGACAATTGTAAACGTTGATATATCATCGGTTGTAATCGATCAGTTGAGAATCAAGTATAAGGAATACGAAGGACTGTCCTATGTCACTGCCAACATCATCGAGACACCATTTAGTGACAACACATTCGATGCAGTCATTGACAAGGGTACATTCGATGCAATAATGGTATGTAGTCATGAATGAAGTCAACAAGTAGAGTGGAGTGATTGTGATCATGTCTAACATGTTTAGAACAAACATAGTGTGGAGACAGTCTAAAGGTGAACACAGTGAGCATGTGCGAGGAGATATATAGGATACTCAAACCACATGGAGTGTTCATACTCGTATCATATGGCGAACCAATGGATAGGACATTCTATTTAGAGCATGCTACAAACTGGCCAGTATGTTGGTTATCACTACTGACAAACAAATGACATTAACTAACTTACAACGCGATCTCTCTGTCATTTAGGTTGAGATATTAAAGATACCAAAGCCAGGTGCAAACAAAGATGATGTACATTATGTTTATGTAATGGTTAAGCCAGAGCCAAGTTCAGACGATGAAGAGGACGATGAAGATGAAGAAGATGAAGAAGATGAGGAAGATGATGACGACGACGAAGATGACAATGATGACGAAGAAGAGGAAAACAAACAAGATGTAGACAAAGAAGTGATAAACAATGATAAACAACAGTCATAGTAATAATAATCATCAATGTACAGATACAATTATAAAGATAATATATATAATTACACACAAATGAACACTTTGGTTGGTCCCACAACCCTAACACAAGGTGGTAATCCCGGACTTGGTCGTTGTCCAAATCTTCGACCACAAGATATTTTGACTTGGTCGAATGGGGTGTTCAATCTTGATTGCCGACCTTTGGTGGTCCAAAGTCTGAACTAACTAATGTCTTTCATTCATTCATTCAATCAATCATATATATATTTCAATGTTATAATATAACTACAATGATAATAATAACAATAACAACAAACAGATAGTAATATATTCAACAAGAACATAGGATGATGAACACTTATAGGTCACATCAACAACGTGACCCTCAATATACAAATAGGAGGACAAGGTTTACTCTTTGTATAATAATAATAACATTAGTGTTCACTGTTAGTCTATTATGGATAATGCCTGAAGAATGGAGTCTAGGCAATAACAATAACAAGAACAACAAGGTTGACGCACTACATGAACAACAACCGAATGATTTAGTTTATAGACTACAAGAACAAGTTGAGGAACAAAGAAAAGAGATTGATAGATTGAAGTTATATAGTGCAATATTGGAGACAAAGTTCCAACAGATGGGTTTCGATGAGATGGATTGGGCTTGTGAGAATGACCAAAGAGGTGGCGACAAACATGATGATGTGGTGACTGAGCGAGTACTCAGTGTCGAGTCATTCATGAACATACAAGAGACAAGACTGGCCACGCATACCAAGCTCAAGTCAACATGCTTCAACAAGGACATCAGCGAGAACCCTGTCAAACTCATGTGCTCCTCATTCAAAGCCGGTTCATTCAAGACAAAGTATGTGCCGTCGCTTCTGGAGCGTCCACTGGAGCCATCAAGCATTGTACCCGGTGGCATATTCAATCATTATGCGCATACATATCACTGGTTTGACGAGGTCTATCTAGACTATCCAAACATTGGTCCAAGCTTTGGCAGTAGCTGGGGCGACTTCAACAACGACGGCTATCCCGACCTCTATGTAAACAATCACTATTGGGCGCCATCACTCTACCTCAATCTCAAGAATGGTACATTCAAGAACATTGTATTCGATGTAATACCAACATTAGTATGTTCTTGGACCTTTTGGAATCATTCCACCATCACTCACTCACTCACTCACTCACTCACTCACTCACTCACTCAATCAATCAATCATATGACTTAGAATGAAACAAAGAAACACTTCTTGGACAAGCATGGAGGCGCTTGGGCTGACTTTGATAAGGATGGCCATTTGGATTTGTTTGAGGTCACTGGTGCAAAGTATGGCACCGCTGCAATACCAAACAATTTGTACAGAAATATAAATGGAACTCTTGTCGATGAAGCTACCATTCGCAATGTCGAATATCCATACGCTAGAGCAAGAACAATATCATGGTTGGACTATAACAATGATGGACATCTCGATGCATTCATTGCCACACAGATGAGAAATGATGGCAAGGGTAAACCTGTCCTATTATACCAACATCCAAGCAACAACACATTCATGGATGTTAATCAAGTATGTGATCACTCGTCATTCAATCAATCAATCACTCATACTCATATGTTCATTCTAGGATGTAGGCATGCAGGTGGACTCTAATGTTATGTTTGCTAAGATGTTGGACATTGATAATGATGGAGTGTTGGAGTTGTTCATCGTGGCATTTACATTCCCTTTCAAGGTCTATCACACAAGTAGTACACCATTTGAAGACGTCACCAATCAGCTGTTCAATATCAATCATACAAAGATGCAAGAGCATTATAAAGAGGTCAAGGAAGCACATGCTGACGCTTCCTCTTGGCTGCCTCCACATCCATCCACTGGAGTCTACGCTATAATCAGCGACTTGGCCTTTGGAGACCTTGATGGCAATGGTTGGCAGGACATTATAATCGCTCGCAACTTCTTTGGAGAATGCATCATTGATGTATTCTACAATCAAGGTTATACCAACACATCAAAGAGTAAGTGAGTACTGGAACCATCCCATCAATCATAACTAACAACTCATCATCATTTGAACAACTTAGACAAGTTAGAGTGGGATATTGTGGAGCTACACAGGATCAAGGGGGTGTCATGTGGATCATTGGTTGTGGCTGACTTTGACAACAATATGGCGTTGGATATATTCTTGGTCACTTATGCATCGTACTCAAATTCGCCAAATGTGTTGTTGGTCAATACTGGCGAAGGCAGAAAGTTTATGATCAAGGAGGATGGCGGTGGTGCCGCTGGCAGCACATTTGGAAAGGGCGAGAGTGTCTCAGTGGCCGACTACGACCTGGATGGGAAGCTCGACTTGTTCATCACAAACGGCAAGGGATCTCCACCCTTTGACATTGGACCCTTCCAACTGTTTAAGAACAACAATGCCTTCCCACGCAATTGGATACAGGTTGACATTGTTGGCATCACGGAGAATCCCCATGGCTTTGGTGGCAGGGTGTTCTTGAAGGCATGTGGCACGACACAGTTCAGAGACATTGACAATGGCGTTCACTTTATCGCGCAGAACTCATTCCGCGTGCACTTTGGATTAGGTGCATGCAAGCGAATCAATGAGCTCAAGGTCTGGTGGCCGCGCTCCAAGATATTCCAAACCGAGTTGGACGTTGCAATCAATCAAGTGTTTGTATTCGTAGAGAATATAAGTATTAAACAGCAACGGCTACACTAGTTCTGGGCCTTTAATCAATCAATCGATCAATCGATCAATCATTGTCCATTGTTTGTGTTGGTATTCATCACAAGAAGACTTTGCGCACCATGTATCAGTGCATCCATGCCACCATTGAGAAGGGCAACAAAGGGGAACTTCCATTGGACAAGCTGGTTACAGAACTCGATGCCCTCGCCTCGAGGCGCAATGACAACGATTGGACGACCACGATATTGTTCGAGAATGGCTGGATTGAATGGCTTTGATGGCTTGGTCTGAGGAGCTGGCGATGGCTGGCCGCTCGGCTGCATGGACGAGGGTGGCGCTGGGTAGCTACCCTGAGCAGACGATGTTGCCGGGGTGGACTGTGGTGTAGCTTGTCCGTGGTAGATTATATTAACAGACTTAGGGTAATAGCACTGTTGGAATTGTGATGCAGGGCGTATGTCCAATATCTTTGTGTTTGGATTGTTGATCACATCATGGATACCAATCCTTGGGAACAGTTCCAGTTTCCTTGTCTCCATTGATACCTCTTGCATCCACCATAGTTCGTCGTCCTAATATGTGTAGTCATGTTAATGTTAGTTGATTAATTGATTGGGTGATTGAGGTCTACATACAGTGTGACTAACGACTTTGCTAATTGTTGTGCTAAGAGGAGTGTTGTTGAACTTGTCTAGAGCATCACTGACACATTGTTCAATGTCACACGAGGAGATCTTTGAGATTGTCTTGATACAGTTCTCAAGTGATGCCTTGGCCAACATTGATGTCCTGAATTGTATCATAATGGAGACGGCAAAGAAGTATGGGAATGAGCTTGGTCCAAGCAAGATGGTGTCCCAGAGTATATCAATCTTGTCCAGTGGCAATAGATGAGCAAATATAGTGATGAACCAAGGGATGGCGTAGAGGTTGGGCTCCAGCTGCACGTTGATCAGATGGCAGGACAGCTCGGGATCGTGGTAAGAGAGCAGTTGGGTATAAGTCAGCATGATCTCACTTAGTGCTGCGTAGTTGTTGGGAACGTAGAGGATGCTGAGGTACTTGTCTACGAAGCTCTTTAGACATGCAAACGCCATTGGTTCATCGTGGTAGCAGTGCACGACGAATGGAGACGCCACATTGTCCAGACCCTGCCAATAGCATCCCTTCTCAATGTTGAGCAATGACCATGCCTTTAGTATTCTAAATAGTTGAGCGTGGCCGCTGGGCGACGAGAGGAGTGGATGGTATTGATGGCATCGCGGGATATCGAGTTCGAACTGCTTATCATTAGGTCCACGCACATCCAGATTGATTGAGTGATATATGGACACGGCATCAGCGTGCACTACACCAAGGATGGCGGCCCAGATATCGCCACGCAAGATTGTTGGGATTCCAAATTTGGCCATTCTGATGATCTGTGGTTGAGCCTGGATCGCATCCTCGTACACATATTGATATAATGCCTTGTGGAATGCTGACAATCTCGCGATCTGATAGTCAAGCTCATCGTCCTGATTCCTCGCCTGTGGTGAGTTGAGTGATGCGCTGCCGTCGCCACTGCTAGAGGCCGGCTTGTTTGTGCCACGTGTGAATAGATAGCCATCTCCGCCAACATCCTCTGATAGCAGCTCCTCCTTGATCTCGTAGGCTTCACGTATTCGCTCGACGAGTGAATCGATCGAGAGTGTGCAAGTTCGGTGATTATACAGTATGGCCTTGAAGTCGTGCGATTGTGTGCTGCTGCCCTCTGAGCCAGCCGTGCGCTTGGCGCATATTGGCGATGTCATGAGGTCGCCCAGTGAGTTGGACATTGAGTGACTCGATTTGACCAGGGGTACAAAGTTGGGCAGCTTGTGTACTGATGGCGCAGAGTTGGCCAGAGACTGGGCCACGAGCTCCTTGTCGAGGTCGCCCCCCGCCAGACGCCAGAGGTAGTAGAGCTCGGCGCCCGAGAAGATATCCAGATCGCTGCGTTCATGTCCCGAGTCGGCCTTAATGCTGCTCAGGTCGTCGGGAAGCTGGAGCGACTTGACCGAGGGACGCTCAACGTATTTGGGCGCATATGGGTCCTTGCCCATGATGTCGTAGAAGTATGGGTGTTCGAGCAAGTCCGCAGAGGAGGGACGATCGGCCGAGTTGGGTGTTAGACACGCGCGAATCAGCTCGACCAGGGGTTCGGGCAGACGATTGAGTGGCGGTGACAGGTTGTTGAGGAAGTTTGTCATGTTGCTGTTGTTGGACATTTGTGAAGATATGGTTCCAAGGGGCTTCTCGGCACTGACGGATTCAAAGCTGTGAGTGTCGATGTTGTAGCGTTGAGACGCTGGCAGATTGGAGAGGTGGAGCAGTCGATTGATCACTACGTTGGGGTCCCTGTCTGCCCAGGGACACTTGCCATAAGCGAGCTGGAGGAGAACGCAACCCAATGCCCAGACATCGCACTTTGGGTTTGGGCTGCCCTTCAAGTCCCGCAGTAAAGACTGAGGTGACAAGTTACATAAGTTGCCAATTGGGAATGATACATTCTCTCCTTGATTCGAAAGGTAATACAGTGCGTAGTTTGATAGTTTGATGTTGTTCTATCATAGTGATTGAGTGGGTGAGTGATTGGACATGTGGCAGGGCCAGGTGATTAGGCACAAGTACATACATTGGAGTCGATCTTGATGTTCTCAACTGATAGGTTGCGATGTGTAATGCTTCGTCCATGCAAGTAGGACAATGCTTTGAGTATCTGATATGAGTACAGTTGTATTTGATCATGTGATAGTACTGCCTGTCCATTCTTAAGTAGTGACTCCAATGATGTCTCATAGTCCTCTGTGATCATCAGTACTTGGTCTACATTGAATGGATCATTGAACGAATGTTAGACACGACCAATCACTCAATCGATCACTCAACCAATCAATCTTACCATGATGCTTTTGAGATGGTTGGGCAGCAATGAACTCGACAAGGTTCTCATGTGAGAGAGTTGTGAGTAGCTTGGCTCGAGAGAGGATGTCGAATATGGGTTGATTCAATGGTGTTGGTATACCAGCATCTTCAGATGCAGCGTATGATGATGCTATTGCCTGTGGTGTAGATGTTGAAGGTGTTGATGATGTTGGTGTACTCGATGATGCCGAAGTCGATGATGTCAATATAGGTGATGAAGATGTTGAGAATGCCGATGATCTATTGCTCCTAACAAAGTTGACCTTATTCTTAAAGAAGAATGGCAGTACACATAGTCTATAACCATTGGTATTGACAACAGTATGTCCATCCCTTTTAAACAGCTCGATGCCGAATCTTCTAAATGTTGTCTGTCTATAACTACTCATCCTCCTCCTATTATAAGTATACAATTATATCCTTTATCTCTATCTATTCCATCAACTCAAATGACAAGACTTCTCTTGATGTTCATACTTTTGAAAAATGGGTTAGGGCGAGGGTTAGGGCAAGGGTTAGGGTGAGGGCAAGGGTAAGGGCGAGGGTTGAGGGCAAGGGTAAGGGTTGAGGGCAACGAAACAAACAAATTTATTGCCTCATGTTGATCATCTTGAGAATGTTTGTCGGTTCCTCCACTATTGTACTCTTGGGTAATGGCAATGGAGTGGTGGTCAATAGACCGAGGGCAAGGGTCGAGGGTTTTGGGTCCAGTGGTCTGAGACTTAGTTGTGTGATACCATCGGCCAACAACATGTTACAAGTACCAATGTTGGGAACATACTTTAGTAATTTGTTGGCAAATTGAATGTAATCCTTGATCTGTCTTGGTTTGCTTTCTGATGTCTCCTTTCCAAATATTAACTTCATACTACCAATGATGAGTGTTGAGCCATTCGTAGGTACCTTTACAACAATATCACTCGGTGATATGATTGCTTCAATTGTAACACTTATTGATTGCATTGGATGTGATATCCTATCGATATATATCAATTGATCCATTGATCCAAGTACAAGATGTTTGAGGTTGGCTGGAAGTTTGGGCGTGTCAAGTCTGTTGTATGATGCTCCCAGAGTGAGCGAGGTGAGAGAGCGTGGCAAGGCACCTCTATCCAGAGAGCAATTGAACTTCTGTCCAAAGATCAAAGTCTTTAGTGATCGAGGTATTATTGATGGTCCGATAACTTGATTGAACATGTGACCAAATGTCAATGACTTGAGAGCTGGCGGGAGGACATCTGGTCGAGTGATGGGTTGATTGTACATGTAACCAAACTCCAGGTACTTCAATGTTAATGGGAGTACATTATGTTTGATCACTCCATTATAGTTGAAGGTGAATGAGAGTTTGGTGAGTGAGCTCGAGACCAGTGCACCGGGTGCCAACGCCGACATCTTGCCCAACTTCAACTTAGTCACTGATGATGGCAGCCAATGTTGTATGGATGACGTGTGAACGAACTTGTCACCAAAGGTCAGACTTCTGAGCGTTGATGGCAGCGACCCAACTGTAATTGATTGATTGAATGAATGACCGAATGAGAGTGATTGGAGTCCTGCTGGGAGTGCTCCTACTAATAATGTTTTGTTGTATGTATATCCAAACTTGAGCTTTGTCAATGACTTTGGAAGACCATCCACATGGATTCCATGATTATGCATATGACTAAAGGTGATCCTTGTTATTGAGTCTGGCAAAGATCCTGGATATATCATATCATCAAAGTATGGTCCAAATGTAAGTGATGTCAATGTCTCTGGAATTGACTCCGGGACCAAGCACTCTGCATCGTATAACATTGTTGATTGAGTTGGTCTCTTTGGAGATTGAGTTTGAGTTTGAGTTTTGGATGTTGGTGTTGGAGATGGTGATGGACATGACATTGTGGCCCAATTGATGGGTGGTTGTATGATTGTCAAGGCCAATGATTGTGACTTGGCCGTGGGCTTGGGTTTGGACTTGGTTGTAAAGTGATGATCATCTTTGGATTGTTTCAAGGTTGTTTGAATGTGTGGAACTAACAAATAAGTGAGTGATATTAATCTATTACACGTGAAACATAGACTTAGTGTATCCAAGTCATTGTTCAAATAATAATGTATATTCCTTAGTACATATAATGGTAAAGAGTCCATCAATATTATATTATTATTATTATTATTTATGTTGTTGATTGATTGATTGATTATAACAATGATCAATGAGTGATTGGGTATCAATATGAGAGATTTATGGAGTCTGTTGTCTTCAACTTCACTATTATTACTGTGAAGTTATTCCAACAATCTTCTTTGTTTGTAAAGATTGTAAAAAATGATCAAAGTCTGTTTTTGGAAGGTGTTTTTGATCAAAAATTCATTGAACTTGTGGGTGATTGATCATCAAAAAAGTCAATATCTCAAAGTGTGTCATGATCAGATCAATCAATCATAGTCAACACAACATATCCTTCATATAAATATAAATAGAGATAGATAAAGATGTCAACTTCTCCAGCCACACATACACCATCTGAAACATTCCAAGAGAGTGAACTTGATAAGTATTATGCACTGTTCTGCTCATTCGACACCAACAAGTCATCAACACTCGACTTGAAGGAGTTCAAGGCAGCCTTCCAATCAAAGCTTGGATTCTCAGATGCCACCACCGAGGGCATGTTCAAGGCATGCGACGTCAACAAAGATGGAGTGATCGATCTCCGTGAGTTCCTTGCTCTCATCTCCATCATTGTCAAGTCATCACCAGAGGAGAAGTTAGTCTTCCTTGTAAGTACTATATGTGGTCTCACTCAATCACTCATGCATCATACTCTTCACTAACTCATACATTATATCAGTTCCATTTGTATGATAAGGATAGAAGTGGATCATTGGATAATGCAGAGTTGGTTCAGATCTGTGCTAGTCTGGCACAAGTTGGAAGAATTGGTGGCAAGGCTGATCAGCTACATCTTAGTGTTGAGGAGCTTGCCAAGGCTGATACCAACAAGGATGGTGTGGTCTCATTGCCAGAGTGGGTGGACTATGGTCTGAAGAACCCTGTGCTCCTAGAGCTCCTCAAGGGCTACGAGTTGTAAAGTTTGTTGATTAACAATCAATAACAATAATAATATTAATAACAATAATACATCACTTAAGTTACTGGATCATTCATTCATTCATTGACAACCTCTGGAATCATTCCATCCCAACCCACCTCATGAATACAACCTCCTCCTCATCAGGTCTTTATGATGGTTGAAGTTTTTGGTGGGCAACAACTAACTTGAACAAACAAGTTTGTGAGTTCACTCATCACTCTTCATTCAACATACTTATTACTTCAAGTTAGTTATAATTAATGGGCAGTATATATTAGAATGGATGACACTTGTTTCTACAAGAGTTGAATGAATGATCAATCAACACGACTTCTACTACTTGAATCTTCAAGTTGAAGGTCACTCAAGTTACTTGAAGTAGTGAGTTGTTTAGTTTGGTTGATTGATTGATTAAAGGATCATTATTATTTAATCAATACGTATTGATTGTTACCCTACAATACTTGTTAATATATACAACTACTACTATCTATATTAATTATTATATATACAAATACATTACAAAGACATGACGGTAAAGACAACTATTGTAAGTTGTTCAATCAAACTACTACCATCATGATGTGCTGGATGTACCTTATACTAACATTTACATCAATTAGGAGCAACATGAGCATGTAATGTTAGGTCCAGACCCAGTTCCAATGAACAACAACATCAACAACAATAACAACAATATAAATATTGATGGTATGTATAACACAAAACAGTTGTATGTAATATTCTAGGAGACCATGCTAATACATTGTTATTGCTCATTAAAGATACACCAACTCCGACACCGACACAATTCAAACGCAAGAATCTATTAATGGATGAAAAGATCAAGCGTGTGATCGAACTGGCTAGCAAGGGACGAGAGGTAGCTCGGTTATCTGTTGGCAAGGATATTGTTTATATTGTCGGTCGATCAGGATCTGGAAAGACAACTCTATGTTACTATCTTACTGGCCACACGTTAAAAGTGATCAAGCTCCCTCTCAAAGTGAATGGAGTGCCCACCGGAATGACAACGGATGCTGTCGATGTCGACGGTATAAAGGAGTCCAACATTGGTGTGCATCTAGGTTCCATGACCAAGTTCATTAACCTCTACAGCAACAAGGGTGTTAACTTGGCCGACACACCCGGCACCAATGACACTGAAGGAGAAGCAGTGGATCTCGCCAGCAACGTCTCCACCACCAACGGCATCCAAGCTTCAAGGTCAGTGCGACTGGTCCTTGTCCTCTCCCAACATGACATTGAAGGAAACAGGGGAGGGGAGTTCAGCGAGCTCCTCGACCACATGGCCAACATGGTTCACGACCTGGCCACCAACATTCAATCGATTACTTTTGTCTTCACCAGGACTGATGCCGATCATTCATTGAGCAGACAGTATGGCGACATCCTGAAGGCCATCATCAAACAACACAATCATGAGAAGGACCAGGACCCCTCCAGTTTGAGAATGACTCTGATCGAGCAGATATTCAAGGGTGCCCAGGCCAAATTCAATCTCATGGAGAACAAGATCGAGAGCCCTGATTCTAAGATCATACATATCGCCAACCCCCTCGACGCCAACGACCGTGACAATCTCCTGTCAATAATCATGTCCAAACCGCAAATCACCGACCCTCAGTCCGTGTTCAGGTACAACATCTCAACTGCCTCCCAGAACTACATTGAGAAGACCATATACAAGATTCAGAACACGATCAAGGATGCCATCGAGTCCAAGGACTATGAAACATTGAGGGAGGCCCTTGAGGTCCTCGGCCTGCTCAACACCAATCTTGGACTCAACATACTTGATACCTCATACCGTTCATCATTATCAGACATCAGAAGACACCACAGCCAGCTCGTACAATCCACAAAGGACAGTCTGACTGAGAGTTTCAGGCTGGGTGGTATCTTCGACCCATTGGCACTCAAGTCACTCACTGACAACATCATGAACATCATGATCCAAGTTGGTGAAAAGCTGCCAAACATTGAGACCCACGAACAAGTGTTGGACTCTCTGGTTCAGATTGCCACCGAATGTCAGCTCTCATTGAAGGACATCACCGAGTACGGTTCAATCAAGTCTCAGTTGGGTAAGCTTCAACATCTAACCGTTCTTGATACGTGCTTCCTTCCAGTGTTTGATGCTGCCAAACAAACAATGTCCGAACGTATCAGGTCTCTGAATGATGAGTTCAATACCAACCTTTCCAACTTCAAATGGGAAGACATTGCCTCCGTCCTGACCGACATCCAAAACACAATGATCATACAAACATACGTCACCAACTTGGACATCAACGACATGTATCAAATGGCAATCCAGAGGATTCAAACAACGCTCACCAATCTTCTTGATCGCATCACCACGACTATCAACGGTGATTTGCCAAATGCAATCGATATTGAGGGCATCAAGAACCAATGGACATTCTTGGTTGGGGCATCTTCATGCTCTAGACTTGGAGAACATCTTGGCGTATCCATTGCATCAACATACATCAATCGTGCCATGGACCAGATCTCAAACTATGTCTCAGACATGCTGAGCACTCTTGAGAATAGGAACGTCGACTCGGCCAGGCTGTATTCGTCCTTCCAGAAGACCTCCACGATCAGATCGTTTGACTCAAGGATCAGAGACATGACCAATCCCGACTACAAGAAGGCGCTGAAGATAGTCGATAAAAAGATGGATGACTTGCTTAGAGAACTGAGACAAACAGTTGATAAGGACAACGCCCGTGCACTGACGACCGTCTCCTCTCAGCTCCGAGAGATCAACAGGTACTCGCAGTTGGATGAGTTCCTACCTGAGCCCAAATGCTTGCCAACCTACTTGGAAGCACTTGAAATTGTACTCAATCAGGTGCTGGAGTTGGATTCGACCATCAGCGAAGCTATCCAGGGCAAGGACTTTAAGACGGCGGCTTCACGAATCAGGAATCTATGTAACTTGGTCGATGAGCTTGGATTCAATGAGTCATCCCGACACAAGGAGGAATGCGCCCTGTTCGAGAAGAGCACCAACACCAAAGCCAAGATCAAAGAGTCCATCGGCCAAGTATGCACTGTTGACCAGGCTGCCATGTCAGACTCAATCCAGAATGGAAGGTGGGCAAGGTTCAAGCGAGAGTTTGAGACATTGAACTACTTCAGGACATGCCAACTCTTTCCATCTGCATCGACAACCCTTTCAGCCATTGAGAAGGAGCTGAAGGACACATTTGATGAATGGGTAACCACCATAAAGTCCGATATGGCAGAGGACAAATATGAGAAGGCCTCTATTCTTGCCAATCGAATACATAATGCAAGGAGCGTCAATACCATCTCCTCCATCATTGGCGACGACTCCTTCTTCTCCGAACTGATTGATCATATCAACAAGGCCATCGACAACTTCATCAATAGGATGCAGGACTACCTTTCAGTCAACAATCTGAAAGAATTTGCCACCGAACGACAATTACTCAATCACCTCCAGAGTCTGCCCCATTCAAAGGCCGACCTCCGCAGCGTCATCAGTAAGCTCCACATTGATTTCAAATCGACCCAAGACACGAATGTTGGCAGTGCTGTTCAGTTGCTACAATCTCGAGACTACGACAACATCAAAAGCATTGTTGGCAGCTTCACTCCAGGCACAGCCGTGCATACAGAAATCATCGCCAAGACAATTGCCATCTTGAGCATCGACGAGAGGAACTTGCTCAAGCAAGCCAACAGTCTGGACATGGCCGTGTCCCAAGACAATGACTTGATACAGTATAGCAACATGTCATTGGAGCTATCATCATTCTACAAGGCTGCCATATTGGCTGAAGATCTGACCTCGGGCACCAACAGATATGACATCATATCCAAGATCAAGGGCATCCAGGACACACTCTGCAAGAGTCTCCAATCATTGTGCAAGAAACAGAGAGTTGCCATCAATGTCCACAACTTCACCGAGGCATGCTCAATCTCCAATCGAGTCAAAGAAGTCGTCAACAGGATATCCGGTCTCTCCAACAAGGAGATGGACATTGAGCTTGGCATGCAACTGACCGAATCCCAATCATTGATCACTGATGCCCTTAACGGTCTTGATGAAACACTATTTGAGCAGCCTGCTTATAAGTACATGATGATCCTCGAGGGACTTAGGCTCTGCACCGATCTATCGTGTTCCACCAAGTATACCCAGCTTCAGGGCGCTTACATAGAGATGCTCTGCACCAAGGCAGAGCCCATTCACAAACAGATTGTCAGTGGAGATTGCCACGCCGCCGTGACCAGGATGGAGAAGTTAGAGTCAGAGTACATGGAAATGTCCAGGTTCTTCACCATGCCCAGGTCTATCATTGACAACCTCAAGAGGGACTTTGACACAACCGTCACCAAACAAGAGCGTACTCTCCAGAGCTGCATTGTCGACGGCAACTTTGATAGATTGGGAAACAACAATCTCAATCAACCAACTATTGACGCCATCCGCTCAACAGTCTCAGAGAACTACGTGACCTTGCATAGGGCTGTCCACGAGAAGCAATATGGCATCGTTGCCAAACAACTCGGTTGGTTCAATGGGTTGGGCAAGAACAATGCCATCATGACCTTGGTTGGACCAAGGGCCACGCCAGACCTCAGGACACTGGTCGACACAGCATCCAAGTTGTTTGAGGAGATTGATGACAGCATCAAGAAGAACGCACCAAGCACCGATCACTTGGAACACTTCACTGGCTTGTATCTTCACCTGTCGCCATTTATCTCTGACTTGAACGTTATCAACAACTCGTTGGTAAAATGTTTGTACAACTACATTGGCACAATCAACAAGATCATTCAAGACACCACCACCAGAATGAGCAAGGATATCCTTGCCAAAGAGACAAGTCAATGGGATAGCGTGGCAACAACACTCTCCACACTCAAACAGTACCCTGGCTTCTTCAACATCACTCGAACAATGGTGCTCAAGTCCAACCTTTCCCCCGTCCATGTGCCTCCTACATACCACGACACTCATTCCAAGCTTCAGGCCGTCCTCCAGTTGCGCATCAAGAGCTTCTCTGATGACATTGCAAGACATCAATACGAGAGATGTGCATCAACAATGATATTATCACGAGACCTCACCTACGCACTCAACTCGCACCCCTTGGTCCCAGAGGAGAGCCTTGTAAACCTAACCAAACTCATTGACGACCACTCCAAGCATCTTGTAGCCTCGAGCAAAGTGCAGTGGGACATCCAATCCTACACCAACTTTGGAAAGTTGCTCGATCAAGCCACTTTGTTTGAGAAGCACATGTCCACAGTCCCCCAGGTCACACTGGCAACAGTTGGATCAATCATTTCAGTTGTCAGGAAGTCAATCGGAGAGATGGTGATGATGTCACAACATCTAAGCACTGCTGAACTTCCAATGAAGTTGAAGGAGATCAAACTCCTTTCAGACGAGGTGCCCTGTGATGCAATCAAAGAGATGGTGGATGAGTCAATTCATTCAATCATTCTCCTCCATAAGAAGAACCATGGCAACGATACAATCAATGTCATTGGCATTGCACTCACCAAGCTAGGTCGGTTGGGCAAGGAGATTGTAGACGAGTCCCCGCACTTCAAGTCTCTCAAGTTGGCAATGTGGAACAAGAAGATATCCACTCTCTCCCTCGATGACACCCTTGCTGACTTTAACGGCAGCGACATGAACAAAATCCTCCTCAAGACGAGCTTCCAGTCCTTTGAGAGTCTATACCAAAGTCTGACCTTCTCGGGTCTGAAGAACATTGATGTCGAAGTCAAGAACATCATCCACAATGCCAAGATGATTGCATCAAATATATCACCCGACATGAAGGCCGAGCATCGTGAGAAGGTCATCAAACTTCTGGCACACATCTTTGCAGTGTGGACGATCACAAAGTCTGGCGCCCAATACCTGGAGACTGGTAAAACCACTGATCTGATGCAGCCCCACACCATCCAGGTTCTTAGCATCATGCGACTTCTTGGAATTGACAACGAGAAGGGCTGGTTCACCTCAAGACTAAACTCATTCATTGGCGCGTCCGGTCCATTCATCAATCATCTCATTGAGATCAAGACTGGAGAAGGCAAGTCCGTCACTCTGGCCATACTCTCTCTGGTGCTTGCACTTCTAAAGTTTGACGTCAAGTGTGTCAGCTACAGCAGTTACTTGTCCAAGCGCGACTTCAACGACTTTATGGATGTTTTCATTCTGTTTGGCTGCCAGGACAACATCTCTTACTCCACCATTGGCGATCTGTGTGAAGTCCTGATCAAGGAGAATGGTGATGTGCGCGATCTTACCGAGTCATTCCTCAAGAACAAGCTTGACAAACAATCACCCAAGCCATCGCCCCGTCCACGCATCCTTCTCGTCGATGAGGTGGACATATTCTTTGGCGACTCATTCATTGGTCGCACATACAATCCATGTGTCACACTCAGGTCGCCCGCCATCACTGCTCTCTTTAAGTACATCTATAAGAACCGTTCCACCATAACCTTGGCTGCGCTAATCAATCAACCAGAATACACCAAAGTAGTTGGTGAGTTCCCTGGACACGAGGCCATCATCTCCTACTCAATCAATCAGATGGTTCAGTTCGTGAACTTCTTCAACCAACCTGTCTACGAGGTCGATAAAGTCAACCAACGAATAGGATACCGCAAACATGATGAGATCTCCTACACCACCGAGTACATCCACCGAACAATGTTTGCCTACCTTGCCGAGAATGAGAAGAATGTGATCACTGACAAGACAATCGAGAACACCATTGGCATGAGTGTTGTTTGTGGACATTTCAGCTACGCCAAGATCCCAGGCAAGTTTGCAAAGATTCTTGGTGTCACTGGCACTTTAAAGAGTCTCTCGCAGCCAGTGAAGGATATCATCGAGGGCTTTGACATTAAGAAGAACACCTACACACCATCAATCTTTGGAGCAACCCAACTGCATCACAAGGAGATTGAAGATGTCATCATGGAGGACACGGTCGTGTTATGGCATCGCAAGATTCAAGACAGCATCTTGGCCGTCATCAAGGCCGACAGAGCCGCCATTGTCTTCTTTGAGAATGAGCAACTGTTGACAGCGTTCCAACAATCAGAATATTGCAAAGGATTCGACAACATGGCCATACTTGTGGAAGGTTCAGATAAGAAGGATAACATCATCAAGAAGGCTGCCACAGCTGGTCGTGTCACCTTGGCCACGAGCTCATTCGGCAGAGGTGTGGACTATTTTGTCCGCGATGACAAAGTGATTGAAGCTGGTGGAGTCCATGTGGTGCAGACCTTCCTGTCGGAGGACATCACCGAGGAGATCCAGACCAAAGGAAGAGCTGCGCGTCAAGGTCAGAAAGGATCATACCAGATGATCATGTGCAAGTCACACCTGATCAATATGGGCATCAATGAGGCGGAACTCACGACCAAACAAAAGAGTAATGCATTCTACGCCTTCCTCAACAAGTCTAGACAGGACATACACGATGCCAAATGCACCAAGCAGGTTACCAATGCCAAACGTGCTGACCAGAAGGATGATCAATCCGTCGCATATCTAAAGGGACTATCGAACTACGTGCCTGAGAAGAAGCAGGCGCTGTCCAAACAATTGGAAGCAATAATAAAGGATTGAGGGTGGTTTATTGAGTCTTAATATTGTGAGTTGTTCAGTCTGACAGAAGGATGCTCAACAATCAGTTACTGAAATATACTGGCAGAATTTCAGTTGATAACTTGAACCAACAAGTTGTGCAGACACAACACTTCCTCCTACTTAGTACTTCAAGTTATTAATTAATGGGTAAGCAGTCTAGACTGACACTTGTTAAAGATCAAGTTGATCTTCAACTACTTAAATATTCAAGTTAAAGAAGTACTTGTATTTTACTTAATCTTTGATATGATCCTAATACAACTGAATTGAATTATATGTAATATTATTTATTTATTATTATTACTTTAACAACACAAGGAGATGACTATAAAGAGAACAAATATAGTAAGATCAATCAATCATCTACCCTAGACAATTATAAAAAGACATCTAGACCTTAGACTAATTCTGTCTCATAAATTTAATTCAATTAAATAATCCAGGATCAATCAGAATTAAATTGTTTGTTTCCAGAACAAGCTTCAATCAACAACAATTTCATCAACCAATTAAATCACATCAATATGTTAAATTTGATTGAAGGTACAGGTATGTATCACGATGGTTGTTATTTATAAATTCTAATTTATTGACTATTTTCTATTTACAGATAAACCAACTCCGACACAAATCAAATGTAATGATATTTTGTTAGATGAGAATTTAAAGCGAGTGAAAGAACTGGCAGGCAAGGGACTAGAGGAAGCTATGTTAATGGTGGGAAAGGATATCATATATATGATCGGTCAGACAGGATCAGGGAAGACAACATTATCCTATTATTTGACCGGTCACATATTAAAGTTGTTCAAAGTTCCACTCACAGTGAATGGAGTACCCACGAGGGTAACAAACGACTTTATCAATCTCGACGGTGTAAAAGAGTCCAATATTGGTGTTCTTAGAAAACCAATGACAAAGTTCATAAACCTTTACAACCACAAGGATATCAACATTGCCGATTCACCTGGATCAAATGATAAAGAGGGAGCAGTTGATCTCGCCACCCACGTCTCAACCATCAACGGTATCCAATCTTCAAATTCAGTACGACCCGTTCTTGTCCTCTCCAGACACGACATTGAAGCCAACCGAGGAAAGAATTTTAGTGATCTCCTTGACCACCTGGCCCACATGATACCTGAAGACCTAGCCACCAATATGCAATCAATGACTGTGGTCTTCACCAACATGGACCCGGAACATTCTTTGAGTAAACAGTATGCCGACATCGAGAGATTCATCACCTTACAACTCAATCATGAGGAGATGGATGATCCTTCCAGTATGAGATATACTCTTATCAACAGAATATTTGTTGGTGCCAAGGCAAAACTCAATCTCTTGGAGAACAATATCCAGAGTTTGGATTCAAACATCATACATATCGCCGACCCCCTCAAGCCCAACGATCGGGACTCTCTCCTCTCTATCATCTTGTCGAAGCCGGGAATCACTAACCCTAAGGAAGTGATCAAGTTCAACATCTCCCCTGCCTCCCAGACCTATATTGATAGTGTTGCTTCAAAGATTCAGAGCACTATCAAGGACTCTCTATCGTCCAAAGATTTTGAATCATTGAAGAAGATGCTCGATCTCTTCTGGCAACTAAACAGCATTCTTGGGTTAAACAATCTGGACACTTCATACAATTCCACAATAGATGATATCAAGCAACACCTTAAACAACTGGTTCAATCTACAAAGGACAGTCTGATTGTTGGTCTTCGGCTGGGAAATAACATCAATCATCTGCAACTAAAATCGCTTATTGACAACATCACGAGAATCAGAATCCAAGTTGGTGGACAGTTGTCAAACGTTGAGACACACGAACAATTCTTGGAATCCCTTATTCAGATTGTCACCGAGTGTCTGCTCTCATTGAAAGACATCTCTGTGTACTCATCAATCAAATCTCAGTTGGACAAGTTTTATCAGCTCACCCTTCTGGACCCGTGCTTTCAACCAATGTTGGATGCCGCCAAACAAACTATAGCCGAACGAGCCAGGTCATTATTAGAAGAGGTTAAAAATGACCTAGACAACTTAAAGTTGGAGGACATTGTCACTGTCTTGACAATTTGTGATGGCATCAAGAACAAGAAGGGCAATATAATGACTTTATCACAAATCAAGAATCTAAACGACCCAATCGAAGTGACAGAACCCAAAGAAGAACTTGCCATTTTCGAGAGTTCCAGGAACACCAAGCCTGAGACCAAAGAGTGTTTCTGTCAAATATGTAGAGTTGACCAAGCTTCCATGTCAGATTCAATCCAGAAAGGAAGGTGGGACACGTTCAAGCGGGAATATGAGACAATGAACCTCCTAAGGACATGCAATCATTTCCCTTCGGCACCATTGATCCTACCAGCTATTGAGATGGAGCTGAAACATACTTTTTATTTATCCGTCAACACCATTAAGAGCCAACTGGAGGAGGACAAATATGAACAGGTGGCTAGTGTTGCCAAACGTATCATCAATGCGAGGGGCATCAACATCATCTCCTCAATCATTGGAGACGAATTATTCTCAGATTTGATTGATGATATCAACAATACCATCGACAACTTCATCAAAAGAATGGTCAACCACCTTTCAGTGAACAATCTCAATGAGTTTGCAATCCAACAACAGTTGCTCAATCATCTCCATAATCTGCCTCATTCAAAGACCGACCTCCACTTTATGATCAGTCAGCTCAACATTGATTTTAAATCCAGACTAGACCACCTTATTGACGATGTCGTTGGATTCCTTAAATTGGGAAACTACGAACAGGTCAATAGAATAGTATGCGGCTTCCCTACAGGCACTCCTGTACATACAGAGCTCATCTCCAAGATAATTGCCTTCTTGAGCACCCTGGAGTCCAATTTGTACGATCGAGCCCTAAGTCTGGACATCCCACTAGACAACGATAAGACTGACATCAATTTTTCAAAGAATCTATTATCATTCTACAAAGCTTCTATATTGGCAGATCTACTCTCGGTCAAATTCCAATATGACATCACGTCCAAGATCAAAGAAATCCAAGACACACTCCTCAAGAGTATCAAATCTTTGTGTGAGAGGCAAAAAGATTCCATCAAAGACCACAACTTCACCGAAGCATGTTCAATCTCCAACAGAGTGGATGAGATCGTCAACAGGATCACAGGCCACTCACACAAGGTGATTGAGATAGAACTTGGCAAGAAACTGATACTATCCAAACAGATAATCAGTAACTCCTTAAACAATCTGAACATTGACTCATTGTTTGCCGAGGACAAGAATATCCTCGAGAGCATTAAACAAGCCACCAAAATAGATAATTCCTGCTCGGCTAAGTTCAAACAACTGGAGGACACCTACATTAGGAAATTGTCAACCAGGGCCGAGTCAATTCAGGAACAGATTGACAACGGACACTCCTTCGATGCCATGATCAAAAAGAACGAGTTAGTAGTAGAGTTCAAACAGATGTCCAAAATCTTCACTTTGCCTACATGTATTATTGACAACCTAAATAGGGACTTGGACAACTCAGTCACAACCCAAGATAATGTTCTCCATAACCAACAGGCATTGCATGGATGAATAACAATCAACTTTCCAATACTTGAACAAAGACAACCAACTTTGGTTGTCTAATTGGTAACTCACATCAATAAACAAAAGAGGAGTGATGTATGAAAGATGGTAGTTTATTACTTTGGCACCAGGATGATAGTTGTCAGTCGGACAATGCTTCCAACGGCGGTGAATGTGAACATGTTGTTGTCGTGGTAGGGGGAGAGGATAATGTCGTAGTCGGGCGTGGCCTCAACGATTGAGTTCTTGTTGAAGAATGGGAGGTTGAACGTGGCCACATGATGGCATCCTCATCCTCGCTGGACTCATCCTTCTTGCTCTTCTTCTTCTTCTTCTTCTTCTCCTCATCGAGTGACTTTGTTGTGGCCGCCTTGTCTTTGCTTGACTCTTTCTTTACATTCTTCTTATCGCTGTTCTTTGTGATTGGTGTATCTTTGTCGTTTGAATCATCATCATTATCATCATCATCATCGTCGTAGTTGTTTGATCCATCTGCTCCAGCTGACTCTGAATCCAACACAGTCTGACGCACCCTATCTTGCAAGGATTGAGTAACTGGTTGTTCCACATGTTTCTTGATCACAGGTTGTAGTAACGACGGCGCCGATATCAGGTCGGGATACGCATCATGAGTACTGGCGTGCAGCAGACGTATCATATCTTTAAAGAACCTGGGCAGCGCGCCCTTCTCTCCATTGTCTCTCTTGAACACACCATATTCCGCGAGGAGCACTGACTCGAGGTTGATCCACTCGAGGTAGAGCTGGTCGTTGTTGGCTATCTTTGATCTGTCCACGCTGTCAAACACCTTGGGCAGCTCGGCATCATACGTGATCTCGAGCACGTACAATATGTACTTGGAGCCAGGGTACCAGAGTTTGAGGGTGGCTGGCGCAAACATCTGAACTCCTCGAGACGGTCGGCAAAGATGAAGGCCATCTCCTCGTTGAACTCGCGGATCGCTGTGTGCTCGGCCATCAACTCATGCGTCTCCCACTTGCCGCAAACGGCCCACATCAACGCCACTCTTGGACACTGAGTGGCACCTTTGAACCTGTGTCGCTGTGATACAGGACGGGGGCAATGTCGACCCGTGTTGACCGAGTCGAAATGATCACATTTGTGTCCACCAACCGGGATGAACATCGATGTGCCCAGCAACAGAGGTTGTTGGTGTTGTTGTAGTTGACAGAGATGATCTTCTTTTGTAGTCGCTAACTGATGCTGCTTCAGTTGGCTCACCCTGCTTTGTACTCGGAGTGGAGGTTGTCGTTGGCGTGTTGGACTTGGTTGAAAGTTCTTGTTATTCACCTGCTGCGTTCTCTTTGTGAGGACGGAGCCATCCTCTTCTTTGTTGGCCGGTGTGTATCCACTTTTTATCGTGGTCAAACCTGGAAGAGGTCCTTCCTGCTATCATTCTTGCTGATGGTAACCAAAGTGGGGAGAGAGTATATGCATCGATTTCACCTGTCCGCCCATTGCTGCCATTGTCTGGTTGGCCGCCATCATTGTCTCTGTGTTGTCTTGGACTCTAGCATTCTTAATTTTGATTGATTGATTAGTATGGAGTAGCCAATGAACTGATGGCTGGGTCAATCCTTAGGTCGGAGAAGTAGTTTAAAAAGAATTGCTCAGCCTTGCCCTGTTTTGAATGATTTATTGAATGATTGAGTGAGTTATTGATTCGCTAGCGTCTCATCAACTTGATGCACCATGTTCATACCTTCCCTCCGTTAGATTGATCATTCTGGCTCATACTCCTTCCTCTTTAGTTGTATCTTGATGTCTACTGCTGCAGTTACTGTACGTTGGCACTGTCTTTGCTGTAAGACAACATTCTATCCAGTTTGAAATGGAATATCTTGTTATCCTCTCATAATGAAAAAAGATATTATCTATATGTATAAATATATATCTATGTATATGTATATATATTAATGTTAGTATAAGTCAAGTAGAATTGACTCTATTATCGCCCACGCCCAGTTAAGAGGTGCTTCATGTTGAAGAAGTTATTAAAATATATTAAAAAAAACACTCCCTTCGCAACAAAAATCAAATAATCGAACAAATGCCATCATTACCAAAGAATCAATCAAGTACAAACACATACATCAATACAGACATACTATATCTTTGTTTATAGTCGTCTGCGACCATCGTCTCGTTCAGCCATCTAGTCAAGTCATCAATCATCATCGACGTCAACCATCATCGCCATCATTCATCAATCACTCATTCTCAATCATTATCTTCGTCAACCATCGTCGCCATTCATTCATCAATCATTCATCATGATCGACGTCATCCATTGTCGCCATTCAGCTGGAGGGTCGGTCATTGCCAATCATCAACCATTGTCGTCGACGGTGTCAATCATCATGTAGTAATAGTGTCGATCAAGAGAACGAGCAACAAGACCTCATCTGATTGATAATGACATTCCTTAGGAGGTGTCTCAAAGTTGATAATGTAACTATGTTGGTAAATTATACAACAAAGAGGCTGCTAACATAAGATTGAGCAGCACAGCATAGCGCGATATAGGCAACTAGACATGTTTGGAGTGAGTCCTGGCCCTGGTGATCGTCAGCGGACTCGGAACATATGAATGATATCACCTTCAATCATCTCGTTGGTCACCCTCGATGCATCGAGTCCGCGTGAACATGTTGTATTTGAGGACGAGCATCAACATCAACACAAAGATTGGTGCTCATCCTCAAAAACAATAGCAATAACGACAACAAATCATCACAAGTAGATAAGAATGATGCATCATTCTTTCCAGGCTCTACACTGATGTCTTCATACTGCCCCTTCTCAGTGGCCATTGACTGTTGAACACGAGCGATTGTTAACAGCAACAACAGTGTCAACAGCAACAACATTGTCAACAGCAACTCCAGAAGCAGGATGACTAACAATGACAAAGGCGATCTGGACCTCAACAGCTCCATCTGTTGTTAATGCACATCAAATATATCATCAGAGCAATTGATGGACCAATGATCCATCCTAGTCTAGATTACTTTTTAGATGTTGGTGAGCATCCATCTGTTTGATCTTTACTTGTTTGAAAGTATCTGTTTGACCATAAAGAGTAGACTGGTTTGGTGTGAGTCTTGGATGTGAGCTGGTTTGGTTTGATTTGGGCATCACCCTTTAGCTGAAGGATAGCACCCACTTGTATACTTATTACTTATATTCTTATACATCAATCAATTATTCAATCAACTAATCATCTATTTACTTATATATCTTGGTGCAGTACCAAGAGATGACGATAAAGACCACAATGGTATGTTCATTCAACCTGAGAGCTCCCGTGCACCTAATACTAACAATCACCAACTTATAATATTACTACCACTACTAAACTTCACAGGATATAATGTTGGGACCCGACCCTGTTCCAATCAACAACAACAACAACAACAACAACAACAACAACAACAACAACAACAACAACTTAAATGTGACAGATGGTAAGTAGTTATTCACTTTGTTCTATGAAGCCAAGAATAACTTTCTAACAAACATAAACTCTCAAGATACACCGACGCCGACACCTACACTGACACAAGCCAAAAGAATCACCAAGACCATGTTAATGGATGAGAAGCTCAACGTGTCATCGAGCTTGCTTGCAAGGGACGAGAAGTAGCTCGGTTAACTGTTGGCAAGGATATCATCTACGTCGTCGGACTGTCAGGATCTGGAAAGACAACTCTATGCTACTATTTGACTGGCCACAAAATTTAATTGGTAAAGATCGAGATACCGCTCTTAGCTAAAGGTATGCCTACTGGAATGAAAACCACTACTGTTGATGTAGATGGTCTAGCCAAGTCCAATATTGGTGGCCAGAAATGGTCCATGACCAAATTCAATACCCTGTACAGTATCAAGGATGTACACATCGCAGACACCCCCGGCACCAATGACACCGAGGGAGAGGCAGTTGATCTCGCTAGCTCTGTTTCAACTACCAACGGCATCCAAGCCTCCAAGTCCGTGCGACTAGTGCTCGTCCTCTCACGACATGACATTGATGGCAACAAAGGAAAGGAGTTCAGCGATCTCCTCGAATATGTGGCCAACATGGTTCGAAACCTGGCCACCAACATTCAATCAATAACTGTTGTCTTCACCAGGATGGATGCTAATCAATCTCTGAGCACACAACATGGCGAGATCCTGAGATGCATTATCGACCAACTCAACTTTGAGCAGGACATGGATTCCTCCAGTTTGAGAATGACTCTGATCGAACAGATATTCAAGGGTGCCCAAGCCAAATACAATCAAGTAGAGAACAATATCCATAGTCCTGATTCCAACATCATCCATATCGCCAACCCTCTGGACCCCAACGACCGTGACAATCTCCTGTCAATCATCATGTCCAAGCCGCCAATCACCGACCCTCAGGTGGTGTTTAAGTACAACATCTCGACTGCCTCCCAGAACTACATTGAGAGTGTCGTATACAAGATTGAGAACACTATCAAGGATGCCATCGTCTTCAAGGACTATGAGGCATTGAGGGAGGCCCTTGAGGTCCTAGGCCTGCTCAACACCAATCTTGGACTCAACATACTTGATACCTCATACCGTTCATCATTCTCAGATATCACAAGACACCACAGCCAGCTCGTACAATCCACAAAGGACAGTCTGACTGAGAGTCTCAGGCTGGGTGGCATCTTCAATCCATTGTCACTCAAGTCACTCACTGACAACATCATGAACATCATGATCCAAGTGGGTGAGCATTTGACCAACGTTGAGACCCACGAACAAGTGTTGGACTCTTTGGTTCAGATTGCCACCGAATGTCAGCTCTCATTGAAGGACATCAACGAGTATGGATCAATCAAATCTCAGTTGGGCAAGCTTGAACAACTCTCTCTTCTTGGCGCATGCTTCCATCCAGTGTTTGATCAAGCCAAACAAACAATCTCCGAGCGTGTCAGGTTACTGTTTGATGAGTTCAACACCTGTCTTGACAACTTCAAATGGGAGGACATTGCCTCCGTCCTGACTGCCATTCAAAACACAATGGTAGTCCAAGTCTACATCAACAACTTTGACATCAACGAGCTGTATCAGTTGGCAATCCAGAGGATTCAATCTTCGCTCGCCCATCTTCTTGATCGTATCACCAAGACCATCAATGGTGATATGCCCTCAACAATCGATATTGAGAGCATCCACCGCCAATGGACACTTTTGGTTGAGGCATCATCATGCTCTAGACTTGGAGAACACCTTGGCATATCCGTAGAATCAACATACATCGATCCTGCCATTTCCTTGATCTCAAAGTATGTTTTAGACATGCTGAACAATCTTGAGAACAGGAACATCGACTCGGTCAGGCTGTGCTCATCCTTCCAGAAGACCTCTACGATCAGATCGTTTGACTCGAGGATCAGAGACATGACGAATCCGGAATACAAGGAGGCGCTGAGGATTGTTGATAAAAAGATGGATGACTTGCTCAGTGTCTTAAGACAAACAGTTGATAAGGACAACGCCCGTGCACTGACGACCGTCTCCTCTCAGCTCCGAGAGATCAACAGGTACTCGCAGTTGGATCAGTTCCTATCTGAACCCAGATGTTTGCCAACCTACTTGGACTCACTGGACGTTGTGCTTAATCAAGTGCTGGATTTGGGTATGACCATTTGCGAAGCCATCCAGGGCTCTGACTTTAAGACGGCTTCCTCACGAATCAAGAACCTGTGCATCTTGGTCGATGAACTTGGATTCAGTGAGTCATCTAAACTCACAGAGGAGCGCGCCCTGCTCGAGAAGATCGCCAACACCAAAGCCAAGATCAATGAGTTCTTTAGCCAAGCATGCACTGTTGACCAGGTAGCCATGTCGGACTCAATCAAGAATGGAAGGTGGGCAAGGTTCAAGCGAGAGTTTGAGAAGTTGAATCACTTCAGGACATGCCCACTCTTTCCATTTGTATCCACTACCCTGTCAGCGATCGAGAAGGAACTCAAAGACACATTTGATGAATGGGTCACCATCATTAAGACCAAGCTGGCCGAGGACAAATATGAGGAGGCATCTGAACTTGCCAACCGTATCAATAATGCAAAGAACATCGAAACCATCTCCACCATCATTGGCGACGACTACTTCATGGAATTGAGCGATCATATTAACAAGACCATCGACAACTTCATCAAAAAGATGCGCAACCACCTGTCCGACAACAACCTCATGGAGTTTGCCACCCAAAGACAATCGCTCAATGACCTCCTCAGTCTTCCAAATACAAAGGTGGAACTCCACAAGGTGATCAGTGGGCTCCACATTGAATTCAAATCGAGCCAAGACTCCAATGTTGGCAGCGTTGTTGAATTCCTTAAATCTCGCGACTACGACAACATCAAGAGCAATGTGGTCAGCTTCACTCCAGGCTCCGTTGTTCACACAGATATCATGTCCAAGACAATTGCCGTCTTGAGCACTGAGGAGAAGAACCTACTCATGAAGGCCAACAGTCTGGACATGGCCGTCCCTCAAGACAACGATATTACACAGTATATCACAATGTCATTGGATCTCTCATCATTCTACAATGCTGCCATATTGGCTGATGATCTACTCTCGGGCACCAACAGATATGACATCATATCCAAGATCAAGGGCATCCAGGACACCCTTTGCAGGAGCATTCAATCATTGTGTGAGAAACAGAGAGTTGCGATCAATATCCATAACTTCAACGAGGCATGTTCATATTCCAATCGAGTCAAGGAGATAGTCAACAGGATAACCGGCCTGTCAAACAAGGAGATGGACGTTGAATTGGCAAGACTCCTGGAAATATCAAAATCAATGATCACAGACGCCCTCAACAACCTGGATGATTCATTGTTTAAACTGCCCTCTTACAGTTACAAGAGTATCCTTGAGGCACTCAAGCAAGCAACTGGCACAGATTTGTCTTGCTCCACCAAGTTCACCCAGCTGCAGGGCGCCTACATTGAGATACTCTGTGCCAAGGTAGAGCCAATTCACCAAGATATTGTCAATGGAGACTGCAACTCTGCCAAGATCAAGGTTGAGAGCATAGAGGCAGAATTCACCGATATGTCCAGATTGTTCACTTTGCCCAAGTATATCATTGACAACCTCAAGAGGGACATTGAGAACACCGTCACCAAACAAGATGAGACTCTCAAGAGCTGTATTGCCGACGGCAACTTTGATAGGTTGGCCAACAACAATCTAAGTCAGCCCACCATTGTCGCCATCCGCTCAACAATCTCAGAGAACTTCATGACACTGCAGAGTGCTGTCCATGAGAAGCATTATGGCATAGTTGCCAAACAACTCAGTTGGTTCAATGGCCTTACCAAGAACAATGCCATCATGACCATGATTGGATCAACAGCCACGCCAGACCTGAAGACATTGGTTGACATAGCGTCAAAATTGTTTGAGGAGATTGATGACAGCATCAGGCAGAATGCGCCAAGCACCGATCACTTGGAACACTTCACTGGCTTGTATCTTCACCTGTCGCCATTTATCTCTGACCTGAACATTATCAACAATTCGTTGGTAAAATGTTTGTACAACTACATTGGCACAATCAACAAGATCATTCAAGACACCACCACCAGAATGAGCAAGGATATCCTTACCAAGGAGACAAGTCAATGGGAGATTGTGGCAACAACACTATACACACTCAAACAGTACCCTGGCTTCTTCAACATCACACGAACAATGTTGCTCAAGTCCAACCTGTCACCTGTGCAAATGCCTCCAACCTACAATGACACTCACTCCAAGCTTCAGACGGTCCTTCAGTTCCGTATCAAGAGCTTCTCCGATGACATTGCCAGACATCAATACGAGAGATGTGCATCAACAATGATATTAACACGAGACCTCACCTACATACTCAACTCCCTACCCTTGGTCACAGAGGAGAGCATTGTAACTTTATCAAAACTCATCGAAGACCACTCCAAGCATCTTGTCGCCTCCAGCAAGGTACAGTGGGACATCCAATCGTTCACCAACTTTGGAAAGCTGCTTGACCAGGCCACTCTGTTTGAGAAGCACATGTCCACAGTCCCACAGGTCACACTTGCACCATATGGATCAATCATTGCAGTTGTCAGGAGTTCAATTGGAGAGATGGTGATGATGTCACAACATCTAAGCACCACTGATCTTCCAATGAAGTTGAGGGAGATCAAAATCCTTTCAGATGAGGCTCCATACGGATCTATTAAAGAGATCGTTGATGAATCCATACACGCAATCATTCTCCACCATAAGAAGAACCATGGACATGACTCAATCAATTATATCGGGCTTGCTCTAACCAGACTTGGTCGGTTGGGCAAGGAGATTGTAGACGAGTCTCCTCACTTCAAGTCTCTCAAGAACGCCATGTGGAACAAGAAGACATCCACTCTCTCACTCGACGACACCCTTGCTGACTTTGAGGGCACCGACATCAACAAACACCTCCTCAAGACGAGCTACCAGTCCTTTGAGAGGCTATACAATAGGCTGACTGAGGAAGGATTGAGATCTGATCAATCCATTGAAGTTGAAGTCAGTAAGATCATCCAGAATGCCAAGGTGATTGCCTCCTCTATCTCACCCAACATGAGAGTCGAGAATGGTGGAAAGTTTATCAAACTATTGGCTCACATCTTTGCAGTGTGGACGTTGGCCAAGTCCGGCGCTCGATTCATGGAGGCTGGAGATGTGAATGAGCTGTTGAAGCCACACACCATCCAAGTTCTCAGCATCATACGACTGCTGGGTATTGACAACGAGAAAGGCTGGTTTACATCGACTGTAAACTCATTTATTGGAATGTCGAGTCCATTCATCAATCACCTCATTGAGATCAAGACTGGCGAAGGCAAGTCCGTCACACTGGCCATCCTCTCACTTCTGATTGCGCTTCTTGGGTTCGACGTCAAGTGTGTCAGCTACAGCAGTTACTTGTCCAATCGCGACTACAACGACTTTATGGATGTCTTCGTCCTGTTTGGCTGCCAAGATAACATCTCGTATTCGACCATTGGCCAACTTTGTGAAGTTTTGATCAAAGAGAATGGAGATGTGCGCGATCTTACAGAGTCATTCATCAAGAACAAACTTGTTAAACAATCACCAAAGCCATCGCCCAGTCCCCGAATCTTGCTCGTTGATGAAGTGGACATTTTCTTTGGAGATTCATTCATTGGTCACACATACAATCCATCCATCACACTCAAGTCGCCAGCCATCACTGCTCTCTTCAGGTACATCTATAAAAACCGTGCCTCCATAACCTTGGCTGCGCTGGTCAAACAGCCAGAATACACCAAAGTAGTTGGTGAGTTCCTTGGACACGGACCCATAATCACCTACTCGATCAAACAAATGATAGAGTGCGTGTCCCTCTTCAATCATCCAGCATACGAGGTCGACAGAGTCAATCAACGAATAGGATACCGCAAACATGATGAGATCTCCTACATCACCGAGTACACCCACCGAACAATGTTTGCCTACCTTGCCGAGAATGAGAAGAATGTGATCACTGACAAGACCATTGACAAGACCATTGGCATGAGTGTTGTTTGTGGACATTTCAGCTACTCCAAGATCCCAGGCAAGTTCGCAAACATTCTTGGTGTCACTGGCACTTTGAAGAGTCTCTCACAGCCAGTCAAAAACATCATAGAGGGTTTTAACATCAAGAAGAGCACCTACACACCATCCATCTTTGGAAAAACCCAACTGCATCACAAGGAGATTGCGGATGTCATCATGGAGGACACTGTCGTGTTATGGCATCGCAAGATTCAAGACAGCATCTTGGCCGTCATCAAGGCCGACAGAGCCGCCATTGTCTTCTTTGAGAATGAGCAACTGTTGACAGCGTTCCAACAATCAGAATATTGCAAAGGATTCGACAACATGGCCATACTTGTGGAAGGTTCAGATAAGAAGGATAACATCATCAAGAAGGCTGCCACAGCTGGTCGTGTCACCTTGGCCACGAGCTCATTCGGCAGAGGTGTGGACTATTATGTCCGCGATGACAAAGTGATTGAAGCTGGTGGAGTCCATGTGGTGCAGACCTTCCTGTCAGAGGACATCACCGAGGAGATCCAAATCAAAGGACGAGCTGCACGCCAAGGTCAGAATGGATCATACCAGTTGATCATGTGCAAGTCACATCTGATCAATATGGGCATCAACGAGACGGAGCTCACGACCAACTATAAGAGTAATTCATTCTACCTCTTCGTCAACAAGGCTAGACAAGGCATCCATGATGCTAAATGCACCAAGCAGGTTGCCAATGCCAGAATTGCTGACGAGCAGGATGAGCAATCCGTCGAGTATCTAAAGGGACTATTGAGTTACGATCCAGAGAACAAACACGAGCTGTCCCAAAAATTGGAAGGAATAATAAAGGCATGAAGTATATTTGTCTTTCAATAATTATAAATTAATTAATTAAATATATTTCTAGGAGAGTCGAGGAAAGACAGAATGAGTGAGTAGGTTTGGTAATTTTGAACATGTATATTGATGACGCCTGGAAAGTGACCAAGAGTCCATATCAAATTACGGGCCGATCAAATCATCTTTGTATTTTTAGAATAAAGTAATGCTTCGACCTACTGGTCAAAGGCCTCCTTTCCATTTTTAGCAAAAAGTTGATGACCCACCATCTGGTGTCCATTGGTTTGGATTTATCCCGAGTGTGATCTCCAACCCCTCGTTAGGTGCCAAGATACAAACCTCGAAGTGGTGAAGAGACAAGACACAAAGGAGTGGATCTGCACTGGTTTGGGTTAAAGTATCAATCTACTGAATGATCAATAATAATATGTATATATAAATAAATACTCAATCATTCTTATCATTCAAAGGATAGTAATAATAATATAAAATGAATTACAAGTACTTTGGACTATTCCTTTTGTTGGTACTCTGCCTTGAGATGGTTGTCCAAGTAAGTACTTTTTTTATACTAAATATTAATAATCCTTTCCAATCATTTATTCATTCAAAAGACTCATGCTGCAGTAGCTACAAAGCCAAAAAAAGAAAGACTTGGCACCAACCAAGCCCAAGAGATTGGTCAACGCGCAGATCGAGAAGATCAATTGGCACAAGATGATGATGGTGTACACTGAGACTTTGATCAACAAAAAGACATACTTTGTGAAGCCGGAACAGCCACTCCAGTTTATGGAGATGTTGAAGGCCTACGTGATAACCGGAGTATCGTTCATCCCAGAAGTTGGTCCTGCCCTCAGTGGTATGATCGATACGATCTGGTCCGGCTTTATCGAGAACACTCCCATCAATGACTTCAACGAAGACTGGTACCTGGCAGGCATCAGGGATGTGGTAGGCGACGAGTTGATCAAGTTTGATATTAGTAACTCCCTCGCGACGCTTCAGGGGCTGGTCAGACACTCCCAGGACTTTCACACTTACGTCAATGAATCAAAGTACAACAGCTCCCAGGGTGTTCATGACATGATCAAGTCCTTCTACTTTTCTCTCGACAGTGGTCTGCGTGACCATCTGGCTGGAGATTTCAATCGCCCAGGTTATGAACTAGGCGAGCTGCCCAGCTATGCCATCGCCGCCACCATCTACTTCATGCTCCAGGTCGAGTTCAACAGACATGCAACGGAGTGGGGCTATGAAGAGAACGTCATCTGCATCCAGCGCCAAATCGCGTTTAATGTAATGCCCATCTACACGAATAACTGCATGGCCATCTTCCAATCCACGCTCGCCAAGATTGTCGCCACCGAAGACACTGATGAACCAATCTCTGGGAGGAACACGTTTGAGAAGATTTTGGCGCTACGACGTATCTTGATCCTGGCAGTGTTTGACTATGTCGGCATGTGGTGGCAGATGGACTCGGTCATGTTCCCCATGGGTGTATATGCTGAGAGGGTGCGCAAGGTGTGGGGGCCGACCTTGGGCTATGCCCGAGATATCGACGCAGTCCACGACCCCAATCAACTTGACCCAACCTACTTTGATAGGTTCACTGGCCCGGACATCACCTATGCTCGATACATGGAGATGTACGACGAGAAAGGAATTGAGCAAGTCAATGGCCTTATCTCTGCCGCTCCAGGACCGACCATTTCATCACCGGCCTCACGGCGAAATACAGACACCCTGACAACATCATCTATGCAACCGAATGGAGCCGGAATGACAAACCACCTGCTGACTATGATGGCTACTTTATCTATTTCCCCAAGACCTTCAGGGACTCCAAGCTGACAATGATAGGCACATCCGTCCCCAAGTACATCAGCAACGACAATCCCGAGAACTCATTCCTTTTGTTTGTCGACGCCTACTCAGACGATATGGAGAATTGCATCGATCCTCAAGTCGGATGCTCTACAACGCCAGAGGAGAGGTACAATAACTTTAAGGTGCCATTCCACAAGGTCGGTGACATTGTGGCCTGGGACTCGAACAATGTGATCAATTTGAAGTACGAAGTCACCGACGCCCTCATGGTTGGCTTTGTGCCAACCAATGTGTTCCACAGCAACACGGTGTTCAGGCACACCACCACTGCCATTGACGCCCAGAAGTTCACTGTAAAGCAGGGAGGAAGCATCTTTGTCCGCGACCACTTCACCATTGGCTCGCATGCCTTGATGATCCCAACTGGCAACGTCCTCTCGTACAACTTCATCGCCCAGGACAACAAGGGTAGCGATCACTACCTTGGTATTCTGGCCTGTCTGAAGACCGCTGGAGCTCCGGTGACTGTCACCATCACTCACTCGATACTCGGCAAGGTGTGCGACATTGTGATTGGCAGTACTGACTACCATCCCATTCTGGACATCAACCAAAACCTCGTGAGGCTGACCAGTGCTGGATTGAACGCTCAGAGTCCAAAGCTTGTCATTTCTGCAACTGGTGACTTCTATCTCAAGTCAATCATCTTTGTTCCATGGTTTAGTCCTTAATAAACTGATTATACATCCGTCCTTCCCTTGACTAGATCGATCGATTCATGCTTTGGAGTGCCAAATGAATGATTGGCTGACTGAATGCATCGATGTCGACAATGATGAATGATTGATACTTTGTGCTGATAATGTTTCACACCGTCGACGACAACTCTGACTAAGATTGATTGTTTGATTGGTTGTGTAAGATCAAATTATTACTAATCGGAAGCAACGAGATCAAAATTGGTCAAGTCCATCTGTCTTCATTCTTTTATATTCATTCTTGCACTTTGGTGACAAAGTCATAAACATACACATACACTTTAGATATATATATATATATATATACAAACAACAAGATAAATGACGGCTTAATATCATAAAGTGTTGTTAACGAGCAATCAGCTCCTACTCGCAGTCTGACTCGCAACATCAACATCAACACGATAAGCTCAAGATACGTTATCGTGGTGTATACGTTTGTGGACTGCGCAAGGAGTACATCAGTCGATCAAGTGTCCAACATCCCAAAGACACTCCAGCACACCAAGTACGAGAACGTCTTCTCGTTGGGCGACTGCTCCAACCTGCCCACTTCAGAGACGGCGGCCATCAAGCAGGCCATGTCTCGTCGCCAGGGGTGTATGTATTCGCACCTCTCACCCCCATGAGTCTGGAATCATTCCACTGACCCCAGTGACGCACCAACAGCGGAGCTGCACCATTCAATCAATAAACAACAACAGCGCGACGACCCCAGACACGTCCACATCAATCCAAAGTCGAACAGATGAACTTGGACGAGGAGCGAATGCATTCTGAACCAACGCTGGACATAAGGAGGCACGTCTCCTCACCATGGACGTCTACTCTGCCCAAACAAGACTTGGCTCGCGCAAATCATTATCACAACCAGCGGCTCAAGTCCACAACATCAGTAAACAAAAAGGATTGGAGAAGGAAAGATTAATCGATACTGTAGTTTATTACTTTGGCACCAGGATGATAGATGTCAGACGCACATTGCTTCCAACTGCGGTGAATGTGAACAGGTTGTTGTCATGGTTGGGAGACAGGACAATGTCATAGTCAGGCGTGGTCTCAACGATTGAGTTCTTGTTCAAGAAGGGAAGAGTGAATGTTGCAACATCGACACCGTTCTTGGACACCTTGACACTGAGTGGCACCTTGGAGCCTGTGTACACGCGAAGATACAGGTCGTAGGCAATGTCGACCGCGTTGACAGAGTCGAAACGATATGTGATCGAGCCACCAACTGGGATGAACATCGAGTGCAGGCCTGGGCCAAACGTCTCGGGCTCAAAGTAGGCGCCGCCATCGATGGACTGGTACTTCTGAGCGTCAATGACAGTGGTGGTCGCGCGCAAGATAACATTGTTGGCAAACACGTTGGAGGGGATCAGACCCACGGTGATAGCGTCGAGCGCCGGGTGGAGGGTAGTCCTCTCGTTGGTACCCCATCCAAAGGCGGTGCCAATCTTGTGGTCTGGGACAGCGATGTTGTCGGTGATACGCTGGCCGATCTCGCCGTAGAATGTTTGGCAGTACTCGTCGTTGGAAAGACATCCGCGGTCCAGGGCAAGTCCGCCGACGCCGGGGAAGACGAGTCGGCGAGGAAGATGGTCATGGTGGAAGCTTGCGTTCTGGGTGACGGATGTGGGTGGGAACTTGAAGTTCTTGTTCTTGGTCACACCTGGTTCAGCGACGAGCGTTCCAACTTCGGCGCCCTTGCGAGTGCTGGCGGGGGTTGCAGGACGGCTGGTCGTGTAGGTTGGTTGGGCGCTGTAGATGATCTCGTCGGGCTTGTGAACAATGAGGAAACTGGTCATCTCTCCCTTGTAGTCCTCCTGTTTGAGTCCCCACCACATCTCGGTCAGACGCTCGAATGATGGACTGACGTAGTCGGAGATGTTCTCAGAGCTGATCATGTCTGGGTCGACACTGTAGCCAATGGTCTTGGAGAAGAGGTAGCGCACACGCTCTGCATGGAAGCCGTGGAGGCCAGCGATCTTGGGGTCGAGGTTGTACCACATGGCGACAAAGTCAGACACCTGGGTGATCACGATCCGACGCAGATCCTGGAAGTTGTCAAATCGGCCAGAGCCGTCAAAGTTACCCAAGTTGGTCATTGGTGTATTGGCTTCATCGAATACGTCTCTGGCGTAGTGTGAGTAGTCGTCGATGACCTCGTAGTAAGTATCGCGGTATGTGGTCACATTCTGGGTGGAGAAGCCCCAGGTCTCACCCCAGCGCACAAGGTCGGTCAGGAGGAGCACGTGAGAGGTGGCGGCCAGGGAGAAGATGGTGAGCTGATCGAGGGGATGTCTGCGGAACTCCCCGCCGTCCGCAAGCACAGTGGTCAGCAGGCTCTCTAGTTTATCAATGGCAACTCTAAGGTAGAGAGCTGTGGTAGGATTACTGGGTGCAGCAGTGAAGGCGGTGAGCGAGTTGGTGTAGTCCTTTGCGGCAATTTGGATAAACTGGTAGTATACTGGATCTACTCTATCTGCGCTGTCCTCGTTGTAGAGGATAGAATTAGGGTCGACGGAGGCCTGGACGATTGCAGAGTAGAGGCCAGTGACCTTGGCGTCGCCCGTAGTGTAAGGTGTCTCGTTCTCCACCACGTAGCTCCAGATAGAAGTGATAAAGCTGGATGTGGCTATGAATGGTGAGTAGCCAGCGGTGTTGAGCGCGTTGATCACCTTGCTAACGTGAGCATAGAATGATGGACCAAAATCGGTAAACAACGGGAAGGAGTAGTCGTCCAGTGGCGACGTGAACCTTCCAACAAAGGCAGTGTTCTCAGTGAGCCATCCAACTTTGTTAAAGGCTGCGTCCTAAGATGTGCCATTGTATATCAAGTGATTGGAATTTGAGAGTTAGTGAGTGATCAGGGTTGGCAGACATAGAGTTAGCTAAATACAAACAGACTTGTCAACAGTGATCATAATCATGGACACCAAGATGGCACCCAATATTATATGTTTGAACATGATGGATATATTTGTATATATTTAGTATTATTATTATTATTTGTAATTTTATATTTATTTATATTATTATATCAAGTCTCGAGAAATGAGAGAACGAGTAGTAGAAGGTCCATCAGATAAGTTTAGGGGATGAATGGATAGAAGGACAGCACTTGTAGTATGGTCACAAGGAACATGTCGATTGATGATGCCTGGCATGTGACCATCAGATATATAATGAACGATAGGCACAATTCCACGATTCCAAATCAAATGGCGGGTCGATCAAATCAACTTCGTATTTTTAGCCTATTGAATTGTTTGGTGAGCATCAAATCCAATGATGGCCGGGTGTATCCAAGGCCTCCTTTCCATTTTTAGCAAAAAGTTGATGACCCACCATCTGGTGGCCTTAGGTAGATTTATCCCGAGTGTGACCACCAATCGCCATCGACCATGTGTACCTTCAATCATCTTTGCATCATCAATTAATTTGATCCCTCGTTCTATTGTCCATATTACAAAGACTGGGAAGGAAGTGCACTGACCCCACACAACTGTGTGGACATGGTAGGGACAAGAAGGACCTGATGTATCCATCCACATCAATAATGATCAACAATAACAGACAAATCCACACAGACTACATCAATTGATTAATCATTCGTTTCTTACAAAGGGTAACAATAATAATAATAATAATTATAATATAGAATGAATTACAAGTACTTGGGACTAGTCCTGGTGCTTCTCATGTCCCTTGAGATTGTTGTTCAGGTATGTACTTATACTTTAAAAGACTGACCATGGTCAATCTTTGATCTAATTATTAACCCTATTCATTCATTCTTTCATTCCAAAGACTCATGCTGCAGTGGTAACCCCAAGAAAGAAAGACACCGCCTCCACCAAGCCCAAGCCCAAGAGATTGGTCAACGCTCAGATCGAGAAGATCAATTGGCAGAAGTTGATGTTGGTGAACACAGACTTGTTGATCAACAAAAAGACATACTTTGTGAAGCCGGATCAGCCATTCCAGTTCATGGAATTCCTGAAAGCCTACGTAGTTACCGGAGTATCGTTCATACCAGAAGTTGGCCCAGCCCTCAGTGGTGTCATCGACAGTGTGTGGTCTGGCTATATCGAGAACACCCAGAGCAATGACTTTAACGAGGATTGGTACCTGGCCGGCATCCGCGAGGTAGTTGGTGACGAGCTGGTCAAGTATGACATTACCAACACTGTCGCGACCCTCAGAAGTATTGCCAAGCTCACCAAGGACTTTCACAAATATGTCAATGAGACCAAGTACCACAACACCGACAGCGTTCGTGAGTCTGTAAGGAACTACTACCATACACTCGCAAGTGGTCTGCGTGATCATATGGAAGGAGATTTCGCCCGCCCAGGCTACGAACTTGGCGAACTGCCCAGCTATGCCATCGCCGCCACCGTCTACTTCATGCTCCAGGTCGAGTTCAACAGGCATGCATTGGAATGGGGATTTGACGAGAACGTTATCCGCATCGAGAACGAATTGTCAATGGAGGCAAGGTCCAATTACACCACCCACTGCATCACGACCTTCGAGAACACGCTCGCCAAGATTGTTGCTGCTGAAGATGATGGCGAGCCAATCTTTGGAAGGAACCAGTTCGAGAAGATGCTGGCGCTGCGCCGCATCTTGATCCCGGCAGTGTTTGACTATGTTGGCATGTGGTGGCAAATGGACTCGACCATGTTCCCCATGGGTGTATATGCTGAGAGGGTGCGCAAGGTGTGGGCACCGACTTTGGGATATGCCCGAGATCCTGACGTAGGATATAACGATGATCAATTCGAGAATCGGTACTCAGGCCCGGGAGTCTCCTATGCTCGCTACATGGAACTGTACGACCAGAAAGGAATTGAAGAGTACAAAGGCCTAATCAAGGTCGCTCATTTCGCCGTGAACGACAACTTCATCACAGGCTTACGCAAGAGCTATTTATCCCCCACCAATGATGCTTATTCAACTCCTTGGAGCCACAATGACAATCCACCCGCGGATGATAGGGGCTACGTCGTCAACTTCCCCAGGACCTTCAAGGAAGCCCAGCTGACATTGATTGGCGATTCCATCCCCAGGTACATCAGGTCCTTTGATCCTCAGAACCTATTCTTTTTGTTACTCGATGGCGAAACTGAAGAATCGAGGAAGAATTGCTTCAAATCCTCCTATCTCAACAATGTAGCCCCAATTATATGCCCAACATCGGCAGAGGAGAGGTATGAAGACTTTTCTGTGCCGCTCCACAAGGTCGGTGACATCATTGCCTGGGACCAGAACGTGGTGATCAATCAGGAGTACGACGTCACCGACGCCATAATGATTGGCCTTGTGCCAACCGACGTCTTCCACAGCAACACTGTCTTCAGGACTACCGCCACGGCCATCGACGCCCAGAAGTACTCTGGAAAGCATGCAGGAAGCACCTTTGTTCGCGACCACTTCACAATTGGCTCGCATGCCATGTTGATCCCAACTGGAAGCAGCCTCAAGTACCACTTTATCGCCCAGGACAACGCCGGTAGCAATCACTACCTTGGTATTCTGGCCTGTCTGCAGAATGCTGGAGCTCCAGTGACGGTCACCATCACCCACTCGAAACTCGGCAAGGTGTGCGACATTGTGATCAGCAGTACCGACTACGCTCCACTTCTGGACGCCAACAAAAGCCTCTTGAGGCTGAATAGTGCTGGATTGAGCGCTCAGAGTCCAACACTTACTATCTCGGCCACTGGCAACTTCTACCTCAAGTCAATCATCTTTGTTCCAAGACCTTAATAAATCATCCATCCATCTCTTGAACTCGATCGTTGAAACCTGCTCGACAAGTGAGATAGATGTTGGAGTTTGTCCTCGTCAATGTCCACAACAACACACCTGATGGATGGACAGTGAGTACTTGGATGACAATGTATTAGTATATGATGTACTTGTTTGGATGTCTGGTCGATCCCTAAATGGATAATTTAATCTGTTCAACAACCATTGACGTCAGTGTAGAGCACCCCCTGTGTCGTCTTGTCCACAACTTTGGAGAATGATTGCTCCCCAGTACCAGCTTGAGTGAATGATCATGTTGATTATCAACATGTAAGTTATACTTGAGGACCAGCATACATCAACACAAAGATTGATGCTCGTCTTCAAATAAAACAAGTTCATCATTGACATCCTTGACCAATGTTGTCTGTCAATCAAATGTGTCTGTTTCTTCCTTGCATGGTTGAAGGAAGACAAGCTCATCCATTCTCCAGAGTCCGCTGAGGTCTTCAATCAATCAATCAATCAATCATTATCATTCATTCCAAAGACTCATGCTGCAGTGGCAATCCCCAAGCCCAAGACCAAGTCCAAGCCCAAGAGAGTGGTCAACGCTCAGATCGAGAAGATCAATTGGCAGAAGATGATGATGGTGAACACAGAGTTGTTGATTGAGAAAAAGACATACTTTGTGAACCGGAACAACCATTACAGTTCATGGAGTTCATGAAAGCCTACGTAGTTACTGGAGTATCGTTCATCCCAGATGTTGGCCCAGCCATCAGTGGTATCATCGATGCGGTCTGGTCGGGCTATTTGGAGAACACCCAGAGCAATGACTTCAACGAGGATTGGTACCTGGCCGGCATCCGTGAGGTAGTTGGCGACGAGCTGATCAAGTATGACATTAACAAGACGCTCGACACGCTCAAAGGTATTGCCAAGCTCACCAAGGACTACCACAAATATGTCAATGCTTCAAAGTACAACAACACCGACAGCATTCGTGAGCAGGTCAAGTTCTACTACAATTCACTCAGCAGTGGTCTGCGTGACCATCTGAACGGAGACTTTGCACGCGAAGGCTTCGAACTTGGTGAACTGCCCAGCTATGCCATCGCCGCCACCGTCTACTTCATGCTTGGGGTGGAGTTCAACAGGCATGCATCTGAATGGGGATTTGACGAGAACGTCGTCCGCATCGAGAACGAAATGTCATTGGAGGCAAGGATCAATTGCACCAACCACTGTCGCACTACCTTTGAGAACACGCTCGCCAAGATTGCCAATGCCGTGGACATTGGTGAACCAATCTTTGGAAGGAACCAGTTCGAGAAGATGCTGGCGCTGCGCCGTATATTGATCCCGGCAGTGTTGACTATGTCGGCATGTGGTGGCAGATGGACTCAATCATGTTCCCCATGGGTTCATATGCTGAGAAGGTGCGCAAGGTGTGGGCACCAACCATTGGCTATGCCCGAGACCCTGACGTAGACTTAAGTTATGAACAGTTTGAGAATAGGTTCACTGGCCCGGGAGTATCCTATGCTCGCTACATGCAGCTCTACGACGAGAAAGGCATTGAACAGTTCAATGGCCTTATCGTGGCAGCTCACTTCGCCATGACCGACCACTTCATCACCTGCATGCGTGCGAGATACCTCAGACCCAGCAACATCGTCTACTCAACTGAATGGAGCCGCAATGACAAACCCGTGGATGACTATGGCTATACAATTGTATTCCCAGGGAAGACCTTCAAGGAAGCCTCGCTGACATTGATTGGCGAATCCACACCCAAGAGAATCAGCTCCTATGATCCCGACAACGTATTCTATTTTTCGGTCGATGGCCAAGGTCTATTGTGAAGACCGGGAAACTCAAACATGCACCAAGACGCCAGAGGAGAAGTATGAAAACTTCTACGTGCCATTGCACAAGGTCGGTGACATCATTGCCTGGGACAGGAACAATGTGATCAGTTTAGAGTACGACGTCACCGACGCTGTCATGGTTGGCTTTGTGCCAACCGATGTGTTCCCCAGCAACACGATCTTCAGGAAGACGGCCACTATCATTGACGCCCAGAAGTTCTCTGGAAAGCACGCCGGAAGCATATTTGCCCGCGACCACTACACCATTGGCTCGCATGCCATGTTGATCCCAACTGGCAACGTGCTCTCGTACCACTTTATCTCCCAGGACAACAAGGGCAGCAATCACTACATTGGTATTATGGCATGTTTGCAGACCGCTGGAGCTCCAGTGACGGTCACCATCACCCACTCGAAACTCGTCAAGGTGTGTGACATTGTGATCAGCAGTACCGACTACGCTCCACTTCTGGACGCCAACAAAAGCCTTGTGAGGTTGAACAGTGCTGGATTGAATGCCCAAAGTCCAACACTTACTATCTCGGCCACTGGCAACTTCTACCTCAAGTCAATCATCTTTGTTCCAAGATCAAAGGCCTCCTTTCCATTAGCAAAAATTTGATGGAGGGTCATCCAGGTGGCAATTCGTTTAGATTTATCCCGAGTGTGATCACCATTCGCCATCGGATCTGGAGGAAGTTGCGACGGGTCATGATGTGGATGAAGGTCTTCTCGTCAGTGCCGATCTTGTTTTTGGAGATCGTCAAGCCATAAATGTTGTTGTTATTTCAACAACATCACCCATTGGCCATCATCACCATGAATCATCATCCATTCATTGTTTGTCCATAGATAACAACAATAAACTCACTTTATTGCACTCTGTATAACATAAATCTTCATCGACCCTGTGTACCTTCAAACATATTTGCAGCAACCATTGATATGACCCCCTCGTTCTTCTGTGTCCATGTTACAAAGGATTTGAAGGAAGGAAGATGCTCTCCATATAGGCACAACCGCCTCTCTCATCCATGTCCTATACCTGACCTGAGGTATCCTTCCATTCACTTCATTTATAAACAATAATAATACAATAAAATACATAATAATTATTCGTTTCATTCAAAGGATATAGAAAATATAGAATGAGTAACAAGAATTTGGGACTATTCCTGATGCTGATAATGTGCCTTGAGCAGGTTGCCCATGTATGGGCATAACAAAATACATTCATCATCAATCAATCATTGTAAATATTAACAATAACCTCCATAAATTGTGATTCATTCTTTTCTTCTTTCCAAAGACTCAAGCTGTAGTTATAGCCAAACTAACGACCAGCCCTTCAACGATTCCCAAGCCCAAGCCCAAGAGAGTGGTCAACGCGCAGATCGAGAAGATCAATTGGCAGAAGATGATGATGGTCAACACAGAGACATTGATCGAGAAAAAGACATACTTTGTGAAACCGGATCAGCCAGCCCAGTTCATGGAATTCATCAAGGCCTATGTGATTACCGGAGTATCGTTCATCCCAGAAGTTGGCCCTGCCCTCAGTGGTGCCATCGACTCAATCTGGTCTGGCTTTCTGGAGAACACCAATGACAATGACTTCAACGAGGATTGGTACCTGGCCGGCATCCGTGACGTGGTTGGCGACGAGTTGATCAAGTTTGACATCACTGACACGATCTCCAAGCTACAAGGTTTTGGAGAACTGACCAAGAACTTTCACACATATGTCAATGAGTCAAAGTACCACAACACCGCGAGTGTTCGAAAGCAGATCCAAACCTACTACAATGCCCTCGACATCGGTCTGCGTCTACATCTGAACGGAGACTTCAAGCGCCCTGGATTCGAACTTGGCGAGCTGCCCAGCTATGCCGTCGCTGCCACTGTCTACTTCATGCTCCAGGTCGAGTTCAACAGACATGCATTGGCATGGGGCTTTGACGAGAATGTCATCCGCATCCAGAGAGGCTTCGCCTTGGATGCTCTACAAAATTACACCTCCCACTGTCGTACAACCTTTGACAACACGATCGCCAAGATTGCCGCTGCTGAGGACCCCTATGATCCAATCTCTGGAAGGAACACGTTCGAGAGAATGCTGGCTGTGCGCCGAATCTTGATCCCAGCCGTGTTTGACTACGTCGGAATGTGGTGGCAAATGGACGCTATTATGTTCCCCAAGGGTGTATATGCTGAGAGGGTGCGCAAGGTGTGGGCACCAACCATTGGCTATGCCCGAGACCCTGACGCCCTTAGTACCCCAAACAACGTGAATATGTTCACCGGCCCTGGAGTCTCATACAGTCGCTACATGTATTTCTATGACCTGAGAGCAATTGAGCAGGTCAAAGGGCTTATCTCCGTTGCACACTTCTCCTTGAACGACATGTACATCACTGGTCTTCGCAAAACCTATAGGGGCTCCAACATGGACTACTCAACTGGTTGGAGCCGATGTGACACACTTCCTGGGGACGACCTGGTCCGTGGCTATGTCATCAACTTCCCCAAGACTTTCAAGGAAGCTAAGCTGACTTTGATTGGCGACTCGGTACCCAAGTATATCAGGTCCATCGATCCCGATAACCAATACTTTGTCTTGGTCGATGGCGAGTTCACTGAAGAGTATTGCAACCAAGCTGAGTACTCTTGCACGCCAACGCCAGAGGAGAAGTATGAAGACTTCATTGTGCCGCTCCACAAAGTCGGTGACATGATTGCATGGGACCAGAACAGTTTGATCAATTATAGGTACGATGTAACCGACGCCATCATGGTTGGCCTTGTGCCAACCGACCTGTTCCACAGCAACACTGTGTTCAGGCACACCACCACGGCCATCGACGCTCAGAAGTTCTCTGGAAAGGAGGAAGGAAGCATCTTTGCCCGCGACCACTTCACTATTGGCTCTCATGCCATGATGATCCCAATTGGACATAGTCTCAAGTACCATTTTATCGCGCAGGACAACAAAGGTAGTGATCACTACGTGGGAATTATGGCATGTTTGAAGACCGCTGGAGCTCCAGTGACAGTCACCATCACACACTCGGTACTCGGCAAGTTGTGTGATATCGTGATCAGTAGTACCGACTACCATCCCATTATGGATGCCACCCAGAGCCTGGTGAGGCTGACCAGTCCAAGGGCGACCTCCAAAAGTCCTTATTATTCCATTTCCGGAACAGGTGACTTCTACCTCAAGTCAATTATTTTAGTTCCAAGACCTTAATAAACAATCATCTTCTATACATCCCTCCTTGAACTCAATGTTGACACATGTTTGGTTAGGGTAGGGTAGGGTAGAGTAGGGTAAGGGCACATTGTTGGTGGTCTGTCCAAGTGTTCCCCTGAATGATTGGAGCAAGGTACTTGGCATCGACTATGTTCACCCGAAGGATAGACAGTGCTCGAGGCATCTGCTGGTGCGTTGCCAATGAGCTTAAAGTTGGCACATTTCCATGTTTTTTGAACTTCTTTTTGATCACTTTTCAACTTTTTCGCTTCAATCAGCCGAATCCTCCTTTTCATTCATTCTCGAGAGATAGTAGACATAAACAAATACACATCACATACTAAACATATATATATATACAATGCAAAAAAGCTTCTTGGCATCACTCATTCAAAGTACTCCAAAGTACATCAATCCAATTGTTGGATCTAGAAACAGCAGCAATATTGGAGCTTGGTCAGCATCGTCGATATTTGGCAGTGCACCAACAGCTTATGATGCCCTGCCGCCATCATCTTCAAACACTCCAATCATCGAAGAGGACTGCGAGATGGAGTTGACTGCCGTGCCCAAGAAGCGCGTCTCCTACACTCGCAACAGAAAGAGAAACAGCGCCAAGAAGCACGAGAACATCCATCATCACACAGTCTGTCCCAAGTGCCAATCACTCAAGCTTAGACATCACCTCTGTATAAACTGTCTCAGGAAGCTGTAAATCAATCAATCATTCAATCAATCAATCAACTCAACAACATATATATATATATATCCATTCAACAACAAGGACATCGAGCGAGCTGCGACACTCGCTCCCCTCAACAGATGATGACATGACGACAACGAGCCAGACAGACACAATGCTTTGGTAGCGCAACCGAGGCAAAAGGAATGCTCTTGGCTCATGACTAGCGATGAACGAGATTAAGTACACCACAGTAACAGAACGCTTGCGATCGGTCACCTCAATCAAACAATAAACGAAGCGATCATTGGCGAGACACCTAAACATACATACTGGGAAAGAATGAATGATTGAGTGAATGAATGAGTAGAGTGGAGTGTCCATCTACAAATGTATATGGACATGTAGTTTAGTTTAAAGTTATGTTAAGAAGAAGACGGTAAAGGAGGAGATGAATCTGTTGTTGGGGAGTTGGTAGTAGTAGGTCGCAGCGTGGCGTGTTTGTGTTGCTGCTGCTGGATAGCGATTGGATGCGCATGTAACATGTTTGATATCTACAAGAAATAGTCTGGTGTTCTACGAGTGACATGTGGCTCTCCTCGTCTTGGAGCTGGGTCGAACTGCAGGCTGCGTGAGGGTGAGATGATGTTAGTCGCTTGCACTCGTTCGCTCACTCATTCATTCATTCAATCATTCAATCATTCAAATGACTTACAAGGTATGCTTCATCTTCTCATCAATCTCCATAATGGCAGCTTGATTACCGCATCGGTAGCAGTAGTTTGGCGCACTGAATATGGTTACGACGTTCTGGTCATGTGCCCAGTTGTAGCCCTCCATCACCAGTTGATGCGCACGGGCCACGAGTGTCAGACCGTTGTTGTGATTGAACTGCTCAGAGATATCCTTGCCAAACGTGTAGCCTGCACCTCTTGGTGAGTAGCCGAATCCATTCCTGTCGTCTGGGTCAGACCAAAGCAAGTCGCACATTGGGCCCTCGTGTGGCACCTCCTGCAGACGGTCCAAACTTCTAATATGATCCAGTGTATCAATCGAAGGAGACAGTCCACCGTGTAAACAGAACACCTGTGTATGATTGATTGATTGTCGTCATCGTGTCAGTGATCATTCATACATTCATTCAATCATCACGTGATCGCGATCGACTGAGTGGGTGAGTGAGCGAAGCATACCTGTTTCTCAATGAGCGCAGTTAAAGGTAGATAGTCGAACAAATCGGTAAAGAGTCTCCAGACGTTGGGGTTGCCATACTTCCTTAGACACTCATCGTAGAATCCGTATCTAGATGGTCATGTGATGATGAGTCAAGTCAGTTCTGTGCTTGGCGGCGCGACAATAAAACATCCTCGCACTCACATCCTCGCGCTCACACAAACACTTACACTTGTGTAATCTGTCTAGACTCATGGTTTCCTCTGAGGATGGTGACGCGATCTCTGTAGCGCACCTTGAGCGCGACGAGCAGGGTGACGGTCTCGACCGAGTAGAAGCCACGATCGACGTAATCGCCCATGAAGAGGTAGTTCGTGTCTGGACAGTTGCCGCCAATCTTGAACAGCTCCATCAGATCGTGGAACTGGCCGTGAATGTCACCGCAGACAGTCACCGGACACTTGACCGGCTGCACATTCGACTCTTGCAGCAATATTTCGCGTGCCTTATCACAAAGGTTCTTTACATCGACCTCTGACAATGGCTTACACTCCTTCAGAATGGATATATATCTATCGACATCATTGTATTCGCCCATCTTTATCGCTCCTTATAATATATTAAATGTATGTATGTATGTAATTGTTATGAGTTTCTTGATCGATCACGTTATTGTCTCTGTTGTCTCTAAATATTATATATATATTGAATGAGTTTGATTGATGAAGTTGATTGAATTACTAAATATATATATATTTATAAATATATGTTATTATTAATAATTAAGTTATTATATTATACAATGTTTGTTGACTCTGTATGTCTAATCTATCTATCTCTATAATGTGTATAACAACAACAACAACTACTACAACAACAAACAAAGAGTGAAGTGATTGAGTTGTGTTTGATGATGTTGAATGAAGTGTGAACAACGCGAATGCAATAATTATGTTTGGTGGTGTGTGTTGCTGTTGCGTGTGTTGGAGAGAGAGTGTTTGAGAGCTTGAACAAACAACAAACAGATGAGATGCAGTGGGTGGATTGAGCAACTAACCCAAAAACAGGGTTTGCCATGCATTCGATTCGATCAATTCTTCACATGTGCCTTTAATAAATGTTTACTTCTTTTCTTATTACAATTGACATCCATCCAAGAATGATTGTCTCTAATACTGACTCTCAAACATCTTATCAATCTTACGATTGATATCATCGTTCGATTCGAATGGAGCAAAGTTCTTCTCCAAATGTGTCTTGTCTTGTCTACATCTATTCATTCATAGTTTGTTTGTAATTAGTCAATATATGTTTGATTGAATGGATTGATTAATTGACAACTTACTTCTCTTTAAATCTTTCATATGTCTTTGTTACACTATCCTTGGCAATGTTTGATAACTTTGTTCTTAGTTCATGGTCAGGTATCTCAAACTTCATCTTACTAATCTCTGTCATTGTCTTGAGGAAGTTCTGGAAAGTATGATAATGGATGATGCATTAGTCTCCATCCAGTGCTCCATGTCCATCCAGTTCAACAACTTACAGTATGTCTCTTTACAATAGCCTTGGTCTCAACATCTTTGCCTGGACGTAATGGCTCTGATAGGGCCATCCAGAACTCTCGATAGATCTTGATCTCGTTGTCACATGCTGTCTCCATCTCTTTGAGTAGGTATGATTGAGCATCGAGTATGGACTGCGCACCAAGCGACTCGACTATATACTGATAGTTGTTGATCAAGAATATGATGCCACGGAATGGAACCTTGTTGTTCAACTCAATGGTCGACGAGATCACTGTAAAGTCCTTCTTGCTCTTGGTCTGCAGGTAGGTGCTGAGTGTGCGCAGCGTCTTCTCGGTGAAGTCCTTGAACGACGACTTGCTGCGCGTCAAAAGGAACTCCACCGAGCCCTTGTACTCGATAAGTCGCTTGAAGTAGTTGAGCATGTTGGACGTGACCTGGTCCACTGTTGTCGACTGATCCAGCTTCTCCTCCTTACGGAACTCCTCCTCCAGCGAGAAGTCCAGCAGTGCCGAGCACGTGTTCTCCAGGTTCTTGATGATCTCTTTGATATCTGAGATGTGCTTGCCGTCGCGCTGCGACAGGGCGCCGGCAAACTCGGGCAGCAGCTTGGTGAATGTGTCAAAGAGGTCGAGCAGCGGGAAGATTCCAAACACCTTGTCGACCGTCTTCTTGGCCTTGATGATGGGCTCGGTCGTGTCGAGCAGCAGCTCATGCGACGGATGCACGATCTCCTCGAGGAACGAGTGGTACTGGTCCCCAAACAGTTCCTTGGCCAGGTCCGACTCGATCTGGTAGAGTCGCAGCGTCTCGTGTGTGTAGCCAATGAGGGGATGCGAACCCTTGACGTAGGCCAGGTTCTTGGACTCGGTCGTCACCTTGATGAACTTCTCTGGCGCCAGCTTGTTGAGCGACATTAGAATGAACTTTGATCGCTTGTCCTTGTACTCCTTCTGGTAGTTGTGATACTTGAGTCGCTGGAACAGCTCGATCGACTTTGATATCTCCTCGACCGAGTTGGGTGGGACGATGGCCAGGTAGCGCTTGGCCGCGGGCAGCGCGGGGATGGTGGTGGGATCGACAATGTTACTGATCTTGAGCAGCAGTGACTTGAAGTTGTTCTCGAGCTCGGATAGACCCGTCGACTTGAGCTCCTTCAGTGTGGACAGCGTCTTCTCTGCCGCCTTAAACTGAGGGTTGGCTTCAAAGAAGTCGATCGACTGGACCACGTGGTCGAGCGTGGCCATGTACGATGCGTAGTCGCCCTTTGCACCCTCCCTGATCTTCTGGGCCACCTTTGACAGATCAAAGCGCTCGAGTATAGTGCGCATCGACTCCATTGTCAGGTTGATATTGTTGTACACTGTTGACCACTCCTTCATCGATGCGTTGATGGGCGCCACGTCCTGCTCCAATGTCGTCAGTCCCTCATTGAATCGATCCAATATGAACACCATCTGATTGGACAATGATGTAGTCTTTGCCAAGGTCTCCTTCAAGAATGCCAAGTCGCGCTTATCATCTTCGAGTTGCTGCTCCTCCACTTGTTGCGCGGCGTCATTCTTCCAGGACAGCACGACCAGACTGCCTCCCTTGAGCTGGCCAAGACTCTGATGCGTGGTCACCGAGTACTCTGAGTTGAGCAATGCCTTGATCTGTTCAAACTCCTCGTCGTCCTCTTCAGTGGGTGTTGAATAGAAGAGCTCCTCGTCGACGTAGTCTTGGTAGGACAGCACGTTGGAGCCCCATCGCGGACCAGCCGCGGCCGTGCCTCCACTACCTCCTCGCGATGCCTTGCGCGAATGTCCAGAGACACGTGATAGTTGTGCATTCTTTGGTATCAAGTAGTTTGTAAGGTTGCCACTGGAGAGTCGTGAGTGTGAGGGTGTTGACGGTGCAGACTGTGGTGCAGACTTGTTGTAGCCGCCACCGCCATATGACGACGATGAAGTCGAATGAATGTTTAGAGTTGGTGTTGTAGCGCCTGATGTCGATGGCGTGTTATATTGTTGTGGTGGTGTGAGTGAGCTTGTTGATGTCCTGTGACTGATCGGAGGTGATGATGACGATGGCTTTGTAATGCCACCTGATGTCTTTAATGTTGGCAAAGGTCCACCTGGTTTCCTATCGAGCAATGATGCTCTCGCACTAAGACGAGGTGGAGCTGACATCTCTATCTCTATCTTATCTTATCTATACTATAATATTATTATCTTGTTATATATACATGTAATTAATGAACAACTTGAAGTGAAGTGATTGAAGTGTTTGTTTGATTGAGCATTGAAAGTGCACTATCCCATAAATTAAGTTTTTTTCAAATCATTTGGACCTGGGAAAGTCACCTATCAATCTTATAATCCCAAGACATGTTGAATGATCAGGACTGTATCATTGCTAAGAGGATATTAATATCTCGACTGTAAGTATTTGATTGAATTGACAAAGTTGGAAACAAAGTCGAATGTGTTATGAATTGATGATCCAGTCCCATAACTGATTGATTGTAGAGATAATAGTTCAATTATATGTATCTTTATAATCTATATTTAACAAGGTCTCATCACAGCAATCAAACAAACATTAGCAGAAGTTTCAAACCCGAGACCTGTCCAACAACAACCTAACTTTAATACTTTTGTTGATTTCCCATCAATCAAATTGATAATCCTGGAAATTGAAGAAATAATTAATGTATCTCGGCGATACTATATATTTATTATTATTATTTTTATTTTAGACCCATAGTGCAATGACAGCTAACAATGCCCAACCAATGAAGGTTAGGAATAGTTTGGTCTTCATCCAACCTGGCTGGCCAAGTCCTGATGGCATCAGTTCGATAAGTGAGATATAGAGGAATGAGCCTGTTGTGACTGATAGGATGATGCCTTCTGAAAGGTATGCCTGGGTACCCTGATATAAACTTGCAATTGCCATTCCAATTCCAATGCCCAACGGTGTCATTGCTGCACAGAAAGATAGTGCCAATGCAGTTTGTAGTCTTGAGAACTTGGCGTAGAACACTGGTACACCCAACGCAAAGCCATCCAATGCCTTGTGGGCCAGTACTGCCACCATTAGTCCATAAAAGTTACTTGGATCGGTCTCGGCACCTAGTCCCAGTCCATCAAAAATCGAGTGGACTGAAAGCGCCAGCATGAATATCCAAGCCTGAGACACGTTGGCGGCATGTGTCTTTCCATTATCCACTTTTTGACCATGGCCAACTCCATCTCCTCCAGCCCCAACTCCTGCTCCATTGTTGTCCATGATGACGTGAATTGTCTGTGCGCCATCGTCCACGACTGATATTGAAGTAGGAACCAATACAATGCCACCGCCACCCTCGGTGTATCCGGGCGTCGACGTGCTCAGTGACTGATCGATCAGGACTGTGCTCTCGGTGAGGTGATGCGAGACATCCATGTGATTGTGGCCAGTGTGGCCGCCACCCACAACGCCACCTTCAATCACCAGCTTGTCCAGTGCGACCAACATGAACATCACAAAGATGGCGATTGTTTCGGCGTAGGGGAAGTCGGCATACTGGTTGTCCGGGTCGGCCGCAGCAAAGTATTGTTCAAAGTTCTCGCTGGCATCCGGCAACAAATGATTGAATGCACCAGCCAAGATGATACCGGCGGCAAAACAAGTCATGAAGGTGAGGATTGTCACCAGACCACGTACCTTTGACCTTCCAAGTATGAATGGTACATACGACGCCAACAAAGTCATACCAATTATAACGAATATCAACATTATCTTTGTCTTTATAAATGTATGTTGACCATCATCTCCTCCACTACTGTCTCCAACATTATTATTACTAATATTATTATTATTATTATATAATATATCCATTATTATTATTATTTTATGTATTTATGTATCTGTATCGATCTGGACAAGTGTCGTAATAAACCAAGTCCAACAAGTGACACGCGAAGATGTTTGAATGAGTGAAGTGAATGAACTGATTGAGTGAGTGAAGTGAGTGAATGAGTGGCATGTGATGTTTGAATGATTGTTGGACAAGCAGATAGATATTGATTTTGTTGGATAGAATGATCAATGGAAGATAAGTAATGTTACAGTGCAGGAGTGTCATACTACCGCCACTCCGGTAGCCACTTCACACAGGCATTGGACTCTCCTTCGTCGTTTGTTTGATTGGCGTGTCTGGTCCACACACCAAAGTTTCAAAAAACTTGTCTAATTCCCTCCAACTGACATTTCTCGCGCAAAATTAACAGTTAGTATTTGATCAAGACTGACAATGACAACTTTCATGATGATGTTAAGGTTTTAAGTATAACAAGTTATATAGTACATGTACTATATATATATATACATATGAATATTAGATATATTAAATGTTGAGTCGAAATGAGGGATAACTAACCTTTGTCTTTGAGTTGGAACCTGCTGTGTTCCAAACAATTCGTTGGGGATTCTTCATTGAATAATTGAAAAAAAACAAAAAAGTGGCAATGTTGACAACTTCCCAGGCTGACGATTTCAATCATTTAACAACCAACCTATCTCTCTCAACACAAATACATAAAATATATATATATATTTAACAATTGTACAATACTCACACATATATATATACATACACAAACACATACTCAATCACAATCAATCAATCAATCAATAATTCATTCATTCAATCTATCAATCAATCATCAGTTTCGAGTCGAGATACACAGATATAGTCAAGTCACATAAGATATATAGAATGAAGTTACAATTTAAGAATATGTCATACAAGACATTGTTCATGGTCGGTCTGTTGGTGATCGTTTTGGACAGCCAATTGGTATCAGCACAGGAGGACTCTAGCCAGGCATCAATAGACAACCCAGCCAAGCAGTATTGTTTGGGCAACACATTCGATGATTGTACAACGGCGGGCGCTTGTTGTGTCTGGTGCACAAATGTCACAATCACAAACACGACAGGCAGTGTCAACGTGTCGACGGGCGTCTGTGTCTACAACGAGAAGATCAACTTTGATGGAGTGTGTCCGGGCACCGTGTCCACACTGTTTGCTCCGACCTCATCAGAAAAGGCTGTCTGTCCCGTTGGCTTCAGATCAAATGCTGCCTGCACCTGCTCCTACCCCCTCTTCTCCAATGATAGCAGTCCATCAGTATTCAAGCCATCATTCCTACTATCATTCATACTTGTAATACTGTCTATATTGTAAGTTGTTCGCGTCCAGCTCAAGACGAAGACGACAAGACTAACTCTTTATGTTTGCTTGCTTGCAGTATCTTTCGAACGAAACAACAGGTATAGTTAAGCCAGGACAGACGATCATATGATCAATCAATCAATCAATCAAACTGTCTTGGCCCTCAACAACTGCCAATGAATCAACTAAATATACATACATACACACAAGTAGTAACAACAACTCTTAGTACAATAAACATGTTCGAATGATACATGTATTCAATAGTATATTATGGATTACTTGTCCTTCTTCTCTGGCTTTGGCTGCTGTGACAGAGGCCTCTTCTTTCGTCCAAAGATGGGCGCGAGGAATTCTGTCTCGCCACCCCATCGCCAACGATTCAGCTGGCGCGTGATAATGTACAGAGAGACGCTTAGACAGCTGGACGAGAAGATAAAGATGATCTTGGAGTGCAGCGGGATCATCTCAAAGAATGGGTACACCCAGTGGCCTTGAACATAGCGCGACACCACCAGGATCGACAGGTAGGTCAGGTTGAACGAGACGACTTGCCCCACGTCCTGGTAGACGTTGGCCGTCGTCGGCAGGCCCGCCACAACAGGCTTGAGTTGTCGATGGTACTGATGATTGACAAACAGCATCTCGATCACCATGACGACTGCAGGCATCGTGTGTTGTATATGGTTGAGCACTGGTGGGTAGGAGGTTGGCGCGTCGACCATTAGCAATGCCGGGTCAATATTATAGAGTATCCAGAACATCAATGTAATGAACATTCCAATGGGGAAGGCAATCGATCTATATACAAGGTCACGACACTTTAGGAATGCATAATACAATCCAGGTTCACTCTGACCAATCGATGTAATATCCATCAAGTCTACAATAGTAGCCATGAAGAAGAATACAAAGTGAATGAGCTATTATTTAATTGATTGATTGATTGATTAATTGAGTATTAGTTATAATGTTGATGATGTTGAAGATTGATGATTGATGATGATATATACCTGTCCCCAAACAGTCAAGAAGGTGACTAAGGCGAATGGATTATGACCAATATCAAGAAAGTGTTGATAGATCCAGAGTATGCCATAAGATACAAGACCAAAGGTGCCAGCATGAAAGCAAAGCAGAGGTAGTTTGGTATCCATTCTTATATATATCTCTTCAACAACAATTAATGAAGTGACACAAGTGAGTGAATCATGTTGAAGTTGTCAACCCAACACATTGATTGAGAACCAACCCTAACACATAAACAACCCTCAACCCTCGATTGTTCAATCAAACTCACACACTTTGAACCAAACAATTAAAAAAAAACAAAATAAATGAACAAGAAGACGAGTGTCGGTCTTCGTCTATTTGTTTCATGCATTCATCATTCTCGAAACATTGTGTACTTTCTTACTCGAGTATATACATATATACATATATATATATATATTATTATTGATTGAAATATATATAATATAGGTTGTGTATGATCGATCACACACAATAGCCACTCACTTGAACGTTCATTCTTTCAATCATATCAATCAATCAATCATAATATATAATAATGAACTCATTGGCAATCAAGAATGAGGTGTCTACCACTTCATTTGCCTTCTACTCTGCCGATGAGATTAGAAAGATCTCTCAAAAGCAGATCACAGAGCCAGAGACCTTTGACATCCTAAGCAACCCTCAACCAGGAGGTTGTTACGACAAGTCACTCGGTACAGTCGAGAACAGAGAGAGGTATGTTGTGTACATGTTACACATGTTAATGTCATCACATCACTTATTGACCATTACCATCATAGATGTATTGTCTGTAACATGTCACATATGGATTGTCCGGGACATTATGGACATATCGAGTTACCAATCCCAGCTTACAACCCTGTGATGTTTAAGATCCTTCACAAGTTGGCACAAAGCACATGTTTCAACTGTCATCACTTCAAGCATGGCAAGTCACTCGTATGTATACAATCATACTTCATACTAAATCATTCGCGAGCACAACACTGACACGCATGCCCCATCGCGCAACAACAGGTCGACTCATACATTCAAGAACTTTCACTACTCTATAGAGGAGAGATTGTAAAGGCAAAGCATGTGCGTGAAGCACATTTGATTAAGCGTGGCGCTACAGTTAGGAGAGCTACGAGTAGTAAGGAGGCAGAGGATATTACTACAAAGAGGGACGATGATAGCAGCGACGAGGAGAGTGATGATGAGGACGCTGATAGGATGAAGGACGACGAGGATCTCGGATCGATCGACATCCAGTACTCCAAGTTCCTGGCCAAGGGCGGCAAGGTCACCCACTTTGAGTCGGTGCGCCGTGAGATCCTGCGTGACTTTATGAGCTCGGGCAGCAGCTCGCACAGACCCTGCGCCAACTGCACGGCCTACTCGCCCGCAATCAGAAACTCAGACGCAGCCAAGTCCAAGCTGTTCATCATGCCACTCAACGCCAAGCAGAAGACCCAGAACATCTCTGTGAATGCGCGCTACAACTTCTCATCGGTCGACGAGCAGGCCGAGCACGGCACATACTTCCCACAGTGGGAGCTGCAGGCCAACATGGTCAAGCTATTCAAGAATGAGCGCGAGCTGCTCAATTTGCTGTTTGGCACGGTGCGTCCCATCGCTGCCAAGGATGGCAAGCGCGTCGAGTTTGTCAAGGAGGTCAGCGTCGAGCAGTTCTTCTTCATCGTCGTACCCGTCATCCCCAACAAGTACCGTCCAGTCAACTTTGTCAACGGCATTGCGTCCGAGCACGGTATGAACGTGCACTACAAGGGCATCCTGCGTGCCAGCAAGCAGATCCGCAAGTACATCGAGTCGACCGCCGAGGCCGACAGCGCCAAGAACCTGGTGACACACGTCAGCGACCTGCAGATGAACATCAACAACATCTACGATAACTCGCGCACCAGTCTCACGTCGGGCGCTTCCGTGCCACCCGGCATCAAGCAGGTGCTCGAGAAGAAGGAGGGTCTGTTCCGTAAGAACATGATGGGCAAGCGTGTCAACTACGCCGCACGTACCGTCATTTCGCCAGACATCTCTCTCGAGTCCAACGAGATGGGTATCCCTCAGATCTTTGCCATGAAGCTCACATTCCCTCAGCCAGTCACCGCACTCAACTACACCGAGATGGCCGCCGCTGTCATCAACGGTCCCAACGCCTACCCCGGCGCCAACTTCATCGAGGACGAGCTGGGCAACATGCTCAGCCTTGAGCGCGAGACGCCAGAGAAGCGTGTCGCCCTGTCAAAGACACTGCTCACAATCCGTCCCCAAGCCCCACCAGGCGCCGTCAAGAAGGTGTACCGCCATCTGGTCTCGGGAGACTTTGTGCTGGCTAACCGTCAGCCCACACTTCACAAGCCCGGTATCAGTGGCCATCGCGCCAAGGTGCTGGGCGCCGTCGAGAAGACACTGCGTATGCATTACTGCAACTGTTCGACCTACAACGCCGATTTTGATGGTGATGAGATGAACATCCATTTCCCGCAGTCGTTCCTGGCGCAGTCAGAGGTGCGTGAGATCGCCGCCAACAACTTCCAATACCTGGGTCCACGTGCTGGTGTTCCCCTTCGTGGTCTGATTCAGGATCACATTCTTACTGGAGTGCTGCTGACCAAGCGAGACACCCTGTTCACACGTGCCGACTTCCAAAAGGTGCTGTACGCAAGTTGCTGGGCTGTCAACACCTCCCATCCCATCAAGACACCACCACCCTGCATCATCAAGCCCGTGCCATTGTGGTCGGGCAAGCAGCTTATCAGCGCGGCCATGGACCATCTGACCATCGGCTACCTGCCACTCAACTTCACGGGCGCATCCAAGATTCCCGCCAAGCTCTGGGGTAAGCACGGATCCGATCTGATGCGCGATGCCACCGTCATCATCAAGGACAACGAGATGTTGGTCGGTATTCTCGATAAGAACCACTTTGGTGCCACAGGCAACGGTCTGGTTCACACATGCTACGAGTTCTACAGTCCAAACATTGCTGGCCAGCTTCTCACTGTGCTGGGCCGTATGTTCACCAACTACCTGTCGACACGTGGCTTCACATGTGGTGTGGACGACCTGCTCATCAACGCCAAGGAGAACAAGTTCCGCACAGAGACATTGAACAAGGCCAACTCCGAGGGTCTCGAAGTGGCCGCTCGTTTTGCTGAGCAAGCCAAGTACGACAAGAAGGACAACGCAGCATTCATGGCCAACGCACTCAAGGAGGAGCGTGAGGTGGCTCGTCTCGACTCGATGCTCAAGAAGGCACTCAACTCGCACACATCAAAGATCATCGATACACTGCTGCCAGGCGGCCAGCTCAAGGCCTTCCCCGACAACAACTTCTCGCTGATGACCAACTCGGGAGCCAAGGGTTCCGTGGTCAACTTCTCGCAGGTGTCCTGTCTTCTGGGTCAGCAGGAGCTCGAGGGCAAGCGTGTTCCTCGCATGGTGTCTGGAAAGACACTTCCATCATTCGAGCCTTATGATGCATCAGCACGTGCTGGTGGCTTCATTATGGACCGTTTCTTGACAGGTGTGCGTCCACAAGACTACTACTTCCATTGTATGGCCGGTCGTGAGGGTCTGATCGATACCGCCGTCAAGACTGCACGTTCTGGTTACTTGCAGCGTTGTATCATCAAACATCTTGAGGGTCTCACCGTGCAGTACGACAACACAGTGCGTGACTCTGATGGTTCGATCATCCAGTTCAACTATGGTGAGGACTCACTCGAGATCACCAAGCGCCAGTACTTGCTCAACTTTGACAACATCGCTCAGAACTTTGATCTGTTCAAGAGCCACTTCCGCGAGGAGTTGAAGGACATTGAGAAGAACTGGAACAGCAAGGAGACCAAGAAGATCTTGGAGGCACACGAGAAGATCCAATCAAAGCCCATGGACAAGCGTGACGACCCAGTCATGAGTCGCTTCAATGCCAACGAGATTGGTGTCACCTCTGAGTTGTTCATGGCTCAGCTCAACAAGTACATCGATGAGAACCCATCGGGCCTGATCAAGACCGCCAAGAACAAGACTGGTCGTATTGCCGAGAAGGAGTTCCGTCAAGTGATGTGCCTCAACTACAACCGCTGCACTGTGGCACCAGGTGATGCCGTCGGTCTGCTGTGCGCGCAGTCCATTGGAGAGCCCTCCACACAGATGACCCTGAACACATTCCATTTGGCTGGTCGTGGTGAGGCCAACGTCACACTGGGTATCCCACGTCTGAGAGAGATCATCCAGACTGCATCCAAGGAGCCATCGACACCACTCATGGAGATAGTGTTGAAGGACCCAACGGACAAGTTGGCCACAGAGATGTTGGCCAAGAAGATCGAGTGGCTCAAGATGTGCGACATCATCGAGGGTGTCACTGTGCACGAGCAGCTGCGAGGTGTCGACCGTTGCTACGACATTGTCCTCACATTTATCCCCAACCTCAAGAACCTGCTCAAGATCAAGGAGATTGGAGACAAGCAGCTGCCCGACATCTTTGAGTCATTCATCAAGCAGGTGCAGAGCAAGGTGAGACGTGCCAACAGTCAAAAGACGATCGACGTGTCACAGGGCCAGAAGATTGGCTCAGAGTACGGCGCCGACGAGGCTGGCGGACTGGACGACGACAACGAGCCCCAAGCTGACGGTGACGACCAGGCTGATGGAGACAACAACGACAAGCAGAAGAACAAGAAGAAGAAGCAGACCAAGCGCCAAACTAGAGAGGACGATGACGACAGTGCATCGGCCAAGCAAAAGGACAATAAGAAGGAGCGCGCTAGCTACGACGAAGACGACGAAGAGAAGGATGTAAATGACGACGATGATGACGAGTCCAGCGGAGTGGACCAGAGCGGCAGCGACGACGAGGACAAGAAGAAGAAGTCCAAGGCCGCCGACAGCGACGACGAAGAGGACAGGAACGGCGTGTCCACCACTACCAAGATCGAGTCAACCACGACCGAGTTCAACTTCTCCACATACACATTCAAGATCTCTGTGCCATCCAACAGCAAGAAGATGCTCATTCTCAATATTGTGGAGCAAGTCGCCCTCAACTTTATCATTAAGTCCTTCAAGGGAATCTCACGTTGTTTCATCAACGAGAAGTCGGGCAGCGGCGGCAAGACCGAGTACTCAATCCAGACTGAGGGTGTCAACTTCAACGACCTGGCGCAGATCCAGGACAGCATCCAGATGAGCAAGCTCTACACCAACAACATCGCCTTTATCCTGGAGAAGTACGGAGTGGAGGCATGCAAGAGCGCCATCGTCTCAGAGATTACCACTGTGTTTGGTGCTTATGGTATCACAGTCGACAAGCGCCATCTCACAATGTTGGGTGACTACATGACATTCGAGGGAGGCTACCGCGCCCTGAACAGAAACGGTCTGGACAACAACCCATCGCCACTGCAAAAGATGTCGTTTGAGACCACGTGTACCTTCCTCCAGAAGGCCGTCCTGCTTGGTGACAGTGACATCTGTGAGTCACCATCCTCCCGTATTGTCCTTGGACAGGTGGTTCGCGGAGGTACCGGTGCCTTTGAGATCGTTACACCTCTCAATCAATAAAACAAACAAATTTCCAAATCATTCGTCATTCGTTCCTTTCTCCAACAGCAATCAAGTACATAATCACTACAGATAGGACTTATCCTTACGAAACAACTATGGTCCACTGAGTGACACTCGATGTTGTTGAAGGATGTGGACATGGGAAGATGATTATTGAGGATGGTTGGTAGGTCGATTAATCAACCACAACCATCTTCTAATGAACAGATATTTGAAGCTCGTAAGGAGAGTACTATACTCTTCTTGTATACTTGCTTGTGATAATAACTATTCGTTATGATTCCCAACGATATCTATCCTTCAACCAAACTGCGAGCAATAGAACAACATACTTCAATAAAGCAGGTCAATGGCCTGACCCTAGCCCGAACAACAATCAATTGATTAAGACAAACAGCGTTTACTTCTCACTCTTATCACTATCCTTCTTTGGACCTCTGCTGAGGAATTTGGACTTGAACGATGACATTGACAGCTTGGCGGCAGAGAGAGTAGAGGCAGACTTCTCCTCTTTGGACGAGGAGGATGAAGACGAACCAACACTCGATGGGTTGGTGTATGGATTCTGGGCGATATTCAGAGAGGACAGTGATGATCCACTGGAAGCGTTGATCTGTGGCGATTCTGTTGGACTTAGCATTGGCATCTGTGAGCCAAACATACTTCCAATAGTCTCCAAACCTTCCTTATACTCAATCTTCTTGATTGTGTCCTTCAACAGCTTTACACAGTTTGGTGATGTGTACATCATGTAATAGAACTTTGCCAATTCCTGTTGATTGATTGATTGGATGAGTTAGCGAGCTGTCATTGGATAGTGGAACAAACAAACTAACTTACAATGAATGCCAGACCAGGATATGACGATATGTATCGCTTGTAAATCATGTGTATCTTGATAAACATGAACTTGGATATGAATAGACTGATCAGGGACTTGAGATCCTTCTCCACGAGCTTGGTGGTCTCCTTGGAGCGCAGTTGAGGACTCTTGGCGGACAGCGTGGCAATGTTGAACATCTTGGTGATGTAATGCAGTGCGTTGGTGATGACGGTGGTGTGCGAGCTGATGGCAATCAGATCCATGAAGCCGCCCATGATGGTGTCCTTGCTCAGGTATTCCAGTGTGCCCACGTGATTCTTACACAGCTGATACAAGAACTTCCAGGCCTCGCGGTTGAGGTCGGGATAGGTACCATCTCGGCAGTAAGCCAACAGACGCGTGTAGAAGTCCTCCTCAGTCTTGACAATCGTGTAGACCGGGTAGCACTTAAACAGATGTCGCATACAGCGAAGCAGGTAGGTACGTGTTGGATAGGAGTATGGGTTGGTTGCTGACGTGAGTGAGTCGTTGATGCGGTTGGACAGGTTACGGATATCGATGGGCGACAGGGTCAGTGTGGATTGACCCCAGCGCTTCTGTGACGTCTTGACATCCTGCGTCGCCTGCAATGTACCGAGATGAGAGTGTATCTTGCCCAAGTTGGACAACAACTGAGCAATGACCATTGTTTGATTGTTGAGCACGCGAGCATTCTTTGTGATGTACTGTAGCAGCAGATGGAACAGCATGCCGTCCAGGACAAAGAGGAACTTGTTGCGCACGCCCATTGGGATCTTGGGAGTTGGTGATGCTGGTGTGCTGCCAGGTGATCCGACTACAGATGGCGATGTGGCCAGGTTTAGAGAGGAGCCAGAACCCGATGACGAGCCGGAAGAGATGGTTGCGTTGGGGTTGGCGGCGGGTGCGTTTGTGGCCTCGATGGTCGAACGGATTGCACTTTGGAAGATCTCCAGCACAAGCTCCAGCAGCAGACCGCTAGGTCGTTGCTCCTCGTTGCCGATAAAGTCGCGGATCGATGACTCGGGGTCCCTTGTGTACTCCTTGTAGACAAACTCGACCCATGGCGGACGGTTGAGCACGGCGAATAGACGACGTGCGGCAAACTGCACATGCTTGAGTTTGGAGTCGCAAACCATCTTGCAGCGGTTGAAGAAGTAGGATGGCTCGGCCTTGAAGCAGTTGTGGATGGCCATTCCCTCCTGGTTGTGCATGAGCTGTAACAGGATGAACAGACAGAATGACGACACGGTGACGCTGCGATGTTTGATGCCCACGAACAGCTTGTCCAAGATGCTAGAGGTGTTGTGCTGCAGCAGGTTGGCGAGGTTGTGTGCGATCGACACTTTAGACTGGCTCACAGTGGACTTGGAGTAGTAGAGATGGACGTGCACGTCCAGCACGCGACCAATGATCGTGAGGTAATAGTAGCAAAATGTGAGCCTGAAGATAGACTCGAGAGTGTCGCCCAGCGTGGCGCGCACCAGCGCGTACGTCTCCTCCTTCCATGGGAAGATGTCCGTTGGTGACTCACTGAGGAAGTCGAATGTGTAGGCCAGCAGCGACAGGGTCTTGACATCCTTGGCCGTGATAAGCTGGGAGAGGATGGGCGAGCCTTGGTTACCACTGAAGATGTTCATAACGAGGAACGACATCTTGGCATGGAACATCGTGCTCTTGTTCTCCTCAAGAAGACGCAGCAGATTGCTAAAGTTGTCGGGTGTGATGCACTTGGTGATCATCGTGGCATACGACTTGCCGCCGTCAAAGTCCTCGCTGAAGCTCGTGTCGAGAAGGTCTGAGAACTTGTCCAAGTACATGCTGCCGTGCAGTATCTCGACGATCGTGTCGAATGTGAGCGAGTCCTTGGTGATATGCTGCTGTGACGTGATGATCATGTCGATGTCGTCCTTGTGCTTCTGATGCGTCGAGGCCGACACTGTGGGGTGGTACCAAGAGTAGAGGTGGTTGTATCTATCGGCCGAGATGTACATGCGCAGCTGCTGTTGATGTTGCTGCACGTAGTCGCTGTTGGCCAGGCTAGAGTGATCCAGGATGATGTCGTGGCCAGGCACGTTGAACAGCACTGATTGGCCTTCGGTCTTGGGCGGGGCGTCCTGGCACGAGCGCAGCTGCTCAGGCGTCAGGTCTGTGCGGCGCAAATGTATGTTCTTGAGCTCCTTGTAGTTCTTTACCAATGACATCATTGGCAGCGGTAGTGTGCCGTGAATGCGAGGCAGTAGTTGTGTCTGCTTGTGGCTAAACAATGAGTGAGTGCCACCAAACAACTTATTGGACATATTGCCAAACGTTGTATTAATGCTCCTCTTTGATGCATCATTAGGTGTGAACAGTTTATCCTTGCTAAACTCTGGTGATACTCTATCATATGACTTGGCAACAGTCTTTAAGAATGTCTTGTTCTGTTTGTTTGATTGATCGATTGAGTGAGTGGGATAGTTCCAGTGATTGATTGATTGGATCGAGTGAGTTGCCAGGAGTGTGCGAGACATGTTAGTCCATGACAATGAATGATTGATTGATTGAATAAAGTCCATGACTTACCTCAAAGAATGTAACCTCCTTGATACCAGACTTGATCTTGATCATTTGTTTGGCAGCTTGATCGGCAGCAGCCTTGTTACTCAGATGATCGGATGGTGTGAGACCTGAAACATCCTCGGGGAGGTTGGAGGCATGCTCTCTGATGGACTGGATGGGGATCAAGTCCTTGAGCTGTGATGCATGTGGTGGGAAGTAGGGCAGTTGGACACAGACTGATGCCCATCGCAACAAGGCTTCGTTGTACTCCTCGTAGGAGTTGAAGTCGTCGGGTGTTGGCTCCTGGGGATAGAGATGCGAGTCCCATGGATCGGTGTTGTTCTCCAGGTCCTTGATGTCGACGAGGTCGATCGAGTCGGCCAGCACTGTGATGTCGTCGTCGATTTCGCTGTTGAGTGGATCGCTCTTCTCGTCTGAGTCGCCCTCGTTCGAGAAGGACGACACGGACGGACGGAAGTCAAACGTGGAGTTGTCGCGCACACCACGATAGTCAGACAGCTTGGGGCGGTAGTAGGCGCGACCCGACACTGACGGCATGCGGATGTCCGAGAAGATCGTCTCGATGAGGAAGCGCCACGCGAGGAACGCCTGTTCGTAGTCAAAGAAGTTCTCAAACTCGTCGAGCTGGGGGATGGTGTTGTGCAGGTGCGAGATCTGCTCCTCGAGCGACATGTCCACGTCGTCCTCAATGTCCACATGTCCATTCAGCTGTCTATCCACTGGCTTATACTTAAACAATGGCACGTAGTTCACATCATAAAAGTTGCCATCAGGTGACATATACATTGCCTCTCCAACCGCTGTCCTCTTCTTTAACTTTGCTGTAAACTCTTCAGGTTTCTTTGATGGTATAGCGTATGGCTTTTGTTCTGTTTGATGTATGTATGATTGATTGAGTGAGTGAGTGAGCATGATTGATCGATTGATTGGATTGATTGATTGAGTGTCATTCATTACGTACGCGCTGTCTTTAAAGTGTTTGAACCATCATTGAGAATGAGACATTGTGACTTTGAACGTGAGCCAAAGACTGCAGTCTTGCGATACTGTGACTTGAGATGGCTGCTTACTCCTCCTCCACTATAACTGCCTTCTCCTGTCATTGACATTATTTGATTGATTGATTGATCACTTTGATTGATTGATTGATTGATCGTGTTGTGTTATATATAAATATTATTACAATGAAGAATAAGTTATTATGTTGTTATTGTTGTTATTGTTTGAATGATGATGATGATAAATGTTGTTGTTATGGACTTTGACCAAAGTGATAATAGAGATTGATGAGAGATGATAAGTGTTTGTTGTGATAGCGCAAACACCAAACTAACACACAACACGACACACAGAAGAGACACAATAAGATGAGGTGAGGCGAGCTGATGTGGTGTGATGATTGATGATCGAAACAAAAGTGGTGGGTGGGGGGGTTTGGTTTGGTTGGCTTTCACTCCTCACACACAAACTAGTTGATATTTGTCAATCGTCAGGTAATTATTATTATTATTTCTTTATATTTGTATGGTATATATTTAGTAATATAAGTGTAAGTGTAGGATATGAATGAGTGAGTGAATGAATGAATGTGAACCTAGATTTATGTCATGTGGGCTCTACATTGAGGTGCAATCTCTTTGGATTACGAAAGGGTGCACGAACACCAAGTTGTTGTTGGATATTTTGTTGGCTAAAAATGAAGAAGAATGTTGCGTGACAAAGTCTTTGAAGTGAAGCTGGAGTTACAACAACAAAGTAATCAACATACGTCATCAATGAAGAAGAATATAATAATATCTACATGTTATAATATGACATTTGTTTTGTGTTTATTAATCAATCTAATCCTTTAAGGATTCCTCTTCTCCAATTCATAGTCCTTGTCATTGCCCTTCATTGTCTTGATTGCATATTGATAGGATACTATACAGACTGCTGGAAGTAGTAGTACGTTGAATGCCCAGAATAGAGTGGTGGCAACGGCCAAGTATTGTCTAATACTTTGACAGAATTCAGAGTAGACATCAGTGCCTCCACAGCTATTACGTACATATCTAGGTAGGAATCTACAAAAGATAATATAAGCTACGAATGCTTCTAATGTTGTCAATGCTGCCATTATAAAGTATAGTTGACATAGTCTCTCTCTTCTTAATATTGTCGCTAGGAATCCAACTACACCAGTGGCAACACAACAGAATCCATTTGCAAAGTATACCCAAGTATGTTCAATCTTTACATTCTTATCAGTCCATGCAATTACTACTTGTGCAACTCCAAACAACTAAAGCGTAAGTTAAGTTGAATAAGTTAGTTGGATTGTGAGAGGGCGAGGGCGAGGGTTGAGGGTGAGGGCGAGGGTTGAGGGTTGGGGACTTACAAAGAGTATGATTGATAATGTTCCAACAAGTCCTCGTGAATGTAACTTCATTATTATTATTATTATCAATTATCTATATAATATTATTTGTTTACAATATTTCTAAACAACAGTTTAAAGATTCTGCAGTACAATATTAATTGACGACTCTATCAAGTGCGCCATTGGTTCCTTAGAATTGTTGACATCTTAGACTTCAACTTCAACTTCCAACTGCGATCCATTATATCAGCTGGGGCCTTGATATCATAAAAGAGGATGAGGGACCTATCCTGTCCTAATTTGGAAATTTACAAGGCCTCAAAAAAAAAAAAAAAACAAACAGTGTCCAACCAACTATTTGTTTTCCCGACTTTGACAAACAGTAACCTGCGGCCTTCAGATTGTTTGTTTGTTTGTTGAAGGACCATACATTGTGAGGATCTAAAACAATCCACTTATAGTAATTATGATTCAGAAGGGAGGGAAATTTCAAAAGTATCACATGTGGGCCTTCTTGAGGCCTCCTCTATCTTGGTTGGTAATCAATTATCCAAGTTACTCAGTTAATTATAATTAAATGGTATATTTATTATAAAGTATGTAATTAATAAGTAGTTGTACATAAAATAGTAATAGTATTATGTTTGATTGATTGATTATTTGATTGTTTGTTTGATTGATTGTCTTTGTTTTGGGAGTTGGGGGAGGGGAGTTGTAGAGAGTCACTCACTAGTCCTCATTCAATTGCTTCTCATCGATCTCCATTCGTTGGATATCCTCTGGCGCCATTCGTAACATGGCCATCGTGTGAATGTGCTGGACACGGAGACGATTGATGAATGGACGGAAGACAAAGAGGTACATGAAGAACATGACCACGCACACCAATGACATGACCAGCGTGATGATCGTGATGGCGTACTCTTGGATGTCCTGCCAGTACTGGAAGTAGAGGAATGATGCGCGGTCCAGGCCGTCCAGGATGTCGGTCTGGCCCACGGACTTCATCCACTGCACATCGGTATTGTTGGCAATGATCAGACTGCGCTGCGTGTAGATCAGATTGAGCGAGTGCTCGATGAACTCGTTGACAAGCCAGTCGAGGCCGTGCGCCACGTCGTCGTAGTATGGGTCGGATTCGTTGCGGCACTTGGACTGGTCGATGAGCCAGCAGCCGTAGCTGCCGTCCATCAGCGCGCGCGTCTGCGGTATGTCCGTGAGCATGTTGTGATTATACTGCATTTCCATTGTGATGTTGGTCATCCAGCCGGTCGTTCCATCGTTGGTGAGTTCAGGTGACATGATACGAGAGACGAGTGTATTGAGGATGCGCGCGTAGGTGGCACGCTTGCTGTTCATGGCAACTTGCACGCCCGAGCCATAGTCGGCGTAGATCTCGTAGAAGGATATGTAGAGTCCGATGGTGATCACTGCGAACAGGATAATCAGGGCGACCGAGTAGTAGATGTGTTGGCGACGCAACACCGATCTGATGCCGCGCTTGTTGACGTTACGCTTGCTCTTGCCGTCCCATGCGCCAAACAAAGTGAGCTCACCGCGACCTCCGCGTGGCAGGTCTGCCTTGGCGAGAGGTGAGGCGTTGGCGTTGGCGGCAGCGACATTGGCGGCCGTGGCATCCTCGTGGATGTGCACGGCGGAGAGGCCAGATGCGCCAATGAGTGGTCGCATGTCGCCGGCGCTCCTGTCCAGATGGAGGGAGTCGCGCTTCAATTGCTCGACCAGGATGCCATTCTTGCCATACGAGTCGTAGGATGGGCGCATGAGTGATGATGAGCTCTGCATGTCCTCGCGGGCAGACGACAGCTTGGGGGTGGTCTCGACTGGTGTGTGTGGCACGGCTGCCACCACGTCGTCCTCCTTGTCAGACATGAGTTCGCGGTCAGACTCGCTGTCAACGCTCACAAGTCTGTGGCGCTGTGCGGCCATCTTCTCCAGCACCTCCTTGGGTGCCAGGGTGAACAGCACCAGGATGCGGATCTTCTCGCGAGAGATACGCGACACTACAGGTCGGAATGCCAGCACGGCGCACAGCAACAGGACGACAAACAGCGCGAGCCAAGAGTAGACGATGCTGAACGAGATTTGGTTGGCGCGGTCCATCACCGTCTGGCTGTAGGCCATCTGGATGTCAAAGTAGGCGCGGGTCAGACTGCGAGGGCCATTGTCCGAGACGAAACGGAACAGCGGGTTGGAGTAGGCTGTGCTTCCAAACATCGAGATGTTGTTGCCGGCCATCATAGCGCGGCCACTCTCAACAAAGAGGTTGCCGGCCTTCCATGCGTTGTATGTTTGGTTGGTGGACGAGTTTCGGAAGTTGATGTAGTTGTCAGCGGTACCATTGCGAGTGCCGTTCCATTGACCGCCGCCGCCACCTCCATTCCAGCCTCCGCCGCCATTCCAACCGCCACTGCCACGACCGCCCCAATTGTTGCCCTGGCCGGGGATGGTGAGGAAGATGCTCATCACAACTGAGGGCTCGTTGTAGATAGCCGAGAGCAGGGGTTCAGTGGCCGGGCGAGTCTTGTTGAATTGGCTGTAATCAAATACCTCGGAGCCAATATCGTAGATGTTGGGCAGGCCGTAGAGACGCTTGAGCTGGGCCATGCTGTCGCTGACGTACGGGTTGGCCGACTGCTCGCCCCAGTATATGGCATGATGTATGTTCTCCAACACGTTGAGTGAGCGTATTGACCTGTTGTAGTAGTATGAGAAGTTGCCGAAAGCCTCTTCGACTGTGATGTTTTGTACGATGAAGCCTCCGGGACCCCATCCTGAGCGACCTCCATCACGGCCTCCACCGCTGCCTCCTCCACCGCCACCTCCACTTGTTCGTCCAGTAGTTGATGCTGCACCAGTTGTTGAAGCTGTTGTTGCTGCGCCAGTGACACCTCCAGTTGTTGATGCAGTTGTTGTTGCAGTTGTTGTTGCAGTTGTTGTAACAGTTGTTGTTGCAGTAGTTGTTGCAGTAGATGTTGTGGCGGCAGTCGCTGCGCCAGTTGTCGTAGTTGTGGCGCCGGTTGTTGTGGAGTTGCCAGATGGTGTCCAGCCAAGTGTTGCAGTTGTAGTTGATGTTGTTGTCGGGTCTGTGGTGGGTGTGGTCGTTGTCGTGGTCGTGGGATCAGTAGTGGATGTCGTCGTTGTGGTAGTTGTAGGCGTGGTCGTAGTTGTTGGCGTGGTCGTAGTCGTGGTGCCAGTGGTCGCTGCGGTTGTGGTCGTCGCTCCAGTAGTTGTCGTTGTGGTAGTGGCAGCCGTCGTTGACGCCGTAGTTGTCGTCACTCCAGTGCCAGTCGTGGTAGTAGTTGTTGTCCCTGCCGTCGTTGTCCCTGCCGTAGTTGTACCGCCAGCAGTCCAGCCGCCGCCACCCGTGGTGGAGGATCTGTTGCCATTATCAGTGGCGTTGAATAGGTAGGTGAGTGCATACTGTTGCATGTTGTTGAAGTTCTGAGCGATGCGGTTGGCCTCGATGGCAGCCTCACCCGCTGACAAGATGTCCTGGAAGGCGTTGCGCTGGTTGACCATCTGCGTGCGCAACAATGCCAGACAGATGATGGAGAAGATGATTGTGACCACGGTTGTGGCGATCATTATCCATGACAACGCGTTAATAGCGTTCGAGTGCTGGAATGCCTGGTAGCGAGCCCTCTTTAGTGCGCTCGATGAGTTGGACTCGGAGTTCGAGTCCTTGTTGTGGCTGTTGCGATCGTCAATCTCAATGCTGCCCGACTTGTCGATGGGGATCATCTCGATGTTGCCACCACCACGCTCAGCCATGTCGAGCTTCTCGTCGTCGGACAGATTGGTGCCGGGGTCTGATGCCAGCACGATCATGTGTTCGCTGGACTTGGACTTGGACATGTCGTCCTCGAGTAAGTCAGCCTTCTTGCGCAGACGCAGAGCCTTGTCGCCGTCCTTGACCACCTCCTCCATGAACAGGGCAAAGTCACGGATGACACGCACCGAGTTGGGGTTGAGTGCCAGGAGACGTTCGTATAACTCGATGGCCTTGGTCTCCTTGCGCGCAATCCTTCCCGACAGCTCGTTGAGGCGCTGTAGGTCGATGGTCTCGTGAAGCAGCTGGCGCCAGAAGCGGTTGATGTAGTGCAGGCAGGAGTTGTGCGACTTGCGTGCCGCGATGTACAGCTTCTTGAACTCCATGTACGACACAAAGTCCTGGATTTTGCCGCCCTCTGGTCCCTTGAGGTCTGAGTCCATCATCTGTTGGCGGTCCTTGTCGTGGCGGTAGATGAAGAAGCGCACGTCCAAAGGTGGTTGCATGCGTCTCAGCTTCTCCAGTGCGGCGTAGCCCACATGTATGTTGCGACGTACGGTGAACAGGTAGTTGGCGTAGGCCATCCACAGCAGCTCCGAGTTGGGATAGTACTGCAGGCCGGCCTGGTACAGGAAGTTGACACGCTCGATGGCCTGGCCGTCGACGCTGTCGTGCAGGATCTTGCGAGACATGATCTCGACAAAGTAGGCAAAGGCGAATCTGCGCTTGAAGAATGGGAACTCGATGTTCTTCTTGGAGCCCAGTGTGTTGTCAACTGCTTCGAACTTTACAACGCGTACACCATCCACACCATCATTGATCTGCAAGCCTTGATCACTCGATTGCTTTGGCAATTGTATATTTGTAAGATGTTCAGCCTGTGATGTTATGTACTTATAGAATCGTCCTAGAGTGTAGTGTAATGTTATGTTAGTCACTGTATCAATCTTTCGCCGCGTGTGGCCGCATTAATTTTAATGCGGCCAGTGTGTTGCCGCCCAAGAATCTCAACGGTGAAGGGGTGGTACTTACTGCAAGCAAAGTATCCACCTGCAAAGGCTGGGGGCATGCCTATCAGTACAATGATGGCTGTAACCTGTGATGAAGTATTATTAACAGCCAATGTGATTATACTCCATAAACTGACCCATAATATAGTGACAAAGAAGCCAGTGTTCTGTTTGTGTGATGGATAGTTGAGTCAGAGAGTCATCCCAATGATGTACTGACGCAATATATATACATACCAATTGATTAATCTTCTGATTGGAGTATGGCAACACTATGATTGATGCCAGGGAACTTGCAAGAATGAGTATAAAGTATATAATAACCATCAACCAAGCGTATTCCTCGAGTAATGTAAAGAAGAACACAAAGATGGTCTTGACAAGAAGCATGGCCAAGTCGAACTAGAAGTGAGATTGATTGAGTGAGTTAATGTTAGGGATAGTTCCAGGGCATGATGATATACGGGACGACTTACCCTTGAGTGCATCTTGGCACAGCTGTTCTTCTTGCTCGAGTTGCTCTCAAAGGTGGTACATGTGCTAAAGACGGCGACGATGAAGAAAAGGATGATGTAGATGATGGCAAAGATTGAGACTGCTATGTTGTCGCGTACAAAGCAAACATAGTTGTCGGGATCGTCGTAGATATCTTTGGATTCTTCGTCGTTGCCGGCGGTGGGTGCACTACCCTCACAGTCAATAGCCTGTATGAACAACGTCATTACGGGTATATAGAACAATGGTACGATGAATGCCACGAACCAACGCAAGGTACGCAACAGCCACACGTTGGCAATCCTGCCCTTGTAGAACTGGTAGGCCACGTAACCAATGTTTAGGCAGCCCAATGTAGTCAGGGCGATCACCACCCAAAAAGTGATGACATAGCCATCATAAGGCAGTTTCATGGAAGGATTGGAGAAGGCTGGAATCACATATATAAGGTAGCTGTTCATTGTGATTGTGATAGGATGGTTGTGTGTTAGTGTCAGTACTGCTGGATCATGATGATGGATTGATTGATTGGTACTCACTATCCAAGGTTACCTCCCCATGGTACGTAATGCTTGAATCCAAAAGATACAATCTCTGGAAGATGGAAGTGGTTGAAGTGATGGTCAGACTTGTGACTTCGTTTTTTTTTAATCCGATCAGCTGATTGCAGGGATATCAGCTGATAACAGATATATCAGCTGATCGCCTGTCAGCTGACTGTTTACCATATACTTACGAAGGAAGTTGAACACTATGGAGAGGATTGTGAACCACATAAAGTAAGAGGAGTTACCCTTTGTCATTGAGTAAAGTACACCAAATGTACCTAATAATATATGTCGTTTGGGAATGGTGAAGGTTTGGTAAGTCATTCAGCCAGATTGAGGGGTTGGATCATCCAATGTCCTATCCACCTATCCTAACCTAACTTACCCTTCTCGACTGACTTTGTAAAGTCAAACAGGGCACCTAGTGAGCCAGACGAGTGGGAGGACCCACTGTGAGACCTCTTTCCATTCTTGCTCGACATGTTTGTAATGTTACAAAGACAATAACTACTTGTCTATGTGTATGTATATATAAGTATATATAGATGTATAAGTATATTTATAAGTATGTATATATGTATGTTACAAACTAGAAAGATAAAGATAGAACTAGAACTTGATCAATCATTCGTTTCAGATCAAGTGAGCTCACGGCCTAGCTGACAGTTGGATGGATAGGGTTAGATAGATGCGGATGGGAGACGGAACGAGGAAGAGAGGAGAGAGGACCTACTTAAAAGCAAGCAAACAAGCAAACCCATTGTCCTTGGTTGATGGTCGGTCAATCACACCCGGTGTTGTTGCCTCCTGTTAACAAGCAAGCCGTCGTTACAACAGGTACAGAATGGGGACGAAGGTAGGTTAGTTGCGACACTCAACATAACCAAATCATTTATTGGATGAGCGGATGTTGTTAGTTCCATCGATGACCTGTCAGGCCCATACATCAAAAACACATGACCCATCGATATAGTGCCCAATCGGATTGCAAAACTATCCAGATCACCGTTCGCCTCGAGCAGCCCCATACTCATGGTCCTGTTTATCTTGTCAGCGCAAAATCACTGCGAGGTATAAGGGGAGGTTGTTGACCCGTCCATTATCATCAAGCAGTATTTGATTTGGATACTTTTGATTTGATTGACGATTGGCATGTACAAATCACTTTTGTGCCCTATGAAGGCTGTAAGGTCCCCACCCATCACATGATCAACAGGTTGTTTTTTTTCGCTTTTTGTTAAAGACGATATTTAAATATTCGCAGGCCCACTGCAAGTCCTAATCATGACTCTAGAGTCATGCCCCATTGAACTCCTTGTGATATCGCCTAAAGATGGAACAAGGTTACGATTTGCAAATCATTAATAGTTTGGAGATTATAAGCCAGATCATGATGTAATAATAATTCGTCGAATAACGTGTGGTACATGTCTTGTCTAGGTTCTGATCGATACCCTTGATCGCAAAGGGGTTCTCACAAACACACCAACTTGTGTTGATGCATAATCTCGATCGTGGGGACTGCGCCGATCGGAATTGTCGTCCACCACACATCCAGCAAGTCTAAGATGATCTGGCAAGACATTCGGGGACTTTGTTGGGGCTTGCCTCCGCCCATGGCCCGAACTTTTATGGACTGAATACCAACAAGTGTTCCTCCATGTACTTGAACAGATAAATCTTGGACTGAACATAATGTTTAATATTGATGATCGCAACATTGAGTGCGTAAGTTACGTGCGCGTGCGTTTAATTGTATTGTATTGTATTGTGTTGTGTTGTATTGATGTGCAAAGTTGTGGATGATGTCCATGGTTCATGGTCCGGTAACTACATTAGGTATGTTGGAATATTGTTTCGTTCAGTCTTCCTGTTGACCCTATCAAGTACGGCCTTCTTTGTGAATAGTTCATCGTTGATGAGCTCAGTTCGGATGAATGCGCCAAGTGTATGATTCAACAAGATGTATGAATAACCATTGCCAAACTCTCTGATCTGCACCTTGCATGCGCTGTTGATGTCCAGTGTCATGTTGCACACCGTGTTCTTGCTAATTTGGTTGCGCAGGGGTTGGTAGAAAGATGAGTACGGCTTGGAGTAGACATGTGTGATCTTGGCCACGAGGTACTCAACACTGTCTGGGATCTCACCATAACCTTGATGAGCGGCGTATCGGTGATTGATTGACAGATGCTTGAGAGTTGGAGGCAACGAGTCCTTGGTCAATGGATGGATGTAACAGCATCCGATGGACAAGCGAGTGAGTGTTGGCGGCAGGATATCTTGCCCCAGCTTGTGATTGAACATGTCACCAAAGTCCAATGTGGTAAGAGTCTTTGGGAGAGAGTTGGGCAAGATTGGTTGTGAGTAGTTGTCACCGAATGAAAGTGTTTCCAGTCCTGCAGGGAGGACATTTGGCTTGATGGAGGTGTCGAAAGACTTTCCAAACACCAGCTTCTTGAGGCTCTTTGGCAGGATATCGGGTCCTATCTCCCTCTTGTAATTGTTTCCGAACCTTATCTCGGTGATAAAGTCCGGGATATCACCCTTGGCAAAGACACCATTGAAGTTCTTTCCAAAGTTGACAACAGTAATATTCTTTGGACACTCCTTGAGCTCATCAATCGACTCCACATAACACAGATGTGAGTTGGCCGACGGTGATGAGTCGACCAACATATCAAAGTCCAATCCAAATGTTATATCATCATCTGGAATTATTCAGGTAATCAATAATATTAATAAATAAATTCCAATTATATTCTTTTTAAATAATGTTTACAATACATACCATAACACTTGTTAACCAGTTGGAATACCCTTGAACCATTGAATATTAATGATTCATCATCACTGTTGTACTCCTTGAATCTGAGGATATAGCTTCGACAGTGGAACCAATATTTACATGTGAGTACCAAAGATACTCGATCAATGTTATCCTCCAACATTGTTTGGATCTTCCACAATACAAGCAATGGTAGATTCTCCATTTCTTATATTATATATATTCTTGTTATTAAATTATTATTATTATTTATAAGTTATATTATTATTATATTCCTATTATATTTATCAATTCTATTTCTGTCCCGATTATTATATGCATTTAAAGTATCGTTTTTTTTTGATTGATTGTATGTTTGTTATATTTGAATATTGTTGCAACAACAGTGTTGTTATTATATATATAACTAATTATGTATTAATTACTTATACCAATTCAATCATGAACATTCGAGTCAATCAATACTATTCATCCAGAAAGCACCACCTCAGAGATTGTCCCCTTCATGTTTTGTTCCATTCTGATGTTCTGTTAGTTTTCTTGGGTTGTGGTGTGAATGATTGAGTGAGGGATGTGAAGTGACACATTGTTTGTTTGCACGTCATGGCAATAGATAGAGACTTATAGATAGAGGATACTGAGAAATAGAAGAGAGAGGTCTTGAGCTAGAGTGACAGGTGGAGACCAACCATTAAGTCCGACGAAGAACTTGAAGGACTGACAGACTTACACCGCAACAAGATTGGTGTCAGTTTAAGTACACTTATGACATTATGTCATTGACTTCAATCAACTAGTTATATAGCTATATAGTTACATGATTGATAATAATAATAATAATATTATTCAATGACTTGTATTCAAAGTTGATGGATTGATAATCTTGATGTCGATCTTTGTTTGATCGCGAATTGATAAACCGTTCGGACTGAACATGCCTCCTCGAGGTTGGTTGTTTCATTGAATTCAACTCTAAATGATTAATCATCTGCACAGAGATATATAACATCAAAGAACTGAACTTACTTACTTATTCAAACATACTTATATACATATAATGAATCAAGATAGTACAGTTATAATAGATAATGGATCTGGATATATAAAGGCTGGATTCTCAGGGAACAATGCACCTCAATCAGTGTTCCCATCAGTGTTGTCAAAGGTGGCTGGTGTAGGAGGTACCAACTACTACTTTGGTGAGGACGCTGTTAACATGGCCGGAATGATGCCATTGACATACCCAATTCAACGTGGAGTGGTCAATAACAACAACTGGGACGATATGACCAAGATATGGGAGCACACATTCTCCACCGTCCTCAATGTCCAACCAAGTGATCGTAGAGTACTCCTGACAGAGGCGCCTCGCAACCCAAAGATGAACCGCGAGAGGATGGCCAAGATCATGTTTGAGACATTCCAAACACAAGCCCTGTGCATTGCTCCCACTGACTACCTGTCATTGACAGCATCTGGTCGTGACACAGCAATCATAATCGATTCAGGCTATGGAGTCACCAACATTGTGCCATATATTGATGGAGTGGCACTCAAGAACACCACTCATCATGCCATGGGTGGACGTGATGTTGACAACTACATGATCGAGCTCATGTCTGATTTTGGAACATCACTACCATCAGCCAACAAGAATGTGATTGCCAGCGCGATCAAGGACAAGCTCGCATACGCCACACAAGACTGTGAAGCAGACATGAAGAATCAGTCAAAGGAGGCGTACACACTACCAGATGGAATGGAGATAATGGTTGGTCCCGAGCGTTTCCTGTGTACCGAGGGATTGTTTGATCCATCACTCTTTAGCATGGTCCTCGCTGGCACGACTGGTATCACTCAAGGACTGCTCAGCTGCATCAACAAGGCCGATATAGATGTCCGTGGCAGCCTGTGTGACAATGTCATTATCTCTGGTGGCATGAACAGACTGCGAGGTATGACACATCGCATTGAAAAGGAGGTCAGCAAGGTAGCTCCACGTATGAAGTTGCACATTGAGATTAATCGCAAGGAAGCTGCATGGGTGGGAGGCTCAATCCTTGCTTCCAAAGCATCATTCCAAGAGAGCAAGTTCGTCACCAAGTCTCAATACGAAGAACATGGTCCATCCATTATCCATGAGATTTGTAGATTCTAGAATGCTGCGAGGATATTGAGTGGCTGGCGACTGTTGCGTGGATGTCGGGACGACACTTTTTACACGACACATTCATTCGTCGTCTTTGATCTCAAGACGAATGTTATAATTAATATATATAATATATAGACATGCTTAATAGATGTAAGAATATATTGAACAAGTTATATAATGTCTCTTATAATCATGTCTTGGATACAGCTAGCAAGTTAACATCTTATGTGAATGGCAACAACAGCAACAACGACAACAACACAGTCAACAACAAAAGGGTAGCCAAAAGAGATAGATCAAAAGTATCCAATGTATATGTTGGAACTGTTACAGACTATGATGATCAACTCAATGGAGTTGTAAAGCCAGAAGATGCAGTTGGTGCATTGACACTTACCAAACCAGTGATGGTACGCAATGCTGTTTTGGGCGAGAAGGTTGAGCTAAAGGTGTTTAGATGGGGCGGCCCAACGAGTGAAGGCCGTGCCTATCAGATACTTGAACGCTCGCCACATCGCACTGAGCCAGTGTGCCAGCACTTTGGTCTGTGCAAGGGATGCACTCTCATGCATATGTCGCCGCAGCATCAGCTGCAGCACAAGCGATTGCAGCTGTGTCGTGTGTTTAGCGAAGCTGGCATCTCAACGCCGATCGACGAGGATGTTATACAGGTTGAGAATGGCGACGTAGGATACAGGCGCAGGACCAGATTGGCAGTACGTTGGAATCGCAAGTCGGACAATGTCGATGTTGGCTTCGTGTCTGAGCTCAAGCCGAGCTTTCAAGTGGAGCGATGTCATGTGCTGGAGCCCAGCATTCAGACACTGCCACTCAAGCTGTCTGTGCTCTTCCAGTCATTCTCCAAGAACGCCAAGACCAACATACCATCTGTTGAGGCCACTGTTGCGGACAATGCCACAGCCATTATCGTTAGGAATCTTGTTGAACTACTTCCAGAGGAAATTAACGGGATCAAACAGTTGGCCAAGGCTGAAGGACTCGTGGCATATCTACAGGTATGTATGGTATGATTTGCCATGGCCTTGGACATCTTGGTACTAATCAAACAACATTGATTGCCTCAGCCCGAAGGTTACCCATCGATCAAACAGATATATCCAGAACAGCCGATTGACTTGGTGTTCAGGCCTGTTGACAACCTTGATGTCAAGATAAAGCCATATGACTTCCTTCAGATCAACTCCAAAGTGAACAGACTGATGGTACAACAGGCAATTCAATATCTGGACTTGAATGATAAAGATATAGTATTCGACTTGTTTGGTGGCAAGGGTAACTTCTCGTATCCGATCGGTCTACATGCCTCGCATATATACTCTATGGATATTTCAAGATTACCTTCTACCACAACACAACTCAACAACAATGTCACTGGTATCAATCTAAACCTTTACACAGACAGCATTGCACATCTATACAGCGAGAAACAGTGCAACAAGGTCTTGATGGACCCAACTAGAGCTGGGTATGTTATGTTATATTATGTTATGTTGTGTGATTGAAAGAATGATCGAACTTACCTTACCTTAACTTACCATGATATATATAGTGCTGAGAAGGTATGCCAAGAGATACCAAGTGATTTGGATACAATTGTCTATGTATCGTGCAACCCTGGAGATAGCTTAGTTCGAGACTTGAAGATATTGGAGAGCAAAGGTTATATGATACAGTCAATCAAACTTATTGAAATGTTCCCAAATACATCAAAGATGGAGGCTATTGTGTTGTTGACAGGTACTGCATCACACAATATTGCCGTAGTCTGATTATGGCCGCCAGTCAATCAATTCGTTTCCATCCAGTGGGTCCACATCCTTTTTTGCAAGTGATTGAATGAGTCCCCACAAACTTGGTCCTGTTTGCAAACATGGACCTTCCTATGTGATCTCGCAAGGCTTTCCATCCCTCATCATTCATTCATTCATTCCTTAAGCCTAACTATCGATACATATACAGAGATATATACCAACAAGCAAACAAACAATCGATCATGGATCATGAGATAATGGATCTGCAACGCCAGGTCGACGAGTTGACTATTGAGTTGGAGTATGAGAGAGAGGCAAAGAGGAAGTTAATGCGACAGATGGTCCAGCAGACATTGAGCTACAATAAGATTAATGATGAGAATAATCGTCTATTAATGGAGTTGGATGAAGTTCATAGAATGGTACACGAGACAAAGGAACAAATGCGACAACATTCTAGCACGAATCGGCCTTCTAGTGACCCTGGACAGATGTCACAACGAGAGAAGTTCCTTGTGAGCCAGATCAAGAATCAAGAGGAGCAGCACAAGAGGATGTGTGAGCAGCTGGCCGAGTCAAGGGAGCAAGTGACACAGTATGCCGAGAGGTTGGAGCGGGCCGAAGCTGAGAGCAAGGAGCAATCGTCCAAATATCAAGCCATCATAGAGAACCTCAAGTACAAGAATAGAGTTGCCAGAGACAACAATAACAACATCATCAGCATGCTTTCCGAGTCATCCAAGTGCTTTGATACACTCACCATCTCTGACGACCATCCTCTCCAGACCCCTGCACGACTACCATCTTCAACTCCAGCTCCAACTCCAGAACCAACTCCAAAGAAGCTTTATGAAACAGCTAATGAAATACTATCAAAGTATAGAAATGCACCATATAAGACAGGATCCACCTCCTCTGGTAGCACATGTTCATCATTATCACTCTCTCCATCATCATCATCTGCATCATCATCGTCATCCAGTACTAGTGGTGGTGGTGGCGGTGCCAGTGGCAATTGCAATGGCAATGGCAGGTCATCATACAGCTCTACTGGCCGCACTCCAAAATACCCATCATCCAATGGCATTGACATCAGGAATATTAATGATAGCATTAGGGGAAACAGTAGTTCCAGCACTAACAGTGACACTTCCTCCAAATAATAAAACATCTGTACTCTATCTACTTGCGAGTGATTGGTTGATCACGACTTTGGGGGTTTTCCAAAGACGCGTCTACTTGGAAACCATGAACTTGAATACAAGTTCTCATTCACTCATTGACTTGATTGACTGACTTGTGTAACTTTGCACCCTTTGTGTATATGTATGCTCAACGATGTCTACGACATCGGCTTCACCTATATTCTATGTCACGCACAGGAGTTGCTTGATCAAGATATCAACAAAGAAGTCAAAGTCTACTGCTGCTGCCCTCCCTCAACTACAAGATAGCAAGGCAATCAAGACAACATCGGCAGCATCACCAACAACATCAAAAACAGCAGCTGCAATCACAGGGGCAACAACAACAACTACGAAGCAGTTGGTGGATGTAGAGGCATCGATCATACATATCAAACAGCCTCAGAGACCATTGGACGACATTCATCTAGCAAAAGAGAAGGAACTACGTGGCTTCAATCGACAGGGTCAATGGGACTACGTGTCGTATGAGCGTGGCGCCAACATTGATGTGATGGCCAGCGAGTCGCTACCAATCACCTCACTCATCACATGCGGTGTAGTGTTGTGTAATGTAGACTGCCAGCAACACATTGTGTTGGTGTTGCAACTATCATCTGGCTTGGTTCAACTTGGTTATCTCGATGACAATTCATCTTTGGAGTGTTCATACTTTGTTGCATTGTGCGAACCATTCACATACAACAAGAAGAAGCATTGTCGACTCCTTGATGGACCCATGCTAGTCTGCCATGACAACGACTCCAACAAGATCACAGTCCACTCACCAAGTACAAGAGATGACAACATTTCGACGACACATCATACTCTCCCCTTTGAAGAGAAGGACATCACAATTCATTCATGTTTCATTGACGTTGGCAATACAGGCAGCGTAGTAGGCTTAAACATGATTGTTCAACAAAGGTCACCTCAGTCCAAGTTGATCACAATAGATATCAACACAATGGAGAGCAAGAGTATCAAGGCTGACAGCAAACAACTGGACTCACTACAAGTTGTCAACAGCTATGCAAACGACATTGACAACAGAGTGTTCTTGTTGGCATCGAACAACTCAGTCTCATTGAACAGATACAAGAAGGTCATATGTACCATCGCGCTGCCTCATCCTCCAACACAAGTGTATGTTTGTCCGATTAACTCACTCAATCACTCAATCACTTCTAACTAACCTACGATCTCCAGATACATGGTGAACATACCTTATGAGTTCAAGTTGGACAAGATTGATAAGAGGGACCCTTGGGATCAGGGCGCCATCATAGTTCACTTTGGCGCACAAGACCTCGCTCATATATATTCATTGTCTACAAAGAATCGATTAAATGAAGTGGCAATGATCAAGGATATATGGATACATGACTTTTACTCTGATGGCAGTGATCAGATTCTGATCAGACACTCACAGACCAAAGCGATCACACTCACATTGATCCCAATGCACATGGGCAGTAGTGGTGGCAACAACAATCAAGATGGAGCATCCGAGCATCAGAATGGCAAGCTATCAAGCAAGTTCAGCTTGGACATGGTCGTCGAGTCATTGGAGATGCGATGTACGCAGGCCACTTCAGAGCTGGCCTATCTCAACTCTACGCTACGCTCAAAGGAGCTACTACTGGAGCACTCGCTCAAGGTGCTCAACTCACTTGGTCGACCAAATTCAAACTACAACACTCCTGGCACGCCACTGCGCGACGGCAGGGTATGGGCGGACATCGACCTTGTATCACTCTTCACCAATGAGAGTGTGGAGGGGCATGCTGGACCAAAGCAAGCGCCCGTACAATCATACCCCAAGCTTAGCGCATCCGATCGATGGATGAAGGATCACACTCTGTACTGTCTATTCAACTTTACCAACCCTGGTGTGGAGGACATTCTGATCACATCAATATTTTTGTGCAGTGACTCGATGACATTTGAGTGCAAGTCGTCATGTTCCAATGTGACACAACTTCAACGACTACGCGGCAACATAACATCGGGATCATTGGACGAGCGTACAATCTATCTTGAATGTACATTACCAATTGTATTTGATGTCAAACAAACAATCACAGCGATTGTTGAATGGCGCAAACTACAAACTACCAACAACAACGAGTCCAAAGTATCATATGTGGACTCATTCACACTTACCAAAGAGTCTTTGGAAGCATTCAAGCCACATCCAATCAACTTGGACATTGTTAATACTTGTAAGTTGGACTACCTACTCCATTCAGTCTGGATCATGATTATAGCTAATATTCCTCGCTTAATCAAACAGTCCCAATCGAATTCCTATTTAATATAAATCAGCCAACCCGACAACAATCGACCAATATCGATCTGCTCCAAGAGCACCTACAAACGGCCATCACCTCCTTGTTTCCAACCCTTGGCGCAGACAGTTGCATTATTGATAACAATGGAGTATTTATCGAGATCAATCGATGGCATGTGACTCATAACTAACAAAACATACTCATAGTTGGAACTGACGTTCAATGAAGGATCGAGTCAAATGGGTCCAATCCGTATCAACTTGGAGAAGAATAGTCGAAACACCTTCCTCAACTTATCTATGCATTCCTTCAAAGTGTCCAGCGTATTCTCATTCATCTCCCAACTCATAACCAAGTTATCCGGTTGTAACGACAATAGTAATCTCAGTGATGGTATGTAATTAGTTAGATGGAACTGGAACCTGGAACCTTGAACCTGGAACTAATCCCAATCATTCCAACCAGTTCATATAACTTTATCATTGAATAATGGATGGTATCAATCATTGTCAAAGGAGTTGTGTCAGAGTTTGAATCAGGAGATGAAGCTGATAGAGGACAAGGCAGCAATCTTTGACAACAAACTCTCATTGAACAAGAGGGACCAACGCGAGCAATACAAACAATACTACGAACTGTACCAGAGCCTCTCAGTGCTGATGGCCGACACCGAAGGCCTACTCTATAACATGACAATGATGGACAAGTACTACAATTGCGCGAGCCAAGGCTCAAAGTAATGTCGGACAGCCAGCCAGAGTATCAGTTTACTGTATGGGTATCAATAAAAGGTCTCCAATGACTTCTTGATGTTGTCGTCAATGATTGATTGGAAGACGAAACGGACATTGGACGTGTCGATGGCGCATGTGAAGTGGATGTACAGGGGTCGCTTGTGCTTGATCTGCTTCTTAAAGAGATCGGCAATGAATGTCGCGCCAGCCTTTGTCGACCCGGCCGTCCCAGTGAAGCCGTCAAGGTAGTTGGCCAGCGGGATGCGCTTGATCTTCTGCTTGAACAGATCGATCTTGTTCAAAAAGAGTATGAGCACGCTGTTCTGGAAGTAGGCGCTGTTGGATATCTCGTTGAACAGTTGCAGCGAGTCCTTCATACGGTTGGTCGTTGGGTCCTCCTCCATCACCTGGTCGTAACAATTCAGTGGCGCTACAAACAGTACTGCATAAACATTATCGAAGCAATGTATCCATTTCCTTCTATATGTCTTTTGTCCACCTACGTCCACCATTCTAATGGATTGATTGGATTGGATTGGATTGGATTGGATTTGTTAGTGTCTTGGACTTGGACCATGGTCGACCGTGTCCACGCCACAACACATACCTAAACTTCAGTCCTCTGAACTCTGCGTCTTCCTCGATGACGCTTGTAGTCTTTGCTCGCACTCGTAGTATATCTTGCTCGGTTGGTATGAATGAATCGGTAGTATAGGAGTCTAGGTTGTTGAAAAAACTAGTAGGTGTAGCGTCGTCATGGATGTTAGAGTCAGGCCAAGGGCTGGTCCAGTGTCAAGGGTCTTTAGTTACTTACTATGATGCTGAATCGTTTAATTGTAGGGCGGCCGGCATCTGGCCATCGGGGTTGCTCGCATTGCTATGATTGTATATTTGATTGAACTGTCGCTGTATCTCGTTTGATTGCCACAGTGTCTTGATGTCGGATATCACTGCCGTCCATGATATCAGACTCAATTGATTGAGTAGCTCGCCAGCGTGTTTAATACGTGCCGCCCTTTCCAAATTGATTGGATCCTCAAAGTACATCATATGTTGTTGTCGTGTTGTAGTTGTTGTTGTAGTAGTTGTAGTTGTACTTGTAGTAGATGTAGTTGTTGGTGTTGAGGAAGTTATTCCAATATTATCGCCATTACTACTACTACTACTTCCACTTCCATTATTATTATTGTTATTATTATTATTATTATTATTGATGTCAATGAGGTTGTTGCTCTTGCTAATATTATTATTAATGTTATCAATTGATGTGTACATGGCATCGAGTAATAGGTTCATCTGACTGACAATGTTCTCAAATATAAGCTGTCTACTCTCCTTATACTCATTCTCTGTGAAGCCTCCATTCTCCTTGATCAACTTCATCTGTTTGAATAATGTAGACTACATCGTGATGATTGATTATGAATGAGTGAGTATGAATGAATGAATGAATGAATGGAGTATTATATATACCTTGCCACTGTCTGATGCACCTAGTAATAGTAACTTTATGAGCCTGTTGGTATGAGCTTCTTTCCTGAGGTTCTTGTCTATCTCTTTGGACTTTTGCCGAGCATCTCTTGCTGAAGAGTCATCATGTGAGTTGCTCTTACTAGAGTGTTTAGATGACGAAGATGAATGTTTACCACTACTACTTATATTGCTACTACTGTTGTTATTGTTACTGCTGCTGTTACTACTACCTCCTCCTCCTCCTCCTCCACTATATATTGTTGATGATGATGACATTATTTGTTTGTTTGTTTGTTTGTTTGTTGATGTTCACAATAATATTATATATTTATATATATATATTTGTAGTTGTTGTAGTCTTTGTAGTCTTTGTCGTTGCAGACTAAAGAAGGTAGTCTTTGTATATTAGTGTAGTGAATGAATGAAGTAAGTGTAAGAATGAGTTGACGATGAATGAATGGATGAAGCAGAAACACATTAACACACACACACTCTATTACATACTCTCACTCTAACTCTATCACTCACTCTCTTCTCTAAATGATGTTAAGTTGATGATGCAATCTAATAAGTTATTAAGGAGCCAGTGTGACTGTTTGACGATTGAATGCCAATTTAATCAATGGTTGGGGGGTAGAAGTGGAAGTGGAACGGGAGAGACGCAATGTGGTTGTGGTGGTTTGGCATGAGACGGTGATCGATCCCAATTTGGGTGCAAACTGATCGATCTGCCACATGGTGGGGGTAATGGCTTGACACAGGCCCCCAATCATACTCCATAACAATGACATTTGTATATATATATAACTCAAAACAATCAAATATCTGACGTTTGACAATCAGATGATCACTCATTCAATCAACTATTCAATGAACACAATATTCATTATTAGCAACAAACGAATGATTTGATGACATGACGACGATAGAGTTGTGAAGAGAGACAGTTTATAAATAAGTATCTTGTACCAGAGTGAGCGAGTAAGTAGTATGCAGGAGGAGATAGTGATGAATCTGGTCTTGATCAGATCACTGTGATTGTGATGATGTAGGAGGCGACGTGGTCCTGGACAAGTACAAGTGGAGGAGATGGAGATGAGGTGGATGGACGAATGAACGAACGACCGAATGGATCAAGACACACAACAATTGGGGGGTGAGACTACCACCATGATGGGCGTTGACCCTGTTGTTGCTGCTGGTGCTGTTGTTGTTGGAACTGTTGTTGACGTTGTTGTTGCTGTGGAACCTGGCCCAAGTTACCCAAGTTACCACTGACCGACCTGTTGTTGGCCTGTTGAGCACTGGAGGCAGCGGACTTGTTGGCCATCATCTTGGTTAACTGGTCTGTAGATGTAGGTAGTAGAAGGAGAAGTAGAAGTAGAAGTAAAAGAAGAAGAAGAAAAGAAGAAGATGTTAGTATGATTGAGTACAGTGTGAGTAAGTATGTGAGGATGGTTGAAATGAATCCATGATAACATACCAAAGAGAGTCATTGTAAAAGAGTAGAATAATGGAAGTATAAAGTATTGATCTTTGTTGCTTGTTGTTGTTTGAATGATGATGTCCTTGGCCAATGATCAATGGTATTTATACGTTGTGATTGGGATACCATCCCTCCATCAATCCATCAATCAATCAATCTATCCATTATCAATCTCAATCCTAAACATTGAAACTGGATAACTAATATAGTATTGAATACTATAACTGGATGGAATATTTGATAGTATGCACATAATCAGTGATCAATGCCAAGTTGATCACACCTCATGTGTTGATGGTGATGGTGGTGATGGACCACCATTGATGAGAATGTTGACAATGTATTGAGACTTGGTGGGTTGGTTTGTGTGTTGTGGTAACAACAACAACAATGTGTAGAGTGGTAGTAATCAATCAGTCTTGTTATAACAAATATATTATTATTATTATTATTATTATTATATATCTAGATATTAGTATAGTATAGTATGTATATAAGGTATTGGTTACCTAATATGTAGTTAAGGAACTAACACTGTTTTGATAGTTGAGTAGAGTTGAGAGATGCTTGACTTACTACCTTATGAGATATTGGGAAACATCTTGTCATTCTGTGCACTTCCAACTCTTAACTCTGTATTCAAAGTATGTTGGAACTTCAACATCCTATCAAGAGATCAATCAATATGGAGGAGACTATGTCTTCGGTACTACACTCTATACATGACCACTGGCAATGCATCAATCATTCATCATCCAAACAACAACAACAACAACAACAACAACAACAATAATAATGAACATATAGACAATATATTATTACAACTATATAGAAATATAGTTGTGGTACAAGAAGAGAATGATGAGATGAATGATAATGATGTTGTTGATAGTGAGTGTACTATTACATCAATCGATTGGAGAAGATTATATCATGGTATTGATATACTTTCATTCACTGGTGGATACAAGGTTTGTTCACTTAATGGTCATAGTTCATCAATAACTGTCGTTGATATGGGATTCCAATCAATGAAGGAAAGATCATCTTCAAATATACCTTCACTTCTACTAAGTGGCTCAAAGGATACAACTGTTAAACTATGGAATCTAAGACATGGAAATGTACAAGCCAACGATATCTTGCTCACATACACCGAGCATACTGGACCGATAACTGCATGCAAGTTGATCAACCTACCTTTATCCTCAACGCCCAGCATTGTTGCCTCTGCTTGTGAGAATGGAAGGATATGTATCTGGAGCGCGTCGACTGGCGAGACACTATGGTCGACATTTGTTGGAACTCCAGTCAAGTCCATCGATGCCAATGAGCACATGATCATTGCGAGTGATCAAAGCAATGGTCTGCACTTCTGGCGAATCACCTTGGATGCCACCGATCAACTACACTTCACATTGATACCCAACTCATTCAAACGAATGCCCTTCCCCAACACTGCAATCCTTTCACTGCATCTGATCGAAACGATTCCAATCGATGAAGAAGAAGTGCATTGCCAATCATACAATGTTAGGAAGGACCCCGAACGAAGCATGTCCAAGCACAGACGTTTAAAAGATCCGGTACCCGTGAGAGTGGAGTTGGAGGACACCCTGGTCGGGGACACAAGAGAGGACATCACTTATCGAGAGCAGTCAGCCTGTGACCTAGAGATCAGAGTTCGTCTAATGATGAGATCAAAGTCCAGTGTAACAGAGTGCGAGAATGTACTGATACAAGACCTTTGCCTGGTCAGTGAGGCCACCGGTCGGGCGCTCTGTGGTGAGGGCTCACCACTGCAGTGGTACAACTGCGAGGACAAAGGAGAGACGTTGTCAGTGGCCACAACTCTATCGGATGACCGCTGCGACCCCGTTCAAGCATTGGTAGTGGCCAGCAGTAACAACACTGCCAAGTTGTTTGATAAGCCGTCGATTGGACTTGGCTGGCAGCAACGATCAAACATATCAACACTGCATGGACACTGTGGACGTGTTACCAGCGTTCATTGTGACCTCCAGAAGATTATAACAACGTCGTCCGACACCACCATTAAGATATGGTCGCGATCCACCTGTCAACTAGAGCGAACCCTGACCGAGCACAAAGATGCCGTGCTGTCCAGCCGACTGCTTGGGCCGCTGCTGGCCACGGGCTCCAACGATTCTACCATTCACCTGTATAACTTTAACTATTTCTCCGACGACCTCAAGGTCAACGACTCCGAATGATTGATCTGCTTACGAAGCTAGAGATAGAAAGGATGTCTGTTCAATGAAGCAATGATCTGACAATGCACCAAATAGGATGGATGACCTTTGCAGTCCTGTCACCACACACACCAATAAGTGATCTTTGCTCGGTTTCTCGGTTATCATAAGGACCACCCGAGTTGCCCCACACATCAAAGGGGGCCTGCCTTTTGAAATGAGTGTGGACCCGAAGCCTGTTTGGCCCACCACTTGATTGAAAACCAGGGCTTTGGCCCACACTCAACAATCTAATGAAAACTGTCACTTGATGACGATGGATGATGATAGTTAGTGATCTTGTGAGCCTGTCGTCAAGGTTGCGATACAGTGTTGTATGGTTGTTGGTGTGTGTTTGTGTATCATTACTTCCCTCACTGGTCCATTGATCAACCCCTACTTTGGCAATGGGCCTCCATCACTGAATGATTATTGTTGCAAGATTTATCTTTGTTCAATCATTCATTCATTCATTCATTTATACATACACTCATTCATTCATTCATACATCAATTGGGCCAAAGGACATTGGGCCATCATTAAATGCTTACCAGCTAGATATTGCAAGATACATCATTCAATCAATCAACATTGATCCAAGGCCAAAGCAATATCCAATCACAATCATTCAATCATTCATTCATTCAATCAATCATTCAAACAGATACATTGTACATATCCTACAACAACAACAACAACAACAACAACAACAACTAAGCTTTGTACAGTATTACTACTACAACAATGAGCAACAACACTCCATTCACTTCATCCAGCCCAGTATATATCAATGGCGACAATGTTAGTAGTGATGTAGTTGTTACCATGCCATCACCTTCACCAGGCTCAACATCATCCTCAGCATCATCAGTCACTCATTCACCAAGTCTAAACACAAAGAACAAAGAGAAAGAGAAAGACAAAGACAAAGACAAGGAGAAGGAGAAGGAGAAGGATAAAGACGCCAAGGACAAAGACAAGGAGAAGGATAAGGGATCAATCAATCAATCTGGAAGTGTTATAAAGTCATCACAAGGTGTACAAAGAAGTAGGAGTAGCAGTGGAGATAGTCATAAGATAACAGAGTCATCGGATAAGCTTAAGAAGTCACACTTCCATCCTATACAGTTGATCTCTGGTATCATAAGGTCATCGAATGGTGGCGATCACGAGACACCAATCGTCACCAAGACACTGGCCACACGAATGAAGAGTGAGCCTCACATCAAGCGATTCAAGCTACCCTCAACAGAGACTCTAATCAATGGTAAGTAGCAGGACTCTACTTGGACTTGGTCTTGGTCTTGGGCTAACTCACTCCTTCACTCAATCAATCCTAGACTTCTCTGCGGCGTTGTCCAAACAGATTTTGCTGCATGGTAGATTGTATCTGTTCACTAACTACTTGTGCTTCGAGTCCAACATCTTTGGCATCAAGTCGACAGAGATCATCGCGCTCAAAGACATAACATCAATCCAGAAGAAGAAGTTCCCAATAGGCGTCAGTATCCTCTTGCAGAACGGTAACAAGGTATGTGAATATGAAAGAATGAGTGAGTGAATGAGCCCTAGCCCAAGACTGCCTGACTAACGACATCCTCGAACACAGCACATCTTCGCCTCATTCATATCGAGGGATAAGGCATTCCAGGAGATACTTACTGTGTTGCGTGAAGCAACTGGACAGTCACATGAGGACGTCTCATCACATGGTGATGATGATAGTAGCAGTAGTAATGTGTTTGACTTTGTCGATGAGTCAGACATGCAACAGAAGCTTGCGAATGGAGTGGGAGGTGGACTGGTCAACGAGACAAACTTTACCAACGAACAGGAAGACAGCGGAGCAATCAATCAACAACAACAACAACATCAGCCAAAGTGTCCAGATGTTGCAGTCGTTGAGGTCATGGCCTCAACAACTCCACCACAACAACATAATAATATACATGATAAGCAAGAGATATTGCCGCCAAGTACAAGTACAAGTACACCACTGCATCCAGATGTCGTGGTTGCACCATCGCCAGCAACAGTGGTCGTATTGCCAGTGCCAGTGGTAGTGAAGGAGACCAACCCATTCGATGAGCTCTATGGCAACACTGAGCAATACCTATCCACTGCCGAGCAGACATCCATGTTGGAGAGTAATGGTAAGTTGCATTTCTCCCATCCATCCATCTATCCATGGACATGACTAACTCCCATCACTCGTTATCCAGTATCCGAGTTCAATGAACTTCTCTCGGACAGCTTCAACATTAGTGTTGTCAACTTCTTCAAGGCATTCTACTCTGATCAATGTAACTTTGCTCAACTATATCATCAGAAGCGAGGAGACACAAGTATGTATCATGGTCCGCTCACTCATTCAATCATGAGCTCATCCACTAAGCCTTCATTCCAATCAATCATCCTAGGCATTGTCGTAAAGAACTGGAGTCAACGCGAACGGTTTGGAACTGTTCGAGAGTTGGAGTATATAGCACCGGTAAACTCGCCAATCGGTCCAGACAAGACAAGGATACAAGAGACACAAAGATATCATCTCACCAGGTATGTATGATTGGTTGATTGGATGATTGACTGAGTGATACTAACAGGTCCACCACCCAACTTAGTAACAAGCTACTAGTAGAGACGGACACTATTATGATGGACATACCATATGGAGATCACTTTAGGATTGAGGCCAAGTGGGATGTCACTCAGACATCAGAGTCAACGTGTAACTTGAAGATAAGCCTGTGCGTGAGATTCATCAAGAAGACATGGTTCAAGAGCAAGATCGACTCGACGACGTCCAAAGAGTCAAAGGCATCCTTTGTCCAATGGATACAGATTGCAAAGCAGGAGATCCTCAAGACAATGTCCATGAAGACCGCCGCTGCACCTGCACAGACGATCGTCGCGCCCCTGACCAAGCCGTCGACGTCCTCGTCGTCCCTGTCCACACTAAGCATGTCAAGCCGCACCAATGACACCAGCAACAACACAAACATACCAGTACCATCGAGCTTGGGCGTAGAATCGCCCAAGCCCAATGTTACCAATGCCACAGCACGTCGACATCTCCGTTCGTCCTCAGTCGCAGTCAACAACTCGAATGCCTCACTCAATCAATATATCAACAACAACAATCCAGCCTCACCTGCCAATACCAATGCCAACAGTCCATCAACATCATCAAACGAACTTACATCGACTACACCTCCAAGAACACCAAGACAAACCGAACGCCACAACACCCACAATACATCCACATCCAACCTAGCAACCTCATTATCCTCATCCAAAGTCAACAACAACAACGACTCTACAACATTATCAACATCAACAACAACATCAACAACATCAACAACAACAGCAACATTCAAACTTGAGATATACTCAAAGTATGGACGTGTTAAGCTGTCTGGTATACCATTACTATCATTCATACTTCTTGCCATTGGGCTGTATCTCTACCTCTTGCTAAACATTGTTGGTCTAAACTCACGTATTGAGACCATCAACATGTTACTATCCAATGCATTAATAAAATGATAATATACATATATATATTTAATATATGTATAAGTATATGTATTACCTTGAGATACTTCCACTGCATTGTCACCCGTCCAGCCACGTCTGCTGCCTTTCCATGTCCTCGACCACACCAAAGTGGTGTCGAATCAAGTCAAACACATGATTTTGACCTTTCATTTGTTTCAGATCAACTCACTTTAATGACTCATCTCAATGACTCATTCATTCATTCATTGTTAGTATTATTATAACATATATAGATAATATATCTGTTCAATTCAAATTGAACTTGTTGTTGTTGTACATTAGATCTATCCATCTCTACCTACCACCACATCCACATCCACTTCCACTTCCACTTCCACCTCTTCCTCAAGCATAAGCACAAAGGACAAGGAGTTAGCATTCAATAATCAACCAAACAGATAAATAATAATATATATAGTATTTAGAAGTAGTAGTAACAAGATATGTTGACAACACTTATCGATGGACTGTTAAGTATACAGATATTATATGTACCATTGCTCTATTACATTGTTATTGCCCTGTTGATACTAGTATGTCACTCACCATTCATTCACTCATTCATTCATGATACTAACTAACTCATTCACTTGGATTGGATATTGAATAGGCAGCATGGGCAGTATATTTGTTGTTTATAGAAGAGGAGGGTCCACTCTGGCTACCTGGAGAGTGTGTATATGTGAACCCAGTCGACTCCACCGAGCACTCATTCCCATCGATCACTGATTCCAAAGCTTCACTATATCTATCACTCATCGTGCCAGCCTACAATGAACAGGATAGGTTGCCAAAGGTAAATCATTCACTCATTCATCCATTCATTCGTTCATTAACAGACACTAACTCAATCACATGATGAACTTAGATGTTGGATGAGACATTGACATACTTGCGTAACAAGTCCAGGAAGGACTTGAAGTTCTCATATGAGATCATCATTGTGGACGATGGTAGCAAGGACAAGACTGCACAGATTGTTCAGACCTATGTCCAGAAGGAGTCAGTCGACAAGATCAGATTGCTCAAGCTCAAGAAGAACAGAGGCAAGGGTGGTGCAATCAAGAGAGTATGCATTCATTCATTCATCCATCAATCAATCAATCATATTCTAACTCAACATCAATCAATCAATCAATCTATTTATAGGGTATACTATGCGCAAGAGGAAAGTACTGCCTGATGGTGGACGCGGATGGAGCAACAGACATTGCAGACTTTGATAGGATTGAGGATATGATGCTGATGGTCGAGGATAAGGGACAGGGAATCGTTTGTGGTTCACGATCACATTTGGTCGAGAGCGAAGTCGTGGCCAAGCGATCGGCCCTCAGGAACTTCTTGATGTACGGCTTCCACCTGTTTGTCCAGACACTCTGCGTCAAGGGCATCAAGGACACGCAGTGCGGATTCAAGTTGTTCTCGCGAGCCACTGTCCGCGACGTGTTTATCAACCTGCACATTGAGCGCTGGGCCTTTGACGTGGAGCTGCTATTCATTGCTCAGCAGCTCAACATCCCCATCGCCGAGGTGGCTGTCAACTGGACCGAGATCGATGGTTCCAAGCTGGATCCATTCTCCAGCTCCATCCAAATGGCCAAGGACATCCTTCGCATTAGACTGAGATACCTATTCAGGATATGGTCATTGAAGAAGGTCAAGACAACTTAAAGTTCGCGAACATCCTCTTCATCATCATCATCAGCAACAACAAACGAACACGACACGACACACATAAACAATCAAGTAGGAGTGGTGTATACCTTACCTCCAGATGGGATTCCATCATCAATCAATCACACAGGAATACGTCTGTACATGTACATGTTGGCACCTTTCATTCATTCATTTAATCAATCAATCAATCATTGTATAACTATGACATGGGGTTATAGAGTATAAGTTCCTACTCCTCGCTCACTCACTCAAACATGTACATTCCGTCGTATGTCAGGTAAGACCAAGAACAATGACACCCTAAGTTGGTTACAAACCGTGTCCTTTCGTTTGTTGTGACTCGGTTTTGATTGAATCTCACCTGACAGAAAAAGTGATCAGATTTGAAAAGCTATCACTTCCCAAAAAGGAAGTGTGGTCAAAGGCCCAAGTATCCATTTCCGCTACGACCTCAAAGGTATAAATAATCAAACTGGATACATTGTCAATACCATCCAATTATCTCTCTCTCCCCTCATACATACAAACAAACAAATACATACAATGAAGTCATTCCAAATTATTGCCGCCTTGATGCTGGTCACCGTGACCTTGGCCTACGCCAGAAACGCCTACTTTGTCTTCTCTGATAACACTGACGAGTTCACCATCAAGCTTACCAACCCAGCTTTGATCCAACATGCCCGTGACCTGATTGCCAACAGAACCCAGGACGGACGTGGAATCATGGGCAAAATCATCCCCCGTGACACCTGGTACAACTGGGAGTGGTCATTCTACCTCGACCCATCCACCATCTCCTTCTTTGACATGGCTACCGAGGTCTGCGACGCCTCCATCTCCTACGTCGAGGAGCACCTTAACGAAGTTGGTGGCGCTCTCCTTCCAGGTCGCACCTGGTGCCCATGGGCTTCCCACCTTGTGCGTGAGATCTAAAGATCCTCACTCATCATATCTGAATCAATAAATATATATATATATTTATTAATCTTTATTATTCTTTTGAAAAATAAAATATTCCAAAGCTTGTGATTGATCTTAGAAATACCCAGGTCCCAATCCAAATTTTTTGATCAATCTTTCTACAATGTATATTACAGTCTCCTTCTAATAATATTTCATTGCAATTGGGAAATTTGTTAATTGTTTTTTTACATATATTTCGAGCAACTTGTATATTAATTTGTCATCTTTGTCCAATACCCCTAAGATTGATATATACTCTATATAGTTTACTTGAAATATTTGGAATGGTTTCATAATAATTAAGTTGGTTATTATAAATTGATCTCAATTCAAGTGATTCAAAGTTGTTCAATTGTCCATTTTCTAGATGTGAAGTATCAAACTGAGTGAATGTTCCAAGGACAACCAACTCTTTTAAAGAAGATGGTAGTCTAAATATTCTATTAATATTATTATTATTAATATTATCTTCTTGATCCATAAGTTTATAAACTATTGATAATAATATCATTTTCTCAATTGAAGAAGGAGGAGATCCATATAAATAAAGGTATTCATCTAATATTTCCCAATGGATCAAATTGTCTGGAAGTTTTCTAAAACGGAAAACTATATATTCATAATTAAACTGGTCATTCCTCAAACATAGGTGCTTCAAATTAATCGGCCAAATATTTTCTTTATAATCATTTGAAATCCTATCAATAGTAATAGAAGTTATTGTATCCATATCTTTAAGTGATATTTGATTAATCGAATCGAACACTTTTCAAGAAAATTGTTGATAAAGTGTTGGGCAAGGCTGGGAGATCCAAAGTATAATAAATTGAATTACTTTGTTTGATGAATCTACCTGCCTTGTATTCCAAGCAAGTCAATCTTGAAGGGAGAATATTGGGACTTGAAACTTTTACTATATTTAGATAAAGTATTTCCAGGTTTGGGAATAAATGATCAGATGACTGTTTGGAATCAACTGTGGTTGATAGTTCTTTTAGTGACCTTGGAAAATTCCTTCAATGAATTTAATATCATATGGATAATAAAGTTTCAACTTTGTCAATCCTTCAGGAAGTAATCCTGTAGTCCAGGTCATACATCTAGGAATTATTAAAATTTAATTTAAACAAATATTATTAATAACTAAAGGTGGTAGTGTATCCATTTATTTGTTTATATACATGAATGATCGATTATTGGGTTGACAATGTAATAATGTAATGAAGGTCTTGGAACTTGTTTAAAGGTTGGTCCAGCATCCAGGACCAAAGCTCAAATAAAAATAAAAAATTAAAATAATTAAAATAATAAAAAAAACAAAGAGATAATAATGATGACTGCAAATGGAGAGATGGTCGTTGCTAATGGACAACAGCAATGACACAAAGACTCGAAATGGGTGTTTAGTTTCTGCCAACCTTCTTCTCGATGGACTTCTTGATGAGGTTGATTCTGGCGCGACGCATGCGGAGGGTACGCTTGGCCTTCTTGGCGAACTTGGGGTCGGCGGCCTTCTTCTCTCCCTTCTTGGCGGGGGTTGGGTCCTTGCGGATGGCAGCGTGACACTTGGTGTAGATGGCCTCGAGATCCTTTGGAGCAATGTTGGCCTTGATGTACTGGCTGTAGTGCTTCTTGTAGTCCTCCTCAGACTCAGTCTGGAGAAGCTTCATGTGCTCAGCGACGTGGTTGCCGAAGATGTACTTGCGGAGGACATCAGCGTTCAACTTCTTGGTCTCGGCGTTGTATCCGACGAAACGGGTCTTCTTGTGTGGCACGTAGAGACCACCATCGCAGGCACCCTTCATGACGGCGAACACCTTGTTACCGGTGGAGGTACGGGTGAGACCGACATCGAGGAAGGCCTTGAATGGACGTGGCTTCTCGTCGACTGGCTTGACGAGGAAGTAGTCTCCGGTGACCTTCTCTGAACCCTTGTACAGGTCGTTGAGCTTGAGCTGGGTCAACAGACGACGGGCCAGCAACAGACCGGTGGCGTAGGCGGCGGCGTAGTTGGTCAGACCAACGGTGACACCGTAGCGGGGCAACTCGGACGAGTAGGCAGAGGCCAAGACGAAGTCACCGACGATCTTGGAGTAGACGATCTGGGCGGTGATCTTTCTGTTGGAGACACGGGCAACAAGTCTGTACTTGGGGGAGTTGTACTTGTTCTTGTCCTGGGTGATGAGACGGTGTCTCTGCTGGTAATCGGTCTTACCCTCGCGTCTTCTCCTGAAGTGGACCTGGTACCTCTTGAAGTAGGCCTTTGACTTTACGACTTTGATGAAACCCTATAAGATTGTGATGTTGGATGATGGTGTTGTTTGATTGACGAATAAGCATTCGAGTTTGGTTTGGATACGTTTGGGTAAGCATTGAGTAAGGTTGACGATTATACCTGCCTTTGTTAACTAAACTAAACGTTTTGGGGTATCCCCATCATGCATGCACCATTCATTCATTGTAATCTCTAGCATCACACCTCTAACTCTGGCTGCTGATGATGTGATCAAACTTGTGACTGACGACGACGACGACCTTCTCTCTCTCACTATCTCGAGATGGGGAATTGTACCATTGGTAGTAGTAGTAGTAAATTTGGGGTGAAGGATAGAAGCGCTAATAGGATTGGGATTGGATTGGGAAATGTGGTATGCTTGTGAACTGAATCATACCATTATGCAGTCTGTATGTGATGATCGATGACTCTGTCTGATTCCTAAACTGAATGAGATTGATTCATTCAAAGAGGTCGTGGACTGCACATCCTCGCTCACTCCATCCCACTCACTCGTTTTCAAAATTATAACCAATAATAAAACAAAACAAAACTTGAACAACATCTAATTTTGTCGAACTTCTGGTTCAATTCCAATGAATAAATGAATTGGTCAATGATAACCTAGGAATAGTCGTGGATGTCACCCATAGATATATCATCACATGATGATGATGAAATCTTAGGTGATAGTCGAAGGTACCTGTCCAGGGACAAAGACATGGGTTAGCTCAAATGTGGACATAGTGATAAAGTTGCAATGTTTATTGAGTAAATAGTACCATCACTCCTTGTTGACATAAGATATTGACAGGTTGGGAATGATTGTTTGATTAAGTGAGTGTGTGTGTGTTGATTGGATTCTGATTTGTGATTGGTGAGTGTCAAGTTTTGTGGTGTGACCTTTCCAATCAAATTAATGATTAGGATCTGTGTGTGACTCTTGGAACAAATGATCAAGTGCTTGTGTTGTGCCTCCACAACCTTTAAAGTCCACCCATTTGCAATCAATCGTCATAGTTATACATACATCAATCAAACATATAATAATAGACAGTTGTAATAATATAATCAAAAATGTCAACTACACCATCTACATCAACATCTAAGCCTGCTGCTGCTGCGACACCAGCACCAGCAACAACCACATCTACATCTACATCATCAACAACATCAACAACAGGTCATAGTTCGAAACCACCCTCAATCCCAATCCCAACATCAACACCAACACCAACTCCAGCACCAGCCACACCATCAACACCAACCAGTGTACATAGGGAGAAGGAGAAGAAGACGATAGACAATCAACCAGGTATCATATTCAGAGCGCACAACATCCGTATCGAGAACACATCCAACAAGCCATTGGTCGCCATCGTCAAGATGGACCAGAATGCACACTACATTGAGGATGTTGGCGTGGGCCTCAATATCGGCCTCCCTGGGGGCGGCGTCTCGACCAACGTCAAGAAGGGCACAAAGAGCACCGGACCCATCCAGCGTCTGGCGCTGCCCGAGGGCAAGTCGCACGACGTTGACATTGACGGCAAGAAGGCCTACGTGTCCGTGTTCCGATGGGACACTGACAACTATGTCGGTGTGATCGAGGATCGTCTGGTCAAGAAGGGCAAGGTGCTGACAATCAAGCAGGAGCATGTGGACATCTCATTTAATCCAAACTTCAGACCGGCCAGATATAGCGAGTCGTTCAACAAGGTGGACACTGTCACACCTCCAATGTCGCCTGTCGTCCCATCTGTCCATGTACATAGTAGCAGTGGCGGCAGCAGTGGACACACAACAACCTCACCATAATAACTTGGGATTAGTTCCAGCAGGAGAAAGGAAGAAGAAGTCTTCATTCATGCAACAACATACACACAACATTGTTAATAATAAACCATAAACTAATATTATAAGCGACACATATTATCGTTACGGTCACGTGATCAGATTATCTGATCAGCTGATGGGTCACGTGACCAGATTATCTGATCGGCTGATAGGTCACATGACATTAAAGGTTAAAATTGGTGAGGTCCTCACTGGACTCATTGGCAATATGAATGACCAAGATAAACAAGAATGGTAAATAATATCCGGATCGAATAAATGAATGAATGAATGGATGTGGTCGTGCTGTTCAAGGCAGTTACCCTTCATTTGAAATTTACTAATGCATCACGATTAGATATAGAGATAGAGGTAGGATGGTCAGTTGCAACTTGGTGCGCACTGACTTACATCAGATAGCGTGGCTGTTGTAAATGATTACATATGACTACCATTGTTACCTTTATTCAAACAATGATGCTAGATAGATAGATAGATAAGCGATCGAAACGATACGTTGTTACATGTATAGATACTCTGTAAACAATCACATTTGGACGATCGTACAGTTTGTTGGTGTTTGGAGAGTGTAGTAGTTCTCTCTCCTCTCTCTCTCACCAACGATGGCACATGCAATGATTAAAGATGTCTAAGAACAGATTCTGATCAACATTGACGAGAATCAGCGCTACGTCTATCTATTTGATAGGCCTCGTATGAGCATGACTTGACCATCATCAGTGAGGAGTAGAGTTGGAGGAGGAAACACAGACAATCACCATCCATCTTTGTCATTACATCTTACACGCCTGTTCATCTTGTTGTAAGATGATGCCAAAGATGGATGTTGGCATGACTGATGATTATAACAACAAGCAAGTAAACTACAGGAGATAGATAAAGAAAGAAGATAATGATTGATTGATCGATAATCAAAGAACGTAAAGATGTCTTTATTTCAAACTAAAGGGACGTTTAGGCTGATTTAGTCAACTTGCTCCATCTGTGATTGCTCGTTGGAGCTCTCAAGGGGTGGAACATCATCGGAGGTGGTGGTAGAGGTGGTGTCGTCGGCGGTGGCATCGTCGGAGATTTGGAGACCGAGCTTGATCATGCGGTGGATACGGGTGGCGAATGAGTTTGGCTCGTCGAGGGCGAAACCAGAGGAAAGGAGGGCAGTCTCGAACATGAGGACAACAAAGTCCTTGAAGTTCTTTGCCTTGTCGTTGGCACGCTTGCGGAGCTCGACAATGATGGGGTGGTCTGGGTTGATCTCGAGGGTCTTCTTGGAGGTCATGTAGGTGGACATTGAGTTGTCACGGAGAGCTTGGGCCTTCATGATACGCTCCATGTTGGAGGACCAGCCAAACTCAGAGGTGACGAGCACGCATGGCGATGTGACGATACGGTTGGAGAGGACGACCTTCTCGACCTTGTCTCCGAGGACCTCCTTGATCTGCTTGCAGAGGTTCTCGTTCTCCTTCTTGTCGTCCTCGGCCTTCTTCTTCTCCTCCTCAGTCTCCTCAAGCTTCAGTCCCTCCTTGGTGATGGAGACCAGCTTCTTTCCGTCGTACTCCTTGAGCTGCTGGACGGCGTACTCGTCGATTGGGTCAATCATGTAGATGACCTCAAGACCGCGCTTCTTGAGGGTCTCAATGAATGGTGAGGTCTCGACGGTCTTCTTGGACTCTCCGGTGATGTAGTAGATGTCCTTCTGGTTCTCCTTCATGCGGGCAACGTACTCCTTCAGGGTGGAGAGCTCGTCACCGCTCTTGGAGGTCTGGTAGCGGAGGAGATCGGCCAACTTCTCACGGTTCTGGGTGTCCTCGTGGATACCAAGCTTCAGGTTCTTGGCAAAGGACTCGTAGAACTTCTTGTAGTCCTCCTTGTTCTCGGCGATCTCGTTGAAGAGCTCGAGGCACTTCTTGACGAGGTTCTTGCGGATGACCTTCAAGATCTTGTTCTGCTGGAGGGTCTCACGAGAGATGTTGAGTGGGAGATCCTCAGAGTCGACGATACCGCGGACAAAGTTGAGGTACTCTGGGATGAGGTCCTGGCAGTTGTCCATGATGAACACTCTCTTGACGTAGAGCTTGATGTTGTTGTGCTTCTTCTTGGACTCGAACATGTCGAATGGGGCCTTCTTTGGCACAAAGAGGATGGCCTTGAACTCGAGCTGTCCCTCGACAGAGAAGTGCTTCTGGGCCAGTGGCTCCTCCCAATCGTTGGAGATGGACTTGTAGAAGGCGGTGTACTCCTCCTTGGTGACGTCGGATGGGTTCTTGGTCCAGATTGGCTTGGTCTTGTTGAGGATCTCGTACTCAGACTTGGTCTCCTTGACCTTCTTCTTCTTGTCTCCCTCCTCCTCGTCGATCTCCTCAATCTTGGCGTCGGATGAGTCCTCGGCGGTCTTCTCCTTCTCCTCCTCGACCTCCTTCTCGACCTCCTTGGTGACGTAGAGGGAGATTGGGTACTGGATGAACTCAGAGTGCTTCTTGACCAAGTTCTTGATCTTTTGCTCGTCAAGGTAGTCGAGCTGGTCGTCCTTCATGTGGAGGACAATCTTGGTGCCGCGGCCCAATTGCTCACCTTGGTCGATGGCAACGGTGAACTCACCACCGGCGGAGGACTCCCAGATGTATTGCTCGTCGTCGTTGCTCTTGGAGTGCACGACCACGGTGTTGGCAACGAGGTAGGCAGAGTAGAAACCGACACCAAACTGACCAATCATGCTGATGTCAGCGGCGCCAGACTGCAGCTGCTCGACAAAGTTCTTGGTGCCAGAGCGGGCAATGGTACCCAAGTTCTTGATCATTTCTGACTTGGTCATACCGATACCGGTATCGATCAAGGTCAGAGTCTTGGCCTCCTTGTTGGGGATGATTCTGATCTCCAACTCCTTCTTGCTGTCCAACACGGTTGGGTCAGTGAGCGATTGATAACGAATCTTGTCCAGCGCATCAGATGCGTTGGAGATCAGCTCTCTCAAGAACACCTCCTTGTTCGAGTAGAAGGTGTTAATGATGAGTGACATCAGCTGATTAATCTCAGCTTGGAATGTGAATCTCTCTGGCTCAGACATTTTCTATATTATTATTATTATTATATTTGAGTTTGATTGTTTGATTGATTGATTGAATGAATAAATTTAAATGTTAGTTTATCTGATGTGCAATATTTGTTTGTTTGATTGAATTAATATATAATTAATAATAATAATACATACCTTTTGATATAAATATATGTATTGTTATGTACGTGTATGAATAAGTATTGTGAATAATGAATGAAGGATGAAGTTGAGTTGTTGGTGGGCCTGCAGGGTAGAGTTAATATCATTTCCTGTTCACACTCACCCGAGTCCAAAGATCGTCAGTTCTTAATTCATAAAAAATAATATAAAATTAATGTTTATGAAATTTCAATCAAATTCTCTATCAATTACCAATGAAATTTCATCCAAATACACAACCAATCAAGTAATGACTTCCAACTCATTCATTGATGCCACTTTGGTTCGCCAAGTTAGACATTCATTCATTCAAGACTTGAACCATTGAGTCACATGTCAATGTATATTACAACAATATGGATATGAATATAATACTGGATTAATTGATTGACCATTCAACATCAATCAATCAATCATTCAATCATCAGACAAATGGAACAATACCCGATTCCCTGATGATGAGGGAAAATGATGAACAACTTTTGTTTGTCAGTTCATCATAGAACATCAATCGATCAATCAATCATAATACCAATACATCAACATCAACAAATATCAATGACAACGACAATGACAATGAATATGATGATTGTTATGTTGGTGGCATCGACTTGCCTCTTGTCAAGTTCACTGCCTTTAGCTCACGCCTTTGATTACTTAGCTTGTTATGATAGTCCTGTCACTTGCAAACCAATTGGTGCGCCATGTTCCGAGTAAGTGGTATACAATACTACCTTTAACATATTGGAAGATCCATCTCTAACAACCAACAACAATCACAATCAAACAAATAGTTTTGATGACTTATCGAGAGAACGTTGCACTATTGGAGCATATTGTAACAATGCTGCTAAAGTATGTGCTCCCAAAGTAGTGTTGGCCAAAGGCGAGAGATGTAGCTCTTCAACTCAGTATGCTTGTGAATATGGTCAGGATTGTGTGGATGACAAAGGAGTGTACTCAAGCTCAAGTGCCAACTTGACATGTCAGTATGGCCGCTACGCCACACTTGGTCAGCGATGTGTATCAGATTACTCTTGCGCCTCCATCTTCATGGAGTGTGTGGCAGGCATCTGCCACAAGAAGCCAGACGAACAGTGCCAGAGGGACAATATCAATGGTGCGCAGGCTCGGGCACTCCAACTGCCCAGTGCGCTCCAAGACGCGGCATCAACGAATCATGTGAGGATCACTTGTATCAAGACCAATGCCAGATTGGACTGGTATGCACTTACGTCGACAGCACCATGACCAACAGAACATGTGTCCCACTGTCTTCCAAGCCTGAGGGTTCCGCCTGTGTAGAGCCTGAGCTCGATCTAACGCTCAACGGAAGAATCCCGCACATTGAATGCGATATGTCCAAGGGGCTCAAATGCATCAAAGGCACCTGCCAGAAGTCATTGCCACTGCCCAGTGGCCCAGCCGACTGCAGCACCGCCTTATCGTGCGATTATCAACGATGCCAGTGCCCAACTGTCAACTCCACGATAGGCTACTGTGATTACATTTACAACTACGACTTGGCCTGTGCCAACAGTATCCAGGACCTGGTCAAGTGTGCCCTCAAGTACAAGTGTCAGACTACGGCACAATACTACTCGCCCATGTCTTGTCTCTATCGACACTGTTCAGACGTCATCTGCAACAACAAGTGCTCGACATCACGTATCAAGATCAGCACATGTGGACCATCAGAGGAGGTCCTCTATCCAACTTGTAACCTACTCATAGCACCCACTGACGACGATCTTCCTTCTGTCGGTGCCATCCAAATTCCATCATCACTGATTGTCTTGTTCATGTCGACCATCATCAGCTCAATCCTATTATTATAAACGTCCGTTCAGCCCAATGTCCAATCAATCAATCTAAATATGGCTGGTGAAGAGTCTATCATCTCAATGATAAATCGATTCCCTCATTTCGTCCAACTTCCAAATTGATCAAGTTGACATACATACAATCATATCATTTTCTACATTTAAATGCCTCGACCCATTTGGCATCTCCAACCAAAACAGTCTCAACTTGACATGCTAGTACAGAGGTTATGCAACTCAAGGTGAAGCATGTGAGACCCCCGCCTCATGCTCGTCCAGTTCACTGGTATGCCAGGCCGGTATATGCCAGTTGCCGCCAACCAACAAGTGCGAATTGGACGACGACTGCCCCATTGGCCAATGGTGTAAAGATGACCTCACTCCAACTGCCGCCTGTGTTCCAATGGTTGGACTCAATGGTGCATGTGAAGGATATACTTTCCATCTTCAATGCCAACTTGGACTGGTCTGCTCCTTTGTCGACGGTACCAGAACTAACCAGACATGTATCCCTATAGCCTCCAAGGGCGAGGGCGAGCAATGCTACGACACCGATACGTTCGACCTTGATGGAGTTATCCCACAATATGAGTGTGATCTCTCCAAAGGTCTGGTGTGCATAAATAGCACCTGCCAGAAGCCATTGCCTTTGTTCCCGGGCGTCGTCAACTGCACCAAAGACACCGTTGACAATCCAATCTGCCCAATTAGTACACAGCATTGCAACTGTCCAACAATCGGTTCCACTATGGGAAGTTGTGCTTACGGCAACAACTACAACTCTGAGTGTGCCAACTCTATCAAGGACTTGGTGAGCTGTGTGTTGAAGAATAAGTGTCAGTTGGTATGGATAAGCAAATATTCACCAAACACATGTTTCTACAAACATTGTGGAAGCATAGCCTGTAACAACAAATGTTCACCTCAACCAACCAAGAACAGCAGATGTGGATCACAAGGAATCTATTCAGCATGCAGTGCCTACTCCTCTGGAAACACCCTCACCATCCAATCAATCACCACTTTTGTCCTGATCTCAATGATCATGGCAATTGTTATTTAAATAAACATCATTCATTAATATTTAAATATACATCTATCAATCAATCATGCCGATATCTACCTATTCGATGAAACCCATTATTGATTGATAGATGTATATTTAAATATTAATGAATGATATCAGCATGATTGATTGATAGATGTATATATCGCATGGGTCACATCCATCATTCAATCAATCAATCATGCCGATATCCACCTATTCGATGAAACCCATTTTTAAAATTCATAGCTTATTGACACCTATCATTTCCAAATGAGGCAAAATGAGGGATGTCCAGACGAGACCTGTGATCATAGATAAACACTGGTGTAATCTTTGTCATCAATATCAATCAATTCAATATTTGAAGTACAACAAAGATGAATATTTATTATTTAGTTATTATTATAGTGTTGGCATCTGCCTTCCAAATATCCAATGCTCAATCACCCTATGTTGGTTGTTCGGAGAATCCAATAATATGTCTTGGAAAAGGTGCAAAGTGCGATGTGTAAGTATTGATCAATTCTGGAATCATTCCACACTCATACTCACTCTCCCCAACCCTATTATTCAATCAATCAATCAATCAATGAAACAATAGTAATGATGATGATTATGTTCAATGTTCTCAAGGGTTGATGTGCAAAAGTGGAGTCTGTGTAGACATGTTGAACCTTGGAGACAAGTGCAATGCTACAACAGCTTATACCTGCGGAGTTGGAATGAGCTGCCTCGATCCATTTGGCATCTACAACAAGAACAGTTTCAACTTGACATGCCAATACAAAGGTTATGCAACACTAGGTCAAGCTTGTGAGACCACTGCCTCTTGCTCGACCAAGGCTTTGGTATGCCAAGCTGGTACTTGTCAGTTGCCACCATCCACCAAGTGTACATTCGATGACGACTGTTCCATTGACGAATGGTGTCAAGATAACTTCCAATCAACTGCCGCCTGTGTCCCAAGAGTCGGTGTCAATGGTGCATGCCAGCCCTACAAGGACAATAATCAATGCCAACTGGGACTAGTATGCTCTTATGTCGATGCCACCAGAACCAACAGGACATGTATCCCTATAGCCTCCAAGGGTGAGGGCCAACAATGTTGGGACACTTACAGTATGGACTTTGATGGAGTTATCCCAGATTATGAATGTGATCTCTCCAAGGGTCTGGTATGTATCAATGATACATGCCAGAAACCAATTGCATTCGAACGGGTTAATGTCAACTGTTCCGGCTCTGATGTTTGCCCTACTGGATCCCTACAGTGCATCTGTCAAACAACCAACTCAACTGAGGGAACATGTGCATACACCAACAATTACAACTCTGGATGTGGAAATACTATCAAGGACTTGGTGAGCTGTCTTGTGAAGAACAAATGTCAGACCGTCACAGGAAACTATGATTTCACCAAACACATGTTTCTACAAACATTGTGGGGGCATTGTCTGTAAACAACAACTGTATGCGTCAACCAACCAGGGGTAGCACTTGTGGATCGAAGGGTATCTATCCAGCATGTAGTGCATACTCCTCGGGAACCACCCTCACCACCCAATCATTGGTATCATTATTCATCTTCTCTATTATCATGGTAATTCTGATTTAATAATAATAAATTGATCAATATCCAATTGATATCTTTATTCTTTTGTATGATTCTGAACCTCTATATAGGATATCATTTATACATGGTAGTACCATTAAAGGAGTACATAATAATCTGATCTCTCCAGAATGATCAGGATATGTAATTATAATCAAACACATAATGTTATATAATAATATTATATATCTTGAAAATTGCAATGATAATCTCCAACCTCTAAATATTATCAAAGGTATGGCTGTTGTTGATCTAGATCCAGTCTCCAAATGGGATTGATCCAGTTTGAATTGATAACATCTGATCATTAGGAATAAAAATATTGAGAAATAAACCAATGGAAGGAATCCAAGAGTACTGATTAATATTCTATATTTAGTTGTCAATATGTTATAGCAAACAGTGAGGAATAGTACCATGTTGAGCCATAAACTCTTGGAATTCTTTTTGATCATTGATCTCTCTGTTGTAGTTGTGTTGTTGTTCGTTTCAAGATATTGATGTATCCAAATTGATAATTGTATCATCACAAAGTTGAATAGGAACATTGGTGAAATATAGGTATGACATCTGATTGCATCAACATAAGAGTTGTACACTTTGTACGCTATATCATGGAACATTGTATCAATATCCCAGAGGAATTGAATGAACATTGATAAATAGATTAATCTTTGAATGTTTGATATTTCCAAAGACATCATGAATCCATATCCATGTCCATGACCAAGTCTAATCTTGAAACATTTGATTATAAAATAATGAATAACGAATATAATGTATAGCATGTGATATGAATGCTCGATCGTATACATGAATTTTGATCTGTTATTCTGGAATAAAAGGTATGTTGCCAGGGGAGGATATTCAATCAAGAATGTCATGGTGATCTTGAATGTATTGATTAAATGTGTAACTAAATATACCAAATTAATAAAAATAATTATAATATTAATTATCCAAGATATCCTTGGTCGCACCCATTCAGTAAATGTTTGAATTTCTAATATTTGAGCTTGAATTTGGGTTTGAAATTGAGATAAAGTTTGAGTTTGGATTGGAGTTGGTGGTTTTTTGATGATATAAAGTAGTCTGGAATGGAGATATAGTGAGATAATACGTGGATATATTTGATACCAGATGTGATTGGCAATGAGTGGATTGAATAATTGATAATAATTGTTTAATTCATCATGACCATTAATGTTAAAGAACAGTTGTGAGTCGAATGGTGGATTAAAGAATACAAATGTTGAACATATAAAGAATGAATATTTTATACTTGTATCAAATGATTGATTCCATTTTGATGTTGATGTTGATAATGATGATAATGATAGGATATTATATTCAATAAATGATTTAAATAATAATATTATGATTACCAAGACCATTAAGATGGAAATAAAAATTAATATAATAGCATTTTGGTCAATTGTTTTGTTGTTGTTGTAGTATAACTCTTGGATTGATTGAAATATAGTTGAGTTGAATAGATTGATAGTTATACCTAATATTATTATTGATATTGATACATATAAATATGTGATCACTCCTGTGATCATAATATTTAACTTGTCTCTCAATCTCATAGTTAATTGATTGATTGATTAATGTAATTATGTATTTGTATTAAATGTTATGATTTTGGTATTGATCATATGATCTTCATCATCTTAAGTGTTAGATTGTTTGAACAGGGAAGCTCGTGACTCACCATGGTGACTTGATCAAATTGAAAAATGGGATATCCCAAACAAATATTATTATATTTTATTTTATTTATTTAATTATGGTGAAGAGTGAGATCCTTCATCTTTCTGTGCATCTTGTCCAGCTCCATCTTCTTGTTCTTCTCTCTTCTTCTCCAGATCAATGCTGCGGCAAGGACGGCAGCCACCATTGCAACGACTCCAATGACAATTCCTGCTATGGCTATGTTGGACAATCCCTTGCTGCCATGTGGCGAGCATGTCTTGGTCGAGGTATCGTCGTCACCCTCATCGATTAACACATTAAAGTTGGGATCGAGTGTGACTGATCTCTCAAAGTATGGTACATTGATACCGATCATCGTGCTTGAGTTGTGTCCGTCAACAGTCTGCAACGAGTCATCCAAGAGTACGTTGGATATTGTGTAGACTCGACGATCCACCATTGCCACCTGCAGGAAGTGGGCGTACACAATGATCTTGTTGACACGCAACCTCATCCAGTAGATGCTCGAGTTGCCATTGACATAGCCTAGGTCTTTGGACGAACAACCGTCTATCTTGGAAGTGCTGATCGATGCGCCCATGACCACCTGTAGTGTGTTCAGCCTGCTCTTGAAGGGGTAGTGATCAATGTCGATTGTGTACTTGAGTGTAGATGCATCGATCGACATGTTGTCACCAGCAAACTGTATCATCTCTGTTGAGTTGTACCATTTCAATGTCACTTGTATCATTGATGATGTGTTGCCGGCTTGATGTTGGTAAACATGTGTCTTGTCAAACTCATTAGTCAATGTCCAGTTTGCCAAGTCAAACACATCCACCTGGACTCCATTCTGATCCATCTCACGAAGTTTGAGTACATTGACATCAGCCTTAATGTCCTCAAACACATAATTTGAAGTTGGCTTGTCATCATCCAATTCTGGGATCGTTGCTACCACACCTAGATTGATTGATTGATTGATTGATGGTGTGAGTGAGTGGGAAGACCTGGAAATGATCATATTGTATATGTACATACTTTGAGAGCAATCTTCACTGTAGTGTCCAGACTGACAGACACATCCTTTGGTTGGGGAGCATGATCCAAAGCCGGAGCATGGTGGCGAGCCTGGACAGGTGATCGTGGGGGTGGGTGGTGGAGAGGGGAGGTAGGGGATGGTGATGTTGTTGGATATATATGGACCGTTGATCACTTGTATAACAAGGTTGGTAGGATTTGGCATAGGAGCTATATCAAACACCATCATGACGGAAGAGTGTTTGGTCTTGTTCATGACCACACCTGCACTTCCATTTCCATGTCCACCGATTATTACACCAGATGTATTCAAAGATCCAACACCAAAGTTGTAGCCATATACTGTGACGGTCGTTGGAGTTGATTCATAGCTCTCAATGATTGGTACTGTATGGTTGAAAACAATGTAGAACCTGCTTCTGAGATTGAGACTGAGCAACTCTTCAGCAGTGTATCCAACTGTGAGTTGTGATTGACCAAATAGGCCATAGATTGAGATGAGTGCCATGGCGGCGGATGCTCCAAATCCATATGGTAGGACTCCAGTTGCCTTGAAGAAGTATCTACCTGTACCAGAATCATGACTGATCAATGTAGTGCTAAGTGGGAATATCTCCTCAAATGAAGAAGTGATATATACCACTGGCCAATCATGATCATTGGACAATCCATTTGGTTCCAATACCTCGAACAAAACCTCAATATCCCTGGCCAGAGATCCAACGTCCACATATTCCCTCGAGTACTTGAGGTTGGTGATCTTGGGTGGTTCAGTGATGGGATTGGCTATGTGGATGGAGTGTGAGTATGGATGATCGTGTCATAGTTTGATTGAAAAACTGAATGAAACATACTCGGTGTGATCACCTGGAGGTGGAGCTTGGAAATGTTGTATACAGGGGATAGTGGATCGATGGTGAGRAAGTCTCTCGGCCGRAAGAGGTACGTGCAATGTTCATACTGTTGTCTCTTAGTATCACATCACCAAATGAGAAGGTCTGGTTCCTGAACTGTCCAGTGACATTGAACTGTATCAAGTACTTGTTGGATGTGGGGTTGGCTACAATATCATACTTGCGTATTAATCCATCCATGTTACTAATCACATTGATTGTACCACTGTGGAAACCATTTGGTTGGTCCTCAATCGTAATCTCCCATCCAACCTTGATGACCTGGTCCAGTGATGTGAGCACGACAGGGTTGGGTCCAACGACCTTTACATCTGTGATCAAAGGTGGCATCTCATCACCATCTTTGATTGGGTGTTTGGATTATGTTAGAGTGAGCAATGATGTGGAAGGCTGAACCTGGACTTACAAGTTGAGGTGATGTTGACGTATGAGGTCATGGGGAACTTGAGTTGGAGCAGAGCACAGTCCAATGACTTCATACCGGTAGGCACGAATGAGTTGTCCCAATGAAGTGGCTTGATTGTCTCAAAGTCATCAAGACCAAAGAATACAAAGTATTGAAGTTGTTTGGTGTAGGTCCTTGCAGGTACATTGAACTCCACCACGAACATTTGAATCAAGTAGTCAAAGTATCCATACGCCAAATAGTCTGGGTTCTCCTCTGGATGACCATATACCAAACCAACTCTCCAATCCAAGTTGTTCCTAGTCGTATTGAAATACAACTTATTGCTCATTCTTGATGAACTTACATTCATCACATAAGTCTCAAAGTAGAACATGGTAATATCATCCACATTATAGTCAACTAAAATGATTGATTGATTCATTGATTGATTGAGTTAGTGAGTGAGTGCGAGAGTGATGGGAATGGTTCCATACATACCATTGGCACGGATGTGACCAAGGGGAACAGTGTCAAAGTCGTGACCTTTGGAGTGGATGTAGAGACTCTGCTCGGCATTGTCAATGAGTAGTATTGAGTATACTGGTGATTGGCTGATGGGATAGAGTACTTCATCAATTGTAATAATCTTTTGATATACACCATCCAAGTCATTGAAGCCAGATGCTTGATCACTTTGATCAATTCTAACTGATTGACCATTGTCAAAGTGGATAACCATCTGTCTGAATCCACTTGCATCTTCATATATGGATGCTGTCACTAAGTACTTGTTACCATGGAAATGTTCCACAATGATGGATTGGGTGAGCGATGGTGGAGTGGTGTCATTCATCATAGATGAGGGCTGGATTTGGAATTCCTTGATCTCGGTCTGTGAGGAGAGGAAGTAATGGGAGTTGGAGGTTGTCTTGCCATTTTTACTGAAGAGGAATGATGCCGAGATCTCAACGAATGCAGACGCGTTGTATCCATTCAAGCCAAAGGGATACTCCCAAAATAGACTTGGGGACATCCATTGCCACTCTGGATTAGCTCCAACAAATGAGTATCGGGATGGATATTCTTTGAATATGGTGGTGATCCTGATTGGGTCCCAATCCCTGGCTGCATCCAACACAGGAAATCTATCCACTTTAATTATCTCACTGTAACTATTGGCTGTTGGTTTGTTTTGGTTTGGTTTGGATGAAGTGGGATGTTAATATTGTTATCGATTGAGTTGGAATGATTCCATTAATGAGTGGATATGACTTACTAAAATCCGATAAGATATCCATAACATTGATGAGTGTATCCTTGGTGGCTTGGTATAATATGATACCAGCATCGTTGGTGATTGATGATAGGACTAGGGTCTGTGTGTCTGTTGTTGGTGAGCCGAGAACAGGACGTACATTGTCAAGTGGTCCCAAGTATACATCGTTGTTGAATGATGGCACTGAGAAGAAGTCGCCCTCTGATGATGAGTTGATCACAGCAGCAAGATGTCCATATTTAAATGCCTTGTTCTGATTGAGTACATAATATGGATAGACTTTGATGTCGCCATTTGTTGTATTGGCCGTACCCTTGGTGAACAATGGTGGGTAGGACAATGTTATATTGCGGTCATTGGCATAGTCCCTAATAACAATATCCACTGTACCATTGTAGAACTCATCTGGAGCGACACGCAATAGTAGCATGCTCTGATTGTTTGGTAGTGGACGATAGTAATCAACTTGACAACTCAACTTATTGTAGGCGAAGCATTCGAATGAGTTGTACATCTCTTCCAACGACTCGTTCAATACCAAGTATCCTCTGAATGCATCGACCAATGCTTCCTGATTGTTCACCTGCTTCAAATAAGACTGAGGCATTGGCAACACTCTTGTCCTTGTCAAAGTAGGTGTCAACTTTGTGATGTTCAATGAGGGCAACTCTGTTTGATTGATTGATCGTGTGTGAGTGAGTGGGGGTTGAAATGTTAATTTAAGGGACGGAATGATTCCAGATAACCCTCTATCGAGATCAACATATAACATACGTTGACAAACGAATTGTAGTTTCCATGTTATTTGGGTCTTGTTGGTGTAGAGTGTATGTGATTGGGCTTGGCTGGAGCCGAGAGGTATCTGGACTTGTTCCAACACAACTAGTTGGTAGGTGCTGTCTAGAATGGTCGCTCTAGTTGGTTCTTTCTTTGGTGTTGGGAATCCATGTAACACTGTCGTGTTGTAAACAAGGTCCGTGTCATCAACTGTTAGATATATATCTAGCATACATCCTGTACTTTGAAGTTCCCCATTATAATAACTATAATAACGTTGGTCATATTTAATATTAGTAACACTAATACTATTACAACTATAAACAAATAATAATAATATTATTAAAAATAATAATATATTAAAGTTATACATTGTTAACTAATCAATATATATATATATTGAGGTAATGATTGAATGATTAGGAAGTTAAGGTCTAGACTAGACTTTAATATTAAGTGTAATTGAGGTCGTTGGATTTTATTTATTATAAATTAGCGATCAGTATAAGTATCGCTTAAGATCCGGTAGAGTGCCCTTTGTTAGATGGGCGGAGTCTATGTTCCGAAAGGATTTGATAGTTGATGATCATTGCGACTGATACACTCACACACACACAATCAATCATATCCAGAATGGGCACAAATAAATATCGGGGCTTGGCACGAGCTCAATCTGACTAGTATCCATTAATTTAGAGTCCAAAGGGGGTACTGTACCAATATGATGATGACGAACCTCCTACAAATCACAACTCTGTGCATAGTGAAATGATTGTAATAACATGATATTGGAGTACTCGAATTGGATTCATTCATTCATTGACAACGTCATCCTTCAGATAATTGATTGATTGATTGGTGATGATTGAATGGTCAGTCACGGAATGGTTCATTGCAGTTGGCAGACTTTCCCTCTTTGGCTTGAGTACTCCACGTAGATATTTGGCCATTTCCACTTGTGGAGGATATCTTCTGACTTTACAATCATTGTAAAGCCTCTCAATCATTCCAGAGTCGTCGTTGTTATCACTTAAACAAACTGTATGTTCAATGATATAGCGTACAACGTCCAAATTTCCACACGCCACTGCAATACCAAGTGTTTCACCAGGGAACTTGTCATTAACATTATGGAGTTGACGAACAATATCAACTCGCCCTGCTTCTGCTGCCTTGAACATGATGACACTCCTCAACTCCTTGTTCTGATTGATGAGGGTCTTGACCAATCGCATGTCTGACGACTTGTCAAACACAAAGGTTGGCTTAGACTGACTCCTTGTGTTAGCCCAATGATCATGCTCATCAGGCTCGGGAGCGGGGAGCAGATGAAGGAGATGCTCATGTCCACGATTGATTGCCACCTGTCTGATGATCGCCAAGTGTCTCGGTGTACATTCGATACGATCGAGACTCTTCAGCGACTGTTTGAGGACAACCTCGTCACCAATGTGCGCTGCAAACTTAGCTATTTTAAAATGCTCGTCAAGTCCTTGCACTATGCGGTGTGATCTCTTTGCGATCATTGCTGTGGCGGCCGGATTGATGAGCATCATATTGGAAAGTAGGAGGTTGTCGGGGATCATCACACATTCCTCTGAGAGGAGGAATGCGATCATTTTGGCGCCGCCAGTACAGACAAAGTTACTTGGCAATGACCTGTCACAATAGTAAGGGTCGCCCAACTGGAGAAGTCTGAGTTTGAGGCATGTGTTGAGGTGTTGGAGAATAGCCAAGCCCTCCTCTGGGCTGTTGTGCTTGAGGCAGAAGATCCAGTTATTAATGAACTTTGTTAGGATGGGACGATCGCCAGTGGAATCAGTCCACGCTGCGGCCACCATCACCTGCTCCAATGTCGCCCAACTCAGGAATGATGGGACTTTTGCACTCCTATGCGGCCCGACGAAAGGAATGAGCCATGGCTCCCGCCTGCCTTTGAGAATCAAGGCAACTTTCGAAATGATCATCTTATACCCATCTCGTGCGACCATCTCGCTTTGAACATGCTCTTAAAGATAAAGAGTGGCGGCGATCAGTCGTTGCTCTGGGTCGACAGACGCAAGTCCAGTAGTACTGGCTGTGCCTGCAAGAGCAGCTCGACATTGTTCCACCGATTGTTGGATGTCACGATCCAGCTCAAGCTGCATCGTCTCCAAGTTGATGTTGATATTGAAAAAATACTTCTTGAGTGCCAGGAGTGTCTGTATCAGGTGTTTGTCGTCCTGTATTCGACTGAGCGTGTCATGACCGGTAATGACGTCCGCGACCAACTTCAAAAAGGTGTCCTCTCCAAACACTGGTTGTCCTACTTGTTCAATGAGCGATATGTCTCCAGTGGACAATAGTGCAACCAACAAACGACTGTCGTTGGGGTCACTTGACAACACCGCTTTGAGTCGCGCGATAAAGGTTGCATGTGGGAGTTGTAGTTGCTCAAGTACATCTTGAGTTGACAACAATGGGTCGCCACGGTGGATGCACAACAGAACATCCTCTATCTCATCTCTAAATAGTGGGTCGCTGAATGCTGATACGCCACTGTCGAGCAACAACTTGGCCACTCCTAGGTGTCCTTCCCACAAAGCCACGGTCAGGCAGTCCCTCTCGAATTGGATTGGTTCGTTCTGTGAAAGGAGTAGTGAGACGATTGAAGGGTTGCCTGCTCGTATGGCCAGGTGCATTAGATTGGGGTCGTTGAAGCGGTTCCGTGCAGCTGCTGCACAGCACTTTGGTGGAATCGGGTCCAAAGCGCAGGTGACGGCCAGTCTTTACCCGATCGGCGAGCAAACCAAAGTGTCGATGCTTGCATATATCGTTGACGCTGCTCCATTGCTCGTATCGGACAAGTTTGAATAACTGAGGGTCTTCTCTGTTTGATTCCTCCCATTCAAGATACTCAGAGAATGCTTTCTGAAGTCGCCAATCATCATAGTTTATTGTCTTGGTCGACGTAGTTGTAGACAATATATCTAGACTGTGTGATCGTACATCTCGCAGTACCAGTCGCACTGGTGATGTTGTTGTTATCTCTATCATGATTGATATTATTGAATGATTGAATGAATGAACAGAATGGAAGTTATACAATACATTGAGGTAGGTTTATTGATGAGGGAAGTAACAAAGAATAATTTAATATTCCTTGTTGGATGGATTGATTGATGAATGAATGAATGTTGTTACCGTGGACAACACCAAGTCAGTGTGATGGACCTTACTTGGTCTTTGGTGCACCTCCAAGCAAACCGTTGGCGGTGTTGAACAGGTTGATTGGCGATGAACCGTCGGTGATCATCACCGAGCTGAGACCCAGACCCTGCAGGAGCTTGGCCTGCATCTCTGGACCAGCCTGGGCGATCGATTTGATGGTCTCTTGACCGATGGACTCGACCAGCTGCTTGAACTTCTTGGCCTCGATGGTGGAGAGCTCGCGCTGTCTGTTCAACTCCAACTCGTCAATCTGCTTCTTGTAGGCAAGCTCAGCCTCACGCTTCTGCTTGACCAGCAGCAACTCGGACTCGGCACGGATCTTGGTGGCCTGAGCACGGAGCTTGGCCTGCTCGACGTTGGCCTGAGCAGTGATGGCTTGTGCCTCAGCAGTAGCCTGAGCCTCAGCGGTGGCTTGACCGGTGGACTCGACGGCAGCAGACTGAGCCTGCAGCTCCAGAAGGTCCTTCTTGGCCAACTCGGCGGCGGCCTCATCATTGATCTTTTGACGCTCCAGACGACCACGGGCACCCTGCTCGAGCTTCTCAGCCTCGTGACGGGCAGCAGCCTCTTGGGACTTGGTGGTGATCTCGATGGCCAACTGCACAGACTTTTGCAGAGAGTCACGAGTTCTCTGGTCGACTGGCTCGACGGACTGAATATCAATGTTGGTGATGATCAGGTTGTTGGCGTTGAAGGCAAAGTTCTCCTTTGGAACTCCATTCTCATCAAAGCCAAAGACGGCGTGGCGGATAATCTCAGCAGAGCGCTTGTGGAAGTCGTCGAATGGGACCGAGGCGACGGCACCACGGACACGGGAGGCGATGGCCTTGCAAGAGTCACCGACAAAGTCTGGCACCTGGAAGATCTTGGCAGCCTCCTCAGTCTGGGTCTTGTCGACGATGAATTGCCAGTTGTATGAGAGCTTCAATGAGAGCTTGGCGTGGTCGGATGTCTCGACAATGACGACATCAGTCATAAAGTCTGGTCCGAGGTAGAGGGCGATGGCCTTGATCATGTGTGGGCGCTTTGGCTTCTCACCAGAGAGCGAGAGAACGGTGAAACGCTCATCTGGGCCCAACATGACTAAGTCTGGGCCAAAGACGACACGAGACTTCTTCTCCTTGTAGTCGTAGATCTGGACGGCAGAGTTGTGTGGTGCGCGGTAGGTGACGACACGGGTCTTGTCACGGTTATCAGAGAACTCGGGATCGTTGGTCTCCTTGGCGAGGACCTCCTCGACGGTCTTTGGCAGCTCCATGGACCACAACTCCTCGTTTGGCTTCAACATGTATGAGCGACCAGAGATGGTGGTGATCTTACCACTCTTGATGTCACGGATGTAGATACCCTCATTGTCGTCCAGTGGGATGGAGTCACGCTTCTCGACGACCTCAACCTGGACGGGTGGGACGTAGTCACATGGGCCGTAGATCATCCAACGGTCACCGGCCAAGTGCTTCTCCTTGCCATCGTCAAAGGTCTCCTTGGCACGCAGCAAGAGGGCCTCTTGCTCGTTGAGGATGTAGATGGACTGGATGCGGTTGCCCTCGAGGGACTCACCTGGACGCAGGAAGAAGGACAACTCACCCTTTCTGAGCTCCTTCTGTCCGAGCTGTGGCTTTCCATCGGTACCGATTGGGTCCAAAACGACACAGTATTGGCGGTTGGTTAGGGTGGTGATGTTGACCTCACCGACGACAGTCTCGTAGACGTCTGGGATGTGGGTCTCAGAGTCATTGGCAGTGACCAACCACTCCTCACCAGCCTTGCGGACCTTTTGGCGATCGTCGGTAAAGGTCTTGACGGCCTTGAGGTGGAGGGCCTTCTTGTCGGTCAGAATGTATGCGTTGATTGTGTCGATGACCTTCTCGTCGACGCCTGGCAGGTAGGCGCCAACCTGTCTGATCAACCACTCCTCACCAGCCTTGCGGGTGGCGCCGTTGCGATCGATCAATGCCTTGTTGGCACGGAGCTTGAGTGCCTGGTTTGGTGCAATGATTGTGGCCTTGACCTCCTCCTCGATTCTGACCTCAATGCGTGGGATGTAGGTGGCGGGTCCCTCGAACAACCACTCATCACCAGCAACCTTGCTGGACTTTCCGTCGGTGAAGTCGCGCAGGGCGTGCAGTCTGAGTGCCTTGAGCTGGGGCACGATCTGGAGGGCAGTGACCTTTCCACTGAGCTTCTCACCTGGGTACAGTGGGAAGGGCTCTTGGGCGAATCTGATCTCCTCGTCTCCGTGTCTAAGCTTGACCTCATTGAACTCGTTGAGCACCAATGAGCCGTCGGCACTGCGTACGACTGGATTCGAGATTGTGCAGTAATGTCTCAGTGGGATCATGATCATTGGCTCTGGTCCAGCGACTACCTTCTCATGGTCCTGACGAGTGAATGTGTTTGGACCAACCTCAACCCTGGTAACATTTGTATTATTATCTAATACATGAATGTAATGATGTGGCTTGATTCTAATAACTATTGTTCCATGATTGAATGAGTATGTGAGTATGTTGGAATTGATGTTAGTTCAGATATATTTTACTTACCTGCATTGTCTGAAGACATCTTTAACTATTTTGAATGTATATATATTAAGGGTATATATTAGTAAGTAATACAAATAAAGGTGAATGAAGAGATAGATATATTAGATTGATTGATGATGTCAAACAAATTAAATGATCTGCTGAATGAAGCAATAGTTGTGTTTGAGGCTCAATTATATAAATAAATATCTTTGGGGTGATTAGTGTGTGCATCAGCTGTTTTTGATAATTTTATTTATTTGTTCCAAGAACATATAATTGGAAATGAATAAGAAGTTTGTCAATCTCAATAATAACTAATTATTTGTTACGCACGTCTACTCATTTTAAACTTTGTTGAACTTCGTTCCTATCAACTCAATCGATCTATTCATGATCATTAACCAAGCCAACAATATTATAACATCACTCTCGCATCCGACAATACAAGTATTTTTGAAACAAACAAACAAACAAACATGTTATTATTAACATTAACAAATAGTTATAGTATAACTATTATATATCTATCAATGATGTAATATCTTTTGTTGTAGTTGTGGTGTTCTAGATTACCCTTTTGTCAATCAGAGAATGACAGAGTGTTTGATCCAGATCTCCATGGGATGTTGTTGTGACCCACTACTGTTTTTTATTTTTGGGACGGACCCACCTTGCCTACTACTTCATCAAACAAACAATCAAACAATCAAAGAGACAGGGCTTTCAAAGCAAGTCCATCCATCAATTTCAAACAAACAGGCACACACGTGTTGAAGGGTGATTGAAATAAGGCGGAGGCCGAAGGGATGACATCCGTTGTGACATCAACACTGTCACATTGATTGTATGTGTGTTGTAGTTGGAGCGATTGAATCGGAATGAATGATCTGAATGAGAAGTGGTGGGGTGTAATTGCAATGATCCCTCTCCGCCGGAGGTTGAGACTAATCACTCTTAATGGTGCATATCTTGGGGTGACCCGAAAGGGCCACATTCACTTGATCCATCCATTCCAAAGGCAGAACAAGATAGCGTGTAGAGAGTGGACGCGTCTCCACTTTATTGCAGATCTCATCATCCATCATCCATAATCAATCCTTGCTTATTGGACAACATCAAATCAATCAATCAATCAATCAATTATAACTTATTATAACTAACATATATATATACTTATATTTATTATACTTTATACAAAGTTATAAATAATGTTTGTTTATAACAACAACAACAACAACATCATCAACTTATTGTTGGTTGTGTCATTGGCGGTCACTCTTGTTGTGGCCGATACTGGAGTGGACACTGGCGCCAAATGTGAGCCATACTTTGGCAACAGCCAATGCGACGGATTATTGCTTTCCCCAGGTATGTCACCAGCCTGATCAGAATGATCACCTGACTCAACTTATGCCATCAATCATTAACACATGCTCACACTCACACACTGGAACTATTCCAATCACTCACCCACATTCAATCAATCAATCAATCAAACAGAGTCTGTATATGTACCAGGTGGATATACTCAAAAGACATTGTTGGACGCGATGAACTTTAAGGTGGCAGCATTGACAAGTCAGAATACTTGTAATGTTTCATCATCATTTATTTCGAGTTATGTTTGTAACGCTGCATTCAGACCTTGCACTAATGTGACGACCAATCCATCGGTGGCAGGCTTTGCCTCGCTGGGATTGTTCCACGGTGCATGCTACACTGACTGTATGAGACTGTCGGACGAGTGTCAACTCAGCTCCTTCTTGTTGAACTGCAATGCCACGCGCCCCAACTCACAGATCTATGAGAATCCCGATGGACCAAACGTCTACAACCTCACCTCACTCGGTGGTTCCGACCCCTATCCAGTATCCTGTTTCCTCAACAACTTCACTACCAACGGTACAGTTGGATTCAGTAAGTATTACAAAACTTGATCATGTTTCCGCGTGTTACCACGTGTTACCGCGTGTTACTGCGTGTTACCGCGACCCACTCCCACCCATAAATTAACACTTGAACAGCATGCCCATCTCAACTGGTACCAAGGAACTCGACAGGAGAGGATAAAGAGAGAGATAAGAAGAATGGATACTTCTTTGCAGGCAATCTACCTTGTGTATTCAAGTGTCCAGCACCTATTTATACGCCACGCCAATGGAAGTCATTCTATAACACTATCTATGTGACCACCACCATATCATTCATATGTACATCGTGGACGATCATAACCTACCTGTTTGTCAATAGGAAGCATGACAGACATTCGATCTGTTTGGTGTTCATGTCGTTTGGACTCTGGCTGATATCCATCACTGACTTTATCCTGATTGGTCGTGAGGGCTACACCGTCATGTGTCCCGAGCCTGGTCGTTTTGCCACCCAGTCCGACCCGTACTGTGCGGCCACCGCCTCCATCTTCCAATACGGCGCTGTCACTGCCATCTCCTGGTGGACAATCATGACCTTTGACTTGTGGATCCTGTTGCGCAAGGGTAAGTACTTGAATGCGACTGAGTGGAGTCACTGAGGTGTCTGACTCATTGGACTACTAACATTGCTCAATCACTCAATCCATTGTCATACAGTCAAATCACAAAAGTCCTACCAACTATACTATGTTATTGCGTTGACCTTGTTGGCTATATTCTTCACTGTTCTCCCAGCTGGACTGAAGGAGTACTCTGCAGGTTTTGGTCGTATAGGGTATGTTAGATTGATTGGCCTGTCTTGGGCACATGTACATGTACATGTACATCATGGACATGAGCGTGGACTAACTCACTCACCAACTCACTCAATCAATCAATCACACAGATGTTGGATTGGCGACCTTAAGGCCTTGGATGGATTGTTCTGGGCACCATTCACATTATGTCTAATCATTGGATCAGTGTTCATGATCATGGTCCTCGTTGAGATTTATAAAGTAAGTTGATCGGAATCATTCCAGCCCTCACCCCACCCACCACATACTCACATCAATCAATCACTCAATCATTCAACAGGTTATCATCAACGTTGACAATGGAAAGAAGAAGTCAAAGAGGATTGTCAAGTATAACTTGAAGCCATTCTTGATTCTGTTCATATTGTTTGTGGAGTTTATCTTCTTGTTTGGATACTCATTGTACACACAGACTCATCAGAGCGAGGTGGAGGCAGCTCTGACAGTATGGGTACGATGCCTGATCGAGTCACCAACGCCAGACACCTGCACGGTCAACCCTCTGCCGTACGGCGCACACTTCTTCTACTTCTTCTTTGTGCGTCTGCTCGGCATTGAGCTGGTGGTATTCTACGGCATCAACCAACGCGCCAAGAAGATCTGGTTCAAGTCGGTGTTCTTCCACAACAAGTTCTACTCGGTCAGTGCCTTGACCACCGACAGGCGTTCGTCCAACTCCAGCGGCAACTCAAGCAACAGCTACGACAGTCGCAGCGTCAAGATGTCTGGCAGAGCCGAGAGTTACGATACTTCTGGCGTCGAGCAGAACAATGAATCGAGACAAGTCTAAGGACCTGTCCAGGTCGATCAATCATTCATTCATACTTCAATGCCAAACCATCAAGAGCGACACACACCATCACACTTTGAGTGAGTTGTTGTTTAGACGTCTCACCTCAATCCGACCATGCATGCCCGCCCTCTCCGACACCTGGATACCTGGCGGAGCCTCTCACCAGCCTGGATCATCCATCCCTAGTCAAACCCATCACCGTTGTAACACTACATCATTCATCATTCATCATCCATCATCCTACCCTTACCCTACCCTACCCTACTACCCTCCTCCCCCTATATTGTATCAATCCCAATACCATGACCATGGGATGTCCATCACTATTATTGTAATAAACCATTAACATATATATATACATGTTGGCGATTACTTGGGCTATTGACATCAAACCCTTGCCCTCGACCCTCAACCCTCGCCCTCGACCCTTGACCTTTTCAAGTTGAAGATCAAAGTTGGGAATAAGTCAGAATAATAATTGTAGAGATAGATAGAGATAGAGATATAGATGGACAATATATTTGTTATAAAGTGTATTGTTAAACATTTGTCTGCTGACAATTATAGAGGTCCATTCAAATGCATTACATCAGGTGTTAAACATAGTTATATTGCTAATTATAGATGGATATCATCAATTGCAATGGTATCATGGAAGTATTTCCAAGAGGTACAGGCTCAGAACAAATGCTTCAATTCAGGTGTCGACGAGGATGCGGACAGAGGTGATCTTGAGCTGACCCGAGTCAACGCATTGGCCAATCATCTTTATCATCTACGATATGAACCGCAGCCACAAAGCAACAAGTACTCATTGTGGTCTAACATCGATACTGTTGACATGACATTCCCAAGAAATGGATCTATACGCCAGAGTCATAGTCTGAAAGTGCTTGAAGAGCTGACGTTGGAGCTACTCATGGAATGTGGCATCAACATTCGGTCGTGGATGGGCGGCGCAGTAACCGACATTCAGTTCATTGGCCAATGCGCAGATTTAGAGCGCCTAGAGTATTCGTACGACATTACCTACGACCAGTCGTACGAGGTGATGGGCTTGCTTGACCCGGACAACTTCCCGCAACTCAAGCATCTCACGCTGGTGCCTTACACAGGCGAGGAGATGTACAACCTTCTGCGCCCTTTGCCCACCGAGTCATTCCCTCACATCACTTCGTTGGAGATCATCGACAATGATGACATGGGATGTTTGAGCAACATGTTGGAGCAGAGTCTGTTTGAGCTCGAGCTGCCAGCACTCTTCAATCTGACACACCTCTCTCTCCGACTGTATTATGGAACCAATTCACTGGACGAGGTCACACCATGGTTCAACCAATCACTCATCGAGTACTTGAAGAACACTCCATCGCTCACCTCATTGAGTCTGCCAACGAATCGACCATTGGAGGACAATCGTCAACTCATCAACTTCCTACTTCAATCTCCTCGTTCACCAATCAAACGTCTACATCTCTGCAACATGTCATACCTCCCCAACATCACCAACAAGTTTGATTACATCAGTTTCTTCTTCGATCTTGGTGATGACGATGAAGTTGCCAATGAGCAGAAGACGGTGGAGGTATTGGGATCATTCAATAATGTTAGAGAGATAGGATTGGAAGGCAAAGAATGTATTGAGTATGCTCAATATATTCTTGAGCATTGTCCAAACGTTCAATCATTATACTTGGGAGACAGTTTGAACTATGAACGATTCAATAAGAAGAGGTTGGATGAGTTAGCCATGTCACTTAAGAAGAATAGTACATTAAGGAGATTATATATCAATTCATCATTGTTTGAACGATCATTGACCAAGGACTCCTCGGAAGCACTTTGTCAAGCAGTCCAATCACATCCAACACTTCTGAACAAGAATAGCATATGGAAGTGATTGAGTGACATACATGTCATGTCCATGTTACAACAGCTGGAAACAATACAATATATATAACCTTGGCCAGGGTCTTCAACTTACCCTCGATGTCCACAACATACCCTCGCACACTTACCCTCGCACACTTACCCTCGCGTACTTTCCCTCTCACACTTGAATGATTCATTCATTCATTCTTTGATCTGATCAATCATTAGTTGTTGTACCAATTATCAAACATTCATATACATGTACATAATATATAGATAGAGCTGACTGATGAGATGAACAAGTACTTTGAGAACTTAGATATATCAGGCCTGGGCAAGGCCATCAAGAACGCGAGCAAGTCTGTTGAGAAGTCACTTGACGACTTTATAGGTGTACCTCCAACAGGGTCAACCTCAACAGGTATGATTGATTAATGTTTGATTGATTGAATGATTGAATGATTGATTACTTATATATGTGATCCGCATCATAGGCGATTCAACAGGTAACAATGACACTGGTGCACCATATTCATCAGATGGATTCTTTGGCTATTCATTCCAAAGTCCTACTAAGCAACAGCAACAGGTGACTTCGCCATCACCTGCATCACCAATGTCAGTGTCAACAACACCTCCTGTTGTTGCAACGACCACGCCACCATCATCAATCTCAAACAATGCATCAACTAAGGTTCAATCTACTGTTGCTGCTACACCAACCTCAACCTCGACCACGACAACCACAACGACCACAACGACATCTGAACCATTGATTGATCTAGATGAACACAATGAACATTCTGGCACTGTGCTTGACCTATCACCTATACCTACAAGGCGCAACAACAGTAATAACAGTCGAGACAAGAATAGCGATGATGATGATGATGACGACGATGACAGTCAACAACCATTATATCAAGTCAACAATAACAGTGACAATGACACACAAGAGTTGATATTGGATGATGGCGATGCCTCAAGATCATCCAAACTTCGATTAAACATCGATCTGGACACCAACGCTTCATTTGGTGCCGACGAAGACATTGACATACCCGACATACCCGAGCCTGCGACCGTGTCTTCTCCCGTGGCGGAGGCACAGGTCATCGCGGCCCCGGCTGTCCAGCCAACCCCAAGTGCGACACATACTCAGACACAGGTTCAGCCACAGGCTCAACCACAGACTACACATACTCAGCCACAGACTCAGACTCCTCAGACTCAGACTCATACAAAGGAACTGGAGGAGATGAGATTGAAGATCAAGGAGTATGAGAGCAAGTTCACCGCATTCAATGTTGTTAGTCAAGAGAAGGATAGAGTGTTGGGCGAAAGAGAGAAACAGATACAGAAGCTATCGACACATGGTGCACAGTTGCAAAAGACAGTGGATCAGTTGTTGTATGATATAAGCAAGTTGAACAATGATCAGAAGAAGGAGGACGTTGAGAATCTGAAAGAGGAGTTCTCACGTCGCATTGGTCAGATCGAGAAGAAGTTGAAGGATACGCAGCGAGAGCGCGATTTACTCAAGAGTGGTAACGCCATGAGTGAGTCGATGGCCACGACGATCAAGGAGAAGGACGATCAGATCGCCCAGCTGATGACCGAGGGCACCAACCTGTCTCACAAAGTGTTGCAGCTCGAGTCCACCGTCAAGAAGCTGCGCGCACAGGCCAAGGAGCACGAGGAGACCATCCAACTGATGACTGACCGCATCAAGACGACTGAGGAGCTGTTGGCCAACAAGCAGGATCGTCTGAAGGGTCTGGAGGAGGTGGACAAGCGATACCAGGACACGCTGATGACCATGAAGGAGCTGACCGAGGTCACCACCAAGAAGTACGAGGAGAAGGACATTGTGGCGGAGAAGTCAGTGAAGCAGGCCAGCGAGCTGCAGTCCGCGCTTGAGAAGGCCTGGAAGGACATCTCCGACTTGAACAAGCATCACGCCATCGAGATTGATCGCTACATCAAACAGATCGACGAGACCAAACAAAAGACGCGCGATGAGGTCATGATGGTCGTGTCGAACGAGCGCAAGGATTGGAAGAAGCGAGAGGAGTCCCTCGAGATGACGATCCAGGAGCAGAAGGCCTCGCTACAGCGCGCGAGTGAGCGCTCCAGCTGGAAGGAGGAGGAGCTTACCAAGGAGATCCAACATCTCAATCAAAGATGTCGCGAGGCTGAACAGCGCAACGATCAGCTGGGTGCATCGATCCCAGACACTACACGACCCCTGATCAAACAGATTGAAGCACTGCAGAGTGGTAATGAAGCCAAGCAACAGACATGGGAGGCGTTGGAGAGGAGTCTGCAGCAGCAGGCCAAGGAAGCGAGGATGGCTGCCGACGCGGCCATTCAAAACGAGCAGGAAGCCCTGGCTGAGCTTGAGGAACTTTCTGGACAAATCAAACAACTGGAGCTTGATGTAAAGAAGGAACGAATGAGCAACAAGCAGATCAATGCAGAGCTGGCGCAGGAGAGGAACAAGATCAAAGAGCTGGAGACGCAAAGCACCGAGGTCAATGCCAAGTTGGACAAGTTCGCGCAGCAAAAGCAACAGCTCGAGAGACAGGTTGCCCAATACGAGGAGAGCTTGGAGAAGGCCTACAAGGACTATAGGGAGGCCGAAGAGATGAGGCAAAAGGAGAGAGAGATTGAGAGAGAGCGCAGAGAGGAGGAGAAGCGAACATCTGGAGGCAGCCAGTCATCATACGAAGGACCCGCCACACCAAAGATGTACGGGCTTAGGAAGAACCCAAGCCAGTCGGACTTCCTCCAGCAACAACATAATCTTATGCAACAACAACATCAACAAATGAGTCCAAACTCATCATTCCCAATGGAGGTGTACCAAGCCAACATTACACAAAAGGATGGAGAGATAGCCATACTGCAGTCCAAGCTGAATACAGCAGAGTCATCAAGGAGTAAGTAATGTTGATGGATGGAGGGTGAGTGTGCGAGGTCGATCAATCGATGGATCACTGACATGACATGACACGAACTTGTGTGTGTTCCGATACTCTACCACCTACCAACAGAGAAACTTGAGGATCAACTGATCAAATTGACTTCATCCAACGAACAACTGTATGTTTGATTGAGTCGATGACCATGGCGGAGGGCATGATGGATACATAACTAACCAACTAACCAATCAAACCCATCTTGTGATAATAATTGATTTGATGGACACGACACACAGGTTGCTGGATTCAAAGGAGCTGAAAGGCTTAAAGACACAGGTCAGCGAGATACAACAACGGTACAGCACGGCGTTGGAAATGCTGGGCGAGAAGGAGGAGCAGGTCAATGAGTTGCGGATGGATATCGTCGATATGAAAGAACTTTACAGGAACCAAGTTAACGAACTTTTAAGCAAGATAGAATCAGATAAGAGGTAGTAGTTGTAGAGAGAGAGTGATGGCCCACTCCAAAGTGGTGTTGTAGGAAGGAAGAAAAGAAGGAATGAAGGTCATTCCGCCTCCCCTCTCACTCATTACCAGCCCCTACTTCCATGGAAGCCTTGACCCTTTGCTCGGGTGCCACCCATATATCCCAGACGACTCAGGCACCAGGTCCCATCCTGCCATGCCACATCACATCAAATATATTATATGTACACTTATCAAACACTATAACTCCTACAACCCTCCAGAGACATACATGTGTTACAGTAGTTGTGACCATTCGAATACGGGTAGTCGCAGATGTTCCTGATCAGCTGATCACTGTTGGGCGAGGGGTGGTGGTGGAAATTTGTGTTTGTGTATGAGGAGCGCAAGGAAGAGAGGAGAGGTGGTAACACACGCGAAGTGGTAGTCACACACCACTAGTGAATAAAGATGATGTTGATGATGAAGGAGGCAATACTCACTAGTTATCCCTTCCTCCACAATCCACAAAATGATCAATCAATCCAATCCAATCGTCAAACAATCAATCAACTAGTTATCCAATCAATCAAATCAATCAATTTGTCAATTCACGATGGCCATCCACCATGGTTATTGAGCAACATCATCAGTTACCAATAGATGTGTTTCTTAAGGAACATCAGCAGGTAGTGTTTATCGACCAACCAGGTTGGATGACTTTTGGAATAATGTAGCGATTCAAAGTGCCTGTACATTGAATAACATCTGAATGACACCATTGAGTGGACGCTAGCTATATATTTATAAATGTATATATATTGATCGTACGATTGAGTTGGTCATTAACTTCAAAGCATCCGATAAAATTCAAAGTGTATATATATTTTGAATTGTCTTTAACTTCATTGAAATATATATATATTTAATTAAATTATTAAACTATGACTATGTGTATGTACAGTACCATTGTTAGAAACTAAATATGTTTACTCACACCGTGATCATATCCAGTTGTAGATTTAACAGACTCCAAGTTGTCCAATAAATTGAATAGGGCATGGAATAAATTATCCAAGAGGAAGTTATCAAAGAAGTCATTCCTACTGATAGAGTACAAACGACCCAATAGTTTAACAAGATCAGATACCAAACTATGTAACTTACTGGGGATTGATCCAAAGGATCTAAGTACCATCAAGTCAACAGCATAACTTGTTAAAGTTGTACCATATATTTCCGAATCATACCATCCGCCATCCAACCACCAAGTGTTATTGGAGCTTAACTAACTGTTAGTTCCAAACACATCCTTCTACATCTACACACTTTACCAAACTCTGTACATACTTGTATAAATTTATTTAATAAACGACTCGCCGGTATATGTGTAATGATGACATGATGTCCAACAAGACAAGCAAGTATTGCCTTTACCAAAAGGCACACCAGCCGACGTAGCACTGACATAGATGTTCGTGGGAGGTGGCTTGGTCGATGAGCTTCTGAATCTGTTCCGAGACGGCCAATGTTTCGTTGCTAAAGTCTCTTCCTGTAAGCTTCTTGTTGACACGGTTGATGACCGACAGAGCCCTCTCGTTGAGAACCTCGGGCACAACCTCAGCTTCCACCTGTTCCTCAACGCGTGGGTGACCGCGTGGCTGTCTGTGCACGGGGGATGACGTGCTCAAAGTCGAGTCTGGCGATTCATTGTCGCCAAGGTCCTGCTTGGTGACCTTACTGTCCTTGTCGTGGTTGGGTGTTAGCAGTCTCCAGTTGATCAGAGGGTCGTGGACAAAGGCCTCAAGGACGGCCATCAGCGACTCCTTGCTGTTGCGCAGCACGGTCATCACCGACTCACACGTCAGTCTGAAGTTACCCTCGATTCCAGACACCTCCATGGCGTTGATAAGCATCCTTGTGAGACGGAATGGGATCTTCTCGGGGTACTTCTCGCGGTGCATTGCCACCTCGAAACAATCACCAAAGTCAATATGCAAGATTCTTCCAGTGTAGCGATCGAGCATCAGGTTGCTTGGATGACGATCACCCAGTCCAAGGATGTATCCCACCATGGACATCACTGCCAGCGAACGTGTGTAGTTGGTGCGGCGGTCCAGCCAGACCTCTGAGTTCCTGCTCTTGAGCCAAAGAACCTTGTGCAGATCCTGTCCATTGGTGCTCTCCAGTGCATACTCAAACACCTCGACCTTTTGCATGAGTGTGAGGTTGTCATAGTCGGAGCACATCTGCAACATGAGTCGATGCTCAATGTTGAGCAGGATCTTGTTGCTCTCACGATAGTCGCGAATCAGCGCATGCAGTGTGTCAGAGTGTGGCACCCATCCAATGAGGCCAGAGTTTGGTGACAGGGGGATGACACTGAATCGTCTGATGCTCAGATGGGACTTGGCAGTCTCGTGATTGGCACTGAGAAGCGTGTTGACCAGGCCAAACAGCTGCATGACACGCTCGTCCTGACGCAGGTCCTCGTGACCTTTCAGCAAGAATGTGTACTCGAGTCCGTCGGAGCCAATGATTGTAAGCTTCCTTGGTCGCTGCTTGGAGGGGATGACGCTGAGCACGGGCGAGAATGATTGAATCTTGATGACTGGGTCTCCAACCTTGTATGTGCCTGGCACGGCCAAGTCCATATCGATTGAGTTCATGAGCTTTGGTGAGATGTACTGCAACTCCAACGAGATCATCTGTGGCAGCTGCTTGTAGATACGTCTGAACACCTGGTAGTAGAGGTCCCATGCTTGGTTCAGGTCGCCCTCCTTGCGCGATCGCTCATACTTTTTGCTCCACTCGAGGGCCTCTTGAAGGTCCCTTCCAAAAGCATGGATGAAAGATGTCTCGCTTGTGGTCTCTGGTCCCTTGTCCAGTATCTGATGCAGAGGTGCAAGGGTGGCCAGCATTGCGTCTGGGTTGTGCTCGCCAAAGTATTGTCTCGAGGCGTCCTCCAGACCCTCATACCACATCTCGTGCCAGAGGATGGCGGAACGCACTAGCTCCTGACTGACGGGGATGGCCTGGTCGACGAGGTTTGTATGCTTTCTCATCTTGTCCATGATGGCACGTGCTGCTGCCAGACGTGCTGGCGACTGTGACTTGGTGGCGACGGTCAGTGGGTAGACCAGGGCTTGTGGATGTGCCTTGCCAATCGAGTCGAGCAGCTCGTGCAGCAGTCGTCGAACGGGCAACACTGGTGCGTGGATACGAGCGATCAATTGAGGGATCACCTGCAGCCATGTGTCAATGCTCACGGTGTTGAATCCCTGCATTAAAGAGGCCTCTACATCCTTTTGTGCGCCGTGTTTGAACCAGAGTGTCAACAGACGTAGTGTGTCCTGTAGTGATTGCTCGGGTGCCAGTGCAATAGATCGGAAGAAGCTGCGTACTGCAGGCAACAGGTGGCTGGCGATCTGCTCCTGTGTGCCGCCATTCTGTTCGTAGTGAGAGACCACCTCAAAGTTGATCAGTGCCCACGAGTGCCATGCCTTGTACCAGTTGGGGTCACATTCGGTTGCTGCGTGGAACGACGAGATGATATGTGGGATTGACGATTCATTCAGTGTCTCGCCCAGCTCCAGCTGCCACTCGCCCAGCTTGAGGTGCGCGCGGCCTTGCAGAGGCAGGTCGTCAGTGTCCTGCAGCGCTTGAACAAAGGTGCGCAGACGCTCATACGCGACGGGTCTGCTTCCAGCGCTCCATAGCTGTTTGATGTAAGCGAATGTGATTCGTGGATGTGTGTTGGGGAGGATGCCGCCAAACTGTTGTGTGGCCGGGTCCTTGCCCATGAGCATGGCCAACGTCTTTTGCGACAGGCCCAATCTGGAGCTCTTGCGACACAGACCAATGAACTTAAGCCACATGTCCAACTCCTCGTGTGGTGAGATGACCAGTGAGTGCACGGCCAGCACACTCTGCCAGATGTCGACGTTGTGTTGACAGCCTCTCAATCTTGTCTTCCATGTGTTCCTGATCATCTGTTTGCGAGATGGCGAGTCTGCGGACTTCTTGTACTCGATGATCTCTTCAAGCTCGGACAACTGCTGTAGACGGACCACCATTTTGTAGGCACGGTTGTAGCTTTCGCCTAGCAGAGCAGTCAGCTCTGTGTCCACGAGGACACGGGCGTGTTCGATAAAGTGATGAGCGTGGTTAAAGTTGTTCTTGTGCACCTCGAGGATGGCACGGTAGAATGAGCCTTCAATCGTGTCCTGGCTCATGGCCTTGACGTACTCGTCCATTGTATCCCAGCTCGAGAGGTTCCATGCGGCGGCCGAGGCGAGTGGCGCCACAGAGATCTTGGTGGACTCGCTGGCGTTCTTCCACAAGTCGTTGGACAGCGTTGACAATCGCTCCCACTCTCCAAGTGCGTGCAGACATCTCATGATGCCCAGTGTGTTCTCGATTGAGTTGGGGTCGTCCTTTTGCTTCTTCTCATACGCGGCCAAGGCGTCCTCCCATCGTCTGAGCTTCTCGTACCAAGACTCCTTCAGCTCGACGCTGTGGTTCTTCTGTGCGTAGATCAGGATACCGATGGCAGCCTCAGGCTGCTGCAGTTGATTGTTGATACTGATCAGTGCTTCGATGGTTGAGTTGGACGCTTGCTGGAACTCAATCTCCTTGTAGTGCAGTGCTTTGGCGTAGGCGTGACATTTCTCGGCCAGCGCGCCAAGGGTGCGGATGTCAATGGGCAGGGGCTTCTCGTGGAGCTCCATGAACTCGGCCAAGTTGAGCAATGTCTGTAGGATCTCGGGTGGGATGTTGGGCGACATGAGAGCAGTCTCCAAGCTGTGAACCAAGTCGTCTTGGTATTGCTCGTGGAGCTCAGTCCAGCAGCTGACAAAGCCGGCGTTGAACAACTCCTTGACAAGCGGGTGATAGTCCTGTGCCAGTGAGAGACATGAGCGCAGTGCGGGCGAGGGCGACTCACGCAGTAGCTCGACAGAGAAACGACGGATCCACTCGACCCAGTCCTCCTTGGTGGATCGCTGCGAGGTCTCCCACGCGTTCTTTAGGTGCTGTTCGTTGGCCTTGAGCTTCTTGAAGCTCATCTCCGGAGAGACGGTGGTCGTCACCTCCTCGGCCGATGTGTCAGGGTGGCGGAATCCCATCACCTCGTCGCTGGAGCCCGCCAACTGTTGGTTCTTGGCCGACAGCTTGGCGACGAGTTGCTCGTAGTTGGTATATTGAATGTCGCGCTTTTGCAACACCTTGCGCACCATTGGCACGAAGATGACGTAGTCTGAGCCCAGTTGATAGACGAGCGCACACAGGGTCTGCAGAGCGTCGTCCTTGAGCTCGTTGACGCCGTCGACGTCCAGCACACGTGCCAGGGGATGTATAATGCGCGAGGCGTAGTCGGAGAAGTTGAGCTTCTTGCACAGGCGGCCAATGGTTTGGATGGCCAGTGCGCGCACCTGTGATGGCGTGTCGACCTGCTCAAACAACTTGACGACAGCTGGTATGACGAGATGGAGGTAGTCGTCCAGGTTGGTGCCAAACACTTCCAGTGCTCGGAGCACCTTGGATGTTGGCATGCGCTTTGGCGAGCGATCCGAGTGCAACACGTTGAGCATCTGTGGGATGAGGTTGGGCAGGTAGACCTTGAACTCGTCGTTCAACGCCGATGATATCTCCTCGACAAGGTTGATGATGGGGATCAGCAGGTTGGAGTTCCAGTACTTCTCAATGAGAGCAAAGATGTCGACGAGGTAGTCGCGAATGTGTTGCTTGACGATGGACACGAGCGAGCTGAGCTGTTGGAAGAGGAACTCGCGGAAGCCAGGCTCGCAAGAGTTCATGACGTGGAGGAAGGGCGGCATGATCTGTGGTAGGAAGGGGATGCACTTCAGACCCAGACTCTTAAAGATGAACATAACAGCCTGAATGACGCTGGTGTGATGTGTAGACAATGATGGATCGCGAAGAATCTTCATGAGTGCTGTGATTGAGACCGTAGGGTAGTAGTCCTCGGACGACGGTGAGATTGTGACCTGCTCGTTGACTGCGTTGGACGAGCTCTTGTCATCGATCTTGGGGTCCTCGCGACGATGTCCAAGCTCGTTCATCTTGTGCTTGTAGGGGTCGAGCGCACCGAGGATGCCCAGCACCTTGATGACCTCGCGACGAATAGATTGATTGCGCTCGGTCTTGATGGCGTTGAGTAGGGTGTCGAGAAGTGTGGGATACTTGGCGAATGGACGAATGACATAGCCCGTGCTGGAGGCCAGCTGGCCGAGCGTCTTGAGTGCCACTTCACGCTTGCTAGTCGATGATTGATCTTGCAGGGTGTCGACAATGAGTGGGATGAGTTGATCGATGTGAACAGACATCTCCTCGCCTCCAACAACAGACAGCTCGCCGAGTGCCGCCAGAACACAAGAGGCGACACGTGGGTTTGGATCGCGCAGCTTGGGCATCAGCGCCTTGAGCACTGGCTCGACATATGGCTTGATCAAACGTTCGGACGCGCTTATCAGATGTCCGAGAAGACGCGCCGACTCCTCTTTGTTCCTGCTGTCACCACTGAACTCAAGCTCGGTCAGCAACTGGATGAGCGTCTTTCTGAGTGAGGGCATGACGTAGGCGGGGTTGCGCTGGGTCAGCCTGCCAATTACAGAGATGGCCAGCTCACGAATCTCAAACACCTCGTCGTTGAGCGCGATGAACAGACTGCGTAGGTTCTCGGCCTGAGCCAGATGGTGGTCAAAGTGGTTGTCGAGCGCGCTGAGTACAGTGCGGCGGATCGATGGGTTGGGGTCGGCAATACCCACTACCAACAACTTCTCGAGAATCTCGCCAATGATGAGCGATGTGTGGCCGCGCGAGAGGTTTGGCTCGTCGTGCTTGACCATGAGCTTGGTGCATGTGATTGAGGCTTCGCGTCTGATCTCGGGGTTGTCGTCCTCGAGGTAGGTGGACACGGTATCGCGAACAAACTCGATTAGGTTGTGATTTGAGAAGTCGAATGTGCCAAGCGTCCGCAGGGCCAGCGCAGTCATGGCTGGGTCCGAGTCGGGGTTTGGTTGGGCTGCGCCTAGGCCAGCATATGACGCAGCCATTTTGCGATAATGAAGTGGTGTTCCTGGCTCTTGGAAGGGCTTGTTTGCCAGCACCTGGGAGATGAGCATCAGCAAACGTACCTGGATCTGTGGGATGAGCGAAGGCAGCGACACGGTGAGGTCGCGCAGCGCGTCGACCAGGACGGGCGTGAGTCCGGCCATCATCATCTGGGGCAGGATGGTGCTGATGTGAGGGATCATCACGTTGCCCACCGACGTTGACAGCATGCTGACGCATGTTAGCACCTCGGGATTGAACAGTTTGCCCTTGGTCGTCAAGGCCGACTTGATCATCACGACCACTCTGTCCAAGTAGGGCTTGATGTTGCCGCCCACGGCCAAAGCAATCTCGCCCAGTGCAATAAATGAAGATGACCTCTCGTTCTGATTCTTGAGTGCCGCCAACAAGTGCGCCATGCATGTGTTCAAATGATGATGTGCAAAGTCTTTTGGAGAGAAGATGGCCAGTCTTGGAAGTAGTGTGATTACTGTGACGATGACGCGTATTATGTTAGTGATTGAATGAGGCCGGATTGATCGAGTCAACTTAGCTTACCTGTCTTCTTTACAAGCTTGTCGCGGTGGTCTTTGTAGCGAAGGATAGTGTCGCACACGTCCTTGAACTTGTTGTTCATAAAGTCGCCAGTGTTTCTTAGGAGCTCGCCAAGTGTGATGAGTGATCCGTGAATGGCCTCGGGCGAGCCGTTCTGTTTGAAGGCCTTCTGGGACTCGTCGTAGATCTTCTGATACCATTGCTGTCGCAGACGACTCTCACGCTCCGATATCAGCTCGAGACAGGCGCGCAGCGCCTCGACGGCACCCTCACGGATGGCCAGCTTGCTGTCTCGCAGCGCGCCCCATATCAGATCGACAAAGTTGGCGGCGTGCACGTAGAAGAGTGTTGGCGCGTTCTGGGCCAGCTCCTTGAGCACGAGCACCGAGGCGTGGCGCCTGTTCTCAAAGCGCTCGCCACCCAGCCACTCGAGGGCACGTGTCACCTCAAACTCTACGCACTCGGCCGTCAGCGTGCCGGATGAGCGCGCCAGACGTCCCAGTGCCTTGGACGCCATCTGCATCACAGTGGGGTCGTTCGTCGACAAGGCCAACCTTAGGAAGTTGGCTAACTTTGTAATCTTTGCTGCGCTCTCATCATAGTCTACATCAATCAGCTCGTCAATTGCCAATATACCTCCAATCTTGTCCGCAATCGCATTGCTATTGACCAATTCAAACAAGATAWTTATTAACATCCTGTATGAACTTGGTGAAGTTCTCGTTTGACATATCTCTCTGCATTGTTATGACCTAATATACATCAATTTGATGGCGATTAGTGATGAGTCTCATCTCGTTGTTCTCATTGTGAACAATGTAAGACATACATAGATGCTCAAACTCTTTGCTGCCTTTAATCTGTCCTCTTCCTTCTTATTCCTCAGGTCCAAGAAGATCTTATTGAGTGCATCAGCCCATTGAGGATGGGGATGTGAATGGTGATCCATCATTGACATTGTTGAAGTCATTTATATATATATATATATCTTGATAGTTTGTTTGATTGTTTTTGATATATTCGATTGTTTGATACAAATATATAAAGATATGTCTAATGTTGTTGTTGTTGATTCATTATCAACTTATAATATGTATAAATATATATATAATGTGGTATATCGTACTATTACTCTCTCTCTCTCTCTCTATTACAACAACAACAACAAATAAAGATATATAAAGAGATATTATGGAGTGTAAGTCTGAATGAATGAATGAATGAATTTGGACTGTGAAGATCCGTTCAAATGAGAGGACTATGACTCCAAAGTGTGGGGTAGTCGACCGAACCCCAAAGGTTGGGTCAGAATGCGTAAACATCTCACTAAGTATCTAACTCTTGAACTATCTTATCTACTTATACATTAAAATTACTATACATATAAACAAATAAACAATGAGTACTATTGATGCCACTTCTGAGGAATATCCCCAACAGACTGTATGTTACAAGTAATTATTGAATGAATGAATGAAGTCACTCACCCACTTTGGCCTCACATACCAACCTACAATGAAGGAGACAACTGAGCAAGACTATGGTGATGAATACAGAGCAGTACAAACATTCAGAGAGGAGATTGGCAATGCAAAGAAAGTCATTGTATGTTATGGTTGGATCTCAAGGCATAAGTGGCTGACAGACTGATTGACTGGCTGATTGATTAACTCAATGAATTGATTCGGATTATATAGGATACTCTCTCGACTTACCCAGATTCAGTGTTTAGATTGATGCCACAGCTTGATGAACCAACTGCCACAGAGGAGTCAAAGGCTCGTGTCCACACACAGTTGGCTGAGCAAGCAAAGAAGAGAGACGAGACAATCAAGTTGTTGGAGGATAAGTACTTCCCATTGTTTGCTTCAAACCCAGAGTTTGGTAAGTTGTTGTACATTGAATGAATGAATGGATATGTTGTGGACAGGTCACTAACTTGTGTGTTCCTATCCTGCTACTACATGTTTAGCCGCTTACAAGAGTAGCATTGAGGCTGTCATTGTACAATCGAGAACACAGACATTCCTGACACGTGATAATGTCTTTACTTTTGGTGCCGAGTGCAAGAAGATCACATCCGGTATCTTTAGGGATCAGAAGAAGTTGTTGGACAAGATGAAGGCCATCAAGAAGGCCCACGTCCCCACCACCACCACCGCCTAAGACTTAAGGCCACCTTTGACCGTGGACTTTGGACACTCTCAATCAATCAATCAATCAACGAACGAACGAATGAATGAATGAACGTATGAATGAAAGCTATCGAATACCATTTAATCTTTGATAATACGATCAAGTATCAATTGCCTGGAATGATCCATCTCGAAGAAGTAGTCGGTGGTCACATCAAAGTATGATCGACAGGCATCACTCAGTGTAACGGACGAATCATCGTTGATGTAGGTGAGAATGAAGGTTCTGATATTGGTCCCAGAGATTAGACCTGGCTCCATGATATTCACAAGTTGATCGCGAGACATTGAGTGCAGAGTGATACTGATGCCATGTAGAGATGGATGCATTTGGAAGCAAGAGAAGATCATTGTCATCTCAGAGTCTGTCAATGCCTTGCCATCGGTGTACTTGGTCGAAATGAATGTGGTCTCAAGGTTGGGAAGTAGAGGGATCACATGGCACAACGCCTCCAAACACTCTGGACTGTAGCAGTCGGGCAGATACACATGCTGCAGGTGTTGGTAGTTAGATAGACCGCGAATGATAGTGACGGGCAGCAGGACATTATGTTCGTCGGATGTGTTGAGACTGAGGGTGAGGATGTCTGGAGAGAGGTCCAGCTGCTCAATGTCCACCTTGCTTTTGAATTCCAGGCGCACATTGGTTAGCTGCTTGAGATGGGCATGATAGGCATTGGTGTAGACCATCGAGCGTATTGCCCGAATGAATGCACTATTCTTGCAACTCTTCTTCTTCTTGAGGAATGCTTCGAAGCCAGGTGTCATCTCCATCGCCTGGATCAGCTCGATATGGGACAGGTTTGGCGCGTCCAACAGATCCCAGGAGAAGTTTATGTTTGGCAGGCCCAAGGTCTTGAGATTGGGATATTGAGTATCGTCGCCAACTACATTGTTTGGCTCATATACATGCAACTCTTCTAACGTCTGGCTGGTATCACGGATGAAGTTTGTGGTGAGTGTGCCCAGTCCAGCATTGAGACGAAGTGCGGTGAGGCCCTTACTGATTGGGCCCAACACAGACAGGAACATGTATGTGTTGTGTACATCAACTTGACCGATTGATGTGATTGAGAGCTTGTCAAGGGGATTCTTTCGAAGTGATATAGGCATGATCACATAGTCAATGATGTGATGTGCGAATCTGTGAATGGAGAAGGACAACACAGTAACACGACTGAATGCCTTTGATTGCTTTATCAATGATCTCAATGACTCAAGTCGTTCGGTGTCTGCGGAAGTAGTAGCAATTGCAGGATGAGTAGGAATATTGTCCAATGATATACGCCATCTTGCTAATGGTTGATCATTGATCAAACTCCATTGTCTTGTTATCGCATCTTCGAATGTATGTCGCTTGATCTCTGAGCCTAGCAATAGTATATTTAGATTGAATGTATTATAACAACAAAAACAATATGAAGCATAACCAAACCATCTCTTTGATACCAATGCATATGTAATACAAGTGCTGCACTTCTTAATATCTGATTCATTATATATACATAGCTCTATTATTCTCTGTTCCAAAAAATGAGGTAATGTTGTTGTTGTTGTTGTTGTTGTCATTATGTTTTTAAATGTATTTGTGTATATGATTAGTGATTGAAGTAAAATAGATTGATTGTTTTCTCCCCCAAGAGTACAAAATAACATTGTCTTTGAACTAGATTGATATGATTGATATGAATGATTGGATGGTTGGTGAGTCAGATAATCAAATTTAGTATTATGAATTAGAATGATAGTATTAGAGTAACATAGTAATAATGTTATATATGTGTACATACATGTAATAGAGTGATATGGTAATGAGTGATGTCGATGCCCATTTGTCCAAGGACATTCACCGCAATGACAGAGTCACACACTCACACACACTACATCAAGATGAAGTTCAAGTGTGGGTGTTTAATTAATTTGAATTTGAAATTCCCGCCCTCTGAGATGACGGTTCAGTTCAAAATGGTGGTTGGTTAAGATGTGGTCCACATGTGTCTGTGACACTGGGCCACTACTCATCTTATTGTCATTGCACTCACTCTCTCCTACTTGTACACATACACTTATACATACTTATGCTTATACTTATACAAATACATCAATAATAAACAACACATTGACATGTATCACTCACCACGTTGTTCTGCCTTGTTGTCTCACTACTGATGAGTTACATGAGTTTGAGTTATGATATCAATCAATGAGTGAGTACAAATAGACTTCTAATTGAATCACCATCTGCTGCTTACTTACACTATCCTCTTCTTTTCTTCTCTCTTCTCCTCTGCCTTCTCATTGACCTTGTGCCTTGAAGCCCGCTGTGTGTGGTCCTTGTCCAAGTCTGGGTCACCTTACCTCTGTCTCCAACTAGATAGACGTCCGCCACGCCACCACCTTGACCACAGCCATGAACCTCTGTCTCCATCTGTACAGACGTCCGCCATGCTGCCAAGTTGTCCACAGGCCAGAACCTCTGTCTCCAACTTGACTGAGGTCGCCATGCTTCCTTGAGTGCCCAGTACGTCTGTCTCCCTAATCAATGAGTGAGTACTACCACCGATCACAACCTGATCACTTATACTCTGCTTACTTACACCTTTCCCTTCTTCTCTTCTACATTGATCCTGTGCCTTGAAGCCCGTTGTGGTCCTTCAGTATTCACCACCTCTGTCTCCATCTTGACAGACTGTCGTCGTGCTTCCACGTTGACCACAGCCATGAACCTTTGTCACCATCTTGACAGACGTCCGTGCTTCCACAATGTTGCCCACTGCCCAGAACCTCTGTCTCCAACTTACTGAGGTCGCCGTGCTGCCTTGAGTGACCACAGCCCTGAACCTCTATCTCAATCAATGAGTGAGTACTACCAATGATCGCACCATCTGCGCACTTATACTCTGCTTACTTACACCATTCCTTTCTTCTCTCCTCTTCTCTTTACCTTCTCCTTGACCTTGTGCCTTGAAGCCAGCTGTGTGGTACCTGTGAGTCCATTCCACTTGACCGAACCCCTCCAGCTACACAGACGGCTCCATTGTGCCTCCGCCATGCCGACCACAGTCCAGAACCTCTGCTTCCAACTTGACAGACGACTGCCGGCGTGCTGCCACGTTGACCACAGCCACGAACCTCTGTCTCCATATGCAAGCTGCCAAGTTGTCCAGAACCTCTGTCTCCAGCTAGACTGAAGTTGCAATGCTGCCCCGGGTCCATGAACCTCTGTCCCCAACTATCGATATGGACACAGTCCAGAACCTCTGACTCCATCTAGACTGCCACTCTGCTGCCACGTTGACCATAGTTCAGGACCTCTGTCTCCAACTTGACTAACTGCCACGTTGACTACCGCCCGCCTCCGAGCTGACCACCGTCATGCTGACCGCCTCCATGCTTCCATGATGGCCACCGTCGACAACCTCTGACTCCAACCAGACAGACAGCCACGATGACAAGTGCGACGCCATGCTGCCAAGTTGTCCACAGCCATGAACCTCTGTCCCCATCTTGACTGACCGGTTGCAGTGTTGCCAGACACGTTGATCACAGCCCAGAGCCTCTGTCTCCAACGTCGAGACAGGTATGGTGTATCCAACTGGAATGATCATAATCAAAGCATTAATAAACGATGAAGACAGGAGTTGTGCAAGTGTGACTTGGAAGGAGAATAACAACAATTGGAAAGGTACAACTCAATGATGTCGCCTGGGCACGGTTGCTGCCCAACGGCTTTAAAAAAAATAAAGGCAGCACTTGTGACAATGAGAAGAAACTCTCAAAGTCCTAAGTTGCTGCCATACCTGTCTCGACGCGGCCTTAACGTCTGATAGCGACAGGTGTAGTAGAAAGGCCAAGGCCACCCCCTTGGGGAGATGGCCAACGAAAACCAGTAACGAGCCCGACTTGTTACACATCAGCTTGCTGTTGTCATTCATTGTTCATATCATTAGTATTGGTTGTTGATTGATGATGTTAGTATGTTATTTGATTGATTGATTGATTGAGGTAGTGAGGAATGAATGAGTGCGTCCAATAGTGTAATGAATGATGATGGTGATCACTTACCATGTGTTTTCTTGAAGCCTCTTGATTGGCTAACCCGGGAAACCTATGGTGGTGACGTCGTTGCCAACGCCACCATGATTGAAGAAGTTATGTTAGTAGTATTCGCCCTTTTGGGGACTTGATTGTTGTGCGTTGGTGTACTTACTCTTTCAMTGTGTGTATCTCTAATGATCTCACCTGAAAAGGTGTCGATTGGATCGGGTCCTGGAAAGGTCCACCTGGGCTTGGCCTGGCTTGGCTCGGCGGAATGGCACACGGTCTGGCACGGCACTGGCACGGCACTGGCACGGCACTGGATGACTTGGAGGGAATAGACCTCGCAACGACAGGTCATCGTGTGAATGAATCACAACGTCTCCACTGTGTCATCTGGGTTCGGGTGATGGATGTAGGACCACTGATTGGTGGGTTGGTAACTCGACTTTGATGTTGTAGTTGTTGGTTGTTGGTTGATTGGTTTCAATCGCCAGCCGAGAGATATTTGGGTTATACCCATCACTCATCTGCTTGATCGACGGCAATATATATAGTGGTGAATTACTGTTTGTTGAAAAGGTGAGGGACCGGAGGAGAAAGGACAGGCTCATCCACCTCATAATCTGGTGATGGTGGGTATTGGTATCTGATTCCTAGGTGGGGTTGGCCTGGGTCTGCTTGGACCGCTGGATGATTGAATGGTATAGGTGGTTGTGGCATCATCACTTGGTCTCCTGGTATTGGTCCGAGGTCATGTGGCGGTTGTTGGATGCCAATGTCTTTCAGTGACATGGATGAGAAGCATCAAAGGTGATGATTGAATGGATGGTTAGTATTATTTTTTGACGGTAGCAAGCAAGTTCATTTGATATATACTTACCATTTGGAATTGGTTCCTGTTGACCATTGGGATGATCTGGCAACTGGTTGTTCTCTGGTAAGTTTGTCCTCCCAACGAATAGAGTTTGATGGATCTCATTGTGTGGTGTATATGTTATCCTAATTGGATCATGGACTCCATCAGTGCGCACAAGAAGTGTATAAATCACCTTTTTAGAAGATTCCTCGCCCAATAACAATGTCCTTGGTCGACTATCGAATAAACTTAGAATTGGGTACATTTTGATGACTGCTGTTTTTTTGTCAAAGTTTATCCTTATTAGAGTGATGACTCTGTGATTTAAGTCGGCCAGCAACAAGTTCTTGGGTATGTGACTGTTGAACAAAGGTCGAATGAGTTTGGCTGGATTGTATATATATTGATTATTATTATTATTATTATTATTATTCATTATTGATAGATTGATTGATTGGTAGCGTTGGAAAACACTGTTGAGAAAGATATTCTTGTATAGCAGATAATGGTTTGGCAATAGCCGAAGTAAAGAGTCTATGATATTAATGATAGATTGATTGATTGATTTATGAATCGTTGGTGAGTAGAGAGAGAATCAATGTTAGTATTATGAATTAGAATGATAGAATTATAATAACATAGTAATAATGTTATATATGTGTACATACATGTAGTAGAGTGATAAGGTAATGAGTGATGTCAATGCCCACTTGTCCAAGGACATTCACCGCAATGAGAAAGAGTGTGAGTGGGTTACTAGACACACACACTCACACACACCTCACACACACTTATAAAGACACAATTTGAATTAAATATTTAAATATATTTAATTAACAGATTGACCATTTAACGGTCCATTTGAATTTGTATCACTCAATACCATCTCAGTGTCATCATCAATGAAGTTCACGTTGATGAGTCTTGATTGAGGCTGAGTGATCGTTCCAACTGGAATACTATATGTGATCAGTGATGTACTATGAGCTTGCTGATGAGTGGCAAGTGAGCATTGTGATCACTCTATCTTGCGGGTACTGAGTGATTGAAACTCTGTCTTGAGACTAAATGGTTGTTCACCATCCTTGAGATTCGTCCTGTCCATGCTCAATGTCGATTAGCTCCTTCATGACATATATAGTCGAATGAACAAGTCAACGATCAACACCATCTCAGTGTCATCATCAATGAAGTTCACGTTGATGAGCCTTGATTGAGGCACGATCGTTCCAACTGGATACTCTGATGAATGAATGAATGAATGAATGAGCTTTGTTGTAAGAGACTGCTCTGATGTCCATTGTGATCTTGATGAGCTTGCATGTTATCGGTGTTCTGTCTGTTTGTCTGTCTCAATGTCTCTAACTGTCTGTCCACCTGTTTATGTATGTTTGATTAATCGATTGAATGAGGTCACAGCATCCAATATGGGCTGAGGGTTGATCCTATGTTCTATTTTGCTGGGACAGACTACTGATTGAATGACTGACTGACTGGGTAGGTGTTGTATGAATGGTCAATGGTGATACATGTCGCTTGATTGGAGTTCGCCAGGTTTTGTCTTGATATGTTTGCCTTTAATCGATGTTGACCTAGCGTCTTGTTCATCAATCCCAACTGGCGATAGAGAACTAATGTGCTCTACCTTGATGTGACCGACCTGCCTGATTGACTGACTGACTGACTAGCCATTCCAGCTCCTACACACCCTATTAGACAGGTTTGATCCAATGTTTTTAACGCGCTGCGTGAAACAATATTTGATGGACTGGTACCTGCTCGCAAGATTGTCTCTCTCACTGGCGCCATGTTGACTAAATGTGTTTGCCTTTGTGATGCGATACATGGTGCCTTTCCCGATTGATGTCTAGCCATTGTCCTCACTGATGTTGGTGGACCACCTTTCGTCACCAATGCTGTCTAATCATACAAAATGTTGCACAGTCCTAAAGCTTTGAGGATTCATTGATGGTGATGCGACTCTCGACTAACGATCTATGAGTGACCATCATCGAGTGGCAGTCAAACGAAGTTTGGCCACCCAATACCACGTTTGGATCTTGCTGTGTTCTTTGGGGAGCTCTTGCCCTTCAACTCTATTTAGAAAGTCTGCCACGCGCCAGGTTAGTCATCAATGAAACTCAATCAATCAATTGGATGAGTGAATGTGTGTACATACTCTTCGTTTCTCTCGACAGTCCTTTGTTTGGTCCTGTCGTCGTTGGATCTTGAATTGAGGTCGATGTAGCAATTACTTGTCCACTTTGATCAATCTCTGAGTGTTGTCTTTGGGACGTTGCTGGAGCATTCCCCATGAAGAATTATGACTCGTGGAGAGGCGTCTATACCTGAGGTCAAGTGCTCGCCAGAGTTGACTCGTGACTCGATTGGATGAGTGGTGTCCATGTCCACTTAATCTTAATTGATTGGTCGAGTCATGACGAGAAGACATAATAAGTACTGATGTATGAATGAATGAAGTGTTGTATTGGATACAATGATCACAAATAAATATCTTGGGAATGTTCCCCCACTGTTTTGGTTGACCACAACACCATTGACCAATAAAACAAGTGAAGTTCAATGAGGGTGTAAATTTGAATTTGAAATTAGCGCCCATTGGAATCGAAATAACGGTTGAGTTCAAAATGGTCGTTGGTTAGATTTGGTCCACATGTCACTCGGACCCTGGGTCACCACTCATCTCATTGGCATTGTACTCACTCTCTCCTACTTGAACACATACACTTATACATACTTCTGCTTTTACTCATACTAATATATCAATAATAAACAACACATTGACATTATCACTCACCACTTTGTTCTGCCTTTTTGTCTCACTACTGCTGATGAGTTTGAGTTATGATATCAATCAATGAGTGAGTACTACTTGACTTCTAATTGCATCACCATCTGCTGCTTACTTACACTATCCTCTTCTCTTCTCTCTTCTCCTCTGCCTTCACCTTGACCTTGTGCCTTGAAGCCCGCTGTGTGGTCCTTGTCAAAGTCAGTGTTCACCACCTGTATCTCAATCACGTCCGCCGTGCTGCCATGTTGCAATGAATCTCTGTCACCATCTTGATAGACTGCCGTCTGCTTCCACGTTGACCATGAACCTTTGTCACCATCTTGACAGACGTCCGCCGTGCTGCCACAGCCATATTGACCACAGCCCAGAACCTCTGTCTCCAACTAGATTGACAGACGCCATGTGTCTGGAGCCTCTGCCTCAAACTTGACTGCCGCCGTGCTGTTGACCACAGCCATGAACCACTGCCGCTGATGCCCAGAGTGTACCTCTGCCAACAAGCTGCCTGACCACCCGCCGCCATGCTGTCTGACCACTTCCCCTAACCTCTGCCGCCATGTTGCCTGAGTTGACATCTGCTGCCTGAGTCCATGAACCTGTGTCTCCAACTAGATAGACGACCGCCATGCTGCCACGTTGACCAACGCCATTATGACTCGGCCATGCTGACCGCGACCTGTCCACAGCCCACTACCACTGGTGCATAGCTGCCTGACCACTGCCGCCATGCTGTCTGCCACAGCCATGTTGACCATAGCCCAGAACCTCTGTCTCCAACGAAACAGACGGCAGGACTCCACCATGCTGCCTTGAGTGACCTTAGCCCTGAACCTCTGTCCTCAATGAGTGAGTACTACCAATGATAGCACAGCTGCTCACCTATACTCTGCTTACTTACACCATTCTCTTCTCCCTTCTCTTCTGTCTTCCTTTGTGCCTTGAAGACCTCTGGGTAGTCCTTGTCAAGTTACTTTCTCCAACTAGACAGACGGCCGCCTTTGTGACTCGGCCATGCTACCAAGTTGTCCACACCCCGAACCTCTGTCTCCATCTAGAATGAGGTCGCCWTGTGCCCTGACTGACCACAGCCCAGAACCTCTGTCTAGACAGCCCCATTGTGACTMTGCCATTCTGACCACCGCCATGCTGCCAGGTTGTCCAATGCCAAGCTGTCCACAGCCCAGAACCTCTGTCTCCAACTTGACTGACTGCCGACGTGCTGCCACGTGAACCACAGCCACGAACCTCTATCTCCATCTGTACAGTCGTCCACCATGTTGCCAAGTTGTCCAGAACCTMTGTCTCTGCTAGACTGAAGATGTCCTGAATGACCACGGCCTCCCATTCTGCACCGAGTCAACCTCTGTGGTCCGTCGCCGTGTTGCCAGACACGTTGATCACAGCCATGAACCAATGTCTCCAACTTGACTGACTGCCAGGCGTGCTCCCACGTTGACCAGCCCTGAACCTCTGACTCCAACTAGACTGCCACTATGCTGCCACGTTGACCCGCCTCCATGCCAACAAGATGGGCCATCGTCGACAACCTCTGACTCCAACCAGACAGACAGCCGCGATGACAAGTGCGCCGCCATGCTGCCAAGTTGTCCATCTCGAGTTGACCACAGTCCAGAACCTCTGTCTTCAACTAGAAAGACGCCACGCTGACAAGCGCACCGCCATGTTGCCATCAGATCATTGACAGACCACAGCCATCCTGCCAAGTTGACGAGTGTTTCCAAAGCATTAATAAACGATGAAGACAGGAGTTGTACAAGTGTGACTTGGAAGGAGAATAACAACAATTGGAAAGGTACAACTCAATGATGTCGCCTGGGCACGGTTGCTGCCCAACGGCTTTAAAAAAAATAAAGGCAGCACTTGTGACAATGAGAAGAAACTCTCAAAGTCAACAAAGTTGCTGCCATACCTGTCTCGACGATGCCCAAAGTCTAATAGCGACAGGTGTAGTCCCCAGGCCGTGCCCACCCCTCTTACATGGTGGGCCCACCCGTCCCTCTTGCATGACAGGCCGACCCATCCCTCTTGCATGATGGGCCACGGCCACCCCCTTGCGGAGATGGCCAAATGGTGATGGGAGGAAATGTTAGTAGGATTCGGTCCTGGAAAGGTCCACCTCGGCTTGGCCTGGCTTGGCTCGGCGGCATGGCTCACGGTCTGGCACGGCACTGGCACGGCACTGGATGACTTGGAGGGAATAGACCTCGCAACGACAGGTCATCGTGTGAATGAATCACAACGTCTCCACTGTGTCATCTGGGTAAGGGCGATGGATGTAGGACCTCTGATTGGTGGGTTGGTAACTCGACTTTGATGTTGTTGTTGTTGTTGTTGTTGTTGTTGTTGTTGTTGTTGATGTTGGTGGTTGATTGGTTTCAATCGCCAGCCGAGAGATATTTGGGTTTTACCCATCACTCATCTGCTTGATCGACGGCAAGATATAAATAGGTGAATAACTAATTGAAAAGGAGAGGGACCGGAGGAGAGAACACAGGCTCATCCACCTCATAATCTGGTGATGGTGGATATTGGTATCTAGGTAGTTGGTGGTGGCCAATGTCTGCTTGGGTGACTGGATGACTGGATGGAATCGTTGGATAAAGTTGGTCTCCAGGTCTTGGTCCGAGGTCGGAAGGTTGTTGATTGATTTCATTGTCTTGGATGAAAAGGACATGGACGAGGATGGTTAGTACTTGGTTTTACAGCAGACAGGCAGACATCACTCAATCATTGAATGAATGAGTTCATTTGATGTAAACATACGATTTGGTCCCATTTGATTTGGGGTGGATACTGGTTGCCTACTGGGGTAGACAGGCAACGATCGTAATATCCTGAGACAGATACAGTGAATGAGTTGGACATTACTATTCTCCTGGTTGAGAGGAGCGTATGGGACAGTATTCGCAATGACAAATGCGACATCAAGAGGAACCCTGCGTGAGAAACTGACTCCATCTTGATCCTTTCCAAATAAAATCTTTGGTCGCCTGTTGTCGAACAGTGGTTTGATTGGTTTGACGTATGGGAGTATGAGAAGTGTCGCGCCAATGTCAATGAAGACCTTGAACTTCCTGATGATCGTGCCTTTTTTGGTGGCCAGAAGCAAGGTCTTGGGAACTGTCGGGTCAAACAACAGTCTAAGGGGCTTGGCAGGTGGATAGAGTGATTGAATATAATTAAATTGCATTGTAATAATAATAATAATAAAGTCGAGTTGAAGAAGGCGTAGTAGTGTTGGAAAACACTGTTTAAAGTGATATTATTGTTATGTAGATAATAGTTTGGCAAAAGCCGAAGTAGAGAGTCTATAAATAATAATAATATGATTGATTGATATTGATTGATTGGATGGTTGGTGAGATAGAGAGTCAATGTTAGTATTATGAATTAGAATGATGATAGTATTATAGTAACATTGTAATAATGTTACATAAGTGTACATACATGTAATAGAGTTGATAAGGTAATGAATGATGTCAATGCCCACTTGTCCAAGGACATTCACCGCAATGAGAGAGTCTGTGAGTGGGTGAGCAGTGACATCCTCACACACACACTCTCACACACTCACACACACTCATAAACACACAATTTGAATTAAATATTTAAATATATATTTAATTAACAGATTGACCATTTAACGGTCCATTTGAATTTTTATCACTCAATACCATCTCAGTGTCATCACCAATGAAGTTCACGTTGATGAGCCTTGATTGAGGCCTGAGAGAGCCCAACGATCGTTCAGAGTATACTCTGATGAATGAATGAATGAATGATGAGTCTGTTGTTGACACTGCTCTGTGATCTTGATGTGCTTGCATGTGATCGGTGGTGTACTATGCGCGTGTTGATGAGTGCCAAGTGGGCCATGATGATTGAATGAGTGCATCGCTTCACCTTCAATTGGATGTGATGCTCTATCTTGCTGCAACTGACTGATAGTCTGACCGCCTGGGTGAGTGTTGGTTCGATGGTCACTAGTGATGCATGTCCCTATGAACAAGATGAGCTCAAGTTGTCCAGGTAATAGATTGAGTGTACTGTTGTGGTAGAAGCGCAGTGAACGGCTCCTGAAGATGTTGCAGGTTGGACTAGACATCATTATCGAGATGTGATGCCCCAATAACGGTGATCATTGAGTCGAGCATGGTGGTCGAGTTGTTAAGACGAGTATCGAATGAGTTGGAGACGATGACAGCTTCTTGTCGAGGTTGTTCTCAGAAACGTCGATTGGGACTCGTGCACCGATATGATGCTGGTGATGCGCTGCTCCAGCGGCCTCTGCAGTGTGCATCTGTGTTAAGCCACTGCAGTTGGGTGCAATGAGGATGAATGTGCTAGATCTTGCTGTGACTGCATGATTGAGCGATCAATTCTGCCATGAGATTATCCCCTTTGCGATGGCTTCCTCACCACGATGATTGTGCATCTTGATGTTGGTGGTGCCATGGGCTTGGCGGACAACAGCGAGATTATCGTGAATGGCGGGCTGATGTGGGAGGTGAGCAGTCACCTGCCAAGGTGTTGAGTGATGAGATGAGAGTGTCAAAGATGAGCTGTGTGAAACAATGTTGGTGATGAGTTGATTTCCCAATCGATGTCTCGCCATTGTTTTCTTTACATTACTGATGCTTGCAACTGATTGGTTATGGAAGTTGGCGGACCCCTCCTCTCCGTCGCCGGTGCTGTCAAACCTGACCATGTTGTTCAGTCTCCTTAAGGGCACTCCCTTATTTCAAATTGATGGTGAATGACTCTCGACCACCAACGAGCTGTCTGTATGAATCCACTGCCTCACAGAGTGACCATACCAATCCCACTATCCAACTCGTTGACCACAGTGATCTCTTTGGACGCTGCTTTTCATGGGAATGTGGCTGCCTTCTTGCCCTTCAACTCTCACCTCCTGAGGTGGGGGACTAGGCGAATTGTGAAAGACTTCCTCGGTGATGGGGACCTCGCCATGCTGCGTGTATCTTGGTTGAGACTGGTGACCACCGAGATTGTCACTGGATCCAGACAACCATCTGGTCGGTCCGATCACATGCATGATGGGCTTGGCGCTTTGTCGATCGTCACGGGGCAGTGCTCCTCCTGTATCAAAGAAGAACGAGATCAGAGAAGACCAGCATAGCAGACTTGATTAGTTGAGCGGTAACGTCTGTCTGTCATCATGACAGCAAAAGTGTGATAGATGGATGGGATGGCCTTCTGGGATACAATCCGATTCGGTCATGTCATTGTTTGGGTACCCATTGCATTGAAATTGAATGTTTGATTATATATATATATTATAAATGCTGATGTTGTAGTATGAATGAATGAATGAATGAATGAATCAATTGATGAAATAATGTAGTGTTTTAAAGATCAACTTAAATATCTTCCCCCACTGTTTGGAATGAACTTCCATTCAACTTGATCATTTGAACTTCAAGTGTGGTTGGTAGTGTCAGTTATTGGGATTCGAATTTGAAATTGTCGCGGTAACCAGGATTGACAACGGCTGGGTTTCAAAATCCGTCAATGATGGTTGGTTGAATGGTGCGTGTGACACTCATGGTGCGACATAGACAGCTATAAATACGAAGCACTTCTCTCTCATTGATTCATTCATTCTTCTCACTCTCTTACTTATACTTGTATACATACATGTCCTGAACCTTTGTTACCTTACCTTGAGCTCACAGAAGTGCCGTGCTGTTGACCTCTGCCGCCATGCTGTCTGACCTCTGCCGCCTTGCTGTCTGACCTCTGCCGCCATGCTGTCTGACCCCTGCCGCCGTGCTGTCTAACCACTCCCGCATTGCTGCTGATCTCTGCCGCCACGCTGACTGACCTCGAACCTCTGCCGCCGCAGTCTTACCTCTGCATGTGCGGCCGTGCTTTCTGACCGCTGCCGACGTGCTGTCTGCTGACCTTTTGCCACCATGCTCTCTGACCTCTGCTATCGTGCCGTCGTGCTGTCTGACCGCTGCCCCGATCTCTGTCGCCATGCTGACCTCTGCTGTCGTGCCGCCGTGCTGTCTGACATCTGCTGTCGTGCCGCCATGCTGTCTCTGACCTCTGTCTCCAAGAGCCTTTGTCTCTCATCCTGCTACGAACCTCTGTCACCAGCTAGACTGTCTCCCTCAATGCTTGAGCTGCCGCTGACCTCTGCCACGAAGCTCTGATCCTAATCCAATAAATTGATGTTGATGGCTCGCATGCCATGTCTACAAACAACTACTTTTATTATCTGATTGTTGATGTTTGATCGACTTGAATATGATTGATTCCTTGATTGATCAGTTACAGAAAGATAGCAGGTGTACAGTGTTGAAGTAATTAATGATCAACCAATCAAGGTTTGTAGCTTTTGGTGAATCTTTGGAATGGCGTACATGGATCTTGGTAGACTGCCCCGGGCGTTCCATACATCTTTATCAGGTCCTTCTCGTATAATGTTGTCAGGCCGTTGGTAAAGCCAATGTTGGTAAGTAGTTCGTCTGGTCGTGGTGCTGGGATGAACACTTCTTCGGCCAGCTGCTGAAAGATATTCTTGCCAAAGTAGTTGGGAACAGTGCGATCAAACACTCCCGTGGTCTGTATGATCATGGCAGAGCCACTTGATGACATTGGTGATATGGTATTGAGCAGGTTGGCAGTGTGCTCTGGCTGCAAATACATTAACAGTCCCTCCAGAATCCATATTGATGGCTTGTCAGTTTGGAAACCTGATTCCTTGAGCTTGGATGTCCATGTATCGAGGTACCTCAGGTCCTCTTTGATATCTACATTCTTTGCTTTTGATATTGGCTCGATTGCCAACATGGCAGACTCCATGACATGTCTCTTGTACTCTACCACCTCTGCGACATCTACCTCGAACACTGTGACACTGTGGTCTAGAGGCAACCTCTGAGCTCGAGTGTCCAGTCCAGAGCCAAGTATGACGACCTGTTTGATACCATTCGAGACACCTTCGAGTACAAACTCATCAATCAATCTTGTCCTGCATGATACATGGTTTGAGATCATCTCATCAAAGAGCAGTGTCCAACCTTGCATGATCTGAGCCTCTGATGTTGTGCTCGACTTGAAGAAGTGAGCAATCGAGTCTACACTAGACACATCAAGTCCACTTGATATCAAGCTCTGGTATAGGGGATCTTGGTCAACAGTTGGTTTGAACTTTGGCAATGTATGGAAGAACTCTGCCAAGATGTCTGGAGAGGATTCGTGACGAATGAAGAACAGTGCATATGGGTCGATGATGGTCAGCCGGACATCACTACACAGGTCTACTGGGTTTGTATAACAATACTTGGCGTACTGTTTGACTAATGGCTGTTCATAAGGTTTATACAATGCATCATTATTGAATGAAACCAACTTATTACTCAAGTATGTTCGAATTGCCGCGATGAGGACAGAGGTGCGCGCTACACTCTTTGATATAGTTGGAGCCATTTCATTCAAGTTGCAAGGAGTTGGAAAGGATTGTATATGTATATTTATGTATGTATAATGAATGGATGAATGAATGAAATGAATGAGTGAAGTGATGATCATTCTTCATGACCCCCATCTCATCACTTCCATCACACTCCATATATGGCAATATTTAATTGATGGCGAATCTACGATGCATGCCAACTTGGGGTCTTGCACCGCCGTCTCACTCTCAAGGTAGAAAGGTGCGTACTGTTTGAGCATGGGTAGTTCATACTGTTTGAACATCGTCTGATCATTCAAGCCGACCAACTTGTTGGTCAACAGTGTCCTGATGGAGGCAACTGCAACCGATGTTCGAGCCACGCCAACAGAGATACTACTAACCTCAACCTTGTCAACAACCATTTCAAACGACATTGACTCTGTATTCTTAAGTATTGACTCCATCCTGTTATTTATATGATATGGATTATTTGAATGATGTTTGATGAATGTATGTAGTTTCTGATTGTTTCCGAATTAGGACATGATCAGATATTTCCATTTTGGGCGCTCATTGGTATTCAACAACATTTTAGTTAATAATTATTCGTTTGTAACGTTTGGGTTGAATGGGGAATGGTTCCATTGGACCCTACCCTCGCTCAGAAGCCCATGACAAAGTCATACCAGAGTGATATGACGATGAGCCGCAGTGGGTTGTAGAGTAGACGTCCGACAATTCCTTGATTGACACTCTTGCGATAGATCCGTATTGCTTTGCGTGGGAACTCTAGTAATAGTTGTTCATCAATGCTTGACACTCTATTGATCAGCTCCACCTGCAGCTTGGTGAATGCATAGTCAAACGTTTGCATCTGTGTTTGGAATACCGATAGATGTTGTGTTGCCAACACGCCAACAGTGGCCGCCACTGCAATCGGGAGTGCCGGTGAACGGAACAGAAGGAACTCGACAACATACTTGCCGAATGCAATTGCCGTCGAGTCGCCAGCCTGTGGCAGTGTTATGCTCGTGTCGCTTGCATACATCTGCTGTTGGAAGTTGAATGCAAAGACGAAACAGACAGCAAAGAGCAAGTTGTATATCATCTCCATGACGAGCAGCATCGTTGCCTCCTTGAAATATTGATAGAATGTTGGTGGGACATGTGCAAACTCCTCTCTGATGCCAGACTCGACAATGTTGCTGCGATAGGCAACGGTAACCTTGTCGTCGCTGCCGTCACGCACACTGATGCCACCTCTGTCATCATTGAACTGATGCTTTATCTTTTGTTGTAATGCTCGATAGCTGATGAATGTAGAGACCGCAGTCAACAGGATGATGTTGATGAATAGTTGGATGTCGATGGTATGAGATTGCTGTGATCCACTGATGAATGTGCTTGAGCGAGTGCCAACAGCACTCCAATATCTGTCGTCACCGACGAGGAATCGAATGACAAGTATGAGCATGGCATTGGCCACCAGTTCGACAACGAAGCCTCTTGCGAATACACTCCAACCAAACTCATCAATGAAGCACTCCTCTGCTACACGTCTCTTCTTGACCACTGTATCACGTGATTGCAATCTCCACAGGAACGAGTAATATCTCTTTACAATCGGGTATGCCTGTCTTCTCATTCTCCACAATTCCAAAGGATATGTAGTGAATGTTGCAATCACAACTGCAACAGACAAAGCCCATAATGAATACAACAATGTATGTTGTTGTGTGAATGTTGAATCTGTTGTACTATCCATTACTACTAACTGATTTATGTTTATGATTGATTCATTGATTGATTGAATAGTTCAGTTCATGGACCCCTTTCTAGCAAATACGAATGACCAATGTTGACTATACATAATGAATGAAGTTCAAATGTTATTAGACATTGACACCATCAATCAATGTATGTTGAGCTGTGTTCAATAGGTCTAAGATGGTATCGCTATCACTATCGAGCGCGAATCACATTCCTATTTATTTGATCACTTCTGCCCACCCTTTTTAAGTGTACACATAATCTACATTTGGAACACGCAATGCTTCTTTTGAAGGTTACAAAATATCCAATTCTGGATTTGTACCCAATTACCTGAACAAACAAACCCCAAAATGTCAAGGGAAAGTCACTTAAAGGTTGCTTCCCTCACTCTTTCATTCATCATTGTACATACATACATATATAATTACATTGTTTATGTTAACAACAAGCACAAAGACATATTAATAATCATTCATCACCATTATAATCATTATTTATTTATTATTACTACTTAACTTACTTAAGTTATAACTTGTATATAGATATTTTAAGGACACAAAGTCAAACATGTATAGATTAATATTATCAGTTATAAATAGAACAAAGTTACTTGTACTTAGGAATAGCAATGCCCATAGTAATAGGATTGCTTATTTCAATGAACAATACAATCCTTTGGCAAAGCTGGATGTTATACCTAGACATATGAACCAACAACAGCTACTCTTTGGAAAGAGTGATCTACTGAATGAGCTTGGCACTGGTGTAGGATCAGTCGGTTCTGGATGCAATATTAGACGTTTGGAGTGATCGATCTAGTGATTGCCACTTTGGAGATGTCCATCTCTCACTCTATAAGTTGTCAGCCAGCCAGCCAGCCATGCCAGCCAGCCCAATCAGTCAGTCAATCAATCATTCAGTTTGGATTCCCAACTCTCCCTCAAGAATGGAGATGTCGTTGATCACCATTACTATCATAAGTGGATGGCAACGACACATGATTGGATGATGTGTCGACACATCATCAAGTTGACGAGATTATAAAGTAATAACAACCCGATGTAACATTACACTACACATCCTGCTCCTGCTCCTCTCTCTTTGTTTATTATTTCAATGTCAACGATACAGTGTTACCAATTACATCCATAAAGTAGTATGGTGGGTAGTAATTGTTGTCCTTATCGATAGTGTCTGGCACCCAGCTTTGAATGATCAACTCGGAGGTGAAGTTGAATGTTCCTGTGCACTTTGTTGGACAAGTGACATTGAATGTGAAGTCATATGTAGTACCCTCATCCATTGCTAAAGTAGTCAATGAGCTTGGACCTGCAAACTGGCTATCCCTTGGTGCCTCAAGTGATGTATACGTTCCAAGTGTCGTTGGGAGTCTATTCATTCATTCGTTGAGTTTTTTAGTTAGTTAGGTAGGGGCACAAGGTGGACCTGATCATCTACTTACAGGCTTAGTTCAGATAGTCCTGGAATGGGGTTGTTGTAGAGCACGGTTCCAACAAAGATTGTTTGATTTCCTTGGCTGGACTCAACATTTAGAGTGATGTCCAAAGGCCAAATTGCACAACCAAAGAATGGTGTTCCTCTCGGACTATCCACCTCGGTATAATTCCAAAGTGTAGTAAAGTTGGAATAAGGAATCACAAACACCTGAGGCTGGCCATCTCTATCCCAAGGGTCGAGGGTAGTAAACGTCTCATCATCATCCTAGTGATATATAATGTTAGTGATCATGGCCATACTAATTTGATCAATCAATCATACTTACATTGTAACCAATTACAACTCTAAAGTGTCCACCAGGTGATTCGACAGAGTAGTGCATTAGGACAATCACGGGGATGTTTAGGTAGATAGAAGTCTTGAGTGAGTCGGTCCATTCTTCATTGGATGAATAACCAACGGCATTGAGTCCATGTGGATAGCCATTGAATCCTTCGAATGATTCGTGATTCTTCCACTTTGTACCTTGCGATTGACTTAAAATTGAGAATTGAGCAACACGTGCAATGTCATAAGATAGTGTTCCAACACTCTTTGATGTCCTGGCAACATCAACTATCTGTTTCTGTGTTATATTACGTCCATAATAAGACAATACCATTTGTAATGAAGCATCCCCACAGTTATAATTCGTCTCTTGTCTATGATAAGGTACACCATCAATCATCCATTGTGAGGGTATTGCCATCACAAACAAAGATGATGTCACCAACAATGCAATTATTATTATTTGTATCTTCATCTTAATTATTATTATGAATCAATATTGAATGAATGAACATTGATGAATCTTTGGACCAACCTTAATCTTGAAGAATGTGGATGGTCAACTTCCAAAAAAGATCTGGAAAGATCAAACGATATTTTAGAATCTGGACTTCCGCAAAAGGTCAACCCACATTCGATGTTTGTTCATTATTCATTCTTTTCGCTACATCATTCTCCGACGACAGTATCTACAAATAATAATAATAATATATAATAACATGTTGAACAATCTATCAAGTGAACGAATCGAACAGATATCAATATTTGTAGACAATGACCTTGATGTATTATCACTTATATTTACATGCAAGAGAATGTATAGTTTGAAGCAGATGTTGTTACCTCATGTACAACCATCAACTTTAAAGAATCATATAATGTCAGATACACCCAGTTATAATAATGATGATAAAGATAAATATAGTGATGATAATCCAAGAGAGAGGAGTATAAATGTAAAATCTATTCAAAAGGACTTCAAAGACAAATGCTCAAACCTACCGCCAACAGTGACCAAGTTGAAGCTATGTTTTAGAAACGAAGAAAAATCGATACCAGCCGGAGTGCTACCTCAATCACTGCTCACTCTCTCGTTATCGTTCAACTTTGGCGGCAAGATCATACCGGGCTCACTTCCCGACTCGCTCACCAAGCTCAAGTTCAAGGAGTCATTCATCAATCCATGCATTGGTACCTGGTACACTGCCCGACTCACTCGTCACACTGGACATGGGCCAATTGAGAATGGCAAGCATGTGTCCACCAATTGGGCCTGGCGTACTACCGCTATCACTTGTCAAATTGACTCTACATAACCTGAGGTGCATTGGTCTAAGATCGCTACCAGCCAAACTGAGGTATCTGACATTGGAGCATGTTGAGGTCAATGATACCGACTTAAGGCCAGGTCTCCTGCCACCCTCACTCACATTCCTTGATCTTAAATATGTGACTCCAAAGCTCAATGTCAAGACATTCGCCATTTCACAGCCAAGATCCCTTCACACATTGGTCATGCCACAGCGCAGTCAACAGTTCCACAACGAGGCATTGCTTCCCAACACGATCAGAAGTCTGGCACTGAGCGGGTCGTTGGCACAGAGATGGGACACAGTTGTCCTTCCAGCTCTCCTCACACATCTGTCACTTGGCAGAGTCAGCCCAAAACAGTTCGATCAGTCGGTCTCCTGGAGGAAATTGACTTTCCTCAGTTGGAAGTGTTCGACTCCAAGTTGGATGCATTCTACCTCAACATCTCAAAGCCGCTCAAGAAGCTAGACCTGGCATTGATGGTCAATATCAAGATTATGTATGGGTACATTCCCAATTGCAAGACCTATCATTTTCTATTTAGCGATTCATCGTTGATGCATCTGAGACGACTTGACAAGAAGACCACACTATGTATGGTGCAACGACGTAATAAGACAATCGAATCTAGAGATAGCTCTAATAGGTTCGGCCAGAGATCTGCTCATGCATTAGGTCTCAACATTCCCATCATCAGCAGATCCATCACATTTGGAAGCAAGGCCAACATGAACAACACATTCATACAGATACTTACTTTTCCACCATCATTCTTTAAGGTTAATAATAAATGAGTATTTGGAATACCATCCAAGATCCATCTATGATCAAGATATAAGAGTGCACTGAATGATCAAGATATATAGTTCACTAAATGATTGATCAAAAGACGAACCAATGAGTGTGTTTCGTCTTTTTCATTTTCATTGAAGAGAGAACAATGTCAACAGATAATAACGATTCACAACGAAGAGAGAATATAAAGAAGATTGTGGAGTCAACATCAAAGTGTGTAGTGTGCTCCCAACTCGTGCCTCCCATTCACTTACCCAAGCATATGTATGAATGTGCAAACATTCTTTTAGACACAATCAGACTGCACATTCAAATAGTCGATCCCTCAACAACATCCCCAACAACTCCATCAACAAGTCATACTCATTCTCATAAGAAACCAACAACAGACAGTCTTCTACAACCAAACTTTCTTTTTGAAGACATCGCCAACAACACTCCTGAGACTACCAATGTTCGATGTACAAGTGTCGTGGCATCATCAACAATATCAACAACGCAGACACAGCCACAGACCCATACCAAGACACACAACAACCCATCGACAACATCAATCAGTAATCCATCATTGGAATTTGCATTGTCATTGGCATCACATAATTCCAACAATTGTTTATCTAAACTACCATTGATTGTACTCAAACAGATCATCAAATATTTTGGCCAAGACATTGACACTTTGGTACTACTGATGACATGCAAACAACTCTATTCATTGTTGAAGTCACTGTTGCCGCATATTCGACCATCCAATGATAAATGGAGACATATTGATGAGTGGAAAGTGGCTGAGAGGACTGAAGGTGGCCCAACATGGCGAACCATGTTGATTGACAAGAACATTCAAWTTCCCTCCAACCTTGACGTGTCTGACCTTAGAGAAATCCAAGGGCAGTTCCAAAGGCTTGCCAATAACACCTGGCATCCTACCTCAAACACTGCTCGAACTTAGAATGGAGTACCCGATCGAGATCACACAGAACATCTTCCCAGAGTCACTGGACACTCTATCACTTCAATCATATAGGAATGACAAACTTGAGCCTGGTTTGTTGCCAGAGTCAATTAGACGACTGGTTATTGTCAACAATCTATTCAAACCAATCACTCCTGGTGTACTACCGACACGTCTAAGACAATTGAAGATATGCTCAGTGGATGGCGTCACAAGGAGAATACTGCCAAACACTCTCAAATTCTTGACAATCATGGACTTTAGAACACCGATCACCAGCGAACAACTGCCAGAGTCACTCACTTGGTTGACCACTGATGGAGACATACCAATCCTGTCCAAAGACTCAAAGCTACTAACCTTGGATTTGGCTGGTTTCAAAGCCAGACAGCACATTCAGTATGGACAACTACCAGACTCAATCACTCGCCTGTCAATTCCCCGTGCCACAGGACAGAACAAGGGCAATACGGCATGGCCTCCACTACTGTCTCACGTAACCCTGGGCACAACCAGCCATTTCAGATTCGACGGTACCTTCCCCAAGACTCTGAGATCAGTCGGAGTCAGGGACCCCATCCAACTCGAGGGTCAACTACCTCGCTTCACCACCAAAATAGATAGTCTTCATCTCACAATCTATCTACTGGCAGAGAAGGCAACTGCTAAGAAGCTGCTGCGATTCATCAAGTCTCTATACATTAGTGTTCCCAATGTGACCACCTACTACTTGAAATTCTTGGACGGCTCACTTATGAAGCTGCGACGACTGGACAAACGCTACACACTGAGCGTGTTTCAAAGGTCATCAGACCCCAGGTCTTTGTATATCGCATGGCTCTATTCGCGTTACCTCTCGAGTGATGTAAATGCTGAATGTCACTCATTGGGTCTCCAAGCTCGTTTGACAAATCGTTTCAACAAAGAAGATAACAACAACACCTTTGTCCAGATAATGACCATTCCTGATGCTGTTGCCCAAACCAAGATGAAATAAATAAATCGCGAAACACGTGGTTGGTTTGGACAAACGAATGATCATTTTTATTTTCGTTTAAGTGATAACAATGTCAACAGATAAAAACAATGGAGATTCACAACGCAGAGAGAATATAAAGAACCTGGTGGAGTTAACAACAAAGTGTGTAGTGTGCTCGCAACTCGTGTCTCCCATTCACTTGCCCAAGCATATGTATGAATGTGCAAACATACTTTTAGAAACGATCAGGCCTCATCTTCAAGTTGCCGATCCTGCAACAACGCCAACAACAACTCAAACGTCTCCATCAACTCCAACAACTCAAACAACTCAAACAACAAGTCATACTCATTCTGATAAGAAACCAATAACAGACGGTCTTCTACAACCAAGCTTTCACTTTGAAGAACTGGAAAACACTCTTACTAAGTCACAGTCATCGACACCGACCAACTCAACAACATCAATCAATCAATCATTGTCGTTGCCATTGTCATTGTCATTGTCATCCAACAACATATCTAAACTACCATTGATTGCACTCAAACAGATAGTCAAATATGTTAACGATGACCTCAATACCATGTTACTCTTGATGACGTGCAAGCAACTCTATTCATTGTTGAAGTCACTGCTGCCGCATATTCAGCCATCCAATGATAAATGGAGACATATTGATAAAAAGGAAGTGAGAGAGAGGACCCAAGGTGGCTCAACATTGCGAACCACCTTGAATGATAACAGCAAGAACAATCAATTCCCTCAAACCCTCACACGTCTGATCTTAGAGACGTCCAACGGCAGCATCAATGGCTTGCCCATAACACCTGGCATCCTACCTCAAACACTGCTCGAACTTAGAATGGAGTACGAAATCGAGATCACTCCCAACCTCTTTCCAGAGTCACTCAACACTCTGTCACTTGGTAAATACAGCAACGCCAAACTTGAGCCTGGTTTGTTGCCAGAGTCAATCAGACGACTGGTGATTGGAGACAATCGATTCAAACCAATCACTCCTGGTGTACTCCCGACACGTCTAATACAATTGAAGATATGTTCGGTGGATGGCGTCACAAGGCGAATGCTGCCAAACACTCTAAAATTCTTGACAATCATGGACTTTTTTACACCAATCACGAGCAATCAACTGCCAGAGTCACTAAATTGGTTGACCACTGATGGAGACATACCTATCCTGTCCAAAGATTCAAAGCTACAAACCTTGAACTTGGTCGATCACTTTTGCAAACAACATATTACGAGTGGTCTACTACCAGACTCAATCATTCGCTTGTCGATTCCCCGTTCTTCTGGTCAGCCCAGCAGCAAGACGGCATGGCCACCACGATTGCTTCACGTGGTCCTGGCCAGCCTCAACCATTTCAGGTTTGATGGCACCTTCCCCAAGTCTCTGATATCGGTTGGAGTCAGAGATCCAGTCAGATTTGAAGGTGTACTTCCACCATTCATCACCAAACTTGATAGTTTCCATCTCATTGTCAATCACAAGCTAAAAAAGGAGAATGCTCGTCCTCTGCTTTTATTCATCAAGCATCTATTCACGAGAGTTCCCAATGTTACCACCTACTACTTGAGGTTCACCGATGGATCACTTATGCAACTGCGACGACTGGACAAACGCAACACCTTGAGCATATTACAAAGGTCCACAGACAGCAGCTGGGAAACAATTTTGGCAAATATCCCAAAGTACCTCCCAAGCGACATTAATTACGAATGTCACTCATTGGGTCTCAGTCAGTATACATGTCGTTACAACAAAGCCAACACCTTTGTCCAGATATTGACCATCCCTGAAGTCAGTTGCCTCAACCCAACCCAATAATAAATAAGTCGATAGTTACAGTTATACTTTAATAATTATTATATATAACAATTGAGGTCGGGCAGTGAACGTTCGAGATTACAATGTGTGGATTGTTGTTGTCTTGGCATTACTTGGTGGCCAAGGTGGCTTGGGATGGATGATTCATATGGATGATTGATCGATTGCTTGGTTGGAAGTGTTTACAATGTAATATATGTACATGTGTGTGTATATGATTGATTGAGTTGGTACATTGGTCTGAGGGGTGTCTGACCTGACTCATGGGTTTGCTGGGGCGGCTGCAAACTGGGTGGGCGAGACACTGCGGTCCCTGATATCGAGCACGATCTTCTCGCATAGCAGATGGAACTTATTGTGTTTCAGATAGGAGCGAATGCTGGCAATGATGTTGAGATAGTCAAAGTAGTACACGTCGTAGGTGGTCTCGTTGTTGACTGAGCCCTCGGCCAACAACAATGACTCCAACTCTTGTGGGTTGGGCGTCGAAGTGAAGATGGGCGAACACAGTGGAGTGCTGTTGGTGGAGGTGCCAGCCGAGGCAGGAGGTGTGGGCGTTGGCGTTGGAGCAGGTGTCGGTGTGAATGGCTGTATCAGGATGGACTCGAGATGTTTCAGGAAGCTGACGGCCTCATTGCGATGCTTCTTGACGTACTTGATCAAAGTCTTTTCAAACTCCAGAGGCTTCATCTTGTCGTGTGTGAAGAACGTCTCCCTAAAGATCTCGTTGAACTGGGAAGGATCGCTGGCTACCCTGCCCTTGGCCAGCTCGGAGCAGTAGCGGAAGATGCCTCGTCTGATGCTCCTTGGATCGGTGGTAACCAACTGGTTGTTGTCGAGGTCCAGTTTGGCCTTGTGGTAGTTTCCAAAGATGCTAAACACCTGTACACATAGAGGTTTGCTGGCTGCTGCCACTGCTTTGTTCGCTGTAGGACTTGGTAGAGGTGATGGATGAGCTGGAGTGGTTGTTGATGATGTGGAAGTTGGGGTTGTAGATGTAGTTGAGGTTGAAGTGGATGTGGAGTTGGGTGTGGTTGTCGTGGATGTGTTGTTGTTGCTATTCTTTTGATTATTGTTGTTGTTCGCTTTACTCTTTTGTCTCTTGCCTGTTGATGGTGTTGGCAATGGGTTCAGCTTGTCCAGCAACCTGCTTTGATCCCAAGCATTCTTCTCCAGTGGCTTCTGAGCGTTTGATCTTGGCGATGGTGCTGGTGAAGGGGATGACAGTGGTGGGAAATCGCTGTCCACCTTTGGCGACCTGATGGGCGTTGGCCGCTTTGGTTTGGATGGAGTAGTTTGATTACTACTGCTGTTGCTGATGTTGGCGTTGGAAATGGATGATGAGTTTGGCGCGGAGGGTAGTGATAAAGGTGGTGGAAGGTGTTGGCTGAGTGATAGGATGGGTGGATACTCTTCATCCTGCGATGATTGATCTCCATTCAAGAGGTTGGGTGAGAAGGAAAAAATAGTTGGAAGTGAGGCGTTGGAGAAGGACAGTGGCGAGGAGTTTGATGATGAGGTGCCAGATGATGGTCCTGCCAGTGATGACGAGGAGAACTGTGACACCAATGTGCTGCTGCCGGGGTGTGACACCACGGATGCAGTCGACGACGAGGACGATGCGGTGGAGGAGGTGGACGAGGCCAGTGAAGAGGATGACGACGATGGCGTAGTGATTGGTTCGTTCATATCAACGGACGAGGTGAAGCTTGGTGAGTCGTAAAAAAAGGATGGTGATGGAGATGCAGAGAACACCTGCGACTGCGACGGCGACGACGATAGGGAGTTGTTGTTGCTATTGCTGGCGCTGACCGACGACGTTGACGCCGTCTCCTCTTTGCCAGACATGAACGTGTGCTCAATGAAGCCATCTGCGTTGTTGTTGCCTGGCAGAAGCTGCTTGTAGTTCTCTACCAGGGGATCCAGAATGATGTGAAATGAGTCGATTGAGAATGCATAAGGGCGCTCGATCCTCTTGACAAACTTGATGTCAATGTGACGTGCATTCTCGTGGCCAATGGTGATGAGCGACCAGTCGTCGCCCGTATACCGGTCGGCCTCGTCCCTATTGGTGACCTTGACGCGCTCGCGGAAGAATGTGTCAAACACCTCCTTCTTGCCGATGGTCTTGCCCGTCTGGCGGTAGACCTCGCGTACGATCACTGTCTCCTCGACATCCAGCAGCGTCATGAAGTTGGTCATGCTGTAGATGTAGAAGCTGAGGTCGATGTCGTTGAACATCGACTCACTCAGCTGCTTGTCCTTGTCCTTCTGATTGGCGATGATCATCGACGCGGTGCTGCCTACCAGTCTGATGCCGTACTTAGACAGATAGACATCGCGGTTGTGCAGCTCGTCCAGTATCAGCGCCAGTATCTCCTCGATCGACAGGACAATCGTGATGGTCTGGTCGATGGATGATATCTGGTTCTTCTCCTTCATGATCTTGAGCAACAGGTTGATCTTATCCTTTGACAGCATGCCGAATGCCACATTCTTGCATCCCACTCGGTTCCTATTGCGACTCTTGCTGTTGTTGTTGTTGATCTGGTTGTTGTTGTTGTTGTGATGATGGTGATTGTCAAAGCTGTGATTGGTTGCAAAGGCCGCAGCAACATTGTTGTTGTTGAAGGCTGGATGTGATGATGAAAGCTTGTTGTTGTTGTTGTTGAGTGGTCGGCCATGTCCATTGGTGGTGATGGGTTGTTGCTTGGCGCCCCTGTAGTACAGCAGATCATTGCTACTACTGCTGTTGCTGTTGGCTATACCATTGCTGCTCTTGAGATTGATGGGATTGGCCATTCCCAAGTTGTTTGGGAGGGATGGCTGTCTATGCAACCGATAGCCATTGACATTGCCATTACCACTACTACTACTACTACTGATGATGCTATTGGCTTGAAATGGAGATGTGTTTGACAATGGCCCCCTTGCTAGGGATAGTGGAGGCAGCACTGAGTGAGGCAACAGAGGCGTCATCGTATTGTCACCTGTAATATGATCAATGTCCATTTGATATATATATATTTGAGGGAAGGGAGATATCTGTATTGGATTGGATTTGGAATTGGTCAGTGATCTGTCTATGTCTGGCGAGTGATCAACTATCATACATGAGTGATTGTGAGTTGGAATGGAATGGAATGGAAGAGGATATAGTATAGTTATAGCAAAACTGGAACAAGGTACAAAGATATCCTAGGAGTCAACAATTGTGTGAATGATGTCAACTTTAGATGTTTGTTTGTTCTAATTGATTGATTGACAGGAGGAWTGAGGAGGATGGACGGTGGAAGCGTTGTCTTCTAACATCCATGTGTGAGGTAGTGGTGGAGTGAGACAAAGGAAAGAGGGGAAGAGAGTGCAGTATTGATGGCATGGATCATGGATCATGGATCATGGATGGATGGATGGATGGAATAGTGTCCAGGTGGTGTGTGATGGTGCGTGGGTTGGTGTTAGACATCCATCCATCCACATCCTCACTTATGATACATGATGTATACGTGATCACAACAACAACAGCGCTGAATGGATGGATAGATGGAAGGAAGGAAGGATGGACAACAACAACTGTGAGTTGATTGATTGATTAGGGGAAATTTAAAAGCAGCAGCAACAACTCCAGTTTTCCTTATAGCTGTGTGCTGGCGCGCGAGCGCGCACCGCGTTCAAAGGAATGCGGGTAGAAGCGGGCGATGCTGGCAACGCGTGGACAAATGATAACATCTACACGAGATGTTACTCTTGTTTTAACAACAAGGTGTGTTGTGGAACAAGTGTATGATCGATGAATGGCGGATCAATCTACAACACTCAACCATCCATCCATGTGTCCATCCATATTGTCGTGGTCGTCCGTCGGATAGATGTCTATCTTTACACATCATCCAACAACATAAGTTGATTGAATGATTGATTGATTGAATGAATGATAGAGTGTGCGTGAACATTGATGTTGACACATGATGACTGTCACATTGATGCATGATGATGCATGATTATGATGATGATGATGATGACAGATGAACTGATGACTGACTGACTGACTGAATGACTGCTGTTGACTTGGTCGTGTGGTATCTATGTATCGCCTTACCTTGTGATTGATCGTGTGACGGGGTGGATGAGTTGGTGGTTGGGACGGTGATGCGTGGGCCGGAGGGACTGATCAGCCAATCACCTTCACACAATTTGCCAAACCTCCTTCTTCTTCTTGAATTCCCCTGTTGTTGACTCTGCTTCCGCTGTTGCTACTGCTGTTGCTACTACTACTGCTATTCCCTCTACTACTATAGTTGCCAATTCAATGTTGTTGTCAACTTAGAATCTGTTGAAGTGTGTGGATACATATTGGTGTTAGCACAACAATCAGTAGTGATAGTGTCACTCTCAATATAGTTGTTTGATTGATTGGTTGGTTGATTGACTGTCATGAATATCCGTCATTACCCACACACACACACATATACACATACACTCACCCACCTTATACATTATATGTATATATATAGATAAGATGATGATGATGTGGATACGTCGGACTCCAATGAGAGTGATGGATTATTGTGTCAATTATGTGTTTGTGTTCAACACACAGTGGATATTGATAAGTGGAATGTTTGTAGGACGTGGTTCAAGTTTGTGTTGTCAAGAGTGAGTTGTGTGTTCGTGTTAAAGTGTGTGTGCGTGGTCTTGGTCTGGATGAATGATCATGGTCCATCCCATCCATCCAAGGATATGATCAGAGGTCGACGTGTTATTATTAATCAATTTGGTGGGTCTGATTGATTGATAGTGTAAGGGATATAATTATAACAACAACAACATTATAAATAATTAATAATATCCTATAGGATATTGGGAGAGAGTTAACTCGTGGCATATAACCCTGGTCAATATGATTGATTGATTGATTGATTGATTGGATTGAGTTCGAATTATGGAACCTGCTGGAAGTGTCCTGCTGGAAGTGTCCCATATCCAATGAAAGCGATAATTACTTGTGAATGACAATATTTAGCTTGATGACCAACTGTTGATTGATGGAGTGGATATAGATAATATTTGATTGATTGATGGTGAAAAAGATTATTGAATGGAATGGAATAATGATGATGTTGATGATGACGAACTATAATATAGCGCTGAACTGAACTGAACTTGATGAGGAACACAAACAACCAACCAACAACAACGACACTACTAATTTCCAAATGCATTTGGACATGTAAACTCCTCACTCCATTGCAATATGCGTCGTCCACACATCATCAATAATGGTAAGTGATGAGCGAGTTTGATGTTGTTGGTGCCCAAAAACAGACGGCTATTGCAGGAATATACATGTCATTGTTGTTGACAAACAATGGTCACACTCATTGTGTTTGTACCTACAATGGATGATTGATTGAATGATTGATTGGTTGATTGATTGGCGGATCAACGTTGTTTGCTTATACTACGACTATCTATATTGGGGACATGTCAATCAGTATATATAAATATATATTGTTATTATTATTGTTATTATGTGTTGACGTATAGTATATATGTATATATATGTGTGATGCGGGCAATGGGTAACAGTGTCGCTGGAAATTGGGCTAAGAAAGAGTAAAGACGACACCTCTCTCTCTCTTTGTCTGTCGTCAGTGTGTGTGATCAGAGTGTGTGTGTGATCAGTTGTTTGTGCTAGAGTGTGTGATTGATTGATATGAATGAATGAAGGGTGTTGTTGTGAAGTTGGATTATGATGAACATTGATTGTATGTTCATAATCATTCTGAAGTAAGACATGGAAAAGGTATTGGAAAACTGTGTTGGCTGTGATGTGATGAATGAGTGAGCCTTGCAAAGTTGATGTAATTCAGGCCCATCCATAGATGATCGGTGATTCATTGTGCAGGAGGACCAAATGTTGGATATCCAAGACAAACATAATGTAACCTGACCAGTCGGGGACAATGTGACTTGACTTGACATGACATGATATGATATGATATGACTTGAGGCTTGACAATACCTTTGCTACTTGCTTCTTAATATGTGTTTGTATGAATACAATTGTGCTCTCTGTTGCGCTGACCTACTATATATGTGTACTATACACGACGACGAATAGTCGATATGTTGTTCAAACATAACAGACGGACGAAGGTACCTCCTTGATTCATTCATCATTCATTCAGTTCATTCATTCAGATCAAGGAGGAGGGAGGGTTGAGGAAAGAGAGAACTGATGAAGCGACCTTTGCAAAAAGGGCAGTGTATTGGACGGATGGATGAACGGATGGGGACATCTGCCTGATTGAGATGGGTGGGATGGTGGGAGCCACGCCTAAACTCGTTGATGATGAGCTGACCCGTTCTGTTCCTAGCCCCATTATCAGTATCAAAATCATTCCTTTTAATTAAAATCAAACATAGTAATCTTCCAACGACAATCTTGCTAGGCCTGTTTGATCAAATACACTCAAACGGAAATTTCCATGGCCGATTATTTACATGAGATGTTCATACAAAGTGTGAATTACACATACAATCAAACATGACTTGTCGTGAATTGAAGTGTTGTGATGTGAAGCGAAGTGAAGTGGTGAGGTTATTGTTGATATTATTGCGGCTTCACCTGAGACCAATCATGAAGGTCTCTTGACTGACCGACAGACGACTGTTTCTTAACCACAATTACATGTCGCAGTTGCATGGTGGCAATCGGGTCGTTCCCAGCTCGACCCGAACTTGAAAGATAGCGAGCGATACTTTGACAATGACAACAAACTCATCAGTATCAATATCTTGCTTGATGTTGTTGTCCCGATAGACTTTCAAAGTTGTAACTAGCTGCTGTGATGTCGTATGACATGTCATCTGTAATGTTGTTGTTGTTTGTCTCTTCTATTTGTTGATTGGTTTGGCCTATCTACTTTTGTCAAGACATTGACTATTATTCAATTCAACAATCTATAGATTCGACATAACATAGACTAGAATTAGGTCTTGTCTCTTGGCATTGACTGGTTGTTGTACTACAATAAAAGTGATTGAAATGATTGGCTCACACAAATAGAGATGGTGTGAAAAAAACGAACGAATCATTCAAAGGTTGTGCAATACACTTTAGTGAGGTCATTCACACTTAAATAACAAACAAATACACATACTTACATTTATATACAATGTCTAGACCAGAGCATATAGCAGCCCCGGAAATAGTATGTTGAACTTAGATCACAAAGAATGAGTAAACATACTTACCAACAATCAATCAATCAATCAATCACATCACATAGTTCTACGATGAGACAGAGTCTCGAAAGTACTCTTCAAAGTATGTGTCAATCGTATTAGTATCTTAGAACGATCATACAGAGATCAAACGAACAAGATCACTCACTCACTCATTCGAATATGCGATATTATATGAATGTAGCTCACGTATTATAGAGATTCAATCTGTGATGGCTGAGAGAGCCTATGAGCTCCTCGCTATTCCAGAGGATAAGACAGGTCTTTTGTTATTGGATATTGGATGTGGATCAGGTATAAGTGGCGACGTTGTCACTGATCACGGTCACGAATGGATTGGTTGTGATATTTCAAAGGACATGCTGGATGTGTCGGTGGAGCGCGAGGTCGAAGGTGATGTAATCCTGCGCGATATGGGCCAAGGCCTGCCATTCCGTCCTGGTTCATTCGACGGCGCCATCAGTATCTCAGCCGTACAATGGCTGTGCAATGCAGAAAAGTCACATCACAACCCCAGGAAGAGACTGCAGGTCTTCTTCCAGTCACTGTTCAGCGTTCTGACCCGTGGTGGCAAAGCCATCCTGCAGTTCTACCCAGAGAATGCCGCACAGATCGAGATGATCACATCGGCAGCGATGCGCTGTGGTTTCACTGGAGGTCTGCTCATCGACTTCCCCAACTCTACAAAGGCCAAGAAGTACTTCTTGGTTCTGTTCACTGGCGCCAATGCCAGCATGCCCCAAGCCAAGGGTGTTGGCGGCGAGATCGAGGAGGAGAGCGGCGGTGTCAAGTATGTAAATAGAAAGAGCGAACATAGACGTGGCGGAAAACGCGGCGGTTTGAAAGTCAAGACGAAAGAGTGGATCAAGGGCAAGAAGGACAGACAGAGGCATCAAGGCAAGGAGGTCAAGGCTGACTCTGTTTACACAGGACGTAAGAGAGGTCCAAGGTTCTAACGATTCTTTGGATCACACTGCAATAAACGCCAACAAACTGGATACGGGTGTATTCGTATCTCTTTCTATTCCAATCAATCAATCAATCAATCATTTTGATCTGACGGGATTGTTGGATATTGGGCGGTAATCATCAGATTGATCTGATGTTGGAGATGGAATCAGTTTGAGATGCCGGCCCAACCTTCAATTGCTCACAAGGCATTCATTCTTTTGCTTTCATAGGTGGTTGTTTCTTCACAGGACGATAACTTCGAACAACTTTGGATGATTGTTTGTGGGGTTCATTCATTTGCCCATAAGGACCTCCTTGATTGGGCACGATTTTGGGGGTTGAGCCAAAGGAGTACCCTGTGAGGGACCAAGGCCCTGGTCCACTGGTTCGAAAAAATATCAATAAATCGAACAAATTGATGTCTTTGGACAGTTGAATGGTGGAGGCAGGTGAGAGGCATGAATGAAACTACAATGGACAAAAGATATTTTCTTAAATTGAAGTTGTAGTCATAGTAGTTACATAAGTAATAATAATAGTAGTAAATTGAAGTTGTAGTAATTGTAGGTAGTAGTTGTAATAATAACAGTAATAGCATCAGAACAGAACAGTAAGTTACCTACCCCACCAGCTCACATACATCAATTCGTCAGACAATCCATCAATCACACACCCTGGGGTGTGTGTGAGTGAATGTCAATCAATGTGTGAATGATTATGAGGATGATGGATGGCGGCATTTAATGGAAAGACACACTACGACAACAAGTGATTACCATTTCTGGTCATTTACATTGACTGCTCGTTGCTTCTTGCCTGGTGGTGTTGTGTTGTCTAGAAGCAAGTCGATATTACTTCAGTCCATCTCCAAAGACAGACACTCCTGGGAGCATCAACCTGCCACACTCACATCACAACACATAACACATAACAACACAAGCTGAAGTAGCATGTCTTAGACAAGGAAGGCGATGGATTGTGTACACATCATCCCCGTCTATTCATTCATTCATTGATTGATCATATAAATAGAACAAAACACACATAACATTATTTGTTGTTGTCCACTTTAGTCCAATCACACGACTCCATCATCAGTCCACCATCCAAGTTTGCTAACTAGATACCCTCTCTCTAAGACTCCCATCATCATCCATCCAGCCACCATCCAATAATAGGTGATTCAATCAAATTATTGATTAAAAGAACAGGAATCAAACAGTCATTATTATAGGTATGTCAAATGTGTATATGATTGGATGTATATGATTGGATTGGATTGGCAATGAATGAAAGGTCAAGCCCCTCACTCAACCTCAGAGGAAATTACTAAGGACCGCACAGATCCAAACCTCCTGGATCCTCAATCAAACAATCAATCACAACACTTTATCTCCATTTTCAACAACAACTACTACAACAACTACAACTAGTTAGTTGATGTCAATCTTGCATGTCTTGGGATCATTGCCATACATAGTTGTCAACAACCCAAAAATAGGTGTAAACTCTATCTCTTTGTCTGATTGATTGATGTGATGGATGGACAGATATGAAGCAGAAAGTGTGATCACTCATTCACTCATTGTTGTTGTTCACGTGTCATTGCACATGTGACACACATAGCACACAACCTTTTAACCACCGACACACCCTGCTACTCCCTGACAATCAACTTCCCACACTTGTGGGCGATCCGTTTGATCAGGGTCAGACCCTCACCAATCACAACCACACTCATACACACACGAACAACCAATCGTCCACGCCATATGATGGAAACCAACACACACAAGTGTTGTTGTATCTATATTTACAAGCACCAACTGAACTGTCGACCTCGTTGGTATCTCTATCATTGCCAAGACCAATGGAATGAGCGAATCCATCCAGGCATCATCATTGCCCAAGGCATCGACATCACATGTGTTCACATTATGTTACCTTACCCTACCCTACCGATTCAATTCAATTATTTACAACTACTACTACTATTACTATTATTACAACAAATACATTAGTTGGATATTAATAACATCTCTACTATCCTCATCCCTTTTCCCAACATACACAATAATCACATCATCCAATTAATCTGATCAACGATCTTTAATATCAATCTATTATTTATTTGTCAACCTACCCATATCGATATAAATATCACAATCACACTCAATCATTCATTCCATTCTCTTCACTTTAGTGCACTGAACCAATCAATCAATCACTCGACCCCTCACCCCACCACCTTCACACTACACCCCCTCTCACCTTTGATTGATTGATCAATTGATTGAATGAGAGTGATACACGTTTTTTCAGTTAACTATCAACAATCGAGAGCACCTGCCAATTAGCACCCCTCCCCATCCTAGCACCACCCAAGCATCCATCTTGGCAAGGATACCATACCCTATCCTATCAACCTCATTCATTGCCTTTGGGACCGATCACCTGTCACTTCACCTCCACTCCATTCCTTCCATTCATTCATTCATTCTTTCAAATTGATTGCCGCTCAAACATTCAATCAATCACAATCAATCATTATTTCCACACTTCCTCCAACTACAACTACGCGCCAATCCAATCCAATACCAATCCAATCCAATTCAATACCATGCAACCATCCGGATGCAGTTCATCAATAGCTAACAACTCCAACAGTAACTTCAGAAGCAACAATAATAACGGTTCAAAGTTAACATTGGGATCACCTTGCTCATCACCAGCAAGCCTATTTGGAATCAATCAATATAGTACTACTAGTAGTAACATAGTCACTGCCAGTGGCAATAGCAATAGCAACAACATCAGTGGCAGCTTGGAAATGAATAGTGTACTTCATAAACTGGACATCAGGAGACCGAGCATCGCATCGGCTTCATTATCATCACTGGACGACATGTCAGGACCAAATGGCGCCGACTCTGCCGACCACCCCACTCATACATCATCTGGCAACAGCTCATCAATGAACAACAATGGCAGCAACACACGCGTCGCCGACGAGATCGACGTCGTGATCATTGGAGACGAGAACAAGGCCCGTTTCATCACACGCTTCCTAAACAACGGCATCCAGCTGGATCCAACAATAGACGTGCCCTGTCGCCGTCCCGTCATGATCAAGAGTGGCACATACAACGTCAACATCCATACAAACGTCGGCCAGGAGGAGTTCTGGGGCATCAACGACATGTACAATCGCCAGGGCCACGGCTTCATCTTTGTCTACAACGTCAACTCGCGTGAATCATTCAACATGTTCCTGCAGCTGCGCGAGAAGATCCTCTTTGACAAGGGCACCGAGAACGTGTTAATGTCGCTGGTCGGCTACGGCGAGCATGAGATCGACCGCGAGACTGGCGAGCGTCGCCAGCGCGAGGTGCCCTTTGCCGAGGCCAAACGTCTGGCCGACCTCTACTCATATCCAATCAAAGAGATCCCTCACTTTGGCGTCGAGTCTGAGCAGCACATCAACGCCTGCGTCTCGGACCTGCTGCATCGCATCACACACTTCCACACGGGCGCTTCGTCGTCTAGCACCGGCTCGTCGGCACATCACGCTGGCGCCCAAGGCGCAGCGGGCGGCAAGGGAGGCGCCACTCCACAATCACACAACTCGGCCGAGATCGTTGTGCTGGGCGACCTGTTTGTCGGCAAGACGCAGTTCATCCAGCGCTGCGTAGCCAGCCCATTCTCCAACAGCTATCGCGAGACCACCGAGTGGACCAAGACCGTGATCCAGTCACAGATGAACGACGTGCGCTACTTCCTCAAGATGACAGACACACGTGGTCTCTTTGCCGAGGAGGGTCTGACGCGCGAGCGTCTCCTCTCATCACAGGCCTTCATCTTTATGTACAGCATCACCTCGCGCAACAGCTTCACCTGTCTGGACGCACTGCGCAAGAAGGTCATGGCATGCAAGTCAGAGTCGCGCCACATCCCCTGCATCCTGATCGGCAACAAGTCGGATTGTTTGACGCTGGCACGCCAGGTGACCACAGGCGAGGGCGAGGAGCTTGCCAAGCGCTGGGGCTGCCCATTCTTTGAGCTGTCGATGCGCTCCAGCGACGACGAGGACGTGCTCAAGAGCATCTCACACTTGCTGCTTGAGCTTCAGAAGAACAGTTTGAACAACATTGACGTGGGCGAGTTCAAGAAGGAGGGCTACTTGATGAAGGAGGGCAAGAAGCTCAAGTCCATGACCAAGTACTACTTCCGTATCAAGCGCGGCTCACTACAATACTGCAAGAATCAATCATCGGCGACAAAGAACAACAAGACCATTGAATTGGCTGACTCTGTGCATGTGCAGGCGCAACCACACAACGAGAAGAAAGGCGAGTATCCATTCTCACTGCTCGTCGATGGCAAGCAGATCGTGCTGGTTGCGGCCAGCGAGTCGGAGCGCGACCAATGGATCACGGCCATCAAGGTCAACTGCTATGTTAACGAGTTCCTGACCGGTCTGCTGGACGACGTGCTGACGACGATGGTCGGCGAGATTGCCCACCAGTCACTGGCGCAGCTGCATAAGCGAAGCGACTCGAACAAGTCCTTCTCGTCAATGTCATCCATATCCTCGCCAACCGAGGGCTCTTCCGTCTCCACCTCATACCTGTCGTCATCATCATCCTACTTGTCCGATCTGTCGTCATCGTTTGGCGCTGGCGAATCGCCTGGCGTCTACTCACCCTCGATTGGTAGCAGTACAGATGGCATCAGCACTGGAGGCGGCACTGGCGGCATGGTCGTTGGCTCTGGAAGTGGGAGTCCAAGTCCACTGAAACGCAACATACTTCAGAGATCGACCAGCTTTAAGAAGCACTGATCAGTCTGATTGATCAATCCATCCATCAACTCACACATCTATATAACTACGCGAACGCACGAACAATGTATATAACCTGTTGAATAAACTAATGATCATCGATCAATCAGCATATCCCAATGCTGATTGAGATATATATAACCTCCAATCCATCAGATTGATTAAGTTGATCGCAGCCAGAGTGATGATGTGATATGATATGTTGTCGCGTATGTATTTAATGCCTATCTTTACAACCAACTACTTTTGGTCCCATGTATCCTTGATCCTTGATCCTCTTACATTCCATATCTTGTCTTGCATCGATCAAATGCTTCTTCAGCATTGACCTGTGAGGCAACCCATGGATGCTTTGGTGCACTTGTCTTGAGTTGGCTGTAATGAATGAATGAGTCAGTTAGTCATGTTCATCATGATCAGATTGATATTGATTGATCAAACATACTTTAGGTATCTGTTGGTGACTTCTGATTGCTTCTTCATGTGCATGTGACAGACGATGAGGTTGGCCAGAGTGTCGGCATCCTTTGGATTCTTCTCCAGTGACAGCAACAACAGGTTCTCAGCCTTCTCGAACCTCTTTAGTAGGATCTCACATGTGGCACGACCATTCAACAACATAGATGTTGGGCCATACTTTTCCGAGAGCTCCTCGTACACTGACAATGCCTCCTTGATCTTGTCATCGCCCTGAGTGATTGCGATCCAGGCGTGAGCCAGTTGCGATGGTGTGGCATCAATGTCCAGCTTCTTCATATCCGAATAGCGCTTCTCAGCCAAGTCCAATCGGTCGATCTTCAAATATACCTGTATCTGAAGTGCAATGCTGTACATCCACAACGCGTCAGTTATGTGAGTTGATGCAAGTCGCGACTTGAGGATGGGCTACGACATACCATTCGAGTGAGTCTGACTTGTTCAAGACACGAAGAGCCTCCTCAAAGTTGCCCTCAGAGTAGTAGATGGTGGCAGCGATCACTTGGAGCTGTGCGCTGGTCTGGAGCAGTCCGTCGATGATCCACTGCTTGACAGTGGCAAGCACAATGTCTGCGTTGCTGGTTGGCGACTGCAGGTAGGCGGCCAAAGTGCGCACAGCCTGCAGTGGTCTGTTCTGCTCACTGTCCTTTATCTCTCGCAATACAAGATCGCAATCGCCCAATGCAGCATAAGCTCTGTACAGATAAAAGTCAGCATCTGCCTTATTACGCAGTTGCTTTGCTCTTTTGTTGACCTCGTTGATCACTGCCTGGTAGTTTGCCAAGTAGAAGTAGTTCTTAATCTCGTATAACTCATCCATTATAATGTATATGTATATGTAAATGTTGTTGTTATTACTTGTGAATCATCAAATGAATGATTTGAACATGAATGAAACACTTTGATGATCATCACCCCACTCAACAAATTGATCAAAAGTGGGTGCCAGCTCAGTCTTTGCCAAGTCAGAAAAACAAGTCATGTATGATTATGGTATGTACATAGGCTGTCAATCATTGATCAACCTTAATTTATTTACAATTGGTCGGTTCCAGTTAATATAAATATATTATTATAATGCTTAATGGGATAGATCCAGATATTGTGGACCGACGGCAAATGTCTTGGGCTGGTACCAAAGTCCATTGGCAGTATTGTTTGATGTTTGGCCAACAACAACTTGATTGATTCCAGAAGATGTAATGATTGATTGGATATTGGATGATGATGATGATGACATGGTCAACTTGGAGATATTCTTGAACAACATTCTTTGTTTGTTTGTTAATTGTATTTGTAATATTACTAAGTAGTAGTAGTAGTTATTGTTTGATTGATTTGATGTCAGTAATGAACAATGAATAATGACTTTAAATATTCGATGTCCAGGACTACCATCTTAAAACCATCATCACTTGATCATCAACTTAAAAGGAAGTATACTTAAGAATCACCAGCACCAACGTATCAACGATGTATTGGTTTGAAGTCATTCATCACACAACAACATCAACAACCAACATGGTCAGTATCATGGAAAGGTGAGAGTGATCTCATTGAGTTGAATTGAGTTGAGTGGTTGGGTTGGCTTCATTACATGTTCACACTCACCCCAACACCAAGACAACACGACTGACGTCAGACCTTTATAGGATATCATACACTGTGTTGGTGATTATTGGAATAATTGGTTGTGTCTGACCATGCATGGTATTCATTCAACCAATACAATCATTTATTCTCTTGTTGAAACCTTACAAAGACAACAACTAAACACAAACAGATAGATAGACCAACATCTTTGAAGTTGACCAGTGTATGCACATAACATCAACAGAACATAACAGAATAGGCGAAGGAGAACCACCTTGACTAACATTGTTAACATACTTTAAATTTTGTAAAGAAGACTCTTTGACTAGAAAGGAAAACATCAAAGAAGGTTCATGGTGGCGACACTCGTAAGGGTGTGTCACGATCATCCTGCCTGATCCTTGGATGCCGGCGGTGATTCTGAAACTGAAACAGAGTAGCAGGGTCTTGACTACCCGAGATATTAGCGTATGTGTACACTTTAGAGTGGCATGGGAGGGGGCATGCAGCTCAATCCCGAGTTGATTGGGGACATGTTGGGGCACCTGACCAATGTGCCCCCCTTCACTACTATTGGGACAGACGATGCACCGCAATCCATTCCCACACGCTACTTGTACACGCTGTTTGCGCAAATATCTAATCAAATTGAATGAAAGTAACACGTGTCCATATGCCAGGGTTGGGGTCTGTTGAACGCATCAACTCACGCTCCATCCCGAAATTGAATAGGATAAGGTATCCTCCAATTATGTATCTTTTTGATTGTGTTTTAAAAATTATATTATCAAAACCAATGAGAAGGGAGTGTGCCCCCTCACTATCTTACATCAATCCATCAATCCTTCTTGTGACTTTGACAACCAACCCCCCCACACACACCTTCAAACACACACGCACCCCATCTCAATCTACAAGTACGTTCACTCACTTGCTCAAGGTACTTACTTCTTGTGCTTGTTTGTTATCATCATCTTCTTCTTCTACTTCTTCTACTTGTTCATTGTGTTTACTTATATATATATTATATAGATAGAGATAGAGATAGAGATGCCTTGCGCTTGTACATGCAACACAAAGGGATTGGCCCTTGGAGGTGGATTCTTGGCTGCTGCTGGTCTGACTCTGTTCATTCTATCACTGGCAATGTTCCCAGATAACATCAGGAACCTCTCAGTATATGAGATTGCAAAGAATGTCATAGTCACATCAAATGTAAGTTTATTGTGAAAATGAATGTGATGGATGGATATTTGAAATTGAATGGAGTGAAATGGAATGGAATGGACTCATACTGACATGCCTTGCCTTGGCCCTGGCCTTGGCCTTGCCTTCCACTCAATAACCAATAGTCCAGTATATTCTACGATAGATGGGCTGGACAATTATGTAGAGACAACGTCTACACTCAATACTATTATGCCTACAACATGGTATGTCCTGGAAGACCAAGTCCAAAAATGTCACATGATCATACTAACAATGAATCAATCAATCAAATATAGACGAATGCCGATGAAGTATTAAAAGGAGGAGTACCAAATTATAAACAGGTCGGTCCATTCATTTATAGGTTCTATTATGATTATGAGAATGTTACATTCTCAGAAGATCAGAATGAGGTCACCTATGGAGTATTGAAGAGATACTTCTTCAATGACAGTCTGTCTGCATATCCCGAGGATTCCATGATCACCAACATCAATCCTGCATTCCTTGGTGTCATGGCTGGCGCGCCCGACAGCAGCATCTTCACAATGGCAGCAACGCTCCCTGCCACAAAGTACGCGTCCACTCGTCCACACATCCCATCCACATTAGCCAGACAGTCCTCCTAACCTTGACATATCATTAACCATCACACCATCCTAGTTCATTCATGGTATACTTCAACTCGCCAGACTTTTTCAACTTTACAATGGGCTTCAATGGCATCGAATCATTCAATACCCAATTGAATGTGTTGCTGACAGAGAGCGGCATCAACATGACTACGTACTTGACAAGCTGGGCCAACGCAACTGCTGATCCAACACCAGGCAATTGGAATGGAATGCTCACCAGCCTCGACGGCACTCCCAGCGACATCTCAATGTCTGCGGCAGAGATCATCTTTAACGCATCATCTCCATTGTCTTTGCTCAACAGTAAGCAGGGCATGATCACATGGTACAACGCTGCCAATGGTGAGAAGACATCGATCAACGCCATCCTCATTGGTACCGGCATCACCCAGACCCAACTCCAGATCGTTACCGAATGGTGGTACTACACCTTTGCCATGGTCTACACTCAGCCACAACTCCTTACCAAATGTGGAATCACTGATCCAAGCATGATTGGTTTCTGTCAGTTGCACAATGTATGTAGTTGTCTTTGACCTTGTTGCATCCTTGTGCTCATGCTAACCATTACCCTTACCCTTACCCTACCCTAGGCCACCGCATTGAACTACAACTCTGTATCAAAGTATCACATTGTAAACAACATGTTCCCACCATTTGATGACACTGCCCCAGAGATTGTTGGACTTGTGAACGCGACGATCCAAGAGTTCTACACAATGTTCTATGAGTCTGGTAACAACTCGCTCAGCACAATCAATGGCGCTTCGGAATTCCTCAACTATGGCTTTGGAAGATCGCCAAACCTCTGGAACATATCCGATGATGATGCGAATGCCATCGGCGACTACTTTGCCGAGGTCGGCAGCTTTGTCCATGACCAGCTCCAGGAGATCTTTTTGAACAACGGTGGTCTGCTGGCCACCAAGAAGGTCAGCGACTGGCTGTGGAACTGCAACGACCCGCTGCTCAACTTCATCAGCAACGACAGTCCGTGCGGCCTGCAGTTCAACAACTCGATCAACCTGCCCACGACCGTCTACACGGGCAAGAAGGACAACACGCTCAACAACTTCATCCTCAAGTGGCAGGAGCAGGCCGACCTGCAGTACTGGGCCAACCCGGTGCCCGTCAACGCCTACTCAGAGAACGGCCAGTTCGCCACCAACGAGGGCGACACCATCCTGCAGAACTACACCATCATGGAGGAGAACATCTACCGTCCCATCACCATGGTGTACACCAACGAGACCGAGTACGCCGGAATCAAGACTCACCGCTACTACCTCATGAACGACAGTTTCGCCGCCAACCCAACCTATTACACCAAGGTCGACGGTTTCACCAACCTCACCTGGCTGCAGAACGACGTCCCCACATTCGTCTCGCGTTGGGACATGTACGAGGTGCCTATCAGCGTGTCCTCGCGTGTCATTGGCCAGAACCCCTCGTACGAGGAGGCCGCCTTCCCCATCGACGTCGAGCCCAGGTCGGGCAACTCGTTGTTCTACAACATCAAGCTCCAGATCAACTTCCTCTTCCCCAACGGCTCGAACAAGTGGGACACTACGTTCAACATGTACAACGACATCAAGACCGACGTGTACATGCCCTCGTTCAAGGTCGGCCTCAGCGCCCAGGCCTCTGACTACACCGTCAACAACCTCAAGTCGCAGTTCAAGCAGCTCCACGTTCTCAAGGTCGTCCCAGTGGTCGTCTGTGCTCTGTTGGGCTCACTGATGTTTGTCGGTGGCTGTGTCATGGCCGCCATTGGTACCATCCGCTGGAGAAGAAAGGATTACCGTTTGATCAACGATTATTAGAATCTTTATCCACTTCCATCCATCCTTCCATCACTCACCATCATCATATTGGTATTATCATACCAAGTTGCTACTTTAGTCTCAATCCATCCATCAATCAATCTCGAACTAGGGACGTGTTGCCACCAAGTCTGTCAACAGCTCATCCAAACAATACCATTCTATAAACATGTACTCATTCAATCATTCGATCAAGTCAACGTGAGTGTGATTGGGTGGGGGTGGGGTGGAATGGTTCCATGATCGATCAATCAATCAATCTATGTTTGCGCGTAATAATGATAATTGTATTTATATTTATTTAGCAAGAGACGAGGTTGTAGAAGGCGGTGTATGGTCCGAACCAGACGGTTGGGAGCACGCTCATCTCGAGTTGGTATTGGTTGTTGAGGAGACCCTTGCAGGCAGAGGTCATGACCTTTCCGTTTCCGAGGGTGGTGACAGCGTTACCAACGAATGAGTTGTCGGCGGCAAAGACGATGTCCTCAGCAAAGACGACTCCGTTGCTCGAGGCGACAGAGTAGGTCTGGTTGGAGGCCATTGTGAAGGTGACAGTGGTGCCTGAGCAATCCTGGCTAGATGTGAATCTGGTCCATGTTCCATTGAGGTTTGCTGTTTGTTGAGGATAGATGATGAGATGTGTAAGTCATGTGCTTTTCAAGGGCATCACATCACTTGATGATGGCACATACGAGTGGAGTTGGCGAGGGTGATGGCGACCAAGAGAGCCAAAGTGACGAAGAAAGCAACTGATCTCATTGTTTTTGTTTGATTGATTGTATAAGTATTATCTGTATGATTGTAAGGTAAATGGACTAGGACCTAACATTGATCAAAACGATAAGTCGGGACTCTTTGGTCCCACACAATGAAATTTCAGAAGAATCAAAAGAAAAAGGAAACGAACAAAGTTTCAAGGTCATCCATTCACTGTTCATAGTCACATCAACGACACAACAACAAATATGGACATAAACAACTATTACAACATTATCAAATCGATCAATGATGGAGAGTCCTTGAAGAGTAAGTCCCATCACTTGTACTCTCTGTCCACTCACTCGCTTTCATTCACTAATTGACTCTATTATAACAGACCTGGTACAAACATTGTTCAAGTCATATTGCACATCACAGACGGCTACGACAAAGTATGTTGGATTGTTGGTTGACTTGACTGCTGACTCTATGTCCAAACTCAAGACCTCACTCTACAATCTTCAAGAAGGTAGTGAGGATCCAAACATTGATGAGTCAATCAATCAGGTGAGAAAGTTGATCATATCCATTGGATTGGTATGTATATTCTTGTTGGACAACATTGGACATCATTGATCATCATCATACTTATATTCAATCAATCAACCATCATAGATTGGAAGGTACTCACCTTACATTGTATCATTCAAAGAGTATCTTGGTTACATTGTGGAGCATATACTGTTGAACTCATTGCAGACCATCAATGCCATGGACATGCCCGTCAACAGCAAGCGTAGAGAGGATATCCAAGCACTTTATGTGAGTACTACTCTCACTACATCACTCCATCAATCATTCAATCACATACTCACTCACTCACTCACTCAATCAATCAAAGGTGGAATCAATCAGATCTTATACATTGATCCTTCAAGCATATGGTGAGCACATGGAACAATATGGAGCAGCCTTGTTCGAAGCTGTATCAAAGCATATCAATGATGGAATGTTTGGAACAGGCCTATCCAACAACATAGATTCATACTCACTGACTTCAATAATTGAGTTGTTGTCCATTCTCATCCAGACCACTCCACAAGTAGTCCGCGCCAATCCACTCCTAGTCAACCATGTTGTCAATGCTCTAGTGTATGTAGTAGTCTGACCACAAGCAGGCAGACAGGGCACAAGTACTAATCAATCAATCAATCAATCACTTATATCCAGTGCACTGAAGTTGGATGGTGATGATGATCACACTGCGATATTGGATGAGATGGTACAAGTGCTGGGCCATTACCTTCAATTGTTCATTGTTTGTCCATTCCAATCACTCAATCAAGATCAATATCAGAAACAGAAACAGAAGCAAAAGAAACAATTTGGTGATCAAGATGGTGATGACGAGGATGATGATGAGGATGACGAAGATGAGGATGAGGACGATGACGAAGAATCCGACTCCTCACCAGACAACATCCAGATAAGGATAGCAGAGAAACGCCAAGATTTGGCGTCAAAGATAACAGTGGCGAAGACATTGAACATAATTGACAAGCTGTTGACATCAAATGGATTCTGGGACAAGGAAACAAACATTATGTTGTTGGCCATCATCGCGTCATATTCATTGATTCATCATGGCAATGAGAGTGTTCCTGTGATGGAGCGCATCGTTCATCAGTTTAGCGATCAGTTGGCATTGGCAAATGGAGGCGCATCCAACGAGCGCGCCAACAACATCATCAACAGCTTGGCCTACCTCTTCTCAAACACACCACGCGACTTGGCTGTTGTCCATACATCTCTGTGCCAGCTGTACCAGTGCATCACACAATACTTCACACGAGTGAAGAGCGCTTCGCGCGAGCGAATGGATTCGTCGGTCAGTCGCGAGGTCAAGGCAGCCCTGGCACAGACTCGCGAGTTAGTTGGAGTGGCACTGGGCAAGATGCTCCTTGTTCACAACAACTTCTCGCCATCTGCCGATGAGTTCCTTGCCTTTGCATTCGTCCTTGCCGAGCCATTGGTACTCGCCGACTTCATTTACGCGTTGGTATACGACATCAAACATCACCAAAACAATGGACCCATCATCGAGATGACACAACGACTGCGAGACGTCTACCTGCCCAAGACAATTGGACCTCTGATATCCCAACTCAAGAGTAAATACCAAAGTGTAAGTCATCTTCCCAGAGCCATCCATCAATCATACACTTACTGGAACGTTCCACTTCACATCATTAGTCACCCAAGCTCGCAGGATGCATCATCAAGGCAATTGGTAAGATGGTGGCATATGCTGGTGGATACATGGCAGACTACTTTGATGAGATAATTGATGCAATGGCAATGGTTATGCAATATGGATGGGAAGTGTTCTCAACACATGCTGTTGCATGTATATCAACATTGGCCAAGGTTGTCAGTGCAGAGACTTCTGGATGCACAGAATATCAACTCAATCGTGTAATGGCACTGTTTGGACTGGTCCTCTCCGAGCAGATCGTCGCCAATTCCGATGATGATGATCATATTGACATTGATGAGATGAACCGAATCAAGTTCATGGTGCTAGAGGAGGTTGGTGAATACCTTGAGCAGGCAGCAATGCATTTCAAACCAGACAGCACACAGACACAGACACAGCCGTCGTCCAACATTCTTAGTCAGCTGATGGCATACTTGATGGTCAACATTGGTGTGGAGGAGGTCACATTCGATTCTGAACTATACCTTCGCATGTCTCAACTTACAACTCTCAAGCAATTGGTAATATATCAACGACAAGTTGGTACGGACAGTACTGATCATATAAAGACGGCACTTGGATGTATGATCGATGAGTTGGTACTGATATCAAAGATGGTGGATGATCAAGAGATGCAAGAGACATTGGAAGATCATTGCGTTGATGTACTTGGAGATACTGTCCAAAATATAACCAAATCGATTGATCGCCCTGGTGTCCTACAGATCCTCGAGCAACTAATGAACGAGAAGAGTTTGCCAAGTGACCAAAGGAAGCGTGTCGACAAATCTTTGATCGCTCAAACAAAATAAAACCATCCCGATCACTCAATCACTCGACTCAATCAAAGATAAAGAGATAAAGATAATGGATACACTTCCATTGATTGTACTTCAACATGTTGTTGGGTACCTACATCAGTCTGATGCATGTTGCTTGGTACTTTCGTCAAAGGTGATGTACAGACAACGACTATCAATTGCACGACCAATAGATGTCTGCAAGTGTACTCATCACTACGACGTCAATCACAACAATCTAACAATCTTCCATCGATGTGATCACAATGGTATGTTAACACCTGGAATCATCCCATTACTCAATCGATCACTCACTGCAATCAATCAATCAATCAAACTCATTCAGATCTAGTGTATGTCAATCAATCAATTAGCAACAATGATCGACGACAGTCTTATACATTACAATCACGTGGAGACAATGGGGATGACAATCGCATCATCTTTAACTACCCACCATCTTCTATATCAATCCCATCACACCTTTATATCAAGAGTGTACTATTCACCAACCAGTACAACCTCCCAATTGAGCCTGGCGATCTCCCTCACACCATAACATACCTTGAGCTCAGTCCTACCTTTAACCAGCCACTACAGCCTGGCGCCATCCCTCCCAGCACCACCTATCTCAAGTTTGGGCCGCACTCTGAGTACGATCAACCATTTGTGTCTGGCGCACTACCAATGTCATTGAGGACACTTGAGTTGGGGCGCTGCTACAATCAACAGATCAATCCTGGCGCGCTCCCCTCTTCACTGACGAGTCTCAAGACTGGTGGCTTCAATCAACCACTCATCATTGGTGCACTACCCTCATCACTGATCGATATCGAGCTGGTGCACTACAACCAACCCATTGGACACGGCGTGCTTCCAGACTCACTGACAAGCATGCAAATTAGGCGAGGGTTCTGTTCTGTGATTGAACCTGGTATGCTTCCACAACGACTCACTACACTGGACTACCATAACTACGAGAGTGAGCCACTGTGCCCAGGCTGGCTGCCTGATTCATTGACCAGGCTCACGCTCCACGCCTTTGAGCAGGAGTTGACACAAGGAATACTCTCAAAGAATCTACAATACTTGACAATGGGCATGTTCTTCAATCTACCTTTGGCCAAGGGATCGTTGCCAGACTCGTTGTTATCGCTTAAACTAGGTCGGATGTTCAATCAATCCCTGGATGGCTCGGTGTTACCACGATCACTCACTCATCTGCACTTTGAGTGCAATTACTCGCAACGATTGACTGCCGACATGTTGCCGTCCACACTAACATCACTAAGTTATGTGAGTGATGTGCTGGCCAACTGTGCGCCAGACACCTTCCATCACTGTCGCATACAGCACATCAACATATCCAAGTACTTCACGAGATTCCAACGCACATTGCCACACATCAGTCAGTTCAACGAACATCTTCGAACTCTTACAGTGGAGTATGATCCAATTAGTCCATCATCATTGATGCTCAAGCTATTCATTGATACAGGCATACTGGAGCTCACTCTAAAGCATACAAAGAGCATGGTTCGCCGGATAGACCCAGAACACATGCTTGTAGTGGACAACAACTCAAGGATGTTCATTTACTCGTTGTCTTCATCTTCCACATCATCATCATCCTCTGGTCGTTACAAAGGATGCTCATTGAATTAATAACTAAATTTGGTATCAGATTCAATGACATCCTTATTCAATCATTGGAAGGCTATATAGGAGAGGAAGGTTCAGTCGTCACGATGATTGATCGATTGATCAAGCTCAAACATACTATGTACATAGAGATAAGATTCGCTGGCAACAATAATGACTCTGTCTTGGATGATGAAGGCAGGGTATTGGTATTGAACATACTTTATCATTATGAATATATTACAATGGATGATCTTCATTGTCATGGAAGTCCTCTGACTCCCATCGATCCACCTGTCTGTGACATTCGATCACTTGGTACAAGTCATCGCAACAACGTCGACAACAATGATAAAGATATAAGTGATTACAACATCGTCACTCATCGATTCCGCTTCTCCTCTGCCGAGGTCAAAGACATCGTAATCTACTTCCTACAATCTAAATGTAAGTGCACTATCTTTGCTCCATTACTCAATCATTCATCTCATTCATTCATTCAATGACAAGACTTTGATTCAGTGTCTGGCTGCACCAACCTTAAGAAAGGTGACACAATGTTCCAATATCGATCGAGACATATATCTAAATGGATACCAATAAACAGATATGAATGAGATACTATCTCTATCTCTATCTCTTTGTTGACCTTGTATAACTTCACGCGTGAATAAATGAATGAACATGCCAGCCCATCTTTCGTTTGTTTATCCAAAGTGCTCATCTCTTTCGCTCACTCATTCATTCATTCATTCATTCCATCATCCAACAAGTAGAAGTAGTAGAAGTTACTATTAATATAGAACAATGTTATCATTGTTTAGGAGCCGATCTACTACTACTGCATTGAATGTAGGCAGGTTATACTTTAGTAGTAGCACGCCACATACACAGATACAGACAAAGACTAAGACAAAGCTTGTTACCACACCTATCTTCTATGTCAATGGTAACCCGCATATTGGACATCTATACTCTGCATTGCTGGCAGATGCTTTGTCTCGTTGGAATAGGATGTGTCAGTATGATACATTGTTTGCAACGGGCACGGACGAGCATGGTATGAAGGTACAGGAGGCCGCAAAGAAGTTCGGCAAGCAACCACTGGAGTTCTGTAATCAAGTGTCATCAGTCTTTAGGGATCTGTTTGACAAGTGCAACATCAAGTATGATGACTACATACGTACTACAGAGCCACGTCATAAAGAGGTCGTCTATGATATGTGGCGAAGACTGGACCAGCGAGGCCTAATATACAAGGGCACTTATGAAGGCTGGTACTGCACGTCGGATGAAGCCTTCCTCACCGATGAACAGGTGCACGACGGCATGTCACCCATCACACCGACCAACCCTTTGAGCAGGCCGTGCAAGGTGTCGATCGAGTCAGGCAACCCAGTGGACTGGGTCAGCGAATCAAACTACATGTTCAAGCTCACCAACTTCCTGCCCGAGATTGATACATGGCTGTCCAAGCAGCCACTCTACCCAGCGAGCCGCAACCAACAGGCCAAGGCATATCTTCCTCATTTACGCGATCTTTCAATCTCGCGACCATCCTCGCGTCTATCATGGGGCATCCCCGTGCCAGACGACCCATCACAGACCATCTACGTGTGGCTGGACGCACTCACTAACTACGTGACAGTGGCTGGCGGCATGAAAGGACGCTACTGGAACGACGATGTCACTCATATCATTGGCAAGGACATTGTCAAGTTCCATTCAATATACTGGCCAGCCTTCCTGCTTGGCGCGGGACTGGCTCTGCCATCAAGGATCATCGCTCACGCTCATTGGACTGTCGAGCGCGAGAAGATGTCAAAGAGCAGAGGCAACGTCATCGATCCATTCAAATCAATCGAGCAATATGGCGTAGAGGGCATCAGATACTTCCTGCTCAAGGGAGGCGGCTTGGATAACGATGGCGATTGGTCGAACCTCGAGGTGCGCGCCAAACTCACCGCCGACCTTGCAGACTCGATTGGAAACCTGGTCTCTCGCACAACAGCCAAGGCACTTCATCCCCAGCGACAATGGCCCACCACTCAGTCGACTACATTCTCGCGCACCGCCGAGGAGAACGCGTCTCGAGACATTGTCGAAGCCCTCAAGCGACTTTGCGACACTGTCAGCAAGCACTACAGCGCAGGCGACTTCAAGAGCGGAATCTTTGACATCATGACGTTCACATATGCCACCAATCTCTACATTGACACAATCAAGCCATGGACACTGGTGCCCAAGCCAGGCAAGCAGGCTGGCGATCTGCTACGACTCAACGACACAATGTACATTCTGTTTGAGTGTATACGAACGATCGCAATGCTACTGCAGCCTGTCATACCCGAGGCAAGCCAGAGGACATTGGACCATCTTGGCATACCCCTCGCACACAGGACTGCCGATAACCTCGTCTTTGGCTACCAATACCAGAAGAACGTATCAATGTTGCCGACTGATCCACTCATTCTCTTTAAGAAAGATAAATAACTCGTCTTTAGATCGACCAAGGCCTGTTATTGTGTGGAGTGAACCTGGAAAGTTGAACTACGACAAGGTATTCCTGAAAGTCATGAAGATTGAAATCCAAATTTTATTTTATTAAATATTAATAATTTTAAATGAAGTGAGAGACAGTCAATCAAATAGTTACATTAGACCAAGATCAGTGTGTAAGTAATAGAGAGAGGATATGATTGACCTAAGTGTATTTGTTACAACATGTTGCACGATATGGCTTATTTTGATCAACTAAGATGACAGTATTTCAAATCAACTTGTGTTATATTATCTTTCTCTAACATTATTATTACTTCACAATAAATACTTTAACATGGCTGACGTCATTGGAAAAGAAGATACTACATCATCTTTTCTTATCAAGAGACAGAGCTCCGAACAGGGCAGTGCTGTTATAAAGAAACAAAAGACAACAAGTCATCCTGAAATGCAATCGAACCTTTCACAAACGTCATCAACTACATTATCATCTTCTATGACTTCAACCAAAGAGGTGTCTCAGCATCAACCTATCCTTGTTGGAACCTGGCTTCAACGAATAGAACAACTACGGGAAGTAAGTAAAATTAATTTAAAATTGATGGAATGTTACATTATACTAATGATATCTACAATTAGTTCCATCTACCTATTATCCAGAAGCGTAGTGAGGAGCCTGTTGAGCCGGATCACTATGTAGTATGTGATAATATTACTCTTCAGGAGTATCTTGACTACGATCGTACTGATCTGAAGGAGCTTCTTTGGTTCCATAATGGAGAGGTCCTCATATATGAGTTGTCCAGAATTTCACCTATTCATGAAGTTATCAACACTTGGACTTTCTCAAGATTTGTGCTTCAGCTTCCTGAGGAATCATACGATGGAACGGGATCAATGACCCAGGTCCTAGGCCAAAGTGGAGCACAGGCCGATAGTTCCATTACCCCTTCTGGACGACCTAGACCTGTGCCAGAGGGAGGTCTCTCTGCTAATGGAACATTTCCATTCCCTACAGTTATTATCGAAGTGGGAGTTTCTCAAACGGTAGCCTCACTCCATCAAAAAGCAAAGCGCTACCTCTCCAATACCACCGATATCCAGGTTGTAGTTTGTATCAAGATCTTTCCTCCGAAGTCTGACGACGGCACTTTCAAAGCGTTGGCACTATTGTATCGAAGATCAGTTAGCACCCAGACCCCAGTCCAAGTCATTTCTTTTGGAACGATCCCTTTCGATCTTCCCATGGTCTATATCATTCAAGGACTCGGCCCAACCACCGGCAACACTCTGGCAGTCAATACACCTCCTACGGTCCCCAATGATCCACTATACCTCCTACGCATTCCTTTGGCCGATATCTACAATGGAGATGCCAATGGAGTCCCTGGCAACCCTGTCGATGTAATAATCGACCTCTTCCATTTGATGACTAAGATTGCCACCAATTGGGTTTGAAACATCATCATCCTCAGAATCATCATCATTATCTGTCCTCGGCCTATCACCTCACTTAGGTTCAATTAGTTAAATAAAATACTTTATCTTCGACGCCAAACTCAGCATGGTGGGGTGCAGATTGATCGATTAGGCCTGTCATTCCCGAGGCAAGCCAGAGGACATTGAACCATCTTAGCATCCCTCTCGCAGACTGCCGATAACTTCGTCTTTGGCTGTGACTTCCAGCAGAACGCATCAGTGTTGCCATTGGATCGTTCAATGTATATTAAATGATTGCTATCAATAGGGAGGGACACACTTTAGTTTGGGGCAGATGTGTCCTCCTTCTTGCCAATCTCTGAGTCGACCTTGTTGAAGAAGTCGAGGTTGAGCTTGTCTAGCTCGTCGTCTGTCACTGCCATGATGCCCTTGACCTCGCTGATCCAATGCATGAGCATGCGCTCAATGCCACCCTTGAGTGTTGCCTGTGAGCTGGAGCAAGACGAGCATGTGCCCTGTAGCTTTACCAGCACAATTCCATCCTTGAAGCCAAGATACTGAATGTTGCCACCATCATCAATGAGTGTTGGGCGGACACGAGTCTCAATCAACTCCTTGATCATAGCCACGACCTCATCGTCCTCTGGCAAGATCAACGTGTCTGAGTTTGACATCTGTGCGCTGTCCGACAGAAGTGGCCTGTCGCTGTGATAAAAGTCAACAATCGCTCCCATGACCTCTGTTGTCGGTGCGGTGCAATGGTTGTGTCAGTCTATGTGATGATGATGATGATGATGAATGTACTGCATGATTGATCGATGCTTACGAGGCTTGAGTATGGCCCACTCGTTCTCGGGGAACTTGTTTACAGAGATAAAGTCTGGTCCGTAAAAGACACGATTGACACCATCGAGTTTGAAGATGGCGTTGGCCAGAGGTGATGTTTGTGATGACTTGAAGTCGGGGAAGTCCATCGTTTGGCCAGGCTTCATCACTTCGATGCCAGGTACGAACTTTAGACTGTCGGGATTTGGTGTAGGCTCCACCTGTATGAACAATCTTGCTTGATTCGACTCTACATTGACTTTTGGGTCTGTTTGAAGCATGCCAAATTGTCAGCATCATATGAATGACTGATTGATTGATCATCAGCATACCTTTACTAAATAGCTCTTTCAATAAATCATTCTCATTTGGTTGTTGTTCTGTTGTATTATTATTTGTGTTTGTAGAGTATGATCGAGTAGTATGTTGTTGTAAGCTTGGTGCGAGACTCAAAGATGTCAATCGTCTATTGTTTGTTACAATAGATCTTAAGTTGTTCTTGCTGCTGTTTGACAAGATTGACAGACGTGTAGTTCTAGATAGTAGTTTCAATGATTGAATCATTCTGTAATATCTAATATATATATTGTTATTTGTTTGATTGATTACTGTTTGAGTGTAAAGTGTGTTGGACTTCTTAAAAAGAACCAAAAGACGACAAAAGACACTTCCACCACATTTTTACAAACTTTGAAGGTCCAACCTTCAATCTCTACCCAATAATTCATAAATCAATCCAGATAGAATTTTATTATTATTAATAATATAATATAATATAGGATTCCTGATCCAATTTCTATTCCTATAATTATTTCATCATCCTTTTGTTGTTTGGTTTGTAGAAGTTTGTTTTTGTTGTTGTTGTTTTTGTTTATGTTGTCTTTTTTCTAGTTGTTGTAGTATTAGTTTCTTTTGTTGTTCTTGTTCTTGTCTGAGTAGTATTTGTTTTTCTTTAAATTCCTTTGTTTCCCAGGGATAATAAAAATGATCATAAATATAAGCAGCAGATTTTCGAGACAACTCATATTGTATTGGTGCTGGTGTTTTTCCAATGGCACCCCGAACTATATCTTCCCATATTGGAGGAGTGCCAAGGTATCCCCTTCTATAAGCTTGATCTCGTACCCATTCAATAAGTATAATAGCTTTAAACTATATATTCCTATTATTAATATTGATCTCTATGATAATATCCTTAAAGGATTGGCCAAATATCTCATAATATACAGACATCCAGGTATGTTCAGGTTCAAAAGATTGATATTTTGTAGAACTAACAACTCCAAACATAACAATAATAACTATTATCAATAAATTAGTTCTATTCATTTTATAACTATATATAAATAGGTTCTTATTAATTAAATATTAACAGGGAGATTATTAAATATTGTTGTTTATTTTATTAATAGAACGATAAATATTGTAATTTAAAACGACCAACAAAGATAATTATTCTCGTTCTAATTTACAAATGATCACATCCACTACACACAATAGATGTCAGTAACTACTTTACCCTCAACCCCCTTCCGTCAAGTTTGGATTATCCTGCAATTGTAGATTAAATTAATTGATTAATTATTTAATTATGAAATAGTGAATACCCATAAAGATGAACAACCTTAATAAATAAAACGAATAAATTTATTTCGAAATGAATAATAAATCAGACTACCAAATGTGGAAAGGTGTTCTGAATGGTTGGATGATCATTAATACATTTTATCAATCTATTAAGTAATGATCGATCCATCATGTTAGTGCGCCAAGAGTATGGGAATGTGAACTTTGTTAGCTTGTCATTGTTCTCCAATGCATGGATCAAGAGGTCGATATCCTCTTCAACTGGATATTGCTCGCCATTTCTGTCCTGATCCATATCCAAAGAGTATGATCTACACTTGTCCTTTATAGATATATGTTGAGTACGTTTGTTGTTATTGATCACATGACATAGATATTTGAATGATGTTGATACGCGATCCCATCGACTACCATCTTCAATCACTATTGTAATATGATCGAGTACTCTATCCATCGTATCAAATCTCTTCACTGATGTTGAGAATGAATCGCTCTCGAAATGATCAATCGAGTTCCAGGGTATGGAGATGGCCAGAGACTTGATGCTGTCTCGTCTGATCGATGACGACTCAGTCTGAGGCATCAGACATGTCTCAAGGTTGGCCACACGACAATCAGGTCCATAAAGATAGTCTAGCACTCTGTTTAGATGTTGATGTGACGTGTCGTATATCCTGAATCCAAAGGTCTGGATGCTGGGATGCTTATCCAGGCATTCAATCAACTGATCAAACATAATGCCATCAGTATTGTCGCCAACAATATGTGAGTAGTAGTAGTCGTCCACATCGTCGCCATCTACATATGATGATCGCAGTTGTCAATGTCCGTGAGTGAGGTGCAGCCACCTCCCTTGAGCAAGTAGTGCAGGGCCTGTGCGCCGGGCACCTGGCAATGTGTGAGGAGTGAGCCTGGAGCGTTGACCATCGACTGGAACGCACTGTCTTGCAGCAGATCGTACAGGTCATATAGCGCTCGGGTCTGTTGTGCTGATGGCCACGAGGACATGGAGTGCATGTTGAATTTGATCGAAGTGAGCTCGGCCCATGGCAACAGGGAGTGCTTGGTGAGATGCCGTCCATCTCTTAGATACTCGGACATGCTTTGGACACCTCCTTCCTTGTCAACTTGGAGACTGAGTTTGTTGTTTAGTCTACGAATCACTGAATGACATCTCCAACTTATCTGGCTGAGTGACAGTGCCCACTTTCTATCAGGCCAATGTTCATCATCCTGATATGTTGCCAGACACCATGCATCACCGATCACTTTGTTCAAGAGCAAATGTGAGAGGTAGAAGCTACTATTACTATTATTATTACTACTTGTTGTTGTTGTTGTTGTTGTTGTCATTGTCTAGTTGTTTTTTGTTTGATTGATAGAATGAACCATCATCATATATTCATCCATGAACTCATACATCACTTGATGATCTGGCGGTTCATTTTCAAGTTGGTCAGAAATACTTAGTGTCTGTCTGTCTGTGTCTTTGTCTGTCTGTGTGTCTGATCGATCGGTGGACACTTTTGTCCGGATGTCTGTCGTTGGGCATATATGTACATGACTTGGATACAACAAGCAAGAGCGCATGTTACACTGTCAGATCTGACATCTGTCGTTGAATTGGAACACAAAACATTGTTCATTCTTGTGACGCAAACACACACACCACAACACTGTTTTGAAACCCTTTGACGAGGCCTATGATCACTAACTTTGGAACAAGCACAAAGAAACATTCAAAACAGATAGAATAACACTTATTTAAATAAACAAAAATAAGTCAATCGAACTTGTCACAATAAAATTTCGTAATACATTGATACAATGTCATCACAACCAGCTATGATCGTCAGTCATGCCCAACACTGACGAACCAATCCCATCTTTATCTCAAAGTCAAGATCATAAATATCTGACCTGTTGCCTCACGACTTTGGGAATGAATCTGATTCCGTTTCGAACAGTCGTGGCAAGTGCACCGAGATAAACTCACTCATTCTTTATGATTCATTGTTATAATCAATCAATCAATCAATCAATCAAATAGACATGGATAGTTTGATTGATATTAGAATCAGACAAGTATTTGTCAACAAGTTGACTAGAACAAACATATTTCAACATGTAACGGATATTCATAAGAGATGGATATCTCAATCATCTAAATCATTATACAATGCTTATAATTATAATAATAATAATAATAATAATAATAATAATAATAATAATAAGATTGGCGACGATATCACTTGGATCGAGAGTACGATAAAAGGTGATAAGTTGTTTGCCGATGGCAACCTCTCAGACATGCTAAAGTACAATGCTACTCAATTGTTCATTGAGACATTCGACAGCATACCAAACAAGTCGTCCAGACTCATCTTTAGACTCATGATCAAGGCATTCAAATGTAACAACACAGTGGCGTTCAATCATATCATTCAATCATTCTCAAAGAATGCTGATGGCAGTGGTAGTGTATTGGTCGACCTCAATGATAATGGCGCGTTTATTGTCATCAAGTATGGCAACATTAACATGCTCAGGGCCTACCTCGCGGTGGACTCGTTGCGCAGTATCCCCTTTGACAAGTCACATCTGGCTGCTGCCGTGGACACTGGCAACATCGAGTTTGTTCGCCTCCTGTTCCAAAATCATTGCTTTGATCAGAAGGGATCAGAAAGGGCACCCGCTGTTGGCTTTTTCAATCGGCCTGGAATCAGCATCGCCATGCTCACCATGTTGCACGAAGAGTTTGACGCGCTCTTTAAAGACGACTTCTGGAACTACGCACTCGCTCACTGTATAGATTGCCGCGCGACCGACAGCATCTACTACATCGTCAAGCACACGACAGGCATCGCAGCCACGATGCGCGACGCAGGCATACCAGACAACTGCAGAGTCATCGACCTGCTCATGACCCACTCTGACATTTGTGCTCAGCTCTTGCTACACTCTGATCAACTCAACGCAATAATCGAGACTGCTGTGGAGGATGGGGCGGAGGACGTCCTCAAGTTCCTCTACTCCAATCACTTGAACGATATGTTCGAAAGTTCGCAGATATTGTTGTGCAAATGGTTGGGCGTTGAGTTTGCCGATGGTGACGAACAGGCCGACTTGTCACTCACCAAGCTCAGAGTGAAGCCAAGGTATGCCATCAACATGGACGACATTGATCTGATGGAGTCAATACTTCCCGAGTTGGACACGATTGATGATGAACTTTGGCAAGATATGTCCACGGCAATGGCGAGACACATCACCAATCCTCGTCTCAATCATTTGGCACCCTACAACAAGAGCTCTCTCTGTTATTTGGTCAAGGTTGCATCAAGTGACAAGAACAGAACCATCATCACCGAGGACATGGTACTCAACTTCATTGATAATTGTCAACTTCCAAAGACCATCGATCGTGAAGATGATGTTGATGAGAATGGTGACGATGACCTAATGGGTGAGGTTATGCAAGCCTTCGAGGATGCCTCTGGATACTCAGTGGCAGTGATGCAGAAGATCCAGAAATCATATAGTCTACACTACACACGGGAATGCTTGCAGAACGCACTGAGCAAGAAGAATGCCAAGACATTGGCCATCATCTTGGAGCAAGTGGTCTCGGAACAGTTGGCAGAATGGTCATTCCATGATGATATCAAAGAAGGAGCATACAAATTGATCTCAACAGAACAATTGAGCACGGTTATATTGGTGCTGGATCATCTTCCATCATTCAAAGGTGATGCCATTGTTTGTGAATGGGCGATAATCAACATAGACATTGCCATTCTCCAGTATGTCTTGAGCACTTTCACACCAGATCAGATTGAGCTCAACAAGCTCATCAACATGGCCATGACCACCAACAACCTCAATGCACTTCAGGAGCTCACTGGCTTCATTGGCAAGCCTCTTCCAATGCCCAGTCTGGCGACATTGTTGGAGGCCGTCTGGTACAATTGCTATATATCTCTGGAGCACTTCTTTGATACCATCCAATTCAAGAATCTGTCCAAGATCGAAAGATTGAGAACACTATACTCACTCCTGGATATAGCCACCGACCAAGGCCATTCTCGGATCATCAAACATTGCACATCCCTGATCAACGATATCAACTCAAACAAAAAGAGGTAAGTCCATCCATTCGCCGATCGACCAATCACTCAATCACACTCTGGTATCACTCAACTCACTCATACTCTCAACCAATCACACTCAATCAATCCATCAATCATAGATCACGTGAAGAGTCTGAAGATGTAGTTACCAACAATTGTGATGGCGAGAAGATGGTTGTGCAAGCATCTTCACGATTGGAAACAGCTATCCACTTAGTGTTCACGGACAAAAAGCTGTGCTCACACATTGTTGAGTGTGTTGGACATGTACACAAATCACTTGGTGTCCAGGATGAGTGTAGAATCAAGGGTGCTCAATTGTTATCAAAACACAGCTTGGTACAGTACATTAGGTATGGCGCGTCAGAGTGGTTCATCAAGGCATACTCATCAGTGTCGGACACATACCCATTGGAATGTAATTTGATGGACACCGCATTTATCTTTCCCAACACAGCCATCTTGGACACATTATTGACCAATCCTCGAATGTTCCTCAATGATTTCGGAAGCAATTCATACCAGCATTTGAATGAGTTGGTCATCGGAATCTGCCCACACTCGCAACCAGAATGGGAGAGCGTGTTGGACAAGTTCCTGGCCATCTCATTCATGCATCCACAAGACATTGAGATCACTGAGGAGGTGATGCAGCAAATCCTCCATCCAGATGTGATACGCAAGCTCATGGCACTTGGATTCAAGCTAAAGACAATCGTAACCGACTCCTCTAACATCGAAGCATTTGGTACTGTGTGGCTACATAAACCATGGGCACTGGAGATGTTCCAACTGATGGAGGAGCACAAGTTGATGTCACCACATGTCCAAGCCTCTCTACATGAGGTGGCCGTGTCACTTGGCATCACATCAATCGTTCGATACTTTGTTGACACGAAGCTGGACCAAGTGTTTGACTACTATGACAACATCGATGGCAAGCGGGAGAATGGGCTGTTCTCCAGCCTAATGCAACCTGGGTGCAACGATGAGATTGTGGAAATTGTGTTTCCTCGCATTCCATTCGAAGGCCTCAAGAGACGGGCGAGGTATTTGCTCGATGACGTTGCGAGTAATGGCAAACTCAAGCTGTTCACACTCTTGATGAAGGCGATCAATGATGACATTGACAACATTGTCGATGCCACGCATACAGATGATGAGAGCGAACATTATATCGATCCCTATGACGGACTGAGCTCCGCGCTCGCACACAACAGTGACATTAAGTTGGTCGACTTCATACTCAGCTCAGAAGTACCATCCTACGCAACGTACAGCATCTTTAAGATCAAATCCAAGATACTGTCAATGGAGTTGGTGCAGAGACTAATGACCATCGGTCCAGCCATCAGCTGTGTCTTTAGTAAAGTATTGGGTCAGGCTATCAAGGTTGGCAACAAAGAGATAATCGAGATGATGTGGAATTCAAGTAGTGATAGTAGTCATACTGGCCACAAATTCAGCATCGACTATCATGATGCCTTCAAGAAGGCACTGAACGTTGGTGATATGGACAATGTCAAGAGGATCATCGCCACTCCAAAGTTCGCCAATCACAAGAATAACTTTGTATACAGTAGGGAGCACTTCATCAAATGCATAGCCAAGGAACCAGTGTCCACGGACAACAACAACAACAACAACTTCCTGATAACAGACGAAATGATAATTGAACTTGGCCAGGTACTTCTCCATCCTGATTCACCAAATTCGGGCGTGACTCCAGCATTCAACAGTCTACTTCATGCTGCCGCGGGAAGATCACTGTCCACCATCAAGTTGGTGTTTGAACACTTCTCTTGGTGGATGACCGAACGTAATCAAGACTTCAAACATATCTTGAGAAAACCACTACACAGATGTATCGAAAGAGGTGATATTGAATCAATCGCATATCTCATGGAGAAGGCAACAGATAGCAAGATCCTTCCGCGGGACCTCCTCCAACTAGTCCCCGCGCCAAAGATCTCTCACGCGCCAGTGGTCTCATTCCTCATGGACAATGGCTACCTCAACCCTGTTGACATTGGTCGTCTGATGGATTGGGCTTGCAAGAAGGGGCATATCCAAGTCCTTCAAACTGTTTACAAACGATGCACATCACCTGATGAGTTGTACAACAGTATCCCATCAATGGAAAGTCTTAGCAAAGCATCGACCAAGAACAGATACCAAGTGCTCTCATATCTCTTTGAAGACCAATATGATGATGTGGATGGAACTGGAACTCGTGTGTTGATGCCATCACCCATCAACCGAGCATGTTTGGAGCAATCAAGGATTGATCTCATGCTCTATGTGATCCTCCATCATGGAGCCTTCCAGCATGGAAATGTGAACATCATTGCCATGTGTGACCGCATTGCCAAGCAGAGGCAACAACACGCCATAGCCTAGGAAATGAGTCGGCTTGAACTTCAAATTGAAGACGACAAGTAAGTGGTGGGTGATGTTCACACTTCATCACTCTTTCATTCAATCATTCAATCATTCATTCAATCATTCATAACAATGCAACATAGACATAAACATATATTATTATTATTATTATTATCTCTATCATTATATTATGAGATAACTAATGCCTCACAATCACAAACAGTTAATAAGCTATCACCTTTGTTTGGTGTACCTCCAGAGTGTAGGTGTCTGAGCTCAGCTTGCTGAATGAATGAATGAATGAATGATGACTGACATGTTTACTGTCTGTTAATATACAGTAATCAATAGATATAATGGTGATACATTTAACTGTTTGAATGATGATAGTAAAGTAATACCAATAGGGTTGGTCAATGATGACTATTGCGATTGTCCAGATGGCTCTGATGAACCTGGCACTGCAGCTTGTTCAAATGGACAACTATATTGTCCAAACAAGGGTCACAAGCCACAGATAGTATCATCAATGCTTGTTAATGATGGTGTATGCGGTATGTAATGTGATTGATTGAATGAATGAATGAATGAATGACTAATACATATAATAGACTGTTGTGATGGTACTGATGAGTACTTGAAGAAGATACAATGTCCAAACACATGTAGGGAACAGGGTGCAGAGATGAGGAGAGCACGTGAGGATAGACTGTATACATATACCAAGGGCTTGAAGATAAAGGCAAGGATGATTGATGAGGCCAAGAGTATACTTCGAACCAAACAACAACAATTGGATACACTCAAGAGTGAACTTGATCCACTTGATCAACTTATTGCCAAATATCAAAGACAACGCGAACGTCTAATCAACAAACAAAAGCAAGAGCAAAGGAAACAAGAAGAGCAAGCAATGGCTGAAGAGTCACCTCAGCTGCCAGTCCCATCGGAAGAGGTTGTCACATCACCAACCTCTCCTTCTCAAGAGAATGAGAATGTGGAGGAGCAACAAGAAGCGCAACATCAACAACAAGAACAACAACATGGAGAAGTCGTCCAACAAGAAATTGAAAAGATCGGATTGGATGTGGATGTTGAGGAACACTCGCTGCCAAGCACAAGTTGGTACAACATGTTGCCAACGAGTACTCAACAAGTGATTGGATCGTTTGCAGAGTATCTCGCACCATTATCAAGGATAGCCAAGCAGTATCTACCAGTCAAACTCGGTGGCATTATGTGTAAGTACCATGATTGAATGATTGATTATGAATGAATGAATGAATGAATGAATGAATGACTAACTCAACATGAATGTACAGCATTGTCAGACATTGATGACGCATTGGATACAGCGCGAAAGGAGTTGACAGAGAAGAAGGAACAGATAGAGAGCATTGAGAACATGTTGAAGCTGGACTTTGGAAAGGACAGTGTGTTCCTACCATTGCATGGCAAGTGCTTCGAGTCCAAGACCAAGGACTATACTTATACGGTGTGTCCGTACGACAAGGCCACACAAGGCGCGACCAACCTCGGGAAATGGGAGGGATGGCGATCAAACTACACCACCATGTCATTCCAGGATGGTCTTCAGTGTTGGGGTGGACCCAAACGATCACTACTTGTCCAAGTCGAGTGTGGTGTGGATAACGAGGCGTGGGACATCCAAGAGCCATCCAAGTGTGAGTACACCATCAGGTTCAAGTCGCCAGCCGCCTGCGATGACATCCAGTACGAACAACTACAACAAGAACAAAAGAAGTTGGAACAAGAGTAGTGATTGAATGAATGATCGCGATCAGATATGCAAAGAATGTACACTTGTTCATTGCATTCACCGAGAAACAATGCGTTACATGCATGCGAATCAAGGTGTGCCACGCGGTATACGAGACGTAGACCAAGTCGATTAAAATGGGGGTCGCCCAATGGCAAAGGCCGTGTCTAGGGGCGGGCATACGTGCGGGCCACAACGACGTCGTTGTCAACAGACAGGGGCAGACCCAGTCCAGACCAGTCGACTACACTTCCACCACAACCCACCCTCTCGTCCCTGCAGACGTCGTCCGATACTTGCTCCGAACAATTCAATCTCCATAACCACAAATAAAGTTAATAAATTAATAAAATTGGACACGGTTGGGACTGGTTTGTTGATGATTCCGACATCAAATTGATTTAAAAACGACCGAACAAACACCAATATGGTAAGAGGCGTGTTGTTATGTGTGGGTAGGGGGTTATTGTACTTTACAAACATGTTGGGAGCCTCCAGGCAAGGGTTGGGCATTGAGATCTGACTATGTAGTGCTTGTGTGTATGTGTGTCATTGACTTCCAATGATACCCTGCCACACATCTCTTTAGTCGACACTCATTGATACTTCCCATTCATTCAAATACTCACTCGCTTGTTGTTTCAATCAAACAGATACTACTTATATACAATCATTACATCTTGTTATAAATACATTTTAGTAATAATATAATATTATATATATCTTTTATAAAGTTGTTTGAATAATAATATAATGGCTTATGATAACGAAGTTGGAATGGACAAGATGGACCACTCTACCGATGGTGCCAACAAGAAGTCATCCAAGAGAAATGGAAAGACTATCTATATTTCTGCAACACTAGCTGCTATTGGAGGTGTATGTATCAACTTCATTCATTCAATCAATCAATCAATCATACTTACATTGACTCAACTCAATCATCAATCATAATAGTGGGTATGTGGATATGATACTGGAGCTGTTACTGGTATAATGGTGATGCCAACATTCACAAACTATTATACCGAGTTGGCCAACCCAGACACTTATGTGTACTACTCTGGTCTTTGTTTCTCATTGATGCTGATGACCGCCGCCATCGGTGCCTTTGTCTCTGGCCCAATCTGTGACAAGATCGGCCGTAAGTGGAGTATTGTGCTCGCTGCCTACATCTTTGCCGTGGGCATCCTGTTTGAGGTGATTGGCCAGAAGTTTGGCCTGCTGCTCGCCGGTCGTCTGGTCGCTGGTTTTGGCAACGGTCTCATCACCAATGCCGTGCCCCTCTACCACTCTGAGATCGCCCCCACCAACATCCGTGGCCGTCTCGTCTCGCTGTTCACCGTGATGGCTCTGCTCGGCCAGGTGTCTGGTTACTTCATTACCTTTGGAACATCCTACCTCACCACCGAGTGGGGCTGGCGCGCACCCTGGTTGATCCAGCTGGTCATCTGTCTGTTCCTCGGCACCTTTGTCATCCGTCTGCACTACTCTCCACGTTGGCTCCTCGACCGCGGTGAGGAAGACGAGGCACTCACCGTGCTGGCCAAGCTGCGTGAGGCCCCAACCACCGACGCCGACGTCCAAGCCGAGTTCAAGGAGATCAAGGACCAGATCGCCCAGGAGCACGAAATGGGCAAGCGCACCTACCTCGAACTGTTCTACCGCGCCAACCTCAAGATCACATTGATCGCTTTCTTCATTGCCATCGCCACCTCGTTCACCGGTATCAACGCCATCATGTACTACGCCCCCTCCATCTTTATGAATGCCGGTCTCGGAGACGTGTCCACCTCTATCGCCGCCACTGGAGGCACGGGTATTCTCGGACTGTTCGCCACCATCGCCTCTTTCTACCTCATCGATATCTGGGGCCGTAAGATCCTCTTCATCCTCGGAGGTGTTGCCATGGGTGTTTCCATGTTCCTAGTCGGTGCCATGTTCAACGTCTACTCGGCCGTCGACGACATGGGCTACATCACCGTAGAGAATGTCGGTGCCAGAACCGTCATCATCGTCTGCATCTACGTGTTCATGGGAGCCTTCAATCTCACCTGGGGTGTGGCATCCTACGTCTACCCAGCCGAGATCTTCAAGATGAGACATCGTGCCAAGGGTCTTGGTCTCACCTACGGTCTCAACTGGGCCTTCTCCATCATGGTCACCTACTGTATGCCATTGTTCATGGCTTCAACGTATGTATATCACTATCCATCATGTCATTGGTATCAATATCTAACGTTCAATCAATCTATAGTCTCTCTGGAGTGTACTACTTCTTTGGAGCATGCTGTGCTGTCATCACCTTCATTTGTTTCTTCATCCCCGAGACAAAGAAGGTCACCCTCGAGGCTATGGACGACGTCTTCAACAAGTAAGGCCCCTCCCTCCCTCCCTACACCACCTACTCCAAGGGGGCCTTGAGGACGTCACAGGTTAGTACCAATCCTCCTTCGCCTTTATCCCTTTGTTTATTTTTTTTTCCCCAACTCCTCAACATCCATCCTTCCTCAACATCTCAACTTCCTCAACATCCTCAACATCATACACACTCAGTCAACTTGGCTTCTCTTTAACAGTCAATACAACAACAAACATGGCACTAGGGGTGCTCGCAAACAACGGTCGTCCTCGGGACATTGTTGGATTGGAGCTGAGATCATTACCCTCATCACCGGATCAAGATAATGCTTGCGTCGGGAAGTGACCACCGCGTTGTTCGTCTGGACATGTCTTTGTACCTGTCCTACTCCCCAACTTCCAATCAATCAATCAATCGCTCGCTCACTCACGCACTCACTCATCAATGACATTCAATCACATCATCCATCCATGTATGTTGGTTCGTTTGTTTGTTTGTTGTTTGTTTGTTGTAGTATGATCGATACATCGTCATTGCATATGACTACACATAGGTGCTCAATGTCACCAACTACTCCCATCCATCAATCCATCCATCTCTCACCCTCTCGAACAATACAATGACTTTGTTTCTTGCCCCTTGCGTTGGTAACATATGTCTATATCGTATCGTAGATGTTTGTTCTTTGGTTTGGTTTGGTTTGGTTGTTAAAGTTATGGCATGAGGGCGTTCCTATCCTGTTGCGTAGTGTGTATGGCATTGACGACTATCAATCACTTCAACATTACACTCAACGATCAAATCGATCAATCATTCAAACATGGTGATGTGTGTCATTAGTTGTGTGAGAGCAGTAGTTAGTAGTAGTAGACTATAGATTGGAAGTCCTTTGGAGTGGACAATCACAAATTGCCAAGACATTTCATCCATTCGTTCACGCCAAGTGGCAGCCCATGGGCAACGCTAGCATCCCATATCTCTAGTCCTGTGATGACAAAGGGTTCAAATGGTGATGATCTCAGTTGCACAATCCAACAATCAAATGTTCCACCTTTACTTTATTTGATTCGTGTGGATATATATTATTTAGTATTAATACATTGGTTGTGTGATATTTATTATTATCTCTTGAGTAAACTAAGGTGTTTCTAAACACCATCCAATTCATGAAAGAACTTCTATCTATCATTGATGGTCCTGACATATCGGCAATACACTCGCCAATGTCTACCTTATAAGGTTCTTCTCTCTCTTCTTAATCTTGTGGACAACATTCACATCCATACTCTGGATCAAGCTGGAACTTATCTTGTCAATGAATGAGCGTCTTATAATTCTTCAATATGTTCTTGTTGGTCTTCAAAAAATCTCCAAAGATGATCAATATCATCATCTTCTCCAATGTTGGATGATTATCAATAAAATTGAAGCTAGAAAGATCCACTTAATCAAAGTTAAGGTGATAGTTACAAATCTATTCATTCATTCATTAGTAATGAATGTATCACTGTTGGACAAGTGATCAATCATTCTTGATGACATGTGCATAGAGTTGGTTGCTCATCGTGGTAGGTAGTGTCACTTCCCGACTCAAAACTCGTCTTTTCGAGTTAACAAATAAGTTTGAACCCAAACAAATAAACCAATGTATCAAAGTACACAAGGACAAAAGGATAAAGTCAATTGGCATGGGGTGGCGTTGAAAAACACCTTTCTTTGGAGCAGAGTCACCTCCATAGTGACTGGCGTGGCAGGCCAGTCCATGGAACACTCAAGTAATGAGTCTGTTGATTGACAAGGAGAGGATGTTAGTAATGTCCATGAGGGACAACACTCGACGTCAATACTACTACCACTAAACATTGATATTGTACTTTACCTGACTCCAGAAGAAATGTTGAGGGGCGGTTGTTGGAGGGTTGTTGAGGTTGTTGATGTGTTGGTTGAGGTTGGATGTTAGTATTGGATGACGGCGGTACTTACTAGTTACCCTATCCAAACTGCACTTGGCAAATCCTTGATGATCATTCCTAAAAGCCAATGACCCAGAGAGAGCAGGGCAGTGCAGTACAGGGTAGACTCGATTTGGTCTTGCGACTAAATCGGCATTAAGCTGACTGACTGACAGGCTGCTGACTGAGTCACACCAATGTTATACATACGTCAATGTTACACCACATATACAAACACAAGTCAAGGTCAAACCAAGTCATGTCATACAATCAATGAAGATTGAATGAATGAATGATTGAGTGAGATGTGTAGCAAAGCGGCAACGTCACCAAGAGGCACCAACAATTGCAAGTCCCTGTATCCCTGTGTGGAGGCAGCAGATAAGTGACGAGCACATATGTATCCGTGAAGCGCGTTCAACCATGTGAGGTCGGGTGCACGGGTAGGGTACCACGCTGTGTTATCCAGACGAAAGGGAGATAGACAATCCATATCACTACACGAGTCCACTTAGCGAATCAAGTTGGATCTCAACATCGAGTGAGTGGACGACTCCTTGGTCTTGCGGGCAGCAGCTGGCATCTTGTGCTCCTTCTCAAAGATGCGCCAGAAGCGGAGGGTCTCATCACCCGAGGCCGACACAACGGTCTCTCCGTCTGGAGAGATGGCGGTGTGAAGAGCACGGGAGGTGTGTCCGTTGAGCTCGGCGATCTTGGTCATGGTTGGGTACTTCCAGACACAGAGCTGGTTCTGGGAGAAGCCGTGGCTCGAGACGAGCTCCTTGTGGTGGAGGGACCACTGGATGGAGCAAACCTGAGACATGGTGTCGATCTGGTTCAAGCAGGCACCGGTCTGAGTGTTCCAGAAGCGGATGGTACGGTCAGCGGCACCACCACCGGTGGCCAAGAGGTCCTGTTGCCATGGGCACCAGGCGATGGCACGAACGGCGGCAGTGTGCTGCTCGAAGGTAAGCTTTGGGGTCTCGAAACCGGCCTCGTTGTTGACATCCCAGACGTTGACGATGTTGTCGTTACCGCCAGAGGCGAGCTGCTGTCCGTTTGGCGACCACTTCAAGCCACAGACCTCCTGGGTGTGACCCGAGAGGGTGGAGACGTGGTGCTGCTGGATGCGCACATCGTGGTTGAAGATGTTGGTGTCGGCGGAACCAGACGACAAGATGTAGTTGTTCCAGGCCAAGGCACCGACACGACCAGTGTGGCCACGCAGCTCGCGGAGCTTCTTGGAGTGCTCGACATCCCAGAGTTGAACGACGGAGCTGTTGGTTCCGACGGCCAAATGGTTGCCATCCTTGGTCCACTGGACAGAGGTGATGTAGTCATCAGCGCCCTCAACGGAGAACAGACGCTGGATGTTGGAAGTGGTGGCGTTCCAAAGGTACACAGTCTTTCCGAGTGGGATGGCAATGACATTCTGGCTGGACCAGTCGAGGAGGTTCAAGTAGTAGTCGTCGACAATGTCTGGGGCATCGAGGATGCGCTCTGGGGTCTGGGGAATCTGACGGAAGGACATCTTGGGGGCAGCGGCAATGTCGGCAACCTTGGCTTGCGAGTAGAGAACGCGGAGCGAGTTGGCAGAGGCCAGGGTGTTGGACACTGGAGCCTTGGACTTGAAGGAGAGGATCTTGGACTGCAAGTCAGCGGACTGCTCGGCAAAGAGGGAGGTGGCGAGGGTGTCCTTGTAGTAATCGTTCAAAGCAGACTCGATGTTTGGGCAGGCATTCTCCTTGGTGAGGTTGAAGTGGCCGATGTCCAGGTTGCTCAACGAGGGCATGAAGCGGTCAGCACAGGAGGCCTCACGGGCCTTTCTTTGCCAGCGGGCAACCTCGACGTTCTCCAAAGGAGTGTTGAGGGAGAGCATCTGCTCGAGTTCGGCGGTGTGGAAGTTGGAGTTCATTGTGATTGTTATGTGTTTGTTTGAGAGAGAGAGAGAGTGTTTGTATGGGTAAAGTGATAAAAATGAGTGACATGTCACTCTTTATACTCATCATTCACTGCTGAGAATCCGTGAGTGATCATCTCTCACTCAACCCCCATGCATCAACAGACATAAACCCGTTAACCGTTAGTTACCAAATTCAAATATAAAACTTCAAATTCAAATTTACCCCTCTTTTCGAAGTTCATCCAAACAATCCCAGACCATAAACAAAGGCGAATCAGACTTCTAAAAACTAAAGTAACTATTATTATTATTTATAATAACTAAATATGTATCCTAGGATAGTGGTATCATCATATTTACAATCTATTCTACTTGTCTCGGCCGAATAATATCTTGCGCTGCTCAGCAGTGAATGCAGTTCTCTGTGCAGTGAGCTCATCATCATACTTCTTGTAAGCTTGGACAGCTGGCAACTGTGCCAATCTCTCATGGTACTCCAATAACTTGGGGAAGTCCTGCTCTGCGATATCTGGATATGTTGTAATGTATTTGCTAAATGGATGGATGATTGGAATATGTTAGAGTTTGATTGATTGAGTGAGTGTGATTGAGAGGGTTGAACACATACCTCCATGGATAGATTGCAATGTCTGCAATGGTCAATTCATCTCCAGCAACATAGGAATGTTTGGCGAGTTGACGCTCAAGCACATGGAACAATCTTTTGACCTCTTTGTAATGTCTCTGGATTGGATACTCATACTTGACTTCAGCATACTTGGCGTAATGATTGTACTGTCCCATGTTTGGTCCAAGTGATGCCACTATATTCAATCAATCAATCAATCATATGTTAATACACCGATCAATCCATCATACTATTTGGACGACAATTTGAGATACATACTTTGGAAGAACAACCAACCGAGTACTTCATAATGCTCTTGAGTGTGGGTTGTCTCGTTGGGAAGGTACTTGCCCTTGCCATAGGTCTTGGCAAGGTAGATGAGGATGTTTCCACTCTCGAATAGTACAATTGGACTCTTTCCATCTGCTACATTGGGATCAACAATAGCTGGTATCTTACTATTTGGATTGATCTTAATGAAATCATCCGTGAACTGATCACCATTTGCAATATTAACCTTTATAGATTCATAAGGTAATTCCAACAACTCCAACAAAATAAACACCTTTGCAACATTTGGTGTATTAAGTGAATATAACTTGATTGGCTTTAGTGTATTAGTTGTTGAGCTCATCTTATTATATATGTATATATGTATATGTTTGACTTTGACTTGATTATTGTATTTGATTTAATGTTTGTTTGATTGATTGATTGGTATTGATGTTCAACAACATGTATTGTTGCTTATTAAATAGTTATCCATTCCATTCATTCATTCATAGATTGGTTGAATGTGTGAAAGAAGGTTGGGCTTCCAGATGACATGATTCGAAAGTCAACCCCCACTTTGGTTCAAGTCGTTCCGAACAGACACCACACATTCTCTTAGAACAATGTTTGAGAAGACTGACCGATCCAATGAATATTGATTAGTATTCATTGATTAGAATTAGTATTAGGCTTATGATATATATATATATCGGTATTATTTTATTGATAGGTACACCAGAGATAATTATTCATTTGTCCAGAATACTGCAATGTCTGTGAAGCGACGAGTTGATCACTCAATCATACACAATGAGTATGATGACGATCGACCGAATGGTTGGTTGTTGTTGTTGGGTTGGGTAAGGGGAGAGGGGACGGACGGGACGGGACGGGACGGAAGGATAGGTAAACATATATATTGATATAATGATCGATTGAACGTGCGATTGATCAAGTTTGAATTGATATCTTTGATGTGTTGATGTCGAGTAGTTTCTTCATCATTTCGTACACAGAGAAACTGATGCTGATCGCTGGCACCACCTTGAGATAGCATGGTATCATGCCCTTGTACAGGCCCTTGAAGCCCTCCTCCTGTATCACCTTTCTGAATGCATCGTACGGTCCATTATAGATCTTGGGCTTGCCGCCTATGCCCTGCACCTGTAGTCTACGTCGCAGCAGATCGATTGGATATGTGAATGTCTGAGCGGTGGCACCAGACAGTGCTCCAAATGCCAGACTCTCTGGTATTGTCAAGTGTCTATCCTGGCTGAAAAAGAACTTGAGTGACTCATATGTCGTGAAGTTGATTGCTACATAAGGTGCCACTCCCTAGTATGTGTCGATGATGTGATAGTGTTAGTATGATTGATTGAGTGTGATGATTGATTGAGTGGACATACAAGAGCCGATGTGAATAGACCTTTGTAGAGGCCGGCATAGCCTTCCTCAGCCACGATCTTTTTGTAAGCATCACTGATACCATTGTACCTCTGCTCGTGTACCTGTACAGTCAATCGAGAACGAATCAAGTCCAGTGGATATGTGAATAGAAGTGATGTGACGCCAGCTGATCCACCAACGAACAAGTTCTGGCCTGTAGTCAAATGTGACTGTCCCTGTCCAAGGAATAGCTTGAGAGAGAGTGAATGAGTGAGTGAGTGAGTGAGTGATCATGTGATTGGTATGATTGAATGATTGATCGACTTGACATACCTTCTTGTACTTTTCATAAGATAGGAACTGAATGGCAGAGTATGGAACGATACGGATGACGTTGGTACCATTGCCTTTGAAGAAACCGATGAAGCCTTCGGTCTTGAACATTGTGATGAGCGAGCGGATGACACCGGCGTATTGTGGACCACCCTTTTCCAGCTGCATCGATTGCACCTGGTTCAGGATCTTTAGTCGTTCCAGAGGCGATGTGCAAGTTCGTGAGACGGCACCGGCCACACCACCGGCCAGCAACAGCTTCCAGCTCGGTGCCTCTGTAGGTGCATGTACAATTGGCTTTGAAGAGTACTGTAACCAATACTCTGCAATGTCCTCTATATCATGTGATTTTGAATCAGACAACAAATCATAGAACTCCTCCCACTCTATCTTATGATTCTTGTTTGAGTCTGCAATGTCCATCATCTTGCTTATTTGATCCTGTGTTGTACAACATGTGATTGATTGATTGATTGATCGTTCGATTGAGATGTGTTGTGATGTGATGGGTCAGTAGGTTATGATTATCAATCAGTCGATCGATCAGTCCACACTTACCTCTTGTATCTCCATTCCATGATCTTGGAAGCCACGCTTCAGTTCATGTCTGTCGATTACACCATCCTTATCTTTATCGAATGTGTTGAATATATCACGTAGGTTACGAGTTCTATCATCACTCCCACTGCTATCCTTCCTCTTTATTGTTGACATCTTATCTTATATTTGTTTGAATGTATGAATGAATTGATTGAATGAATGATCGATCGTTCGTTTGATTGATTGATTGTTATTAAGTTAATATGTTATAATATATATATTATATAATAATGTTATAATGTATATAATATATATGATGTAATGTATATAAGTTAACAAACAAACAACGATAAGATCATCAACACGCACCTGTTATGTATTTGGTCACAATCATTTGAACTTCAAACCAAACTCGTTGTGTTTGTGATCTCCACCTCATGTGTGTGTAACGTTAAATCAAAAGTTTGGATTGACATTGTTATCTTACATGATTATGTAATTGTTTTGTAAGTAGACTCGAGTAAATACTTTTATTTTAAATTTATTTTTTCAAAAGTAGTGAGTGAGATTAACGCTGTGCATAATGTTTGTGTGTTGGATACAAGAGTGAGTGACGAGTGGTCAAGCACATCCTTTTTTCTTGTTTTGCTTTGTTTCAACCCATCTAGCTTTAAAAGAGAATGGTAAGGATATTATAACTTTCACTCCTCTACTCATCAGTACAATACAGCAGCAACAACAACTCAGTATACAGCAGCAATAGACAAGTCAAACAAGCATTAATATGATGAATCAAATGGATGTGGATTATCGAATGATCAATTTTGAATGAATGAGTGATGAGATGAACAATCACTTCATTGGCAAGAGAACTGATCAACAATAACAACAACACATAATAATAACATGATAAACAGAACATGACAAGTTGCGATATTCATCATAATCACACGACTTCAACGCACCATCGACATCATCAATTATACTTGGACTTGGATATGCTGTTGCTGTTGACTGTTGCTACTGATGCTGCTGATTGATGTGCTGGTGGAGAATGAAAGAATGATTGATTACATATACTAATACAAAAATGTATTGATATATTATAGTCCGCACCAGCCGCCGCTATCCCAACCGAGAAGGTCCAACTCGCTAGAGTCACCGAAGTCATCTGCCGTACCGGTTCCCGTGGTGCCGTCACCCAGGTCCGTGTTGATTTCCTCGACACTGATAAGCCAAGAAGCCTTCTCAGAAACGTCAAGGGACCAGTCAGAGTCAACGACATTCTTTGTTTGCTCGTAAGTTCATACACATCCCATCATTCAATCATTCAATCAATGAGTGGCATCAGTATACTGACCCAATCATCATCATCATCATCAATAGGAAACCGAGCGTGAGGCTAGAAGACTTCGTTAAATTAGCTCCATGTCTAACCAACGTAGTAGTAATTAAAACATAAGCAATCCTCCTGCAGCATACTTCCACATGACTATATCTCTTCTCGTTCGTTCTTTCGCACGCTACACTACACTACACTACAATCATTCGTTATGGATGATGAACTGACACGAGTGTGTTGATACTTTAATTGATTGATCTCCATGGTACCTTAGGCAACTACCTCAAAGGTACTGGACTGTCCACTGTATGGTACACGGTGGTCGGACAGTGGGCTGGGCTTGGCATAGCCTTGGTGGCTGATGCGGTAGTTACCAGACTTGACGGGGAAGGTCTGGCCAACGATCCAGTCAATGGTGATGAGGGACTGCGAACCAATGTCATCGTGCATCTTCCAGTACATGCGAGTGTCCCAGTCGCCATCAACCAACACTGTGGTCCATTGGTTAGGCGAGGTCTCCATCTCGACCGTGAGGAACGTGGACTGGGTCATGAAGTTGTTCCTTGGGTTGGCACCAAAGAACACGACTGTCACGGTCTCGTTGACAGTGTAGGTGGTCTGTGAGACGTCCTTGTAGACCGAGCCAAACACTCCGTTGGGCGCCTCATCAACTACGACGGGAGGGAGGAAGAAGAAGGTGTGGCCGGTCATGTTGCGTGGGGTTGGGCCTGAGGGCACTTGCTGGTTGGCGACGATGGCTTGGGCTAGCTTGCCAAACTCCTGTTGGTAGGCACCAAGTGAGTTTGGTCCAAAGGCTGTGGCGGCACCCTCGAATCGTTGCACCTCGTACTCCTCAAAGGTGGTGATGTAGCCGGTGTAGGTGTTGGACAGGCCTGCGACTAGGACGATGGGCTCAGCGCCGAGGGAGTTGCCAACGATGCCAGCGATTTGCTCACGTAGACGACGGCCGGCCATTGTGGTGAACTCGCCTGGAACGGCGCACAGAACGATCTGGCCGATGGTGATGATTTGGATGGGGATGACGTCGGGGATCCAGGGCAAGGGCTTGGTCAGACCAACATCGATCAGGATGGGCTTGGGTGCCTGGCACTTCTTCTGCTCCTCGGTGGGCTCAGCGATGAAGCTGCTGATGAAGTTCCAGAAGATGTTGCCATTGGTGTGGTTGTCGTCTTGAATAAAGTTGAATGCGCCTGGACCATCAGTGGTGCCTGCGGCGAATGAATAACCCATGGCGGCACGACATGTTGTGACTGGTTCGGAAGTTGGCGCGAATGGCGGGTAGACAGAAAGGTTGGTCATGGGCAGGTAGGTGTGGCGGTAGTTGATGCCACCTACGACGGGGATGTGAGCTGAGGCATTATTGAACATGTCAAAGGCCTTCTGGAACTGGTTGGTACCAATAATACGGGTGCTGTCAAACATGTCACCGTCTTTGCCTGGTCCCAATGCGTAACAATCCTCATTCTTTCCATTGCAGGTGGAGTCCTCGGCACATGGTGATCCATCCTTTTGGCACTTGGGTCCATCAGTGTTTGGACTAACATCACCCTCGTTGGACTGACCGAAAGCAGCGACGAAAGGTCCAACACCTGGCAACGAGTTGATACCATTCATAGTCTTTTCAAACATATACGAAGCATATCCCTTGTTATCACCACTGATCAGATGATTAGTGTTGTTCATGCTGACACAATGTACGGCGAACTTGTTATGTGAGTGTGAGTATGATGGAATGGTTCCATACTGGGTTGATCAATCAATCAATCAAAGTACATACCACTGAGATGGCACCTATTGGTTGTCCAGCGGTATTCTCCAAACGGATCACAGTAATGTTCTTGTCCACATTGTCTTGGTACTTGGCACGCTCCTCAGCAGGGTTGTTGAGGTAGGCGGGTGGAGAACGGCTTGATATTTGGCGGGATCAATCAGTATCACCGAATGAACATAAGTTTGGAAGATGTACTTACTTGATGTTGGAGTTGAACAACTCTGATTGGGACACAAGGAGTCTGCCTGGTTGGAGGTTACCATGGGCCATGACGATGGCCTCGAATATTCCTTGACAGATGGTGTTGAAGTTGGCCTCATAGAAACCAAGAGTGGTGATGTCATAGAGTGCATACATGGAGTATCCACCAGGTCCAGAATGAGTATGGATACCAGATAGAAGTACATTGGCCTCAGAGTAGACTCCTGGTCCAAAGTGTTCTTGGAGCAATGTAACAACATGTAACTTAACTGCTTGGAATATCATACAAGCGTCCACACTAACATAGACTGCTCTATTTCCATTCGAGTCCAAAAAGGCGAATGCTCTGGCTCTCAATCTAAAGTGAAGGCCTCCAGTAACTTGTTGTGGTACAGCATATCCCATCATTCCAGCTTTATAAACCGATTGATAGGGTGATGGTAAGTGGAGGTGTTCCATGTTCTATTGATGGAGTGATGGCATTGGTACATACTCTCAGCGGCGGGACCGGTTACATCATAGATACCAACACCAAGTTGGTAGTTGGAGTCATCCAATATGTTGTTGGAGTCAATGTTGATCTTGTAGGCAGATGTTATGGCTGAGAAAGTCAGCAACATTACAGCCACAACAATTATATGTTTGTTTGATGTATACATCATTATTATTATTATTAGTAGTGATTGAGTGGAATTGAATTGAATTTAATGAGTTGGAATTGAAGATAAGAAGGTATGTTGAAGGATGGTCACCATTGGCAGGGGGCAGCAAACGCGGCATCGGCGGACTTGGACAAGGCCTTGACCCCGATAACAAATTGTTCAATCCACCACTTGCAATGGGCCGCTAGGGTGATGCCCCTTCATCAGATATTCGGATGACTGTCGACAACACAATTACCGAAGTGACCCGAGATCAAAGATACACATCATTCGCAACTAATCAATGTTGTGAACTGAATATGATTATTAGATGAACCGGTATATATTCTTAAGATTCATTTTGATTGACTGATTGCGATGTGATTGATTGAGTTAGAGAGTAGGTATTATAGTAGTAGTTGAGTGAATGTGATAAGACTTCTTATTTATGTCAAACAAATATATATATATATATAACTTGTTTATGTGCATCTGATGATTGACAAGGATGTTGTGTATTTGAATAGGTTTTGATGATAGTGATGGGTCATTCTTTGAATGAACTTGGAGGGGTGGAGTTGAGGTGGCCTTTTAAATATCCATGTCTAGCCTATATTAATCAATCAATCATTCAATCAATATATCCATTTAATCAATCAATTAATCAATGAAAGATGGATACATTAACAGATTTATTGTTAAAGTATATAATTAGTGAATTGACTGACAATATTGATATAGTATGTTTGGCATTGTCAAACAGACGATTCTTTAGATTGTTACCAAAGTGGTGCCAGTTAGGTCATTCATCAACTGTTACTCAACTTAATGATAATGATAATGATGATGATAAGGTTGTCATAACAAGATTGGATCTGAGTATGGACGCACACACTTCATGGACTCAACTTCCAACTACCTTAACACACTTAGCATTTGGAGCAAAGTTCAATGAGCAAATGGAAAATATACGACTCCCTGACTCATTATTAGCGCTAGAATTTGGAACAGACTTCAATAAACCCTTGGCTGCAGGTGTCCTACCATCAAAGCTTATTGAGCTTACATTTGGGAATCACTTCAATCAACATCTGCCCCCTGGAGTCCTTCCGAGCTCACTCAACTCTCTAATATTTGGATCAGAGTTTGACCAACCTTTGGTCCAAGACTCTTTGCCACCTTGTCTCTTCAGCCTACGATTCGGCATGCCAATGAAACATACAATCCACTCATCATCACAGCCAATGATCACTCGATACAATCATCCATTCACTCCTGGAATCATCCCCCACTCACTCAATCATCTAACACTAAGCTTCTACTATGATCAACCTATACTGCCTGGTGTGCTGCCCTCCAGCCTCACCTATCTCTGCTTTGGAAACAACTTCAAACAACCTTTAATCAAAGGTGTGTTACCAAGGTCTCTAACAGAGTTGAAGTTGGGATCAGAGTTCAATCACAGACTTGAGCCGGGTGTACTGCCGCACTCAATCACTCATCTCACTCTTGGCTACCATTTCAATCAAAGGCTGATCCCAGGTTCATTGCCAACATGTCTGATCATGCTCACTTGTGGCTCATTCTTCAATCAATCAATCGATCCAGGTACACTGCCCAGCGGTCTGAAGGAGTTGGTGTTTGGCCTGCGCTACAACCAACCCATCCCGCCAGGTGTTCTGTCCGAGTCACTTCTTTCGCTGTCCTTTGGCGTTGACTTTAATTGTCAGTTGGAGGTCGGTTCTTTGCCGCCACGATTGTCACGCCTGACCTTTGGTCTGGAGTTTGACCAAACATTTGTTCCAGGTGTGCTGCCCACATCGCTGACTAAGTTGTCGTTCGGCTCGATGTTCAACCAGCCACTTGTCCCTGGTGCACTGCCCAACGGGCTCCTTGACATCATGTTTGGGAAGGACTTCAACCAGACTCTAAGCCCAGGTGTGCTGCCAAACAAGTTGGAGGCATTGTTGTTTGGTGTCAACTTTGACCAACCATTGGTGGCCAATGCCCTACCTTCATCACTGCTCAGACTAAAGTTTGGCGACAAGTTCAACCAACCATTGCCAGCAGGAGTGTTGCCAGAGTGCTTGAGATCAGTCAGACTGGGTCCAAGCTTCAATCAAGATGCATCCAAAGTTGTGTTGCCTGCCAGTGTAAACCTGTTGGCGCTGGTTGACCTGTCGCGCCAGGGCAAGTACCTCGCCAACATATCGAGCAAGTCGATCAAGGTAGTCAGTGCTGACCGTGTCACAGACTTTGTCGACAGTGCCACCAGTACAATCTTCAAAGCATCTGTCGACGGAGGCGATGATGATGCCGGGGTACATGTGGACCACCTTGTCCTAACGTACAACACCAAAGATCTCTACGACTACCAGGGTCTGGTGGGCAAGTGTGCCAACAACTTTGGCACCATTACATTTGTCGATGTAAACACAAGACTACCAAGACTCTATCAGATAAGGTCATTGAATGATTCAAGTCATCAACCAGACTTAATGCTATGTGTATGTTTCAATCGAGGATTCACCAACATCAACTGTAACGTCCAACAAGATATTCGCTACACATTCTTCAAAGCATCTACATTTGCCAAGTCTGATCTAATATCATTCAATTCCTTTAACTAGTCTAGTCATATTGCTCAACTCTCAACAGCAGTTGCAGTTGATGACTGTATATATGTATATATATCTATTTATATCTATTTATTATTAATAATACAATATATATTTGTGTTCATGAATGAATGACTCATCATCGAGTATCACTAACTAACTTTGAAACAAAGAATGCAAATGACCCATTCGCGAACCCCTTCTCAATAACAAATGTGTAAGTGGTTTGTGATCCAATTTAGAGAGGGGGGTTGATGTGAACTTGTGAACTTGTTCAATCTAATCATTTATTCATTCAAACACAAATATTAAACATTTATAAAGTATACATACATACAGATACTATCTTTATTATTGATTATTACAACACTTGTAGTATAATAACAACACATCATCATATACATAGTCTCGATCGATATAATAATATATAGAAGTTGATAAGATGGTATGTACATCCTCAATCATCAATCATTAATGATCATTCAATTCAACTAACATCCAATCCCATCACAATCACAAAATGAACTAGTTAATCGCAGTTAGAACATCAGTTGGCTCAAAGAGAGTTGAGGTACATGACAGAGCAGCAGTCAGAGAGATATATGAAAAGGTATGTTGAACTGATTGATTGAAGGAGGACCTTCTCACTTACTCAACTATTACTAATACTACTATTACAGCTGTCTCAAATGGGAGTTCCAGTTGAAGGTACATATCTAGCACAGGGACCTCGTGATAAACCTCTAAAGTCAGAGCTATCAGTCACAGAATGTGGTTTAAAGTATGTTATAACATCACATGATCATGATCTACCTCATTCACTAACTCATTCAATCAATCAATCACAGAACTGGTGATCTTTTATACTTGGTAGCAGCAGGTGGAGGAGGAATCACACCAGCCCCTCCAGCAGCAGCAACAACATCATCATCCTCAACAACATCTTCACAAAACACCTCATCAACAACACCGAATGTACAGTCACCAAAGAGTGAATCCAGACTCACAGCATCATGTAAACATGCAGAGGGTGATAGATGTGTCTTTTGCTCGGATAGTGTCGGCCAGAAGAAGTGCAACCATCCGGGCATTGCCACATGTCCCAACTGCCAGGACAAGAAGTTCACGGGCAAGAAGCTCAAGTGGCTGTGCAATCACCCGGCGGGTGGCAAGTGCAGCAACTGCATGCGTGTGCCCAAGAAGGTGGGCTACAAGTGCACGCACGGACCAAGTGCCGTGTGCACCAACTGCATCGACTCGCGCAGTGACTCCTCCAACCCGGGCTCACCCGGCACGCCCAACTCTGTGCCCGGCTCACCGCCCAACCTTGACGCGAACAACAACAACTACGATGCGAACAACAACAATGGCTTCAAGTCACCGTCCACTCCACAAAAGTCTCCAATGACATCAAGATGCTTGCATGGGACCCAATGGAAAGTGCACAAACTGCCTGCCCAAGGACGATCCCAACTCTGTGGAGGTGCCCAAGCGTCGATGCAAGAACCACGGCATCCACGGCTCATGTGTCGAGTGCATAGAGTGGCGCGAGAGTCTAAAGATGAAGCTCAAGAGCCAGGACAAGCCAGTGTGTCCTGGCGTGTCGGTGCAGGTCAACGCAGCCAACGTCTTCCAGCAGTATATTCGCGATCGCAAGTTTGAAGAGCAGCGCATCGGCTACCTCTATGGCAACTTTTTGCAGGATGGCAGCGTCTCGGTCGACGTCATCTATGAGCCACCACAAAAGGGCGACAAGAAGACGGCAACATTACTCGAGGACAAGACCATCGACAGGATCGAGTCCTTGGCCAGCATGTTGGGCATGTGTCGCGTTGGATGGATCTTCTCGCATCCAACAAGGAAGTACGTCATGTCCTCCACAGACATCATTCAAGCCGCAAACTTCCAGAACACCTTTGGCAAGTCATTCGTCACTCTCATCATGACAAGTATGTATCCTCCAGGTCGATCAATCAACTCAATCAGGTACACTAACACTTTCAATCAATCAAACAAATAGCCAACAGCGAAGGAAGTACAAGCCTTGAGGCATTCCAGGTGTCGGACCAGGCACTCAAGCTGGAGAAGACGGAGGAGTTCTTGCCAAATCAACCAGATCCAGCCACTTGTAAATTGAAGTCGCCAGTGTTTGTTGAGGGTGCCGAGACAGTGACGGCCGACAACAACTTCTTCATCGTCACCGTGCCAGTCAAGGGCGAGGAGAAGTCCAGATTCAACACTGTGTTCCCAGTTAGCAACCGTACGCCACAGACCTCCAACCAAGACCTTGTATCCTACAAGATGGACAGTTCAGACAACACTCGATTGGCCTTCTTCTCCGACTTCCACTTCCTTGTCTTCCTACTCACCAACAATATATTCACAAACGTAAGCATCCACATTCATCCATCCTTCTGGAATCATTCCAATCACTAACATGTCCTCCTCTCCTTCTCACAGACTGACTTCCCAATCATATGTGATAGCATCAAGTCAAAATCATCGTCGAGCCTGGACCTCTACAATGAGATCATTGACGCACAGGTTGGCGAACTGATTGGACACAACAACTGAGTTGTTTGGAAGCGTGACCGGACCAGACCAGTCCATCCATCAAGTGATCGATTCGCCTTGTACATGCCACCTCGTATCCAACACATTATAAATACACAGTCAGTTAACTTAAGATATAATCGTATAGTTTGGTGCTTTATTCGCTGTCGCTGCTGTCGCTGTCGCTGCTGCTGCTTTTGCTGCTTTCCGACTCAGAGCCAGAGTCAGAGTCGGCAAAGAATGATTTCTTCTTGTTGTCATCGTCGTTTTTGTTGTTGTTTGGCTTCTTTGTTGGCTTCTCCTCGTCCTCCTCATCCTCATCCTCGTCCGATGAGTACTCCAACTCCTCATCATTCTTTCTCTTCTTTGATGATGATGATGATGATGGTGATGTTAATGATGATGTAGTTGATGATTTGTTGTTTGATTGTTTCTTTGATGATGTATTGTTGTTGTTGTCCTCGTCTGAGCTGTCGTCTGATGATGAAGCCTCCTCATCACTCTCACTTGTACTAGCTGGTGATGATATGATCTTCGCCCTCATGCTATTATTATTATTGTTGTTGCTCTTTCTATTGCGCAGATCATTGTCAGAGTTACGCTCTGATATATCACCATCGTCAGTCTCGTATGATGTAAGCTTCTGTGGTGTGGCCAACTGATCGAGTGGCACGGGTGGCTTGGCACGGTCGTGTGCACTCTGACTGGCGCCGTCAATCTCCATCATAGACTTGTTGGACTCTTCGATGCCTGATGCCTCGTCGTCATCGTCATCGTCGTCGGCGGTGGCAGTCTGATCGTCGCCATGGATTGATTTTGAGAGGTACTTTTGGAAGTGATGCAAGTTGTTGGTAATGATCTGGAAGAAGTCATCCGATGTGTTTGTGCCATTGATCAACAGCTTGTTCTGATCGCTCTGTTTGCGTTCCTTATTAAACTTTGTCAACAAGTCCAATGCCTGTTCATTTGATATCTTTGATCTTGATCTAACTTGTATATCCATTATTTATGTATATATATATATTTATCTCTTAATCAAACTTTGACGAATGAATCATTTTTTTCGAATTTTGTTATTTATCGAACTTTCGTTCGTTTTTTGTGTCATCCAGAACTCATTTGACACAGACATAAGTCCTCCTGAAGTGATATTGATAATACAAAATATTCTTATCTATACTAATATGATCAAGATAGATAATTGATCAATAGGTAGTATAATATGATACTACCCTTGTCGGAATCTTGTTCTCAAATGAGGGAGCAGAATGCTTACTTTATCAAAGATTGTATTAAAATTTGAAGTTCATTCAATTTGAAGTTGTTGTGTTTTGTGGCGCCATTCATAAATCAATCACACTTGAATAATCATAACTTGAGAAGAACAAGTATAATTGAAGATAGATAGAGATACATAATAAGATAGAATGATAGCAGAGGCACATTGCTTTGAAAAGTTTGTAAAGACTGCACCAGATGACAACTCAATAGTCTATGGTGAGCATCTCTCAAAGCTTGAATCAGTTGACAATGAATCACAACTACCTTATGACTTACAACTAGAGGTATGTTATTGTTATTAGTCACCAACATACATCATACACAACATTCAACTAACGATCATCAATCAATCAATCATAACATGTAAACAGAAAGGATTCTTTACAGATTTGAAAGTGTCGACTGAGGAGCACAAGACTACTACTCATCACTCGGCGATGAAGTCACCATCGGCAGAGGCACCAGCATACATTCAACATATATTCGCTCTAGAGCGTCTGACAGAGGGTGTTACACAATGGATAGATCATGCGATAAATAAGGCATTGGGAAATGATATTCATAATCAACATCATCATCATGCTAGTTCATCATCGGGTAACACTGCTGTCAAGGCATTCGCATGGCATCCACAACAACAAATAATGGCCGTGTGCAATTCCAATGACATTGTGTTGATCTACAACTTCCAGCAACATGGACGTGCCATGATGCTATCTGCGCCACCACTCTCACTCTGGATGGAGTTCCAAGTTGGTGTCACTGACCTCCAATGGAAGCCAAACGCGCCCTACACCCTCGCCATCGCGACCAAGTAAGTATCCAATCGCGCCCTGATGTCGCGCGAGTTGGTATTCAATCACTAATGCTGGAATCATTCGCCTGGATGTTAGGAATGGAGTTGTAATATGGGAGATTGACTTTAATGATATAAGGAGCGTTCCAAGCAATGCATCAAAGAGTAATACTAATGCGATCGTGTTGACATATCCTTATTTTGCACCGACGACCTTGTCTTGGTCATCGAATGGACTGCAGTTGGCATCTGGTTCACCAGGCATACACTCGGTAATCGTTTGGGATGTGGCATCACGTGTTCCAACATCAATCGCAAGACATGGTGGCAATGCACACATATCATTCTCTCCACACGATCAGTTCCTCCTCTCTGCCAGTCATCACAACATACGTATCTTTGACACTTCCAAGTGGGACTATAACAACAAACAATGGAACTTTACATCACATCATATCGTAAGTTGACTCTGATCAATCAATGTGATGGAATGATCCCACCCACTCACACACATTCACACACAGTCCTCAGCATGGACACCAAAAGGCGACTACCTAATAGTCAGTTGTCTTGACAAGTTATGCTTCATTCTTTGCAAGAACAAGGCACTTAATACACGTAAGTACATCGCATCAATTGACATTGACTGGCACACCATTCACTAACATCACGTGTCCATCACTTCCACTCCACTCCACTCCAGAGGGTGACCTGGTCCACGTTGAGAAGACAACAACATATAAGATACATCAGAATCATACAGAGTAATTATCGATCATTCAATCAATCAATCACACCCATTCACTAACCCAATCAATCAAATATAGACAATCAGTTGGAGGACATATTAGATCAATTGCTATCAGTCCTGATGGAAATAGATTGGCTGTTATATTCTTGAAGAATAGAAGTACAACCAATAATGATACATTGATTGCGTTATATAGATTGAAGACAACACCCAACCTATCGATCACTCCTCGAGGCTTCCTCAAGAAACGAAACCACCCAGTTCAATCAATATCCTTTGTTCCAAACTATACCAAAGGTTCACTTCTAAGTGCTGTACGTATTATTATTTATATATTACCAGTTCAGTTCAAATGTCATGTCCTAACCATCCATCCATCGATCAAACCAATCAATCAATCAAAAGGTATATAATGATGGAGTAATCACATATTTCCCATTGTTATACAATACCAAGGCTACAGCAGGACTTGTCTAATATAGACATTGGTCAATATATAGGTCAATATAAAAAAACTATTGGAATCATTCCTCTTTACCCTAATATTTAATAATTATTAGTTTATTTTTAAATGTTATACGACTGTTCCCAAAAGATGGGGTTTTTTGCATCAAAAAGTCAGTTTCACACTTAAAATAAACTAATAGAAAGTTAAAAATATCACACAAACACACACATCGGCAATAAGACTTGTCAATCTCACCTCATTCATACTTACACACTCTCTCATTCACACCAAGAGTCAATCAACATACCTTATTATTACTTGTACATTACATTTATATATATTTATTATTTAAGATGCTATCAATCTGATCAAATCAACTTATTATTATTATCTCATTCAATCAATCATTCAATCAATCATTCAATCAAACAAACATTATTTTGTACTTGTATATTCAAAAATATATTAGATAATATTATTATCTAATTGGAGGAGGTTGAGAGAATATGAGCAACAATCTAAAGAAGTTGGTCAATCAGTTGATCACTAGATCTCCGAATCAATCTCAATCTCAGAGCACTCTGACAGAGACGTCAAAACTCAATCATAGACGACATGTTAGTGTTGATGGCGCTGGAATATCAACAACATATTCAGTCTGTGTCGATCAGGCCGACTATATGAATGTTGGAATGTTGGACACTCTACTCAGATCAGTGTTGAAGAATAGTTATGTATGGTCATTGATCGTATCGTGCATCTCTTCAATTGGTTATATAAACGAACATGCTGGCTCCAGTGGAATCGTCCCATCACAACATCAGTCCCAACAACAACAACAAACACTGTCATTGTCTTCATCATCAGGTGTGATTAGACCACCTCTGTCACTGGCAAAGCGATACGTGGAGATACAGAATGCATTGTGGATGTGCACAAACAGACACTTTTCATTGTTAAAGTATAAGTTGGTGCGATGTGAGGAGATATACGGATGGTCCACTCAATGCTTTGAACATCTATTGATGTATTGCAGTGATATTGAATTGGTGATCATGTTGCTAAACTCGTCAAAGTTTGCACATCTGTCACATCATCATCGACAACTCCTCCTGCTCGATCACGCCGCACACAATCCAAACGTTGGCATCACAAAGTATCTCCATAAACAAGGCGCAAAGGCAACACCCAACGCTATCGACACGGCAGCGGCCGCGGGCAACCTGGCCGTCGTAGAGTTCCTCACCAAGAACAGGAATGACGGCGCGACCAAGGCGGCGTTGAACGCTGCGGCTGGCGCCGGCCACTTGGACATTGTCAAGTACCTCTCGATCAATCGCAAGGAGGGCTGTTCAAAGATGGCCCTGGATGACGCAGCAAACAATGGACATCTGCAAGTGGTGGAATACCTGATCATGTGTCGGACTGAGGGCGCCACCGCTCAGGCTATGGACCGCGCTTCATTGAATGGCCACATGGACATCATTCGACTGCTACATCAATCTCGCTTCGAGTGCACGTCTGACGCGATGAACTGGGCCGCCACACGTGGACATCTGGACATTGTAACATTCCTCCATGACAACCGCACAGAGGGATGCACCACCGCCGCAATGAATGGTGCGGCAACCTTTGGACATCTGGACGTCGTGCAGTTCCTACACGTGAATCGTACCGAGGGCTGTGGGACAGCGGCAATGAAGTGTTCTGCCAGCAAGGGACATTTGGACGTCGTGCGATTCCTGCACGAGCACAGGACCGAGGGCTGCAACTCAATGGCAATGAACTATGCCGCTGTCGAGGGACACCTGGCCGTCGTCCAATTCCTTAACGAGAACAGGACTGAGGGTTGCACGACCGACGCGATCGACCTCGCCTCAAAGTCAGCAAAGAACATCGATATCATCAGGTATCTGTTGGACAATAGAACTGAGGGCTTCACCGATGTGGCCATCGTCAATGCTGCGGAGAATGGCAATCTGGACATACTCCATCTGTTGTGCACAAAGAACCATGGACTGCTTTCATCGGCGCGAATCAGAGTTGATCTCATCGCTGGTCGAGGCTACCTGTCCGTCATTGAGTTCCTGCATCGCCATCTGCCAACATCCAACAACACGCAACCAATATTACAAACACAAACCTCCCAGCCAGTACTACTACCAGCAGTATGGACCGCTAACTGCATGGACCAGGCCTGCCAGTTTGGTCAGCTTAGTATCGTGGAGTTCCTTCACAAAAACAGAACAGAGGGCTGCACGGAGAAGGCCATGGAGAAGGCCGTGCTCAACGGACATTTAGAAATCGTTCGTTTCCTCATTGATAACAGGACTGAGGGCAACAAGGAGAAGGCATTCGACAGTGCCTGTCGATTCGGCAACATGGACATCATCAAGTATCTGCACGCATGTGGTCAGACCTGCAGCCAACAGTCGTTTGAGCTTGCTGCAGCACGTGGCCATCTCAAGGTCGTGCAGTACCTTTACTCAAACTATACCCTCGAGGTGGATCGTGCATTGTCAATGGCCATCGATCAGGAACAGTCAGATGTCATTGACTTTTTGTCTAGGCTGAACAAGTCTCACAACAACAGACTACAGTTGTCTTCGTCGTGGGGTGCTGGGCCTTTGTCTGGCTCCAGTGACAGCCACAGACGATCACAGAGCAGTGGCGGTGGCGGAACACCTCTTAGCCATTCAGGAAAGAAGCAACAGCTACATCAACATGAGTCGTCGTCTGGTGGATCATCAACTTCATCATCATCTTCACCTTCGGACAAGCTCAAGAGGAGTTCTGGAAACGTTGAAGTTGATCCAATCCGGCCCAAGATCAACGCGCTCTCCCAGTCACTGTCTAGCCTGTCATCATTCACAAGTCCCAAGAAGAGGAAGTAAGAGTGGAATGGAATGAAGTAAACACACAGAGTATCAGAGAGAGGCAGCAGTCTAACAACAGCCGCTTACTTTGTCATTCATTATACTACTACTACTATATGATTATGATGTGTCAACTCTCTTAATGTACAATCTATTGATTGATTGATTGAATGATCAAGTTAGCAATTGGGAGATTCAATGAACGAACGAATGAATACATACTTTGGCTTGATTAATACAGGCTATCCATGATTCCATGTCATCGGTTGATTGTGCCGAGCAGTAGAAGAGTAGCTCCTTGTTGGTGTTGTTGTGATTGGGCACTTTGATCTGGAAACAATTGGTCCTCTTCATAGAGGTTGCAATGTCCACTTGAGTGTCTGGTGTAAGAACCAGCTCGCCACTGACCTTACTCTCCTTTGGTGACTTGGCATAAGTCAATACATTCCTCTTTAATTGGAACCACCTAACATTCCAGTTCCTTCTAATGTGTCCTTTCTTTGTCAGGTATCCTTCCTTTGATATATCGTCCAGCTGTTGTGCAGACCTGTTAGTCTTCTGTCCACATGAATCAATCAATCACTTACCCTGATTGTTACATGTTGAGCTGGCGATGAAGATGAGATGGCAGTTGAGAGTCTTTGTGGTGGCGGTGTCGATGGAGATCCTGCCACCGTGATGTTTGAGTCGGCGTTGGTTTGTGATGTTGAAGTCGCCGTGCTATGTGTCTCTGATGGTTTGATATATGATGATGCAGGGCTACTTGATGAGCTAGATGAATCTGCTGCACTGTTGTTATCTGTAACTTGTAGCTTTGACATCTGTTGTTTTACTTGTTGTTGTTGTTGTTCGTCATCCTCATCATCATCATCACCTTGTAGCCATTCTTCAAACTCATCCGACGTTAACTTTCTAACATAGTTGAATGGGAATATGCCCTCCTTTCTGACTTTGGCGATTGTACATCCTTTCCACCAACCATCACTAGCCTCCTCTATAATATCAATGAGTGAACCTTCTTCCAATGTTATCTCTTGGTCCTCTGTTGCTTCGTATCTATATAACACCACTGCCTTTGGTGCGTTTGGGTCGTATGACAATCCATCGTTGGTAACCTCAAGGTTCTTGCCACCTAAGTGATTGATCAAGTGTATAAGTTGGTGATTGATTGATTGATCGAATACGCTATCAACATACCCATGATTGAATATATATAATGTAAACTTATTTGTATATCTGTTACTTGTACCTGTTTAATTTGGTTGCAAATGGATTCCACTTCTGACTTCGTTTTTTATCCATCTCAGTGGCCCAACGAGGCTTTGGACCAACCCGATCCACACGCACAGATCTCATGATCAAGATTTAACTTTAATCATAATATCAGTACATATGTTTATTTGGTCAATGCTTGCTTTCTCTCTCTCTCACGTTGTTCAGCAACTTGTCTTTGTTGGTTGACATGGTTGTTGTGGTCTGTTGCCTGTCTATTCATGTTGTCTCTATGCACTTTTTGAGAGTTGTGCGACGATGATCCTCCACCACCTCCGCCACCGCCACCCATTTGATCATACATTCCACTGAGCTTATCTTGGTTACTATCCCATTGACTAGAGACTTGATTGCCATACCACCTTCCAACTATACCCAGAGCACTCTTCACCTTTTGCCACGAAGTTAGACGTTGTGGAGTGGACTGAATAGGTTCAGGTACTTCTGGCATATAACTGTTGACATCTTGGGCCATCCATTTTCCAGTTTGAAGACTACGTGTTGATATTGAGGTAAAGTAGAGAAGTCCTTGAGTGCCATCTCCTTGGGGAAAGGTACTAGAGTACCTGTAGTATATATCCTCAGTGCACTTGGCATCATTCACTCTGGTTTGATCGAATGATACCAGTGACAACTTATATTGATTGACATATGCTTTCTCATAGATATCTATTATATCTTGTAGGCAACGGACATACTGTGGTTCAGGTAGGTAGCTGGCACGTACAACACTATGATATGTCTCATCATAATATTGATTGATAAAGCTAACCAACTCCACACCAGTTAACTTGCCATAATTTGCAAAGCAATGATTGAGTTGTTCTTGACTTGTTAACATTATAATTATTATTCTTTGTTTGGTTGATTGTTTTGAATGAATGATTGAATGATGTTAACTTGTTTATATTCATTGTGTAGACACAAGCCAAACTCAAACTTCCAAGTAGTGCCTGTTGTTGGTTCAAGTTTGTGGGATTGATTGATCATTGGACACCTTCATTCATTTAACCAATATTAGTTGTCAACCACAACTACAACTACTACATAACTTGAAAGTACAAGCTGAACAACCAAAGATGAATAACCTGAATGTTATAGTTTATTCAATGTACGTACATTGTATGATGATGGTGGTGTGACTGACTGACTGAGCTTGACTGACGCTGACACTGACTTGAGGACTTAAGTTATATAAGATGTATATATATGGATATACAGAGAGGAAAGGGTAGAAAAAAGGTAGAGAGAGAGGAAAAGAGATATACGGGTTGGCTATTATATGTCCGCTAGAGAGACTGTTGACGCTTGGCATCCAAGGTTTGTTGATGGGACGTGACGGAACTGGCTTGAAAGCGGATGTTGGGTTGGAAAAAGGAGGAAGGAAGGATGGATGGCTGGAGGTAGTTGAGTATTCGACATATATATATGATTGTATGTATGTATGTATGTATGTAATGATCGCGCTCGGATGATGATGACCATTGATTAGTCCATCTCGTGCTCGGGACGGTAGGACGATTGTGAACCGGTTGGGTTGGTGACGGCAGTGAGGAACTGGGACTTGGTGAGCGTCGAGTGGTTGTATGGCGAGGTCTTGCCGCGGTTCCTGTCTGGCAACTGCTGCATCTTGACGTTGGGAAGTCCGTCGTCTTCCACTGGCTTGTACACCTTCCACATCTTGGAGCCAAAGATGATGATGAGTGTGGTGAATGTCGTGAAGATACCCATCGATGAGATGATGGCGTCACGACTGCGCTGGCTCTCAATGCCGGCCATAAGAGGGATGACGATGAACAATGTGAAACTGATCAGGTAGATGCAGCTGTTGAACTCGTGTGTCTCCTCAAACTCCTCCAGGTCAATGACACGCGTTCTCCAGGCCATCACGCAGCCGTAGAGAAGTTGAAGGCCGTGGAAGACCAGCAACGTGTACAAAAGGTTGTCGCCACGCTTGTTGTTGACGCAGTTCTGGGTGTACTCGTAGCGACCGATGCCGTCGAGGCCCAGCGAGTTGTAGGATGACACGCCGCCCAAGCCAGTGTACAGGGCAAGGAGCAGAACGTTGATGAGCAGCAAGCCGCCGTACCAGTTGTAGACGGTCTTTGGGGAGATTGGCGAGATGACATCGGAGCGCTTCAGGAGCAGCTCCTTGAATTTGAGGTAGATGCGGGTGTTCTTGATGATCATCAGACCGACAAGGAAGTTGTAACCGAGTGAGATCATCCAGACGCGAGACACACAGATACCGGTTGTCTTGAGCTGCGTGTTGTAAAGGATGATGCCGACGGGCACGAGAACGGCACCAAGGATCAGGCCAAAGCAGAACAACAGGTTGGAGTAGAGGATTGGCAACTTGTTGGCAAAGACGACGCACAGTGCAACAAAGATGGCGGCGACAAAGATCTGCACAGAGGACACGGCGATGAAAGCAATGTTGATGGCTTGGCGATCGTACACCTCGGTGGTGGGCACGGCGTAGAAGCCCTGGTTGGCGACACCCGAGTACAGTGTCTTCATCGACAGCATCTGGTGGTGGGTGATGCACTCGGAGCCATAGTTGGCAACGTTCTCGGCGGCGCACAGGTATGGATGGGCGTCGACGTCAGTCTGGCTGGCGAGGGTGTTGAACACCTGCTGTGAGAGGTTGATGTAGCTGTCGGACACCAGGAACGAGTAACGATCGAGCGTGTAGAAGCCAGTGTTAAAGTCAAGGTAGTAGTTGTTGCTGGTGAACGTTCCATCAATGATAGAGTTTCCAACGGTCTTGAATATAACATGGAAGTTCATCACAATGCTCTGGATAACTGTGTCTCCCAAGATTGACTCGTATGGATATCCATTGGAACCTAATTTGATTGATTGATTGTAGTTGATCAATAAGTGGGCGATGGGAGGAGGGAGGGGGTCAGTAACATGTCGTGGATGTGATATGTCCATATTAATAATGGTATCAGGGATAACTTACCAAATGCCTTGGCACTGTATGAGTCAAGGAAGTGCTCAGAGACAGCCATGCTGAGCTGGCTTTGGGTGACGGCGTCAATGTTTAGGGACTTGAGGATGTTGATGGCACCGGTGGCAGTGTCGTTGTCATCGTAGGAGCTGGTCGACACGACAAAGACTTGCGAGGCAACGTTGGCCTTTTGCATACCAAGGAAGAAGGCGTTGGCAGTGTAGTAGTTCTCGGTGGGTGGGCCTGGAACGACGAGTCCGATCCTGGTGAAGTTGAGTCCGGCCAGGTAGCCGAGCATATAGAACGGTGAGATTGGGTTGAAGTCGTAGGTGGACAACAGGGCGTTGGAGGACTTGCTGAATGGCTCATTGTTGTTGACGCGGATCAAAAAGTATACCTTCTTGCCCTTGAGTAACGGGCGGCCACGTCAAAGGCCGCCTGCTGCTGCTGAGGGTCGCATGTGATGATGTAGTTGTGGCCGCTGTCGATGGCGCTCACCATGTTGCTGTAGACGTCGTCGTAGGAGATCACCGACTCGATCACTTGCGAGCTGGCAATCTGCAGGTCTTGCTCAGTGATACTGAGTCCTTGATTGACCATGTAGTTAAAAGCCACATCTGTGATGAGACCTGGCAGCAGGATCGACACCTTGATCGATGAAGCCTGTGTGCTAGCCTGTCCAAAGTCGATCCTAATCGTCGCTATTAATGCTAATAATACAATTAAAGTTGTTATATATTTCATTGTTTGTTCTTCTTCTTCTTGGATATTTGATACTACTAATAATACTAATATATTATAACTACTATTACTACAATAACAATATTTGTTGGTTTGGTTTGTTCTCCTGGAGAATATCTATATCTCTAATCAGAGATATATGTGTTTGTGTCTGTGATTGTCTGTGATTGAGTGTATGTGTTTGTTTGATCGAGGTGATTGGATGTACTTCTTTGAATGCGAATATGATCGAAATGAGTAGGGAGCGAATGACACTAGTTGATTTGGACCAAGCCGTATCGAATCCATCCGTCCATCAACCATCTAACCATACCAAATAATCATCATAACCCAGACCATGACCATACACATACTCTACTGGTTTGACAAATGGAGGTCAGTGCTGTACAACAACAGAGAGAAGGGAGGGAGGCTAATTTTGGTGATCCATCCAATGGTATCAAGATGAGCCAGCACCCCCCTCTGATCAGGTGCGAAATGTTTGTATTGCACTTAGGCAAAAGAGCACAAAAATCCAGTTTTGTCGTCATCCGTTGAATCAGACGTGTGAGTGAGATTGATCGAATGATTGAAAGAAGGAATTAATATGTGTATGGTATGGTTTTTGGTCCACTCTCTAACCACATGTGGCACAGCTATGCCAACGATTCTCGTTCTCTCGACTGAACAACCGCTGATTCATCGCAGCTCGTATCATTAGGGTCGACCATATTACCGGGGGTGACTTTGTGTTGTTCTCCTACGGTCTTGCACCTTGTAAAAGTAACAGTTGAGTGTTACTATTATTAGTTGTATACGCCCATTTTGATGATTGATCAACAAATATTATAAATATAATTAATATATATATAAACATGGAACCCATTCGTCCAATCTGAATAGATCACCGATGTACTTTTTAACGGCTACGTTGATCTTTTGCTAATTAAGACCAGTCTTATGTGTGTTGCACGCGTGTAGGTAAGTGGTAATATGTTTGAAGCACCACAAGCCTGCTTGAGGTCCAGATTGTATCTTTGGGTTGGAGATGGGACGACATAGACAGGGCCAACGTGGGTGGTCTGTTGTCCAAAGGTAAATTAGAAAGAGTCAGATGGCGTACCATCATCCTCTATTATTTAGGTAAACCATAGAACTGATCTTATCTTAGAACTATCATGATCGGTCCAAGTTAGGGATCTAGGACAACAAGATCATTTCTATAATTGGTTGTTCATTCAACCTTGTAAGGTATACACAAACAGCTCCTTATCAAGTCTATATCGCTATTCATTAAAGTATTTGTATGTGTTGTTGTATTTGTATATTTGTATTTGTTTATAAGTAATAAGACTTACAAAATGAATGTTAGAGAATGAGGGAAATAGAGGGAGCATAGTGTTAGAGACAGAGAAGAGACGTTGCAAGTTCGTTGAAATTAATTAAAGTTGTGAACCCTTGTTTGCTTCTTCGTTCGTGTGTGTTTGTGGGGCCAATGCAAATAAACACCGCATCAACAACCCAGGGAAAGTAACACGATCTAATAATCACAACTTCAATCACATACACATACATACATACATATAAATAGCACATTTTGTATAAGTATAAAGTTATAACTTCATCACAATCTCTAAAAAGATAAATCAAAAGAGAGACCATGTATCAATTCATTAGAAATCTGTTACCATCAAGAGAGAAGGAGATAAAGAAACAGGATGCATTGGAGGATATATCAAGCACTGTCAATGAAGCAAAGCAAGAGGTATCATCAGTGAATGACATTGAATTTGATCTCTCATTGGCAATCAAGAAGACATCCAATCAAATTGATGATCTCGAGAAGAAGAGGAATGATCTTCAGAATCGTATGCAACTGTATGTATACAAGTGATTGATTGAACGGAACGAACGAATGAATGAATGAATGAATGATTGTGCTAACATTGAATCATTAGAATGGAGAAGGTATTGAAGGATATGAGTTATCAACAGTTGAATGAGGTTCAGTTGTCAAAGAAGAAGGCATTGGAGAAACAGTTGAATGGTGTTGTAAAGAACTCATTGGATGGTCTAGAGTTTGAGATTGATCAATTGACAAGGAAGCTCTTGCTGCTCAATGAGAAGAGAGACTATATCACACAGAGGATGGTTATCACACAGTCTGGCATTGACGATGCAGTCACACTGCCCACAACAGGTTCAGCTATTGATCAAGATCAAGTGTTGGCTGGCAACATCTCGTCGTCGTCGTCATCAAAGAAATATAATGATGAGGATGATAATGGAGGCATTGGTGCTGATCAATCAAAGACAAAGGATATGACATTGGATATTGATACAGAGAAGGAGAAGGAAAGACAGAGGACTGACAGCAAGGCCGCACTCACTGGCGATAACAATGTGTAATTGTCAATCAAACAAACAATGTATATGTACAAAGACTCATTCATTCAATAAACGAACGAGTCAATATCACTCGCATCACCACTGTGATGTCCACTTCAAGCCTCTGGATTGTACATTGTTATATTGATAGGTAATATACATGTATATATATAAATAATTTATTCCAATTCCATTCGTTACAGCCTTGGCGAGGACGACTTGGAAACAGGACTGATCAAAGGTACTTGGTTGTTGTTTGAACGGAATATGCTGTCCTTGATATCCTCTGGTACAACCAACAGACAGACAAGCAGTGCCACGACTGTTAGTCCAGTGGCATAAGAGAATACGGCAGCTGTTGAGTAGTTTGTGTACAGCCATCCAGAAATAAGTGGTCCAACAATCCTGCCACCAGAGCCCGCGGCACCAATGATACCCATCAGGGTACCCTGTGAAGCCTTGCCCAGTGTGGCCGAGATCCTCTTGGAGAACATTGACACGACCACTGTCTGAGCCAGCGGGAAACCGATGACCCAAATCAGGAAGGTGCCAATCACAAAGTGGTAGAGGTCCTCGTGCGCTGTGATCATCACGGTGCAGCCGGCCACCATGACAATGTTGCCGACGATGAGGATGTAAAAGTCACGGACGCCACGCTTGGACATGAGGTTGATTCCAAGCAGCACGCCAACTCCCAGCAGACCCAGACCGCCAAAGTAGAAGCCAGATGTGCTCTCACTGTTGGTCAACTTGTTGTAGATTGGTGCGCCAAGTGTCTCGAATATGCCGAGTGCCGAACGAATGAAGAAGTTGATAGTGACGAACACCACCAGCTGAAGTAGCAGGGACTTGTCTTCCCAGATTGTGCGCCAAATCGATGGCGCCACTGTCTTGACCTGGGGCATCTCCTCCTCGACGCCAGTCAATCCTCCCTCGGTCCTACCATCAAAAGAGTTGATTGCAAGTGGGGCCTCCTCAGACTCGTTGATGGCCGACTTCCTCTTGGGCAGTGGTGTGACGGGCTCTGGGTCCTTGAAGACCAGACAGAGCAAGAGGATCAGGCCAACATTGGCAATGATCAACAGCCACGATGGTAGTGTGTAAGCGTTGAACATGATGGAACCAATGTAGAAGGTTGGAACGAGTGCCAGTAGTGAGCCAAAAGATGGAGTGACTGCGAATCCAAGGAATTGGACGGCACCAGAGATGGCAACAAATGATGTTCTCTCCTTGGATGTGGTGACTTGGGCCACATAGGCGCGGACAACACTCAATGTACCAGCGCCAAAACCAAGCAACGACCTGGCAACTATAATAAAAGGCATACTAACAGGTCTGTAGTATGCAAATGAGTAAAAGAATGATCCAATGATACATATTATAACTGATACTACAAATACCAATCTATTTGATTGAATGGCGGATGTTGGATGTTAGTTATGAGTGCCATCTAACAACATTGAAGTCAATGAGAACATACCTATATGATACCTTGGTGGATACATATCCAAGAAGGATGGTGGAGAGTAGTCTACCTGTGCTGAATGAGGCAATGACAATGCCTAGGAATGTAGCTGTACCTCCATTCTGTTTGTTTTGGCGTTAGTAATTGATTGATTGAGAGGTGTCCAACTTGATCGATTATACATACACTAGTTACATATTCGGCGATGGTTGGTACGACAATACCTCTGGCAGCTTCGGATAGGAAGAGAACTGTGAAGACGATGATCAGGTCGATTTTGTTCCTCTTTGGCTTCTGCTCCTCTAGATTAATGGTGGACTTGTCGATTAGGGATTGTGTCTCGGGTGGATCATAGTCGTGATCTGGTGAGGTCAAGGTAAAGTATGGCACGGAACAAATAATGGGTGACAAGTTATAATTGTGATTGAATGAGTGTAATGTGATGTGATGTGATGGGATAGGATAGGATAGGAGGAAGGAGAAGAGAAGATTAGAGTAGAGTAGAGAAGAGAATGGTAGAGTAGAGAAGAGTAGAGAAGAGTAGACGGAGAGACAGAGAACAGGAGTAGATGGAAATGGTAGGTTTGGATATGGACATGGATATTGGATAAAGAATGGTAGATAGAAATGGATGGCATGATGTCAGCAAAACATTCATGTGGTTATAGTGTGATAGGTATGTAAATGTTTACCCTCATCAGTGTCGTTTTTGGACATTGTGTGTATGTCGAGGGTTTCGCAGTTGTCTGTAGACTGAGTTTGACTAAAGTCTAGGTTGGTTGATTGGCTGGATTGATCTTCTTGTTGTTGTGTTTGTTGATTGATCATGCCAGGTTGACAGGTTATAAATGATTGATTGATTGTTTGTTGGAGGGTGATGACGACTGGTCCAGGTTCCAACTTTAGTCAACCTTGATACTGATGTTGTAACAAGTACAATAAAAGTGTACTTTTAATGTATTACCTCTCTCTATTTCTCTTTTTGATTAATTATTATAATTATTATTATTAAATACAATTGTGTGTGGATCGTAATGTCTTAAAGTTGATACCACCCAGGTTGAGAGTGGCGGTAGAAAATTAATATGTTACGACTCGAACGATGATAATATTGATCGAAACACACACTATCTGTTCTATGTATGTATGAATGTTATTTGTTGTTGTTGATAATGAAGACCTTGATATTCTATTCATCTCATTTAAAAGGTGTGTAGTTTCCTTTGAGACTATCCTACCACACTTTAGGATCAAAATTGAGGTAGTGTCTCTGGATTCGTCCCTTTGCTGATCCTTTGCCTATGGTGCAGTGTAGTGAGGGGATTCTTCTTCATGCCCACACCAATGTTCTTGGAGCTCTCCCCCCCTTAACCTTGCCCATTAATTTATTCTGCACGATCGTCATCTTAGGCCCAAGCAAAGATGGGTCTTCATAGCCACACACTCACCCCCGAACTCAGATGTCAATCTTCCTTAAGCAAGTGGCACTCTTTTTTCGTCCATGTCGCGGTTCTTTCGCTTCGAAAAGGTGGGAACTTGTCTGTCTTCGGCAATACCTTCTCGTGTCAGCAAACAACTGTTTGCCTATTTGGTAGTTGTAGGCCAAACTAATCAATATTAAGTTGGTGTTGTCATTAATATCTGTGGAAGTAGTGAGAGAGACAGTAAACAGCGTTATCTACATCCTTTCACTCAATCTTCACTCATTCATTCATTTGCTATATATTGCAATAATGAAGAGGATAATGAATTTTGTTTGGCAACTACTGGATTGAGCTTCAGTGAATACCTCATTGGGTACCGATGCTACAACGCTCTCCCACACAGCCTATGCAGAAATGACCGACCGATGTTTCGGACTTGGCAGCATTCTGACTTGACAGCAATGTCAATACTTTGTAAAACAACAGCTTACATTACCTTACGCCTCGTTGAGGTGTAGCCAATACATGTATTGGGTTTGAAAGGTATGTTCAATGATGCGAAGATGTAGCCTTGTCTCCATTGGAGACCATGGACAAGGCCATCCCATTTTCACAACCAAGATGTGACGGTTGAACTAGTTGTGTGATGTTGTTGTTAATATCTATCTATTCTATCTCTCTCATTATTATGTGTATTCTTCATGTAGTTGTATATGTATGAGTATGTAATAATGATAGTGAATGGAAATGGCGACTGTTCCAGAGTGGTAGGGTGGGTTGATGAGCGAGGAGTGTGTATGTGTGTTGTTGATCACAAGCAATCAAAGTTGATAATTAGTAGTGTCCACATTGTGAGCATTAAAAGAAAGGATGGTGAATGTTCGGTCATAAGAAAGACATACTTATAAGTAGCCAAGCATGATGTTCCCTTGAATCAATATTATACCTTCTTCCCATCCCTCTTACTTATCCATAATGAACTCTAAATTATCAATTGTACTATGCCTGGTACTAGTCCAGATGCTTGCTTTTTCTAATGCCAGCAAACAAATAGACTTGTCATGCCCAATCCATTCACTCTTCTCCAACTTGGTCAACGTCGTGGCCAATATCAAAACAAACGAGTTCTCTGGTTCAGTATCTGGCAGTGGCTGTATATCACTCAATGAGGGCGAGACCGTCACTGGAATGGCCACGCTATTCAGTGTTAGTTCAGTTGATTTCCCCGAAGACCAATACGATCGTACTGTACGTGGAGAGATCAGTGTAACCTTCAATCACTTCCCATATCGCTTCAGTGGCACTGCCGACATTGTACTCACACATACCAATGGACGTCTATCCACCACATTTAATCATATCACCAACATGCACATTGGCTAAGTCTAATAAAGTATGATTAACTTTTAATATTGAAGTTGTGATTGAAGTTGAATGTGATGGGCTTATTGATTGATTGATTGATCATCAAAGACGACGTGTGGTACTAGTACTAGTATTGATTGTCCTTCCATCGCTTCATTCAAGTAATGATTGATGATGGAAAGCCATCACACTGTAATTCTTTGTTTTTCAAACAAATGGTCATAAGTTTGACCCAGGGACGCCTCAAGATAAGCACCTTTGCACCAACGACATCTATCAATTGCCCATCAATCCAAACATACATTCATATACATACATACACATACATATACATATACATATACTCACTAACAAACAAACAAAGATGTCTGGTCCGCCGAATTACCCGCCTCCCCCAACACCTAGATTCTTGGACACTTTCGAAGGATCGATCGATTTGATGGACTCATTGGATGATTCTCCACAGTTTAGGAAGCAACTGAAGGATACTGAACAGAACATAGAGGAGTTGGGTGGCAACATCAAGAAGATCCTAAAGTCAGTCAAACAGAGTTGCGATCTGGGCAATGAGTACAATCAATCATTCAAGTCATTTGCCGATGACCTACTGTCCTATCGACTGGACGCCAAAGTCAACGACGACATATTAGAGAAGGGCATGATCAAGTTCACCAATGCTCTCAAAGAGATATGTAACTACAGAGAAGTGTTGGTAAGTATCCAGATATCGTTCATTCATGTTCATTCAATCACTTACACGCGACGACACTCGCTTCTCAACAGCACTTTGAGATGGAGGCACTCATTCACAACCCATTGCAGGAGTTTGCAGAGAATGACTTGAAGCAGGTGAAGGAGCAGTATAAGAAGTATGACAAGTTCAGTCAGCTGCATGATAGTGCCGCGTCAAAGTTGGGACAGATCAAGAAGAAGAACTCGACAAAGATTGAGGAGGTGGGCCAGGAGGTGACAGACATCTTGCGCTCGAGGATTCAGCACAGCGTGGATCTGGCCGAGAAGATGAATGAGGTGCAGGCGCGTCGACGCTTTGAGTTCCTCGAGCTGTTCTTTGTCTACCTACACGCACAGTCCACCTTCTTCCACCAAGGTTTCGAGATGTTCCGCGAGCTCGAGCCACACATGCGCATCTTCTCCAACTACCTCCAGTCAACACGCAAGCACTTTGAGGACACAAAGAAGAAGCAGGCCAGTGTCAAGAAGGATATACTCAATGTAAGGATTGATTGGATGATTGATTGATCGGGCGGACTTGATGACTGACTTGACAATGACAACGACAATGTAGAAGACACACTCGGCATCGCTATCTCCTCCATCAAACAATGGAGGTGGCTCGCAATTCATGCAAGGCAGGACATCGAGCAACACTGCCAAGAAGGGCTATCTCTTCAAGAAGTCCGACTACTCATATAGCAGGCGATTCTTCTCATGTGAGGATGGCAAGCTAAGCTACTATCGAAATGGAAACGTAAGGATAATGATTGGATAACATGTCTACAACATATACTCACTCGATCAATCATTCACAGGATACTACACCATCACATGAGTTTGATCTACTCTTGACATCGGTTAGAGTACGCGAGGACTTGGACAGACGCAACTGCTTCGAAGTACTCTCACCGGATCGCTCCATTGTGCTTCAGGCCGAATCACATGAGAGTCTGATGGAATGGGTACAGGTCATCCAGAACTCCACCGCCACGCTAATCAACAACATCACTCCAAGTAAGTATCCAGCCAGGCAGGCCACCTTGATCAATCAATCAATCATCCATACTCATACTCATTCATTCCAAATAGAGGACAAGACGACGAAATCAACATCCACTTCATCACCAAGCCATTCACATAATACTAGTCATAGTAATATTGGTGCACATCATGCGGACGATCAAGGTAGCGACAACAATCAGAGTGAGTCACCTCTGGAAATCTTGCGCAGTCTAGATGAGGCAAACACCATCTGTGCGGACTGTAGTGCGCCCGATCCAGAGTGGGCATCCATCAACTTTGGCTCCATCGTCTGCATCGACTGCTCTGGCATCCATCGAGGTCTAGGTGTACACATCACCAAAGTACGCTCACTAGTACTAGACAGTATTGAGCCAGAGTTATTAGATGTAAGTCCACATCTCATCACATCAATCAAAGAGAGATCAATCACATACTTACACCCTATTCAATGATCAATCATAAGATGATGAAATGCCTTGGAAACTACAATGTAAACAGAATATTCGAAGCCAATGTACCAATCGATAGAGTCAAACCATCAATCCATAACACTGTGGACGTTCGATCAAAGTGGATACGAGACAAATATGACAAACGGCTATTTGTGTCCTTCATCGATCAACCTCTAGAGGACCTCAACTCGGTAGGTCACCCAATCAATGTCCATCTGGCGGCACAATGCTAACTATCCCGTCCAACCTCCAATCATCCAATCCAGATGTTATACCAGGCATCTTCAGAAGGCGACCCAGCGTACTTGTTGGAACTGATTGCGAGTGGCGCCGATGCCAATCACTTTGACCCAACAAATATGTATAGAACACCAATGCACAATGCTGTGGCAAGCAATCAATATCAGAACTTGTGTTTGCTGCTCCAGAATGGAGCCTCGCCTACCACACAGGACATTGAGGGCAATACAGCACTGCATATTGCCGCCGATTGTGGCAGTTCGATATGTTGCATAATGCTGCTGATGAAGGCCGTGCCACTACTGGGCATCACCAACAAGAACAACAAGACTGCACTGGACTTGGCCGTGGACAAAGGTCAAGTTGGCAGTGTTGCAATCCTCCGTCTGGCACAACTACAACGCGATGAAGGCAAACAGACATTTGATGAATCATTCGCCGAAGTACTCCGTGGATTCTCCAGAGAGCGCGAGTGATTGATCGATTGATCATCATCAATATATGTGGTCCACAGTAGTCTCGTGCCCTTGCCTTGTACCCTCTCCATCTCTTAAATCTTTGTACAAATAACATAGTAATACTATCCACCTCCATTCAATCAATCGATCAATCACATTCCAATCAATCCTAACGACATTTGATATTAACCGGTTAATATGTGTGGGTTGTCCCGCCACTTGTTTGGATCTCATTAGTAGTCGACGCTACTTGCATTGCATCATTCGAATGTACATGTCATCATTTTGCTTAGTGTTTTGTGTGACACACCCAACCTTCGTTCGCGCACCCCTTCTGATTCGGTCGCCTCCCACATGATTGATTATAAAGCCAAACATCATTTAAAAAATAAATAAATGGTCGACTTTTTTGAGCGTTCTCTATTCATTCTCACGACACTCATTCCTTCCCTGCCCACACGAATCGATTCATCTCAACTCAAATAAACAAACACACACACAGTCAATCAATCACATAATAATTAAGGCCAAGCCTCATCTCAGTCACTCATTCAATCAAACAATTACACACACACACACACACACTACATCTACAACAAACACACCTCTAGCCTTGCCAATCAATCACATGATTGGAGTGTGCATTGCAACACATCATCATCAGTAACACCCAATCTCAAGGACCTTGAGCACTCGCCTGCGCGCTCAATCCAACATCCATCCAAGCAGAAGAAACAACAGCAACAAGCAGCAGCATCAGCAGCCAGCAGCCAGCAGAGTAGAAGAAGCAAACACTGTCTATCCTTGGGTCTTCCATCCATCCAACCATCCAGTCCATCGCTGTCAATTGCATCACTCTCGCACATCTTGTTACATCTTCTACAATCGCACACACTTCCTTCATCAAAGTCGACTAATGATTATGTTCAAGATATAACATCAACAACATCACACCATTCATTCATTCATTCATTGATACGCCATCAACAGCACAACAGGAATAGCACATCACAGCAACAGACTAGGTCTACCCATTCCAACTCCAACTCCATTCATTCATTCATTCATTCTGTAATAATAGTATATTATTTACCTTCACATGTTCAAACGACTCTGATCTGAAGTAGGTCCATCATGCAAGCATCGCTCGTCTGTCGACAGGTTGACTAACTAACACGCCACACTCTCCAGGACATCATAATCATCAACATCATAGGGTCATAGGCAGTCATCAACATATTATAGTCAACAGCAGCACAAACAGCTGCTCTTCTAGTATCTTCTTTCCTCCCTCCTTCCTTCTCTCCCTCCTCTCTTCTTTTTTCCCCTTCCTTTTCAATCCTTCCTTTCGCCTCCCTCGCTCTCTCGCTCACTCAATCAAACTGATGTACAAAATGGACCAAGACACCAAGCCTTCACTTGAGGAGGAGTTGTCGTTCGACCTCACTTTTGGTGAGCCAGACCTCAATGAGCATGACATTCAGCTCAAGCGCGAGTTAATGATGCGTAGACAGTTCACTAATGGCGCTGGCGACATCAACTCGGCACTGACATCTGCCTCGGCCACGTCGGCAATGGCTCCAGCCATCGACCTGACCGCCGACGCCAAAGCCAAGGACAAGCGCACCAGGAGCGAAAAATCCGACCGACACGCAGTCCTGATCAGCTCGCGCGGCGACCGGTTCAACCTGGGCCTGCTGCTCAAGCAGCTCGAGGAGTGCGGCCCAGTGCGCGCACATCACTTTCGTGATCGACAGAACTTTGGCTTCGTTCAGTTCCTCGACTCAGAGTCAGCAGACAATGCGATCGACCGTCTGAATAACAAGGAGATCGATGGACAGCTGCTCCAGGTCGAGAGGATCAAGCGCATCACGCCAGGAAAGGACCCACGCTTCATGGCGGTCGGTTCACCACAGTGCTCCTCGTTGCCCACGCAGCTACCTTCAATGCTCGATCACAAGCCCGACTCGACGCTCGTGCTCAAGAACCTGCCATTCAACTTGAAACAGGTGCAGCTACAAGAGCTGCTAGAGACTATCATCCCAGCGGCGCCACAGTCCGTCAACTTCCATTACGACAATGTGGGCGTCTTCCGCGGCATGGCCTTTGTCAAATATCGTCTACTTGACGACGCTGTCAAGGTATTTGACGCGCTGAACGGCGCCGATGTGCACGGCCGTCGCGTGCGACTCGAGTATAAGCGCAAGGTGAACAAGTCCAATGAGGTGCCAGCCGAGGTGCTCGAGGACGAGAAGCTGCGCCGCGCCTGGGAGCAGCTCAAGGAGTTCAAGGACGACGCCGTCGCCAACGAGCTCACCTTCTCCACTTTCACCGGTATACAAAGGATGTATATCCACAACATGGCCGAGAAATTGAAGCTCGTGCACACGTCGGTCGGTGAGGAGCCCAATCGCTCCATCATTATAACGAAGCAACCAAAGCAGCCCGGTAGCGACATGCCACAATTCCTTTCGACGTCGCCCACGTCCTACATTGGCCAGCCAATGCTCTCGAGCCAGGCCTCGGCATCAGCTGCCGCCAACTCCTTTTTATCAAGCACACCTACCAACTCCTACACACCCCTGTCGTCCACACCGACGTCATCAATGTTTGGCAAGCCAATGGAACAGATGTCCTCAAGCTTCAACAACAATCCATATCTACGATCAATGCCCATCAACAATCACAACAACAATCACAACAGCAATCACAACAACAATCACATGGGCGGTGGTGGCCTCACACACAGCGGCATGACTGGCAGCACTGGTATAAAGATGGGGCACTCCCCTTCGATCATGATCAACGATTCAAATAGGATTGCCGCGTCATGGGAGAAGTCCCCGCCCAACAGCTTCCTCTCCACCCCTCCATCGCATTTCACCACGGGCTTTGGCATGCCAAGCCGCGACCGCTCGACGTCCGACCTCGACCTGTCCACGTCGCCCAACAACAGCAGTCTGTGGAGCATGAACACCAGCATCACTGGCAACAGCAGCATCATCAACGGCTTTGGAAGCATCGGCAGCCTCAACTCCTACAACAACTTTTTGGAGATGTCCAGCTATCAATCCAATCCCGCACCGCCAATCAGCAGCAGTCTGGGCACGATATTACAGCAGCAACAACATTACAACATCAGCAACAGTATAAACATCATCAGCAACAACAATCACCATCATCACAACAACAACGGTCACAGCAACAGCTTCCAAAACACACACAGCGGTGCCGGCAGCCATGCCAACTCGTTCAACAACAACATCATTGGCGGCGGCAGCCAATCTGTCACATCATCGTCACCCGTCTACCGACAGCCACGCGGACCAGACGGCACCAAGGGCTTCTCGGACGTCTACCGATCGGCTCGCAAGGTGACCAGTCCTCCCCTGTCATCCTCCCCAGTCATGGGCTCATATGTTGCATTCAACTAATATCAAAGTATATCAGTATCTCCACCTTTATATATATAATCGCTATCATCAATAAAGACTCTCCGACTCATCGTCTCATGCTTTCATGGGACTTAAACAATATTATCTATCTTGTACTGTGCTCACGCCACTCTGTCATGGATGTGCCGTCGCTGGAGCGGGACAGCCATTCGCGAACCTCTCGAACCTGGTCGCATAGCAGTTTCTCAAACTCCTTGTTGCCAGCTAATGAACAGAATACCTTGGGGTCGTGGATGTACTCGGCCAGCGGGTCGGACTGAGAGAACATCTTGTGAACTTGATCCTTGTCCATCACTCCATCATGGTATTCGTAGGGTATCTGATTCTTGCTCCATCGCTCAAGGAATACAAAGAAGATGGCTGGAAGCTTAGCGGTTGCTCTTGGCACTGCTCCCCTCTTGTAGCACGCGACAATGGTTGGTAGGAGGAAGCCAGGGATCTTGGTGTGGCCCTCCTTTCCGACACGCTCATTGGTGTCCTTCAGGAACTTGTTCTTGAATCTCTCTAGAACTACATCTCTATACTTCTCCAAGTTCAAAGGACTGTGCTCGGCCTTAAGAGTTGGGATCACGTCCTCGGTGATGTAGTCGTAGACTATCTTATGGATGTCTGGATTGGCGATATCCTCACTGATATATGTCAATCCAACCAGTGTACCAGCCCATGCAAAGCATGCATGACTGGCGTTGAGGATTCGTACTTTGGCCTCCTCGTAGGGTAGAACAGATTGAGTCATCTCCACACCAGCCAATTCTAGCTTTGGTCGACCATTGATGAAGTTGTCCTCGACAACCCATTGAATGAATGACTCTGCCATCACTGGGACCTTGTCTTCAAAGCCCAGTCCTTGTTGCCTAACCCTCTCGACAAGGTCGTCAGAGGGATGGGGCGTGATCCTGTCCACCATGGAGTTGGGGAAGCGGACATTTTGATCGATCCATTTCAACAGGTCGGTATCTGGAAGCTTCTGGAGGAACTGCTCAAAGCATCTTTTGAAACAGTTGCTGTTCTTTCTGATGTTGTCACAACTGATTAATGTCACTGGAGCTTTGGAATGGAGCATTCTCTCTCGGAGAATCTTGGCCATCACTCCGTAGATGGTCTGAGTGCTGCCAGTCTTGAGGTCATTGTCGACGTGCTCATTGTTGAGCAGAAGATCAAAGTTCTCATTATGGAAGTAACCAGACTCTGAGATTGTGAAGGAAATGACACGGGTATCACTGGAGGCACCTTGTTCAATAAGATACTTGGCACTTGGATGGAACGGTATAGTCTTCTTGATAGATTTGATCACTTCATAAGTTCTTGAACCATCGGTATTATTGAGTTCCAGGACGTATTGACCATGTTGTATTTCCAATTGTTTGATAATGTCCTCTTGATGATCATTGAGCATATTACCAAGTGCAATTGACCATCCCTCCTCATCATTGCCATCAACAATCAAACGATTGATATAATAAGCTTGATGAGCACGATGGAAGTTACCAGCTCCAATATGCATCCATATTGGTTTGTTACAAGTTGTCATTTTCTTTCTATCTTTTTTATCTCTATCTATAACTCTATCTATCTCTATCTTTATTTCTCCAATGAGTAACAATGATGAATGATTGAATGAATGAGGGTATAAGCGAGTGAGTGAACATGATGCTTGGCTTCATTAGAAGAGTGTGCTCTAGACTAAGCACACGCCTGGGCAATCTCGCTCTTCAGATTAAGTGTTTGTGTGGTGTTGTGTTGGAAACAAACAAATGATTGTTGTGTCCATCTTTGGTGAATCATTCATTCAATTGTTTACATAATATCATACATATAATATACATATATTTCACATACAATAAACAATGGTATGATATAGCAACAACCAACAACAACAAACAGAACATGTTGATTAATAACTTGTAACTATAACAACAAATTTATAGGCAGCAAGATTAATGAAAGAGTACAAAGTACTCCAGAATGAACCTTTCGAAGATATAATGTTGTTCCCAAAGGATGAGAATAACCTATATCAATGGACTGCAATTATAAAGGGTCCACCAGAGACTCCTTACGAAGGTGGTAGCTTCGAACTAGACATACAGGTACCAACCAACTATCCACTTCAGCCACCCATCGTTAGATTCAATACAAAGGTCTTTCATCCAAATATACACTTCAAGGTAAGGTTAAGATACTCAGCAGGACCATTTAAGATGCCTTGAGCATTTGCTAACAATAACACGAATCAACAGACAGGAGAGATTTGTCTAGACTTACTAAAGACATCATGGTCAGCAATATATACATTACAGTCAGTTTGTCGATCGATCATTGCACTGTTAGCACATCCCGAAGCGGATAGCCCTTTGAATTGCGATGCAGGCAACCTCATGAGGAATGGTGACCAGAAGGGCCATGACTCTTTGGCCAAGATGTACACTAGAATATACGCATAGATAGCAGAGTAAACAGGTCCTTTCACAGACATAAAATGTTCATTCATTCATTGTATCAATCAACAGAGACTATACTTATTGACTTGATAATGTCATCTATGGCATTCATCATTAGTGAGCCTTTGCATAGGGTGGCGACTTCCAAACTCTTTCGCAAAATGTCGTCTCTTGGGTTATGGTTCATCTTGTCAACGACCCCATTGATACACATTAACATTCATACAGATACATAGAGATACAAAGGGTGTAGTGTCATTCGTCAAACCAACGAACTAAACAATGTATGAGGTCGAAGCTGATCCACAAGACACAGATGCCACTCAGGCATCACAGACGATGAAGACGACAGCTACGTCGACGACGACTGCGGCAGGGGCGACAGGTCAACAGTCGAAACAACCCTCAGAGTACATGCGAGTGCAAAGGATGTTTAGACAGGTGACAAAGAACGAGCGTACAGGCAAGAATATACCAAAGGAGAAGCGAAAGCCAATAGACTACTCCTCAGTGCTTGACTATCATAACTTGGACAACAATACACCGGAGAATCGCGAGAGGATATTGGACTTCTCAGGACTGGTAGATCAAAGTACGGCGACTGAATCGCCATACTATGCACATCCTGCAACATGGCGAGTGTATGGTCTGAAGGACTACCCTGGCTTCTACTTCATCCCCTCACCATTCTCTGTGCAACAACAAAAGAAGTGGATCAAGGATGCCATCGAGCTGTACACTGAGCCGCCCAACAGCACCAACCTCACTCTATTCCACGGCGACATCAAACAACTCTGGAGGAATGCTCAACAAGAGTTTTCTGACATTGAAGCAGACTCGCGTGGCGGCGACAAGTCCTCTGACACTCAAACACAGACAAGACCATTGGACAAGAATGGACAAGAGTTACCAACTTATAGAAGCCTCCTGGACAAGCTGGCATGGTCATCACTTGGTTACCAGTATCAATGGACTGAGAGGATATACTCTGAAGACTACTATGTACAGTTCCCCGACGATCTACAGCAGCTGGTCACTCACATTGCCTCATCGACGCGCTACACACCTTATGTGGCCGAGGCGGCAACGATCAACTTTTACTCTGAGGACTCGGTAATGGGCGGCCATCTGGACGACGCCGAGGAGGAGATGGAGAAGCCCATCGTCTCTATAAGCTTTGGCAGCACAGCGGTCTTCTTGATGGGCGCCGAAACCAAGGACGTTGCGCCTGTCCCCATCTTTATTCGAAGTGGTGACATTGTGATCATGGGCGGACGTTCACGCTATTGCTATCATGGTGTTGCCAAGATTGTTGAGGACTCGTTCGATGTGGACCTGGCTGCCAACGACACTGATGACACTCGCTGGCACATCCACTGGCTCAAAGAGAAGAACAGACGCATCAACATCAATACAAGACAAGTATTTAAAGTTCCAAAGCAAGGTGTGAGGAGTACCATCAAGTAAAGTAAAGTAAAGTAAACGCGCTCGCGAGTGCGCGTGTGTGTATAGTTTAGTCAACAACATCCTCCCTGCTATTGCTGCTGTTTCCAGTCGCATGCTCCAGACTCCTTTGATGCTCGTAGGTCTCAGTGTCGACGACTCCAAGGACGGTGGCTACTCCATCTGGATCGACTTGGCACTCAATGTTTAGCGTGTCGATGAAGAATCCCCAACTCTCGTGAGTCTTCTTCTTCCTGCGATAGACTGATCGTGGCTCATTGATGAGGATCTCGGTGATCAGTGTCTGGACGCGTGCCACACGCTCTTCAAATGAAGTGCCACTCTTGCTGTTGGCGGGCTCGTTTGCCAACAATCGCAGGCCAACCGTATCGATGGTGCGTCTAAGGCCGTCGATGGCCTCATCGCTGAACCGCACGGTCTTGATGTCGCTCTTGTTGTCGATCCACGCCGGTGTCCTGGCGTCGGGCTCGCTGTCAAATTTGGGAATATAAGGCTTGAGATCGATGATTGGCGTGCCGTCCACCATGTCCACGCCACTTAAATAGATTGTGTCGCCCTCAATACGCTCGATTCGACACATTGTCATGCCAATGGGCACCAAACGGTGTGGAGTGCGACTGGCGTACACGCCCACCTTCTTGCCATTGAGCAGAGGTGGACGCACCATCACGTTGTCGGGAGGGTATCGCTGGTCCTTTGTGTAGACATAGTCGCTGAGTGCTGGCGCAGGTGCCTGGTCAATGTCTGGCTTGTCTTGTGAGTTGTTGATCATATAGCTCTTGGTGCTGCTTGTGACCCTGTTCTTGTGGAACCAGAATATGACCCATATGTGACTGTACTCTTCCAGTCCGTGGAACAAGTGATGCGCATGACTGGCCAGCAACTTGATGTAGCCCTGGCTAGTCGGGGCCAGCTTTCCCTGTCTTGGTGATCCATTCTTCTTTGGGAAACAAGTATGAATGTATCCAATTGGGTCCATAGTTATCCTATCCTCTGGTATCTCATTCAACTTTGTTTGATCACCATAGTATTCATGATTAGGTTGTATCTGTTTCTCTTTCTTCTTCCTCCTTCTCTTTGTCATGTCACCATTCTCTTCATTTGTATTTGCCCAACGACTTGTAGAGTTGGTACTAGTATTCTTGTGTATGTCTGCAATTGATGTTGATGTTGAAGTTGATGTTGATGTTGTATCTGATGTATAATGTCTATGATTGATTGAGTGTAATGTTGAGTGATTACATGTATTGATCAAGCCGATCAAAGTATTGCTGCTGGCTGGCAAGCATTGATTGATGTGTGGCAATTGCCAAACAAGTGAAGAAGAACCAGTTGTAGTAGTCAGTGATGACCTCAACACTTTATAAGATACATTCATTATTATCTCTTTGTGTTTGAGTTGTACATATCCCACACCTCATGCTTTCGTTCATCTTGTCATCAGGATGACAACAGAGATTGTGCAAAATTCAAAGAAGTTCGAGAATAGCTCAAAACACCTATCTTCACTACAATTCATCATTGTGGCGATGATTCATTCATTCAACTTTGGCATTGGGTCCTTCCATTTCACTACATCCTTTACTTCTTTGTCATCGATATCTCGAGTCATTAATTCATTGTCAAACAAACAAAGATATAAGTAACAGGTTCGATGCAAACAGCGGATAGAGGCTCGACAAAGAGGTCGACTAGAGCGTCGGCCTCACATACAGATGAGGATGGAGAATCACAACAGAAGGTGGTCTACGTTGAAGACCCTCCACAACCATCACGTTGGCTATCTGCCGAGTTCTTGTTCTACTATGTAATCATCTTTGTTGGTTACTACATGTGTCTGAAAATGATGCTAACAAGAGCAGAGGGTATGTTGTCGACGGCTACAGATTGACAGATTGAATGATTGATTGACTGACATGCTAATCATGAATACTACCTCTACAGAATATAATAGTGGAGGAAAGGAGAATGAAGGTATAGTTGATGGATGGTTCATGGGTCGCAAGCAAGACTTGTCGGATACTCAATACAGGATATGGCGTGAGAACTTCCCATTGCTGTCAATTGGACTGTCGTTGTTTGTGGCAGCGAGCACACTTATTCGCAAGACCTACCCTGTATGCATCCCTATCCTTGTCCATCCCATCCATTCACAACTTACTAACCCTCGCACCGACTCACTCAATCAATCAATCAATCAACTGAACAACAGGATGATACCAAGAAGCGTCTATGGTTCTATAACATTGTTTCTTTGTTGTTCTTGATATATGTTCATGGATCGGCTACATTCATTGTGCTGGCCATTGCACTGACCAACTTCTCAATCTCCCGCGTGTTTGCCGAGTCCAAGGCCCTGCCTTGGGCCACATGGACATTCAACATGTTCATCCTGTGGACGTCGTATCTGTACTCTGGCTATCGCTTCTCCTCGATCCCGATGCTGGGCATCTACGGACCGATGCTGGACAGCTACACTGGCTTCCTGTCGTGGGAGACCTACTTCAAGGTGTCGATGCTGCGCTTCATCAGCTACAATCTCGACTATCACTGGATGCGCATCAAGCGCCCCGTCGTGGAGCTCAAGGGCAAGAACGCCTATCTGTGCGTGCAGGAGAAGCACCAGCCGCGCGACCACTACGACCTGCAGCACTTCTTTGTATACATCTTCTACATCCCGCTGTACATTGCCGGACCGATCGCGTCCTTTAACGCGTTCATCGCGCAGCTGTACGCGCCACAAAAGACGTACACGGTGGAGCAGCTCATCAAGATGACGGTCAAGATCCTGCTGGTGTTCCTGGGCCTCGAGATCTCCCTCCATTACTGCTACTACTACTCGTTCGACCAGTCCGAGGTGTGGAAGACGTTCCGCGGCGCCGAGGTCGGTCTGACCGGCTACCTCGTGCTCAACTTTATGTACGTTAAGTTCCTGATCATCTGGCGTGTCTTCCGTCTGTTTGCCCTGTTCGATGGCATCGACACGCCCGAGAACATGAACCGTTGCGTCAACAACAACTACACCTTCACAGGCTTCTGGCGCTCGTGGCACGGAAGCTTCAACAAGTGGACTGTTCGCTATCTCTACATCCCACTAGGTGGCAAGAAGACTCAACATCTAACCATCTGGCTCATCTTCTTCTTCATTGGACTATGGCACGACCTCTGGTGGAGCTGGGTCGCCTGGGCACTCCTTAACTGTGTCTTCTTCACCATCGAGATTGGCATTATGTTCTACTTCTACTCTCCAAAGGTAAGTAGTTGAACTGGCGGAACTGAGAGAGTAGCATGTCCTAACATCCTCCCTACCCTACCCTACCTTTAGAAACTACCACTTCGTAAGAAATGGTATTGGAGATATATTGTTGCTTTGGCAGGTACATTCAACATATTCTTGCTGATGGTTGCCAATCTTGCTATCTTGCATGGCTTTGAGAACTCGATACTATTCATCAAGAATGCATTCTTTATCGAAGGTGGTCCATTGGCATTCGTCATCGCCTATTGTTGGCTATACACTGGTATTGCCGCAATGTTTGAGATTAGAGAAGGTGAGAAGCGATCAAAGGAAATAAAGCCATTCTAAAGAGTAGTCTTATAAGAGATATATGGATATATAATGTTTGTTTATTGTATGTATGGTATGTCAGTGTACACTTGCAAGTTAGATCTCGGAGGAGAGGAATGTGTGTCCGAAGTCACTATCCTAACCCGACCGAGAGCTAAAGGTCAAATATATAATGGACGATTAACTCTAATTGGTGACCTCCAACAATAAGATTCAAAGATAATAATAGATAATAAAAAGAACAACATGCTGTCTACCCAATGTTTGTAGATGTTTAGGATGTATTCCTTTATGGTGCGTTCAACTTATTAAGAATAAAGAACAACAACTCTATTGGTTATCCAAACATTCTATAAACAAAGTGTATAATTCATGGTTTGAATTATCTATATATTGATATGAATGAAATTGAAGAAGATAATGACAATAATCCAAACATGTCCACTATTTATTAATTCAGTTCAACATTAGTGAGACTGTTCAATATCCAATACATTCAATTAAGTCAACTGATTAGTTATCATAAAATCTAAAGCAATATTATTGGTTTACCAATATCACACATCTCTTCGTGTCCATCCAAATAAAGATGTGGAACATCATTCATTGGTCATTCATTGCTCAACCTACCCCTTGAAACATACACATACACACACGAACTAAACAAACACACACACAAAGAGAGAGAGACAAAAACAGGTTAAATATACACTACATCTTAAACACTTTTAAGTTGTAGATGGCTTTGAGGTGATGATGGGGTTTGTTTGGTAGCCTTGTTACCATTCTCCCACACACACACACACACATCCACACTTAGATGAACAGTCACTCACTCACTCACCATGATAGCCAAGTCAATTCAATCCAAGCCAATCCAATCAATCATGATAGCCAGTCCCTGACCCATCGATCATGTTCTAGTAGTATGTGTGTGATAGTGATAGTGATTGTGTGCGATATATTGATGGTACCATACTTTGAATTGATATATATTTGTTACTACAATAACTAATACTTGTATCATTATTTGTTTAAACAAACAACTGTTAATATCTGTACATCTAAAACAAAGAACAATCTAACAATAATGGATGAAGTATTGGAAATGATTGCTGATGCCGTGTCGGCATTGGTAGTAGCTATCACTGATAGTGAAGAGAAGAACACTCTATTTGGTGTATGTAATTCAGAATGATTAATCAGTCAGTCAGAGGTTTGGACTATCCGTCCATTTCCGGAGAATCAATGTTAACATCTTAATTTAAAATTAATATGATTAATCCAAAAAGGACATGGTACCAGGTGTGGAACTAATCCAACAGGCTGTACTTGGAATGTGCGAGGCAGCTGATGAAACAATCAAATTGATAGATCAAGAATTTAAAGAACAATTGATTGAGACGAGTAGCCGTCTAAAGACGTCGGCAAACCAATTGTATGCTGATGCTGTACGTGCCCGCTCCGACCCTTGGAACAGAGCTCCACAAAAGGATGCCATCAAATCCGCCAAACTCATCCTTCAACATGTCGTGTTGTTGGTGCTCATTGAGGAGCAATCAAACATTAAGGTACTAGTGGCCATTGCCAAGAAGGTGGCAGAGGGTGTGCACCGCATCGATGACATTGAGAATGTCAATCAATTGAATATTATGATCAATGATGTCATCTCGCTTGAAGAGGAGTTGGTCAAGAGATCAAAGCGTCGCTCTGAAGGCTCGAACAATGCAGAGTTCAGGGACCGTCTGGATGAGTTGGCCAGTCTCGTCGACACACTGAGCCGCCAGCATCAGAATGCCGCCCGCCAAGTATGCAACAACCCACACGACCACAATGCCCGTGCAACACGTGTCGACGCTAGCCACAAACTACTTGGCGCCATCGATGACCTGATCCACACGATCAAACTCATCTTTGCCTCGAACACGAAGTTTGTTGACCTTGCCTTCAAGTGGAAGCCCGTGCGTACCATCGCTGAAGATGAGGTGTCTGCCGCCGCCGCCAGACTCATCGACCATCTCTATGGCCTGCATAAGCAAATCGAACTCGGTAACGGCCCCGCCGCTGCACGCGAGATTGTCAACGCTGCCAACCTGCAGATATCCAACGCCATTGTCGTGGCCAACAGATGTGAGGACCCAGTGAAGAAGAAGATGATCCTCAAGAGCATTGAGGAACTCAAGAGGTTGACACCAATGTTGATCGCTGCAATCAAGCCAGTGTTGGAGAATCCCAACGACGCCAAGGCCAAGCAACACCTGGACAATCTCATCTACCAGACACAGAGAGCCGCCGAGAACCTTGCCACCGCCGTCACCTCATCGCCCAACGAGATTGTTGCTGCCAATGGTGCAGCAATTGCTCGCGAGCTCGATGCCCTCGAGGATGCATTGAGCAAGGGAGACACCAAGCGCGCTGAGGCCATTGTTAGCAACCTTGGCAACTCTATCGACCGACACATCGAACTGTCCTCTACGCTGCTCGACTCGATCCAAGATCCATCCCTCCGACACCAGATCCAAAAGGCAATCGACCGTCTTATCGAGGTCAAGCCTAAACTCTTGGACACTGCCAACAAGTGCATTCGCAATCCACACGACGATGAGGCCAGACGTCAGCTTGGTCAGCACATCAAGGAGACCAAGTCTGCCCTGTCTGCCATCTCCCAACCACACGAGATCGTCTCGGCACTCAATGCCAAGCTGCACAACGACCTCGACTCGTTGCTCAAATGCATCGACGAGGGTGGCCCCGACATGCAGATCAAGGCCGTGCAGCATGCCAAGGATATCGCTGCCGACATCAAGAGACAGATCGAGGAGGCCGAAGCCTACGCAGCAACAGTCAAGGATCCAGCGCGCAAGCAACAGATATTGGACGCAGTGAACCGTCTGAAGGAGCTGTCGCCACTGTTGATGGAGGCCATCAGGAATGTGTTGGCCGACCCGACCAACAAAGCAGCCCGCGACAGACTGGAGGAGTTGGTGCGACAGGTCAAGGATGCCAGCAACAACCTGGCAGCGGTCATGCAGCCCACACCAGAGGAGCTGCGACAGCAGAGATTGGAGCGCGAGAAGTTGATGCAGAAGAAGGTTGTCGTGGAGCAAGAGCCACCCAAGGCACCGACCAAGTTCAAGATAGAGGGTCCAGTGAACAAGGCCGTCTACAATGCTGCCGAGGACGTCGCCAACGCCTTGGAGAAGAAGGTCAGAGACAACACCCCCCTGGGCAAGCTCGTCTCGTTTGGTGATGAGATCGCTGCACAGATGGCGCTGTTGGCCAGTTTCGCTGCCAAGGGTGACGTAAAGGGAATGATCAACACTGCCAAGAAGATCGCCGAGATGATCAAGGCCATCAACTTGAATGCTCGCCAGATTGCCGACCAGTGCACAGACCCCCGTCTCAAGCAGGCTGTCTACACCTACCTGGACTGTGGTGGCAACTTCTCCACACAGCTCAAGATCATCTGTGCAGTCAAGTCGGACTGTGACGACAACTCCACCTCTGAGGAGCAGCTGGTCACATGTGCCAAGGGTCTGGCGTCAGCGGTCATCAACACCATCAAGTCCGCTGAGGCGGCCACTCTAAGACTAAAGTCAGTGAAGTAAGAGGTATCATTACATTACATTACAAGATTACAATCAACACATCTCAAACATCTTACCATTATCAATAAATGTAAATAATTTCCATCAATGTAATATTTGGCATCCCTTCCACTTACCTTCCAAGTTTGATTGATTGGTGGATTGGTGTAAGGTAAGCTTGGTGGTGTGATTGGTATCTACATCTTCATTGTCGGACTTGGATAGTTGAGTTTGTGAGCTGTGTCCCACCCATTATTAGTCAAGATGATAGATTGTTATGTGTTATTATTTATGTGTTTCTATGATGTATTAATTAGGCAATCAATGGTATCAACGTGGGAATGAGTTGTTTGCAAAGGTGGGAAATAGGGGATTTCAGGACCTCTTTCAAAACATAAATAGAGATGTTTGTCGCGCTTATTTGAATTTGATCAAAAAAAAGACGACACTTATTATATCTTCAATCATTCGTATTTTCTCAGTTGTGTTCATTGCATATATACTTATACTTATACTGATATATATTCATCAGAATCATGATATCACTTAACTCTTTTAGATACTTGGTGATGCCAAGACGATTGATTCAAAGATGGTGTACAAGTCCAACCACTAGGACCTCTATTGCAAGGGGCAGTGGTGGTTGCATTACCAGTCAGATTTCATTACTGCCAACAAACAACAATATATCAATACTTGTGTCCAACTATTCGACATCCACATCATCCTCATCATCCACATCAAACAACAACAATAATATAAAGAATACAAAGAATGACATCGAGTCAACACAATCACAACATGAGACATCCACCTCAACTTCCACAACCTCCACATCAACACCAAATACAACTACTACACTCGCTACAACCAATGGAGGGTTCATGGAATCATTGACCAAGTACTACAACAAGGTTAAACTGTTCGCACAGGAACTCAATCAACAGACCAAACATGGAGTGGTCACATACTATACCAATTGGAAGTTCTACAAGGACATCATCAGACCCAAGATTATGATGGGTTCATCTTTGACAAGACCAGAGATCATCTCAATGAAAACCTTCAGTATGTCCATCTGGTCCTGATTGATTGATTGGTGCGGGCACTAACACTTCCATCAATCAACCCAACAACAGAACAAGACTCATTGTGCTTCATACCATTATTCATATATCTGGCCATCCCATTCTCTACATTTGGCCTTCCATTATACATCCGACACCTTTCGGCAATACTTCCAAGCACTTTTTCAACAAGAGAGATGACTGTATGTTGTTAGTGGATATTGAGTCCAGTGGCTGGAAGAATTACTAACTTGTGATTATACCAAGGTCTCTCGCTATCTTAAATCAATGGCAAACAGAACCAAAAATGCCAACACTCTATACGATCGACTAAAGTCACGTGATAACATCCAACCAAACCACAAGATTACCTTGTCCGACTTGGACAGGGGCGACCTTGTCCTGCTCTCAAAGTGCATTGGATTCAAGTTTGGATTCCTCTCGACAGCGAGCTCACTTATCCAGACCATCACCCAATGGGAGAAGGAGATCAGCCATGACAACAAGATGATCCTGAGGGAGGGTATCCAGAATCTCTCGATCGAGGACCTGCAAGACATCTCCTACGTGCGTGGAATCCACTTTGCTGGCAAGAACTACGATCAACTCCTCCAACAACTTTCCACCTCACTCATACTCTCACCTGCTGCGCCAACACATTCATCATGTGCCCTTGCAGTCCTCAACTCTTTAATTTCAACCAATGCTCCTTACACTCCTCCATCAACTTCCTCATCATCCATGGCTGACAAGCAATAAATATAGGTATACAAGGTTGTTTATATTATATTAAATTATATATAAATGCTGTAAACAGGTTGTTTATTATGGATCAACCTCTCTTGAAAGCAATGATTGTTGCTCGACCTGTCCACCCTTTGACGGCAGTTCGAACGATATCTTGCTCTTTCTAAAGTCTAGTTCTACATTGAATGATAGGAAAGTATTAGCGAGTGTTGGGGACAGAACATTCGTGATGATGAATGGATACACATACCGTTTGCTTCAGAATTGTCATTGCTAATCTTGATCACAGGTTTCCTGTAGGTCTTGAGATGGAGACTTGATAATACTACACTGACACTGGAGAATGCCATGGCAAGACCAGCGACCACTGGTGGAATACTGATGCCAGCGGGGATCAACACACCAGCAGCCAACGGGATACCGAGAATGTTGTAGAGTGTGGCCCACATGTAGTTGAGACGAATGCGGTTGAATGTCTTCTTGGACAAACTGATGGCGGTGATTACGTCGCGCAGATCAGACTTGACCAGCACAATGTCGGCTGCTTCGATGGCAATGTCTGTACCGGCGCCAATGGCAATGCCAACGTCGGCTTCGGCGAGAGCCGGCGAATCGTTGATACCGTCTCCAACCATGGCCACAACATGACCCTGTTGCTTGAGCTCCTGCACCTTCTTTGACTTGTTTGATGGAAGCACCTCGGCAAACACCTGTGTGATTCCAACCTGTTGCGCGATGGCATTGGCTGTTCGAGGGTTGTCACCTGTGACCATCCATGGGAAGATGCCCATCTTCTTGAGTGCTGTGATTGTTGGACGAGCCTCTGGCTTCAACTGGTCGGCAATGGCGATGTGTCCACAGATCTCATTGTTCAACACGACAAAGACGACGGTGTTGCCCTCGTTCTCTAGACGCTTGATCTGTCCGGCAATGTCGTTTCTGGTCTGCTCGCTGAGGGTTGGCGCGTAGGCAAGTCCCAACGATGTCAGCCACTTCATGTTGCCAATGTGTACGTTCACGCCATTGATGACGGCCTTGATTCCAGAGCCTGTAATGCTTTCGAAAGCTTGTGGCACTGATGTTGTGGTGACGTCGCACACGGTGAAGGCGTAGTTGACGATGGCACCAGCCAATGGATGCTCACTGGCTGCCTCTGCCGACGCGACCAGCTCAAAGAAGGACTTCTTGTCGTATTTGCCAATGATGTGTGACTCGCTGACGATTGGCTTGCCAGTGGTGAGTGTACCTGTCTTATCGAATATGACCGCTGAGATCTTGTGAGCCGTCTCTAGATGTGAGCCTCCCTTGATCAGGATACCGTTCTGTGCGCCAATACCTGTGCCCACCATGACGGCGGTGGGGGTAGCCAGACCCAGTGCGCAGGGACATGCAATAACAATGACCGAGATGGCATTTCGCAATGCAAACTGGAACACTGTGCTGTTGGCGTCGTTGATGTACTTGTCGATCCATCCAGCCCAGCCCAAGACCAGCCAGACGATGAATGTCAACAGGCCAAGAGTGACGACTGTGGGAACAAAGATGCGGCTGATCTTGTCGGCGATTGATTGGATTGGTGCACGCTCAGTCTGTGCACGCTCAACCAGTCTGATGATCTGTGAGAGTGAGGTCTCGCCACCGACACGTGTGGCACGGATGTGCAACACACCCTTCTGATTGACGGTGCCTCCAATGACCTTGTCGTTGGTCTGCTTGGACGCGGGCATCGACTCGCCCGTGATAATGGACTCGTCCACACTGGACACGCCACTGACTACGATACCATCGGTTGGGATCTTGCTACCGGGTAGTACCTTTAGCATGTCGCCACGCTGCACCAGCTCAATGTCAATCTCGCGCTCGTCGTGGATCTGTCCAGTGACAGGGTCGACATCCAGCAGGATGGCCTTGGTGGCCTGCAGCGACATCAGCTTCTTGATAGCCTCGCTAGTCTTGCCCTTGGCAATGATCTCCAAGTACTTTCCAAGTAGAATGAATGTTATAAGTGATGCCGACGTGTCAAAGAATGTCTTCATATCGGCTGCTGACGATGGCTTTGAATTGGGGTTGGACCAGTCCATCAAGAGCACCATCACACTGTAGAAATATGCACAACTTGTACCCAGCGCCACCAATACATCCATGTTGGCGCCACCATGTTTCAAAGACTTGTATCCATTGATATAGAATCGTCTACCGACACCAAACTGAACCGGTGTCGTGAAGATAAACATCAAAAAGTCCGCGATACTAACTCCATGTACAACTTGATTGGTGAAAAGGAAGTGACAGACTGTTGTTGTCGTTGTCGTTGTCGTTAGTTTGTGTCAAACTCGTGGTGATGGACTGTTGATCAAACATACATGTAATACGATGTAGGATCATTCCAATTAAAAATACAGGTACTGTTAGACAGACACTGATACATAGCGTCCTCTTGGTCTTTGCTATCTCCTCCTTTTGTGCGTTCTTTGTGTCCTCGTGGTTGTTTGATGGTAGATTTGCGGTGAAGCCTACATCCTCTATTTGTGTAATGATATTCCTGGCACCTGTGAGATCCGGATCATAGACCACTCTTGCATTCTCGAGAGCAAGGTTGACTTTGATCTCCTGTACACCATTCATCTGTCCGATCACACTCTCTATAATACCAACGCATGACGAGCATGTCATACCTCCAATGACCAACATCAATGTATTATGCTCAGCTTGTTTGATATGTTTGGCTTCGAAGCCTACAGTATTGATTTGTTCTGCGATGCCCTCCTCCTGTTGTTGTTGGTGTTGTTTGATTGATTGGTCAGTGATCCAGCCTCAATGGACCTCCACGCGTATAATATAAACATACATTGATTATAGCTGGATTGAATCTGACTTCTGCCGTCTCTTGAAGTAGGGCAACTTGAATGGATATTACACCGTCGACACCAGAGACGAATGATTCGATGATGCCCACACATGATGAACAGGTCATTCCATGAACACTGAATACAGCCTTCTTGACAGAAGTCTCGGGACTCCTTATTGTCATTGGTATTGCCGACTCATCAGGTACATCATCATTGATGCTCATGTCCAATTTGATATAAGACATGATTGTTTCTTATTTCCTGCCTGTATGTACTGTTATATAACTACTCTTCCTCTACTTCTATCTCTATCTATAAATAAATATAAGTATTAGTATATATATATTGTTGTCCACACAATTAGTATGGTATGATCTAGTCAAGTCTAGTCTTAAGATTGCTCAACAACAAACAACCAACGCATCGGCGAGGAGTGTGATTTTTTTAAAGACACATCATATGAGATGGAGATGAGTGAGTTTAGTTGACTTTGTGTTTGGATATCACCACAAACCAACAACAACAACGACACACAACTAAATAAATACAAACACACACACTATCTCTCTTTCTTTGTCGCTCACTCACTTCTCTCTCTCTCTCTCCACTAACACACACACACACACATACGACAATGCAATCCAAAACTAGACCAACAACTACTTAAGTAGTGATCACACTTACACTTGAATTGTATGCTGATTGATTGTCCTTCTGTTGCTGCTGCTGCTGCTTCTGTTGCTGCTGCTGCTGTTGCTGTTGTTGTTTTAGTCCTAATATTAGATTTGTAATATTGTGATGTGAGTTATTAAAGTTAGATATTTAAATATTATATTGGTTGTTCGTACGAATGAATGAACACAAGATAGTAAATAAGAATATATATGTATATATTTAATAATGGTATAATATAAATGTAATGTAGTTGTACAATAAACCTACCTGTATGTAGATAGATAGACCGATAATCATACAAACAATCAATCAATCAATAAAACAATAAACATAGGCAGAGCCCATCATCTATCCATCTATCGATGGCTTAGGCGGAGGTGGAAAGGACCTTCTCCAACCATCCCAGCTGAAAGAACGGAACCCAACAACACCACACTCTCCCTTCAATAAACGTTGTAGAAGTAGTTGTGTTGCGAAAACGCAAAAATTGGTCTCTGCTTACACGTTTGACACACACTTTGATACATGACAACACCAGTGACGGGTCTGTCATCGGACCCTACTATGTCACCCATGTTACAACAGGTACGCGTCACGTCTGTCAGTGGTCAATTCAAACTCGATCATATCAAATATGATACACACCAACACACATACATCAGCCCTTGACCGACTTTCTTTTAATGTTCAAAGGAATAAGGCTTATCAATCATCCAACTCTGTTTATGTGTTGATGTTGTTGACCATTGTTGAGATAATAATAACAGTTATATATTATCTCTTTGTTTTTGTTATTTGTTGAACAACGAAATTGAACAAAACAGACTGACTCGTTTGTATCACCTAGGAATATTTATTTAAAATTATTTAATTTAATTAAAGTATTGTATGTTTTGTGTGTGTTGGATTGGAAGGTTTGTTCAACATGATGTGGATGGGAAGTGGTTGTGTTCATTCATTCGACTCAATTTCACATTGTTGTATTAACACCAATACAAAGATAGAGAAGAGGAGAAATGGCTGATACCAAAGCTACAGATATACCAAAGGTCGACCCAAAGGTTGAAGATGAAGAGGAGAGCGATGATGAGGAGACTGTAAAGGATGAGAGTATGAATTGAATGAATGAACTTGCGAGAGAGGACATACTTACTTACATACTTTGTTATTCGCAACAACAGAGGCTGTCAATAATGAAACAGGTGCAGCTGGTGAAGCCAAGAAAAAGAAGAAGAAGAAGAAGAAGAAGAAGACTGCTGGTGCTGCTGGTGCTACTGCAGCTGCCACTACAACTGTTGGAGCTAATGGAGCTGCGACTGCCACTTCTACAACAACTACTCCTGGCGCACCAAAGCAACAGACAACACCACCAACTGTCCCAATTACTGATCTATTCCCAAGTGGAGTGTTCCCACCTGGAGAGGAATGTGAATATAAGGATGTGTATGTAGTTTGTATGATTGAACGAATTGAATGATCGAATGAAAGCTAATCAATATGTCACATTGCAGCAATTCATACCGTACAACTAGCACTGAGAAGCGTGAACAGGAGAGGATCATGTCAAATATGATCAATGACGTTCGTCAAGCTGCAGAGGTTCACAGACAGGTCAGAAAGTATGTTCAGTCGATTGTAAAGCCTGGACTGTCATTGCTCGAGTTGACAGAGAGTCTGGAGACTGCTTCGAAAACATTGATCAAGGCCAATGGACTCAAGGCTGGCATTGCCTTCCCAACAGGTGTGTCGATCAATCACATCGCTGCGCACTTTACTCCAAACACTGGCGACAAGACCGTGCTCAAGTACGACGATGTGCTCAAGATTGACTTTGGCACTCACGTCAATGGCAACATCATCGACTGTGCATTCACCGTCAACTTCAATCCAAAGTTCGACCCACTGCGTCTTGCCGTGCAGGAGGCCACCAACACTGGCATCAGAGAGGCTGGTATTGACGTCAGACTGTGTGACATTGGCGCAGCCATTCAAGAGGTCATGGAGTCGCACGAGATCCAGCTCGATGGCAAGACCTATCCAATCAAGTCAGTTCGCAACCTCAACGGACACAGCATTGCACCATACGTTATCCATGCTGGAAAGACCGTCCCAATCGTTAAGGGTGGTGAGGGTACAAAGTAAGTTGTCGATGTCTGGCAAACACATGCCTAGCTCAAGGTCATCCATGTCCCTAACAATAATTATGTATCGCTATTAGGATGGAGGAAGGAGAATACTACGCCATTGAGACATTTGGTAGCACTGGAAGAGGTGTTGTCAATGAGGACTTGGAGTGCAGCCACTACATGAAGGTGCACAATGCACCACACGCCACCATTAGACTGGCGAGGTCAAAGCAGCTGTTCCAACACATCAGCAGGAACTACGACACACTCTGCTTTGCCAGAAGATGGCTGGACCAGGCTGGCGAGGACAAGCACATTCTCGCGCTCAAGAATCTCTGCGACCTTGGTGTCGTTGCTGCCTACCCACCACTCGTCGATATCAAGGGTTCCTACGTCGCTCAGTTCGAGCATACCCTTCTGCTTCGTCCAACCTGCAAAGAGGTCTTGTCACGTGGAGATGACTACTAGTACATCATCATTCATTCATTCAATCATTCATTCATTCAATCAAATGGTATCAAAGCAAGCGCTAAAGAGTCAAATAACATTACACTGTGGCTCTCTCCCCTTAATATCATGATCAAGTCATTGTTGTTGTCGTTGTAGTTGGTGTCGCCTATCTCTTGCAAAGGATGGTAGGGTGGACAAGTAACCTGGTGAGGTTGGATAGTTTATTAAATAGGCAAGGGCAAGGGTAGGCCTGGATTGTTGGTTGGCCGTCCATGTTGGTTGTTTGATTGAAATGTATCTCTGCTTCGTTTCCAAACACAAAGACCATTCATTGGAATGATTGATTGATTGTTGTTGATGGTGATGATGGATGTGATGTTGGTTGGTTTGGTTGGATGTCTAAATAACTATATAAAAAGATATTATCTGAAGAGGACACAGCTAGTAGGACTTGAGGGACAGACTCATGATGACCGAGTCGATCTTGGCGTAGTTCTTGTCCTTCTCGGCAAAGCTACGATGCTCCTTGCTCTCGAGATGAGCCTTTAAGCTCTCAAACTCGGTGTTGCAGCATTCGCAGTAGCCCTGCGACTTCTTCTTCTTTTTCTGTAAAGTGTTGTTGTTTGTGTTGATGTTGTTGGCGTTGGCAATGACGGTCTTATGCTGCTCAAGTTGTTTAGATACAGCATGACATAAGTTGTTGTTGACATTGGGATGTACTGCAATGTGGTTATGGTTGTGATGATTGATGTTTGTTGTTGATGCTGCTGCCGCCGATGCAGCTGTATTGGTTGTTGTACATGGGGATGGGATATAGACAGGTTCCTTCTCGATAGGGATGAAGGGCGAGAGTGAGTAGTGTGGCCTGGTGATCGAGTAGGTTGGCGTTGAGGGTGAGGCAAAGTGCAGTGATGGGAAGCTGGTGTTGGTGTAGGTGGTAGGCGGGAACTCCTTGGTGATGGGCTTGAAGGCGTTGAGCTTGTCGGAGATGGTAATGTAGGGGAATGAGCGGATGGCCGGTTGTGGCAGCGAAGGCAAGCTGCTTATTGGCATTGGTGATGGTGTGGATATAGGTGTGCAATGGCGTTTCTGCGAGGGTTTGCTTGGTATTGGCTTGTGGATGTGAGGAACCACGGTCGGGATGCCCTTAATGGACTGAGTAGTATTGGTGATGTTGTTGCTATTGTTGTTGTTGCTGAGGATATTGTTATTTGTTGTAAATGGTTGTATATATGGGATTGTATTAATTGATGTCGTCGTCAACATGTTGGTTTGATGATGATGCTGCTGCTGGGGCATTTGATTAACTAGTTGTATGGATGAAGAGACCAGGTTGGGTGAGACCATCTTCTTCTTGCTGCTACTGCCACTGCTGCTGCTTGACGCTGAGCCACCTCCATTGTGGACCCCAGTGCTGTTGCCAATGCTCGGTGATACGAATGTAAAGTTGGTGGCTGCGCCACCGCCAACGCCCGCAGACTTTGATAGGCTACTTTGCTGCTGATGTTGATGCAGGGCTGCATTCGCGTTGAATTTAACATCGTCCACTGATATACTTGGAGTCGTGTTGAAAAAAACGTGAGGCGACGACGACGATGAATGATGCGGTCTGTCCTCCCATCGATTGGATGCCTGTTGTGGTGATTGAACCTGTGTCTGCTGACTCTGCTGCTGTTGATTCAGTACCAATAGATGATGCTGTATATTAAGCTTTGCGTCGTCGTGTTCATATTTACTGAATGAGGTGATTAGGGTATCAGTATTCGATCGATCAATCGTTGTTCAAACATTGACAATGACATACGTGTTGATGCTCTTGGGCAGTACATCATTGACGAGGTATTGACCTTGCAGATGTTTCAGAAGGAGGTTATGTGTGCTGTTGTTCGAGGATAGACCTGTGGCCTCCTTGCCACGGGTTGTTCTCCTCTTCTTCAGCGGTTGACTGCTGATGCTGCTACTACTGCTGCTGCTGCTGCCACTGCTTCCACTAATCATTATACCAGTGCTACTACTATATTCTTGTGAAGACTGTTGTTGTAGTAACTGATGTTGTTGATTATTATTATTATGATGATTATTATGATGATTATGTTGATGATGATGTTGCATCAGTTGGGGGAATGGATATTGTGTAAAGATGGCTGGACTGTCAACAGAGTTGGACGAGTATAGAACACTTATTGGCAATCCGCAATAAGGCTCTAACAGGTGAGAATTATTCTCTACTACTTCTGCCATTCTTATTGTTTATGTATGGGGTATGAATGTTGTGTTGATTGTGTGTATATATATATATATAATAAGAGTGATTGAGGATATTAAGGTGATTATAAAGAGGAATTAACCTCTTTTATATGTTATCCTATCCTGTAATTAAATATATAATATATATAATATGATTGATCTCCAGTGTTGATTGATTGATTATGATTGATTATACTGTATTAATCCTGTTTGTTGTTTCTGCTGCTGTTATTGATATCATTAATGGATGGATGAATGGATAGATGAATGGTTAGCTTTAGCTGTTTCCTGTTGTTGTTGTTGTTGTTTGATGTTTGTTGTTATCTAGATAGCCGTGTAGGTGAATGTAATATGATAAATGTGATGTGATAGATATATATAAATAAATAAACACCGTTGTCGCGGTGTCTTCCTGTTGTTGTTGTTTGTGAAATAGACTAAATGGAGTTGATGCTGTTGTTGGATGGCAAGCTGGCTGGTTTGCTGGCTAGCTAGAGTGTCTTGATACGATACAATACGATATGTTATGTGCAATGCGATGCGATGCAATTGCAATATTATGCTATGATTGTGCTTTGTTGTGTTGTGTTGGTTGTGTCGTGTATATGTCTGTCTGTCTGTATGCTTATCCTCCAACTATGTATATATATATATATGAATGAGTAAATGTAGTATGTGTGTATATATGTGTATGTGTATGTATAAATATGAACGTGGAGCAGCGTTGAGTGAGTTGGTTGTTTGTTTGTTGTGTTTGAGTTGTTGGTGAGGTGAGGTGAGAGATATAGAGCGCGCACAATAATATAGAGAGGAAGAGATAAATGGTTGACTTAGAGAGAGAGAGTACAGCTCCAGCTTGCAATGTTGGATGTTGTGTTGGTTGGTGCTCTGTCATCAACAACAACAACAATAAATAAACAAAATGGCAACTCATTCAGGTCATACCCTCACTCTCACACATCTCATATTCTCTTTCTCTCACTCAGTCTCACACCTAGCAACTCGGTGAGTGTGCACACTAACACACAAGACGTGTCAGGATGAGGGGGCACCCAAACAATGCAAATGGGGGTCGTGTGTGTGTGAGTGTGTGAATATTGTCAAAAAAATGGGGGGTCAGACTGAGACAGAGAGAGAGAGAGTGAGGGTGGCACAGTGTGAATGATGATGGCCCCGTGTGAGATTGTCTTTTTGTTTGGGGGTGGATGTAACGTGCGGGCAGATGGAGTTGACGCCAACCAGGCAAGAGGTGGTGTGGGTGAGTTTGATGAGTGTGATTGGCGATACACTCACATCTCTATGAGTGATTGTAAGGGGTTGTGCGGAAGTGAGGTTAAGTTATGTTTGTGAGTGAGTCGGCGTTGAATGAATGAATGACTGTATGAATGGATGAATGAATGGGACGGAAGAAAGGATGGAAGTATGGATGTATGAATGGAACGGAATGAAGGCAGGCAGCTCGATGGTTATGTATGTTGTTGTTGATGCAGTTGGTGAGATGTGATGGTGAGATGAAAGGATGATGATGGTGACGACGATCACTCTCTCTCTCGACACTGTGTTGTTGTCACTACGTTCATGACTGGTTGTTTGGCAATATTGCCTGATGGATGTATGGATTGGCATGGATGGAGGTAGAGGAGTAGGCTGGCAACTGCCAACTCACAATTGGATTGATTGATTGATTGATTGATTGATTGATTGGCAATGGTATTGATAAAGGATTGTAATATTAACAAGTTCTTGTGGCTGTGGCTGTGTGGTGGCCAGGCAACCAGCCAGCCATCCAGCTAATTCCAAACATGAATTATTACATGGGTTGGGCCAAGCCAACACAGTGAGATGTATGGTGGTCAATCGATTGTGACCTGTATCTATCTACCTACCAATATTCCAGGCAGTATTTGTTTGAGGACTCCAAGCTAAACTTCCAGAATGATGAATTGATTGATGAATGTATCACTGATCTGTGTTGTGTTATGGTCGATATTGGTTGATTGGTTGATTGATTGATCTAATAAATAGTATTGTCTTTGGAAATAAATGAATGTCAGAGCTAGTGAGTGGAAGAAAGAATGGATGGATGGTGATGGATGGAAGAGAGAAGCAAGCAAACGCAAGGCAGGTACTGGGGATTGATTGACTGATGAATGGATGGTGTTGTTGGAGCCTGCCTCACTTGACTTGGTGTTGGTCAATAACTTATTGTTGGTGTTGATGTTTACGAGGATGGGCTGGGCCTTGTTATTGTTGTCTGCATGCAGACACTCACTCACAAACTATCAAAAGGGATTGGAGCTAGAGAGAAGGGTAGGTTGGCACTTTCACGCAGAGGGAAGGATGGTGATGATGTGATGCAGATGGAATGTGACGCGAAGGATTGTTTCAAACAACATTCAAGGTTTATTTTCTTTATTGATTCACACTTGTTGTTGGATATATATTGACGACGACGATGCGCAGGTGACCTGACACCAGTGTATTCCACATCCTTCTTCTTCTTTGCGGCTCAAAAACAAACAAACATAGATGGGATGGATAGGAGCAATGCGGGGCAGGGCAGAGAGGCAGTGGTCATCATCGCCACCTCCTGCGACGACCACATTAAGTCGTCAACAAACAGATGCAGCACGACAATAACAACATTCATCACATGAAAGGGAGGTGTGAGGTGAGGTCGTTCATGTTTGTGCACATGTGTTTATCATGGGGCTTAGCCCCGTGGCCCTCTACCTACATCCTTACTGATATTATTTAAAAAAGTTATTGTTGTTGTTGTTGTGAGTCACACAAAATAGGACGGAAGGCCCAAACCATCGTCTTCCACGCCCGAATCGTTAAATAATCAAAATTTGTCTTTCCTCCAACTCACTCACGCCATCACCTATCCTCTTTCTATGTTTCTCTGTTGACTTGTGTGACACAAACACACATCAAGACATTTCCACGATCTTGATGAATAATAACATAAGATGACTTTTCACTCAACTTCTTCTATCATCCTTATCCATCTATCCATAAAGGATAAGAATATCTGTTTGTGGTTGTTGGTACCAGTTTATCATCCCCAGGGGAGAAAGTAAGAGGATACTGGTAATCCACTTTGGACGGACGACAAGTTAAAGAGTCATTGACATTGACAATGACCCAAGTGAAGTGCAGTTGAGAATGAATGAATGAATGAATATATGACTTCATTGGTTCAAAGTCCAATTTGTATGAATTGAATTGATTACAAATATCTGATTGGGTCTTCGTCGTTTATGGAGCCATGTGTGGTAGTGTGTTTGTTTCACAATCAATCTGCCCAATCAATCTTATTCATTACTGTACCCAATTGGAATTGAACACACATACACACACACAAACGATCAGCTGACCCTGAAAGACTCCAGCAATCAATCAAACAATCAAGCAAGAGAGACATTAGAGGAGGTATTCAAACACCACCATCCATAACAATCCACTACAATCCACATCAATCCATTCAATCTTGTACTCCACTTCCACTGTACAGACCCCGGACTGTACTGGACTGGACGGGTACAATACGATGATATCTTCTCCATCTAGCACGATCAAGATGGAGAAGGCAGTCTGGATATCGAGTGGAAGCTTCATTGTCGCCATGATCCTATTCAACATAACACCTATACTCGAAGGGATACCTTGGTTCCACTTCACATTAGGCTGCAACAGCTTCATCTTCTTCCTCGAGCTCTACCTTGACATCAGACAGTCATTCACCATACGTCAATACAAGAACCCCAAAGTCAACTGGACAGACACTACCTATCACATCGTACGTTGTGTCTCCGCAACCCCATCTGGAACTATCCCACTCACTCACTCACTCACTCACTCACTCAATCAATCAAACATAACAGGAGAACATCATTGGACTTCTTAACTTCAGACGAACCGAGTCCACGATTGGCTTCATTTTGGAGTGCTGTATACTTCACTTTGGATTGCTGCCACAGCTGTATAGTGTTAATGGACTGATATGGGATTGGTACGGATTCGGTCGCACTCACGAGATCACACGTGGCATCTCTTATCTATTGTTGGTCAGTCTGTTTAGCTCATTGATTCGTCTACCATTTGAACTATACCGTGTGTTCCTCGTGGATGTCATCACAGACAAGAGAGATTGGTTACAACAGACCATTATCGATCAGGTCAAGATGTTCCTTGTTTCAATCCTACTTGGACTACCCTTGCTTGCCGTAACCCTGGCACTATTCTCCTGGCAGAACCCCTATCAATGGTTCTGTAAGTGATTGATCAATCCACACTGGAATCATCCCATTCATCGCGCCAACATGGTTGACTAACAACTCCCTCCCTCGCCTCGCCATTCGCGACAACACACACAGATATCATACTGTTCGTCTCATCAGTCGCCTTGTTCTTCTCGGACATGTATCCTTCGCTAGCCTTCTTGTTTAACAACTTCTCTTCGATGGAGGATTGTGAACTGAGGAGCGAGATAAACATGCTTTCAAACAAACTAGGCGTACCAATCAAAGAGATATACACAATGGATGGATCAAAGCGCGTGTCACACTCCAATGCCTTCATGCTGGGCTTCTGGCGCAGCAGTGTCGTACTCTACGACAACCTAATCAAACAACTCTCCACCCAGGAGATACTCTCAATCATATGTCATGAGATTGGTCATCATAAGTTCAAGCGTATGTATAGTCTCTGGCGTGTTGCCGCCACCAGCGCCACACCTCGCCACGCCACACGCTAACACTTGTCCACACGCCACGCCCCCACACCAACAATAGACTCATGGAAACACTTGTTTGTCCAAATGCTATTCCTTGGCAACTTCATATTCTTGTTCTCACGCGTTGTCAATCTGGGCGTGTTCTACTCTAGCTTTGGATTCTCCGCCGTCGACATTAGTGTCGGCTTGGTGCTCTTCTCCTACCTGTACAGCACCTTTGCCAACCTGTTGAGGTTCGTCACCAACATGGTACGTCGCGAGTTTGAGTATGCGGCCGATCGCTACGCCATCGAGAATGGACTGGACATGAAGCAGGCGTTGATCTCAATGCATGGCAAGGGCACGTACATCAAGCCCGACACCTACTTCTCGCTCTACTACTATTCGCATCCATCGCTCATGGAGCGTCTCGACTCAATCGACCTCATCACCAAGGAGTTAAACAAGAAGGCTGCCTAAGGCCGCCTCACCTGTACATAAATGAATTGAATGCGCGCAAGTTATCCTAAAGTGATTGGTTGATTGATGGTTGGGCTCATCCAAAGCCAGTTTGTTTCATTGGTTGATTGAATGATTGATTGAGTGTTCTATGCTGTGCTGCTAGGGGAAGAGGCCAAGGAGTGGCGCGCGCTATCCTTAGAGGAGGAATGGAACGATGATCTTTCTGTTTCTTGGGTAGAGTGGGTTGCCATTCTGGCCATCGAACTCCTTGCGGTATCTTCTGTGCTTGGCAACAGCCCAGACGTACATCTGGAAGGCACCCAAAAGTGTGAAGATGAAGGCTATATTGTTTGATTGATTGAGTGATTGATTGACGGGTTAGTCGTGATTGGATGGTCCATGCTTGCCGGCACACTTACCAGTGAGGGTCTGAGTCATGATGGAGAATCCAATCCAAGCGGTGATCTCGGCGGTGTAGTTGGGACATGAGACAAGGTCAAAGAGACCTCCCTTGGGGATGCGACGCTCGGTGGAACCGGGTGGACGGAGGTTGCGCAGTTGGATGTGGCACATGAGGTTGAGGAACTCGCTGACGGCAAAGAGAACCAGACCAACAAAGACGTTGATCGATGATGGCGCGGTGTACAGGGCGTGGTTGACAAAGTAGGACACCATGATGGTGCAACCCCAGTAGTAGGTGCAGTTCTTGAACAGGTTGGACAGGGGCATGGTGCCGTGGCTGAATCTGTGCACAAAGATCGTCTCGAGAAGACGCTTGATGTAGTGGAGACTGTAGCAGATCAGTGCCAGGTCCTGGACGTAGCTCTTTTGGAAGTCAGTTCCGTAGATCTGCTTGGAGAAGATGTAGAACAGTGGGTAGATGCAGAGTGGGCCTGCGTACTCGACGAGGAACACGAGTGTCCAGGAGATCTGGGGTCCCAAGTCCTTGAACAAGAGGGTAGTGTCCGACTTGATGTTGTAATGTGACAGAGTCTTTCCATCATCAGTCAAAGCCACAGGCTTTCCATCAGCGCCCAAGGTCGAAGTAGTGAATCTCTGTCTGTCAACATAATACTTCTTGTCTGGATTGAGTGATGGAGTGATGGTTAGTGGAAACATGTATATGATGGACCACCGACGATTGATCAATCAATCCAATCGATCAATCAATCATATAACATACTCTTCTTCTCAAAGCTCTTCTTGAGTTGGAGAACAGTTGAGGTGGTCTCGGCCTCAATGTCGCAAATATGCTTGTTGCCTCTTGAAGTGACGATTGTTATCTTCATCGCTTTGTACTTGTGTGTATCTGTATAAGTGAAGTGTAGAAGTGATCAATGAACTCATCTTCATGCTCAAGGAACAGTCATCACGGTCTTGATCATCAAGATTTTTGATGATCAAAATTGGTGTGGTCCCATTCAATCAGTTCGGTCGATCATCATAACTTGCGCAATCCCATTCACAATTAGTGACAGTTTATGTTGACCAACATGGAGTACAAGTAAGGTCATTGATGTTCTTGATGTAGGCAGGTTTACCATCAACTTGAAGAAGGACAGTCTTTGGATCGATTATTCGAGCGCATTGGTATTCTCTGTTGGACACTCTGATGAAGTGATAGTTGGTGACATATGGATACCTGACAGAGAATGATTGTAGCATGTTGCCAGGAATCTTTTGGTCAACCTTGATATACATATGTCGCAAACTGTCTGGCACTGGCTGTTGGTAGTTGCTTGGCACGATCAGTTTCTCGAGCGAGTCTGGCAGGGCACCCGAACACACTTGCAGTTTGCCCACCAGCCCGAGCTCCAGCTCTTTGAGCTGCGATGGAAGCATTCCTGGCGTGAGTGTCTGCTTGTCGACATCATATACTCGCAGACTGATCAAGGACTTTGGGAGCGAGTCTACATTGGCTTTGAACAAGTACAGCTTCAGGTGGGCGAGTGAGGAGGGTATCATCCAGGAGGTGAGCGGTTGATCGAATGCACGCCCCAGCTTTAGGCTGGTGAGTGATGGTGGTAACGCGCCTGGTGCGAGTTGTTGATTAAATCGCGAGCCAAGCTTTAGAGTGGTTAGGCTGGTTGGCAAGGACCCTGGAGTGATTGGTTGGTTGAAGTTTCTGCCAAATGAAAGGTAGGTGAGACTGGATGGTAGTTGATCTGATAGCAACTCTTGATCAAACTTCATTCCAAGGATTAGCTTGTAGAGTGATTGAGGCAAGACCCCAACCCCAAAGGGTTGATTGAAATGGTCGCCTAATTCCAATGTCTGGAGCGATGATGGAAGTACTGCAACATCAAAAGGTATGTTGTAGAATGATGGAAAGATCAACTCTGTCAGACTACTGGGAAGTGTGTCCGCTTGGATGATCTGATCGAAACAATCACCCAACGATAGGTATTGAATGGATGATGGAAGAAGTCCTGGCGACAACTCTTGGTTGTATGATTGTCCAGCGATCAAACGTGTGAGTGATGATGGTAATGCCCCGGGAATGAAGGGTTGCTCGTAGTCCTCTCCAAGGGTCAATGATTGTAGATATGGGGGAAGGGTACGAAGATGAAGTATCTGATTGAACGAGTCACCAAAGTAGAGCTTGATAAGAGACTGTCCAAAGGTACCTGGTACAATTTGTTGATTGAATGACTCTCCAAGGTGAAGATATTGAAGGGATGCAGGTAGTACTCCTGCGTGAAGTGGCTTATCAAAGTCATTGCCCGTCCACAGACTGATTAGACCTTGAGGGAGGACACCATGCAAGATAACTTGATTAAAGTTCTCAAGCTTTAACTTTGTTAGAGAAGCTGGTAGAGAACCAGGTTGAAGTATGCTGACACCAATGTAATTGATTGTAAGGGTTGATAGCGATGCTGGAAGTGAGCCCGGCTCAAGTTGATGAGGTGATCGTTGAGTTATGTTGAGTACTTGGAGTGTTGAGGGGAGGTAGCCTGGTATGATAGGCAATTCCAATGTTTTGCGTGATTGTTGTTGTTGTTGTTGTTGTTGTTGTTCATCTGTTGTCTTGTTGCCAATGTCCAAGAATGATTTGCCAACATTATAGAGTCTGGATGAAACGAATGCTAGGCAATGTAGATCGAGTGATTCACCAATACAAGTGAACATATGTCTCAATACGACTAAAGGTAGAGTATCCATTACTTTCTCACTGTTTTAATGTTACTGCTTTGAAACAACATGATCTTTGGAGTACTCTATACCATTGTGATTAAAAGAGATAGAATGAAGGAGAGAGAGTTCGTGAGTGTGGTGGATGTTTGGGAGCGGAGTGATCAACTGACTGGAAGTGAGAAGGTGTGAGAAAAAGGGTTAGATGATCATTTCTTCTTTTGTTCCTTGTGATTGTGTTTGATGATGATAGTCCTTGATGTTTATTGGACTGACTGGGATGATTCCAATATAGATTGAGATTGATGGTCTATCAAGTGCGTGAGTGTAGTGAATGATTCCCTAACATCCACATCCACCACAGCCACCACAACATCCACAATTGTTCCAGCGGTTCCAGTTGTTCCATCCACCCCATCGGTTGCCGTAGCCACCCCAAGGATATCCAGAGCCACAGCCTCCCCAATTGCCACCATCATAGCCTCCACAAGCGACAGAGTTTGATGATTGAGCAGAGCTATGTCCTTCACCACCAGAGACCACCGATGAGCTACTTGACATGATAGAAGGGGAACCAATGCGGACAATGTTGTCTAAATTGAAGTAGGATAATGATATTAGTATAATTATAATATATTATTGTACACATCAAATATACCTACTCAAGAGAGTCATAGTTTGATCAAGTTTGAGAAATATGAATAGTTATTGTAAGATAAATGGATTGATTGATTGGTTGATTGTTGAATGGATATCATTTACCTTCATGCTTCGATGTTATTTATACTTTATCTCTCGTCTATCAATACAGGATTATCAATCCTTAATATGGTAGTCATTACCATTATTATATATCACTACCATAATAGGTAATCATTACCATAAAAGGATAGCCTAACCTTTTTTGGATTATAATTTGGAGTGGGGTTTCTTCCAAAGTGGTGCAAACATAATGATCATTATGTACATATATAGTTTCTTGTTATTATCTCTTTCAATTATAATGATAGGTTCATAATGTCAAAGTCAGCAGTGTCATCATCAACAACAATATTGATATCACCTAACTCTGAGAACATACAATATAAAGGAAGGATTGATACGTCCAATCTCAACAATGAAGGTGCATACTACTTTGATTGGCCTGGTATACAGATAACATTGGTGATCAAAGGTACATCATCAATTAAAGCCGTGCTCCAGTCCAAACTTGCTCTGAATGACATTGGTGATCTACATTATGTATGTACTACCAAGCTAGACTTCATTTAGTTGATTGATTGAGTACTCACTCATACTTATATACAATACAGAGTAAAGGCAATAAGAATATATTTGATATTGTTGTAAATGGTACATTTCATTCAGTCTTTACAATCTCATCATATGATCCAAAGATGTCTTATAGTCTGTTTGATGATGGATACCTCTCTTCTGATCAAACATATGTTGTAACATTGATAAAGAGGACAGAGGCAGCATTTGGCCGAGTCAGCTTCTTTGGATTCATCGTGGATAGTACATACATGTTGTTGCCACCTCCCATCCCTCGTTCAAGAAGATTACTATTCCTTGGTGACAGCATTACATGTGGCTATGGCAACATGGTTATTGACCCATGCGAGTTCTCTGTTGAGACAGAGAATGTGAACTTGTAAGCGCCATCCTTCCTTCCTTAAACAGGTAAAGCCAGTAAGGTAACTAACTACCCGCATTCAAACATAGTGCATATGGATCACTGATAGCCAAACAATTGGAGGCGGATGCCTACTTTATAGCATGGTCAGGCATTGGACTTTCACGTAACTGTGATAGTCCAGATACAACATCCAAGGTTGTGTTTAAGGATATGTGGACAAGGACCTTGGCAACAAACTCATCTTTACAGTGGGAGGCTGGATTGTACCTCCCAGATGCAGTCATCATCAACTTGGGCACCAATGACTTTATAACACAACCTAATCCACCTCGAGACATATTCATTGAGGATTATACCAACCTAGTCAAAGCGATCCACAACATATATTCAAACAAGCCAAAGATATTCCTCGCATGTGGACCAATGATTGGAGATCCATGTTGTAGCTATGTTCAATCTGTTGCCGATTCAATTGACGGTGTAACATATATAGACATGCAGAACATCTTGGTAACAGCAAATGACATTGGATGTAGAGGGCATCCAGGAAAAACAGGAAATATCAAGATGGCCAATATCGCTTGTCCAATCATTCAAAAGGTGATGGAATGGGATTGATTCATTCATAGATGGATTGATGGATGGATGAGATATTAAAGTACATTTATTATGGATGATCATTGTTGTCCTGCAGATGGACACCTCCAACGTTCATAAGTGAATGGTGGAATAACATTGACAAGGACCCCAATACCAAATGATGAGATCAAAGGTCCAACAACGAATACCCAATACTCTGTTGATGGAGTGAAGAAGAGATCAACTGAGTTAGCACATGATGTCTCATTAGTTGCGCTATCAATCAATACTTACTATCCCAAGTCCCAGATACTACAGCAGGTCCAAAGCATCTTGATATGTTGAATCCAGGCCCAGCATAATAGGACAAAAGTCCTTGCGATATAAACAATGTAATGAACAATGTGATACCAATGACTAATGGTGCTGAAAGGATACCAAATGTCTTTGATTGTCTTGGGTCCAGTGCAACAGTGAATGTTATAAACAGGTTGAAGAATCCAAAGAGAAACTCTGTGGCCAATGCATTGCCTATTGACATTTGATTACCAAATGTACATGAAGCCAATAGTGTCCTATTGTATATCTCGAATGGTACACAAGCATAGATGAGCGCAGAACCAATGATTGCACCAACAAGTTGAGCACAAATATACAGTGTACCCTTGACAATGGTAGTGAATCCAGTGATCATCGTTGTTAATGTTATAATAGGATTGAGTATACCACCAGAGTTTGGTCCACATGCTATGATCATGATCACCAACAAGAAGAAGTGAAATGCCGATATGAAGAATGCCTGCCAAGGATTGGGTACCAAGCCAGGTGTCGGTGTGCTGTGGTTGAAGACTGAGAAGTTGTAGTAGTTGACAACGGCAATGACGATGCCAATGGACATGGAGGTGAACACAGCAGTGCCAATCAATTCAGTTAGGACCGCTCTTAACATGTGTTTGCTGCGTACCTCCTCCCAGCCCATCAGCAGACTAATGTATTCTCTGAAAGAGAATGGAGTTGATTTGGTATCCTGATCATGTATCTGATCCATTTCAAGTGGCAGTGTCTTATCGTTGCCCAAATCCAAACCAGTCTCTTTGATGTCAGAGTTGTCATAGCGTAGCAGACCGCCAGGTGTATCAGATGCCCGAACCATAATGATCTTTACACGTCTATCCCTCTGACCCAGTCTATTCCTCCTAAGTCTTGCACCATGATTTCCGACAGCTACACTAGGTTGTTGATGTTGTTGCGATTGTTGTTGCTGTTGTTGTTGATGAACTTGGTCATTGTGTTGTTGAGGCACATGCTCTGGATCACCATTACTTGTCTCTGTTTCCATTTATGACTATCTATGATATTGAAGATCATTGTATATGCTATCAAACAGATAGAAGAGGTGTTGTATCACCTCCCCCTCTCAGTGTGCATGCATCAACATTATCACTCATACATTATTTGTATCAACCCTGAAGTGATGATCACTTTCACTCACTCAATCAGTCACACACCTGATCCGAAATCAACGATAACCAAAAGAATAATGAATGAGTGAACTGAAGGTCGACCAAAATGTTTATTGGGACTTCAATATTGAATAATGATCAGACCACGACCATGACCATGACCAGGACCAGGACCTTGAGGAGGGGATCATTAATGGCATCCACAACCTCCTCCATTGTTCCAATTGTCACCGCCACCATTACCACGATGCCAATTGTTGTTGTCCCAATGATTGTTCCATCTTCCATCATTCCAGTGATTGTTGTTCCAATGTTTGTTTCCACCTCCATCTCCCCAGTGAGCGACAGAGTTGGCTGACTGCGAGGCACCTTGTCCATTGGCCGAGGTCACCGAGTGTCCGGTACTAAAGATGGCTGGAGCTCCTTAGCGAGAGATATTGTCTGGTAGGATAATGTTAGATTGTGAACTATTGGGGCTAGAAGTGAAGGCGACAAGTGAGATACTTACAAAGGATAGACATTCTTTCAAATTTGATGATTGATTGATTATAGATTGATAGTTTGTTGTTTGGATTGATATTAATAATATTTATGGTTGATTGAAAGATTGAAAGTTGAGTTTAGGTCATTATATACTCTTTCATCAATCACATTCATAGCCCGATTTGGAAGTGATTACCAAATCAGGAAGTGATTACCATATTTGGTATTGATCATCATATATGGAATTGACTACTATATTAAATTGATACATACACACTACTGCTTGATATGGAGCTGAGACAATGAGTTAGCGAGGTTTATTGCCTGTACTACTTGTTCCACTACTACTTCTACTCCTGCTCTGTGTTGGTATCTTCTTTGTTCCATTCAAAAACCTCTTGTTGCGCCATATTGTAAAGATGGTAAGGGTAGATGGGTAGTGACCGCCATGTCCTGGTACCGCAGCAGAGGTTGTAATGTTCTTCCTTCGTTTGCTATGGCCATTGGTCTTGGAAAGTGCCGAAGCTGGTGACCTGGGTACGCTAGAAGTTGGTGCCACAGACCGCCTACAGACTAGTTCACGCAGACCTGCCGGCAGAACATTGCGTGGGATGGCATCCTTATAGTACCAGCTCATAACAAGAACGGCCAGATGCTCTGGAAGATGGCAATCACCAAGAAGTTGTTTGAATGACTTTCCAAATACGAGCTGTCTGAGTGAGGATGAAAGGGTGCCGGCCGGAAGTGCCTGGTTGAACTCATCCCCGAATCGCAAGCACTCCAACGCCGAGGGCAGGGCTCCGACCGGCAGAACCTGGTTGTACTGGTCACCAAAGCGCAGGAACTTTAGAGTAGAGGGCAGGGTACCAACAGGCAGTACCTGGTTGAACTCCTTGCCAAAGCTCAGATGCTCAAGGTGCTCGGGGAGGGAGCCGAAAGCCAGGTGTCGATCGAAAAAGGAGCTGAGACTCAGGACCTGAAGCGAAGCCGGGAACGAGTCTGGAATTATCGGTTGATTGAACGATCCGTGGAGCTTGATCGAGCGCACCGAGCATGGTATGGTGCCCGGCCATATCGGTTGATTGAAGGCGCCATCAAACTTGATCGAAAGCAGTGACGCTGGAAGGGTGCCCCGCTCAATGGGCTGGTTAAAGTCTTGGAGGAAGTACAGCCTCTCCACAGTGTCGGGGATTGGATGTACGAATGGCATGTTGATGTAGATTACATATGTCTTCTGGCCATATGTAACATTAGGATGAGCATGCTTCAGGATCTTTTGAAGCGTAGCACGGTCTTCACGCTTGGCCTGCAGCAGCGACTTTACAAACTCGCGAAGGTCCGCCGAGTATCTTTGTTCGGATATAACTACATTGTCCCTGTCGTCCTCTATCAATGAATGATTCCTCTCATCGTCTGGATGGCTATAGTGTGTATGTTAGTCAGTATCTGGTCGGCAAGACTGGACTGCTATGCGTACGTACCATGAGAGAAGTCGAAGAATGGTTGACCCGACAGAGTATATGTCTGCTCGTGAGTCAATGTCGTCCGCTTTCTGCGCCACTTCCAAAGCAAGGTATCCAAGTGTTCCAACTATTCCGGATGATTGTCCCGAGCTTGTATCACTGATGCTACTCAGATTGATTTGTCTAATCATCTCACATATGCCACCAGCTGTCATTGGCGCTTGCACTGGTACTTGCATAGTGTCATTGTCCACGTTATTGTTGTTGATGTTGTTGCTGCTGTTGCTGATCTCGATCACTATACGATGATCTCTTCCCTGGTCACTGGACTCGGTGTCGCCAGACCCTGTATCACTGTCACTGTCACTGTCGCTGTCATCATCACCATCATCACCTTTGTCAGACTCGGTGTCTGTTTCGCTGTCAGAGTCATCGATTATCTTTGAACAACCAAAGTCACCAAGTACCAACTGATTGTTCTTCAAGAATATATTGCCAGGTTTGATGTCGAAGTGGATGATTGAATGATTGTCCAGTGTTGTCAATATATTCAGTAGCTCTGAGCAATGCTTCCATATCGTCTCTTCATTGACAAATGTGAATGTATCTCTAAGTTGTGATCTTCTCAACATTGAATGATGCACTATCATTGTCTTTAGTGATTCGTTGCTGCAATGGATGTGGATGTTGATGTGAGTGAGTGAGTGGCTTGAGGCCTTGGACCTTGGACTTTTGGACCATAATAATAACATACGATTGTTCAATGTCTTGGATGTATTGATGTAGGTCGCCACCTTCGCAGTATTCCATCACAATGTATACTCGCTTGATCTCGGGATCACGATAATGATTGATATACTTGACAATATGTGGACAGTGCCTCAATCGTTGCATCGCTGCAATCTCTGTGAATATCCTATCATACTGCTTCTGTGTGAATGTCGCGTAATCAATCTGCTTGCATACTCTCTACATTGATTGAATGATGTCAGTGAATGATTGATCGTGAGTGATGAGAGTGGGGATGTGTGGGGGGCTGGAATAGCTCCAGCCATGAGCCACCCCAATGGATAACATACCAGTTCCTTGGACTCAGAGTCCATGCATAGGAACACCTTGTTGCTACCATTTCCAAACTGTAGGAGTATGTCAAATAGCCAACCATTGATGTCCACTTGACGAAAGAAGTGACTGGGGTAGATTGGATGTTGATATGACGATCCACCGCCGCCAACGTATGGATGATAGAGCATCTTGACCATGAGTGTCAGTCCATTGTGTAGCAGGATGTTTGAGAATCGCAGTACAAAGTTGCCTTCATCATGCGCATGATATGAATACGTGACACTGACCATCGCTCTGGAATGACTTGGGGGTCCACTCAATCTTGATCATCATGTTGCGCTCTTCGCCAGGCGTGACCACGAGGAAGTGGCACTTCTGTGACTGTTGGTTGGCGATGGTGATGCCATTCTGCGAGTCGTCGTACGTGAGCGTGTACATGACATCCTTCTCCAGATGGCGAAAGTCGTCGCCGGACGTGAGCACGTGACTCAGGTCTTGGTCGCCAATGCAAAGGTATGTCAGCGAGTTGGGCAGGACCTCGCGCGGGATGATCTGGGAGTAGTCGTTGCCAAGGGTGAGCTCGCTAAGGTTGCCCGGCAGCGTGTGTGCGGTGAACGGGTGATTGAACAGCCTGCCAAACTGAAGCGACGTGAGTGACTCTGGCAACACTTTATCGCCAATCGGTTGTTTAAAGTATGTGCCCAGTGTGAGGGAGGTGAGCGACGAGGGCAGACTGTGAGGCTTCAATACTTGGTTGAAGTGCTCGCCAAAGATGAGTGAGCGCAGCTTCTGTGGCAGGATACCTGCGTTTATCAGACAGTTGTAGTCACGGCCAAAGATGATGCAGATGACCGATTGGGGAAGGATGGGTGCGGTAAACGGTTGGTTAAAGTGTTTTCCAAAGCGAATGGTCATCACTCCATATGGGAACATGTCTGGCAACAGCGGTCTGTTGAACCTATCCGCAAACACCAACTCCTTCACAGGCTTTGGTAGTAGCGGTGCCATGTCATCTGTTGATGCTAACATCTTTGTTTATGAATGTGTGTATGTATATAGGTGTGTCTCTGTGAGTGTATGTGTGAGGGGATGAGTCTACCTCACATCAGTGTTTGTGTGTATCTATCTGATCACTGATATATATATATCTTAGTTTTAAGATATATCTCTATCTCTATCTCTCTCTTAATATATATCTTTATAACTTGTGACTCTTTAGATTCAATGATGATGAGGAGGAAGTGGAAGAGGGAGGAGGAAGAGGTAGTGTTCTACGAGCTTGCAAGGCACCGTTTGGGGTCAATGGCTGTATTGATTCATCACACTTTCTACCTTTAACCCCGTGATTGATGGATTGCAATCATCCAATCAAAATCATCATAATCATTATTACTCACTCTGTCAATCAATCAAGCCCACAACACACACATGTATAAGGCATCTATCAATCACATTATTGACTGGTTGATTGACATGACAGGTAGTGTTAATGTATGTGTGGGTATGTGTGTGTGTGTGTATGTATAAGTGTGTGGTGGCAATCAATCAATCAACACAGTCGAATCAACAACCCACATCACTCAATCATAAGACACCACAAAGCGCCTCTTGGCTGATGGATTGTCACTAAACACAGTCTATGGACTTCATTGACAATGGTGGGTAATGTTGAGATAAATGGGAAGTTGGTGTGTCAAAGGGTCTCAACTTTATTCTTACTTCGAAGCCAACGTGTTCTGTCCCATGCCATGTGCCTCCTTAAAAGTTGAGTTCTTATCACTTTGGGATTGTGTTATAAATAGCCACAACAATAAATACAACTACAACTAATTATGATGATACTCAAAGTAGAGCCACAATACCAATACCCTGCACTGCCTACAGGCTGTGAAGTCACTGCTATATCAATGTTACTGCAGTACTGTTGCAGTAACTTCATCAACAATAACAACAACAACAACAAGAACAACAAGGAGACGATATTGTCATTGGCATCATCATCGTTTACAAAGGAATCATTGGCTCAAAGTGTTGTCAAAGAATGTGATCCAGTTATTATGAAGGATGATGATGATTTGATACCTGTTGGTGGCAATCCTTATAGATCATTCGTTGGCCAGCCCACATCTACTCAATCATTCGGCATGTTTCATACACCATCCTACAAGCTCATCACTGACCTACTCCAACATCATGCCATCGACTCATACTTTACATGTATCAATCTAACAACACAATGCAACTCAACTCAATCCTCATCATTGTTGAACAATGGATACCCTCTACAACTCAATGAGAGTAAAGATTACATTAATGCAAGACTCAATCACTTTAAGGATTGTGATGACAATGACAACATCAATAATGATGATGATGTTAAACTACTCATTGATCATATTGATAAACACAAGATACCAATTGTTATATGGATGACACTTGAACTTAGAGAACCATCTATAACTGATACATGGAGGGATGTCAATGTGCTGGATAACTTTATTCATTGGGTAACACCAGAGCACTGTGCATTGCTGGTTGGATACACTGACAACGAGTACATCATCAACGATCCTCATACTGGCAAAGTGGAGCATTACAACAAACATCTATTCATCAAGAGATGGAGACAGATGGGAAGGCAAGCAGTGACAATCATCCCAACTACATTGTAATATCACATCATAAAGTTTATTCAATATCAAACTTGGTAATAAGTTGGTTGTCCACCATTGGTTAACAATGGTGTAGTGTCATTGGATACATATATCACATGTTGTTGAGGTTGTAGTGGTTGTTGCTTGGCCAAGCATACTGTTGGCGTATCAGATATATGGATTCTCAACTTGATCGCGACATATTTGATATATGACTCCTTTGTCAATTGGAATTGGATACCTCTATGGATGTACCTTTTTGTTATTTCATTTGATAGAATCATCATCCTAGCTAAACTCTATTGATTGGATGGATTGGATTAGTGATTGAATTGATTGATTGGATTGGATTATGGAATGGACTTACATTGGATTTAATAACATGTAATGAATATATTATTACGAATATTATAATTAAACATATTGAAAAGGGAATGAGTCCATATACATAGTTTCCAATTGAGTATTCAAATGCAATTAATCCTACACTAACAATAGCCATAAGATATTGTAAAATATAAAGTGATGCTACTAATTTATGATTGGGCCATAATTGATTATATTGATCCACAATTGAATTATATTCCTCTCTTCCAAAGTAACTCTGTATTTGATCATAATTATGATAAACAAACTTTGGATTCACTACTCCTACAATATCAACATCGTGACAAATCATTTTATAAAATTAATGGTTAGTATCTTTATATTTATGTATATGTATATATATTTGATTGATTGGATAAAGTAAAGTATACATATACAATGTATTATTTATAAATTACTAATTGAGTCTCGTCTCGGAATCTCAGTTCAACTAGTGATGGTCCATCATCCAAAACAAGGTCGTTTTCCCTGATCCACTCTCGCGAGAAAGATGGATATTTTTTTCCGAGATTGATTGAGTACTGGCTATTGTAGGGAAGTTGTAGATGTGGTTGGTTCCCGACCATCACGTCCATACATGTACTTGCGCTCCTCTGCAGAGGGGTCGACCCATGGACTCTGTTTCCTTGCCTCCTCGTCTTCTCTCTCCCATTGTGCAACAGATTGTACAGTCTTGAGTTGTTTGACCCACTTGACCAGGTGAGGAAACTCTGCTTGTAGATCAAGTGATGGCACTCTCACTGGTAGTCTAGCAATCCAAGGATAGATACACATGTCGGCGATTGTATACATATTCGCAGCAACATACTCTCTACCCTCAAGATGACTATCAAGTACATGTAACAATCTTCTCAACTCATTAAAGTACCTTTGGATAGAGTATTCACATTTCTGTTCTGCCTAAGATTGAATGAAAGAATGAATCAAGTGTAAGTATCTGGAACTATTCCATCACTACTATATCAACCTGAACTTACTAAATGATTGAAGTGGACGTATTGACCCATGATTGGACCAAGGTTAGCCATCTGCCAGAAGACCCAGTTGAGACATTCGGTTCGTAGTTTGAATGATGATGTTGGAATGAACTGTTTGTGCTTGTCTGCAAGATAGAGTAGTATGTTGCCACTCTCAAACACTGTCACAGGATCATTGGGATCACTTTTATCAATGATCGCAGGCATCTTTGAGTTTGGATTGATCTTTACATAGTCTGCCGAGTACTGTTCTCCCTTCCTCCAATCTATATTATGATAGATGACCTGATCATCAATACCCAAAGACTTGAACATCAATCTAACTTTGGATACATTCGGTGATTGAGTACCATAGAACTCATAGACTTTGTTATTGTTTGTTGTTGTAGACATTGTAGTTGTTTGATTAGTAAGTTGTTGAATGATGGCTTCTTGTAAGAGTCTTGTAGGACTCATCAAAGGATCTCAAGGGTCCACCTTGTTGGCTTAAAATGGTAATGGGGTGGGGGCAATATCAAGGCCAATCAGCTGATTGGATTGATTTATTGAATCCAGAAGGTGATGTTGGAGGAGTGGAGAGAGAAGAGATATATGTTAACATTATGTACATTCGACAGGATTGATTGGATGGATGGACAAAGATAAAGATAAAAGGGCTAGCACCTTAATAGGCCTCGGGTTTGGGCTTCGAATCGCTAGAGTATATACTGATGATTGAATCCTGAGCACAGGCACCAAGGATGACACTGTGTGGATGGAAGGCAAGCGATGTGACTGGACCAATGCGCTGACCCAAGAATCCTTCGTGATATCTGATGATGCTTATCTCTTCGCCTGCAAAGTTGAGCACTCTGATCTTCTGTGAGAGCGAACCGCATGCGATCAATGGTGCAGAGTCGTGCACACTGAGCGATGAAATCAAACCAAAGTCTGTGTTGAGGATGGTGTTGGATGAGGACTCGCGTCCATGCACCCAGAACTTGATCTCTCCGCTGGCAGCGCCAGAGACGACGGTGCGCTCATGGCTCGATGGCATCGACACGTTTACGATCCATGATTTGTGCTCGGTGAATGTGGCCACACAGCAATGTTTGCTCTGTATCCTGTGATCGAACATCTTGACCACACCGTCCTCAAAGCCTGCGGCGAACAGTGGTCCTCCCTTCTCGTTGGTCAGTGCAGTGATGTTGCCCTGCGTGGGCAGATTGATGTCCTGGATGCAGAGCTCGCGCTCCACGTCCCATATTCTGATCTTGGTAAAGTCTGGCGTCTCGCCACTGATCAATGCCAGGCCGCTGTCGTGCTTCCAATCTAGGACGAGACGTCCGATGGGTTCGGCACCAGTGGTCACGTACTCGGGGAAAGCTCTCCATGCACTGACCATCTTGAGTCGGCCCTCTGGCTCGTAGCCGCGCCACAGACGGACGACGCCGTCGTTGGCCGATGTGATAATCATACTCGCGTCAAAGTCATTGAGTAACTTCATCGAGGTGATGCGTGTGCCTGGCAGATTGCCGTTAGAGAACGTGTTGACACGCGTCGACTCCTCCCAGTTCCACACACTGATATTGTCCTGTCCATCTGATGTGACCAGCAGGCTCTCGAATGGATGGAATGCCAGTAGCGAGACGGGCTGTCCGTTGTTCTCGGAGAAGATGCCAATCTGCGGGAATGACTTGGAGTTCTGATTGATGATGTTCTGAACCGAGTCCAGGGAGTCCTTGACGATGGACTCGTTGCGCTGGTACCTCCACTTCTTCTCCACGGACATGGGCGACTCGAGGTCCTCCTTGGGCTGCATCATTGGCTTGGAGAAGTGTGAGCAGCACCATTCGTAGAAGCTAGAGTACAGCTCATCCTCCTCAAGTATGTTGCCAAGATCGGTTGGGAGCGAGGAGGATATGCCAAGCATGCCGCTGAAGCTCTGTGCCAGGTTGTTGGGTGTGCCATTGGTGCTGCTTCCGAGGTTGCCTTGGATGGGTGAAGCGGGGTTGTTGGGGAGGTTGGGTGAGATGGCGCGCTGCTGGCCCAGCTTGGCCTTGGATGGGGAGCGCGGGTCTTGCTTGGTGATTCGCGATATATTCACAAAGGTGTTCTTGATGCTGGAGGTTGTGGACGAGGTGAGACCTGACGCCGACTTGGTAAGGCTGGGCGAGATGATCTCCTCGGTTGGGAAGAACGACTGGATGCGCTTTACAATCGAGAGAGCACGATGAGACACTTGATCATGGGGATCGCTGCATAGGTTCAGGATGATCTTCCAAAGACATCCATAGACAGAGCTCTGCGAAGATGATTGTCGATTAAAGTCGCTGTTTGTGTCGTCGCTTAGCGAGTCGCCCAGTTTGGCCGTTCTCCTCTTGTTCTTTTTGGCCTCCTCCAGTCGCTTGGCCTCCATCTGCACGCGTAGCTTCTCCTCTTGTGCAATCTCCTTGGCCACATAAAGGAAGTTGGCTTCGTACGCGCTGACGATACGCGAGAGTGAGATGACCAGTTCCTTGCGCACCATTGGTGAGCAGTCGGCTGTGATGACGGGCAGAGTCAGGCCCAAGTTCAGCTCGATGTGTGTTCTTTGCTCGTTGCCCTCGGCACCACCAATGAGCTCGCCCAGTGCATAGACGGCGGCGGCACGCACCTCTGGACAGATATCTGTGAGCAACAGACAGATCTTCTCGTGTGCGTTCTCCTTGATCGCGACGGCCTTGGCCTCCTCAAAGTTCTCCCACATCTTGGCCAGACAGAGGATCATCCAGCGACGTACCATTGGGTCCAGGTCATTGATCTGGGCCAAACACACGGGCATGAGACCGCCAATCAAACAGGCGTTCTGTCCTGGGCGACAGTTGTTGCAAATGGTCGAGAGAACAAAGGCCGACATTGTTCGTTGATCGGCCGGCACCATGGGCGAAGAGATGACCGAGATGAAGTAGGCATGTCCATTCTCCTTGACCAAGTCAAGCTGGCAGGACTTGTCCAGTGCCAGGATCTTGGCCCAGATAAACACGAGGATGTGACGGAGATCACCGGCAGGTGACTGTAGAAGTTTGAGCACGTAGGGGAAGATACCGACGCAGAGTGCCAGGTTGACCGCCCATGGGCCCAAGTCCAGGAACTTGCCCAGCAACACGAGTGCGCGCAGTCTGTGTGCCTGGCTGAGCAACACCTGCAGCACGATCGGAAGCTGCGCGGGTGGCTCCTTGTTCTCGTGGCCAAAGTCCAGCCACACCTCAAACGCTGTCAGCTGCTCTGTGAAGAACGGACTGGACTTGAACTCGGCGGTGGGGTCTGCCAGAAGCGTGGGCAGCTGTGAGATGACCAGGTCGGCGGCCAGGTCCCACGCCTGCCACATCGGGTGCTGGTATGTGGGTGGCAGCTTGGGGCAGGAGATAGGCGTGCAGTTGGCTGAGCGCATGATACGCTCGGCCAGCAGGTAGTTGCGGAACAAGCTGGCCACGAGCAGGTCCTGGCGGAAGAGCTTCTGGAACAGGTTGCGTGGCAGTACATTCCAGGCGATCGTGTCAGTAACTGCCGTGAAAATCCAGTTCAGCTCGCCGAGGGGCGTGCGGCGACTGCTGAGGTTGCCAGGCAGGCGATCAAGCATGTCGGGGGTGATGCCAATAAGTATCGAGTGCGAGCAGAACCACCGCAGCGCTATCCTGATCGGTGTGGTGAGACAGGCCGTGAATATATCGGCGGGGAAGTCGGGGTTCATCGGAAGTATCTCGTTGGCTGAGCAAGCTGCCAACAATATACAATCGTGAAGATGTGAGCCGACCGGCTGTTGTTGCTGCTGTTGTTGCTGTTGCTGCTGTCCAGGGGGTGCGCCGTTTGGCGTTGGTGGGGCGGCAGCGGCCATTGCGCGCTCTGCCTCTTTGTCGCGCTGCTCCGCAAACTTGTTGAACCAATTCACGATCAGACCTGCCGCACTACAATCAAACACGTAGATGGATGGCGTGCCCATCCAGGTCTGCAGCTCATATATAGACAGCGGAATGTACTGTGTGTACGTGCGATTGAACACCCAGATCTCGCCGTTGGTTGTCGGCTTTGGCACGCCGTGGCCGTTGAAGTGAAAGAGCACTCGCTCGTCCTTGGCATTGCGTCGAAGCGACAGACACAGCTTCTTGACCTCCTCGACCGTTGGGTCAAGACACTGCTTGTACCTTGCCTTTGACTGCCACTTCTCGTACTGCTCCTGCAGCGTCTTTCCGATCAGGTCCAGTGCCTTTTGTGGCGGCTGTGAGCTCTGTGGGTCGATCCAACACTCCATCCTTGCACAAGGATATGTCTTGATCACATCGGGAGGGTCAACACCAATGTTTAAACATAATACCAATGCTACGCTAACAGTCTTCATCTGTTTATGGTTGATCGATTGATTGAGTGAGTGAGCGAGTGATGTTCAAGTCGTGCCAATCATCATGTACTTACTCTCTCCCTCATTCTCCACTTTGATATCTTGGTGCGAGCTTGGTCGGGCGTGGCGTTGTCCTGATGTCGCTCATCAGTGTAGAACGCCTTGGTCTTGGGATACTCCTTCTTCTTGAGATTGTTATTGTTGTTGTTCATGTTGATTGAAGGGTTTCTCTGATGTTGATGATGATGTTGTCTTTCGTAGTGATGTCCGCTGCCACTGCCACTGCCATGTGTTGGTGTGTTTCCAGTAGCTGGACTGTTACCAGTGCTGCTACTACTATGACTACTCCCCAGACTACCATCTGAGCCACTTGCACCCAATACACCAGGTGGTACAGCACTAGCTACACTTGTTGTACGATTATTATTATGAACTATCGATGATGAATGTGTTAATCTAACATTGTTGTTGTTGCTATTATTATTATTGTTATTATTGTTATTGTTGTTGTTGTTATTGTTGTTGTTGATGTTATCCATTGTTAATTCATAATGTACAATCTTCTGTTTGGAACCTCCAACAGCAATGTGATGTGATGTGTGATTGATTGAATGATGATAAGTTATACAGTATCAATCAATCAATCGTATATATTAACTAAAGGATATATATGTATGTATGTATTAATATCTCTGACGTATCTCTATCTGTCTGTTTTATCATCTAACATTGACTCTCTCACGTCCAACTACATCAAGTTCAGATCTTTGTTGTGGATGGTGACCTGCACACACCAAAGTTTGAAATAATTTTACAATGAGCCATTTTCTCCCATAATAACACTTCTTGTCAAAGGTTTGACGACAACACTTGGTCATCAACTCGATCACATTACATTATTTAACAATTACTACACACTACATATATATACATACAAGATGTTCGCTGCATCAGTGGCTCATTTGAGGAAGTTTGCTACAAGCGCTTCAATTAGGTATGTTTACAGCTGTGATCAATCAATCAAACGATCAAACGATCGACCAATCAAACGACTGACATAGGTTCGATGTTGATGATATTATAGAAACATTAGAAGACAGAGACTGCAACAAAAGGTCGCTGAGGATAGAAGAAAGGTTAATAGACCAGAAAGACCTCAATCAAAGTTCCTGCGAGAGATCTTCCAAACATCAGAGTATGTAAACATGATTGAACGAATGATTGAATCAACGATGTATTGTTACTGACACGACGGCACATTTTAGGCAACCAGCTACACCAACCAACTAAACAGCACTGGATCAAGCTACATGCTTGTTGATCGAATAAATATAGCGTAATACTCAAACATTGATTGAATGATTAAATGATTGTTGGATGCGAGCGATGGAGCGAACGAAAGATAGATACAATAGAAGCGACGACAGAAGTACTACACCTATGCCACTTCATTCTTTATGATCCACTCTTCGACTACATCATCAAGGATATCGAGTGGCAGAGCTCCAGACCCAAGGATAACACTGTGGAATTGTTTGAGCGAGAACTTGGAACCAAGACGAGTCTGTGCACGCGTCCTCAACTCTACGATGCGCAGCTGACCGATCTTGTAGGAGCAGGCTTGGCCTGGGAACACGATGTAGCGCTCGACCTCACTTACACAGTCGGCCGTGTTGATGCCCGAGTTGGCCTGGAGGTAGTCGATGGCTTGCTGTCTCGTCCAACGGTATTGCGATGCGTGGATGCCCGTGTCGACGACCAGTCGCACGGCGCGCCACAGCTCGAATGCAAGGAAGCCCAGTCGCTCATACTTGGTGGTGTACCAGCCGGCTTCATCGGCCAGTCGCTCCACGTACAGTGCCCAGCCCTCAGCGTAGGCATTCAGCACTAGCAAGCGGCGGAATATATCGATGCCCTTTAGCTCCTGTGCCGTGGCAATCTGGAAGTGATGGCCTGGCGTGCCCTCATGGTAGGCCAGATCCTTCATATTGATTCGTGTATGAGTGTCTGTGCTTCGCAGGTTTGCGTAGAATATGCCTTTGGCGCTCTGTACACGCGAGGGGAGAGGAGTGGGTGAGTGGAATGATTCCTTGATTAATCTTTCGATGGATCAATCAACTTACCCTATCCATGGGTGGCGGCTGGTAATGAGCAATGGGAGCGTTCTCCTCGCGGTAGATGGGCACTCGTTCGACCTGCACTTGAGCCTTGGGCATAGATTCAAAGAGGCCGGGCAGTCGATGCTCGACGTCCTCCAAGATGGCCGCGTAGTCTTTGATGATTGCGGCACGTCCCTCCTCGTTGGACGAGTAGAGGAATCGTTCCTCTTTGTAAATGGCACGTAGTATATCGCCAAACTCATCTGGCTTGCTGGCCAACTGCGGATACTCATCTTGCAGTAACTCTATGATCTCGCCACGGATGCGAGAAACCTCCTTCAATCCCAGCTCATGGATTTCCTGCGCAGACATGTCTGTTGTAGTGTGGACTCGTAGGAGATATGTGTAGAGGTCGTCGCGACCTGCGTCGTTGGCGTCGTCGCCAGCGGAGATCTTCCATATTCCATCGTCGTCGTTGCATTTGGTGTCGTGCATTCTCTTGAGGTGGTCGCGTAGTGTGCGGAACGATGGGATGAAGACGTTGACCAACGCATTCTCCAGTGTGATGAGGTTGTGCTTGGCGGCGGCGCGGGTCAGCTTGCGCGCATCCTCCAATGTCTTGAGATCCTTGGCAAACTTGACCATCAGGAAGAAGCTGTTGTCGAACTTGGCCAGCAGCTTTCTCTCGATCTGCTTGATGGCTGCCGCCACGACGAAGCGTGGCGGAATAATGCCACGCTCCTCTCGCGCCCGCAGGTCCGCAATCAGGCCATCGATATAGCGGCCAGAGTTGTTGACTCGTTGGATGTAGCGCGAGGCGTCGCTCAGAGTCACGATCTGTTGCTTGGACAGTATCTCAATGAAGGCCAGATGGCCGCCAAACAGCTGGTTGCAGCTATAGAGCACGGGCTGGTTGAAGTATAGTGGCGCGGGGTACTGCATGAGCTCGTAGCCGCGAATGACCAGCTGCAAGTAACTCTCGATCACGCGATAACTTAGTCGTGTGGCGGGTGAGGCTGTTGCCGTGTGGGCCTTCCAAGTCTTGAGCAAGGCCATGTTGCCAACGAGCTGGTCGTACTGCGCGCGGTATGTCTCTGGGCGCAGATCGTCCACCTCGCCATTAGACACAGTGATGAAGCGATCGAGCAGGCGCAGGTGTGTGAGCAGGAAGTAGTGATGCTGGATCAGGTCGAGGAAGATGCGCAGTGTCAACAGACTAAAGTGGAAGGGGTTGGCATATAGGTTTGGCAGTATATACATCATCAATGGTATCAACAATGTACACCATATTGTAATGAATCCAACACTATAACTATCTACTAATATCCAATAATGAATGATTGATGCCAACAATGTAACAAATAATACTCCAATTGATATTATGGCCATCTTGGCCATTGTCACTAAAGGTATCATCTTTGATTGTTTGTTTGTTTGTGTGTATATATATATTATTATTATTGTTGTTATCTCTATCTCTATCTCTAGAGACTTAGGTTGATCAACATTGAATGAATGATTGGATGAATGAATGTAGTAGCATGACACCTCTTTGATCATCGCCATCATCAATCAATCTGGCCCCCACACGCATCCCCTCAGAGTTCCCACACAGGTTCCAAAAAGAGATACTTGTTCTGATGGCATCGAAAAAGAGGGTGTGGTTGTGATTGATAATGATCAAAGTGTAGTTTAGTGAGTGTGAAAGTCCAAACAAGTAAACCAGAACTAAATTAATACTTTGTATCCATAGTTATACATATAATCCTAAATAGTACTCTACTACTTTACCTAGTTATGATTACCTTTTCCAGATGATCACAACCAGGCTTTCTTTGGAGAATAGGTAAAGTATAAATAATGATTGATCAATCACATTATATATCACAATAACAACAACAACAACATCATCTACAACTATATTTTATCTTATAAACTATCTTATTAATTATTATTTACCACTAAACAATCAATCATGACTGTCCTTGGTATGTATTTTCTTACCAGATACTAAGGGATGATTCCATTGTCTAACCAACCTTTTCATTCATCACAACTATTTAGCCAACTTGAAGAACATTGCCAACCCAATCGGTGCTCTCCATCAATCATCGTCGGTGGTGTCTGGTGCCACATCAACATCATCCCAGTCCAACAACAAGGTTGCATGTTGCTTTGGTCGTAGGGTCGCCCTCAACTTTGGTCTGGCTCTAGGTGGAGGTTGTGGATGTGGTTGTGGATGTGGAGATGATGACTTTGACGGCTTTGATGGCTGTGATGGCTTCGACGACTAGGCCCATGTTTACCATACCAGCCAGCATCCATGGACACCACTCAGCTCAGCTCAACTCCAACAATCACGCAATAAACATACACAAAGGTGTCCACACATATTGATCCAAGTTTATTCGATTAGATGAGTGACTCCTTGATTGGCATCATGTTATGGGATGATGATGATGAGGCTGTTGAGTCACTGGGTGCCGTGGAGAGTGATGGTAGGTTTGGCGAAGAGTTGGTTGGGGAGTCCATGAGTTGGAGCACTTCAGATGGTTTGCCAACCTGTTTGATACGTCCATCACTCATCAACACAATCATATCATAGTCGACAATGGTATTGAGTCTATGTGCAATGGTGATCACCGTTGAGTTATGGAACTGCTCTCTGATGGTCTTTTGAATGACCTCATCTGTCTCCATGTCCACGGCAGCCGTCGCCTCATCCAGCGCAATGATCTTGGACTTCCTGAGCAATGCCCTGGCCAGCCAGACACAACAACTGACGTTGTCCAACCGAGAAGTTGCCGCCGTCCTCTGTGACCAGTGCGTCAAGGCTCTTGATTTTATCCTTCATGTGAACTCGCTCCAGGATGTCCCAGATCTCAGAGTCTGTCGAGCTGTCGAATGGATCAAGGTTGTAGCGTAGTGTGCCTGCGAACAACACTGGGTCCTGTGGGATGATGGACATTTGAGTTCGCAAGTCTTGTAGGCCGATCTTGGAAGTGTCGTAGCCATCGATCTCGATGTATCCCTCGCTGGACTCGACCAGCCTGAACAGACCGAGAAGTAGTGAGCTCTTTCCTGCTCCAGTTCTACCGCATATGCCAACCTTTGAGCCTGGCTCGATCGACAGATTGATGTTGGACAGTGAGGGTGGCAGCTCGGGACGGTACCTCATGGAGTAGTTCTTGAATGTTATCCTGCCTGCGTTGGGCCATGATGGGGGCACCTGGTTGTCCTTGACAAAGGCAGGGGCCTCCTTTGTCAGATCGCAATAGTGTTGAAGACGCTCAACACTGTTCATCTCAGTCTCGACGAGTGTGAACTGGACAAACATCCAGTTGAGCTCGCCAGTCATGGTAACGGCGTAGGACAGAGCAAGGCCGATAAGTGCGGGCGAGAGATGGCCACGGAGGAATGTGGCTGAGAGGGCGGTGCATGCGACGAACGCCGAGCACAGGATTCCAAGTCGGAGGAATGCCCATTGGCTGACCCACTCCTCTGAGATGGTCATACGTGTGTTCTCATCGACCTTGTCCATCATGAGTTTGAGGAATCTGTCTGAGGATGAGTAGGCGCGGATGATCTGCTGACCTGACAATGTCTCGGTAAAGTGCGAGATGACCGGGGAGAGAGTGACCGATGTGAGACGCTGTAGCTCTCGCGCGTTGTTGATGAACCAGTTCTTGAGCACCCACATGCAGATGGCAATGGGTATCAACAGGACGAGGACAATTGGCGATGCGATGGCGATCATTATGATGATGGCCATCACTCTCATGAATGAGTCGTTGGAGCTGCGCATAGAGTTGGGCAGCGCGTCATCCAGCTTGCTGACATCCTTGCTGAATCGATTGATTATACGTCCTGAGGGGTTCTGGTCAAAGAACTGGATGGGTGAGTTGAGCACGTGGTCCAGCGCCTGCTTGTGGTAGCCTTGGCTGGCGGACAGACCACCAAACATGCTGAGCAGCGAGATGAGGAAGACGCACAACGACATACCAATGGATGACAGGAAGTAGATGCCGAGGTAGTAGAGCAGCGAGGGATGGTCCTTCTTATCCCACTCCTGTGACCAATGCGTGAGCCACCAGTTGCCAAACACAGATAGGCCAGGTGCCACCATCGACAGGATGAACGTCATGGATACAAAGCCGACACCAATCTTTCCGAGGTAGGTCAGGTACTCCTTGTAGGTGACCTTACCAGTGTTCCTCTCCTCTTCGATGATGAGGTCATCATCGTCGTCCTCGTCCTCTTCTTCCTCTTCCTCTTCGTCTTTCTTCTCCTTCTCCTTGCGCGCCTCGTCCTCCTTCTTGGCCTCGGCGTTCTTGAACTGGTAGATCTCCCAGCTCTCCTTAGACAGCTGGTCGTACTTGCCAATGTTCTCAACGCGGCCATCGCTCATCGTGATGATCTGGCTCGAGAACTCGAGTGGGAACAGCTGGTGTGTGACCAAGATCACGGTCTTCTTGGGCACCAGGGGGAGAATGGCCTGCTGGAACACAGACTGCGCGACGTGGATGTCGAGAGAGGCAAGTGGGTCATCGAGAATGAGTATCTCAGCGTCGTTGTAGACAGCACGGGCGATGGACAGACGCATCTTCTGGCCACCGGACAGGTTGATACCCTTCTCGCCAATCTGGCTCAGGTCGCCTTTGGCAAGAAGCTCGATGTCCGGCTGCAATGAGCAGACATTTAGTGTGTGTTGGTACTTCTCCTCGTCGTAATCGCTTCCAAACAGCACGTTGTCGCGTAGAGTTCCGTTCATTATCCATGGGAGCTGGCTAACGTATGCCACTGTTCCAATACGTGACAAACCGCCCTTGACAACGGTCATGTCTCCGAGCATTGCGGACAACAAGCTGCTCTTGCCACTACCCACTGGACCGACGACGACTGTGAGCGATCCTTGTGGCACGCTCAAAGTGATGTCTGTGAGACAGGACTCCTCCACCTTGAATGGATCGTCCAAGCCATCACGATTGTTGATGCTGACGTCGTCATTGATGAGTAGGTTTTGCTTGGACTCATCCTTGTCCTTGCCCTTGCCCTTGGCTTTGGAAGATTGTTTCTTCTTTGACTTGGAGGCCGAGTCATCTTTGTCTTTGTCGTCGCCACTCTCATCGTCCTCCTCATCAACAGCATCGACCTCCTTCCAGATGAAGGATGCGTCTGTGATGGACAATGCCAGGTTCTTGGTCTCAAAGTCCGGGTCAACAGTTCCAAATGATGTTGTACCCGACAATGATTCGAATGGCTTCTCCAACTCCTTGTTCCTGAGGAATGTCTCTATTCTCCTAACAGACACCATTGATACTGATGTAGTAGCAATGACATGTGGTAACAGACTATATGATGGAGTGGAGGTTAGGCAAAGTCATAGAGTGGTTGGTTGATCATTCATAACATGACATACCTTAGAGGGAATTGGATGATGAAGAATAGTGATAGGGAGGCAATGATGATGCTCATGTCCAATTGATTGCCAAAGAGTGCGTAGACACAGTAGGTGGTAACTGTTACAAAGTCTGGAAGTAGGAACCACAACAGATATAGGAATGAGTTGAAGATGAACATCTTCCTATACTGCTTGACCTCCTCACTACGCAACATCATGATCCTGTCGTACATCAACTTCATCCATCCGTAGAACTTGAGTACTCTTATGCTCTACATGTTGTTGGTTAGTCAATGATGATGGAGGATGGAGTGAGGGAGTGGGTAGTTCTTACATTGATGGCCTCGGCGACCTGGCTTGTCCTGACATCCTTTCTCTTCATCACTTCAGTGGCAAGGTCAGACTGTTTGATGGCAGAGTAGATATTCAGGGGGACGAACAGCAACAGTGTACTGAAGCCTATCAGTGCACTGTAGCCAAGTAGTCTATAGAGTAGATATACGGATGCTAAGCCATTGATTGTTGTATGTTAGTTGATGTGAAGTGGAGTGAGGTGGAGTGAGATGGAAATGGACATACCGAGCATTTGGAATGGGATGGTCATTGCAAAGTGGACGAACTCGATCATGGCGGCAACGGCGTCCACATCCACTGTGATAAGGTTAACAAGGTTTCCTTTTCCTTTGTTATCCTTCTCTCTAGTGGCATTGGATATAGATAACTAATATTGATCATGTCATTGATCATGTGATTGATTGGAAGGAGAAGTTAGAGGATGATTGATTGATTGAATGAATGGACATTATACTTACAGACTTCTTATAAATGGCTGATGTCAGGGCTGACCTAACGTTGAAGGCTACACGATATACTCTATACTCCCACAGGCCCAACAAGAATGTGTTGAGCAAGTAGGCCAATAGAAGGAAGGCTGTGTATACCAGACCATGCCAGTATGGTTCGTCCTTGTCCTCCACAAAGTTGGTCTTTTGGAATAGTTCCAGGCCAGGTCAAATGGTTAGCAATCCATATTTGATTGATTGATTGAATAAAGAAATGAGACATACCAACTTATAGATCATCAGTGGATAGACGTATTCGCTGGCGTCGGCACCAAGCTTGAGAAGAAAGGCTGTATGGAACTTCCAGCCGTACTCAGAGTTGAGTGCTCCGAGTAGTGAGCGACCCTTGTACTTGTCTTGGGTGGTCGATGTATGTGGATTCCAGTAATGCTGGAATGACTCGTAGAGTGTTGAAGCCTTATCACATTGACATATAGGATAGACATCCTCACTCATCAAAGGCTTCTTTACACCAATCTTCATCAGCTTCGACATGAAGTGGAATGTTATAATCGAGAAGATGTTGGCATTCTCCTCTGGATTGGTCTTCTACATTGTCAAAGATATTTGGAATACAAGTATGTTAGACAAGGTCTAGGTTCATAGATTGAATGATTGATTGATTGATTGGACACATACATAATCATCTTTGGACGTGCCCAAAGCATTGAGCGATACGTAGGAAGACGACATGTTTGATTGAATGGATGGATGGATGGGGAAAGTTAAGGTTGTTGACGGACCGAGGCTTTCTTAGTTCTTCGGTCGGCGTCTAAGATGTTGTTGTTGTTGTTGTTGCTTATGCCCAAGATGGATGGACAAAGTGTTTAAATATGTGTATCAATTCGTTGAAGACTTGTCGGATGTTTCCCGGTTTCAAGGTCGAGTACCAATGTTAAGTACTGAGTGGTACCAATGGTGCGGAGTCTCCTTCTTTGTTGATGTTGTTTAAGTTGTTGTAGACGTTTCCGAGAAATTGATAAGATTGAATCTTTAGGAGATATGATGGTTGCGCGTGTGATTAAGATCTTATAACTCACTCAGTCTTGCATTGATAAGAATGAATGACCTATTCAACTACTACTTGTACTTGTGTTTTAAACTTAGGAAGAAGAGGAGGATGATATGATCATCTGATGGATGATGTATGATTGGCGAAATGAATGAATTAATAAATGAACTGACTGAACTAAATGTTCATTCCTTCATTTCTCTCTGTTGTCTGGCTCTCTCTCTCAGGTGTGTTTGTTTCGTCTGTTCGGGGTTACGGATTCACCCCCACATCTCACTAATTCGTGGTGTTATTGGTGTGTGACAAGTGAAGTGCGTGTGTTTGGAGCGAGCCGGTCCAAGCGAGGCATAGTCGACTCTGAATAATGAGATTGTTTGGTTGGTTGTTGGACCACCCACCTTTTAGAAGGTGATGCTAGCTGGCTGGCATCATCACATAAGAATTGAATCATTATCCCTTATTACCTTGTATTAATAACTCGTCATCAATATATAGAATACGACACTTTGGTTTTCTAAAACACCAATGATGTTATCAAGATGATACATTGGTTGATTTAATATGAAAGCTATCATCAATGTAATAATAAGTTAATGTTATTACATTTGTAGTTTGACCTATGATTGTAAAACAGATATTTAGTCTTCCATTGACCTCGCCCACAACGACCATATTTTACTAAAATGTGTTCGAACAAGATGAGATCGACGACGGAACATTCCGAAAGAATGTTCATTTCAATTCTGAAACTATAAACTATATTTATATTATACTTATAATATTACTTATACCATTACTTAAATAACTTTGATTGATTGATCAGAAGTCATTGTTTGAAGAAGAATAGAGATATAAATGGATTCATTATCAGTCTTGAACAACGTTGTTTACACAAAGAAGAATCTTAAGCTTTATGCTAGACGTGCTGAAGTCAGAGATGTTGATCGTTTGAGTAAGTACTTACTTTGATTGAGTGATTGATTGATTGAGCGTACGAGTGAATGAATGAATGACTAACATGTAACAAACAACACAGCACAAATAATCAATTGGGCTTATAGAGGCAAGGATGGCGCAAACCCATGGACAACAGAGTCTCACTTGGTGGAAGGCAGAAGGATAACTGAACCATTGTTGGAGAAGGAATTGTCATCTGATCAGAATGTAAAGTGCATATTCTTGGTGGAGACCATGCCAGAGGAGGAGGGCCAGCAGAGGGAGATTGTTGGAACGATCAAGATCGAGAGAGACAATGCAACAGAGACATCGGCAATGATTGGAATGTTTGGTGTCGACCCATCGATGCAGAGCAATGGCGTGGGTGGCGTGCTGTTCAAGTTGGCCGAGGAGTATGTCAAGACGATGTGGCATGCAGATCGCGCTGTCCTGCACGTCATCTCAACACGTGATGAACTGCTGGCGTGGTACAATGCCATGGGCTACAAAGCAACCGGTCTGCTCATTCCATTCAACAACACTGTCAAGAATGATCGACCCAAACTTGATAACCTCTGCTTCAGCGAGTTGGTCAAGCCACTACTGTAACATCGATGATGGTTGGCTCGCTCATTCATTCACACAAGCTCATTATTCACATGACTTGATATCATCTTCATTCATTCATTCATCGGAATGATTTGGAATAAATCAGATTGATCTGGTACCATATAATATTGAGATTGATTTGGAATGATTCCAGTGTGTGTCAAACATTAATTAATACCAAGTAAGGGAAAACGAATCTGATTGTTTCCACGAAGTTGGCGCCATTTTAATTGATGACCATGTTTACAAAACACATCTAACAATGAATGAAACTGATCAAGTTCACTCCCTCAATCAATCATACATACATACATAGATCAACTACTCAATCAATCAATATGTTGGATGACTCTTCAGTAGATGTCACTCCGATAAAGAGAAGACCATTATCATTATCGGATATAGGCAATGATGAAGATGATGACATATGCCCAACACAAGCACCAGCCCTAGATACCTCTATCTCTGATGACAACAATAACAATAATAACGACAACAATAACAATACATCATCATCGTCACAGGGTGCTACTGATACTTCACAGATATGGGGAGAGTTGCTATCACTTGGTGACAAGGTATCCACTGTCAAACTATCCGAAGAGTCCTTGGTCGTCGGCCGTCTAAAGACATGCAACGTGACCATACCAGAGATGGTAGTGAGTGCCAAGCACTGTCGTCTATTCAAAAGGAATGACTCCATCTTCATTCAAGACCTGAGTACAAGTATGCATACTCGATCAATCAACATCTGGAATCGTTCCAATCACTCATACTCACTCACTAAATCAATCAATCATAGATGGTACATTCGTCAATGGAAGACCTGTTGGACGTGGCAACCTGCAAGTTGTGAAGAATGGAGATACAATCAGTTTTGCCAGCGCATCGACGGACAATCAATTGGCATACATGCTCAGGGATATGAAGTTGGATCAGAAACTACCTCAGCAGGTGTGGCAGACACTCGCCAGGAAGAAGATATTGACCGACTATGATATCATTGGTGAGCTGGGTCGTGGAACATTCAGCGTGGTCTATCTAGGCGTGAACAAGAACAACGCCACAAAGGTGGCAATCAAGGACATTGACTTGGCCAAATACCAAGGCAACCCAAGATACATGAACCAACTCAATCGCGAGATTGACATCCTACGCTCAATCAGACATCCCAACATTGTACATATCCATGAAATATTCCAGAGTGATCAACATGTCTTTATCGTCATGGAGTTGTAAGTTTACATCATGGTCCAAGGTCCATCCAATCACTCACATTGCCATCCATCCCATCACACAGGGCCACTGGAGGCGAGTTATATGAGAAGCTGGAGAATGACGGATCATTGAGCGAGAGTGATGCCAGACTGATATTCATTCAATTGCTCAAGGCTGTGGAGTATCTGCACTCACTTGGAATTGCACATCGTGACCTCAAGCCTGAGAACATCCTGTTTGACTATGACCAGGCCAATCCACTACATGTCAAGGTTACCGACTTTGGATTGGCACGTGTAATTGGTCAAGGAGAGTTGGCCAAGACACTATGTGGCTCGCCACTCTATATTGGTATGATTCGCCTCATTCAATCATTCATCCGATCACTAACACTCAATCCAATCAATCCAATATAGCGCCAGAAGTTATTGTATCAAAGACCAAGAGTTACGCAGTGGCAGACTTTAACAAAGGTTATGGATTCTCATGTGATGCATGGTCACTTGGTGCACTGTTATATGTTATGTGAGTGTGTCCATGGCCTCGATCACTACCATTCATTCATCACTGACACCATCACATCCCAACACATGTATAGATTGAGTGGCGATCCACCTTTCGACGATGACTCTGATCAGATGACATCCACACCAACAATATTTACACAGATAATGTCAGGAGACATATCGTATCCAGAACATATTTGGAATGAATCATTGATATCAAAAAATGGTAAGTGGAAGAAGTATGGAGTGTGAATGATGGATGACCATACTAACAACATTATTGGCAGCTCAACACTTGGTAAAACGATTATTGACAGTTGATCCAAATGAGCGTATTACAATCAAGGAGGCATTGAATCATCCTTGGATCACTACAGACCCATCATCATCGTCATCAACCACCATAACTACCAACTCTACTATTATTGACAGGAAGAGATTGAAGATGTCTGGAGGTTTAGAAAATGATGATGAAGACTACGATGGAGCGGATGATCCAACAATCAAGAAGATGAGGACCATTATGGAATAAATCGCCATAACTCATGAGTTACTTCGCGTGCATGTGCGTGTGCGTGCCAACCTCAACCATGTATGTATTTATATGTGATCTTATCTTACCATCATCATCAACATCAACATCATTGTACATCTCCGTACATCTCGGACATGTTGTTGTTATCTCTTTTGGTGCAAGGTATTAATTACTGTCATTCCTGACTACTTATTTACTTACTTCATTGTTGGGGCGGGAAGATTGGGACTCATGAGCTACATCCATTCAATCATTCAATCATTCAATGACTTCATCATCAAACCCAACATACCTCCCCATTTTCCCCAACAAACCAAACCTGCCTACACCACACTCAAGTCTGAGGACTTGATCAAAATGATCACCCCATGCATCTCGTGTTGGGGTGGAGGTCGGATGGTCAGCCAGTCCAATAACGCTTCAGTGAACTGATCAGTGAAATGTGTGATCCAGATTTTGCATCTCAGCCATTTTTGGTGATGGATCAGGTGCGGTCTGTCCAAACTTATTCTACTCGAGCTCACTACCTCCACACTTCAGGGGGTCATATCATGGCTGACACAAGGACACTGGATGCAGAGGCTCTTTCATTGTGCCGTGTCGCCCCCTAATCATATTCAATTATCAAAGACACCCAACAACAATCAACTAACAAATTAGAACTTGTCTACTTAAAGAGGAAGGAGCCGACCTTATGTTTGAGGCCAGTGTGTGAGAGTGACTCTGTGTTGCTGATAGGTTGGTAGTGGGGACAATGGGGGGCGTATGGCTGTCCACAGAAGATCAGGTGATTGTTGTCCTTCCTGATAATCACCGCCTCATCCTGAGAAGAAGGAGGTGGGGGAGGCAGTAGATATTGCAACTTCATTTTGTTGTTGTTGTTGTTGGTGATTGTTACCTCATTCATATTGTTGGAGCCAGCTATCTAATTCAGATCAGGCCCACTATCCACATTCATTCACCAATAACAATAATATAACATAGTGTACTATTACTATTACTACTTCTTATTTCATATTAGGTAGATAGATTACTTGATACGATACAGGAACACATCAACAACAACAAATAATTGCAAAGAAGACGAAGAGGACGATGCTTAATTGATTCGATCTTCCGTTAATTGCACGCCCACCAACATTAATCAATCAATATCAGCAGCAGTACTATCCACGTTCATTCATTCAATCATTCAATCAAACGCATTGTAGGTATAAACACACAATCAATCAATCAAATAATCACAGTCACTTCAATCATCATCATCCACACCCAACCAATCAAACACATATAAATGATACAACAAGTTGGTAAGATACTTCGGCATTGAGTATTGGACCAAAGTATCTGAAAACAATAATGACGGCAGAGACGGAAGTAGTAAAGTCAGCAGCAAACTTTGCAATCTTCCACAACCACACACACACACTCATATGTCTGATCGTGTAGACGGATGTTGTTGGTAGGCCAGTCATAGAAGAAGCGCCGGCGCCACAATCAGGTAGTCTTCTTGGCGGACCGAGAACAGTCATTAGTCATTACTCGATGGTCATACTCCACCCAATGGTTGGTGAATAGCCTCATCATCGATCCATCCAACCATCCATCATCCAATCAGGACGCCATCCATCCAAAACACACACAGACACAAAACAGAACGTACGAAAGTGGTCCACTCTCCCTCGTGCGAGCCACCCCACCCATCATCCAATCAGCCCGGACCTATCAATCACCAAAACATCTCCCATTTTTTTAATTTTTAAAGTTGTTGTGTTTTCATTAATGATGAATCAGACTGCAAAGCAACCAGGACATCGCCCGACCGTCGGTAGCCTTCCAAATCCATACCAAGCTATTACTTTCTTCCGTAACTTGCTTGCTTGTTTCTTGCTCACTTCTGCTTGCCTTTGTTTGTTGATGCATACTTGTTTGTTAATTCATTCATTCATACATTAGGTTGGCGGGAGATATCTCCCATCAATCACATCACCAGCACACATTTTTAACTTATTTCCCATCATGATGTGAGAGAATCCAATGGACGATTTGTTTTGTTTCTGTCTTTCTTTCTTAGTTTGTATGTATGATGTTGTTGATGGGGCAAGAATCAGGAGACGATTTTATTTTGTTGGAATCTTGGTGGATCATCAGACAACGGTCGTCGTCAGTCTGACTGACTGCTTGACCTTACCTCGTGTTAGAATTCCACCACCACTTTCGTTCGACCATTCCAACAGTCGCGCGCGTATCGAACATATTCATTTCATTCATTCATTCATTCAACAACATCTGAAAGACCCCTGATCAGAGATACATAATACATATATATATTATTACTCATTCATTCAATCAATCGATCATTCAATCTTTTGAACAAGATAAGGTTGTGACTTACTGATTGACTGACTTATAAACCAAACATCAAGTTACAGCATAGGAGCAACAGAGAATATATCGCGATAACATATAATATTATACAAGGTATGAATAAGAATACAGGATACAGCCAATACAACATTATCAATATCAATATCAACATCAATCACACCAACACCAAACACCAAACATCAAACACCAATACCTTTTATTTATTTATAATAATAATAATATTAGGTGGCAATCAGTGATTGGATCTGATTGTATTTTGGTTGTAAGTTGTCCATGCCCTTGGATCGATTATGATTACACATATACATTATATATACAAATATGGATTGGATTAAATCCAGAGCAGAGTGTGTATTTGTTATATATATGTGTGTGTGTATGTTCATATTATAACAACACAAACACAAGCACATATACACATATACGCCGTACACACGTACGCACACCAAGCGATACAACTTGGAATGCATTGGGTTCCACTTGAGCAAGCGGTCAACTCTATATATTGTGTTGTATAATTATTATTGTTGTTGTACTACAGAGGTGCTCACTCAACCAAACATTCATTCATTCATTCCGTTCATTCATTCATTCTTTCAATCAAACATTCATTCCATTATCCATATCAATTCAGCCAGTCAGCCAGCCAGTCAGCCAGTCAGTCATTCAGTCAGTCAGTTCGGTCACTCTCCAGTTTCATAATCCAAAGGTACCAACCAACACCACTATCATCATCAGTCCAACTCCAATCAAACTCCAGCCTAGCTAGCCAGCTATCTTTTCCCAGTCATCAAGTCAGTCAGTCAGCCACAGTATTTCAGTCAACAACAAAGCAAAGTCAAGCCAACAAGCCCCCACTCAGTCAATCGCACAAGTGTGGAAGTGGGTTGTTGGTGTGATATTACCTCCGTTAAATCTCAACATCCACCCTATTCACTTCAACAACAACAACAACAACAACAACAATATATTGTAGCAACAATCAGTTTAGGCCTGTATTGTGTCATTCAACAGCCAGTAACAAACAACAACATCATCAATATCATCATCACCTCTATCCACCCCTGCATTTATGAGAGGAAACATTCCAGAGGGCCTGTTGCTTGTGTGTACCAGCAAGCACAAGCAATCAATACTCACACCTCACACATAATATTGCCAATATCCTCATCACATCAACAATCAAGTGTATCCTTTGCCAAATGTGTGTGTGTGTTAGTATAAGTGATTGATTGTTTGATTGAGTGATTGTGTGTTCACGCAATCGCACATCCATAACCGGAGACATAACAACATATAACACATATCACAAACAAACCAATCAGAATCTACTCACTCTCTCATGCTTATTCACAACTCTACTCTTGAATTACCCTCGCTTCCAACTTGTGCATCATTTCCCACCCCCAACACAAGCACACACAATAATCACAATCACAATCACATCACAATCACAATCACAGCAACCACGGATGAAGCGACCATCCACGCACACTCTCTACCACTTCTACATGTTTCAATCCACGGTTCCACATACATACTTTTCCATCTCCACTCAACAACAATATTGATTGAGAAGAGAATGAATGAATGTGAGGATTGATTGAGAGAATGAGAGGCCGTTCTCAATGTTGCCGATCTTTATGTAGACTTGGCAACAGCATAATTTAAGATGATGTGTATGGCCACCATCAGCCCACACCCTCCCTCAATCAACCAATCTGATTGTAGAGTATTTGTTGTTGTGGACTGGTCTGACTGACTGACTGATTGACTGCAGCCATCATCATCATCAACAACAACAACCATCCATCATCAACCAACACCAATACCAACAACAACAACTACTATATGCTTGCTTGAATTATGCCAGCACAAGTGTATGACAGTGGTAGCCATCTAATTTGTATATTTGTTGACTGCACACATAGTATGAATGAATGAATGAATGAATGAACCACACGAAGTAGCATCAAGCGTATCCAACAACAACAACAACATCAACAACCTAATAATAATGTTACACATCATTTGTTTTGTTTTGTTTTGTTTAGTTTAGTTTGATTGTATTGGCATTGGCATATTGGTAATTGTTTAGTCCATCATCATCAACCAGTCAAACAACCATCCATCCATCCATCCATCCATTCATCATCACTCTCCACTTCCACCTCACACACACATATAACACTTCATCCACATCCACTTCCTTCCACTTCCACTTCCACATCCTACCGTCCAGAATTTTCATAGTTGTTCAGACTGGCTGACTAGGTTGTTTGGTAGGTTGTGATTGGATAATTTAGAGAGAGATAGATAGTGAGCATCACAACAAATATTCCGTAGATCATATTACTGCTCATCACCCTCTCACACACACTCACTCATCACTCACACACAAACTCGGACCTATCATCAACATCCACACACCATCACCATCATTCTCTTCTCATTACAAACCAACCAACCAACAAACACTAATCAATCAACCAATCAACAACTTTGTTCATTAATAACTCATACATTACCTTACAATTAGACAACAACAAACAAACAAACAACAAACAGATTTAGTTGGAATAACAATTAGAGAGGCAGGCAAGGAAGGCAGGCAGGCAGAGGCAAAGGCAGAGGCAGAAGATCAAAAAACATTACACAGGAGGACACAGCCATTCCATCCAAGCAGTCTCATCGGCGGAAATAGAGGACACACCATTGACGAGCGAGCGATCGAGAGAGAGAGAGGGAGTGAACAGGATTCGATTCAAGTCAAGTCAAGATTGATTGAATAGACGAAGAGGAAATAATCATTTTGGATTGGTTGGTTTGACTGTAATTGTATGTATTTTTTTAATATTCCACCATCCATCAATCAATCCATGATGTACTAACTTAATACCGACTTAAAACCAATAGTATTTATATACTATTCCCACCCTCGCAAGAGGATTCATCACCAGATTGTTCTGGATCGACACTTAGTTATATATATCATCCATCTATCCATCACTTCATCCATCCATCCACCAACCTTTTTCCCTACATTTATCCATCCATTCATCCAATCACTTCCACATCCCCTTCCCCGCACATCCCAATAACCTCCAGAGACCATGCATTTGTAAAGACCCTGCAGCTTAGCCAAATATCAAATATCCAATCCATCAATCCATCAATCAAAATATACCTATTTATTCCACCAGGTGGACCAGTCCAGTCCGGTCTCTGCCCTCACCATCAACAAAAATATATACCATCAACTTCACCATCACCTCCATCATCCCAACCTTAAAATATATATATATATACCAACCTGTATCCCTAATAACAAATATACATACAACAACACTGTCCATACATATAATATATATATCGCCTATATAACCCATATAACCAATCAATCCAATCCATCACTATCCATCCATCCATCAATCACATCAATCACCCCAACACACCACCCCACCGAACTTCCAAACAATCAAACAATCAAACAAACTTATTATCCCATAATATAACTCATGAAAGAGAGATGGCAATCAGTGAACACAACGTCTCACTGCTCGACCTGATAAATAATGGCCTGCTAAAGGTCAACACTCAGGTGCGCTACAATTACCGCGGCGTACAACACTGCGGCTACGTCGACACCAATGGCGAGATACACACCACTGACGGCACCACCTTTATCAACCCGACACACTGGACGCGCACCATCAGTGGCAACAACTGCAGTGGCTGGGGCACAGTGCGCGTCACCGAGGGCAACGTCCCGCTGCTCAAGCTGAAGAAGGAGTACCTGTCGCGCGTCAACGGTGGCGTGCCGCGCAAGAGCGACGACTCGGACGAGAGTCCCAACGACTGCGAGTCCTCGTCCACAAACGAAAAGACACCAGCAGAGTTGATCAAGCCGTCGCAAAAGAAGAAACGGCATAGGAGCGACATCAAACAGTCCGACAACAACAATAACAACAAACAACTACTGATGCCAAGCACGTCACATCCACCATTCCTGGACCCTTCAAAGAGGGTGTACTTCCAGCAGGCGTCTCATCATCCACAACAACAGCATCTGCAACAACAACATCATCAACATCAACAACAGCTAAGCTCCTCTCCATTGAGTGGCCAACAACAACAAACATATTTAAACTCTAGCCCGAGCTCACTGCCCATGACGGCATTTGGCGCAGCGCATCCGCATGCGCACCCCTTTGCCGCAGGCGGGCAGACGGAGGGCGGAGGAGGCATTTCGTCGTTTCCGCATTCCCATCATACCATTGCACAGCCTCCAGGCCTTCCAGGATCGTTTAGTCACCATCCCCACCAGCAACACCATCCACCCATCCCCGCGGTGCCCTTTCACTCGACCACGACGACGACGACGAACTCAGCATTGATTGGGAACCAGGCGGCGGACATCAAACCCAAGACCCACCACACTGGCGCCAACAACAGCAACACCAATGGCAGCGGTAAGAGTGTCGGACACCCTGCCGCCATGTACCAATCGTCGCCCATCCCCATACCTGTAACACATTTGCAGCACACGATCGACTCGGGCATACCCTCGCACTTCTCATCACCTATCGATCCAGGCATGATGGACATGTCACACTTCCCCGTCGAGGCGCACCCCATGACTCCAATGAACAACATCCCGTTGCCCTACTTCATTGCCAGTCCCATGTACAGTCTGCCTCATCCCATGGACATGGCCGCCATGCAGTCCGACCCGCAACAACAACAACTTCAACAACAACAGCAGCAACTTCATCTACAACAACAACAACAGCAACAGCAGCATCAACAACAATCAATGCCCTCACCTTATCACACAGCCTATCACTACACCGCCCCGGCAGCTGGTGTCTCCTCACCCATGCACAAGTATTCCTCCATGATGCCCAACTCTTATCAGTTCTACAGCTCGGCAGCTCATATCCCTCAGCCACAGCCACAGCCACATCCTCAGCAACAGCAACAACAACAACAACAGCTGCATCCACAACAACAACAACAGTTACAGCTTCAGCAACAGGCCTATGCCAATGCGTTTGGACAGTACCCTATACATCCATCCACGGCATCACCATCCTCCATGTCCATGCACTCGCCACACTCTCAGTCATCGCCATTGCACAACTTTATGTCGTCATCGGCAACGGGTCCCTCGTCGATGGGCGCCGGCGCAGTCAACAGCGCTGGCAAGCAGAGTGGACCCTCCCGCAGTGTGGATGACTCAAAGCTTGGAGCCAACAAGAAGAGGAAGGATGTTCAGGTGCCAACCATTGGCAACAACAACAGCAACAGCAACAGTAGCAGTAATAATGTACTCATCGACTATAAGAAGAAGCCAAAGAGTGTTGAGATGGGCTCAAGCTCGCCCTTGGACGAAGCATCATCATGTGCCAAGGCCAAGAAGGAATCCAAAAAGTCGCGAGAGTTCAGTGGCCCTCATCATACATCATCAACATCACTGTCTGTTACCAGCGGCGGCGGTGCCAATCACATCAAGATTCTGCCGGGCAAGAAGCAGGAGTTGATTCAGCAGCTGCAGCATCATCACCAGGAGCAGCAGCATCTCGAGACCATGAAGAAGGAGCTGATCAACGAGATGAAGATCAATGGCTTCGACTACACATATGGCGCCACGCCACCAGATGTAGGCCATCATCAGCTCCCACATCACCTTCGTTCGATGACCTCGGCCACGATGGCGCACGATGACTTCATGGGCGCTGAGCCCTACCTCGTCACCGACAACCTAGGCTTCCATCATCACCAACAGCTGTTGATGCAGCAGCACAAGCCAAACGGTGTTGGTGACTCTTCGATAACAATGGAGTCGTCGTCATCTTCACCGTCCACCATTCACAATCATATTAACAACATCAACATCAACAACAACAACATAAGAATCATTGGCAACCCTCCACCACTGCCGCAGCCCATGCTCGGCAACCTCAACAACAACAACAACAACAATAATAATAGCTTGTCCAACACCGATACTTCAAATACACCTGGCAACAACATAACCGACTCTAATAATATTAATAACAACAGTAACAACAGCAGTAGCAACATATATGGATATGTTGACGAGTCTGCAGTTGGTGTTGGCGCATCCAAGTCTTATCAGACTACCACGTCACCCATTGATGGTAGCGACGTCATCCAGACGATAAACATGCCATTCTATCACAATGAACACCAACATGCAGTGCGAGTCCACATCAGTTAGAAGTAGTCCATCGCTCCGACCCATGGTTGATTGCTACAGCCATTCCAATCCAATCTAATCCAATCCAACAACTCCCCGAATAATTATAACAAATAATAACCAACAACCAACAACAACAATAACAAGAAGAACATCATATCATAACAATCTATATGTCCAGTGTCCAGGCTAACTGGTCTGTCAATAAATATACAGTATATATTTATTAGAGATAACTTATTATTATTACTTACATGATGGATGAGTTTTAAGGTAAGCTCGAGGGAGGGCAAAGAGGGTTGACGTTCGGGACCCGGATCACACCCCACGCGCCCCATCATTCCGACCCTCTGTGATCAGATATTTCGGGGGAGTGAAACCGAGCGAACAGGTCAACTGATGGGCGTGGGTGACTGATATGACGCACCTTACTTATTTTGATCAGCAACCTTCAGACCTTATACTCATAACAGAACAAAATAGATAATCAAATATATAATATAACAACAGAGAAGAGAAGATAGATAGGATGTCAATCATAGCAGTATGCAAGAGTGCAGAGCATAACATGAAGAAGGATGTTCATTCAGAGATCAATCTGTTGCAGGGTCTTGGAGTAGAGGGAGACGCACACGCTGGTATCTACGTGCAACATCTCACACGTGTAAAGATCAACCCGACGACACCAAACATCCGTCAAGTATGTCTCCTTCACTCTGAGCTACACGATGAGCTCAAGGAAAAGGGCTTCCTAAAGTCCGCTCAACCTGGTGAGATGGGCGAGAACATCACCACCAGAGGCCTCGCCATCCAAGATCTGCCTGTCAACACCAAGCTGCACTTGGGCTCAGGTGGAGCGATCATCCAGCTCACTGGTCTGAGGAACCCCTGTCGTCAACTGAATGACGTGGAGCCCGAGCTCATGAAGGCATGCTTCGAGTACGATGGCGAGGGCAAGATCACACATCGCAAGGGAGGTGTGATGAGCATTGTTCTTCAAGGAGGTATCGTCAAAACTGGAGACAATATCGTTGTTGAGCTACCTGAGGAGCCTCATCAACCAATGGTATTGGTGTAATAATGGTCATCATCATACCATTCATTCAGTGTAATCTTGTAAATTAAATAATAATTGTTTGGAATAACATAGATATATATTTATTATTTAGTAATATATTTTATCACCATACTCTTTATCATCAACTTCTCTTTGATGGATTGAGAATTATAGTCTCATAATGGGAAGTAGAATATGTTGCCCATCTTACTACTAGAGTTGATTGATCAATCCTACGACAGTTTACTGGAGGATTAGTCGGTACTATTAGCTCGAACATGTTGGGAAAGCCTTTGGCCAGGGTACGACATAGGTTGGTTATCTTTTGTCTGGTGTCCTTGCCAGGTAGAACGGAGGAGAATGTTGGTAATTTCACTTCAATAGTGAAAGGATTGGGGAAACAATCAATGGGGTATCGGTATCTGTAAGTAGAGAGATCTTTGAAAGTAGACAAGAATAATCTAGAGAAACCTTTTAGTTTCTTTGAAGATCCTATTGGTTTGAGTTTTCCATTGCCATTAATAGTCATTTTTTTGAGATTCAGAGGTAAGACAATCTTGATATCAACGTTTGATTCTAGTTCCAATGTTTCAACACTGTCTGGAATGACTCCAACACCAAGATAGTTTGAATTTTTGAATGAACACTTTAGTGATGTTAAAGAATTTGGAAGTAATCCAGGAGTGATCGCATGGTTATATCCAGGTCCAAATTGAATGTTCATAAGTGATTGAGGAAGTGATCCCACGCTAATAGGTTCAGGAGACGATTGAATATATAAATCAATAAGTGTCTTTGGGATGGTACCAAGGTCTATTGGAAGTAAACAGTTGAGTGACAGATTCTTCAAAGATGAAGGGTATGGTGTCTTGTTCAAAGTTTCCATATTGTAAGAGTTGTAGAGAATATTTGTTTGAGTTGTTGGTAAAGGAGTTGAATTCAAATTAAGATAGCAGAGATTTGATGGAAATACTGTAGGTCTCCAACGATATCCGGCACAAGTTATAAAAAGGATTGTGAGTGAAGGAAACAAACTATCAGTGAATTCAATGGGCTTGAAGATTGGTATGGATAGGGAGTTTAGACGAATGGGAAATATATTTGGAAAGAAATCTTGGGTATATTGATTGGTAATATTGAGGCCGTATAATTTATCAGGGAGAATTCCATTTGTCCAACTTATACTTTGAAAATTGCCTACTGTAAGGGTATTCAATGATGGAGGAAGGACTCCTGGTGGAATTAAAATATTGGTACATTTTAATGAAAGGAATGAAAGGGTAGTTGGAAACGATCCAGTGCTGAGTGTCTGATTGAAGAATCTACCTAAGAATAGGGATGTAATAGATTTTGGAATTATTCCATTAGGTAGAGGTTGATCAAAAGAATCACAAAAAAATATTATATTAAATGATTTGGGTATCAATGCAAAAGAATATGGGAGTGGATCATTAATGTTGATTCTAATACTTTTCAAGTTTGAGTTTGTCAGGTCTCCCGGTATAAAATTATTAAAGTTATTAATATTATATGAGTCATATGAATAATGATTATAATAATTACTATAATTCTTATTATTAATAATTCTCCTCATATCAACTAAGAATTGTTTAACTATAGTTTTATAACGTTTACAAGTCAATGCAAGACAATGTAAATCATTATATCCACCTAAATGTTGAGTTTTGGTATCATAACTTGGGGCAAACTTGAAGAATGTACATATATGTCGGATTAAAATTACAGATAAATTATCCATAATTGTAAAAAATATATATATATAATAAACAAATAATATAATTATCTTTGAGTAATCAATCATATGATCATACTTACTTAAATTATATTGAGGACTGGTGACTTCTAGTTGAACCTATGTCCCAATTAAGTTCATCAGAATATTTCTGTATTTAATTTAGAATGGGATAAGTAATAAAGTAGAGATTGTTTCACTAGATTCCAAAAGTGAAGATTAACTTATTATTTGTATTTCATACTGATGAATGAGGATTGTGAATGAGCTATAAAAATACCAAGAGTGAGCGTAAGGGTTAACCCTTACTTCTCTTTCCCTCCAAAATTCAAAAGAAGGTTACACCAAGGACCCATTGGACCATCGATCTTCCAGCATCCAAGGTATTTATCTTCACTCCTCAGAGACCCTAATAGACATACAAGAACATTCAGTATGGATCAACAACAAATAGTTGTGTTGCCATATCAGCTGATCAAGCAAATTGTCAGACTGCTGCTGAATGTTGAGCTGCATAATGAGAGACGGCTGGGTCACTCATTGGACTACTACAACAACAAAGTGATGCTCACGCTTGCACTCGTGAGTCGCACATTCCACGATGTTGTGGCGACGACCCATGTGGCAATGACAACACGCGACAATACTTGCTCACATGCTGCTGAAGTATATCCCCAACAACAAATGGTCTCTCTGGCGATCACTGCAACTCATAGATATAGACTCTTGTAACAAGATATGGGATGCAGACCTGCTTGCATCTCTCAGTCGACTCAACATCAAAGTCACAGGATGTACCAGTGCGGACGATTTCCTACAGTTGGCACGCAGAGGCGCACCACTGGAGCGTGTCGGCACAATGGACTTTAAGGATGACCGAGATGGTCAGATGGTGCGATGCATGAAACGGTTGGCTCAAGTCAAGGACACTCTTTCCAGCATCTCACTGTGCATGCCAATGGAGCAACCTAGAAAGAGATCTCAATGGCCCATGTCACTGATCGTACTGCCTAGTCTCTGCAACCTGACTCATGTCAGCATTCTCAATCACTACGATAACCAATACGAGGTGGTGTGGAAGTTCTATGTGGGATTATACCTCTTCCTGCCGCTGCTGCCCTTGCTACAACACCTCGAGGTTGGTCCACATTCCAGCAATCGGAACACCAACTATAATTTTACTCCTCTCCTTCTACAATATCTCAAACAACAACGCTCATTGACGTCTCTGCGAGTCACTCAATGCTTTGATCAAAGGGGTCGGCCACAGTTCCTGGAGTATGTGCTCCAGAGTCCCCAATGCACAATAATGCACTTAGATCTCATGATTGGATTGCCCCTTATTCCCATCACCATACACCTCTCGTCGTTCAAGATCTACATAGATTCGTATTTGGATTATACCCTCTGTAAAGAGACAGCGTTGTCCTTTGACAATGTCGATCACCTCGTTTGGGACAGAAACTTTAGCCTCAGCTCCATGGATGACAACAACGGCGATTGCTGGCTGAACTTTATCATCGCCAATTGTCCGTCCATTCGACAGCTGACCTTCACCATGACGAGACGCACATTGCCGCCATCATTAGTGGCATCGGTGGCTTCCACAACAAGACGATGCGACACCTCTACGTGAGTATCAAGACATCTTTAGATGAGATTGATATCAGCTCGCTGTACCAGGTGCTCGCAGCCCATCCAAGCATCGAGAACAAAGACGACCACATAATCAACAACACTGGTCGTCATATCAATGTGATAGTGCACGGACCTTCTTCCTCAACTACAATGGCTACGGCCACGACGACTACTACTGCCAGTGCAAATCCCCAATTGTGTTGAACCTGCTTGTCATCAAACAATGCCACCTGTTTATTCTCATTAATTAATTCCTTGAATGAAGATTATTTCTTGTGCTCAGGTGTTGATTGATTGATTGACTGAATGAATGAAGGAATAAATGAATAAATGAATGAATAACATGATACAACAGATATATAATCTCTATCTTTTATTAATGTTAACACTACGAAAGATATTAACTTACCTCAATCTTGGGATTGAACCTACTTCTACTACTGTTGCAACTACTACAACTACTGAGACTCGGTTTGCACGACCACGCACTCTTTATGAATGGATGGATACACATGATACCAACGATACAGATGGAAAGACATTGGAGTCACTACCACCTCTTATCTTACGAATGGTATTGTCGTATTTTGATGGGTTTGGCGAACGACTTGTCGTGTCATTAGTGAACAAGCGTCTGTTTGTCAATCGCAACAAGTATCTCACATTCATCGATACCAAAGCATACCTTGGGCCATTCAAACACAATGCACTCATCAAGCTCAATCTCAACTCCTACTACGACATCATATCCAAAGACTTCATCACCAACTGTCGAAGTGCCGATGTGGATCTCAAGTCATATGTCAAGGACAATGATATATTTGGTATGTTGACTGAATCGCTCAATCACTCTGACTCACTGACTCTAATGTGATCGACATGTTAGATGTTGAGGGACTCAAACATGACCTGAACATGACCAATCTAAGAGAGGTATACTTTAGTAATCACAAGGAGGAGGGTCTTCACCCTTTGTCAGAGGCTCATCCGCAATGGCATGCAATCAATGAGATGTTGTATGAGTTGGTAGAGAGAGGCGTTACATTGAGCTTGAAGGTTGAAGGCCATCCATTCCCTTTGGAGAAGGTACCCTTGTCATCATTGGTTTTGGAGGATTGCCAAGGTGCACAGTTACAACAAGTTCATTTCCCACGTAGTCTCACCTACCTCAAGCTATGCAAGCACTCTTGCATCTTGGATCACATCCTCCCCGATGGCCTAAGGATATTGGACCTCACAAGAGTACACTTCAAGTTCCACAGACACGCATGGTTTGCACCCAACTCATTGCCTCGAAGGTTGGAGACAATCTTGTTGAGCGGAGCAATGAAGCAAAGGATTGAACCCGACACATTCCCATCGTCACTCACGACCCTCGAGTTGAGACACGTCTATGGTGAATCTGACTTTTCATATCCCCTCAATGGAGTGTTGCCTCCATCAATCACCTATCTCAATATGAGCAGTGCCTATGAGGAGTATCGCCACGACCTGACCGACCTCCCGATCAGCCTCACCAGGATGCACCTGCCAAGATGGTTCCAACAGAAGCTGCATCACCCTCCTCTGGAGAATCTCCACGTTCACTGCACCGTGCCCCGAGGACACTCATTCCCCAACCTCACCAAGCTGCGGGTCAGCTCATTGGAGAGGATCAATGAGTTGGACTTCTCGCTCTTTCCCAACTTGAATCGGTTGACCATTGATCGGGGCTGGTTCACCATTAAGACCTCGTCATTGCCAATGTCCCAGTTGAGACACACTAGTCTCTCGTTTGACAACACCTCCTATGTCCAATGGCAAGTTGAAATCGACAACAAAGTGCCATTCGGTATCGAGAAGTTAGAGCTTGGCAGCTGCAACTTCCAGAACGTTCAGCCTGGCAGTCTACCAAAGTCAATCACGCGTTTGGTACTGTGGCGTGCTGCCAACCTCAGGCCAGGCCATATCCCATCGTCAGTGACAACATTGGAGTTGCACAACTATCGAACCAATGGACTGAACGTCTATGGACTGCCACCATCTGTACAAAACCTAACATTGATCGATATCCGTGATTCAGTAGAGATCATTCGTCGACTACCGCCATCAGTCATCTCAGTGACTGTTGGACGTAATGCCAAACATTCAATCAAACTTCAACGATTGGATGATCAACTATTCCTCCTCTGTCCATTTGATGATGTAGATACTGGTGATCATTCCAATGTGATGATGTCAGTCAAAGAATGTTGTTTCATGGACATCAAAGCCATTGCTGCCAAGCTCGAACTATTATCCTGATGATGTAATTTGTACAACTACAAACTGAGATAGTTATAGAAGCCCAATGAATGAGTCAAAGCGCAAATGTTTCAAATAAATGTCGACATTAATGTGGAGATTCCCAAAAGTGGTGGAAAAAGAATGCGGGGTGAAGTGTGGGGTTGCGAATGACTCTACCCTGCCTTGTCTTTGAAGTAACACTCATTATTCATTCAATCATTCATTCATATATTATTGTCATAGAGATAAATATAAATACATACATATTATATATATAAATATTAACAAACAAAACCAAACATGTATAAAGATAGAGTTATTATAAAGAGTAAAATAGATGGTTATGAACCACCCATTGACAATATCATTACACAGAGTCAACAACCTATTGTATCAATATATGGTAGTGGATTGAATGGTACAAATGGAAATGTAACAACTGGTACTGGTATTGGTAATGGTGTGCTCACGAGATCATCATCAAACACAGCGTTGGACAAACCAATGGTACCAAAGATCATCAAGGATGTGGTGCATGATCACATGGAGATACCAATTTATATACAGGACTTTGTCGACTCGGTCCAAGTGCAGAGACTGCGCGATTTGAAACAGGTCGGAACCACATCGTTTGTATTCCCCTGTGCCAGCCATCACAGGTTCGAGCACTCACTGGGTGTCAGTCATCTGGCTGGCTACTACATCGATCGACTCAAGACCAACCAGCCCGAGCTGGAGATCACAGAGCAAGAGCAAAAGTGCATCAGAATAGCAGGTCTCTGTCATGACCTTGGACATGGTCCATTCTCACATGCATTCGAGTCCTGGGCTCATAGAACAGAGGCAGGGTAATGTCACCGTCAATCACACACAATGTACAACATGGAATCATTCCGACTAACAATCATCACAGAAAGTCCTTCCATCACGAAGACATGTCAATCAAGATGTTAAACTATCTGATTGATGACAAGGGATTGGACTATAGCACAGATGATATCAAGCTGATTGAGTCATTGATCACCGGCGAGGCACTGCATGGACGAAGCAACAGAAGGTTCATCTATGACATTGTGGCAAACGACAGGAACAGCATCGATGTGGACAAGTTTGATTACTTGGCCAGAGACTCATACTATCTTGGTCGTGCGATCGTCTGCGACTTCACACGACTGATCGAGTTCAGTCGAGTGATTGACAATGAGATATGCTACTGCAGCAAGGAGGTGTACAACCTATACGAGTTGTTCCACACACGCTACAGTCTACACAAGCTGGTGTACAGCCACAAGGTGGGCAAGGCCATCGAGTTCATGATCTCCGACGCCTTCATGAAGGCCGACCCCTACCTCAAGATATCGGAGCAGCTTGATGATCCCAAGGAGTTCATCACACTGACCGATTGTCTGCTAAACAGGATCGAGTACTCAAAGGAGAAGGAGCTGGAGGAGTCGAGAAGGATCATCAAGAACATAAGGACGAGGAACATATATAAGTTTGTGGACGAGGTCATACTGCTCAATGACAATCATCTGGAGATCACTGCAGAGAAAATTGCCAACATTGGATCTGGAATCGTTCCGGAGGACATCATCGTCGACAACCTAAAGTTGAACTATGGTCTCAAGGATGCTGATCCAGTACAACATACATCATTCTATACTAGATATGATAACTCTGGTATGTATCCATTCGATCAGTTTGATCCCATGCACACTGCATTGTACAGTACTGACCTATTACTATTCATTCATAATACAAACAGCCAAGATCAAGGTTGGACCCGAGCATATCTCACTGATGATCCCAAGAGAGTTCCAAGAGAAGCGGATAAGAATATTCACAAGGAACAAGGAGAAGGTATGATCATGGTGACTTTGGCATTCATCAATCAATCAATCAAACACAATCAAATCATACTAACTCAATCAATCAATCAATCGATAATATAGAGTATCAAGATCCAAGAGGCATTCAGAAAACTATTGAATGATTACAACATCGAACCAAACCCATCGACAACCGTCAGTCCAATGAAGAAGTGATGATCATTCACAATATACACATATGACACTTGTCCATTGTAATATCAATGGATGGCATTAATCAATCACATCGAACAAGACGTCGTCTCTCCTTATTTGTAGAAATAATCTATGGTCTGCAGTGTATTGGTGAATGGTTGATTGATTGATTTATTGAGGTCTTTGGAACCTATCTATGATCTTGGTGTTATCGTGGTTTCGGCTATTTGATAGATGTATTGCTATTTCTCCTCCGTATCCATTTTCAATTGATTGGACCTAGAACTGACTTGTTCTTGTTGGGGGATATCAGGTGCTTGGGCAGTTGTAATAACAGGACCTTTATCTTGATTTAATTCTTGTTTCTTCCTCAACAAGTTTGAAACATCTTCAGTATCTGTTCCACTTCTTTCATTACTTATTTTTAAACATTACTATTTAGTTTGAATATAATTACAAATAATTCAAAAATACTTACTTGTCAATCTCCTCAGCAGATATAGTTAAGGCAATCAAGACTATTATTAATAAAATATATCCTCTCATTATTAGTTAGATAAATTATGATTGTCAAGTATTATTAATTACCTTAAATATATAAATAGCCAATTATATTTTAATATAAATTGTAAAGGGAAAATAATTTTATTCTTCCAGGATGGTCACTCACTCATTTCATTTTACAACGAATCAATCATGACAGGAAATACCGACTTTATTGGTTCACGATCAAGTCAATCAATCAATCAATCACTCTACATCAAAGGAATGGAATGCGATAGTATGAATATAGGTCACTGACATCTGGCTTGAAGTATGGATACAATAATGCTGCCATTGTCTGTTGATTGAGTGGTTGGACTCCTTTGTACTGGTGGTCTAGTCTCATAGTAAGCAGGCTAAGCCTGCTATACATTGGTTTCTTGAGTAGCTCCATCAATGTGTTCACATGAGTCTTTAGAGTCTGATTGAGTTCTGATCTTGCCACCAGGTCAACGTTGGTGAACACCAAATGTAGTGATTGTATAGTGTTTGTCTGGAGTGGCAGCATCAACATAGTGTCGGGTAGGAATGATGCTGTTACCACCAGTGTGGTCAACCGATCGTAGAGAGGCTGGAGTTGCTGGCAATAACTCCTTGTGAGCTTCTTTGAATGTCCTTCCAGGATCAGCTTGTTGAGATGGGGAAGATGAGGCAGGGTTCCCAAGTCCTTCTCCAACGTAAGGTTCAAAGTGGTAATGTGAGAGCCGCTGTGATTGGATGGTTGTTTGGTCGAGTCCATCCAGAGTTGGAATGATACGTTGACTGTCGACTTTGCCACGGCGCCATCTGGAAGAGGGTTGGCCAATGTGTCAGTGAGGAAAGTGATCGATTGGAGTGAAGTCTTGTCCTTGATGTAGTGCTCGTAGAGGTTGGTGCTGAGGTGTTTGTGCTGTGTGATGGTGATTGGTGATGGGTTCACAGGCAGATGCTTGAGAAGAGGCGTGAGGTGCTTTTCCCATTCGAGTGGATATTCATTGTTTGATTTCAGCCTTTGCAAATCGAACCTGATGTGCCTCAAGTTTGGTGCGTCAATTGCCACATATCGAGGCGTTAGAGTGTGGGCGTATGCTTGTAGCAGCCCATCTTCCATTTGGAAGACGAATGACTGCAGACGATCGATGCACTCTTGAAGTAGATCGGTAGGTATGTGCTCGAGTTGTCTGACCTCCAAGTGAAGTGGGGTGGACTGGAACAAACAATAGGTCGATCCAATATGTTTGAGTGTGGAGCAGATATATAATGAGGGGACAGGGTTCTTGGACACAGACGTCATCACTGCCTTGTGGAACTGTTTGGACACGGTCGCAAGTGACACCACCCATCGTGAGTGGATGATTGGTGCGCGCAAGTCATCCATCACGAGTAAGTATATGATGTGTTGAACAGTGAGTGGATGTAGTTTGTGCCAGACTGTTGGATCAACCTGGTGTGTTTGGCGCTTGGCCAGTGATTGTTGTTTGAATTGAGTGTACAATTGTTGTTGTTGTACATAGTCTGCGTGATCTACATCAATGTTGTCCAATATATGTTGTTTGATTAGGTTGATATCACCAATGTCTGTTGACGAGAAGAGCCGCTTCCTGTCAACAAAAGGATAAACTCGGAAGTTGTACAAATGCTTGAGAAGTTGGAATGCCGGGACAGGATGAATGCGACCTCCACCCTCTATATGCACCATTACTACCTTAATGGGTGGTTCAAGTACCACATGTACTAGATTGTACTCCTCTGCATAGCTAATTGGAGTATAGAGGTGGTCGTACCTGTGTAGTCTCGCAAACAAGCTGTCCATATATTGTGTCCAAATACTGGTGGAGAAGGCACATCTACTGATGAATTGTTGTACTTTGAACACTCGTGGACAGTGCTTGAGCACCTTGAAAAGCAGGCGTTCATGCTTTATACCACTCAGAAGTGAGTGATTGTGACAAGCTATGAGGAAGTTGACATTGACCGTTGGTAGCTTGTCGATACAGCGATGGTAGTGAATATCAACGAATAGTTGTGTCTTGTCTTGATAGCGATGTACCAGATCCTCCACCAGTGTCCTGTGTTCGTCTTCATGCAGATCAACCAGACAGAGCATTGCTGCGTAGTATAGATTGTTTGAGCTTGACGTTTCCAGGCATGTCTCCATCAGTCCAATCAATCCTCTGATGGCCTTTGGTGTATGATTGGATGGTCTGGCCTTGGCAATATGTTTCAAAAGGTGTAGTGAGTCCAAGCACCATACCAATGGTCTCAAGACCTGTGATGCATTCTCCACATTCCGGAATGCCTGTACAACATCATCAAGTAATATAAGTGGTGTATAGTTGGAAGACCATGTTGTGGATTTCCAGATATTAATAATCTTGGATTCCACCTCCAAGTATACCTGTTGTGTTGTTTCTAGTTAGTTTGATTGATCATGGCTAGCATTACCCAAGTGAGTGATTACCTTGGAGAACGATTCACCAATCAGTCCGATCAGTGAGCTAATGTTGTGAATATTCTTGAGCAAGAGGAGACAGTCCACGTACTCTAGTTCGAATGGGAGGAGGTAGGGTTTGACAAGTGTGAATACTTCGTCTGCCTTGGCACCAGAAGACATTATCATCTTGACCAACTCCCTCTGATTGGCCGAGTCCTTCAAGATCATCTCATCCTCGAATATAATTGTAAACAATGTTGGGAGGTCATTCAACATTGTTGTCCAATATCCTTCCATTATGATATAACTGATGATGATAGTGATGTTAGACATCTCGCAAGACAATGACATATGGAGCGGACTGTGATCATAACATACTCAAACACCTGTTGCTTGTTCTCTGACACCATTGTAGCATCCTTTAGCCATTCTCGAATTGGTGGAGATACTTGTCTTACACGATCGGGACCAAATGCTAATGAGATGTTCTCGTAGCAATTGGGACAGTCATGGTAGGACTCCATCAGGAAGATGTACAATGTGAATAGATGATCTATTTCATCTTGTTGGGTCTGAACTGATTCCAAAAGAGTCTTGAGGAATGTTTGATTGATTAGAACAAAGTATGACCAATGTGATTCAGTAACTGCCAAGCTTAGACAATAGCAAGCATCCTTCATCAAGTTTGGCTCTGGGCAAATAATGCCAAACTTAACCAACTTTGTTAGTTTGCGATGAGTAGTTCCACCTTGGTACCATGTCAAGTTGTTGACCAACACTTCCAATGATGCAATGATCTCAGGATCAATCTGTTGTCTCATTCCAAGGACCTTTGGATTGTTTGATTGATTAGTGTGTGGTGGAATGATTCCAATCATATGATCAATCATACTTGTGATACCAATGACAATAGATAGTCACGTGTGTACACCTTATCTAGTTGGACTTCATCTGACATGTCATCATTCAATGTGTCCAATGACTTTTTAAACTCTGAATTCAAGTCCTTATCAACATGTTGATCCTGAATGAGTTTCCTCAAGAATGTTCCAATCTTTGATAGCATTCTAATCTACTCAATATATCTATGTTTATTACATTACATATGTATGTATCTTAATGATCGTGAACAAACAAAATGATCAGTTTGATCAGATGTCAACGAGTGATCACTTTTTGGACTTCTGAGGAAAAATGCAGAATGAAGCTCGCTGGCGAGAGGACTCGCCTGGACCTTTGCTCAAGGTTCCATCCATGACAATGATGACAAGATTGTTGTTGGAGTGGAATGTATTTATTTATTATCGCAAGGTAAGAGTGAGAGAGAGAGTGGGTGAGTTTGGTTAATACATGGTAACCATGCGAACTCCTCCAAAGTCTCCCATGCTGTGTGGCAAATGCTTCTTGGGACAGGCGATGAACATAAAGTTCTTCTGGACATCGAGCATGGTGGACAGCTTCTCGACCACCTGTGGATTGAACGATGATTTGACGGTGATCAAGTCGATCCTGATCTTTGGATACATCCTGTCCAGGAAGGCCACGTTGGCCGTCAACTCTGTTGGTGGATTCTCGCTGTCGTAACAATGAACAATGCGCACCCAGTTGGTCTGCTCGTTGTCTCTGATGTAGAGGATGGCCTTGTTCAGGTAGGCCGGGTCCTGCTTCGAGGCAAAGAACACGATCGACTGTGAGTTGATGCTGTTGATCATCTCGCCAATCCATCTGGAGAATCTGTCTCTGGGCTTCTTGAACTTGGCCAAAATGATCTGGGAGAAGTACAGCAGCATCTTGAGCAGTCTAGTCCTGACAAACATCGTCATAATGATCAATGCAGTGACAATGAAGTACACGGCAAAGTATGCAACAGTCGATGGATCATTGATAATGTTGGCCACCAACGCTGTGAGCACGAAGCACAAGGCAAAGATGACTCCCAACCATGGTGATCTAATCTCTCTTCTCAAACTTGATCTCTGTATGTTGTGCGAGTGTTAGTCATGCATGTCCTTGTCCTTGCTTGGCGAGGTGATATAAGACTTACCTTGTACTTCAACAACATGTTACCGATGGCAAACAAACTCATTACACCAAGGAATGCAATTGTGTAGACTCCTGCGAGAACGGTGGTGTCAAAGCCGGATAGAACAAAGAGGGAGGTGCAGACGAGGAAGAAGAGGATGATGATAAAGTGATTGGTACGACGCCATGGGTTCTCCTTGAGCAGGAACTGTGGCAGACAGCGATCGAGAGCCATGCGACGCACCAGACCAATGATGCCGACATAACTGGTGATCACCGAGCCAGACAGCACGAGACACGCGTCAATGGAGATCCAAACGCCAAACCACTCGCCCATCGCTTGCTTGGCTACCGTGGCCAACACACCTCCGTTGGTGCTGCTCGCGATCTGGCAGATGTAAAGGAAGCACAGGTTCAGCAGGCCAATCAGCGGGTTGAAGAACGAGACGATGGCCCACATGTTCCTGAGGGTCTTGGGGAAGACGCCGACCTCTTGCTGCTCGATGAAGTTGGACGACGTCTCGAAACCTGTGACTCCGAGCATGGCGGCGCCAAAGCCAAAGAAGATGTCGTAGGCAAAGTTGTGGTTGTTCCACTCGAACGAGCCGGGCAGACAGCTGTCCTCGCTGACGCCGGGCATCAGGTTGGCCGGGGTGAAGCCATGGAAGTTGTTGACGAGGATGGTCCAGTCGTGGCGGTAGAAGAACACGCCAAAGCCGCCAAACACCAGCATGAGCAGTGTGATCATGTGGAAGACAAAGATGATAAAGGCCACGATGGCCGACTCGCCAATACCGATGAGGTTGAGCGCGGCGAATGCCGCCAGCAGAACGACGGTCGATGGTTTGTCCGAGATGCTGGGCACCATGCCCTCGAAGTACTTCATGGCGGTGAAGGCGCTGACGACGGCCGTCGCCACGTACGAGATCATTGTGAGTGCGGCTGCCAGTGACGCCACGTGTTTGGAGGTTGTGTTGAGGAGCACATTGTAAGCTCCTCCATTGAGCGGCAGGGCGCTACCCACCTCTCCATAGACCTTTCTAAACAAGTACAGCACAAAGCATACTATCAGCAATGAGAATGGTGCATACATTCCAGCTGCTGCCGTACAAAGACTCGATGTATAGAATATACTCGATGTGATCTGATAGATTGATTGGAATGATTGATGTCAGTGGCCATGATCAGACTCGTGATGAACACATCCATCGTCGTCGACTACTTACATCATTTCCACAGATGGCTGTTGCTAACAGCTCACCAATCTTGTGCTCGTGAGTACCATCGATCTTGCTGACCTCGGGCAGTGGTCCTTGAATGTCGATGTTCTCGTCTCGAGTGCCAAACAGGGGACTCTCCTCATCTTCGCCACCACCATTGATCGAGCCAGCTTCACTGCGATATGAGTGGGAAAGCACGTTGTGCATGCTGTTTGCGCCACCATCTTCCAATGACAAAGACGATACCATACCCTTACCTGGGTACATAAAGCTATATGGATCATTTGAACCATAACCTGACCCTGATCCAGATCCTGATCCATCACTTTGAATCAGTGGACCATTCTCTCCTTTTGATTTTCCCATCTATTATCTCTATATATATGTTCTTCCTCTACTTCTTCTACTTCAACTTCACTAAACTTGCTGTTGTACTTTCTGTTGTTGTGTCCACTACTAGACTTAATAAATAATGAGTATGATTGATTGAGTGAGGACTATGACATTTAGTAAGTAAGTTAATAAGAATAATAATAACTTAGATGTGACATGTTATGAACATGATGATTAGAGTGAGGTTAAGTGAAGAGAGTGAGAAGTCAGACTCGGTGAGTCGAATGTGTGTGTGTGAGTGTGAGCGACAAGACATGTCTTCTCCATCTTCTTCCAAATAGTGGAACAAGGTGTGGTTGTGTTGGGTGTGGTTGTTGGACATCATTGACATTTGTCCTCAAGAAGACTCAATTCACTCACTTCACCTCGCACCCATCATTCAAACAAACATAATCATGATAATCTTAACATTGAGACTTTGTACCTACAATTCCTTACTTTCCAAGACAACAAGTAAATGATTGACTGATTGATTGATTGAATGATTTTGATAGAATGGAGTGATGATGATTGTGTGTATGATAATAGTAGATTGTTTGATTGAGTTGTTGAGGGCAATGGTAGAAAGAGAAGAATAGATCGACTATTTGATGATGTGGTCCATTTATTGTTAAGTCTTGGGACGAGTCGAACACCATGTCCACCTTATGCAAAATATATAACTTTAAATAGATTTTCAACTTTTTTTGACAAATAAATATCTTCTCGCACACGAAAAGAAGGACTCGTCTGTTTGATTCGTCCACAACACGTGTTTGCACCATCTTAACTTTAAACGCGCAAAAATTGCACCTCTCCTGGGGTCTTGGCATGTTTGATCCTGGGTCCAAATTCAGCCAATCCTGGTTTAAGGGTATATGATGGCTCTCCCTCCCAACCATCTTTGAGGGCCAATTTGGGATTGGTTGGTTGATTGATTGATGGTATGATTGAGTGAGTCAACACTACTAGAGGGCACAACGTTTCCTTTGAGTGGCCATGTCATTGGAAACAGGAGGAGTCGATATGTAGTATGGGTGGGCTCGGTAGACTTTTGATGTAGTCATAAAGAGGCTGTTGGCAATGATCATTACAATGTCGTCGTAAGTGAAATCAATTGGTCGGATGTAGTCCTCTTCAATCGCCTGAAGCAGGAAGCGAGCCATTGATGAATCAACCAACCAGTGTCGAGGAGGTGCATTCAAGTTGACCAAAGTTTCAGGTTCATTGCAAAAAGTGACAATGTACGATGATAGTTGAAGGAGTTGGTCAAAGTGGATGGGGATGGAGTAGAAAGACATTCCTTCGAGTCGTCTTTTGAGTAGGTTCTGGAGTCCGGAGGCCATGTCTTCAACGACTATAAAGCTAGGGCGCGGAAGTTTGAAAGACTCAATATCTTGTAGGTTGGCCATTGCTCTGAAGAAGTATGGGCATGACTCCCATCTGTCTCCATTTTGATCAAGACAAATGAAACATTGGGAGAAGCCTGGAAGGTTGGTGTCTCCACCACTATTGAGTTATTTGATTGCTTCTGAAACTGACTTACTCTTCGCCTTTTCCTCGGCTGTTCTTCCAAAGCATTGTTCATTGTCTAGTATGCGCTTGGCTAGAATGGGAGGAAGTGCTGTCTTGTAGATGTTGAGGTGGCAAGCGTACTTCTGTGACTTTACTTCTTGGTCTACCACTATCATCTTGGGATTGTTGGTATTATAAAGAGATAAATAATACTTATTCGTTGTATTACTATAAATATTAATTAAAAAATATAAAAAAATAATAATAAAATATAAGTTCTGGATCGACGTATGGGTGGTCAACCAACTTTAGACAGAGGACCAAGTGTCTGGATTGAGATTGGTGGATTGTTTGGGTGAATGGATAAAGTGTACATTTATGAATCATCATCATCAACTTTAGAATGATGATGTACTTGGGTAATAAATCTTGGACTCGCCATCATCTAGATATACAGTGAATTGACCATTAGCAACCTTGATGCAGTCTTCAGTTGGCCAGAACCTAGTAATATGTTTGTGTTTGTGTGTGTAAGTGGAATGATTCCATGATTGATTGATCGTTTGATTGAGTGAAGGGATTGAATGGATGATACATACAGATTACAAAGAATGGTTCCATCTGGATAGTCTTGGTAGGTGATGGTTCGCTCAATCTGACCTTGGTCCGATCCTCCGTTGGTTAGCGCGATGAATGTGTTGCCACGTGTATATGCGTAGAATGAGTCGTCGGCATAGCGTTGTACCTGATCATACTGGCTCAGTGCAGTTTGCTTGACATAGGCATTGATCGTCTTGATGAACTGGTACATTGGAACTGTAGTGTCAAACTGTGTGGGCCACAGTGGCTCGCGGTTGTCTGGATCCGCTGCGCCATTGAACTCTTGCTCAGTGCCATAGTAGATGATTGGGATGCCAACGCCCGTCAGCACGTATGTAATGGCGTTGCGGTACAGCGCCAGGTCGGGCTGCTGGTTGAGGAAGCGCACCTGGTCGTGGTTGTCGATGAACGTGCCAAGATACGCGACGTTCTTGAACGACGAGGCGTAGTCCTGCAGCATCGACTGCAGCCCAAACATGGACTGTTGCGAGGCGAATACGTCGCGAAGGGTGAAGAAGAGCGGGTAGCTTAGCAGGCCGTCCAGCACCTCCTGGTAGGACGCGACGTAGCCCACGTCGCCATTGTACACCTCTCCCACGGCGTACATGCCTGCCGCGGCGTTGTACTGTGTCCAAAAGTCGGGCTCCACCTCGGGCACGGTGTCCACGCGGATGCCGTCAAATCCGTAGAAGGCGGTGATGTTGTGGATCCAGTTGAGGAGTGATTGACGAACGAATGTGTTGTTCTGGTCGAGGTCGGGCAGACCAGACAGACGGCAGATCTCGACCTCTGACTGATCGTTAAAGTCGTCGATCGAGCAGTCGGAGGGACAGTCACTGCAGCTGTGATAGTGCGACGCCTGATTGAATGGAACGATCGAGCTGTAGTTGTAGTTGACGGGGCCGACGTGATTGGCCACCACATCAAGCATCACCCAAATGCCACGCGAGTGACAAGCCTTGATCAAGTTGAGCAAGTCATCACTCGAGCCAAAGTACGAATTGATCGAATAGATATCTTGTTGCCAGTATCCATGGTATCCGCCCTTTACCAGTTTGATGAATGAGTGATTGGGATGATTCCAGTGATTGATCGATTGATTGATTGATCGATCGATTGAATGATATAGTGAGTTGGTAGGATGGGTCAGTAGCCGTGCCATCACTAGGTGGACTGTGAAGTGATTGATGTACATACAGGAGTGTTGGTGACGACGGGAGATATCCAGATGGCATCAAAGCCCATGCCTTGGATATAGTCGAGGTGTTGTTCGATACCAGTAAAGGTACCGCCACAATATGTGCTGATATCTGGGCATGGAGTAGTTTGATTGTTTGGCAATGCAAAACGATCTGTAAGAAGTTGGTATATTACTCTGGATGACCAATCTGATGGCGAAGCGGCGTAGCTTGCATGCGGGGCCAACATAACCACCATCAACAAAGCAAGTGATAGTGATGATATAATAACCGACATCATATTGAATATGTATGTATATAAGAATTAACTGTATTTGTAGTTATAAACGTCGTTTACAATTGAATGAAAAAGAACAACAATGTTGTCGAATTGATCAAAAGAGACTCTTATTCTATTTTTGATTGATTTATTGATCGAATGTCTACTTAAATATCTGGTTCAAAAGATATTTTTTCGAACTAAGTTAAGATAAAGTACAACTCCATTCTAACTTTGATGTTGCACTTATCATGGACCTTGCCCTCGCCCTTGCCCTTACGATTACCCTTGCCCTTGCCCTATTCCTAACCCCAACCCCAACCCTTACCCTTACTCACTTGTTTGTTGAACACTCACAACACATTACTTTAAATACAGATACAGATACAGAGTAAACATAAATGAATGTCATTGAGAAAGAGTAAAAGTACAACAACATCTTCAAGAAGTAGAAATGATGGATTGTTTGTATCAAGTCCTACATCACAACATGTAGCCAACAACAATGATGATAATAACGATGATAATAATGATGATATAATTGGTGATGAAGAGGATGTTAGACATACACAGATTGAACACCAAGATGATGTATTGATTGCTGATGAAGTGTTGACTCATCACATGAATGAAGAGGAGTTGGACCATCTCTACAACACTCTAATATTACAATTGAATGAAGGAGACTTGGCCGAACTATTCAACCTACATGATCCTGTGGAGAGACAGATTGCCGAGACAATCAAAGAAGATCGTGGCAACGCTTCATTAAAATCAAGCCTTACATCATCTGTTGGAAGAGCAACATCGCCTGAGATGATGTCAATGAAGACACCTGCTGCTCCCGCTGCATCGCCTCCCATCGCCGCCACAACGTCACCATTACCCTCGCCGCCATTATATACACCAGAGGATATGAATGCAGCCGACAGACTACTGGCATCTTGGATCCGTACCGGCTTATCTTTGATGACATTTGGAATTGGAGTCGGTTCCAAGATGGTCACATCACAGAACTCAATCACATTTGTCACGTCATTGGTATTCTTTGGCACTGGCATTGTATGTGTTCTTTGGGGTTTACTAAAGAACTACTATGTCACCTATTATCTATTACGAGGCTACTACCTACCCAGCACACTCAGTATCTTCATCATTCTCCTACTATCTTTGTTGGTAACAGGTGTCAGCTACTGGGCTGTTGTAACAGACTTTGACGGAGGACCAATCATTCCCATTCCGACTTGACAAGACTGGACAGTACAACCCTTGCCCTTGCCCTTGCCCTCAACCCTTGCCCTCACGCACTTCTTCAATAAATTGAAAAAACGACAAAAGTTCGACTTTCAACACGAACGAATCAAACTTTGAATTGAAGAATCATTATTCACTTTACATTATTCACGCAACACGTGTACAGATAAAGAGAGAGAAAGAGAAAGAGATATATAAGTGATGTCGACAAAGAGAAGCGCACAGATATCATTCAAGGTTGTGGACAAAGTTGGTGAATGCTCACCTTGTATAGCCAACTTTCGTTGTGGACCACCTCCACTCAGCTTCCTCAACGATGAAGACACAAGCTTCAAATCATTGACCAACAAGCACAAGAAACAACGTGTCCTACTCTCCAACTCATCAATGGTCGAATACGAATCCGAACCAACTCGTACCGAACAAAGTGATCTACAACAGTATGTCTCAACTCGAGTTGAGATGTTATTGATTGACTTGATTGAGCAAGAGTGACTAACATACTGCTGCTTGTAGATTGGCTATTGGAAGGTACAATGACAGGACTGGCATGATTGAATTGATACCAATTAAGGATGTTTGTCAGATACAGCAATCGATCATTGGTTATGAGATGCGTGCGAAGGAGAACTTTGACGAGTTGTCATACATGGATAGGACAAAGATGCTCTCCACTAGTTTTGGAAGCAAGTTGTCAAAGAAGATCATTCACAAGATCGAGACTGGCGATGTCGGCACGCTGAGCAACGAGAAGACCAAAGCTGCCGCCGAGAGCGTCACCAACAAGAGAGCCAACGTCGATGCTGCCGCCAGAGACGAGGATCTGCCGCCACACAACAAGGAGACAGACGTACCAAAGGAGATCTACCCAATCGAAGAGCGTAAGTCATTGTTCATTCTCGAGCTCACTCATACATGTCCACATCACTCACTCGCGAGTTCCTTACACATACAACAGTCATGCCACAGGACGTCTACTTTGCAATCAATCCACAATACTTTATTGGTCTGGCAAAGGCTCCAGAGAAGGCACCAGAAGACATGCCCAAGTACATCAAGAATAGACTGCCACACATGTTGTACACGTACAAGAGGAATGATGATGATGAGCTGGTTGCAGGTGGTGACAGAGATCAAGACGATATCGAACATGAGAGCAGGATTCTCACTTATATCTATTACATTACAATGTAAGTAACATCACATCATTGGTAGTTCCATTGGAATGGAGCTGGATATTGCATGTCTAACAATCAATCCAAAATCCAATCAATATAGTATGAAGGGTTTGGAGAGTTCAAGAGTCACGCTGATGGAGGAGACTTTGAGAAAGAACAGAGTACATCCATTCGTGGCCAAGTACTTGTGCCAGACCTTTACTCAACAATATGACCAAGTGTAAGTGTTCCAAATGATTGTTGGACAACAATCCAGGTAATTGACTGACTCAATCATTCAATCAATCAATCAATCAATCAACCAACAGTAAGAGCAAGATGAGCAATGATCATATTTCAAAGTTGCTAAACTATGCAGTCATCCTTATTCTGCATCTGGAAGACTTTAGAGTCAAGCATGAGGCAGTCCAGCTGCTTTCAGAGGCTTTCAACATGCCAGACTACAAGTATGTTACATCCATCTCACTCCTTACCCAACAACAACAAACTCAATCATACTGACTATTATTCCACCTTCATAGGCTTGAGAAGCATTTCAACAGAGTTGGATGTGTCGTGGCAAGGAATGGTCAGTACAGAGACTATAAGCTGCGTGCACCATTGAAGCTTCCAGAGGTCAGGGATGTCCAAAGGAAGAAGAGATAAGATAAGACGTTTACTTGCGCCTGCTGGTATCATCAAGCTACTGGTATTATTATTAAACAAACAATCAAGACACACCTCAATCCAATCAATCAATCAATCACATTGCAGCGCACCAGTTTATTTTAGATTGGGGAAGATATCAATGGGATTTTAGAACGACCGAGGTTGGATTGGTATTATTCCACCTGATGTCTGACTGGAGAAGATCAGGAAATGCTTTCGATCATCTAACAATCTGAGTTGGATATTCTTGATTGATAATAACGTGTTCTCTGTGAAGGATATCGTGAAGGTGTTCAATCTCTCAAGTGGATAGCATTTTGAATTGATCATGTTATAAAGGTAGTCACGACAATAAGTTATAGTTTTCTTTTGGATACATCTTACTACCAGGTGAAGATGTTTGATTGAGTCGGGTATTGGATCAGGTCTGCCGGTGGACTTGGCCAGTGTGAGCTCTGTCACTGAGCTTGGTATCACCTTTGGATGTGGTAGATGATCTGCATGAATTTGAAGACGTGTCACCGATGGTGGAATTGATCCATCATTCAATGACTGATGGAATGATTGCCCTAAGGTGAGTGATGTGAGATTGGGTGGAAGAACACCAATTGGTAGGAAGGGCCAGTTGTATTCCATGTTCAATTTCAATGATCTTAATGAGTTTGGTAATGTTCCAACTTCAAAGGGTTGATTGTAAGAACATGATACTATATTAAAGTCTCTGTTCTCAGTGCTACCAAACCTGAGTGAGATTAGACCAGAGGGAAGTGAACCCAACTGAAATGATTGATTGTAGGTCTCACCAAACTGGAGCGAGATGAGACCCGACGGGAGTGAGCCAACGTCTATTTGTTGATTGAATAATGAGCCAAAGGTAAGTGATCTTAAACTGGATGGAAGTAGACCTATGGGAATAGGCTGATTGAACTTCTGACCAAACTGGAGTGATGTAATGGATGTAGGAAGAGCACCAACAGGGATCGACTTGTTAAAGTATGTTTGAAATTTGAGTGAGGTCAGCTTGGTTGGAAGAGATCCAATGAGAGGTGTCTCGTTAATGTTATACAACATCGATGTGACTTCAGCTGGGATAGGTATCGTCGAACCAAGATGATCGTATTCAATGTATGTATCTACTTGTATAACTGTTCTCTTGTTAAGTCTAGAGTAATTAAATGAATGATTAACATGACATGACCTCAAACTGCTATAGCGTATCCATAACCAATGAATGAATGATGCTCTATGTTTATACCAATATCTACATACAAATGCCAAACAATACCTATCAATATTATCTTCGATGTAATCAACAATCTGTCTAAGTATTAAAATGGGGAAGTATCGAGGGCATTCGACATCATCATTTGAGTTGTTGTCAATATTGACATTATCGATAGTACTATCCATTCTTAATGGTACATATATATATTATTATTATTATTTGTTGATAATGAACAAGTCACAAAAGAAATAAATGTGTCTTGTCTAAAGTTCATTCATTTATCAATGACGTGTATTTGTACACAAATACATAATTATAAGCTTAGGTGAAGTGGAGGAGGATGAAAGTATTACTTATAACAGCAGTCTCTGATAATAATGTCATTGGGAAGGATGGCTTGTTGCCTTGGTCTTTACCTGATGACTATCAACACTTTCAAGACACGACAAGAGGATGGCCTATTATAATGGGTAGACGTACATTCGATGATCAACCTGTACGCCCCATCCCCAACTGCTTCACAATCGTTGTCACCAGTGACACTCATCTTACCGATCCCAATGGTCTCATACTCGAAGAGCGATCCGGATCACTCCTTCGAACTCGTTCACTCACTGAAGCAATGACCTTTGTTAAAGAGTTTGAGGAGGTGTACATAGTTGGAGGTATGTTATGCTCATAACAGTGGAAACCCATTCATTCGCTCATTCTCTCACTCAATCAATCACATTAGGCCGCAGGATATACGAGGATTCACTACAGTTTGTCGATGAACTGATAATTACACATGTACATTCGGAAGATGTTGTTGGTGATACACATCTTAATCTGTTCCCTGAGAAGGGATCTTTGCGTGATAGGAACAATGACCTCTGGGAGGTGGTCAGATCACACTACCATGCCAAAGACGATAGACATCAGTTTGACTACACCATCAAGTATTATAAACGTGTGACACTGCGAACAGTGTTTGCATAAGATATGATATCAACTTCATTGGCAATGGCAATGGTCGGATTGGAGGATAGACGAATAGTATTAGCATTCGCCTTTGTATTGACAATGATTATTCTCGGCATGGTTGTGCATGTCCACTGTGCGCACTTGCACTTCGATCTTCTGATTGAGTGGACCAACTACATCGAATTGGAGAGATTGATATCCGTTGGACTTTGGACACTTGATGTAATCATCATACGTTCCTTTGACCTCGGGGAAATGCTGCGTCAGAGTCGATCTGAGCCTGTAGCAGTCTTCCTCCTTCTCCACGATTGCTCTAATACCAAACATGTCGTGAACCTCTTCAAACGTCAGTTGTTTGCCCAACATCTTGCGCCATATACTATAGATGTGCTTTGGTCTACCTGAGACTTGACGCACGGCTATACCACTCCCATTGGCTATCAGTCGGGCCGTGTCGACAAAGTCTTGAATGTACATCTCTCGCTCTCTTCTCGTGCTCTGGAAGTGGTCTGCAATCTGATTATACGTGTCTGGATAATATCTCCTGAAGCATATGTCCTCAGCTTCCCATAGCTGGCGTGATGGATCCATTGATATTAATTGATATTTACATTGTTGAATTGACATGTCGGTGGCAGTTTGATTATGAGCGCTTGAGTTCGGCATGTCGGTTGGAGTTAGTATATGCCGCGTCACTCAATCAATCCATCCATTCCATCCGAAGACATACAATGAATGATTATAAATTGCTTGTTGACTTGATATCCTACATGGATCTAATGATCTTGAACTACGTATTATAATAGGTGATGGTGATATATACAGTGCTGAGACAAACATTAACATTGCCAATACTATCAGTATCAATGAATGGTTGTTCTTCTCGCTTCTAATCTCCGAAGAGGTAGAGCCTACTACTATTGCAGTCATATCTGTTTGACTCTGTGTAAGATTTCCTTTATGTACAGTTGAATAAAGATTGATTGATTGATTGATTGATTGATTGATTGATTGATTGATTGATTGATTGATTGATGATGTATGTTGCTTATGCAGAGCCGCATTCAATTCTTTGATCGGATCGAAAGATTGATGACGATGCTATAAGCAATGACACATTGCTTGAATAGCTTTACAATGAATAATAATACATATAATATGAATGTTGTTGATACTAAAGAATGAAGACTGGTGATTCACCAACACAATGACTCATTCAAGGTGTTTGAATTGCGACAACATTGTTGAGATTGATTGGGGGTGGTAACATAAAGGAAGAGACACAAGTCCAAGCAAAATTGTCCTTTGACAAAGCCCAGTGACTCAAAGTAAATGAAGTTCCCCAATCTCAATGATATACAAAGGCAAGAGTTATCTCGTTCATCGAATATTCAAAGTTGTTGAGATTGATTATATCATTAATTAATTAATACAATATAAAATGATGAAGTTATTTATGTCTTACTTGATTTAGAATGGAGGGTGACCAATCATCAACTTCATTTATAATTTGTTGTTGAAAATATACAAAACAAATAAGGTAAGGTAAGATTGACATAATAATGTAAGTCATTGTAATGGTTAGATACTTATACTATCTCCATTATAATAACAACACTCACTCACAAACACACTTAAACACAAATACAAGTCAATCATTGGTAAAGTGAGGTTGAAAAGATAATTGATTGACAGATAGATAGTGGGTGTGAGTGATGATGAGTAGTCGGAGACAGTACATACTTGGAGATGAGGGGGTTAGAACATTTCCGATGAAGGGCCGACCTAACCTTACCATATCCATATCAATCTCCTTATTGGTATCTGTCTTTGATTAAAAAATATATATATAAATACCAATATTGATTGATTGTTATAACTCAACATTTTAAATTATCTCTACAACAACATACAATGTATAGATATTTATTAATAATATTATTTGTTTGTCTTTGTTATGAGGTATCCAATGCCTCTCAACCATCATCATTCTATTTCTTAAAGTCAACTGGTATTGTTTGTGTCACAACTCCATGTCCATCATGGGAGATCAATCTTGTAAATTCCCAACAAAACTCAATCACTGTTCATGGATTGAACTTTGCACCAAGTGTCAATGAAACAAAGGTCTTTGAGGCCAAAGAGGATGAACGTATACTCTATGGCTACTGGTGCAACACCAAAGTCAATGGACAAGATGCTGTCGAGTTCAAAATACTTGGTGCTCATAGAATGATTGCCATCGATGGATATGGTCCTCCCAGAGCTGGTGATTACCTCTCCCTGTAAGTCCCTCCTCCTCCTCAATCAAACAATCTCTGTCACTAACATGATTGTATTTTATATATAGATCCTACTACCAATGGAAATGGGTCAACTTCCCCTTCATTACCGGACCCATTGTATCCCCACCTTCCAATCCATTCTTGGATTATCCTCACATGGATAAGGAATGGCTCAGGGATAAACTTTATAATCAAGACAAGAAACATCGTGCAATTGTTCAAGCTACAGTTGACACCTTTGGTAAAGTGCTGGTCACTGCAATCTTTGTTAGTTTGGATGATCCTGAACAACCTTGTCCTGGTATTGTGCTCATTGGATGTGATGATGCTCATGTGATGACATTCAATCGTGATGCCAACAGATGTGTATCATTCGATACATGTGTTGAGCCAGGAGCATGCATTCTCTCCATCCCAGTATGTCCAAAGGGTTACAATTTAGTCTCAATTCCATCAAGACCATATGGATGTCCAAAACACTTCTGTGATCCCGATTTCCTCAATCTCACTTGGGATCAATAATTATAAATTTAATCAATCAATCAATTAATTAAGTTAATCAATCAATCAATCAATCAATTAATTAAAAAATAAACCTAAAAGGGTGGACCAACTTACTCAATCATTAAAAGAATAATTAGAAAATAGATATTTAGTAGTCTCCTTACTACTTGATAGGTGGGGATTGTAAGTGATCCAAGTTAATAATGGATGATCAAAACTAAATTATTGAAGATGACATAGATAATATTGTAAAATGAATTTAAATAAAATAATGTTGTGTAAAATAATAAATATATATATTCGTTTGATTATTACAAATAATAATAATTAGAATTCCATTTATATAAAATCATCTGGATAGAAAACAAATTCAATTATATTTAAATATAATTGAAAGAGTGTGAGTAAAGTTCTAGCTTGGTGTACCCTTGCTCCTAAACTACATAATTGATGGGGTATGATCACCTATTCAATTGTATATCCCAACAAGCAATTGAATAAGTATTAATACATTTTAGATGGAATTAATATTAACCTTTATATTTATTATTAATACTATTACTAATCAAGATTAGAATTATTTTATTATTATTCTTATCTATTAATATTTGTTTTGAGGTATCCAATGGATATAGAACTCAACCAGAACCTACTATATTCTTTTGGTTAAGGTCAACTGGCAAACTATGTGTCAAAGAACCATGTCCATTTTGGAAGATTGATCCTGTCAATCTAGATACAAGTGGAACCAACTCTGTTGAGGTTCACTATTTGAAGTTTGGTTCCAATGTCAACTCTACCAAGGTATTGGAAGCAAAAGATAATGATCTAATTATTGAAGGAACCCTGGAAGAGGATCTTGTTGGAGATGAACCTGGTGTCCATTTGACAATTAATCGAGCTTACAGAAAGATGCCAATCAATCAAACTTCTACCAAGGGATTTGTTGGTTACTTTTTCTTGTAAGGAAATGAACAAAAATCAATCTATCAAATATTCTTTAATAGAATAATTAGTTAATTAATTAATACCTATTTATTATTATTTACTTTTTAGATCCAAAACAACTGATAAGAACAAATGGGAATGGGTTAATACTCCATATGTTCGTGGAGTGTTTGAATCATCAATTGGTAATCCTTATATGGATTTTCCATTCTTGGACAAAGATTGGTTGGATGATAAACTTTATTACAATGAAGTTATTCATCGCGCGATTGTAGAAGCATCAATTAATTCTCGAGGCAACCCTTCCAAGATCCTTTCAATCTTTATCAATTTGGAGGACCCACCTACTCAAACTTGCAGAGTTCCAAGTATACCTGTAGTCTCTCAAAGTGGACAAGTTGCGACCTTTAGACGTAATGAGGATAGGTGCGTATTGTTTGATAGTATTGTTGAGGCTGGAGTATGTCCCCTTTTTCAACCAGTATGTACCAAGGGATACAATCTTGTATCTATTCCCTCTACCCCAAATGGATGCTCTAGATTCTATTGTGATCCAGATTTTCTCAGACCAACTTGGTAATAAAGAAATGAATAAATAATCAACCTTCATAAACGCACCCTCATTATAAAATCAATCATTTTTATCCTTAACTTGAATGGACCCTGTATACCCATGCTACCGATTAAATATTCCCGAAATCACTCATAGTCGACAAGTACAGACCTTTAGAAGGACATTTGATAGATGTGTAGTATTGGATATGAGAGTTGAAAAAGGAGTATGTCCCAACTTTGAACCAGTATGTACCGAGGGATACAATCTTGTATCAATTCCTTCCGAACCACGTGGATGTCCTAAATTCTAATGTGATCCATATTTCCTCAAACCTGCCGGTAATCAATAAATAATCATTTAAACACTACATATTTATCCATTCTATCAATCAATCAATCAACACTAAATATCATTATGATGAATTTAGTAAAGTGATAAATACAATCATAATGATGCTTATTCTCTTTCAGTATACCTCTTCACTCTTCAATCCCTACCCTTGTGTTGGTTGATTTGAATGGAAAAGGGAATGAGTAACACAACTCACAATTGACACACACATATACTTCATCATCATGGCAGCATTTGTGTGTTTACACCCCATTGGGCACTTGAACTGGCCAATTCCTTCAATTCGGAATATTGATTGGATGGATACATAGAATAGAAGGCAGAATGGTACCATTGTGAATGTAATAATATGTGGTGATACATTCATCATATTCATTGTTAGTATGATGGTATTCATAATTATAATGATGTTCATATAGAGAATATAACACCTCACAATATTAAAATATATATATATTCTTCAAATAATTCAATCAATCGATTCATTCATTCATTCATAAATAATCACAAGCAATTAAACAATTATTCTATTATAAATTATCTATCTCTCTATCTCTCTCTCTTTAAACTATGATAAATAATAATACCGAAGAGAATGGAACAATCTCCAATGGAGTGGCAAGAACATCGGTTTTGGTGGCCGCCATGCGTACTCATTTGAGTAACCAGATGGTTTCACTTAATGATCCATCATTGTATAAACCATTTGAACAGAGCTTAGTAAGAGAGTACTCAAAGTTCTGTCCTACCAAGGTTGTAAATATAACCGATCCCAAGCTGACTGTCATCGACCCGTATGCCCTGTTCTTCCTTCAACATCAAAGTTCACCAGACATAATGGCCGAGTTCTTCTTTTCTATCCCAAAAGTTAGACCAACTGTCGTTGACGAACCAATGTATCAAGGTCTGATCAAGAGTGGCTTAGATGTATCCTCAGTTGGGTCAATATCTTCATTCTTCAAACATGTGGCCAATGATGAACAAGTAATGCTAGGTTGGATGTTGTTATTCGATTTGAACATTACTGTTCATCTTGCAGTCAGAACCAAACTTATTGATGAGTTTGTTCTCCAAAATGTCCCTTCCTCGATCAAACAAGTTGTCATCCTTGGTTCAGGACTTGACACCCGTGCTCAACGTCTACCATTCGACGCATCAGTCATTGTATTTGAGGTGGATCTTCCAGAGGTGGTCGAATACAAGAGGAACATTATGAAGAATGCATCATTGGCCATCACTCCAATATCAATGGCAATGAACATTGATATCAAGGAAGACCTCAGGAACTTGGATAAATGGACGTCCCAACTTGTATCATCTGGTTTGAAGAAGATTGAACCGACTCTATGGATCCTAGAAGGTCTTCTCATGTACCTCAAGCCTGAAGAGACCACCAACCTACTCAAAGCAGTATCATCACTCTCATCATCTGGATCTGCTATTGTGTTTCAATCATCAGCACCAATTGATTGGACTGCACCATATGTTGGCAAGAGTGTATTCGCCAAGATTGCTCCTGAACTATTCTCCTTTACACCATATCCAGATGAACTTCTGATCAACGTTGGCTTCACTGATCGTGTATCCACAGTCGATGATGTTGCCCTCATTGAGAGATATGGTACACCTGGTATAGTCCTCTTTGAGTTCCCACCAACATTCCAACGCTACACCCAAGGATTCAAACCATAATCCATCATTCAATCAACCAACCATTGATTGTCCTTGTGTATAACAAATAAACACTCGTCAGATACATCTCTTAATCTAGATTTATGAAATGATTGATTGGTCCCCGCGTTCATTCATTTGATGTTCACTTTCATACATTCATATACACATACAAGATGACAGGCACTGCTGAAGAGATATACCCTAGCATCAACCCTTATGTATCACTAGCATTGTCAATCTTCCTCTCCTTTCAGTTTGTTGGTGGACTGTATCTATTCTCCTCAGGCAACAGAGACAACCCTTTTGTAATCAAACGTCGATTCCAGAGTGTCTTTGTATCATGTATCATCTCATACATAGTACTCTACTATCTGATACCTCAATCATCACAAGTAAGTCCTGTACACGACGTTCAATCACTCAATCGTGACTAAACAACTATCAATCTTATGTATAGAGAGTATATGTATTCTTGCAAGTCATTGGTGTAATGACAGAGTCATACTTGTGGGGCATCATACTACCCTTCTTGTTGACGATGCTACTGTTCAGTGGACCTTTACTGATGGCTTATTTAGACTATGGCATAGAGGAAGAGCCATTCGACTTGAGGTGGCTGCGTAACTATGTTGTAGGACCCACTGTTGAAGAGGTTGTCTATCGATCAGCCATCGTACCAATACTCTACTATGGTGGCTACTCCACACGATCAATCATCATATTCTCTCCACTACTCTTTGGTCTGTCACATCTACATCACATCTTCCCAATGGGCAAGAAGAGAAGAGAAATCATTGCTCAGTTATTAGTTAGTTGTAAGTTTCAGGGTTGGACTACCTACATCAGACGGACATCATACTGACACTCATCCATCTCATCTCAACTCGTCTCCAGTGCTTCAAGTACTTTATACAAGTCTGTTTGGAATGTTCACTGCACTGATATTCGTTAGAACTGGCAACCTTTTGTCTTGTATCCTTGTACACAGCTTCTGTAATATGATGGGTCTACCGCGCTTCCAAGATGTTCCCCATCACCCTCACTCACGCCGTATGTACTCTCACGTGTGGATGCATGATGATTGATTGATTGATCGATCAATATATACTAACTTTGGACCAATCAATCAATCTAATCAGTGTTGTCCATCACCTTTGTGCTTGGCCTGGTTGGATTCTTCTATTACCTGCCACTACTTATACATCCAGTATACTTCAATTCATTGTTCATTTGATCAATCATATTATTTATAAATAGCCCAGATGGAACAGTTCCACCCATCAAACCATCACATGATGTTGTGTGAATCAAGATTTTCATTCATTCTCTGATCAATCAATCAATCACTGATCAAACAGATATATAATAAGATACCACTACTAACTCCCAATGGCATCCATCAAAGACAATGATGACATGCCCAAACAACAACATCCAACACTGCCACTGTTAGTGCAACTCAAGATAATGGAGTATGTGTTGCAGTTTGAACGACCAGAATTGGCACAAAGACAATCAGAATACTATGAAGACATCTATAATTATGATAGCCTACCAATATTGAGCGATCATGTTAATGATGATCTGGTACCTTTCATCCCTGGCACTACATTCAACTTGGCAACAGTGTGTAGACGATGGTTCGATCACATCGCTGCCATCACCAATCATTTGGACGTGACACGTGATCAATCATACCGAGCCATCTTGCATCTGCGCAAGGATCCGCGACCTTGGAGTCTCCAGTTCCCATCAATACACTTCAATCTGGAACTGGGTAGTAGTCGTGATCTCTATCAATCACATCTGCTGCACTACAAGGATGTGGTCAGGGCTAGCGCCATCCACTTGACCAGCAAGGCCGACATATCAGATATCAGATTCATCTTGACTCATCCCAACATCTACCCCTTCATTGAACGAATGACCATCCGCATCACAGAGTACATCGATATATGTTATGAAGATGTAGAGTCATTTGTCTCTCAGTTGGTGAGTGCACTCGAGCAGAACAACACGATCACATGGTTCCACTTCAACATCTTTGACTACATGTCCAAGACTGAGAGCAAGCATCTTGGAGGCATGCTAAAGAGCATGGCTAAACGCAACAACTTGAGAACTCTGATATGGGATGGACAAGATGAGTTTGTGGACATTGACAATGTTATCCCACTCCTGGTCAACCTAGAGTCATTGCAGATGCTGGAAGTGCGACACTGTGCGATGCTTGTCGACCCGAAACGCGTCGAGCAGCAGGCAGGTCTGTTGGTCAACAACATGTATAGGGGACGACCAAAGCAGTTCGCACTAGACATGACCAAATACGATGTTGAAACGAAGGAGGATGTTCAGTTCGTTGGATACGTTCACAGCAAGCTATTGACAATGTACAAGGTTCAGAGCGAGTCCACGATCAAACAATACGATTATGATCATAATGAACAGGGGTCAGTGTCCAAGCTCACGATGGTCTCCAATGATAACCAATCAACCGTCGTATTTGAACGAGGCAATGATGAATCTTCAGGAGAGTACTGGTTCTCACTGCGATACATCCGGAATGAAAGAATGGATGAATGATCTTGTAAATAAATGTATTATCTTTATGATTATCTTAATCCAACTGGTTGCTTATCTGCTTGCTCTTGAGATCTGTTGATTTGAGTTGAGTTGGAAAGTAAGTAAGTATGGATGAGAGGAGGTGGGTGATGAGGGCATTACCTTTGGAGACTGTGAAACCACTTGCGATCTGGCTATCCTTGACACTCTTGGTTTTAATGTAGACGTTGTTTCCAATGATTGATCCACTGATTCCACAACTGTTCCATGATTGATTGAGCGAATGTATGTTAGTGGACAGCTCACTGGACTACAAGCCAAACCAACCCAAGCCAAAGGGTACTTACTGATCCTCAATTGTGACGTAGTCCATGATGATTGCATTCTCTATTCTTACGCTCTGACCAAACTTGCAATGCTTTCCAATGATTGACTTCTTGACACTGCACTTTGGTCCAAGGATCGACTCTGTTCCAATGACACAATCGGCACCGACTGAGGTTGGAGCAACCTGTGCCTTGACATCGATATAGTTATTCTTGCCTGGTGCCTCGTATGGCTTGTATGAAGTCTGTCCAGAGGCCACATCGCGATTAGCTTGAGTATAGTTTTGAATGGTGTTGATGTTGATCGAGTAGCCGTTGGTTAGGTAGGTGAGACACTTGATGGTGTCTTGGGTATTCTGGTTGATGTGATAAGATGGGTTGAAGGGCGTGGCCGACGTCGACATCGACAGCGCCAGATCCTGAGTGCGGTTGACTGATGTGGCTGGTAACTTCTTGCCATGACCAGGAATCTGACACTGCAAGAGCAGTGGAATCAATTGCTTCTTGATACTAGTGATTGGAATGTTCTTGGTCTTTTGCTCCTCAATGATCAGGTCGATGACCCATCTCGAAAAGACGTAGAACTGAGCGTCTTGCAAGTTGTTGTTGACCACAATGTTGGGGAAGCTGTGTTTGATTGGTGATGATGAGTATTGAGTTGAGTAGTAATGGGATGACGCCCACCGCGATACTTACTGACGCAACATCTGTTTGGACACAAGAACTGCATCCTCAATGTCTGTGGCAGGCTCCATCTGAAGGATTCTGTTGGTCTTCTCGTCGAGGACGATGTAGTCGACATAGGTTGAGTCAGTCGTCTCCTTGACTTCTGTGGTTGCTACCTTCTTTGGATACAACATCATTGTCAATGAAGAGTCGTTTCCTCTATGCAGATCAGCCATCTGTCTAATGAATCCTTCGTCTGCAATAAGGTTACCAGTGATCACCATGAAGTTGGTCTATAGCGCATAGCGAGTATGTTAGCGCACTGCTCTGTGCCTGTCCTGCAATCAATCAACATACTCTAATCTTCTCTCTTATGCGGTAGAGTATCTCGCAGGTACCAATCTGATTCTGATCCTTGAGCACGAAGAACTCTACTTCCAACTTGCCTTGGTTCTGATCCTTATACACCTGGTTGACATAAGCTGCTATTCTATTCTGTGCATAATCCTGTGTGACAATCAATACGGCTAAGTTGTAGAGTAGTAGTTGATTGATTGAATGAGTAAGTAAGTGATTGATCATAGTGTAGTGATCATAGTATCATACACTTGAAACCAGATCTCTCCAACATCTCCAATTGATAGGATAGTATTGGTCTGTTTGCGACAGGCAACATGACATGTGGCAGGTTCTCATCGATTGGACCAAGCTTAGCACTTGTATTGTCCACTGCCAATATGATAACTTGAAACTCGTATGAAGACATATTTGTATATGAATATATCTCTTCTCTGTAATAATGATAAACGAGTTGACAATCAATCACTTATATATATCTATGTATGCTTGTTCAAATTACAACGGCCAATGATCATTGTGAGAATCCTGCGAGAAACAAGTTGATCCAAGTCCCAAAACAAGCGAAACAAGTGAAGTGAGGGGTGTGAAGTGCGCCCCTCCTTTCACTTTGACTTCATCTTCACTTCATCTTAGCGTAGTTGTAGTTGTAGTTGTATTAGTTGTAAAGAATAATTATAATACATACTACTCACTCATAGTTAAGACAACTAGACCAGATGTCTGATATCGACACAAGATCACTTAGACAATGCGTTGGTGCCATTGTATTCAATGAGCAGGGACATATATTACTTGGCAAAAGGTCCGCCAACAAGAAGTCTGCCATTGGTAAGGTACGCTACGACAATGTATATTCACATCTTCTCATATCACCTCTCTCGCTCCTTGCTATCCCCGTTACCTCTTGAGACAAAACCATGTTGACTGACACAAGAACATGCTTATACATGTAAATGAACATACTACAACCAATCATACAAACAAACCAATTCCATCCTCAACAGTGGCAGTGTCCTCAAGGTGGAGTAGAGGAGGGAGAGGATAGACACAAGGCTGTGCTGAGAGAGTTGAATGAAGAGGTTGGCCTACTGGCCGACTATGTTAGGTATGTGAGTGTGATCGCCGATCCACTTGTATACTTGCACACGGACAAGGAAAGTAAGAATCGTGGCCAATCTATAACTTGGTTCTTCTTCTATATGCCATCGGCACAGATCATCCAGTGCAGGTTGGACAATGAGCCAGAACCAGAGTTTGACGAGTTGGCGTGGCGTCCATTCAGCGATCTGACCAACGAGCAACTGGGCGTCAACTTCAAAGTGGACATGTACCAGCAGCTCCTTGAACTTTCGTCCAAGCCCATCGACATAATACAAGAACACTTGGCTTCCATGCGGTAGTAGAAGAAGGCTTGTGGCGTGATGGACATCCTTTGTCGGACTAGCCCAACCCCCACCTACTGTTTGTCGGGCGATCGATGATTGGACAACAACAACCTTGGCTGAATGAATGAATGAATGTCCATGGATATATCTCGTCTGTATGTGATCTGATCAAGGATTCCATTCAATTAATTAATTAATCGATGATTCCAATCGATGAATGATCCCAACTTGGCTCCATCCCACCACATCGTAGGTATGTACACATTAATGAAAGAAGAGTATATTTATATATCTCAAATCTCATTCAAATAAGACATCACACATTGTTGTTGGTTGAGTCTAATAATGGATTCCAAAGGTGCTCAAGTTGTTGGTCTGGACTCAAAAGGCTCAGTTCTGCAGATAGGGCCTCGCCCGAAAGACATGATGCCAGGTGGCCTTAATGACGCAAGTTGCCTCACGCACCTCGCCAGGTCATGAGGTGTCACAGGTCCTTTTTGATCTAAAATTGTCAAATTCACCCCACGCATGCATCGAAGGACCTCGACTACCCCCCACATGGCATGTCGAGGATCTCTCTTTTAGATGCCCAACATCAAACAAGTTGTGGAGGGCCTATCTTAATTAATTGTGCATTAGGTAGCCAAAATGCGATAGTTGGGGGTCGTGGTGGTAGTGGCGGGGTGGGGGGATTCGTTAAGGCCAAAGAGGCCTAAGACTCAAAACTCTAGACTGAGATAGTCTTCTTTTTTTGATAATGGGTAGCATATTCTAACACACACACAACCAAAATAATATAATTATTAATAATAAATAATTAACCGACGACTTCGATAGAGAGCTTCTTTTGGAGATTTGTGGACTCGACTGGTGCGGAGCCCCTGAGCACAGGTCCCCTCCCCTTGCCATTTGATTGACATTCATTCCAACACCTGTTCAAATCGATAGCCAGCCAACCAACCAACCATTACCTTACCTACCACCTACACACATACATAGTCATAGTCATCGTCAGTCAGTCACACTACAGTCAAGTCGTCAGACATACATTCAGTCACAGGTGCCCGCGCCACAGCCATTTAGTCACAGCGCCAGTCAAACAATCAATCAATCTATCAAGACGACAACAGCATTAATAAGGTAGGATTCGCGAATCAACGATATCACGGCAACAGTGTTCACCATCATACTCTCGAGTTGGTCGGTCAGTCGGTCCACGCACTTAGTGCTTAGCGAGAGTGAACTTGACAAGTGTCAAACCAAACAGGAATCAATTTCGATTCGGAAAATGGCGCATGCCACTCTGCACGCCAGCCCACCTAAACGATCGATTGGTTGATGATTGCAGCAATCGAATCATCTATCATCATTCATCTTGGTACCAGATTGAACTGTTACAGACCACTCTTGTTAATTATGGTTGATCAATCAATCAATCAATCTATCCACACAACACACTCAATCTTCATTGCTCAATTCGGAATGCTTCGTTCCTTCATTCAATCCAAACTTACCCCATCCAATCATCAGCCTACCTACAACTCACACTCGCCCTTTGTGTGTGAATTAATATGATCGCCCAGCCCAGCACCCCTTTGCTGGAGGCCCACACACACTCAGCACACTCACATCGCTCAATAACTGATGCCTGTTCAGTGATCCACAACACCATCTCCCCTTTCTATCTGTATATGTTAATATAATTGGTTGATCAACATCCACTCCGCTATCCTCTATTGGTGATTATATGTGTGTATCAGAGTGTGACTGCGTGTATGTGTGTATCTGTGATTGATCAATCAATCACTAATCTAAACATCTGATAGATCATTGTCGAATGATTAATAATTACCTGTTTGTGTGTTTTGTGCGTAGATCTAACAGATCAACACTCAGACCTATTGTCGCTTAATGTTGCCAATGGCCACAACCTTGATCAAGGGTCATACTCACTTAGCCAGCCCATTCATTCACTCTCTCGCTCAGACTAGCCACATCACATATCCTTTCTCACTTGACCATCATACCCGTTGTAACCAATAATATCAACAACAAACAAACAAACACAGGGAAGGAACAATCATTCCTCCCTCCCTCCCTTCTTCCCTCCCTCCATCCACTTCACTCCTCCTCTTCTTAACTTAGACATTCGATCACATTAATTAACAAAAGTTATTCATCATCTTATAAACCAATCCAGACATCCATCCAATCCAGGTCATCAAAGTCATCCAAGTTCACAACAATCCCAGTTGTTCGATTCGATCAATCACTTTATCAATAGTCCAATCCAGTCAAACCAAAGCCAATCAATCAAACATTTTTTTTTGTAAGTATCCAATACTTTTGATTGATTGATTGTCGATGGCAACATCCATCCATCCATCCATCCGTTCAACCATCCATATATCCATCCATGTATATCATCATACATCTATACCTCAACACTCAATCACACACTTTATCCTGATGTTATAATTATAATATGTGGATTGATGAATGATCTGATAATCAATCAATCAATGAGAGTCATTCACACTTAATTCAGCCCCCCTTCCACCACTCTCATCATTCCATCTGATCATTCAAACTCAACTGGAACACACACAATCAATCAATCACCCCCAACACACACCCCATAACACACAATAACTCAACACATCACGCTGATCTAATTATTATAATGGACCTCTACCAATTACCCATCACACCTTGTGCCACCACCTTGCATACCGCACCCTTCCATTCTCCAATAAGTGTAGATTGGATGGATGGATAGAAGGTGAAGTGAGACTACACACACATACACACACAAACACCAAAGAAGGGCGCTTATTTCCAGATCATGCTGCGTCCGGGCGGGTGTTTGGTGGTGGGCGAGTGGAAATGGTTGGCGCGGAGCGGGCTTGTTATAATTGATTAATTGATCAACAGTCAACAACCACTTTATTGGCATCAGCCTCATTGTTAATTTGTATATTAAAGAATTGGATTGGATTGGACGAGGTTGATCTCAAACATATTTGGAAATTGTAATCAGTCAGTCATTCAGTCATCTGCAAGTCAACTTACAATCAATCTTACCAAAGTCCATCATCAAATAGATAGTTTAGTATTTAGTAGTATTTAGTAGTTATAACACAGCCATCAATCAATCAATCCAGTCAATCACATCAATCACATCAATCGATCAATCACATCAATTCAAAGTCGAACACACAAATACTCCAGACGCTCAAACGCGCGCAGATTATAGCTTGAAGTCCCAACACAACATCTGCGCAGACGATTGTGTCACAAACCAAAAGGCCCCAAACTCAAGACCCTTTCCATCCCTTTCCACCTCCACTCCATCACCATCACCATCCCTTCCTCTCCCCTTTCCACTATATTGTATACTGGGCCACAACTATTACACAACGCTTGGCAATGCAGAGCTATGTATGTTTCATTTCGCGGACGTCCTCGCCCCTAGGCCTTGGCCTCAATTGATCAAAACCCTAACCCTAACCCTTGACCTCAACCCTTGCCCCCACCCTCGCCCTCGCCCTCACACCAACACTCTAGCAAATGAACAATGTTGATTCATACTACTACATGCAGGGTCAAGAACAAGCAGGCTCCAATAATGGAGCACAGCAGCTGGACATAAAGAAGGAGGAGGATATTGATACCTTCAGTGCTGGCGTTCAAGACTCTGCAGCGGCCGCAGCCGTCAAACAAGAACTTGGTGTCAAACTCGATACAAGCGATCACCAACTACAACAACAACAACAACAACAACAATCTCCGACATTGACTACGACATCGACCACAGCGACAAGCGATGTCGCATCACCCACCAATGAAGTATATGCCATCTTACTCACACCTGGCGATCGAGCACCCTTCGTCCAGGATCTGCCCGACTCATTCATCTCGCTGGCATTGGGCCGCGCGCACAAGGACGACCCCGCCTCACAGGTCTTCACCAACACGTCGTCGGTGTGCAAGCGCTGGCGCCGTCTGTCGGTCGAGCGCATCACCAACTACACATTCATCCTGCCAGCCGACCGCAAGGTCACGCACTTTGTCTACAACATGGCCAACAACCAATATACCAACCTGCACGCGTTGCACTACAAGGTCAACTCGCCCACACTGTACGACATCACGGGCTTTGTGCGACCCATACTCTCCAACAACACGACGTTGACGGCACTGGAGGCGCCCCAATGTGGCATCGGAAACAAGGCCGCGACATCGATTGGCAACTGTTTGGCCACCAACAGCACGCTGACGCGACTCAATCTCTCATTCAACTCGATTGGCAATGAGGGCGCCGAGGAGATCTCCAAGGCGCTGGCCGTCAACAAGAAGCTGCTGCACCTGGATCTCTCACTCAACTGCATCGGCCTCAAGGGCGCCAAGGCGCTCAGCACAGCGGTACAGACCAGCGTCACCCTGCAGGAGCTCAACCTGGCCAAGAACAGGTTCGGCTCCAAGGGCATGGACGTGCTGATTGACGCCGTTAGCAAGAACAATGGTCTGCTCAACATCGACATCTCCAAGAACGAGCTCAACGACAAGAACTGCAAGGCACTGGGCGAGGCGCTCAAGAAGCACAAGTCGCTGCAGTCACTCAATCTGTGCGACACATCGCTCAAGACAGAGTCCACACGATTCATTTGCGAAGCGCTGCAGGGATGTCCGACCATCCAGTCGGTGGACCTCTCCCGCAATGACTTTGGCTACAAGTGCAGCAAGTTCCTGTCGGCGGCACTCGAGCACAGCACCTCCCTCACCTTCCTCGACCTATGCGGCAACGACATTGGCGACAAGGGCACAATAATGCTCGCTGAGGGACTGGCCAACAACAAGACCGTTCAAAGCCTCAGTCTGGCCTTCAACAACATTGGGTCAAGTGGCGCACAGAGCATTGGCAACGCGATCAAGACAAACGACTCGCTCACGCACCTCGACCTGTCGATCAACGCCGAGATCGGACCGTCGGGCGCGGCGGCCATCAGCGAGGGCCTTTGCTACAACAAGCGTCTGTTGCACGTGTCGTTCTGCACGAACGGCTTTGGACCTCAAGGTGCCAAGGCGCTGGCCGAGGCGCTGCGCTTCAACACCACGCTGACAAAGATCGAGCTGCGCGGCAATGAGATTGGCGACGAGGGCTGTCGTGCCATCTGTGAGTCACTGCGCAACAACACATCGGTGGTGGATATCAACCTGTCAGCCAATGGCATCACGACGGAGGGATGTCGGCCACTGTGCGAGGCGCTCTGGTTCAACCGGTCCCTTCAGCTCATGGTCCTCACACACAACTCGATCGGACAGAGCGATGTCCAGTTGATGAGGTACACACTGCAGCAAGGTTACATCATGACTCTTGACGCCTACATCTATCCTCCCAACTCTCAGACCACCCTCTCCAATCTTTACCTCAATCGTTCCAATGGCACTGTGTGTCGTGTAATGATCTAAGACGGCATACAAGTCCTCTTCCCTCCATCCCTCCCCCCTCCCTCCCTCCTTCCAATCTTTCCATCCTCCCTCTTTCTTTCTCCCTTCCTTTCCTCCCTCCTCCCCTTTCAAACATCCAAACAGCGCACAAAACAAACAAACAAACACCAGCGGCAACAGAGTGCTAGCAACGACATCAAGCTCAGACCTGACCAATGGCACAGAATCCATCCAACAACGAAACATAATACCCACACTGGTGATACGATTGCACCATTCATATATTCCATCTTTCCAACTCACTTCCATCTCAATCACTCAACCACTCAATCTCTCTGCCAACCAACAACTCAACCAACCGACAATGTAAAGAACTCAATCAATCACGCCAATCCATTCCAGACGCATATCCAATCAATCAATCTATTCCATTCCACTCCACGGCAACAACATACCATACCATCATACCCTTACCTCGCCATCCAACCAACCTACCAAGCTCAAATAAATCATTCCTTATTTATTAAGATGTGAAAGACCCAAAGCCAAATCCTAAGCCTTGTATCAACCTTCTTCTTGGACTAATGAGTCCGGCCTCTACTAAGCCGGCATTGGCTGTTTGGTCGGGTGCGAGCGCCAGCACTGGCCCATCGGCCAACACTAGCGTCATGATGTGCAGCAAGGGTACTGCCGAAGGCCCACCCCCTGTGTCCAGGGGCGCACACTCGCGCATCCTCAGGCCACACGCCTGGAATATTGATTGCCACGCGCCAATCGTCCTGTGATGGCACGTGGCTATGCTCATGGCCACCAGGCTACTGTAGTCCCAATTGTGGTTCGACAGGCGGCCGTGGTGGTCCTGTGAGTTGTCCTCGGTGGCACCTCCTGGAAGCACCATGTCGATGAGGAGCAGAACTGGCGAGCCGCCATCATTCATTTGTTTGGCCGCCATTGCCTTGGACACGCTCTGCATGATCACCGTTGCCTGGTCGCTCGTGCGCGTCTGAAGAAGGCGGTGGAGTATGTATATATCATCGCTGCCTGGCAGCTCCAGCTCGCCTCGCACAATGCCAAACTCCAAGCGACGACACTCGAGCATGGCCTTCATATGCTCATCCTTGGCCGCGATCTCCAGACTCTGGCGCACTGTGTGATAGTCCTCCCAGGCAACAACATGTATTCCAGGATGATCGCGCGCGATCCTGAACGCCAGGTTACAATAGCCGCCACCACATATAGTGGCGACACTGCGTGCGCCAGGGGTACCCGTGTTGATTGTGTTCAACTTGCTGGAGATCTCGCGATAGCGTCGTGCCTGTGCCTCCTTGTGGCGCATGGCCGTCGCATAGGTCAACTTGAGGAACCGGCTCCGCAGGTCCACATCACTGATCAATGTATTGCCATACCTCGCGAACCTTGTCAGCGTGGCCGAGAATGATGGGTTGCATACCCATTCAATGATGTTGGTGGACGAGTCGCAAGACATGTCCTTGTGTGTGCCATGCTGTCCATTATTGGCGCCGCACGCCAATGAGTTGCCGAGACTGTAGCCATCCATGGAGTGCATTTGAACGAGACCATCTTTGACCATCTTGTCCATCAACAATCTTAGTCCTTGGACATTGCAATGTGTTCGCGACGATAGAGTGTCCAGTGAGTGGGTTGCGCCACCCTTCATGCAGGCGGTCAGTCTAAGCATGAGACACATGGTCATGCATTGGATGGCAATGGCATCGTCGAATATGTGTGCCAGGTGCTCGGCGGTGGCCACGTCGTCCCAATGGACGATCATCGTCGTCAGACAATCCTCTATACTCTTGGCGATCGCCGGTTGAATCGGCTGGCGATCCAAATATCTTCGACGTCCATTCACATCCATATAACAGAATATAAAAACGATCAATACTATATAACTTGGTAGTCCAACCAACAAARGAGCTAGCCAACAGTGATGACACTAATGAATCCATCCGGGCTTTGAGTGTGAGGGAGGGGGAGGGGAGTTAGTTACATGTTGGGCCATGACTTTAAACTTGGATTGATTGATATGGTATACCTGGCATTCCATTTAGAATTGTGATCAGTCCTTTGTTTGATAGTGATGATTAAAACTAAACAATCAAACAAGTAAAAGAAGAATGAAGTAAGTGAAGTAAGTAAGTCCAACAGGCTTGTCTTGGTTGGTTGTTGTCCAATTTGTCGAATGAGCAGGCACACACTCTGACACACCAGAGAGACACTGTTGCTGCTTGCGGGAAGGAAAGGTGAGGGTTGGATGGATGGTCTCGACAAGCTCAAGCCAAACCAAACCAAGAGAGTGAGAGGTGATTATGTTTGTGATTGTGTCCATATCCCATTACCCACATCTCCATCGCAACAGTAGTACCAGTAGTGGGGGGTGGTCAGGTGATTATTGTGATTGTTTGTTTGTTTGTTTGTTTGATGTTTATGATGATCGTGATGTTGATGTTGATGGGTGGGGGGAGGGGTGGTGAGTGCCTGTACAAGTGCACTAATTCAGCCAGCCAATCAGTCAACTCAGTCAATCAGACATCCATCATGTGATCCAGAAGAATAAGCGTTGTTCCATTCCATTCCGGTCCATTCAATCAATCAATCAAACAATCAACCACCAATGCATTGCAAGAATAAGCACAACATGCGCAGTGCCATGTCGATTGGAGAATATTTAACATTAAATCGCCAAGCACAACAAGGATAGTTGTTGTAAAGGGCCGTCCGTCCATTCAGGTCAGAGCTCTAATGTGTTTGATTGATTGTCTGGAATGGAAGAATTGATGGATGGACTGACTGACTTACTGATGATTCGCGAACACACCCCAACACACTCGACCATGGTCGATCATCTTATCAGACTGACCACCAACATCACTCGTTCCTCACCATGTGATTGTGATTGTGTCAATGCTTGTGTGTGTGTGTGTGTTGTTGGTCTGACCTGACTGGCAAATTGAAGACGCGAGTGTAGGCTGTGTGTGATTGGTTGTGATAGTTAGTGTGTGTGTGTGTGTTGTTGAAGGAGTGAATGATGGATGGTCGCAGTTAACTCTTATTTGGGTTTCATATAACTTATGTGCTCTGGGCAATCAATCAATCAATAAATCACATCGCTTTAGTTCTTTCTACACATTGGTTTGTGTGTGTGTGTGTGTGTGAGTGTGTGTGTGAGTTAGTCAAGAGAGAGTCAGAGTTCAATCAAAGACGACAAGTCGTGTGATGTTACAGCTTCCATCCACATTAACAACAACAACAACATAATGTAGGTAACAACATCCCGAGAGAGTGATCTTGATTATTATGGGCGAACCTCATTCGACCAGTTTTAAAAGCAGAGTTTTTGTCGTGTTATAGTTCTGCCCCCAACTAGTTGGCAATCAATTAATCAATCAATCAATCAATATTAGTGAGTTGACTGGTGCTGGTCTGTCTGTTCGTTAACATCAACAAGAATTATAAATAGAATTTATGTGTGTGTGTTTTTGTTTGTTTTGTTTGTGTGTGTGTAAGGTGGGGGTGTCGTTAACGAATGTGATCGAGTGTCACAGTGTGGGTGGAAGTTAAACACCATTATGAATGAAAGGGAAGGCAATCATACATGACCCACGAGGATCACGACACATGTGTTCCACCAATCAGCCTTTGTCATCATACTACCCGACATGTTTTGTGTCAGTAGTCATTTGATCAGTCACTCCCTCGCTCACTCACTCACTCATTCAATCATAAACCTCCCTTCTTTGCATGCACCAATGTCCTCCTCTCTTACACAAACACCATCCACCAAGCACATCAGCAGCAGGGAAGTAATGGAACTAAGGAATGTAGGTAGTTTCTGAGGAATGTAGGCCGTTGTAATCAGTGTTGATCAAGTTTGTGATCCTCTTCGATGAATAACATCATGACTCTGCATCATCATGGATGTCATGTCAGCATCCTTCTGCCATCTGCCAACCTACTTCCATACCAACAACATATATTGGTTGGGTCTTATGAATGAGTGAGCGAGGCCTCTTGCTCATCCAACATCTGACAAATATCCCAACGATCAATGTGTATGTGTGTGTGTGAGCGAGTGTGATCCTTGGATACAATGAAGTCATTAAGGTCGGGGTCGGCAACTGATCACTTAGCCCATCAAGAAGAGGTCCATCTCCACTATATATTTATAATCAGTCTGGATCAATCAATCAATTTCAATCATATATAATATTAATATTGTGTACAAATAATAATCAATCAATCATATAATCAATCAAACAAACAAACAAATAATGCTACCCTATATTGTTGCAGTAGTTGTTGTTGGTCTGGCATTGTGGATGTTCAGACCAAAGGCCTCGACATGTGGCCTCGAGCACCCAGGCGTAATATATAATCGCTGGAGAAATGTTGCCAAGGGCTACAACATGGACAACTTTATGAATGACACCATGCCACTGAAGGAGCCACACACCTACAAGACCGTGTTGAAGGAGGCCCTCCATCTCAAGAATGAGGAGATGAAGCATTACGAAGCATTGATGGTCATGCAACGCGTGGTCGCCACGTACAAGAAGTTGACGATGGATGGTGACAAGCTGGGCAAAGAGATCAAGGACTACATCGAGATGAACAAGGAGTACCGCGTCATGTACAACGAGTCCGTCCAACACTACGATCTTGTCGATGCCTTCTTCAACGAGAAGGACTGGACCGTTGATCCCAACCTCGAGCACGAGGTCCAATACTCCTACCGCACTGAGGGTCGCAGACTCAGATCAAGAAAGTTCATCAGTAAGTTCACACCCCACTGGAATCAGATACCCAAAGGGATAGTTCCATTCATATTAACTAACTCTCAATCAATCAATCAACAGAGGTCGTCAACTTGCCATTGAAGAACCTGGCCATGCGTTGCCAAGAGATTGATTTGATCAACACTTGGAAGTGGTACCAGTCTGGAAAGGTGATCTCAACTCCAACTTCAAAGGGAACTGTTCTTTGCTCAATCATTTCGATCCTCAGCAGAATATTCATCCTGAACAGAGCTGCCTACTGCTGGAAGCTCAACTTCAGACTGCCGGACAACTCCATCGTCATCGCCTACAACGGAGCCAACAACAGACAGTCCGACTACGATCTCCCCGCCCTACCCACCGGATTCGCCTACCCAGACATCTTCTACCACGCGTATGTACAATCCATCCATTGATTGATCATCAATCCATATACATGACACTGACTCTCAACTCAATCAATCATATCAGTTTCCGTCTCATCCCATTGACTCCACACAAGACTATTGTGATCTCGGTCATGGAGAGTGATCCAAAGATCTGGTTCTTGACTCGTGAGATGTTCATCAAGCAAGGCAAGACATTCGGATGCCGTGAGTTGAAGCTCATGTCTGACTTCTCAAGCGACATCCATGGCACACCATACCAAGAGTTTGCCAACCATCCATTCTACGATGGTTTATAAATTATTAAATTTATAATTATAATTAAACAAATAATAATTGGGAATGATCTAACTTCGAATGAATTCACCTCTTTGTCCAAGATGTGGATGGAAGTTGAGTGCGGACAATGTTGTTTCCAACATATTCTGGTTCAGCCTGCCAATGAGTTTGCCTCCCAGTTGATGATCGTACCAAATTGATAGACGGTTCAAATTGTTGAATGTCGGTCGTTTGAGTAGTGCCACCAAGTTGTCAATGACCACTCTTTGAAATGACTTGTCTAAATCCATCCTGATGATTGTACAACAATCCATAAGTATATAGTTGAATCTACTTATTGATGTTGTTGTCGAGCAACATTCGACTGGAAGTAAACTTGTTATCTCCCTAGGGTACTCTGTTGCGAGGGTCAATGTGTCCAACCGTTTGGAATTGTTTTCGAATAATAATAACATGGTGGCCTCATATTGCTCAGGCAATGAATGATAATACCGGTCATTGATCATATATATGTTGTTTAGATTCGATAGTCGATACGCTAAATGTGTTGGAAAGTGATCGTATTTGGATGGTATCCTAATTCTTAACGAGCTGATGTGTGAACATGAGTCCCGACTGCTTACCACGTCGTCAATCTCATTTACAAGCTGCATTATATGTATATTTAGCTCGCATGATATATCCACCTTGCTATCTCCATGCCCATCACTGGTTCGAGCCACACACATATATTGTTGAGGGTTTTCCAAGGAGAGTGATGAGCATTCAATCGTTTGAAACATTGGGTTTGGTGTGATGTAATGTTGATACAGCCATTGGTAGTACATGGCCATGTTGTGTGACTCTAATTCCTTGAAGGTAACTTGTCCTGAATGGTATCGGTATTGGTATATGATACGATCGATCTCTACAAGCTTGAGGTGTCTGAGTTGAGGCGTTTCCAACACTGGAAAGGTACCACTTCTAAAGAAACTATCATCATCTTCTCTGAACATCTTTCCAAACGCAATGATCAATGATTGAAGCCTTGATAGGCATGTGGGCATGTGCTCATCTGGAATGTGTTTGATGCTGTTGTAGTCCAAGTGGAGAGGTGGTGTGGCCCACAGACAGTAGTTCGAGCCAATGTAATTGATCATTGAGCGCATGGCAAGTGTTTGCAGCACATTGTTGGACACTGATCTCCTGACTGACTTGAGAAAATGTTTGGAGACCGTGGCCAACGACACCAAGAATGTTGATTTGAATGGCAAGTCACTGTTATCCAACACAAGGTGATCAATTATGTGTTCATGTACTATTGATGGAAGCGTAGGGTTGGGCAAGGATGATGTCGATGACGATTTCGAGGCAACACTAATGACGCACTCTCTTGCTGATGAGTTCATCTTGAATTGTTTGAACTCTTGTCTGGCTGTTTTGAGCCTGTCCAAACATGTTGTGTCCACATGTTCAATCAATATTTGCTTGATCACTTTGTACTTGTACTTGTTTTGTGATGACGTCGATGGGGTTGAGGACAGGAGCTGCAAGCAGTAGAACCGCCTGAGGATATAGTACATGGAGTAGAGTGGGAGTGTAGACCGGACCATGTCACCTACACTCAATAGCATGTCATCGACCAAGCCATTGATCACTGAGTTCATCTTATCGAGTGGCAGGTCATTGGGAGCCAACAGGTCTATGAGCGACACCCATGCCGCTAAGACATTGCAACTTGAATTGATAAGCAGTTGTAACTCTGGCCTTGGTTTCCTGTGGAACTCCACCAATACACGATCGAGTATATCATTGTCAAGGTAACCTGATGCGTTACATATGATGAAGAAGTGTCCATTGCTCGTCTCCCTATGAATGTGATGGTAGTTTGCCAAGAACTTCTTGGTCTCCTCGGAATAATTCCTGACGATATTCTCCGTGAGTGTCATATATTCTTGATGTTGTCTACACTGCTTGATGTTCATCAATTGAGCCATGGCCATCTCAAACAATTGATATGTATTCTTGTTGGACCTTTCATAAAGTGTGATAAATGATTGAGTAATCAGTGCAATCTCTCGATCATCTGATTGTCCACTTGAGTAGGATACTTTGAGTTTGGACACTCGATCAACGAATCGTTGTCTCAAACCCACATCCATGTTGAGACAATGAATGATGCCATCAAGCAGCAGGAGGGCTGAGTTGTCATTTGATCCAAGTAGTCTGAATATATGCTCTTCAACCTCCAAATAATACTTGGAGAATGTACTGCCCACCAGTTTGAGGAGTGTATTCTTGTTGTGTACATTCTTGAGTCGTTGGAAGCATGAGTTGAATGAGTGTACGGATGATTGAATGTGTGATTGGAACACAATGAATGAGTTGTCTGAATGTGGACCATTTGTAATAAGTCCAACCATCTTTTGTTGATATCCATCTTTGTAATATGATCCAACAATGTCAATACACTCGATATGCCATTGGCATGTGTATGTAGCTGTTCTCCAGTGAGCCTAGTTGAGACTAAAAGACTGGACCACGGTCAGTACATTCATCGAAGAATTGACGAATGATCAACTTACTTAAACACTGCTTGTCCATTGTTTATCAAGTGTGATGACTGGTCTGAGATGGTGGCCAGACTGATGAGATGGTTAAGCATGGCATTGGAAAGGTTGTTTGATTGATTGGACACCAATAATTGAATGAATTGATGATTCACTCGGTCAACTCCAAAGGCTGAGGAGATGGAGCTGAAGCAGTTTGGACAGTCAAGATACTTCGTCATTAACTTGGTATAAAGATTGAATAGTTGATCGAATGGACATTGTGGCTGAGCAAGTATCATGCGTATAAAGCCCGAGTTGATCACGACTAAGTATGACCAATGTGGAGCCACTGTGGCTTTGTGTAGCAAGTGCATTGCTTGGTCCAACAGGCTAGCATTGGACTTTAGTCTACGTCCATCCTCTGTCAGACCAACGAACATATCAGACACCAAGTTACATAGTAACTGCTCAACACAAACAAACACTTTATCAACAATATGTTGTCGGTTGGCAAGTATCTACATGGTTTGTTTGAGTTGTTAGTTACTTAGATTGTTGAATTGGTGTCGACTGGACTACTCACTCTTGTTATCAAAGGTAATAAGTATTGAACAATGTATGACTTGACTTCATCATTATCATCAACTCTATCTTGTCTTGACAATGTTTGATTGACAGCATCTTTGAACTGATCTATCTCTAATAGATTACGACAAATACCAGGTTGACAATAATCTCTATTATATATCCTAAGATGTGATACAACACTCTTTAATGGATGTGATGCGTCCATCTCTCTCTCTCTCTCTCTGTTCACTTCTACTTCTTCATCTCAACTAATTACGGACTTCAAACTTCAAAGATGAAATTAAACCCATCCTGGTGTGAAGTTGACAACCAGGATTGGTTTAGTTCCAAGAAAGTAGGAGATGGCATAGTCAATGTGACTTTTGTTCGAGACTTCATTGTATTATTCATTGGGCTTGCATACTTTATATCTCTTTGAGACAAAGATACTTATTGGTCTCAAGATGTGCACATTAGTATCCACCAAAAAAGAGATATTTCCATCTTTTTACAGATATTTGACGACCTTCACCTCAAACATACAAGTTTATCCATCCTCATTTACAGGGTTGGGCGCCTCAAGCTCAAAGCTCAAGGTGATGGGCAGTCCGTAATTATGAATGTAATCAAAGATACACTCACTGTCGTTATCAAGTTCTCATGGTGTGAGTTGAGTGTATGATTGATGTTGCCCAAACAAAGACATCATGATACTCTCATTCGTCAATCAAATCACTCCATCTTGCAAGATAATTATATAAATACTCTCTGTGTATTGTATACAGTTACATCATGTTTAACAAGTTTGCAATAATCTTTACTCTGGTCTTGGCATCATTTGCTACCATCGCTGTAAGTCATTCATTCATTCATTCACATCATCGTTCGTCTTCTCCAATTCACTAACTCACTCACGTATTCCATTCAATCAATCAATTCAATATTAGTTTGGAGACCAAATCTTCTCTTACACTTTGCCATTGGGCGAGGTTAAGGTTAGCAAGGTAATCACTCAAACATTCACAAATGTACCTTTGCCAGCTGGTGGCGCCGACATTAGCGCCATCCAGGTGTTGTTCTTGAATGACACCAGCAAAAAGATATACGATCGATCAGTGTTGAAGGTGCTCACCTTTGATCTGACCGTCAATAAGCCAACCACACGCAAGGCCGTCTCATTCACTTTGACCAACATCGCCCAGCCCATGGTGTTGCCCTCGCCGTACTCCATCCAGCTGCTCAACGGCACCAGCGCCTCGATCACCGTCAGCTACCTCTCAGTGGACACTTTCACCAACTGCAATGTTAGCGTCAACTACATCTTCAAGTGGTCACCCAGCGCTCAGACCACCTCGATCCCCGTGATCCGCTCGGCGTCGTCGGCCACGGCCAACTTCTCCTCGTTCAACGTTCCAGGCGGCGGCGGCCTCTTTGTCCAGTTCAGCAGTGCCAAGTGGCTCCAGAACATGAACACCGCGTACTTCCTGGCCTCTGGCTCACCGGGTATCGTCGACTTGTCATTCATCAACAATGACACTGGTATTGTGCTGTGCTCGTCGATTCCAACGATGGTCGAGGGTGCTCTCTCCATGTCTGATTGTGAGGGAATTGATTCAATCCAGGCTGGCGTATCATATATTACCAGGGCCACCTATAACAACACTCATCCAATCAAGGGTGTCTTTGGACTGTTCACAATCTATGTTGCCAATGCTGAGCAACCTACTACCACCACCACATCATCTTCGTCGACGACAGCCACCACCACTGGCAAGACCACAGCCACCACTCACACCGGCCCAGCAACAACTACAACAGCCACCACAACTGGCAAGACTACTGCCACCACTCACACCACCACCGGCCCAGCCACCCATTCGACATCTGGTCCATCCTCATCGGGACCAACATCCACTGGCCCAGCCACTCACTCAACCTCAGGACCATCATCCTCGGGTCCAACATCCACCGGTCCACACTCAGCATCTGGTCCATCCTCCTCAGGACCATCATCATCCGGCCCACACACCTCATCAACTGGTCCACATTCATCCTCCTCCGGTCCACACTCCTCGTCCTCCGGCCCACATTCCTCATCGACCACCCAGTCTGGCACTACCTCTGGAACTACTTCCGGCACTACCTCTGGCACCACCTCGGGAACAACCAGTCCATCGGGAACTACCTCTGGCTTCACCACAACCGGTACCACCACCCAATCAGGCACCACATCAGGCAGCTCCGGCACAACCCAGACCTCTGGACAGACCACCGGAACCTCTGGCTCTGGAACTACCTCGGGTCAGACCACTGGCACTTCTGGACAGACCGCTACCTCTGCCACTACCACAACAACCAGCGGCGCTTCCGGCTCATCAGGCACCACCTCCTCAGGCCAGACCACCGGAACATCTGGACAGACCACCACCTCTGGAACATCGGGTCAGACAACCGGAACCACCGGACAGACCACTGGAACCTCTGGCCAGACCACCGACACATCCGGTCAAACTACCGGACAGACCTCCGGACAAACCAGTGCCACCTCCTACACCGATGGTGGTTTCGAGGCCTGGCAATCAGACTTCAAGAAGCCAAACAGAAAGCCAAAGTTCATCCTATAAATGAAGTAATAATAACTCGTGTTGTACTTACTGATCATCGTCAATCAATCAATCAATCATTGAGCTAGTGAGTTGTGTTTGTCTGTGAATCGTTGGCATAGGGACATGCCCTGATGCTCTTTTATTATTACTACTAATACTAATATTACTGTTGTTGCCTGCTGTTGCCACTGCTGCTGTCGACCAAGTTGTCGGACTTGTGAGCATGGCTGCTGCCACCGTGCGAGTGGCCATGACCTCCACCTGCCTTTCTGTTCTTTTGATCCTCTACGGCCTTGTAGTAGAGTGTACCGAATACAATGATGGCGCCAATCCATTGTAGGTTGGACAATGGATGTGCAAAGAGGATTGTGGAGAGCACGATTGAGAACACCTGTCTGGTGACCATTATCGTCGAGAAGATCAATGCTCCAAACTCCTTGATCGTGAAGTAAATGACCATCTGACCAAGACTGGCACAAATTGACAGCATCGTAGAGTCGTACAGAAGCTTCTGGTACTGCATAGTGAACTCCAATGCTGGGAACAATCTGTTGTTGACGATCAACACTGTTTGTTGGTCATGGTAATGATCGATGTAAGTATGGGATCATGTGATTGATTGATCATGTGATTGATTGGGACCTTACCAAAGAGTGAGATTAAGGCTGAGAATGAGTTTACATAGATCATCTGATCGTAGGTGGACATTGTGTATCCCTTGAACATCTTCTCCTGGAAGGTTGAGGTGAAGCTGTCAAAGAACATATAGGTGGCCATCAATAACAGGCCATAGATGGTGCTTGAGTCGTCCTCATCCTTGGAGGAGATTTTCTTGATTGATTGAATGAGGCAAAGGCGAGGGCAAGGGTTAGCGCGAGTAAATGTGCTAGCTAAGTTGAAATACATACACCAGTCATGAAGAAGATCATACAACCAGAGGTGATGGTCAGGGCGATGGCGTAGTCTTTGAAGGAGTACTTCTTGCCACTGAGGAAGGTACCGACTAGCATGACTGGCATCATCTTGCCACACTTGCCAAGGGTCTGTGTGGGGAAGTTGACGTACTTGAGTGCCTCGTACTGACACCATGTGGCGCAGAAGTTGGACAGAGACACGCCCAGATACTTGTGAAGTGGTGCAACATTCTTTACAGACTCGCCACGATACATAACAATGACGACGGCGATGATTGCTGCGAATAGACGGTTGGACAGCACGATGAATGTCGAATCGGTGAAGAACACCTTGTTGCCCTTGTCATCGATATCGTATGGTTGATCCATGATCCTCTCTTGAAGTACACCATAAAATATAAAGAATCCCATGATGCCTCCAACACTCATCAACAACTTTGTATTATAACTTGGTCCACTATTGACTGGGCTTATAATGCTTGGATTGCCAGTGTCACTATTGCTTGAGATACCTGCCTCTGCATCTGTTATTATTGTTGTTCAGCTGAAGTTAGTTTCATTCATTCAATTTGATTCATTCACCTGAATGAGCATACCTCTTTCTTTATCTCTTTCTTCAGATCCCATTGTTTGTTTGATTGATTGTTATCTGTATAAATAATATAACAAGAATGAATGTATGATTGAATGAGTGACCAGAGTTCGATTAATTAAGTTAAGTTTGGTAACCACCATGGGCAAGATACTTTGGGATGTGTGTTTGTTTGCAGACCGACACAGAGACACGACAACCCCCACTCCCTTCCCTCTTCCATTCTTTTTGATTCGTCCACAAGGTCGTATCCACTTTTTTTGCAATCTTGCAAGGAATAGTACTTTGCTCATTCAGATAGTAATACTTAAAGGTGTTGGCCCAATGGGAACAAGGTTGCTTGACATCAACACACCCCTAATCATAACAAGTGTTACTGTGCAAGTGAGTTATTTTCAGAGTTGTTCATGTATAACTCTTTCTATCTCTACCTCTTTTTTGTCACATCGATACATTGATTGATTGATTGAATGTTGTTATATTAATGTTTATGTTCAGTTAATGGTGATTGATTGTTTGCATTTGTAGTTTGAAACGATCACCATCAGCATTATTAAACTGGAACTGAAATGTCATGATGTTGGCTCCATCTGTTTGAAAGCCTTTCCCAAGCCTCCATATTGTTGTATTAACCCATTTGGGAACAACCCTGAAGACAACCAAAAAGAGATATTTGTGGTCCAGGACTCAACTCACCCATCACCTGAAATGAAATTGAAATTGTTCATCTAAACAAACATTTATGTTAAGTTCATTACTTACTTTGCATTATTACATTACTTACTTATAATAATAATAATACAGATACAATGCAACAAGAACAAGAGAGTAGGTTGGGTTAACTAGTTCTTACTTGGCCCTCACTCACTCAAACTAATACTCACTAAATGATACATTGACAGACAGTTCAGTTACAGTCTTTAGAGAGTTCCTGAGGATCAGGACAGATCACCCAAAGCCAGACTATACTGCATCCACCAAGTTCCTCGTGGAAAAGGCCCAACAATATGGTCTGCAGTGTGAGGTCTACAATGTGAGTGAGACCAAGACAGGAGGAAGAGGCGGAGGAGAAGGAGGACTGACTCCCATCAATCAATCAATCAATCAAGGGAACTGGATTACCAATTGTAATAATGAAGATTGAGGGTAGCGAGCCAACATTGCCATCAGTGTTGTTGAATGCACATGTTGATGTTGTGCCTGCTGTACTCGATCATTGGAAGGTAAACCCATTCGATGCCTACAAGGATGAGAAGGGCGACATCTATGCCAGAGGCACTCAAGATATGAAGTGCGTGGCCATTCAGTTCTTGGAGGTGGCTCATCGTTTCATCAAGAGTGGCAAGAAGTTCAGACGTAACCTTTACCTCACCTATGTGCCCGATGAGGAGATTGGAGCGAGCAATGGAATGGAGCCATTCGTCAAGACTGACAAGTTCAGGGAGTTGAACGTGGGCATGGTCATTGACGAAGGTCTGGCCTCGCCAACCGAGGAGTTCACAGTCTTCTACGGAGAGAGAGCACCTTGGTGTAAGTCATCAATCAGATTGTAGTTGGATGTTTGAGTGATGATCAAGCGACTGACAATCCATCATTCGTGGACATACAGGGATTCACATCACTGCCGAGGGAAACACTGGACATGGATCAAGATTCATTGAGGGTACTGCTGTTGAGAAGTTGGTAAGTATAGTTTGGACAACATCCGGATGCTTGGCATGCATGGCACTCATACATTCAAACATATTATGTAGATGAGGACTATCAACAAGATGATGCAGTTCCGTCAGGATCAATTCGATCTGTTGCACAAGGGACATCATGAGTGTGGAAAGAAGCTAGGCGATGTTACAACATTGAACTTGACTGTGTTGAAGGCAGGCGTTGGTGAGGGACCCTTCCCCAACTACAGCTACAACGTCATTCCAACAGTGGCCGAAGCTGGCTTTGACATTAGAATACCTCCAACTGTCAACCTCGAATCATTCTTGGATCAGATCAGAGAGTGGACATCAGAGGAGGGACTCTCCTTCAAGTTTGCCAACTACACCGAGAAGAATGAGTTGACCGACCTGAATGATCCAGACCTCAAGTGGTGGACTGTCTTCAGAGAGTCATGTGACAAGATGTAAGTTACAAGTTGACCAGTCTTCCGTCACAACATGTCGCTAACTTAATCTTTCGCGATATACAGGGGACTAAAGTTGGTGCCAGAGATCTTCCCTGCAGCAACTGATTCAAGGTTCATTAGAAACTTGGGCATCCCAGCATTTGGCTTCTCTCCAATCAACAATACTCCCATTCTCTTGCACGACCACAATGAGTTCCTCAACGAGAAGACATATCTTCGTGGCATTGACATCTACGAGGGTATTATCCCCAACCTTGCCAACATGTAATACATCTGTCAATCAATCAATCAATCAGTCTAATGAATGAACGAATGGTTTACACACAACTCGAGTGGTGTTTATTGGTGGACAATGCTTTGACACTTCGTCCATCATCGATGATACAATTACAGGCAGACGCGAATGGAATGAATGTATGATCCAATGTTGGGCTGACTGATTGGCTACAAGTCGTCGGACTCTGACTCCTCAGACTCGGATGACTTCTTCTTTGAGTTGATGCTGTTGTCATCATGCCTCAACGACCTCCTCTTGGAGTTGTAGTAGTAGCTGCGGCATTGATTCAGTGTCTTTGTCTTGAGATAATCGGCGATCGCCTTGAAGTCCATGCCGTACTTGCTGTAGGCCGTGTTGAAAGAATCTCGCTCCTCGCGTGACCACGAGAACCGTGTCTCTGTGGAGGCATCGGGTGACTGCGCCTGTCCGCTGATCGAGGGTGTAAGTGGCGGCGTGACCACTGCTGTGCTGCTCACCGATGTTGGCGATGTCTCCTTGGTGCCGGCGCCACCTGCTGAAGTGGAGATGGCCAGAAGGATCTGCTCCCTGGCCGTCAGTCGAGGCGTGGGCGGTGCTGACAGTTTGTCTGCATCAATCGTCACCTCTGGTGTTGGTTGCTTCGAGGCGCGTGCCTTTTGTTTGTTCGCTGACCTGCTTGGTGGCGCAGGTGTCATTGGTGTCGCAGTCGTGGTCGTAGTCGTAGTCGTTGATGTTGTCGCAGTTGATGTTTTGTCATTCTTTACAGTAGTACTCTTGGTTGACAAGAAGTTGTGTGATCCCTAATTGATTGGATATGAGTTAATAGGCTTGGGGAGGGCACTTGTAAGTTCATGAGTACTTACTGTTCCTCTCTTTCCAGTCCTCTTCTTTAGAACATTCTGCTGGAGCTGTTCCTTGAGGTCCAGCTTCTTCTTGTTGTTGTAATAAAAGACAACCATGTCCTCAGGTGTCTTGTTCTCAAAGAATGTTGAGATCCTCTCGAACTTCTTTGGGTACAGCAGATACTTCTTGACAAACTTGTCCTTCTCCTCCTCGGTCCATTGTATCAGGGATCTTCGTTCCTTGTCGACGGCAATGGGGTCCTCGATCAGACCATTGTAGTTGATGTACAGCATGTCTCGCTCGTGTTGTGGAATCATTGGCGGCACCACTGCGCTCATGTTGGTGAATTTACATACTGGATCCGACTCGTCTTGCTCGCGAAGCTGATCCATGATCTCGATGAACTCGGCTTCACTGTGCACTGCGTCCGACACACGTCGTGATCTGGTCACGGCCCGCAGTGGCGTCCTGGCCGATGGTCGACTCGAAGACTTCTTCTTGCCGTTGCCCGCACTACTGTTACCATTGCTGCTGTTGTTGCTCTCCTCCTCAAGCTTCTTCTTGTACTTGTCCATTCCATTGAGATACCTTATAACCAGCTTCCTGTTGTACAACCCCAACTCTTCCTTCTGCTTCTTGATTGCCATCGCCAGCTTGTTCTTGACCTTCTTGTGGTTGTCAATCGTCTCCTGGAAGATTGGGAAGTCGCTCACACGCTGGTAGGGCGCGTCGCCATCAAAAGTCTGCAGAACCATGTCGTCGGCCTCTTGTGCATTATCCTGGTTGGCCTGGTAGATCGTACTCTGATTCTCAAGTCTGCTGATGGTCTTGCTCGACTGCACAACCACCGGCGCGGTGGCAGTAGCATTGGCACTGACAGCAGAAGAGTTGGTGGTCTTTGATGGGGAGTTGAGCGGCAGTGAGGGCTTGGTCGCGACAGTCTTCTTCTTCTTCTTCTTGCTGTTGGTCTGTTGCGAAGATGTGGCTGCCTCCTTCTCCTCTTTGTTGCGCTTGGCGATCATTGTGTCGATCTTACTCAGATAGGTCGTGTGGGTCTTGATCTCCTTCTCGATCGAAGTGATCTCATTGTCAATGACCTCCATGCGATCGATCAGCTGCTCCTTGGTGGGCATGTGGGGGAAGTACAGTGGCTGCTGGTTGTTGAGCGCATCTGAGGACCGCGACGGTGTCATGCTCTGCGAGCTCCTGAGCGATATCGGTGACACGGGATCGCTTGAGGAAGGTGGGCGCATAGATTCGTTGGTCTTGTGCGTGTGAGCGGCCCGATGAGCATTGACAGAGGGCAGTGGCGTTGACATGGGCAGTGAAGGGGATGACAGAGACAAAGGGGGCATCATTGGTGATGTTCGCTCAGTCAGTAGGCTCGGAGATGATTGCCTTGGTGTGTTGACGTTGTTGTTGTTGTGATAGTTAGGCAGTTCTTGAGTCGGTGAGCTAGACAGTGATGTTGACATGCCAGTTGCGCGTAACGATGGTGATGGTGAAGATGACATCGAGTCGTTCTCCTGTGTGTTGGACATTATCTCCACTCGCTCATGTTCGTCATTGATCTTTGCTGGTCTATCATTGCGTGACTCTACATTCCCGCTCGTCCTGGGCACCTCTCTATCGCTGTCTCTATTATTATTATCTCTCTCCCTTTCTCTATCTCTATTATCTCTATCCCTCTCTCGTTCACGTTCACGCTCTCTGTCTCTCTCTCGCTCACGCTCTCTATCTCTGACGACCTCTCGACTGCGTATCTCCCACTCTCTTTCTCTCTCCCGCTCGCGTTCTCTCTCACGCTCCCTCTCACGCTCTCTCTCCCTATCTCTAATGACCATTGATCTCTCGTCTCTTTCGCGATCGCGTTCTCTATCTCTATCTCGTTCGTTGTTGCTGTTGCCGTTCAAATTGTTGCCGTTGACATTGTTGATACTGTTTGTGCTGCCATTGGGTGATAACACCTGCTTGCTATTGCTCAACAATGATTCGTAGGTGGGCGATTGGTTCCTCTCTCCAATGTCGCTGTAATGATTGTCCATGTCTCTGTCCTTATAGACAAGCGTTTGTTGTTGTTGTTGTTGTTGCTGCTGTTGTGGCTGCTGATGTTGTTGTTGTTTGTTGTAGCCATTGTACATTGGTGCACCATAAGACTTGGGATTAGGTGATGGCGGTCTTCGGTATCCTCCACTGTTACTGCCACCACCACC